AGCGTCTTTGTACGCAGCTGGTCTGTGCGCGGTTGCGAGGTTCCTCACCTGACGAAGCCAAGTGCTGGTGAGGCCGTGGAAGAGACCTTGAGGACCCTCGTTCTTGGCTGTGTCAACGATGCTCTTGATCATGCCTGTCTTGCCTGAAGCCGTCTGGAGACGGTAGCGTGTGAGGTCGAGGGGGTGGGTGATTGATGCCGCACTCGCTGAAGCTGTGAGCGGACGCGAAGAGAATGATGATGACTGGGTCAGTTGACGGCCAGGTTGGAACAAGTAGTAGCAAGCAGCTCACCAAGACCTCTGATCAAAGTAAAGGAGGGTTAGGCGGGCATTGTCGAGCTATCAGCTATGCAGTCTTCACTATCAAGCTTGGCGACCTGTCTCTCGTACTCACCCTAGGTAGAAGGGGTATTTACCAGGCTTGGCGACGCCTCCAGCTGCCGCCTTCTGCTCATCCTTGGGAACAGCCATTTCGTCGTCAAGAGTAGTGGTGATGAGTGGTGATCGTCGACGGCTGGAGGAACGAGAGGATAGGAGGGTATCTGCAGGACGAAGATGGCTCAGATGGTATCGATGGCAAGCGTGACCCTTTAGTAGGAAGCAATCCAACTCGGAAGACTTCGGATGGGGACGACGGAGCAGAGGCCGTATCGCCGGATCGTCCGTGGTCGAGAGAAGCGTAGTGTTGGGCGAGAGCGGGGTCAGCTGCCGATCCCAGGCTATGCCTAAGCGGACAATCGTGGGGAGAGGCAGTCAGGGACTCAGAGGCAATCGCTCTCGCGTTTCGAATCGCGCCCTCGACCGTCGAGTTGACTTGGTCAGTGCACCGCGCTTTGGACTGTGTCGAGATGCACTCGGGCTCAAATCGGCACACTCGACCCCGCACTCTAACCTCTCCCATGCAGGCCGCCGCCTAGCCACAGGCAGCCACAACTGCGCGGCTGGGCGATGGCTCCGCCGGCGTGTGACCGCGATGAAGCCAGTCGTCGTCCTTGCAAAGCCGCACGGCGCTAATAGTGTCGTCGTCGATGAAGACGATGAGGGTCGAAATCGATGGTCGAGAGAAGGAGCCAAAGAGAATCGACAAAGTGCTCGCTGGTGGATCAATTTGACCCTTTTCGCAGAGCAGGTCGATCATCGATGAGACGCTGGGCACTCGATGATACACGTGGGAGCAACGCGAGCAGCGATTCCTTTTGAGGACGGACTGGCTCGCGTGGGCGACGGCGACGCCGAGCAACCAACACCTTGGTCCCATTACATCCTTTGTCGCCCTCACACCCATTACCTGAGATCCCGCGCCCATGCCTACCCCTCCTCCTGCGCCAAGGAGGGATCGCGCAACACGCCAGCAGCAACAGCATGCTGCCTCACAACCATGGGACGGTAGCCACCAGCAGCCAGATCAGCAGCAGCCTGGCCTCGACTCATCTGACGATGTCCTCATGATGCTCGGCGCAGGGCGAGGCGCAGGAATGAATGGCGCCCCAGGCATGTCAGATATCAGCGCCAGCTTCACTTTTGGACCTCGAGGAGGCACATCAAGAGGCTTCCTCCAGCCACCGAATCCTGATCGCGGCCCATCCTCATCCTCCACTGCATCTTCATCGTCGGCTGCTCGCAATCAGCTGCAAGACGAGGATGCCATCCTGAACCAGCTCAAAGGAGGGCGTGGTGGCAGCCGTACCCAGCAGCTCAACTTCGACTCCCCCACAGGGAGAGGTGCTCCACGAGCGAGCGACTCGCCCTTTGCCGCCTCCCCTCGAAATCCTCGTCGACGCATGATGCCCCACACACCGAACGGAGCAAACAGCAGTAGGTCCTCCGCCCCAGGCCTCAACTACGATGGCTCCTTCTCCGTCATGCGAGACGACGATGAGGCGAATAACTCTGGCCTTCTGGACCACGGCCCGCCTCCGCGGCAGCTCGAACTCTTTGGCCATCGATCCGGAGGCATGCGCTCAACGCCAATGAGAGAAGGCGGCAGCGCAGGTCTGCGAACAGGACCCGGCCCCTCCTCATTGCATGACACAGGAGCAGCGCAAAATGAATCAATCATCGAGCATTCCCTCTCGCAAGTCATGGAAGAGAACGAAGAGGAAGATAGCAGTGGCCGGCCCATCCTTCTGGCTAAGCTGCGGAGATGGAGGCAAGACGCAATGGAGCATCATCTGTTTGAGACGGCGATCTTCTGGGGAGAGAAGATCCTTTGGATGGAGGCTGATGAGGGCCAGAGGTCGACGGATGCATACTGGTTAGCAAAGGGGTACTTTCTGACACATCAGTACAGCAGAGCTGAGCATCTGCTCATGACACCGCTGCCAGCTCTGCCTAGCAGTGCGCCAGGAGAAGCGGCAGGGGCGAATGGCGCTGGGGCTGATGGTTTCGCTGCAGAGATTGTGCCAGAGGAGGACGCATTACAGGCTGCCATTACCGCTACGCGCTCGACGTCGATCCTACCGCCATCCTTCCTTAACCGACATAGCTCCAAGTCGGGGACGTCCGCTGGAGCGATTGCAAGCTTGCCTGATGACAATCTGGCAGCTGAGACGGAAACGATCGACGACGGTACTGCTCCCCGCAAACGCAAAGACCGCGACTTCACCGTCTCTGGCACTGGTACGGGCAGCGAGAGCAATGGCGAGGATGGCGGGGAGAGCGATGCCTTTAGCTCAGGAGGCGGAGACGAGCCAACGTCGAGAGGGATAGCCGAGGAGCCCAAAACCAAAGCCAGCGATCGTCCAGCAGACTTCCGCAAAGGCGACAAGAATGCAGCACTGGGCTCTCTCAAGCCTGCGACGGATATTGATGCCAACCTTCCTCTCCCACCGCGTGTATACACCGCTTGGAAAGAAGAACAAGATCGAGCAGTTGCCGAAGTCACAACCCGCAGGTATCAACCCCCGGACAAGACGACGCTCGCCGGCAGCTCTACCGTCTGTCGCTTCCTCGCTGCCAAGTGCCTCGTACGGCAAGGCAAGTTCGGCGAGGCCCTCGACCTAATCGGCGAAGAATCAGGACGTTGGAAAGGCGGCGGTCGCTACGGGTTCAGTGCTCCTTCCTCCGACGGGCTACTCAAGCTCGCCTCATCCGTCTGTCACCTACGCGGTCTCATTCACCTTCGGCTTGACGACCTCGCCCAAGCAAAGGAAGCCTTCATCGAAGCTCTGCAGCTCGATGTCAAGAACTACGATGCATTTGCTTGTCTGATCGATAATCATCTCGTAAGCGCAAAAGGAGAGGCTTGGAGCCTTTTGTCTAGCCTGCAATGGGAGGCACAAAGTGGTGGCGATTCCGAATCCTTCAACTTCATCCGCATGTGCTATGCCTCACGGCTAGGCAAAGAAGTTCACGAAGACGCCGTACGTGCCTCTGCCTCACGTCGTGCACTGTGGGACAATCATCCGACGCTGCGCAGCTCCCCCGACTTGCTCTTCGCCCTGGCTGAGGACCTGTACGCCCGACGACGGTACAAGGACGCCTTCGTCGTCACCTGTCGGATTCTCGAGCTGGACGCAGAGCATCAACACGCCATCGATCTTCATGTAGGCTCGATAGCCTCCTCTCCGCTCCTGCGAGAATCTGAGCGGCCACGCCTCTTCCTCCTCGCCAATCGGCTCGTGGACCGCCACCCAGAGCGGGCGAGCAGCTGGTATGCGGTAGGCGCATGGTATGTCATCAGCGAGAAATGGAGCGAGGCACGCCGTCACTTCAGCAAGGCTACCCTACTCAACCCGCGACATTTACCCAGCTGGCTGTCTTTTGCTCACTCCTTCTCCCTCGAGGGAGAGAGCGAACAAGCTGTGCTCGCCTACAGCTCAGTGGTGCGCAACTTCCCTGACGTGGCTCATGCGAAAGTCTGCGTCGGCAGCGAGCACTTCCGCATGGGCAATCTGCAGCTCGCCCGCCTTTTCTTCGACGGGGCGTGCAACGATGGCGGAGGAGAAGGGGACGAGGAGCGTGGCGTTCTCTGCTATTTGGAGGGGCGAACAGACGAAGCTATCGGTCACCTCGAGAGGGCACTGAGGGCCTCGCAAGCAATCAGCGAGCCGCAGCCCAGCTGGGGAACTGTGCAGCTGAACCTCGCATGGGCGTACCTCCGCGCCAATCGCAATGAGGAGGCGGCGCGTCTCTTCTCAAACGTCGTCAGCCTCGATGCGGGGGACGCAGCTGCTTGTCTTGGGATGGGGATGGTACGACATAAGCAGGGGGATCTTGCTGACGCTATCGGATGGTATCATGAGGCGCTGGGTATTGACCCTCGGCATGGCCAGGCGACGGATCTGCTGCAGTTTGCACTTGAAGAGTATGCCAAGCAGGCCATGCCGATGGCCAAGAGGAGAGGAACGGATAAGAGGTTGGGCTTCCCGCCTGAAGCTAGTCCCGCGATGGGTACTGATGACGGGCGAGGGGATGCTGCTTCACTGGGTCTTGGAACGGGTGTGGGAAGTCTGAGCCTGGACAGCAGGAGTCACTCGCTGCAGGGTGTGAGTGGAACCGTGGGGCAGGTCAGCCATAGTGGTGGGGATGGCGAAAGTGAGAGTGGGAGCCGGATGATGGAGGAGACGCGCATCACAGCGGGCAACGGGAGCGTTGAGCAGAGTATTGCGATGGATGAGAGTGGGTGACAATGCAATGCTAATGCCGTGATCGTCGGCGTGAGACCTCGAGGAGCCTTTCTGACGAGGGTGACGTGCAGGCGGACTGGCGGACTAGCGGATGACGGAGACGCCCGGCGATTGGAAAGCGCGCGGCAAGTTGACTCGGGGATGCAACTGTGATGCTAAATTCCCTTCTTCCTTTTCGTTATCCCACCATCATCCCTTCGTTGTCGTCGTCATCATGCTGACGCTTAGCTCGCCGGTGCTACCCTTGCTAGACGCACCAGACGTCAAGGCCGAGCTGCTCGCCGTCATTGGCCGAGCAGCTCCCCTTTTGATCCCATCATCACTCGTATCCAGCCTCTCAGCTGAGAAGCTTTCCCTCCTTTCTTCTTACCTCGTCCAGGCTGATGCTTCCATCTCCAGCAGCCAAGCTGCCGACTTACTCGATGGAGGAGCAGACGCGATCGTGCTCTCTGCAAACGATGCGTCCACCTTCCTCGATGGGGAGCAACCTCTGCTTCCTCTGGAAAGAGTCGTTCTCTCTCTTGACTCGACGACAGCCGCCTCGTTGCCTGCATACGCTGAGAAGGGACTCGCAGGCGTCATCGTCACTCTTCCGGAGGGAGTCGCCATCGAGAGCTCTCAGGCAGGCGACATCGTCGGATCCTTTGCTTCCGTCATGAAGACGAAGGACACTGGCAGGCCAGTCTATGTCGCTCAGCAGGGCGCCGCTGCCCCTACGCCCAAGACGAGCGACGCTGCTCGCCTCTTCTCGCTCCAATCCTCTCTCATCGTCCCCACTTCTCAGCTATCCCTCGACTCCTCCAGACTTGACTTCGTCGACGCCTTCCTCTCCCCCCTCCAATCAGATCGCAAAGATGGTCTTTTCCCCACCAATGTAGTAGCAGCCGCCCTCCTCACCTCTTTGGGTCTCGTCTACTCGTCTCGCGAGTCTCTGCGTGAGTCGCTCCTCACAGGCTCAGCCGTCTACCAGTCAAGAACGCGTGGCCTCTGGCGTAAGGGAGCCAGCAGCGGAGCCACGCAGGAGGTGGTGCGAATCAGGATGGACTGTGATGCCGATGCGCTTGAATTCAAGGTGCGACAGCGAAAGGGTACTACATCGGCTGCTCATGCGGGCTTCTGCCACCAGAGCACAAAGGAGAGCTGCTTTGGTCCCCTTGAAGGTCTGGCTAAGCTCGAGGCTACGCTCAAGTCGAGGAAGGAGTCAGCACCCAAGGGCAGCTACACGGCAAGGATCTTCAGCGATGAGGCGCTGCTTGCTGCCAAGATCAGGGAAGAGGCGACGGAGCTTGTAGACGCCAAAGACGAAGACAAGGAGCACGTTGCGTTTGAGGCGGCCGACTTGCTCTACTTTGCCCTCGCTCGTTGCGTCCGAGCGGGCGTATCGCTCGAGGATGTCGAGCGCAGCTTGGACGTCAAGGCGAAGAAGGTTACGAGGAGAAAAGGAGACGCAAAGCCGCAATTCACCACAGCGCCCGGCGCAGCTCAGAAGGCCGACGCGGCTGGAGCCAAGCCCGTAAATGGTACCACTGCAGCTGCGCCCCCTGCTGCCGTTGCTGCCTCTTCCGACCCGAACGCCCCCATCCTGATGCAGTCCTACATCTACGAGGACCTGTCAACCGAGCAGCGCGCCGCCTTGCTCAAGCGTCCAGCAATCAAGACTGAAGCAACCATGGAGCTCGTGCGCCCGATCCTCAAGTCGGTCAAGGAGCGGGGCGATGCAGCTGTGCTCGAGCTCACAGCCAAATTCGACCGTGCCCAGCTCACCTCAACCGTCCGCCGTGCACCGTATGCCACGCCAGATGTCATGGCAAAGATCAAGCCGGAGGTCAAGACGGCCATCGACCGTGCGTATGCGAACATCTACAAGTTCCACCACGCCCAGAAGGTCACGGGAGGGAACAAGCCCGCTTCCGCTGTCGGAGCTTCAGGCGTGGCTCCTGGAACGGGCGAAGGGGAGGATGATGCAGTACTCGAAGTCGAGACGATGCCCGGAGTAGTGTGCCGTCGCTTCGCCCGCCCGATCCAACGCGTAGGCCTCTACGTCCCCGGAGGCACGGCCGTGTTGCCCAGCACGGCCCTTATGCTCGGCATCCCGGCCCAAATCGCTGGATGCCCCACCATCGTCCTCGCCACTCCTCCACGTCCGGATGGCAGCATCGCCCCCGAAGTCCTCTACGTGGCGGACAAGGTTGGCGCGACTGCCCTCTTGTGCGCCGGAGGAGCGCAAGCTGTCGGCGCCATGGCGTACGGGACCGAGTCTTGCCCTAAAGTGGACAAGATCTTTGGGCCCGGCAACCAGTTCGTGACGGCTGCCAAGATGCTCGTACAGAACGATGTTGACGCCCTCGTCTCCATCGACATGCCCGCTGGACCTTCGGAGGTGCTCGTCATCGCAGACGAGCAATCGAACCCTGACTTCGTAGCTTCGGACCTCCTCTCTCAAGCGGAGCACGGCCCCGACTCGCAGGTCGTTCTGGTGGGGATCGCCCTCACCAAGGCGAAGTTGCAGGCCATCGAGGCCAGCCTCGACAAGCAGGCAAAGGCTCTCCCTCGCTGCGAGATCGTCCGCAGGGCAATCGAGAAGAGTGTGACCGTCGTCGTGCCCGACGCGGCCAAGGCGCTGGAGTGGAGCAACGCCTACGCTCCCGAGCACTTGATCCTGCAATGCTCTAATCCGGAGGTCATCGCAAAGGGTGTTTTGAACGCTGGATCCGTCTTTATCGGTCCCTGGACCCCGGAGAGTGTGGGTGACTATGCCAGTGGGTCTAACCACTCGCTCCCCACATTCGGCTACGCACGTCAGTTCAGTGGCGTGTCAACCGGCTCCTTCCAGAAGCACATCACTGCCCAGAGCCTCACGGAGGAGGGACTCAAGGGTCTCGGACCGCACGTTGTTGCGCTCGCTGAGTGTGAGGGACTGGAGGCGCACGCGGAGGCAGTGAGGATCAGGTTGGCTCAATTGAAGGGCGGCAAGTAGGAGAAATCGCTGGCTTCTCGTCACTCGTTCTCTATTGGCCTTGAATACATTGCTCTTTGCCCGTACCCCGTCGAGGGCGAGTTGTGCTGGAAAAGGAGTAAAGAGGACGTGAGATCTGACTCTTTGACTTGACTCTCTCGACCCGGCGACTTCCAAGAGGGGCGGGCGAGCGGGCAAGCGGGTTCGACGCCGTCCACCCTCCGGCTTTGTCTACACACCTCGTCTGAATCGCTCAAGCACGAAGTCGAATGGCGTGGATGGATTCGAGAGAGGTCCGTGCTCGTAGAGGCTGGGTGATTACGTAACGCCTCGGCTCTGCTTGGCGCGTCCGTCCGTCCGTCCGTGGGTCGCTGTGTCGGCTCTGCGATCACTTTTGTCCTGTTGTCGACTTCTCCTCTCGCTCTGCTCTCAACCCTCAAGTTGTCCACTTGTCTCCCTCCGCTTGCCGCTTACCATGCAAGTAGACTCATCCCCACTCATCCCTTCCTCCCCACCAGACACGGGCGATGCCTCCGTAGGGCTCGATCCGTGGGCAGATGTGGATCACCGTGTTGAGGGTAGACGTTGGTTGCCGGAGATGCATCTAAGCAGCAGAAATTTACAGACGACGACGAGAGAGGCGAATGCCAGTGAATCTAGACGTGGTAAGAGGAGGAGGCGTAGCCAGAGGAGCACAAGGATGGAGACGGATGATGTGGACAGCTTGCCGCCTTCCTCGGACTCAGAGGTCTCCACGACTTCATCATCGTCATCGTCGTCCTCTCACGCGGCCAAGAAGCCCTCTTCAAGCTTCAAATCGCGTCCACCCACGGGCTCCCTCAGCCTTTCCATCTTCAGCCCCAACATCTCTTTCCGTCGGCGCATGTCTCTCCTCGCCTCGAGCCTGGCAGTGAATGCTTGCCTACCCTTTGTCAACGGCATCATGTTAGGAACAGGAGAGATTGTTGCGAGGGCCGTACTTGTGCCGACGTTGCTGATAGGATGGAGCTGGATTAGGCAGAGGGGACAAAAAGTCTAGAAGAGAAAGTCATGATGGTCTTGTCTATCAAGAGCGTATGGAGATGAAGCACGACTATTACAGGTCAACCTTCCACCCCACGGATCCACCAACCCAGCGTCGCTTAACCTTCATCGGCGGCAATTCCCAACCAACACCGCCCCCTGCCCGCTCGCTCGCATCACACGCCGGGCCTGTCCCATACGTAGGCGTCACAGCCACGTCGTGCTCCGTCAACGACGCCGAGCCCGCCGTAGCCGAAAGGAGACTCCCATCAAGCGCCACAGGCTTAGAGAAGGAGCACAAGTCCTTCCCCAGCTTGGCGATCCAGCTCGGGTTGATCTTGGTCAAGCCTCGGAGGTATAGACGGCCGGGTTGGTCTTCTTCCTCGTCCCCCTCCTCTTCGGCACCCCCCGCCTCGGCATCGCCCTTCTTGCTGCGCCGCTTCTTGGGCTGCGATCTCGTCACCTCACTGAACACGCACCATTCCGGCGGGTTGTGCTCATAGAGGGCCGAAGAAGGATGAACGTAGACGGCCTCACCTGCAACGCCCGCAGCCAAGTAGGGCACCCAGCGACAGGTCCTCGCCTTGCTGAGCTTGCTGAGCCTACCCTCGGCTGCCTCCAACGCCAACGCTGGAATGTTCTTGGCCGCCTCGACTGCAAGATCGGCGCGTACGGCTACCTGGTCGATGTAGGCGCAGGCGATGAGCTGGCGAAGCACTTTGTACTGCGTATCGCTTGGTGGCGGCAGGGAGGAGCTATTCAGAGTCCGGGAGAGGACGTCCGTTTCGCGGGTGGAGTCGAGGGTCGAAAGAACGAGGGAGGAAAGCTGATTGCGCAGCTGAGTGAGCTCGTCGATTGCCTAATGGAGCGCACGAAGAGGGATGTGGGAGCGTCAGCAAATCACGAATACCCAGATCATCACTTCTTCGCCACTATCGTGACTCACCTTGGGTCGAACAAAGTTTTCCTCGCAGAAATCAGCGCTTCCCTCCTTGCCTGCGTAGGCGTGGGCGCCTACCACGGCCAGGACTCGGAAAGCATCACTGATCCCGTGACCGCCCAACGAGTCGAAGCGCTCCAGCGCAGCGAAGCGACGGCGTCTCGTCTCCTTGCGAGCATCCTTCTCTGCCGCTGTCGTCTTCGTCTGTCCCTCCGGGTCCTCATCATCCTCTTCTCCTGCATGCAACCCTTCATCCCTTACAAAGAGCTCCCCGACCGTCAGGGCCGCCACAAGAGCCACGACGTAGGGCAAACAGCCATGTTGCTGTCCCTGCACAAGCAATTTCGCATACCTCGGGCTCAGCGGGAAGAGGCTCATCGTCCTTCCCAGCTCTGTGATCTTCGCCACTTGCCTGCGAGTCTTGGTGTCTGTCTCCAGCTTGAGCGCCCCCAGCCTGACCAGCACCCTCTCCGCTCGTGCAATTGCCTGTCGATCTGGAGGGGTAGGGAAGGGGAAGTGGACTACATTGTCGATATTCATCGCCTTCATGCTCAGAACCAGCCCTTCGACTGGTGTACGGCGGATCTCGGGCTCGGCGAACTCGGGAAGGTACTCCTCGTAGACGTTTGACGAGTAGAGCCTATACGCATGCCCAGGCCCAGTACGACCGGCACGACCGGCACGCTGAGCGGCGGAAGCCTTGGAGATCCAGTCAACTTTGAAGCTGGATATACCCGAAGGGGAGCTAGCATCGTACTTGCGCTCTTTGGCGCGACCGCAGTCGACCACGTAGCGGATGTTGGGGATGGTCAGGGATGTCTCGGCCACATTCGTGGCTACGACGACCAGTCGGGAGTCTGCGGGTGGGGGTTGGAATACTTGCAGTTGCTTTTGGGAGGAAAGGAGAGAGTAGAGCGGCAGGATGTGCATGGGCGGAGCAGATGAGGAGCGGGCGTCGATGGGCGTATCGTCATCGCCGGCATCGGAGGCAGCATCGGCTTCATCGTCCGTGTCGAGAGCTTCGGCGTCCTGCTCGTCCTTGTCGGACGCGTCTGGTAGATCGTCCTGCTGAGCAGTATCGTCGTCGTCTGCGCCAAGCGTGATGTCCTCGGCCTCGAGGCCCTCCTTGTCTGCAGTCTTGCCCACCTTGGGGTCTTCATCGTCACCAGCGCCAATCCTCTTGTCCTTCCTTTGCCTGCCATACTTAGTCTCCAGCCTTTGGACGACCGTCCTGATTTCTTGCTCCCCGGTCATGAAAATCAGAATACCACCCGATGGCAATCGCGTATGGATCTTGCCAGCCTTCTTGACCGCCTCCTCGATGTAGTCATGCGGCGTCCTGCGATTGAAGTGCACTGTGACCGGGTGCTGTCTAGCCTCGATCTTGAGCAGTGGAGGCGGCTTAGGGAAGAGAGTTGGATTCTCTACGAAGTCTGCGACACGCAGCGTTGCGCTCATGATCACGAGGCGCAGCGGCTTGGTGGCGTTTGCCCCTCCTTCGATCCAACGCTTTGCCCTGAGCCTCACGATGCGGCTGAGCGCGCCGATTAGAACGTCGGTGTTGACACTCCGCTCGTGCGCCTCATCCACGATGACGACGCTATATCTACTTAGCAACAGATCGGCGGCCAGCTCGCGTAGCAGAACACCGTCCGTCATGAACTTGAGGCTCGTCTCGGGCGAGACGGTCGCGTCGAAGCGCACTTGGTGAGAAACACGGTCGGTGCTCAGGTTGAGCTCCTCTGCCACTCGGCGGGCGGTGGAGACCGCAGCGACTCGGCGTGGCTGGGTGATGCCGACGAGGCCTGGATTGTCGGACCCGGGCGTACCAAAGCCACGCTCGTAGAGCATTTGAGCTACTTGCGTCGTCTTGCCGCTTCCTGTCTCACCGCAGATGACCGTCACCTCGTTCTCGAGGATCGTCTTGACTACACGCTCCTCTTCTTGCACCACAGGCAGGCGTAAGCGAGTTTCGATGATCTCCTGTGATCGATCGACCGGCACATTACGTAGTGCCTTCGTGGAGGAAACCTCGTCATAGTACTTGGCCGCAAAGGCAGACAGAGAGGCAGGTGTCGCCTCGTCCTCTCCGAGAGGCCCGCGGGCAACGCCGTCTTGAGGTCCCATGTCGGAGACTTTGACGCTAAGCCCAGCGACGGGCTCAAGGGGACGACCGTCCTCTGCGCGTGCTCCTTGGTCGTCGTTGCCAAATCCGAGAGCAGAGCGTGCCCAGTCCTTGAACCCGGAGCTGCGCTCAGTGCGTGGGATGCCACGACGGCGTGAGGCTTCGTTCTCTGTGGCATCTGGGTCATCTGAGTCGTCTTCATCTGAGTCGTCGTCGTCGCCGTCGTCGTCGTGGTCCTCATCTTGCTCTTCATCTCTGTGCTCCATGACATTGCCGTCTTCACCTGACGATATGCCTTCTTCATCCTCATCGCCAGCTTCGGCCTCCGATCCAAATCCTTCCCACGGCAAGCTCTCAGCAACAGATTGTGCATCCTCCTCCAGAGCAGGTTGGGGCTCCTCAGCCAAGCGTAGCTCGAAGCTGGCTTCACGAGACTCGTCTCCTTGAGGTGAGACCTCCTCCACCTCCTCATCGCCATCGCTTTCGCTGCTGTCGTCCCCCTCATCCTCGCTGGGTAGCGCAAGACCTCTGCGCCGCATAGCCTCGAGGAGCACGACTTCCTCCTCGCTGTCGGTGTCGCGTTGCGAGTCGTCGACCTCATTTTCGGAGCCTTCACCATCTTCATCGTCATCCTCGCTTTCGTCAGGTATACCACGCAGACGCATAGCTTCACGGAGGACGACTTCTCCCTCGCTGTCTGTGTCCTCCTCGTCGTCGTCGTCATCTTCGCTTTCGGCAGGCATGCCGCGTAGACGCATGGCTTCTCGAAGGATGACTTCGCCTTCGCTGTCTGTATCTTCCTCGTCTTCATCTGCACCACTCTCGGCATCGTCGGCGGCGGGTGGTTGCTTGACTGCTTTGTCAGCAGCGCTCTTGTCTTCGTCGTCCGACTCCTCGATGTCTTCATCCTCGTCATCATCTCCAGAGCTTGCCGAGCTATCGAAGTCGCTCTGATCCTCAGCCTCCTTCGCCTCCCGTTCCGCCTGCTCCCTCAATCTCTTCCTCTCCCTCTGACTAGGCCCCTTACGCTTCCTCGTGCGCATGACTGGTGCCAACGGCTCTCCATCCGGCCCTCTAGCCAGGGCCGAGCCGAGGCCAATGGTCCCAGGAGCTAGTGCTGAGCCCGTTGCGACGGGCTTGTTATGGGAAGAGGAGGAAGGCGCAAAGAGAGCGGCAGCTTCGAGGATTCGTTGCCTTCGCTCAGGGTCGTCCAGGACTTCGCCGGTGGGGCGTTCGTCATGTTCTTGCTGCTGAATAGGCGGAGGACGAAGCACTGTCTGACCCTCGAAGTCTTCCTCGTCCTCATCTTGACTATCATCATCCTCGTCATAACCTGGATCGCGTTGCATGCCCTGCAGCAATTGCCTGGCCGACTTGCCCTTGCCAGTTCCCAACGTCCTCGTACTGACAAGATCCTGTCTGCCCTCTCGTACTTGAGCAGAGCTTTGTGCGAGCTCCTCGAGTAGGTCTGCCCTTGCCTCCTTCTTGAGCCGCGAAGCGATGTAGGCGTCGAGTCGCTTGCGCTTCTTTGAGGTGAGACGCTGTGATGGGTCTGATTGAGAGGCGGCGAGGAGCTGCGAAATGGCAAGTAGATAGCAGTCAGCATCAGCGAAGGCTCACTGTCCTCGTACCGCAGGCTTGAGCCGTGCTCACCTCTCTCCTCTTTGCCTCCTTTTCCCTCCATTCTTGATCTTCTGCGCTCGTGGGATCGATGACTTCTCGATTGCTATCCGGCTGCCCCGGTGTCGCTTTAGAGTGTGCATTACCGCTGCGGCGTCGCTTCTTGTGTGATGAGCCGCCTGCGACTGATTGACGGGCTTTGGCGTTGTATCGCTCCTTTACTGGTGGGCCTGCCATGTCGAGTGTCGTGGTGAGAAGCAAAGTAGTGACAAGGTGCGAGGCTATGGTGCCTTCAAAATTTTGGCGCAGTCAGTCGACACCGAGGGCTGCTTCCGTTGAACCTTGTGAGGTGCGACTCGGACGCACAGGCGTCAATCCTCATCCATCACACGATCCTCGACCCCTCAACAGCGAGTAGCCAATCAGCCGCTTCATGACGCCCGCATGAATGATCATGATGATACAGAGTCATCCTCGTCGACACCACATCAGGTGAAAGATGAGCGCACACCTCCAACGGTTCCACCACCACCACCCCTCGACGAAGATGGTGACGTCTCCATCGTCAGCTCCTTCGAGGACGACGATGCTCAATTTACAAAGACATCCGAGTCGCTGTCTCCCTTGAAGCTCAAGAAGAACAGCAGCCTGAGGAGAGAGAACCGTAGGCATCACGCTACTACTCCTGGTAGCTCGTCAGCCTTGAATGGTGAGCATGACTGCTCCGGGCTGAGACAGTCTCAACACGCATTCTCACTCCTCCTGCCTCCGACGTCACAGCGCGCTCAAACCGAAAGAACAGAGGCCACCCTCTGATGAGACAGCTCTCGTCCCCAGGATGCATCTCGTACGATTCGATGCTCAGCGGCAGCCCAAATCGTACTGGTGCATCCAGCTCCATCTCGCCATCATTGGCCGCTCCTCAAGCCTTGCGTCCGCCTACAATTACGGCGGATGACGAGCCATCGAGCCCATCGGCGCCCCTGGAGAGAACACCACAGGCCAGCAACACTCCTTTGCCAGTCGATGTGCCCGCCTCTGCGCCACCAAAGGTCCTTCACGATCTGACCAGGGCTAACGGCACGCTTCCTCCCGATTCGAGGGCGCAGCTGTCCGCGACGCTGGCTGAATGGCGCAAGAGTCTTGCAATCGACGACCAGATTGCCAACATCTCCGCGGGAAGGAGAGCTTCAGCGAGTCAGGTGCGAGACAAGTCTACGACGAACAAGGCGCTCGCGAAGCTCGGCCCGCCGATGGTAGCAGCCAACAAGTCTAAGTCGCCTAGCAAGCCCGCAGCGTCTGCTACGCCAGCTCCTGTCGGTGCTGCAAGTCGCCCACCGGCCAAGCCTCGAGCAGAAACAGTCACCGTCGAGCCTGCATCCCTCGGCCCCTTCTCACTGTGGGAGTACCTCAAGGAGGAGGTGCTGGCGACCGACTTTGATAGCACGCAGGAGATGAAGTGGGAGCGGGTCACCAACTTCGTCGCTGTCCCTTGGTGGGTCGAGAAGGTCAGTCGACGCAGCTGAACGTTCGAATCGTACTGCAACCCTACTGACACCGATGTCGCCCCTTCCACAGATCATCATCTTCGGCTTCGTCGTCTGCCTGGACTCCTTCCTCTATACCTTCACCATCCTTCCACTCCGGTTCCTGGTAGCTGTCACCCTCGGTGTACGTAATCTCTTCAGCAACCTGACTTCCTCATCCCCAAAGCGCTTCTTGCACTCCTCGCACAAATGCGATATCCTCAAGATGGCCCTTGTCGTCTTGAGCTGCTTCATCCTCAGCCGCATAACCGACGCCTCCAAAATGTACCACTCGGTCCGCGGCCAGGACGTCGTGAAACTCTACGTCATCTTCAATGTCATGGAAATCTTCGACCGCCTTTGCTGTTCGCTCGGTCAAGATCTCCTCGACGCCCTCTTCAGTCGCATGACCCTGGGAAGACGAAACGACGGCTCTCAGCCCGTAGCGCGTCCTTTCGGCTTCTTCCTACTCGCCCTCTTCTACATCCAGGCACACACTCTCGTCCTCTTCTACCAACTCGTCACGCTCAATGTCGCCATCAACTCTTACGACAATGCGTTGCTCACACTGCTCTTGTCGAACCAATTCGTCGAAATCAAGGGAAGCGTCTTCAAGAAGTTTGAAAAGGAGAACCTCTTCCAACTCACCTGCGCGGATATCGTTGAGCGCTTCCAGCTCACCCTAATCCTCACAGCCATCGGGCTGCGCAACCTGATCGAAGTCAGCGGCGGCGGCACCAATGGCAACGGCAGCGGCGGTAGCCCCGGGGAAGTACCGCTCCCTCGCTCCTTTACGGTATTCCCCAGCATTTCATTGCTAGAGACAAGCTTCGCCCCCGTGGCTATCGTGCTTGCATCAGAGTGCCTGGTTGATTGGCTGAAGCATGCTTTCATCACCAAATTCAATCATATCCGGCCAAGCGTCTATGGGAGGTTCATGGATGTGCTTTGCAGGGATCTCGTGGTGGCAGGACCGGCCGATTCCAGCTCGGAGGCAGCCTCAGCGGGTGGCGGCACAAAGCGTCGCCATACTTTCGTCGATCAAAGCCCGATTGTCAGCCGCAGGCTAGGATTTGCAGCTCTGCCACTTGCATGCCTCTTAGTGAGGATATCGGCGCAGATATGGGGCATGCTGGCCGACGACTCGCATTATGACGAATGCGCGGCACCCTCCATGAGCAATAGCGGTGGCGGCGTTCGCTCAGGCTCTGGGTCTGTGCTAGGCTTCCTAATGTCCCTGGCTCACCAGCTCATTGGCGGCCTCGGCGTCAGCGAAGATCCACCACGCTGGATGGATGGCCTCGTGGATAAGGCTGTTCAGACTCTCGCATGGAGTCTCACGGCTCTAGGTGTCTGGGTCTCTCTCGTGGTCATCAAGCTCATCTTGGGCTCGATGTTGGTCAGCTTTGCCTCGTATCGGTACAGAACTATGCTCGCGAGAGAGAAGGAAGAGGAGCTCAATGCGCGCGATAGACCTGCTATCGGGGTTGGCAGTGGGGAGAGGGAGTATGAGGCGAAGGTGAGGGAGATGGTCAGGGATGATGGTGGGGGAGCGAGCGCAGGCGGTGGTGGGAAGAAGCCGGGAGGAGGCGGTGGGTCGAGTTTGATGGATATTCGGCGCTATGATATGGTCAAGAGCAGGCTGTGGTAGCGCAGAGACAGCGCATCGCCTGCAATTTGGACCTCGTAGCATTCTTTTTACCAGTGTGATTCTCATGGCCATCATTCATTGGCACAGCTTCTGGTGCCGCACAGCGTCGTCATCGGAGCAAAACTCGCCCCCGCCTCCTGCATCTGGCTCTCGTCTCGAAATCGGTTGAATTTGGCAGGCAGTGGCTGCCCGCTCCCCTCGTTGCTGCGTTTGGCTGGCTGCTGCTCTCGTTCCGACGCTGCGACGACGGGTTTGCCTTGCGGGCCGGCGCGACGCACGACGCCCACAAGACAACGACGAAACGCATCGACTCGACTCGACTGAATGCCACACTTGACCTTAAGCCGCCGCTGTCTCTGTCCGTTCGATCCACTCATCTCATCTCAGACAGACAGAAAAACGACACCTGCCAGCTAGCTAGACAGCCAGCCAGCTCAGAAAGTCGCAGTATCAGCGGCTGGTGTGTGGAGCAACAAAGGAACACAAGAGAGTGCAGCTCGCTGCTTCTCTCGTCGCTGCTGCCGCCTCGCCATCGCTGCCACGATTTTGGGGGATTGGTGATCAGGCGTGGTGGCTTATGACGTCCGCGTCTTCGTCATCATAGCTTTCTCCACCACCCCTCGCACCCCAGTTACACACGTCTGTGCGCCAGCCTGTCCGCAATGGAGGACATCTCAGCCGACGATGATCTCCTGGGCGACATGCTCCTCGACTCGCTCGAGTTCGATCCGCCGATCTCGACGCACAAGATGAACTATACGTACCGCTCGCCCCGTTTCGACACGTCGGCCGTCATCAACTTGGTTCGAAATCGCGTCGTCATTGAGAAGGATGTCGGCAAGGCCCTCGAAGAGCTGTGCGAGATGCCGGTGATCCGCAAGCATCTTCAAAAGAAGACGGAGCGACAACGGCAGACCTTCCATACGCACGCAAGGCGCTATTTGGAGGCATACATGCCCGATGCGGGCTTCGAATTTGCCCTCACCTATCGCTACCAACGCTCTCTGACGCCGGTGGCTTCCTCACTGCCCGACGGCTCCTCCGTAGCTGAGAGCTCAGCAGCTGGAGCGGCTCATGCACAAGCAGCAGCAGCTGCTGCTTCTGCAAACGCAGCGCCAAAGACGAAGCCGCGAAGATCAGGTGGCAACGATGCCTCGCGAGGCTCAGCAGCAAGCAACGCCAAAGCAGACATCTGCGTCATTGCTGTGCGCAACTTCAAACCTGGAGAGTACATCATGTGCAAGGGAGGCCTTACCGACTTGACAAAGACTGAAGATGAGGCTCTACGCAACGAAGCGGCCGCATCACGACAGGCGACAGCTACTCAACCATACGGAGGTGTCTTGGGACAAGGCCGCGACTTCAGCATCATCAAGAGCAGTGCGCGCAACTGCTCGCAGCTCCTGCTTGGCCCGGCCCGCTTTGTCAATCACGACTGTGATCCATCGGTTGAGTTCTCACGGAATGGTCACACCATGAAGTTCAAGGTGCTCAGACCGATCGCTATCAATGAGGAGATTCTCGTGGGTTATGGCGAGCATTACTTTGGCTGGCAGAACGGGGAGTGCCTGTGCGCCACTTGCGAGTCGAAGGGGAGAGGAGCCTTTGCGCGCGAGGGAATACAAACCATGCAGGAGAAGGAAGAGCAGAGCGCTGCAGTCAAGGCGACTATGTTCGAGGGCGAGGTCAATCATGACAGCGCAGCCGGCGGAGGTGAAGCCTCCTCATCCACTCCTCGTCGCTCTCTGTCACAGCGCATCAAGACGCGCAGAGACTCGCCGCCACAGGCGAATGCCAACGGCAATGGCGTAGCGACTCCTTCATCGACATCAGCATCAGAAGAGTACGCAAATCGTGCTTCATCCCGCTCTTCAAGCCGCAGTATCCTCAACTCCGTCGTTCCTTCAGATCGTGAGCTTGTCGACCCTCTTGAAGCGCGGGGACCAAAATGTCAATGCCTGACGTGTGGCGCCCCCTTCTTCGCGCCGGAGACGTGGTGGCTGCCCGACGAGTGCAGCCGCTGCGAGCGACATTATCGGATCTTCAAGGCAGACTGGCCTGGCCGGACGCCGACTGAAGGGGCATTTGCGGCGAAGAGTCAGCAGGTCGCGAAGCAGAAGGCTGCTGTCGCGAGTGTGGCTGAGGCTGCACAGAAGGTGAAGACGAACGGGCATGCGGCTGGTGGAGCAACTGGGAAGGGCAAAAGCAAGGATGCTCATGCGGGAGCTTCTGCTAAAGCGAAGGGAGGGCGACTATCGGGTGGCACTTCTCAGCAGGCAAATGCCTCCCCAGCGCCAGTCTCGTCTGCGGCTAGCACCACGAGCCTGTCCTCTGCAGCGGAATCGTCTGGCTCGGGCACCACGCCTATCCGGCTCAGTCCCCTGCGAACTTTCGAAGAGAAAGAGGACCCCACGCCCACTAAGAGCAAGGCCAGAACCTCGACTATCTCAGCAGCGGCAGCGAAGCCAATCGCACGCAAGCCAAGCAAGCCTGTCCCGCCCGCAAGTGATTCCGGCTCGTCGGACCTGACTGACCAATCCGCTCCAACTCGCACGTCTGTTAATGGAGAAAGCACAGATGACAGCAGCGGCAGTAGCAGCGACACGCCGTGTGGCCCAAAGATGCTGGGCAAGCTTGCAAAGACGGAAGCCCTGGCGCACCATTGGGGTGTTGCGGAGGGCGAGGAAGGGAGGAGAAATAGGAAGCCGAGCGTCAATGGGCCCGTGAGCTTGGCGAGCAAGGCTGCATTGAAAGCTGGGTCGGGGCAGAGAAGACGCTCGTCAGGTAGTGCAGCGGGTAGTGGCAATGGCAGCGGGAGTGGGCTGCATCACTCTCATGGCCACCGAAGGACGGCGAGTAGGACGAGCGTCTTCTTCCCGGATAGTGACGATGAGGATGAGGAAGATGAGAGCGCCGTTGCTGATGTAGTAGGGGAGGATCGCAAGCGCAAGAGGCCTCATGCCAAGACCAGCGAGGCTTCATCGGTGTCGAGGCGACTGAGCACAGGGAGAAGTACAGGCAGCGCGGATAGCGGCAGTACAGCTCAGCAGCAGCAGCTGTCCCGCAGAAAGCCAGCAGCCGTGCTCAGCGATGATGCCAAGAGTCCCGTCCCAGCCAAACCAGCAGGCAAGGATCTCTTGGGCCCATCATCAGCTATCAAGGCGGCGACGCCCCCAACTTCGGCAGCCATGCCCTCCGCCTCTGCCTCTCCAGCTCCCCTTGCAGCTCCCTCTGCACCCTCTCCGTCATCCGCATCGGCCCCGGCCTCCGCACCACACGTCCTAGCAACGCACGGCCCCGAGCGGACCTCCATCAAGAATCTTGCGGCACATTGGTCCGCGGGGATAGACGGGGGTAGTCGCACCCGCAGGCAGGCACAGCGCGAGCCGGCGACGGTCATTGCTTCTCCTGCAATTCAGCGCAGTGTCAGTGGTGGGGAGAGGCGCTCCAATTCTCCGCAGCCAGCGGGTACGGGGAGGAGAAAGAGGGCGAGAGGGTCGGAAGAGGGGATCGCTGCAGAGAGGCGTGGGAGCGCGGGAGGGATGGTCGATGAGAACGGAAGCTCCGTGCCACCTTCCCCAACGGGCGATGCCGCATCCAGGCCATCATCTGCAGGTCCAAGCGGGAACGAAGCGTCCACCTCTATCAAGCGACTCAAGAGTGTTTCGCGCCTCTCTGGCGGCGCTGGTGGATCAGGCTCAGCCACCGCGACAGGGTCGGACGACGAGGGGGGACGTACGCGGAGCCCGCTCGTTGTGGAAGCTGCACTGGGCGGTCTTCCCATTCGGCCATTGAAGACCACTTCCACTAATGCTACAGCCTCGCCTAGCGGTGCTAGTGGCGTAGCACCGGGCAGCAGCAGCACGCTTGTCGATACTAACTCCCCCCGCTGGCCAGGTGTATTGCCGAGCTCGAGCAACGGGACGGGGTCCAGTCCCGTGCCGAGTGGAGGAGCATCGCCCACCGGCCGCGTCTATCAAGGCATCCCAGGGCGCAAAAACCTGCGCATTGGAAGGCCAGGGAGCGTCAGTCGGCCGATCAAACCGCCCACTGCTCCTGGGACCGGTTCGCTCGCCGCAGGTGCTGGACCGTCAGCTCTGTCTGCTCCACAGGGCGGAGATCTCAACGCTCCAGCATCTGGCTCGGTGAGCGCGTCGGACGCAGGAGCTAGAGCTACACCTCCTACTACGACTCTCCCACCTGACCTTGCTGCGGCTGCAGGCGTATCGCCGAAGCAGGCTTGCCCTATCGTCCCATCGTCGGGCACCGCTGTAGCCTCGTCGCCATCATCGCAACAAGTCAAGGCCGAGAACAATCCCTCTGCTCAGACTGTCGATCAAGTCATGGAGCAAGCTGGTCCACCTCAGCAGGGAGTGACCGCTACTGAGAGGGTGAAGAAGGAGGAGAGCTAGGCTTGCTCGAGCGAACGACGGTGGTCTAGGAATCTGTCACCGCCTCAGAGCCGAGCAGTCACCTCTGCAACTGTTGACCCGGCTGTCACTGAGGGCGAATCGAATGTCACGTAGCGGTCCACTCATCCATCGCCAGAGCTGAGGCGTCAACTAATCAATCAAGCACAAGTCATCTCGTTGGTTCACTCGTCGTCTCGATTGCGATGGTGATGATCGTCATTGCGCCCAGTCGCAGCGTGATGAGAAAACGTACGATGCAAGGTCCGTCCGACCAATGGAGATAGGAAGAGTGGTGAGAATGCCAGAGAGAACGCTGACGCTGTCTTCTGGCTTTTGTGCTATGCTATGAAAAGTTCCCTTCTACTTGCCAACAACGGCCGCCTTCCCCTTGCCCTTCCTGTTCCCGCCGGCACCGGCACCCCCACTGCCTGAGATGTAGCGCACCAACTCATCGACGCTCAAAGAAGGGTCGACTGCGGTGCGGCCGCTCTTCTTCGACGAGGATGCGGACGCACTGGCAGCCGTGGAGGTCTGACCCTTCGCACCAGCCTGAGCAGCTGCGGCCGCCGCCGCCGCAAGGGCTCCGCCAGCGCCAAGACGCTTCGCCCCGCCCGCAGCAGCGATCTGAGCCTCCCTGATCTTCTGGCTTTGCTCCATCTTTGCAGCTCGTACGGCCGCCGCTGCCAGTCGGCCGAGGAAGACGTCCGCCTCCTTGGTGTGGGCATGATCTTTGCCCAGTACAGCTTCGAAGACGCGCACGCTCTCCTTGAGTGTCTCGAGTGCGGCACGAAGCTCGCCGACAAGGCTCTGCGCTTGACAAAGTTCGAATGCCACGTTTGCCGTAACGAGCGCATCTGGACCAAAGAGCTCGAGGGCAAGGTTGTGTGCGCTTGTGAAGACCTGCAACGAGTCGTCGAAGCGCCTCGCCGCTTGCAAGGTGGTGGCCAAGTTGGAGAGGGCGGAAACGTTGTCCGGGTGCTTTGCTCCCAGCACAATGTCCTGCAGCTGCATTACCCTACGCTCACAGCGGAGCGAAGCCTCGTGATTCCCCTCTGCGCGCTCGAGGATCGCAAGAGAGGACCACTGGGCAAGCGTCTCTGCGTGGTCGAGGCCGAGGGCGCGCTCAGAGATGGTGACCGCCTGTCTCTGGTAGCGCAGTGCGGTTGCGCCACTGAGGTGCTCAGCGTAGGCAGACATCTCGACTTGCACGTCTTCTTTGCCTTGCTTCTCTTGCTCCTCACGGATCTTGGCCGCCGTCTCTGCGTTGATGAGCGTGGAGAGCTGGTGGACAATGGCCGCAAAGAGGGCATAGCAACGTGCCGTCTCTGGGTGGGCCATGCCGTAGATCGTCTCGTGGAAGGAGATGCCCTCGAGCAGCAGGTCCACCCCAAGCTCACGTTCGCCGCGAGACATCATGGTGATACGGCCCGTCTCGAAAGCGTCTTCTGCTACCTTTGATGTGGGGGCAGAGTCTTTGACGATGGGGAGGAGGTTGAGAACGTCTTCCGGTGAGAAGGTGGTGCTCTGCGTGCGAGCCGCAGCGCTGACCTCGTCGATACCGGCCACCTTTTTGCCACCCTTCTTCTTCTTGTTGCCGACGGAAACGCTCGTAGCAGCTTTATTGCTAGTAGCAGGAGGGGTGGCAGGTCGAGCCGAATCGCTATCAGTCGAATGATGCCCGTTCGCTTGACCGGCGGCAATAGCGTCGAAAGCGTACTCCTGCAACTTAAGCTGGATGCCACTTCTAATCGAGACTTCACGGAGAAGTTGCGGCTTCCTTGCACTTCCCGAAGTCAAGTAGTCGGAAGGAAGCTGGAAGCGGTATCTTCGTCGCACCTCAAAGTCGACCTTCTCCTGCAGTGAAGCAGGAGTGAGCTTAGCCCAGGCAGGCTCCTCTGGTGACTCGTCGAAGGGCGAAGGGGTCCACTCGGCGTGCGGTGCCGACTCCCTTGCAGCGCCAAGGAGACAGTTCAGGAAGTGTGAGACGCACGCCGTCAGGTCCACAGGGGAGGCGGTGCGGAGCAGGTTATTGAGAATCTTCTTGGCAGCGCGGACTACCATCTCTTGGACGGCCACCTTGTGCAGAACACTGAGGAGAGCGGTCCATCCAGACCCGGTGCACTGCTTCAGGTGTGTCTGGTCCAGCCTGTCATGCTGCGCCGGTGCAGCCAGATGGGCAAGATGACCAAGGTAGCGCACATTGATACCACGAGCATGCATCTGGCGCGTGAGAGCTTGGCCATCGGATACGTTCGCCATCCCCGTCGCGATGTCCGTCACGAGGCGGGGGATAGCCGACTCGCGCAGGTAGCGCGAGGCTGCGCGTACTGCTGCCACCGAGGCGTCGGACTCGTCTGTGATCATGGGTGTGGGGGCGGCAGTCTCGTCCGTGGGGGGCTTGAACTTGACGAACGCGTCCGGGTTGAAGGATAGCTGGAAGGCAGAGCTGTCCAGAGGCTCCTCGGCCGCTTCAGCGTCTTCCTTCTTGTCTGCGCTCTCCTCACCCTTGGCGTCGCCATTCTCAATAGCCGACTTCTTTTCAATCCCCTCCTCGCTGGCCTTCTTCCTCTGAGCAAGCTGCTCGCGGGCCCACTTGCGGAACTCCGAGTCCCAATAGATCTCGATGAGCTCGGGGCGAAGGAGAGCAAGCTCGTGCGGATATCTGTCTCCCTTGGCATCACCCTCTCCGAGGAGCTTACCCTCCATGTCCTCCTCGAGCCACATGACATCGACGGGCGTGAGGCGAGCCACGTCTAGAGCGTATTTGCGGCCATCGGCCCCACGCAGTCCCTTGGAGTCAACACTGAGCCAAAGCTGGTGGTCCTTGCCCTGTGCATCCTTTACTGCGTGGCGCGAGAGGCGCAGCGATTTGGCTACTTGCTCGAAGACTTTGTCGAAGGCGGCATTCGTGCGGATGACCTCGGGACCCTCGACACCTCCGTAGATGACTTGGGTGTCCTCGGCCGGGCTGGGCTTGTCAGAGGGCAAGGCAGCGGCTTTGGGCTTCTCTGCAGCCGCTTCGGCTTCCTTAACCTCCTCGCCTTCCTTGGGCACAACCTCGTCCTCCTCCTTCTTGCGGAATAAGCCCGGAATGATACTTTGAGCAACCCAACGCTCACCATGCCAATCAACAATGACGGTGCCCAACAGGCAGAGCCCATCTGCATCGACTGTGTTGAGCATCCTCACCCCCTGCACATCCTTGCTGACCGCAACGTGCGCCGCCTCATCGCCGCCCAGGTAGGGGTAGATGTCTACCCCATCGACGCCACGGGAGATGAACAAGTTGTTGACACAGAACATCTGCGCCTCAGGCTTGTCCATAGGGTTGAGGGCTTGTACCTCACCTGCGGCCACCTTGGGGACTGCACTTGCCGCCGACTTGGCGAAGTCTGAGAAGAGACGTCCAAGTGCGCGCTCCCTTACATGTCTCTCAGCGAGAGTGGAGCGGGGCAGCTCACGCGCTGCTTGGATCTCCTCATTCCAGTCGCGCGTACCCTCGAGGGAGTCGACGCCCATTGTTCCCGTCAGAAGGTAGGCCGTCTGCGGTCGCAACGGGTCGGCTGTGTGTGAATGATTGTTGGCCAGCCAAGGAGCCGCAGCGATGCAGTTGGTCATGGGGAGGACCGCGAAGAAGTCTCTTGCTGACAGAGGGTCGCTGAAAATTTTGGCAAAGTTGTTGAGGAAAAGAGGAGAGAAGCCACAGAGGAGGTCAAAGAGTGAGTTGCTGAGGTAAGCTTCGCTCTTGGGGCGTGGGGCAGGGTCGAAGCGTGAAGAGGTCGACTTGTTGATGTAGAAGCCGTTGACAGAGGCAGTGAGGTGGACTGTCTCGCCCTCGAGAGTGGTGATCTGGAGATAGAGGAGGTGGCCACGAGCGCGCAGAGGCTGAGGCGGCGGGTTCCACGCAGAGAGGGAAATGCTTCGCAGGCAAGTCGGGGAGAAGCGAGCTGATCGTGCCTGGGGAGGAATAAGTTGCGTTGCGTTGCTGTCAGGCCAGCCGTTCCACTTCTCGAAAGGCACCTTGGCAGCTTCCTCTGCCAAGTCGACGGGGGCTTTCTTGCTTCCCTTAGCCTTGTTGTTGGCCGCAGCCTGGGCAGCTGCGAATCCTACTGCTTCCTTTGTCCACTCCTCGGGGTGGCGTACCGCATCATGAACTGAGAGACCGGCATCGATGGCGGCGTTGATGGGATCCTGAGGTCCGCCTTGAAGAAGGTCACGCAGCCTCTGGATATGATTGCGAGCCTCTGCCTCGTTCAAGGGCGCATAGGCAATGGACAACTCACGCTCTCCCTTGGGCACACCATCGAAGATGTCCTTGAGCTCCACCCATTCGCCGACTCGCTCCGACTTAGCCACAGCCCCATTAGCTTGGCCAGCCTTAGCTGCCGGACGCTTGAAGCAGTACGAACCGAGCCAGTATCCCTCTGGACTGTCTGCCAATGTGATGCGAATGTCGTTGAGCGTCTCCGAGGGCTGCACAGCGAGCTTGAGGGGCGAGGGGGTGGCTGGCAAGCCGAGCGAGGTGGCCGTTGCTGGGACCAGGGGCCTCTCGGGGAAGTGCAGGACAAGGTCGAAGGGCAAGAGCTCTACGTGTGTGTGTGTACGAGCGAGATGATGGGTCAGTACTACGACGTTGGACGCGCAAGGCTGCGGCACTGATGCCGAAACACACCTTCGTCGACTTGGATCTCGCCAGAGTGAGAGCCATTGACTGCTACCTCGCCATTGGCACCTGCATCGCTGCTTGTGCCATCTTGATGAGCTGGAGAAGGCGTCGCAGCTGGTTGAGGCTCCGCAGCCATGGTTGATCGTCGGCTTCCGAAGGAGGTGTTGGGTTTATCTAACGAGCCAGGGTGGAGTCGCTAGGCAAGCACGATGAGCAGCAAGAAGAAAGTCTGCTCGAGCTGTGGAGGAAGAGCACGAGGAAGAAATAAGCTAAGTCGAGTCTGGCCAAGAAGATGATTAATGGGGGGGCAGACAACGATGAGACGATGATGGTGTTGAGAAGGTCTGACTCTGACTATCGGTCTCTCTCTGACTCTCCTCTGAAGTGTGGGACAGCTCTGACTGGCCTCGGATTATGCTACGCTACTCGCTCTTCTCCCGCTTCCTTCGACCTCGGTCTCTTGCCGCCCTCGCCTCGACCCTCTTTTTTGTCCTGCGCCCAGGTCCAACTCGTCTCGATGCCCGCTTGGGCCCGCTCCGTCTCTTCGGGATGCCAAATGCGCGAGCCGGTCGACCCGGCTGCTCCACCAGGCGGCTAGGATGCTCATCTTGTCCAAATGACTACGTTGGCTTGCAAAGCAGAGGAGTGATGGTACTATGATACAAGAAGAAGACAAGGCATATCCACATGAATCAGCGTCGATCCCCAAGCAGACGACGTCGCTCCTCCTCCCCCCAGTCCTCTCGCCCATTGACGTTGCGTGACCACCATCTTCTCACTCCGCCGAGCCACGCCGTCGCTCTGATGCCGCTCAATCGCTGAGTGAGAGCGGCGGTATCCAGGCTTGGGAGAGGAATTCGATAAGCGGAGGATGATGAGGCAGCGATGGCTGAAGAGCCCGCCGTGTCCGATTCGTCTGGCTCACGAGACTCGGTCCTCTCTCGGCCTGCGGTTTGCGATGCTCGAGCAGCAGCAGCTGCTGCGATGCCACCGGCATCTGCTTCACTGAGCACTCTCCTTGGGCCCCTTTGCCTTTGAAATTGAGCCAGTGCCCTGGCTGAATCTGCGTCGATCTCATCTTGCTCCTCATCGCCATCCGCGTCCGGGGAGAAGGGCCCGATGTGGAAGCCAGGCGACGAAGGGCCGAGACCAATGGAGAGACCTCGATTGAGGATAGAATGGTATAGCGATAAGCTGCCTCCACGGTTGTGGCGGCTGGTACGACGCTTGGGTGACACAGGATTTTGACTCGGTGATGGCGAACCTGGCGGAGTGGTTGGTGCGGGAACGAGCCCCGGCTCTGTTCTCGAGCGCTGCATCGACGCCTTGGACTTTGACTTCGGGCTGAGCATAACATCTTCATCTTGCTCGTGGTGAAGATTGTATTCGGGCAAGTGCAGACCGAGCCCGGCCGTAATGCTCGACGAGCGCGAGTGCGAGCCGCGGCGGCGAGCACCGCTTTGCTTGCGTGTGGGTGTCATCGGTGGAGAGAGGACGACGCCCTCCTGACTTGCGCTGCGTTGGCGCTGACGTGGGTAGGGTATCTGCGACTCGAGGTCTGTATCGCTGGTCGGAGAGGTGACCATGACTGGCGGAGGAGGAAGGTGCGGGCCAGCTACCCCGCCCGCGTTCGCTAAAATCGCCTGTGTCTCCGTAGGGCTCGACTGCTGCATCATAGTTGGGCCGTCTGCTGAAGTATCAGCAGCTTCGTCTGCGGCCACTTCGTCGTACGGCACCTCGCCATCTTCAGCGGCGGGCTTCATGGAGACGATGAAGACACCGCACAGCAAGACGACGATGCCGAGGATGATGAGGCAGAGTGAGGGGGTAGAGATGGCGGCCAGCTGATCGAAGTAGACGAGGCCAAGCGCGATTGAGCTGGTGTTGTAGAAGCAGAATGCGAGTGGGCAGACAAAGGTCGGGTCCGCCATCTTGAGAGCCTTGTTGAGGTACCAGAGCTGTCGGCGAGGCGGAAAGATAGTCAGCAGAGCATGCTACGTATCATCGTCACGGGGGCGGGCATCTATTCACCTGAGCTACAGCTGCAAAAATCATGATCCCGACGAGCGCCCAGCTGCCGAAACGGTTGAACTGATTCTTACCCTCGCCAAAAGTCAAGACGAGCAGCTCGACGCCGCTCTTGGCCAGCAGTAGACAGAGGCCAGAGAGGGTACCTGACAAAGCTGCGAAGGCGACTGCAAGTAGCAGCCTCATCTTGGCTATTGACTCCGGATCAGGACGAACAAAGGTCGGTGATGGTGGTAATGAGGCCCGGCGCGGCTGTCGCTTGGCTGCTGCTGGTATGGTGCCATAATTGCGTTGACCTGGCTGCGTTTTGGCAATGGGAGCAGCCCCTCGATTCGGTGGTCCCACTCTACCGCCATTTGAGGGTGTAGGCGTCTCGAAACACCATTGCCTCTCTCGATCTCTCACCTCCAAGACGGGCGTTGCGACGCCAGACGTCGTCTCACTGACCTCGTCGAGGGGTGCGAGACTCGGAGCTGACCACCGCCTGGCAAGCTTCGAGCGCTTGCCATGCCCCTTCTTCTTAGATGAAGAGCGCGCTCTTCTCTCTTCTGGCGGCAACAGCGAGGTGTGCAGCTGCCACTCTCCCAGATGCGCAATGAGGCTTACGCAGGTGAAGGTCATGAAAAGCATGGTAACGAGGGCGACGAAAGGGCCGCGGCCGAAGAGGTTTAGCAGCTCGTCGAGTGAATGCGGCGCTTCTTGGATCGCGCCAAAGTAGCCAATGAGGACGGCACCAACGAGGATGAGGGCTGTTCCTCCGATCATCATGGGGCCGAGTACGTCCTGTAGCAAGAATTTGGCGAGAAGCGCATTGTAGAGTAGCGAGACCGCACCGAGCGGCGCAAGCATGACAATCGGCAGAGCCCCAATCTGAAAGATGGTCCCACCCACGTTGGCAATGAGGAAGACGAGGAACCCAAAGAGCCACAGTGGTTGCCTCCATTCTGGTCTGCGCTCCTCGATGGGTTGTCGAGCTGCAATCAAGTGAGACTTGCGCTGGATGGTCAGGCCGAGGGATTGGACAAAGGAGAAGATGAGGCCGATGCCAATGGCCACAGGGACGCTGACCATAGCTGGTGATGCCGATGCGCCTTCATCACGCGGACCGTAGCTCATGGCGAGCCAAGGAGCGTGAAGGCAGCGTGTGTGGAAGCTAAGGATAGGATGATGGACTAGCTCCGTCTCTCTCCCTGCCCCTCGCCAGCTGCCCCCCTCCTGTTCCCTCCCCGCGTCCCCCACGTCCACTTCCGCACCCTTGAATCGAGTGACTTGAGCTCAGAGAGTGTGTGTGGAGTCAAGTCCACCAAGTTGGACTCGACAGGCGGCAGCGCGATTGGGCGGCGGCTGATGCGGCGGGTTCCTTGTCTTCCGGCCCAATCTTTGCTACTCACCACGAGGAGCTCCTTGACTTGCTCTGTTCATCGTGACCTTCTTCCAAAATCGGCAACACCACCATGACTTCGTCAGTCAGTGGCACGAAGGTGGAAGGCGGCGATCAGACACCCGGTGGGCAAGGCAGCAAGGTGCTCCCGCTAGCAAACGCCCTCCAAGCCAATCTCTCGCTATTGCTTCGCAATCTGGGCAAAATGCTGGCCTACCAGGCGCATCTGCGCTACAATGCCGACTCCGCGTCCTCATCACAGCGTAGGATCGAGTCTCTCCCAGGATGGAGCGATATGGCGCTAGCAGCTCGCAAATGGCAGATGGACGTAAGCGCCCTCAGTCGGTGGACCGCAGAGGCTCAGGAAGCCCTTGCTGTCGAGTACACGAGGGCGAAGATGAGGGAGGCAGAAGAGGAACGGCAGAGGCCGTTGAGGGAGGCAAAGGAAGCTGAAGAGAGGAGGCAAAAGAGCGAAGCGGATGCGAAGAGGCAAGAAGAGGAAGAGAAGGCAAGGGGAGAGACGACCGCAGCAGCTGAGGCAGCAGCACAGACGAGTAGCAGCGCTGGTCAATCGCGGCCAGAGTCAAAGGGTTCAGTAATTGACCTGACGGCAGACGAAGACGAAGGAGACGCTAAGCCAGCAGCAGCGTCGACGGCAACTAAGAGGTCCGCGGACGATGGCACCGGAGAGAATGAAGGGGACGTCTCTGTCGCCAAGAAGCAGAAGGTGGATGACACCGTGGGCGGCCAATCCTCGTCATCTGACACTGCCTCCCACCTCCTCGCCTCTGCGACCACGACAAGCACTTCTGGCAGTATCGCTGCGGGCAGCCAGCCAGGAGGCGCCCCAGCCTTCGACTTAAGCTCGATGGGCCTACAAAACCTCGACTTCTCCGCCTTCATGAACATGGACGCCAGTGGCGGCGGCGGCGGCGGTAGCAGCAGCAGTCTCAGCGCCAATGCTGGAAGTCTTGGTGACAATAGCGGAAGCCTTGGGCAAGACCTCAGCTCGATGGGTAATCTCGACGCCGGAGGGCTGGACTTTGGTAGCCTAACGAGGAGTAACAGCATCGGGGGTGGTCTGACAGGCTTTGGCGGGGCCGATGGATCGGGCAGCAACAATGGAGGCGGAGGTGGTTTTGGTCAGGACGGGGCTGGTGGACTGGAGGGAATGGACTTTGGTGCTGCGCTGGAGGGGGTGGATTGGAATAGCTTGATACAGAGCTTCGGTGACGGCCAGGGGGGTGGTGGGGACTGATGTGACTGCGCAGAGCACGGTGAGCGAAGATGAGGCGGATTCTTCACGGGTCTCCTCATGAAAATGTGAGCGAGAAGGGTGACAGGAGGCATCGAAAAGGATTCATCGTGGACGTCGCGGCTTGCACGCGTATCAGGTTCTTAGCCACACTCGAGAATTCACGAGGCATATCAGATGGACCACCCACACACTGAGACGCAATGATCGTTTCAATGGAAGCCGGCCGGAGATAAAAGTCGCGGCCAAGCACTTGCAATTGGCGTTAGCATTCGTCGATCGGGTCTCCGGAGATATAGTAGCATGAAGTGCTATTGCAGGACGCAGAGATTGACGCTGTGAAAAGAGGTTGACACTGGGTCTCATCACACCCACTACGTTCAGGAGCTGGCGTATCTGTCGTCTCGGGTTCAATCGTGCCTGGCCAGAGCGAGAACATTTGGGACCAGAGTACGGACTGATGAGTACCGTAGACCTGGGAGCGAGGCCGAGGTTTGACCAACGTCGCCGTCATACGCCAAACCCCGGCTCTCTCCCGCCCGATCTGGAGCGCTGTGCTGTGCTGCAGCCCCATCTGTACCACCGTAGCCCTGCCGTTTCCGCTGTTCCCTTTTCAGGTGCTGATGCTGCTGGTGGCGGCGCTCTCTGTCGAAGTGGATGCATGCAGAAGACCGGATGCTGGTGGCTGCGAGATTGTCCAGCGTTGACCAAGAGAGCGAGGGCAAGAAGTAGTCACTCGTTTGCCGCTCCGTCACCAGCCTCTCCAGCTTTCTCCCTCTTTTGGCTCGTTCAGTCCGCCTGTCTGTGGGCGAGGGTTCCCTCTCCGCGCTTCTGAATCGAGACTCAGCAACACAGCATCTCGCATTAAAACGCTCGGGACCTTTGAACTCCTACCAGCGCTCCGAGCCACGCCGCGCCGTCTTTGTCGCATTCACATCGACCATTACTCACCCAGGATACGATCACAATCACAATCAAGTCGCGAAGTCGACTCCAACTACAATCAAGTGCACGCTTCATCATCAACATCATCTAAGCCGCAGGAAGTGGGTGTCATTTTTGCCCTTCGTCGTCGACCCCCGGACTCCGTTCATCGCCAAAGTGAGCCGCTGTCGGCACAGACTCCCCGCTGCATTTTCCCGCCTTGGCGAAGAGCAGCAGCGAGCCCCTCGACGTCTGGAACTTGGGACTAGCCGCCGCGTAAGAACAGTCGTCTTGTCGCGACGCAGCAAGCCTGCTCGCTGAGCCTGCTGCGCGTCTGGACTGCTGCCTCCACGCCCGACGCCTCCTCCTCCAGGTACATCGTCTCGTCTCTCGTCTTGTACTCGCTTTCCTCTACGCCCAAATCTCAGCCGACACACGATAGCAAGGAAAGAAGGAGCAAGCAATTGCAAGCGCAAAGGAGGAGAGTGCGAGCGAGAGTGAGTGAGTGATCATCGCAGCCTCGTCGTCATCGTCTTCGACAAAAGAAGACGTCACCTTCGTCTGCATCACGGCCACTCTCCCTCTTCTTCTCCATCTCAACTTTCCGCCACTGCTTGTCCTCCGGATTCCTCCTCGTTTTCCCGATCCCATCATCGGTCTCCTTCTTGTCGCGCAGCACGCGGTGCGCACCTACGCCACCACCAATCGAGACAGCGCATACACACCGCAGGATACTGTCCCTCAGAGCAGTCTTGAGCGCCAAAGCTGGGGATAGCAGTGCACTACGGAACCTGAGGGCCGCGGAAGGACGGCAGTCGCGGCTTTCTGTTTCCCTCGCCATCCTTCTCACCTCGAAACACCATCTCCTCACCTCTTGAAGATACTGCGACGCCCAGCGCAGTCCATTCTGCCCCTCTGGCTGGCGTGCCATGTCAACGCCAGCCGTCATGTCGATGCCGAGGTCGATGTCTCGCCATGACAGCCTCGAAGGCCCGCCCATCTCCCTCGTCTTTCCTCGCAGAGAGAGCGAAGCTTCTTCTACGACGTCCGGTGCGGAGTCTTCACACGGACGAGATGATGGTCGAAGAGTCTCTTTGACGAGAGACCTCAAAAACAAGGTTGCAAAGCCACCCAGGAGAATGCGTCCGTCGACGGCCAGCATCCTCAGAGGCGCGAGCAGTGATGCCCATCCTTCTCCTCCGTCTCATCCTCCTTCGTCTGCTGCAAAGGCAATCAATATCAACAAGGCCAAGCGACAGGCAGTAGCGACCCTGAGCATGACGCCACCCTCTTCGCCTTCATCATCACACCGATCCTCCATCGACGACAATCCTTTTGCGCAGTATGCTCGACTTGAAGAAGGAGCAGCAGAGAGAGGAGGATCGCAGAAGATGAGCTTGAGCCTCTCGTCAGGCGACGTCGCATCGAAGGCGACCAAGTCGGCGCCCAAGTTTCGTATGCCATTCTCGTCACCCTTCAACAAGTGGTCTCGCTCTCACAAGGCCGAGCCAATGTCTACTTCACTATCCTCCTCCGAGGTTGCTCCAGACGAGGATCCCAAGGGTCTAGCGATTGACCTTGGCATGCATGGCCGCTCCTCTGCGGCATCGTCGTCCTCGCCTCTTCCTCATCATAGCCAAGCAAAGGCACAGGCTCGCTCTGTTGAGGAAGCGGTCACATCGCTGGGATGGTACTGGAACAGCAAGGCAGAGACTATTTGGGGCCCCTCTGCAACGCAGGAGGAAACCTTCTTGTCTCATACCGATCAGGATGCCGACCAATCTAATCGCCTGCGATCGAGGAGCTTTGCGGACATCGCGAGTCCAGCACGAGCAAAAGTCCCCTCTTCACTCCGAACTCAAAGGCTGGCAACAAAGTCTCGACGCTCCAACTCTGACCCACCAGCGCCGACTTTCAAGTCCTGGTCTGACTATCTCGACGCCTATGTAGCGGGAACCATTGATTTAGGCGATCAAAACGAGCGGCCAGTCGTAGAGGGCGAGATGCCGGAGGAGAGCCACATGAAAGCGCCGGTGCCCGAGTGGGAGTTGGCCCGCAAGAGCGCAATCTGTCGAGCAGGCATATTCGGCCTGCCCCCCTCTGTCCTCGACCGCATACACGCCATTGCCACGCGCATCAAGACGGCCCTCGACATGGACATTATCTACGTCGACGTCCTTTTCAACGACGAGGGCTACCTCATCGTCAAGGAAGGTATCAAGCTCCACCTCTCATGTCGCAGAGACACCCTTTGCGCACATACGATTCTCAATTCGCACCGAGGATTCACGATGCTCAATCGCCACCGTGATTGGCGCTTCAAGGACAATCCGCTCATTGGCCACGTAGGCTTCTACTCGGGATATCCAATCAGAAGTGGCACGGGTCTGCCATTCGGTGCGCTATGCGTCATGGATGGCAAACCTCGCGAAGACTTCTCACAGGAGGACAAAGATATGATCCGGCATGGAGCGCAGGCTGTCAGTCGCATCCTAGAGGACAATTTTGCTGAGCGATTCGAAGCCAAAATGGCGGCCATGGGAAGTGCGTTTGAGGGCGTCAAGGCTTCTCTACGCCACCATGGCATGGGTGCAGGGTGGAAACGGGCCAGCGCAGATGCAAAGATGATTGAGGCTTCGCTTTTCAGGGTGCGCGAGGCTACACAGCTTGATGTTGCATACATTGTAGCCATCAAGGATGATGCCGCGCAGGTAATTGCGAGCGCTGGTAGTCCCATCCCACCGCATGTGGCAATGCAGGCGGGCTTCTACAGCGCAGCATTGAAGCAGGGAGCAGGCTACGCCGTCTACCAGAATGAGCTGTTCGACAGGGCCGCACACGTCGAACTGGCTGGGCTCGTCCCCTCAGATGGGCCGCAGTACAGTTGCGCATTGATGGTCTCATTGCGCAGCTCGGCCAGTCAGCAGGCAAGTGGCTCCAGATCGTCCAGCAACGGAAGCGGTAGCCAAGACGGCTCGGCGGCAACCACAGTCAGCTTGTCATCACTTAGCAACGCTGGCATCGACTTTGTCCTCGTCGCTGCCTCGACGCAAGGCCGTCATGTTCTTGGTGTCGAGGACTTGCGCTTCCTCCAGAGTGTCAAGCCCTTCCTCGCCGCAGCTGCCGTTCGTCAGCAGAATGTCCCAGTCTTCCCCACTGACGTGGGCGCTCTTTCCTGCGACTTCGCCAACGCCAACGTGGCTCAGCAAACCGCTCGACCGCATCTCGACGCCAAGATGAGCCCTGCATTGCCCGCTCGAACAAGCAGTAACGTCGCAGCCACCATTCCTCGGCAGACTCCGGCAATGCCTACCTCGCCGCCCCAAGCTGAGACGCCCGCCACGTCGGTGAAGACAACCGCGCCGGGTCGTCCGCGCTCCAAGTCGGGTCGCTCACCGCAGCCCGCACAGTCGTCGCAATTCGACTCGCAGTTCCGCTTCGGAGTAGACGATCGTGCTCCGTCTGCTGTGCCGCAGCTGCCTGTGCTCACGCCAAGCACGATAGCCCGCTCTCCGGACACTGGAGACTATTACTTCCGCATCGGAGCCGCTCGAGCACCTCCTGCTGCCGCAGCGACGACGGCTGCATCACCGCCACCCGTCGCGCCTCATCGTCCGCTGAGCAGCAAAGGTGAGGCTCCCGAATCTTCATCCTCGCGCCCATCCTCGGCACGCGGGCTGGGCAAAAGCATGATAAGCGGCGTAATCAAGGGTTCACTTAGCTCTTCAAGTCTCTCAGACGCTCGGCGCGCCAAGGCAGCCGCTGCTAGGCCACCAACCCCTTCGTCTGCTGTGGAGTTTCTCGCGCTGCCACCGCAGTCCTTCATGGCGGCTGCAGCAAAGATGGGCCGGTCGTCTTCTAAGCATTCAGACACCGGTAGCGAGACTCCTGTTGGTGTCGATGCGAGTGGCCCACCTTCTCCACGGTATCGCTTCTGCAGCCACTGCGCAGGCATCTTACCGCTCGACGATTCGCCCGAGGGAAGACGCTACCAGCAGCAGCAGCAGCGAAGCCTCTCGATGTCGTCACCTGGCTCCCCATCGCTATCCTCCGCAATGCAGCCCTCTCTCTCTGCGTCGCCTCCCCGACAGCAGCATCCCCAGAATGGCACGGCGCCCATGTCCATCGCATCAGCAGCTTCCAAAACACTTCATCCGGGCAACATCAGCTGCACCTGCCCTGCATCGAATGGCGCGACGACTTGGACGCCCAAAAATCCCTCTGACTCCTTCCCAGGCAAATCGTCGATGGATGAAGCGATACCGCAGCAACAGGCACACTACCTGCTAGGGGGGTCCACCTCTTCCTGCCAGGACATCGGCGGCTACTTCGGCCACGGAGGCAGCAGCTCTCCCTCGACCAAGCATACACAGCTCCCGGTCTTCAAGGGGGAAAGCAGTGCCGAAAACTCCTTGGTGTCGGCCAGCTCGGCAGGAGGCGGCGTGAGCGGCGCAGCGAAAGGTCTAGGCCCGCCGCCGCCGAAGGCACGCTCTGCTCGGGCAACACGGAGACCCTCCACTGCATCGGGGGCTGCCATTCTGCCACCGCTCGGCGGCAGGAGCAACGGTCCGGTGTCGTTGACGCCTACGATGCTGGAGTGATGCTGATGCTTAGGGAGGCCATGCTCCTTTCACTCCTCCCCTGGCAATCTCCCCTCTTCTCCTCATCACCTCAATCTGTCTTGAGCACACTAATTGCAGCCCTTCCCATCGCCCTCGTCCTAGAACCTGTACCCATTTTCCCCCCTTTCCCTTTCCACGCCGCCCCCCCCCCCTCTCCCCCCTCCTCCCCCTCTGCGAGCATCCCCAACCCTCTCTGTATCAAATAATCCCTCTCCATCCAGCAACAGCAGCACCAGCAGAAGCAGCAACTTCCCCTCGCGTTTCCTCCGCCTCGTCCTCGTTTGTCATTCGATCCAGCGCAGCTCTTTAATTTCAACGTCGTTCTTGCATCGAACAATTTCTTCCGTGTCGTCGTGCTATGAGCCGTTTTGTCGTACACGCAGCCCTCCTTGGAGTGGTCAGTCAGGCATGGCAGGCAGTCAAAAGGGTTAATCCTCTACAATTACAAGTTGCTCCGCTGCCTGCGGATCGATCAAGTAGGTGGCTTCTGGTCTCGCTAGCTCCACAAATCATCATCATCTTCCTCCTCCCCCTCCGCGTCCTCCTCGCCTCCCTCCTCACCCGCCGCAGACGGCTGGGCCTCCCCTTCGTCGTCGTCCGCTTCGCCGTCTGCATCCGCGTCCACGTCTGCATCTGCATCGACATCCATAACCTGTTCTAGGTCTTGAGCGCTTGAGCTGCCGCTGATTGCCGCAGGTGTGGCGCTGGCCGGTGTGTTGCTCGAGGGTGCGAATCGAGCTTTGTGCTGAGCTTGCTTTCCTTGACTTGCCGACTTGCTAGTACCGGCGGGCGTTGAAGTCGAGGTGGTTGAGCCCGCCCTGGCAGCTGCCTGCTGTCTGCCCCCCTCCTGATCCTCCGCAGCTTCATCTTCCTCTTGCGCGCGCCTCCTCTCCTCCTCAACCCTCTGCATCTCCCCTTGCCTCATCATCATCTCCCTCTTTCGTCTCTCCTCCTTTCCCACCTCCTTCATTTCCTTGGCCTCCCTCCTCTCCTCCTTGAGAGCAGTCAGCCTAGAGCCTTTAAGCTCGCGCTCATGCTGCAACTTCTTGAGAGCCTCGAGCTGACGTCGTTTGATCAAGATGTTGACAGTGCCTTCCGCTTCGACGGTCTTGCGGCGGATGAGGGAGTCGATTTCCTTGCATTCGGCCTCAAGTTGGTCCAAGCGGATGCGCGACTCGCGCAGAGAGGGACCTCGAGCACTCTCGCCTGCATTCTCGTCATCGTCGTCGCCGTCCTCTTCTTCCCCTTCCTCATCGTCATCATCGTCCGCTCCGCCGTCACCGGCTGCATCGTCGCCGTCATCGTCGTCTCCGCCTGCGCCATCGTCCCAGAGGTCCTCGTCGTCTGACGCTCCGCCGTCAACTTGGCTCTGCCCGCGACTGACCACGGAAGAAGCTCCGTCGTCTTCCTCGTCTTCGTCGTCGTCGTCGTCTAGAGCAGCTTCAAGCTCAGCTTGCAGATCCAGGTCAACATCTCCATCCTCATCTCCATCACCGCGGCGGGACATGTCGTCGTCGTCATCTTCCTCGTCGTCGTCCAGCATCGTGTCTCCTTCGCCCATCTGTGAGGCATTCTCAAGATCGTCGCCCGCCACTGTGGAAGCAGCGTCGTCATCGAACGGTCGTCGTGCAGCAGCGGAAGGCTCCACGCTCCCCCTCGCAGTCGAGGGAGCTGCTGAGCCACCGCGGAGGCCGTCCGTAGCAGCAGTACCCTCCCTATCCCTCCCTACAGTGCCTGCTCTTGACACACCGCGTCCCCCTCGTTCCTCCTCCTCGAGTTCCGCCTCATCTACCATCTCGTAGTGCGTCTCATCAGCATTCGCGTCGTCTGCAAGCAATCGCTGAACTTCCTGCTCGACCGTCTCTGTAGTCTGACGACGCTGTTTGCGTTTACGGAAACGACGCTTTCGCGCCCAACGCATGGGTGGCGTGAGGCCGTGCGGGTAGATAAAATCGTCAATGTTGAAGGCAGAGCTAGTGGTACCGGAGGGATCGCCATGATCGCCGTTTGGAGGTGGCATGTTCGAGTCGCCGGTGAGATCTTGGGCGGCTGCTGCTGCTCCACCAGAGGTGACCTCGCTCTCGTCGTTGATGACGTGCGTGGCGAGTAACATCTGACTGATATCAGCCACCTTGAAGAGTCGTCTGTTGTCAAGAGTCTTATGCGACTCGATCATCGTCGGCAAATCGACGAGCTTGGCGGAAAACATATCCTTGCCCACCTTGAACATCGCCCTGCGCGAGTCTTTGAATTTGAGAGTTACTTGCTCTCCTCCGCCGCTACTACCCTCAGCAGCGCCTTCCAAGGGCACGCCGACCTGTCTCTTCTGCACTTTGTCCTTGAGCCTCTTGGCGACGTCCCCATCGGGTAATCGAAGGATCAACTGCTCCTCGAACGCCATCCCCTCGCCCGTCTCGTCGTCTGAGCTGTCCATCTCGCGATCTTCGAAGCCCTGCATATACGCGTGAGTCTTGTTGTGCCTCGAAGCTCCGCTGCCAGAGGTGGCGCCTGCACGACCAGCTTGGTGGGATTTGAGGGAGAGCTTGAGACGGGGAGCCGATCGAGAGGCGGTGCGATTGTGTGAGGCTCGGGGTCGATGAGAGCGTCGTAGCCGGTTGGGCGCACCTCCAGCTGGAGGAGAGATTGCCCCTGAGGACTTGGGACGGGCGGGTGAAGGTGCTGCAGGCTCGCCGGTGAGGGGGGAAGGGACTGCGATGCCTGATGCTCGGAGCGATGGGCGGATGGCTCTGCCCGAGGAGCGCGGGCCACCTCCGCCTGCGGGGTCTGTGGATGGTGGACCCATCTGACCGAGTGATGAGGAAGAGGGTTCGAACGCTGGTGTTGCTGATTCTGATGTTGCGGGGTATGATGGCGGCCCCATTGCGCTGGGCGCAGGCAAAGAGGAAGGGCCAGCTTGCGGTCCTTGAGGAGCGAAGGGTGCCATGCCGGCGCCTGAGTCAGTCATCGACTGCTGAGCAGCAGCAGCAGCATGAGATGCTTGACTCTGCGGCGCCGGTTGATGCCCGCCGCTGGTACCTGAGGGTCCGTCCATTGCGACTTTGCCTTTGACGTGGTGGAAACCAAGGAGGATCGAAGGGGAAAGGAAGCGCAGCCACAGTCAATCCGATCCATCGACGGAGCAAGAAAGGCCGCACGGACAGAGACGACGAGGCCGAGGCGGACAGAGAAAGTTGAAGCTTCCCTCTCACTTGGACTTCTCCTTTCACGTAATCGCAGTAGCACAACCTTCACTTCACTTCAGGGGCAGCAGCCATGTCGACCTCTTCGCAACAGCAAGAAGCACCTCTACAACCCTCTCGCATCTCACCGGAAGCTCAACAACAGAAGGCTTCCCTTACTCTCGCCTCTGAGCCTACCAAGCCCACCAATCCCTCCTCCTCTTCTTCTTCCCCTTCCCTTCTCAACCAGACGGCCACAACAGCAAATCGCCTCACCACAGGACAGGTGCCCTGTGCCAAGCGCTCCCTGTTGACGGGTATCGCTGCGGGGGTGGGCATCACAGCCGTAGGGGCTATTGCGGGGAGGAAGATGTTGCATGCCTCGAATTGGGGAGCAGGGGCCTTTGTCTTTGTTTCCTTGGGAACTTGGTGAGTTGCGTGTTAATGAGAGAGAACGAGTAGAATGAACTCGCGCTGATTCAATACGCTACTCATCGCATCTCTCTGGTAGGCAAGTCTGTCGTAGTGCGAGGAGCGCAGAGACCGCGAGGATGAAGACGATTATCGAGGAGCATAATAGGAAGGGGCGCGGTGCCGCTGGTAGCGGTCAGTCTGCATGATCAAATATACCATGAGCATTCACACGTACGGACGCTCATCCGCTGAGCATGTAGCGCCGCCAAGTCAGCTTGAGAGTGCGGACCACAACCCCATGAGGAGCGCCCCGCCGCGCTCAAACGGATCTGGTGGAGCTGCTTTCTGCCGCTCCTGCCTCCAACCACCTCGGTCAGACTCACACAGACCTGTATTTCATCATCTCTTCATTCAACAAGCAAGGGGAGCGCAGAAGTGAAAAGGGTGCTCGCCCGCAGTGGCGGCAGCAGTAGGGGAAATAAACACAGTGGAGCAAGGGGAGAAGGAAGGGGATGGACGAGCAGAGCAGCACGAGGCCATGCCCGGCAGCTTCGTTGCAGCGCTCTGGATACGCGTAAAGGGTAGATGAGTGAAGAGGTCGGTAGGCTGGCGAGACGGGCAAGCCGTTGCGTAGAGTAGCCGGGGAAGCCGTTGTCGTTACTGAGATATTGCGTGTGTGGTGAGCAAGGGATGGGATCTACGCTTGCAGGCGTGTTGAGGGGAAGAGAGGGGATTCGTCGTCTTTGTGGGAACCATGCTTCAGCCTGAATGATCGTGTGCTGGTGCTGTGGGTGGGGCTGTTTGTTGCCGCTGCTGCTGCCGTATCTAGCGTCCTGATCTGCTCCTCCTCCTGCCCGGGAATACTTGACATCGAGACGAACGCAGCCATCTGCGCGTCTGGGCGGCGGCTGTGTTCTTCGCCATCGACGGTAACCCGCGCCAGACCTCGCCCTTTGATCGTACCATACCACTCACATCACTCTGCATCCCTTGCAGCACCCACTCCCATGCCCACCAGCATCTGCCCCCCTCTTTGACTTATCCGCTCCACCCATTCCCCCAGCGCCACCAGCTCCCATCCCTCCGCCTGCCCCAGGACGGCCGACAGCTTGCTCCTTGTTGAATCTCCTGATCTCGCGCACCAGGTTGGAGAAGGCCTCGTCGACATTGATGCGCTGCTTGGCCGACGTCTCGATGAAGCGACAGCCGAAGTGCTTGGCCAGCTCGCGACCCTCGTGCGAGCCCACTTGACGCTCGTACTCGAGATCGCACTTGTTTGCTACGACGATGACGGGGAAGTCTGAGAGCAAATGAGGGAAAGACCACGAGGTCAGTGGGAAAGGCCTGCTAAGAGCGATGGTGAGATTGCTGCTGTTCTGCACTCACAGTCCTTGTCCTTTACGCGGAGGATCTGCTGGTGGAAGGTAGAGATCTCATCAAATGAGTTGCGAGAGGTGATGCTGTAAACGAGCAAGAAACCCTCTCCAGTCCTCATGTATTGCTCGCGCATGGCGCTGTCATAGCGAGCGAGGAGCGATCAGCATGTGATCGATCGATCGATCTTTCTTCGGGCGTCCTAGCACGACCACTTACCTGTACTCCTCCTGCCCAGCCGTGTCCAGCACGTCGAGAAGAGCGACCTCCTCATCAATGAGGCATTGCTTGCGGTAGGAGTCTGCGCAGCGGCGAAGAGGGGCGGCGGGTTAGGACGATGATGCTCTGGTCTTCGATCGTCTCGCTCATGCTCACCTTCGATTGTCGGGTCGTACTCATCGACAAAATGGCTCTGAATGAATTGGATGGTCAAGGCAGATTTGCCCACTCCACCACCACCGACGACGACGCTGTTGTATGTGGCGCATGGCAGAGAGGGACTGTCAGCATTCTGGACTGGATGACCACTCCGATCGGTCCTCGATGAACGCACAGTTTGTATTCACGCAGAAATTGTGCGTTCATGACTGTGGTTCTGTTTGATTAGAGGAGAGGGAGAGGAGGGAGAAGGGGCGTGGGGATATGGCGGGATGGCTGTTGAAAGAGAGGTGACGGCCGCTGGGGTATGATTGGGTCGATCCGATTCCAAGTCTGGGCGTGACAGCGGTGATGATCGCAGCTTGAAGGTGAGGAGGGATCTATGAGAGCCTTGTAGTAGTCTCTATGGTAGTAATCTCTGCGCTGTTGGCGGACTAGGTTGTAGTCGCGCAATACTGATGAGGAGGATGTTGAAAGAGAATGTGGGGGAAAGAGAGGGGGCAGTCCAAGTCGAAGTCGACGACACCCGGGATGCGATCGGAGGGCGGCGAATTAGAGCGCAGCTCGAGGCGAGGGAAGCTATGGATTCTTGCAGCGCGGTAGCGGTGAAAGAGCAATGAGAGGTATCGCAGGGCGTGAGGTGGTAGGGTTAGAGAGAAGGTTGATCGAGTTCGAGACTGTTGGTAAAGACTGCGATCGGGTGGTAGTGAGAAGAAAGAGGAGCTTCGCACTTTTGGCGTGATTCAATCGAAGGTGTGATAGAGATTTCGATGGCTCCATGGCGCCCAGCAGCAGGAGCAGCAGCAGGAGCAGCAGAAGCAGCGGCGGCGGAGGCGGCTGGCGGCCTGGCGATCTGGTCGGCTGGGCTGTGTGCCTCGACAACATAGGGAGGATGCAAAGCAAGCAAGCAGACGCGGCAGGCAAACAAGGCAGGAGTAAAAGTGGGGACTCCTCGCGAGTAACAAACGGACAAACAGGGTGCAAGATGGAGCATAATGCTAGCGAAGGAGGGAGGGCAAGTGAGCTCCTCTCTTTCGGCCTCCTCGCCGCGAACGCCGAATGACAAGGATGGGTCCCGTGTTTGCGGCAAAGAGGCAAGGGAGGCAGCTGTGCAGCATTGGCGTCCACGAGGGAAAGAATCATGGGCGAAGGGCAGCACCCCAAAGCACACAACGTCGATGGTCTGTGACGATGGCGGGCAAGAGTCTTGATGGGCAGCTCTCCCAGTGATGTCGCCAAAATGCAGATGCAATGAGCTCTATCATCGATCATCCACCTCCGCACGATGACTGAGCAGACGTGAGACGGCATCATCGTCCATCGGTGGCTTGATCCCGTTGCCCCGGACCAAGGTCCGTGCGAGGAAGCGGCGAGAGAGGAATCTCAATCTGCTGAGTCTTTGGATCTCACCGAACTGCGCTTCTCATCGTCTCGACTCGTCACTGCCCCTTTGGCTGATCTTCGTCACTTCGTTTGCCTCATAGGACTTGCGCTCAGATGGAGAGCAGCAAGGCTTCTGGCAGCGTGCGCATTCTCTATGCCAAGTCCCGCGTCGCCGTCCATCCTACTCCATATGCGGCTCACAATCAAGTCGGCTTCTTGACACTCCTCCAACGCGCACCGGGTGGTAACGGCGGAAGCATAGCAAATGAGGCGTCATCATCGCTGCCGACGCTGGCTCAAAGGAACCAACAGGACATCTTGCTGGCATGGATACCAGAGGTGATGGCCAAGCAGCGTGGGGATGTGGCGAAGCTTATCGAAGTGGAGCTCCGAGAGGCAGAGGGGCTGCGCAGCAATGACGACAAGGGCAGCGATGGTGAGGGAAGCGCCTCGTGATGAAGATTCTCGGAACATGCTGACTCGAACAGCATCCGTGTCCAGACTCGATACTCATTGATTCGGTACCAACAGCATCAAACTCAACTGCGCCTCCCGGCGGCGAGTCCTCAATGACGCTTCCGCCCTTCTGTCAATCCCTAGGGTCCATTTACTCCATCTGCATCACTCCACCGACGGTATCAAACTGGAATAGCTCCCTCATAGTCAATCTCGTAGGTGGTGAGACGCTCCCGACTCTTTACTTTCACGACGACGAAAGCCGCAAGACGGCGCTTGGCATACATCGAGCCAGCAGCACTGCTCTGTCCTCCTCACCGTCTTCAAGCTTGAGCAATGTGATTGAGAATCAAGCAGCAGGATCTCCTTCAGCTGCACAGCTCTCTACTTCTCCTCCAGCAGCGACCGCAGCGCCAGGCCCCGCCCCCGCCCCCGCCCCCTCGTCGAGCATCTGGGGAGGTGATGAGCTCGTTCAGCACCTCCGCAAGTACGCTGTAGTACATCGCTCAGTGCACGATCAGCGGACCTTTCTGCTCAATCCTCAAGCAGCCGACTTGGAGGCTCACAGTACTCCTGTATGGGCAGATGACGCCATCGACGAGCCACCCGCTGCTGCCTCCTCGTCCTCAGCATTCGACGCCGTCTTCCCGGACGATCCCTTTTCCCCCACCTATCCAACGCGCTTCGGTGGTACCGGTCGCCGATTTGGCGATGGTGGAGGAAGCAGCCATGCCTCATCGCAGCCTGGACAGGGAGGCGAGTCCTTCTCCTCATGGGCAAAAGCGACCCGCATGTCCCTACTCAGCCAGTTTTCCCATGTCACCCGATCAGCGCGGGACGTCTCACGTCAAGTAATCGAGCAGCTCCCTGCCCACCATCAGCAAGCGGCACATCGCTTCGTCGGGCGTACTCCAGCGGCTGCCCCCACTTTTGCGCAGGCCGGGCCGCTTGGACCATTTGGAGCTGCTCCTCCCGCCTCCTCTTCGTCTTCGTCTTCATTGTCGTCGACGGCGGCTGCGGCAAACGCGGAAGATGTGGCAGAGAAGGCTGGTGTCGCAGAATACGACTCTGCGCGACTTTATCTGGCTAAATGGGCAAGGCTGGTTGCAGAGGAGGGAGAGCGTAATCGGAAGCGGACAGCGATGGAACAGGAACAGCAGCAGAAGAGCGTGCACGATGCTTTGGGCGCATGGGAAATGCTCGATCATCCAGATGCTGCGCGCTTCCGGCCAGTGAGGCGATACGACCCTATCACTGCAGCTGAGTGGGAGCAGTGGAGTCGCGGTGGGCCTCAGGGGCGCCCGACGGTCTCATGGCGACACGCAAAGCGAGAGGTCTACAAGCGTGGGCTGGCGCCTAGTGCACGACCGGACGCTTGGCCTGCACTGCTCAACGTCGTGCCGTGGGGAACGGATGATGAGGAGAGGGAAAAGACCTGGGAACGAAGGGAGGATGGATGGCGCAAATTGAGAGGCCTATGGATTGCGGGCGAGGAGGGTCAAGGGGAGCCGCCATCTGCCTCGTCGACAGACTCCTCGTTCGATACCAACACAGGTAGTGAAGAAGCTCACATGGTGGAAGAGATGGCTTGCAAGCTCTCCCGTCGGCCTGATGTACAAGAGCAGCAACATCGCATTCGTGTGGATGTGCTCCGGACAGATCGCAAGCTACCGCTGTTCAAAGGCAGTGCCGCAGGTGAGGAGAGAAGAGCGACGACCCCGACGATAGAAGCAGGGCAGGCTTCTCCCTACAACCCGCACTTCGCGCGACTAGAAGAAGTCCTCATGACCTACACGCTCTACGACACTCTCTTCGTCGGGCAGTCCCGCCGCTGGTCACATAGTCAGCAGGCAACGCCCTCTGGTTCATCACCATCCAGCACGGCCTCGAGTGTCAAGAGCACAGGAACAGCTTCCACTACCTCCGGCCCGCAGCCTTCAAAGGATGCATCTCGATCATCGACCCTAGATGACTGCCCACCCAGCTTAGACCTGGACCTTCCCTCCCTCTACCCGCCCCGCCAGCTAGCCCGCCTTGCACAAAGCAAGTTCATCTCCCAATCCGAGCTAGGAGGCTACGTACAAGGAATGTCGGACCTGTGCGCGACCGTCTACTCCGTGTTAGCTCCTCAGCACCCATCACATTCATGCGCGGCATTCTGGTGCTTCACTGCCCTAATGTCGCGGATCCGCTCCAACTTCTTGAGCAGTCAACAGGGCATCAAGAGCCAGCTGTTGGCACTGCAGGTTCTACTGCGACGGATGGACGGTGGATTGTACGGACACCTGGAGAGAACAGGTAGCCTCAACTTATTCTTCTGCTTCAGGTGGTTATTAGTTAGATTCAAGAGAGAGTTCGACCTCGAGGGGGTCGCTAGACTTTGGGAGGCGGGTTGGGCTTTGGAGCCTGGCGTGCATCAAGAGCACGGAGTACAGGACCACGATGATCAAGCAGGTGACCAGGGTCAAGTCCCATCAACAAGGCACCACCACCTCTTCATCTGCCTCGCCATCTTACTCGAGCACAGGGACGCTGTTGTGGGCCATCTACGGGCATTCGATGAGGTATTAGCCTTCTACCAGAGCTTGAGTGGATCGATCGACGTGGAAGATACGCTGCTGAGGGCGGAGAGGTTGTTGAGGCGGGTGGGGGAGACTTTGGCGGAGCAGGGGCAGGAGGGAGAAGGAAGAGGAGAGGAAGGGAAGACAAAGGGGATGACGAGTGAGGAGGATTTGCACGAGCTGAGACGTCTGATTGAGTAGAGTACAGAGCATGAATAATATCGCCCTGCCCTCGTACACGATCGCCCCCTTTCCGGATGCTGTCTCTTTCGTCCTTCCTCCATTATTCTCCTTCACTGGTCCTCTCTTCCTAGGCCTCGACGTGACCCATATGCCGCCGCAGCCCGCTGGCTAGGAGCACCGATGATTCCCGACGCACTATTTGCCTTGCCAGCGATTCACCTCACAAGAGCGCGTAGGCGAGTGGCATTGGTGTGATCGCCAGTCTTGAGCTCGACGGCCGTAGCGCAATAGAGCGCGGGCCCGGTCTGTTGTTGTGAGGAACGTGTGACCACTTGGGCAGGGTCGAGATGATGTGATTCCGAGATCGAAGACTTCTTTGTTGAAGAATGAGCAGCTTGATGAATCCGTACGCCTTCTTGTATGCGATGAATGCCGGGCCTCCTCAAGAAGCTCCAGTGCGCTTTTGCAACCACGATGGTCGTGCTGTGCTCTCCTACTTATCACCGGACGCCGTCCCACTCCCAGCAACGATCATTGCCTCTACCCCTGCCTCGAGCCTATCCAGCCTCTTACCCATCTCATCTAATCGCTCAGCAGCTGCTCTATCCATTCGATCGAAGCGGGTCTGGAGGTTGTCGAGGAGGGACTCGACCCATTCTGTCAGCTCGTGTGGAGAGGAGATTGAGGGCTCGCCCGCGTCGCCTGAAGAGGATGTGGGGGCGAGGGCGGCAGTGGGAGCGGCTGGTGATGACGAGGTAGGTGGAAGGGGAGCTGCGGCTGAGCTACTGGCGGCAGCGAGAGGCTGCAGAGTAGAGGAGTCGGCGGTGGTTGAGGGGGAGGACATGCTTGCTCACGTTGAGGCGTTGCGTGCGAGTGAGAAGGAGGATGTCGGGCGCTGTGTGGTTCGCTCGAGCTGCTTGGATAGTCGAGTGCTGCTGACTTCTTTGGCAGAAGACTTGGCAAATTGAAGTGGCGATGTGCTGGATAATTGGAGGTGATGGACAGGATCGAAGGAGATCAACACCAACGCCCGCTCGCTCGCACCCACGCGTCCACCTTTTCCCGACGACGGCTCCTCTTCGGCCGCTAGTCCGACCTTGCTCACTTACACTCTCGTCGACTTCATCAGGATCAAAGAGAAGCGTAGTCAAAATGATCTCGTAACATCTCCGTGCTATCGGATACTCAAGTAGCCCTTCTGACCAGCAGACATCATGCTGAGAAGCATCAGAGAGCGAGAGAAGATGGGCCGGCGATGCGCGAGGAGAAGCGAGCGGGTGGCGGTGAAGACATTCGGTAATCAGAAGCAGCTCTTTGGCACATCACCAGGGGCGTAGCATGGATGAAACGGGTCGTAGTCGATTGAGTGAGAGGGAGGTGTGAGCATGAGGGAGAAGAATCAGGAGGCAAGAGAACCACGACGCCGCTACCTTGAGGAGAGTTTCGTCCTCGCCTTCGAGGATCGACCTCGCCTCTTTGTTCCCAACCACCCCTCATCGCTGTTGACCATCTCATGATCTTCAGCTACTCCTGCTTCCACCATCCCCGCCACGTCCTGTATCGCAAACTGAGCCTCTGTACACCATTGACTTTGCGCACGCTCTTTCTGCTGTTGCTGCTGGCCGCGCTTCTACATAGCGTACCTGCGCGAGAGGAGTAAGGGGAGGATACGGTGAGCAACGCCGCAACGTCCTTCCATTTTCAATGCCTCGCTGCACTCACTTCCTCGTCCACTCCCTCGCGGTACTCTCATACCTGGCCCTATCCGTCTTGTACAAGTGCGCAATGTCCGGCACAAGCGGGTCGTCCGGGTTCGGGTCAGTCAACATCGAGCAGATGCTGAGCAGCACCTTGCTGATGGTGAGGGCCGGGCTCCACTGGTCTCGCAGAATGTCGAGACAGATGGAACCATTGGAGTTGATGTTCGGGTGGTAGATCTTCGTCGAAAAGGAGACCTTGGGCGGCTTGAAGGGGTAGTCGGTTGGGAAGGTGATGTTGAGGAAGAATACTCCTCCGGAAAAGGGAGAGTCACCAGGACCCATGATCGTGGCTTGCCACTGGAACATGTTGTCACCCGTGGGGCCGGCTGAGCACGAAGAAGGAGGGTCGCGACCCAGGTCGGCGAGCTCCTGCAAAGGCGATCGCGGGGGCAGATGGTAGTGATGGTGGTCAGCTAACAGAGCGACAAGATGGCTACCGGCCTTCTCGATGACTGCTCACCTTGTTGATACGCTTCAAAGCCATTGTCTGTGCGTAGGTGCGTCGTGACAGGTTGCAATCGTCAGTCAAAACTGCTCGTCGTTCAAAATGGGCGGCAATTTCCAACTCTCGAGACCATCTTGAGCCCCTCTGCAATCATCCACTTCCGTTCGGCCAACCTGCCAGCGATGCGATGACGCTGAGACCAACGACCACATGTCTCACTGACATCTACGACGCTCTTTGCACAGGCCTGCCTTCTCAGGCGCCCCTCTGCCACCCGCTCAGTCCCCTGCACCCTTCATGACCCCCTCCCTCGGTGTAATCTTGCTCATCGTTTCCTCTCCCTACTCACGGAATGCTACTTCAACTCGAATCGATGTATGGGCTCAGTGACGATGCTAGGTGTGGAAAGAGGACGAAGGACGATCTCTGCTTGCTGCACTGGTCTTCGTGGAGACGACGCTAGTAACGGTCAGACGACGTGGTGGGTAGTCGAGTGTCGGTGTGGTTTGGTTGGCAAGAAGTTGGTTAGTGGAGAGCCGAGGACACAAGGGCGCCAACGCCGCCGCCCTGCTTCCCGAGTCGAGTCGGTGGCCAGGTCGAGCGAGCGGGCAGGCAGCGAGGGCGGGCGATGATCAAGCCCGACTCGACTCGACTCGACTCAGACTTGAGACTCAACTCGACTTGACCCTGGCTTTGGCCCGCGCTGAGAGAAAGGCAGGGAAACGACGCTTCCACGAGGCAGAGAGGCAGGCAGGGCGGGATTGGGAAACAAGCAAGGAGCTAGGCAGCCAAGCATGGCGGAGGATCAATGATGACGGCGATCAACACCTGTGCCAGGGCACGAAGGAGTGCAGATCCACAGTATCAACCATGCTTGTACCCGCGCAACTGCGGCGTCTTTTTCAGAGGATGAAGAGCGAGAAGCTCACCAACGCCACCGTCACGTCAAGCACATCCGACGATGAGTCTGAAGAATGGCGTATTGAGTGCAGAAGAGAAAGAGTACAGATGTGCAAAAGACAACGCGAGTGACGAGAAAACGGGTTGGGAAGACAGGGAGCGAGATATAGGAAGGGAAAGCGGCGTAGGATCCGCACGAGCCGGTACAAACGACTCGACGAGGTGATGGGCACTGGTAGGGGTATCAACTTGTGGCCAACCGCACCTTCCTTTACCGCAACTTGGCAAACGGGCTCAACACGCTACTCTGAGCCAGGCCTTCTTTCCGCTTACTCGCCGCGGGCGTGTTAAGATCCCAGAATCTCAACGTCTCATCCCCTGCTCCTGTGACTATGGTCTCCCCATCGGGGCTCATCGCCAAGTAGAGGACACGCATCGTGTGGCCCGTCAAAGTGGCGATCTGTTGCATACCAGGGTAGCGCCAGACTTGAATCTGGTTCTGCACTTTGCCCGCCGAGTAGCCGTGCGTGGATACCACCTCGTTGGCCGTGCGTGACCACATGAGGTTGCAGACCTGCGAGCCCGTGTCCACCTCGGAGAGGAGAGAGCCGTTCGTTGTGTTCCAGTAGCGAATCTTCATGTCTGCCGTACCGCCACCCGAGGCGAGCAAGCCATGTTGGTGAGGAGACCACGCGATAGCCTTGACGGCAGCCGTGTGCTCGCTGAAGCGGTGCAGGGGCGTAGCGTTGAGAGAGTCCCAGACGAAGAGCTTGTTGTCATTCCCTCCGCTAGCAAGCTGATTCGTCTCCGTGTTCCACTTGAGACCGCATACTTCTTGCTTATGGCCGCGAAGCTCTCGAATATGCTGCTCAGGGACACGGACGTCGCGATGGTATATGAGGCGGTCGCGCGAGCCAGAGGTGAGGATGTGCTCATTCCATGCTAGGGACCCAACGCGAGAGGTGTGACCGCGCATGGTGCGAAGTAGCTTGAGCTTCTCTGCGTCGTAGATCTGGACGAGTCCATTTGCTGTACCGACGGCGATGTGGTTGCCTCTGCCTGCCCAGCTGAGCGAGGTGACCTTGTCCTCCGCAGGCTCATAGTCGACGAGCTTCTGCACCATGGAGTCTTTCGCCGACCAGAGGTAGACGGACTTGCCTAGCCCAACGCCAAGGGTGTTGTTGGAGGACCAGTCGACGAGATTGAGGTAGAAATCATCTGCGAGGTCTGGGGCGTCCAGGACCTTGAAGGGTACCTTGCTCACCGTTCTCGCTGGCCGTCTGGGGCTGAGGAGCATGCGCTGCGACTCGAGCCTAACCGGACTCGTATCGTAGCCTCGATGTGTTGGTGAGTTGAGCGTCTCGCTGGAGCCGTTGACGCCCGCCTTCTTGCCAGCAAAGAGGCTTCCGCTCCCACCGCCGCTGCCGCTGCCGCCACTGCCGCTGCCTCTCCTTCTAGGCGTAGTATTCGAGCCCACTCTCATCGTATCGTCGCCTACTCCCCGCCTGCTGCCGCTGCTTCCTCCACTGCCTCCCAATGACCTCGAACGTGAAGATGAGGGCGAGCTGAATGCGAGCAAGTTGCGCTTAGTGGGTGTACTCGGGGCGGTATATGATGCTCGCGAGCTCGAGCTTGCTGCGCCTGCGCTGCTCGAGGGGGATGCGCTGTAATGTTGAGGTGACTGTGCTGCGGCCGTACCGAATATCTCTGTGCTCAGAAGCGTATTGAAAGTCTCGTTCGCCTCCTCCTTCGTCGCATCCATGTCTGGCGCCATCTTACGCTTGTGACGGCCCGGCGTGCTGGCCTCGGTCTCCATGAGCTGGAATGCCGCCACCTGTGCTTCTGAGCCTTCGCGCAATGGTACATAGCTGCGAGAGGGGTGAAAGGGTCAGCATACAGTGACATTACAGAGCTCGCCAGGATCGCCGACTCACCGGTCGGCTTGCACTTGCTTGTTGCGCTTGCTCGGTGTGCGGGGAGAGTCTAGCTGATGCCTACTGCTAGAGCTACCGTTGACGCCCGTGGCCCCACGTCGCGGTGATTCGTCATGGAGTGAAGAGGAAGAGCTCGAAGAAGGGCCGCCTCCGCTCAGCAGCTCAGCGAGAGACTCTGTTCTGGGTGCAGCCTGGCTACCATCAACATTGCGAGAGAATCTCTTTGTGGGTGAGTGCCTGCCATTAGGAGAGCTTGCGCTGCCGCTTGGCTTGGCTGCGCCAGACTGATCCCTCAATCGTCTCCCAAACTCGCTTTGGTACATCCTGAGCGTTGAGAGGGTGAAGCTTGTATGCACGTTGCAACACTATGAGAGGCGAAGACAAAGACGGGCCAGAAGGAGCTCTTGTTGCCCTGTGTGTGAGGAGGATGTCTGATATTGTGAATGTGCAGATGTTCTGATTTGTGCAGTTGATGACGCTTGGCTAGTCGTCGAGTAGAAAGGCGATGGAGAATCGATCTTTAGGTGGCGGGCTGGACTTTCGAAAAGGGGGGGGCGTAGCTGTTGGGATGAAGTCGGGGATAACGGGGCCTTCTTCGAAATGTAGGGATGACGGGATGAGGACAGAGAGGTCGAGTGGCCAGCCAGCCCACTCGCCTTCACTTTGCGTATCGAGATGGGGTTGGTGATGAGAGAAGGACGGATGGTTGAGGAGACAAAGGAGTAGAGGGCGGATGGAAACAGAGGCAGATGCGCCCGCCTGCGCTCCACCCGCCCGCCCAGACCAACGCCCGACACAACAGGCGGACAGGCGGGCGGCATACAAACATGAGAACACGCAACGTGACGATGAGGGGAGGCCCAAGCTCTTGATGGTGGGGGGGAGGGGGGGGGCGGGACAGACGTGGTGCAATCGAACATGATGATATAGGCTAGCATTACGAACAGTGGCTCGGAGAAGACGCGCTGAGGCTACTAAGATCGCGCCTCATGTCCCTCGCTCAGAGCATGCACAAACCCACGGTGCCCAAAGCAGTGACTCCGAGAACAGCGTAACCCGACTGATAGCATCCCTTGACCGAGATGACTGTGCGTACGAGGAAGGCAGGGCAACACGTGGTCAGTTATCGATCTCGCTGTCTCCTCTAAAGCAGCGATGCTTACAGTAGCCCATGTCCCAGGCCAAGTGACGGATACCATTCCAGGTGTGGAAGTTGAAAGCAGCAGCAATGGGAGCCTTGAGGGAGAGCTTGAGCCAGAAGGGGAAGCTGGCGACGAGCGAAGTCAGGTAGCCAGACGAGACCAGCTCGCCGTATCCGGTGTGAAGGGCGCCAAAGTAGGCGATAGCGTATGCGTACATGCCTGCGAGCGCGAGTGTCGGCGACGGGTAAGAGGGTGAGCACTTGTCCTCGCATCTACATGGCAAATCGACATAGCTGCGAAGCTCCGTCTGTTGGCATCGCTCCCAGCCATCGGAGAGCGTGTCCCATGGGCCCTGCAAGACTAGTCCGCCCGGAGACCATGAAGTCTTGTCGCACCCTTCCCATGCTACCCTCCCAATCCTCATCCTCTTCTTTCTCCTCCTTTCCTCCTCTTTCGCACCTTCTTCCCCTGTCCCCGCACGCCATGCGCAGAAACCCTCACGCTGCTACTCACCAACGGAAAGCCCAGTCCCGGTGATACGGTTTGCAATCGACCCAAGCCAAGTAAGCTGCGGCTGGTAAATGGTGAAATGCGGCGAGCTGGGCCTAACGCTCCTCTGCTCGTTCAAGATCCTCAAGCTGTCATCCGGCGTAAGAGAAGTCGTAGCGGGCTTCGAGTTGGGCTTCGTCGCGGCACCACGAGCGACCATCCTCAGCGGTGTTGAGGATGATGACGAGGCGAGGGAGGAGCGGGCGAAGGACCTCGCCATGAGGCGGGCAGTGGGAGTGGCTCTGTAGAGCGACATGATGGGCGGTGTGGGAGGAGTGGTGGTGAGGAAGACGACCGGGGGGAGGAGTGGTGGTAGCGATGACCAATCCAGCCACTCGACGTCGTCGTCGCCGCTGCCTTCAGTCGCCCCTCATCCTCTGTGCCGGCTGGGCCGCTCGCCTCGACTGCTCATCCGCCGGCCACGCCCGAGTAAGAGCGCCACTCCCCACGTGGCAACCCCGCACTCACGCACGCTCACTGACGAGGCGGTCGCGTAAAGTTAGATGAGCGGGAAGCAACGAGCTTAGCTTTGGATCTTCTCGACCAAGCAAGAACAAGATATCAATCCTCAACATGGCCTCAAGCTCATCATCAGCCCAGCTACTGTCCACACCGGTCCCTCTGCCCTGCGGGCGTGTCGTACCCAATCGGCTCTGCAAAGCTCCCATGGTGGAAATGCAGGCTCCCCTTGGCGGCGGACCCTTGGGCGACAAGGAGTTGCGCATCTACGAAGAGTGGGCAGAAGGAGGATGGGGCATGATCATTACAGGCAATATTGCTATCGACGAGACCCACCTTGGTACGCCCTGGGACGTCAACTTCAAGCAGTCCGTCCCGTCAGAGCACATGGAGCAGTTCAAGCGCTACGCTGCCGTGTGCAAGAGTGGGCGCGCTGCAGGAGGAGGAGCAAGTGCAGAGAAGCCATTGGCTATCGTTCAGCTGGTTCACGCCGGGCGCCAGTCCAGTAGAGGGTCAGGGCGCTACCCTTGGGTCCCCGCAATCGCCCCTTCTGCTGTCCCCATGGCAACGGCCAAGGGTGCTCTGCCCTGGCCGATCAGCAGCGTCTTCGACTGGGCGCTCTGGGGTCCCTGTCGCGCTATGACGACCAGCGAAGTTCAGCAGCTCATCAAGCGCTTTGCGGACAGTGCAGTACTCTGCCATGATGCGGGCTTCGACGGTGTAGAGCTTCACGGTAGCCACGGATACATGCTTGCCGCCTTCCTTTCCCCGCGCACCAACCAGCGTACAGATCAGTATGGCGGCTCGGCCCGCAACCGATTCCGCATTGTGGAAGAGATCATCAAAGAGGTCCGCAGCCGTGTGCCCTCAAGCTTCGTGGTGGGTATCAAGCTCAACTCGGCAGACTACGTCCAAGGAGGCCTGACGGAGGAGGATGCGCTCCAGAACGTGCAGTGGCTGGCCGAAATGGGCGGCTGTGATTTCGTGGAGATCAGTGGAGGCAACTACGAGAACCCTTCATTCATGATGCACGACTTTGACGCCGAGGGGGAGACGCGCAAGTTGAGCCAGCAGGACAATGGCGGGGAGGCCGCCGTGAAGCCCAAAGAGGTGAAGGAGTCGACCAAGAAGAGGGAGGCATTCTTTGCCGGCTTTGCGAATCGGGCTGCTGGGATGCTGCCGAAGGGTCAAGAGGGAGGAAAGGCTCCTATGGCGCTCATGGTGACCGGAGGTTTGAGATCACGACGAGGGTGTGCGCAGGCGATTGAGCAGAGCTCCGTTTCACTCTGCGGCATGGCCCGCGCTTCTGCCTTGGACCCGAAGCTGCCCCTCAAGTTCTGCGATGCTTCCCTTTCGGACGAAAGGGCTGCCGTGCCAATCCCAAAGCTGGCGGAGAAGCCTCCCGCTCTCATGTCGCTCCTGCCGCTTAAGCTTGCCGGAGCGGGTTGGACGACGCTGTACCATGCCATGCAGATGGCGAGGATGGTGAATGGGAAGGAGCCGGACGTGAAAGCGGGAAGTTGGGAGCTGCTTAAAGGGCTCTTTGGTCCGCAGTCGAGGACATAGATGCGTAAGCGCTTGGATAGACGAGGACACGAGTGAAGCAGAGTAGCGATAGAGCGACGTGACATTACACGAATATCAGACGAAACGAAAAGGGAAGCGACTCTATAATACATCTAGACCACCATCTCTACCATCAATTACTGCTCTGGCTTGTCTGTGGCGTTCTGTGTGTCACACCTTGTTGCTGCTCCGCTGCTGACCCGCTAGACGACCCCTGCGCCTGATGCTGCGAGCCACTCCTCGCCCTATTGTGTCGCCACTCCCTTCCCCTCCCCTTCACCCTGTCAGCGATGGAATCCGGCGGCGCAGGTGTGGGATAGAAGGGAGCCCACCACCAGGTCATTGGCCAGCGTCGCCCACCAACGTTATTGACTATGAGGCCCCAGGCGACGAAGAGGAGGGATATGAGCAGAACTTGCCCTGGAAGCTCCCATGCCACGCCAGTCTGGATTTTGGGGTTCGTCGTGGCCAATACTGAGATCGCAGCGCCTGGCGGGTGCGTGATACCTACGACCTGCATGACCGCTTGCGCCGTCATTTGTGCTACGGCGGGAGCAGCCCAGTTGACTCCATCTATTCCCCCAATCGTGAATGTGCGCTGATGATTCTCGAACCCTTTGGCAATGGCCGTAGCCACGATAGCGCTGACAGTGTTCCCAATGACGATGGAGGCGGGCTGAGAAGAGGGTAGATGAGGGAGGCAGAAGACGAGGACTGCCTCGGTGCCGTAGCTGGCGAGGACGATGGGCGTATTATGGTCGCGAAAGTAGGGCGTGCGGGCGATGAGGGCAATCCAGCATAGGACGGCGAATGAGCCAATGGAAGAATGGACGACAAGTTTGAAACGCGTCCAGGCTGCCATGGCCGTCTGGGAGCGATACCAGGGTACTTTGCTGCTGTCATCTTGGGAAGATGAGGATGACGAGAACCCGCCACCCTTTTCCTTTTCGTTGGCGCTCGCATTAGCACCGGCTGCATTTGGCGCTACTCGATCTGGAGTGCTCTTGGATGCGAAGTCGAGCCAGCTCAAGCTGGTCACGTAGTGGAAGCGAGCATCGAAGCGGCGATATCCTTCGTCACCTGGCTGAAGAGAATCGATGATGGTAGGTGTGCGGTGGCCAATCCAGTGGCTGATGGGATAAATGGCGTCAAGGAGGTCCAAGACCGTATGGGGCGCCATGCTGACTGACTGGCCTGACTAGATCAATCTGTCCAGATGAGATGCAAGACGCAACTGAGGTGGTAAAGGAAACAAGATATTGGCTTGTTCCACGCCGACTCGCTTGCTTCTTGGCCCTTTTTACCGTAGATGCTCGCCCTGGACCCTTGGTCATCCGGCGGCTGCATTTCCCCCCGTCCTGTCGTTGCCGCGTTGCCGCGTTGCCGCGTCTCCTTCCCGCACGCACGCCTGTGCCTCTCTCCACGGGGCTGCGCCAAGCCAATCTCCGAAGAGCCGGCGGCGGAAAGAGAGGTTCAAGGTTGCATGCAGCGCCGCCTTATCTCCCAAGTGAGCCACAAGTTCTGCTCTTGGCGCCGAGTAAGTCATCGTTCCGTGTTCCTATCCTCCCACTACCCTCGTCCGCGCCTCTCACTCCAGTCATGACCTCCTCCGGCCCCACTAGAGATTCCTCGCCCTTTGCTCTCCAATCCTTTTCCTATGGCAAATCCCTCGTCCGCCTCCTACGGGTGGTTCGCCATACCCCGACTCACCACCATATCGTAGAGTACACTGTTGCGACGCTCCTCTCAGGCCCATCTCTTGCCAGCAGCTACACTGAAGGGGACAACTCCCTAGTCGTGGCTACGGACTCGCAGAAGAATACGGTCCACTTCCTAGCAAAGACTCTACCGCCCGAAGAGGTCTTGTGCCCAGAAAAGTTTGCGCTGAGGATTGCGGCTCACTTCCCTACCAAGTACGCCCATATTGAGAAGTGCGAGGTTGAAGTTGTGTCGCATAAGTGGTCAAGAATCAAACTCGACGAAGCAGGAGCGAATGAGGAGGAGCACTCCTTTGTTCGCGATGGCGAGGAGAAGCGCACAGTGCAAGTCGTGGCCGAGCAGCAGGGCAGCGATAAGGCCATAGCGATCACTAAGCTTCAATCAGGCCTCAAGGACCTGCTCCTCCTCAAATCAGGAGGATCAGCATTCCATTCTTTCCTGCGAGACGAATTCACCACGCTGCGTGAGGTGAATGATCGCATCTTCTCGACCGCCGTGGACTGTCGGTACGACTACGCCCTGCCCGCCGCCTCCTCTGCGGGCATCGTCGACTCCCTGATCGCTTCTCACGATTTCGACGGCATCGCATCTTCCATCCGTCAATCCACACTGCGCATCTTCTCACATACGGACACAGGAGCAGCAGCAGCTAGTGTTCAAGCCACTCTGCACTTGATGGCAACTACGGCTCTGTCAGCCCCCGAGAACGCCGCCGTTGACAGTATCGAGTATGCTTTGCCGAACAAGCACTACGTACCTATTGACCTCAAGTGGGCAGGATTGGAGAATATGAAGGAAGACGAAGCAGAGGTGTTCCTGCCGCAGGCTGATCCCAGTGGGTTGATCAAAGCAAAGGTTGGGAGGAAGGCATGACGGCGAGGTAATGTGGGAGGGCGCTCAAAGACAGGAGCGATGTGGGTCGTGAGAAACTGCGGGTAATTGTAGAAGATGACAGAGAGACTACTTTACAAGTACACAATCAGACGAACCAAGATCCTCCTACTACTTCGCTCCGCCACCATCTCCTTTCGCTGCCCGGCTAGTCCCTTCCTCTTACGAAATTGGTCTCCCCCTCTACTGCACTTCTGACTTGACTTCACTCCTCCCCTCCCTGACTACTATGGCTCTGACTGCTCCTCGGCCTATGCTGTGGAGATGGGTGCTGCTGCATGGGCGGAAGCGGCGGTGGGGGAAGCCTGCGTCCATCACTTCCGCCGCCTGGGCCCACGGGCGACGAAGACGGACGTGAGCCATACGGATGGTAAGAGCTCCCCGCTGTCGATGGGGGCGCGACGTTGCGAGACGACGAGGACCAGGAATCTCCACGGTAGGGCGGCAAGGCCGAGCCACCAGGGGACGCTGAGCGACTGCCATTCGCTCCTGCAGCTGCACCTGGACTGAGACCTCCGGCGCCACCGCCAGGAGAGAATCGCGAGGGTAGCGGCGGAGGTGGGGCCAGGCTGCGATGCGATGAGCCGGGAGGCGCCAGTCGATCCCCATATGAAGGCGAATGACCATAGTCGCGGTAATTCGACGAGGGCGGCAGTGGTGGAGGCGGAGCGGGCGAGGCAGATGAGCCTGATACCGTAGGATGACCTGCGGACCAGGACGAGTGGCGTGGCTGCTGTTGAGGATGAAGCCCGTGCGCAGACCCATACGATGGACGACTGCTCAATGATGAAGGGGGTGGCATGCTGCCTCTCCCGGCGTCATGGCTGCTGCGCTGCTCAACAGGGCTCCTCTCAGGCAATAGCGGCGAGAGCTGCTCGCGCACGCTGCTGCTATTGTATACTGGTGGACGAGCAAAGCGAGCAGTGGATGAGTTGCCTGTCGCTGGGTACTCGCCTCCACCTGCGTAGCTGGTGCGTAGCCCACTGCCTGATCCTAGCCCATTGGGTGTTGAGAGGCGCGGCAGGCTAGGCAGCGACGAAGGAGGTAGAGGAGGAGCGTTGGTCGTCGATGATGCTGCACTTCCGCTCTCGCGTGCGCCAGGCAGGTAAGGGCGAGGCTCATACCCTGCGTGTGGCTGCTGAGGCGGCTGCGGCTGCGATTGATGGTAAGAGGGCCTCGACAAGTACGCATGATGCGTCGCTGGGGAAGGACGAGCAGAGGAGCTGAACGCAAAACTCTCCGAGTCGGTCGATTCACCCTCCCTGTCTGACGAGGGGGCAGAAGAAGAGGACATGGGCTGGCTGCCGTGCTCAGAGGGGAACCACTCGTGCATGGCTGGCTTCCTTGCCATGGGGGCGGGAGGGCGTTCTTGAGATGAGGACGAGGAGGCCGTGCTTGGCCGATCGTCGTTCAGCAGGGACATGATGCCCATCCCACCGGGTCGGCGAGGAGGGGGAGCCATCCCTCCCCCGAGCTCAGGTGAGGACTCTTTGCTGATGACAGGCGACGGTCCCGGCCGAGCGGAGGAAGCTCCGCTACCCGTCTGCTGGCTCTGCCCTCCTTCAACCCCGGTCCCAAGCCCAAGTCTCTCCCGCGCCCACTCCGTAGCCATTTGCTCCCTGACACTCAGCGGCTGCTCAGCCTGCTTCTCTCCGAAAGTCGCCGCCTCCACGAAGTCTGGCAGCTCGGCGTTTCGAGCAAAGAAGTTGCGAGCCTGGGCCGCAGACTTGGCATTGAGACGGGTCGCAACGAGCTTCCAGTCTTTGCCATGAATAGCGATGCCGCGCAGGAACTCGCCGCGCTCTTGGACTGACCAGTAGGAAGAGGTGGCAGGGCGTTGCTTGCGTTGCGGCTGTTGAGCAGCGCCGTCTTCACCGACTGCCATGCCAGAGGGAGATGAGGCGGAGGGGTCGAGGTGCTTGCGCTTCTTACCGCCTGCGCCTTTTCCGCTGGCCGGTGGGATGGGCAGCATTCCCGATAGGGCCCCAAGAGCTTCCGCGGCTGCCAGGTCGCTGTCTGCTGACGCTTCCTCGGCGGGCGTGGCAGCGCCAGAGGGTGTGTCGATGGTCTGGCTGTCTATGAGCTCGCCCGCCGCAATGGCTGCTGCGGATGCCTTGGCCTTGCTTTGGCCTTTGACCCTCTTGCCACCTCGTCCGCTCTTGGGCTTGGCTGAGGGCTCGCCGACTTTCCTCGCCGCTGATCCACCAGGCGTCGTAGCCCCCGTCGCTGCCTGGCCTTCCTCTTCCTCGACCGGCGGTAGCAGCCCACCATCGCCCATCAATCTTGTCCTCTCATCCATAGGACTCATCGGCGTATCACCTCCAGCAGCCTCATCGTCTCCTACCGCCTCGTCCCCCTTGGCCGATTTCAGATCCGCCATTAGAGCACTGCCGCGTCCCTTCTTAGGCTTCATCACCCTACTCTTGCGCTTCTGGTTCCTGTTCCTCGCCGCCGTGATCGCCTTGTAGTCATGGCCGGGCTGATGCTTCGTGAGGTAGTAGTAGTACACACACTGCGACGCCGTCTTGTTCGGCAAAGCAGTAGCAATCCTCCCGAACTGCTTGGGCCACAGGGCGTACTTGCGGGCAAAGATGGCCTTCTCCTCTGCAGACCAGAAGTCAGGGTCGAACTCATCTAGGTAGTAGCTCACGGGGTTCGCAACAAAGTGATTGCGCTCGTCGACCTCGTACTTGAGTAGAGCGTCCCTGTCGGGATTGATGAGCTGGTCGGGGACCGTAGTGGCTGTGCGAGCTGCGCGGGCTTCTGGGTCTTGCATGTCGGCGGTTTCCAGGGAGGCAAGGATCTCGAGGAACTCAGCTTCGGAGCGGACGGCGTCCCCGAAGCCTAGGGCACCTGATTGGGTGCCGCGACGATTGGAACGACCGCCGATGCTCGGCGTCATCAGAGGCTGCGATTGAGAGGCGGACTGCTGGTGCTGGGGAGTGCCAGCATCGTCGCCTGACGCGAAGGTGCCGCCTGCTCCTTGTGGCGTATTAGTGCCTGCAGCTGCCTTGCGAGCATTCTCGCGAGCCTCTGCCGCTCTATCGAGCCTCGCGCAATGAGCCTGCCAGTCGGTATTGAGAGCCTTGTATTGGCTTTTGAGGCGCTCCGTCTTGGCCGCGAGGCGCTGGTTGGAAGCCTTGATCCGCTCGGTGAGGATAGCGCGCATTCGCTGAGTCTTCTCCGTCTCCTCGTACACGTCAATGTCCACCTCGAGCTTAGGAGGCGGCGGGCCATGCACGGCAGATTCCATAAGCGAATTGGTCGTCTGCTCTGCCATTCGCTGATTGATCGCCATCAGCTTATCGATCGTCACGTCCGAGTCTGGCTGCTTGCCATTGGTGATCAAGCGCAGGATGGTCGCTCGCTTGGCTTCGGCCAGTTCCTCGTCGGTCTTCTGAGGTGGCTGCGGCGAAGAGTCGGCATCTTCGCCGCGCTCTCCATCATTCTCGCCCGACTCAGGCGTCTTCATGACAACGTCGCCTGCTATGTCTGCTTCGACCTCTGCCTCTGGCTTACCCTCGGCACTGGCGGCAGCGACGGCAACGGCCTCTTTGAGGACGGCGTCCAGCTCCTCTTGCCCTTCGTCAGCGGCCTTGGCAACCTGCGCGACTTCCGCTTGCTGCGCGAGGGGAACCGCCGCCTTCGTCTCTGCTTCCTCAGCACCTGCCATTTGAACATCGTCGCTCATCGATCGTCCTGCTTCAGAGGTCGTAGCTAGTTCAGAGACAAGCTGGGTGCTAGGGCCTTCGATGGGCGTTTCGACGCGGGTCGCATCAGCAGCTGGCTCCGTCACGACTGCAAGAGCGGGGGCCGTTGCAGGCATCTCTTCACCTGCGATCGCAGGTGCTTGCATCTGCGCCTCAGCAGGCAACGTGGGAGCCGCAGACTCTGAGAATGGTGGGGCATTGCTCTCCTCGTCCGCAGCTGGCGTGATAAGAGGCTCTTTCGGATGAGGCGCAGCGCTCTCTATCTCCTGCTTAAGGCTAAGAGGATCCACAGGAGGAGGCTGTGGTGTTGGAAGGCTAGCTGCCTCTGGCATTTCTTGGTTGGCTAGCTCCTTGACCTCTGCAGCCACGTAGTCTTGGACTGCGCCGGTGTCCTCGGATGCAAGAGGCCGGGCGGCGCTTCCATCCTCTTTCGAAGCTGCACTGTCCTGCGTCTGTGGCTCAGCCCTGCGGTGATCCATGCTATCCTGCGCCTCGCTTTCGATTGCCGTGGCAGGCTCGCCCGCCGATGCTGAGTCGCCCGCCGTCTGGCTCTCAGCCGCCTGCACAGTTTGTTGCGACTCACGCCTTGCTTTGCCGCCCCATCCAGCATCTCTCGCTGGCGGCTCGAAACCGGGACCCCAATTCGGCCTCGCTGCACGTGCAGAACCCGGTGAGGCAGCTCTAACAGGTGGCAGAGGAGGTGGTGGCGGTGGTGAGGAGGGAGGGCCGAGGTTGCTGGTCGAGGAGCGGCTCCTTTCAAATGGCTGAGCAGTCTCGCTGCGAGAAAGCTCAGGACTTCGCCTCCAAGCGTCCGCGGCAGCGTCCGGGCGCTTGGACTGCTGCAGTGAGGGCGTCCTCGAGCGTACAAAGCCATCGTCCATTGTTCTTCTTTCGCTACCCCGCCTGTAAGCGCGATCATCGATACCCCTGGAAGCAGGATGCCAGGGATCACCGCCTCTGCTTTCTTCCATCTCGCTGCGCTCTCTCTCCCTCCCTCCATTCCGACGATTCCAGCGGGTAGGTGGACCAGCAGATGCAGGCCCGGATCCCCATAATCGACTTGGACGCTCCGTCCCTTCATCGCGGTAGCTGTGGGAAGAATGCAAGCTAGGTCGAGCGCCGATGGAGTTGGGTCCAGATAGGGGTGCGGTGGGTGAAGGCTGCCTCCTCTCCAAGCGTCGATCCCTGTCAACGCGGCGGTCGGGTGACATAGACCTTCGCTCGCTCGGACGAGGCCAGCTTGGGCGGTCTTCTTGTACTGAGCGTTGCCTGAACGACGCGCTATGTTGGCGGAAGGGGCTTGGTCCCTCTGGTCGATGATAACCATCTCGTTCCAAAGGAGGGCGGACATCGTCGTAGCGGCTAGGCGGCCACATTGATGGTCCAGAGCGCTCCCTCTGCCTGTCTCTGTCTCGCTCCCTCTCGGTGTGCAGCGGTGGATGCGGCGGGGCAAAAGAGTCGTTTCTCATGCCGGTTGCGGGGTTGCCCCAACGCCGTGATGTTGGCGTGGATGATGATGAGGACGAGGAGGCGTTCTGCTCGTTGTTGAAGCCGGCGGGTCGAGGCGATGAGCGCTCGCTGCGACTGTGATGGCCGCTCGATGATCTTGCGTGTGGTTGCTGAGCGTCGTTCTGGTCAAGTTCACCTTCTTCCTCTGACTCAGCGTCGTCCTCCTTGATCATGCCCTCTTCATCGCTCGTCGAGCTCGCCTTGGAGGGCGAGGCAGCGGACCTCGACGGCGGCATTGCGGCGATCGATTGCGATACAGAGCCGGCGATAGCCTGCTGACGGGGAGGGGCTGGGGCGGATGCTAAGCTCGATGAAGAGCCTGGCTCGGCACCCGCTTCATCTCCTCTTGCGGCCGCTGACCCTGGGCCACCTCCGAGGCCGAGTCTTTCGGCGAGTGAAGGCATCGGTCGTGGTGGTTTGGCATCAGAGCGAGGCGGGTGCTGAGATGGATCTGCCGCTGATGTTGAAGATGACACGCCGTTGTTGGCGGCAGAGGTCTGATTCGGTGCTGGTCGTTGCGAACCGGATGCATCTCCTGCCGTCGTTGAATCCCTCGACGGATGGCCGAGCTCCATGCCCCGGGCGTCGCAAGGAGCGGCGTGGCAGCAGGCGGATGGCGATCTCGCCTTGCTGAGCGTAGTGCTGCCGGGTATACGGCCTCAAATGAGGATAATGGTGAGAAGGCTTCGGTAGGAAGCAGGCGAGAGAGGTACCCGATGGTAGCGGACTCGAGATCGATGCAGCCGCGAGTCACGTGACTGCTCGGCCACCCATCGACGCCCCCCAATCGTACAGTCATGACTTCTGGAGGTTCGAGTGACATTCCTGGCTCCTTTAAGTACGTGACAAAGTGTATTCGTCTGTGTGCTCGATGCTCAACAGCTCGCGCTGGCCGCTGAGAGCTCTGATGCCCACCGTGAATGAGTTCGGGGACAGCACAAGACATTGGCCCAGCCTTAATAGGCAGCCGCCATCTATCTTGCTGAGGACGTCAAATTTGATGCTGTCCCCCAACATTCTCAGCTGTCTATCCTTCAGCGAAAGCGATCACTGACGCTCATCCGTATTAAGTTGTGTCGATGACCTCGCGAGATCATGGCGTGGGATCGCCACGAGCTGAAGGTGTCCAGCGGCCCCGTCTCTTCTGCGCCCTCGTCTCGTTGATCTGCCTCGATTGGAAACCTACGAAGGCTGCTCTGGAGCATGTGTGATCACTCAGACCTCGAGGGCGTCTTCTCGGCCGTGTGGAAAGCCAGCACAATATGCCGTCCAATGTATGCGGGACGCCAAAAAGCGAGCGTACAGCCGACGGTCACTAGCTTGACACAGGCTTCAATCCCTTTGAGAGCGAGCAGGATGGGTGTGTGGGGTGCATATGACCTTGGGTCATCTGGGTGGCCTGAGAAATGAAGACGGGCCGCGAGAAGGCTTCTCTGCAGTAGCTTGACCTGCCTATGGACAGTCTCTATGACGGTCAACTTCGTCTCGAGCCGCTGCCGCTGCCGCCGCCACGGTCCGCCAGGGAGGCCAGGTGCTGAGTGTGGAAGAGAGCAAAGGATCCGTCGAGGAGACTAAGGAGTGATGATGTTTGTGATCCAAGCTGTCGTCGTCATCCATGCCAGCAGATCATATCATCAGAAATCTGTCGATCATGAAGGTGCTTCTCGTTACCAGCCTGTCTGCCATCGTGGCTTCGCTTTCAGTGCGTGCTGCGCCAACCAAGTAAGCACGCCTCCTGCTGCTCGTGTGACTCCTCAAGAGCCGTTGCTGATCCATTCTGTTCTTCATGATCCGCCGCCTCAGTCCCCCAAAGGGTCAGCAGCCGGTCAGCTACTACTCTCTCGAATATCAAGATAACCTAGTCAACACCGCAAACAAGATCAAAGGCTCCGGACTCGAGTCTCACTATGACCCTGAGCTTTACGTCTACCCGGAGATGATCGAGCCGGGACGTCTGTCAATCGATTGCGATACTGAAGCCATGAAACGCGATCACTCCGACGTAGCCCAGCTCTACACGCCAATCTCGCAGCAGCTGCCCCATGAGAATGCATGGTGTGCCTACAAGACTGGGCAGGGATACGTCGCCTCGCGCACGCATTTTCCGGGCGTCACGGCTGAGATGATCCAGTGGTGGCTCTGGTGGCATAGCGCTTCGTCTGAGCGGTACTCTCTTTGGCATCGTGAGTGTCTGGTAGCCCGCAGCCTAGGACAGGGAGACTGACAAGCCTCCACCCTCAACCACTCCGTTTCCTCGGCAGCCTGGGCGCATGTAAGCGTATCTTCGAGCTACGCCAGCAAATTCAATGACTCGTCGCTCTCCAATTTCGACAAGCTTGTCGGCTCGGTCCACGACATCACTGAAATAATTGGAGATACGTCAATGGATATCTCCATTCACTGGAAGAATGGAAGCGTCTTTGGCCTGGACGAGAGCAAGTTCAAGGACGCGGGCATCGTGGCTTGGGGGTTTGGTGAGATCTATGTGCCAAAAGGAGGCCCATTGAAGGCGGTCGACATGATCCATCTATGGTATCAGGTAGAGGATGGGCTGGAGCAGAGGAGTCGCTACTTCCTGGCGAACAATGTGTGAGTGTACGGCAGCGACGACATGGGGCGGGTGGTGGGGAGTACAGGATGTTGCGCTGACGCCTCACCGTTACACAGCCACCTCGATATCCCCGTGTTGGGTGATCTCATTCCAGTCGATCAGCTCGGAGACCTCACAGGCTTCAAGAATCTCATTGTTGGCCGTCACCTTGCCCATGAGCAGTTCACTCACGACCAGCAGGAAATGACCCATCTCGCCTCGATCTTGCCGGGCGTGTACAAGGAGTTTGGGCCCAAAGCCAAGTAGTTGAGCCTGCGTCTTTGCGGTCCCTATTCGTACCTACTGTCTGAGCTGAAATTGATCATGGAAGGTATACAATGAGAACGCTGTGATGTCGTTGATCGTGCTCTTCGTCGAGTCCCGAGTGAGTTAGCAGCCTCGACGAGCTCTCCACCGTGGCGACAAGGTCGAGAGCGCACCACGTGGCCGACCGTCTACCTCGGCCCGCGTCTGCCCTGGCTAGCTCGCTCGCCCGCCCCGTTTCGCGGAGAAGGATGATCAACAAAGGGCACAGCCTCACCCCATCGTGAACAATGGTCCAACCTGACGGCCGGTACTGACTCGAAGCGCTGCGACTGCCTCAAGTCATCCTGTTCTTCTCCAGGATGCGCAATACCATGCCTGTCCTTGCACCATTACCTTGGCGTCGACTCAGCATCGACTCGGCGACCAGACATCTACCTCCCACCGCTCCGAGCGGGGCGGGGGACCGAAGCTGGCCAATGAAACGCCGTGCGATCAGGTCGTAGATGCCAGGTGGCCTGATTCGAGGGTCAGACTTGGCTCATCTGTGTGTCAGTGGCGAGGCGGGCGACGTGGGCGAGGTCGAGGGGGAATGTGCGACACTTTGCTGCCGCTCGCTCGCCCCGCTCTCGGTGCTGGCAGATTGGAGTTAGTCGACGTCGACGAAACGAGGCGAGCACAAGTCGTTGCATTTGGGGGTCTCGACGAGTTCGACGAGCCATCGAGATATCGTCCCCCCTGGTGCTCAGTTCACCTCTTCCCTTCACAACCACCACTACAACCCACCACAAACGTGAGTAACTGAGCATCATCACCTCAGCAACCATCGTCGAATCATCCACTGACCATCGAGCTCGCTACCACGTTCTCCCCACCATTCGCATCCCTGTCTCCGCATCCATCCGCTCCACGCCCCCGCGCCGCCGCAATCCGCACCGCGCCACTGATCTGCTGGCTACCATCGTCGCTTCCGTATCGCGACTCACCGGTGTTGCAACTCGACCCCACTCAACGCGATTACACACAACGACAACGACGACGCGAAACATCGTACAACCACTCAACGTCTTACAACAACCTTCGATCACACTACTCCCTTTACTCTCATCTCGTTGACAACGTGTCTGCTCGCTACCAGCAAGATGGCCCGCACTAAGCAGGTGAGTACTCGCGTTGCCTTGCCCCTCCTCGACCAAACACTGACATCTGCTCCACTCTTCACCCTCTCGCCGTTCTCAGACCGCCCGCAAGTCCACCGGAGGAAAGGCTCCCCGCAAGCAGCTCGCCACCAAGGCTGCCCGCAAGTCGGCGCCCGCCGCCGGAGGTGGTGAGTAGATGAACGCATGTTGCGATCAGGATGCGGGGACGGGCGAGGAGAGCGGGTGGCAAATAGGTGGGTTGTGTCGCTCAATCGTGCGCAGCAGCCGCCTCTCGCCACCCGCCCTCCTCGTCATCACCTGCGCCCGACTTCAGCACCGAATCACAACTAGGTCGACACGCGTACTGACTTTCATCTCTACACCTTGCCCTCTCACAGTCAAGAAGCCTCACCGCTACAAGCCCGGTACCGTCGCTCTCCGTGAGATTCGTCGCTACCAGAAGTCGACGGAGCTTCTCATCCGCAAGCTGCCCTTCCAGCGTCTTGTCCGTGAGATTGCTCAGGACTTCAAGACGGACCTCCGCTTCCAGAGCTCTGCCATTGGCGCTCTTCAGGAGGCTTCCGAGGCCTACCTCGTCTCTCTCTTCGAGGACACCAACTTGGCTGCCATTCACGCTCGCCGTGTCACCATCCAGCCCAAGGACATCGCCCTCGCCCGCCGTCTTCGCGGTGAGCGCTCGTAAGCGTGCCGCATGCCGCATGTCGCAAGGGTAGACGCTAGTCGTAGAGGCTATCACCCATCGCCGCGATCCCGACTCGACCCCCATATCCACACGCACTGTCGGTGACTCCACGGCAGTTCGTCGTCCATCCAAGGCGATGCGCGGCGTGCTCGAGTCACGACGTCTCTTCTTGTCATTCCTGTCTCTTTGATACGATCCTGATTCCATTTCTGTACCGATAGCGATTGCGAGAAAACTCCGGCAGACTCGAATGTACGCGTACGAGGCCGCCGACACAGCTCCTCGCACCGTCGTATCCAGTGCGATCTGCGTTGGAGCCAGCTGGCCGGTACCATACTCTGCAATCACGATGTGGCTTTATCCAATCCTCTGCGCACCAAGCGTGACACCATGATGATCGTGGACGTGCGAGCCTTGAAGATCGCGCATCGGCGTCGCTGCACGACCATCTCATGATGCAAGACGGCGGCGACGCCTCGTAGCCCGAGCCCAAGCCTTAGCTTCTGGCCAGCGCTTGCTTGCAGGTTGACAGGCGGCGCTCTTGCCTCTTTGACCTGAGTCGCGCGGCACGACTCGCGGGTCGGCCAGCCACGCGAAGGAATTTTTCTGGCTCTGGCCGAGCGAAGATCCACATAGAAAAGTCAGGGTTGCGTCGATCCACATCTTGTCTTCCTTTCCTCCCTATCCACCCCAATAACCCTACAGCTTGACTTCATCTTCCATCATGTCGCAAGCAGTCGGTCTCTTTGGTCTCAAGCTCAAGCCTGGAGAGGTGAGCACGAGCAGGTACGATGAGCTGAGCCCAATGTAGCGTATCCTGACCATCATCTCCACCTACTCTCATCGCTTCAGGTGCACCGCGTCTCCATGGTCTTCAACGAGTTCAAGATCACCAACGTCTCATTCGGTGAGAGCGTCACTGGCAACAAGCGCGCTGTCATCAAGGTCCACCACATCCCTCACTACGGCCACCCGGCAGTCGCCGACGAGGACGAGGAGGATGAGGAGGACGACGAAGATGACGAGGACGATGAGGAGGCACAGGACGCAAAGGACCTCGCCAGGGCTGAGAAGGCTTACACTGAGCGCACATTTGTGCTCTGCACCCTTACGCCTGGCAAGATCGAGCAGGTAAGTGCATGCGAGGAGGGCATCACATCGTCATCTACAGCTCAGACACTGACCGACTCCATCCACCCTTGCCCCACACAGGCATCCGTCGACATCGCCTTCTCTGAGGATGAGGACATTGGATTCTCCGTTACCGGCGACAACGAGGTCGACCTCCTCGGGAACTACACCTCTCCCGTCGGCATCAACGAGCCCCCTTACTCTGACGAGGAGATGAGCGACGAGGAGGACGACTCGGACGACTACGACAGCGATGGCATGCCCATCAACTACCCTGGCGAGTACGACGAGGACGACGAGGAGATCGACTCAGATGAGTACGACTCTGATGACTTCGACGCCGATGGTCTCGAGGCCATCCTCGCCGAGGAGGACTCTGGGCTTGAGGATGAAGACGAAGATGACGAGGACGAAGATGAGGACGACGACGACGAGGAGGAGTCGGACGAGTCGCGCATTGAGGAGGTCGCCGACGTCCCCGTTGAGATGACCAAGTCAGCCAAGAAGCGCAAGGCTGCCGCCGAGGCCGAAGAGGACGAGGACGTCTCCATGACTGCCGCCGCCGTCACAGACGCCGAGCTCGAGGGCGCTGCCGCCGCCGAGGGCATTGACGTGTCCAAGCTCAGCAAGTCGCAGCGCAAGCGTCTCAACAAGAAGCTCAAGGCTGCCGGCGACGCTGGTGACGTCTCTGCGGTCTCTGCTGCTTCGGCCTCAAGCGCCAAGCCCGCTACTTCTACCAAGGAGTCGAAGAAGGCCACCATTGTGGAGAACGGCAAGGCCAAGACAGCTGCTAAGGAGACCACTGCTGAGAACGGCAAGACGGTGAGTACCAGTGGAAGACTCAGTCACAGGACAGTGCAGTCGTCGTCGCCATCATATCGCCATTGCCGCTTCGCCGCGCGCAAAGAGGATGAAACAAATTCAACACAGACCTGATCCGAATGGCTCGCCCTCACGGGCAGAGCCTGCCTCTATCTCGAGGTTGTGGAACAACCAATTATTGCCTACTCGTTCTGATTTCAGCGCAGCGGCAGCAATGGCGATGGCGGCGACGGCAACGACGTGCGACATCAATTACCGATGAAATTGTCCGACTGACGTCTCTCGCGCCCCTCGTCATCATCTGTAGACATCCAGCAAGACGAAGCTCCCCAACGGTGTCGTCGTCGAGGTCAAGAAGACGGGCTCAGGCCCCGCAGCAAAGAAGGGCCAAAAGATCGGGATGCGTTACATTGGCAAGCTGGCCAAGAACGGCAAGGTCTTTGACCAGAACACCAAGGGCAAGCCCTTCACTTTCAAGCTCGGCCGTGGTGAGGTGATCAAGGCGTGGGACGAGGGAATTGTCGGCATGCAGGCTGGTGAGGAGCGCAGATTGACCTGCCCGCCTGCTACTGCGTATGGCAGCAGGGGTGCTCCGCCTGACATCCCGGGCAACAGCGTCCTCGTGTTCGATGTCAAGTGCATCACCATCGGGTGAGCGCAGGGCGACAGAATCGTAGCTCCCTCTTCCTTCCTTGAACCGCCTCCCTCGTGCGCCACAAAATGTTTGTCCCTCTATGTACACCATGTAATTCGTTGAACGCTTTCGTCTCGCACCACCACCACACTATCTTGAATACCAAATCCAAGCCATCATCTCTGCAGCACATCACGGGGATTGTCTGTCCTCTGATTCGAGTAGCCTGTCCACGTGGGAGTTGAGCTTGTCAGATACCGCGGACGGACAAGAGGGGCGCTCCGATGACCTCAGGCACAAGGGAATCGATGGACCGGCCGTGCGGCGTTTCCTCCGCTCCTCGCCGTTGTACTGCTACCTCATCAGCACCGTGCATCCCGACTTGCCCTTCATCCTCCCTTCACATGGACCTTGCTCCTTCGTAAATGCTCTGCCTTTGCCCCTGGTGTTCCCACTTGCTTGCTCTCCTAGAATAGCAACTACCGTCAAGCTGCGCCGCGGAAGACAGGAGGTCAGGCAAAGGAGCGAATACGACATTCGACTTTGGTTCCTCGCACGCCTGCGAAACACCTCTTCCACAGAGAGACTGCACGCTGGGCTGGCGTGGGCACAGTCATGGCCTTCCTCCTTCATCCGATCCAGTACGCCGTCCAACGCTGCGTAGACTCAATAGTGCAAACCCCAGAGCGCGGTGCAAGGATCTCGGGAAAGACGACGTTGCAAGACCTCGATGTGGCCGCCAATGCTCCCCCAACCAGGACGAGCAGGATACGCAACCCTTTTGCCTCGGCCTCCTCTGCAGATCCTCCTCCTCCTCCTCTCGAAGCGGAATCCCTCGCCTTCTCCCCGGACGTGGGCTTTCAACCAACTTACTTGCCCCCACCTCTTTGGAAGCGACCTCACACCTCCGTAGAGGCGCAAAGGCTGTACAATCATGCCCGCACCGTAGCTTGGTATGCGGATAGTCTACCGTTGCTGGAGACTTGGCGATTCTTACCCTTCAATGTAGGGGTGGACTCAATCATTGGACTAGTGCCCGGGCTGGGAGATATAGCGGGTGCAATCATTGGGGTGTACTTGGTGGGCATCGTAGCACTCTTTGGGTTGCCAATCAGGTTGGTGGGCATCATGCTGCTCCTCGTGACGCTCGATACACTCGTAGGCGCAGTACCATTAGTGGGAGATGCTCTGGATGTTGCTTTTAAGGTGAGGCGAGGCTGCGTGGACCCCTTTACGCATTTGACCGCATCATGACTGATATCCTCTTCTTTCGTGAATCTGCTAGTCAAACTTGTACATCCTCTACCTCCTCGAGCACCATCTGGTCGCTTCAGGGGGCAAATGTGGGGCAGGAACTTTCCAAGTAGTCATGCCGCCGTCAGGGGTATGGTTCAAGCAGACGAGGGGAGCAAGACGAGCGGGACCGCCCCCGGGGCTTAGGACCGCCGAAAGCATTGCAATGCAGCCGCAGCAGCCAGCGCTCGCAACGTCTCCTCGTGCTCCACCTGCGTCGTCCCCCGGCATAGCACCCCCACCAGACGTGCTAAACGCCTCGATCAGAGCAGGGGGGAGCAGCACAAGCGGTAGTAGCAGCGGCATCAACGCAGGTGGCGGAGGACCAGCAGGCAGTACTCAGACTGAACGCTCCATTCCTCGTCGGCCCATGGCTCCCTTTGAGGGGCAACATCTCCCTGCGATGCCTCTCTCATTACCTTCGGAATTCAGAGCAAGCGAGGAGATCCAAGAGCAGGCAGCGGCGCGTTCTGATTCAAATAGCAATGGGCACGGCAGTCGTAGAGATGCGGAGTCAGCGCCTCTGCTTGCAAGTGCACTTGCACATGGCAGCGCAGACAAGGATGCGCACCATAGTGACGACGAGTACGACGACGATGAGGACGAAGAGTCGGACGGGCAGCAACCCCCACGCCTCGTCTTCCCGGACATGGTCACCTCACCTGGGCGACCTCGAGTGGCAAGCAGCAGTGGAGGTACAATGATCAGCCGCAGCCGTAGTCGAAGCAAACTGCGTGATCAACGTCGACCTCGCGGCGTCTCATGGCATGCCGACATTCAGGGAGGGTACGCAGACGGATCACTTGATGGCCATGACAGCGACGATGCTGCTACCACCACCGCTCTTGATGACAGCGATGTAGAATCGCATCGCCTCTCCCGGCAACCCTCGACACCCAGCATATCCGTCGCAGGTCGACGACGGCGGTACCTCCTCATCTACTCAGCCATATTTGCTATCGCATACGTCACCTCCCTCGACGCCAACACAGGCTACCTCTACCTCAACTTTGCCTGCTCAGAGTTTGGCGCCCTCGCTTCCTTCAGCACCGTAGCCATTTGCCAGCAGATGGTCTTCGCCATTGCGAAACCACCCATTGCCAAGCTTTCCGACGTCTTCGGTCGTGCGGAGGCTTTCTTGTTCGCGCTGGCCATGTACTCGAGCGGGTACGCAGTTGTGGCTAGCGCGAATAGCTTGCAAGGCTTGATAGGTGGAATCGTGCTGCAGAGTGCGGGAAACACGGGAGTGCAGGTGTTGCAGAGTATCGTCATTGCAGACCTCACGACCGCGAAGTGGCGCGGCCTGGTCATCAGTCTGGTCAACCTACCGTATCTCATCAACTTTGCGGTCGCGGGACCTTTGGTGGACGCAGTGATGCAGAGTTACGGCTGGAGGGTCGGGTACGGAATGTGGAGCCTCGTGGTGCCCATGGCAGCCGCTCCGCTCGTCATTGTGCTCGCCGTTGGGCAGAAACAGGCTCGAGATGCAGGGCTGCTAGAGCAACGCCGGGTTTTCGGTCGCGGCTGTGGCGCCGCAGTCACCCACATCTCAAGGGAGATCGATGCACTAGGTCTCGCCCTCTTCACCCTAGCCTGGACTCTCCTGCTTGGCCCGCTCACACTCGCCGGCCACGGAGCTTCCGCCTCGACGTCCCGCACAGCAGCCATTGCCTCGATGTGCATTGGCTGCCTACTCCTCATAGCCTTCACCTGGTGGGAACGCCGAGCTTCCAACCCTATCATGCCGCTGCGCTTCCTGGGGAATGGGGCCGTTGTCTGCATCTGTCTCATCGGAGTTCTGGACTTCGCCTCCTTCTACCTCAGCTGGACGTACCTCTCTGCCTTTGTGCAGATCGTCAAGGATTGGGGCCAGACGCAGACTGGCTATTTCGCCACCACTCAAAACGTCACCTCCACCATCGTCGGGATCATCGTGGGGTCGCTGATGGCCTGTACAAGACGGTTCAAGCTCTTCCTCGTTGGCGGAGTGGTGGTGCGCTTCGTGGGTGTGGCGCTCATGATTCGCTACCGCAACAGCCACGACCCCACCGTGATGCTCGTGCTCTGCCAGCTCCTCCAAGGGATAGGAGGCGGAAGTGTAGCCATCACGATGCAGATCGCGGCCCAAGTCTGCGTCCGACACGCGGATGTGGCCATCGTGACCGCTCTCGAGCTTCTCACGACGGAGATAGGCGCAGCAATGGGCAGTGCGGCTGCTGGGCTCATCTTCTCGACACTGCTACCCGCGAAGTTGCGCGAGACCTTGGGGCCGGGCATACCAGAGGCTGAGCTTCGCGAGATCTACGGGAGCTTGAGCAAGGCGACCAGCTTCCCCATGGGATCGCCAGAGAGGAGCGCAATCGTTGAGGCGTGGACCGAGACGATGAAGCATCTGTGCGTGGTGGCGACGGTGATATTGGTGCCGACTCTTCCTCTCGCCTTGGCCGTACCAGACTTCGTACTACCGGATTCGCACAAGCGTGCGACTGCAGGCGAAGACTCGCATCATCATCACCACCACCATCATCGCCACTCGTCACATCGCAGCTCGCTCAGCCATTTGCGCTCTGAGCGACAGCCGCTGCGCCGTAGTAGTATCGTGTCTGCACCGCTGCCGAGCAGCAACGGCGGCAGTATCGGTCGAGGCGAAGGAAAGAAGGTCAAGGAGGCTGAGGTGGAAGCGTATCGTATTTGAGCTGAGATATCGAGAGCGGCGAGCATAATTTGCATCTGTACACGACCGCAGCATCGTTGAGGAATACTACATCTGCTTGCACTGCCTCTCAAGAAGTCGAGAGTGAGCGTGAAGAGGCACTTGTGGTTGACGACACTCAAGTCAGGACAGCTGCGCGCTCGTGAAAATGGTATATCGATTGATCTACTAGTTCATTATAAGGGAAACAGGGCAGAGGAGCAGCCAAAGCACAGCAGTGTCGCTCACTCATCGCCTCATCGCCCCTCCCCTCCCACGACGACAGCAAGGCGGGGCATCTTCGGCAATGTCATCGCTTGACGACTGCCGGCGGGGCTCTTGCTCACTCCTGCACCGCTTCTTCTCTCCATCAACTTCTCGAAGCGCAAGCCAAGCTCAGCAGCGACGGCCTTCTGCGCCTCGTACTGCCAGGCAGGCTGGTCAGCTTGGCGCTGCCATCCGACCGTAGCGCGAGGGCGCTGGCGAGCAGCAGACACTGCTGCGGTGGGGATCTCGCTCTTCTCGTCGCCGTCTCCCTCCGCCTTGACGTCAGCTGAAGAATTCGCGCCACCATCAGCGAGCTTGACCAGCCTAGGCGTGGCCGCGAAGTGCAGCAGGGCGCCATAGAGACTCCTCGCTTCGCTACGCACCGAGCGCAACTCCTCATCGCGGGGAGCGTCAGGGCGTGCTTTGCGTGGCAGACCAGCTCCTCCGGCCGCTTCCTGCTCATCGACCTTGCCTGTTTCGTCGTCTCGTGGTCGTACTCGCAGAGTTGGTAGCGGGGCAAGCGAGTCCAGCTGAGCCTGATACCCCTTGGAGCGAAGCAGTGCATTCTCCTCGCGAAGGTAGCGCAGTGAGCAACGTGTGGCGTCCAATTGGTCGATAAGATGGTGCGTGTCCAAGTTGGCTGCGGGCTGGAGGCCGGCAAGGGCGCCGGACGTCGCCAAGGTGGACGAGGTCGGCGTTACGCCAGACCCTGCTTCAGCGGCCACTTGCCCTGCAGAACCAGCTGCACCCGTCGCTGCGATGCTTGCGGCTGCTTTACTCTTCAGCTCCTCGTTCGCCTTCTCGAGCGCCTCAAGCTCAGCCTGCAAGCTCTCGTTCGCGTCCTGGTATGCCTTGGCCTCTCGTCTCGCCTCGCCAAGTCCCGCCTTCACCTCCTCAAGGGCGTCCCCTTCTCCTTTGCTCTTCGCCACCTGTCTATGCAACCTCTCCATCTTGATCTGACCCTCTGCCAGAGCAGCATCGCGCGCTTTGATCTGCTGGTAGAGATCACGCAGATCTTCGCCGAGCTTGGCCATCTGGGACTCCATGGCCGGATCGTGCTTTGCGAGCAGATGGATCTGGTGGGAACGAGGGTGCCAAGGGTGCGGACCAGAGAGTTTGATTACGTGCGACTGGTCCACCGCCGAGGCCATGAGCGCTTGTATTGTTGTCGTGAGGTGTGAGGTTGCCGAGAGGGCTTCGCGCCAGAGGTCTGAGGATGCGGGCGAAGAGGCAGCGTCGTCTACTGTGGTCGTGGGTGATGTGTACGGCGCTGAACCATCGTCGAGACGTAGCTCGCCTGTTGCTTGCCTGACGACTTCAGTGAAGCCTTGCAGAGTGAAGGGCGAAGAAGCATTTCGCACTTCATCGACGTACGCGGTCATGCCAGAGCTCAAGGTCGTCGCAAAGGCGACGAGTCTGGAGCTCAGCCTGCCAAGCAGAGGAAGCTCTCCTATGGCGTCCATGGATACGGCCTCGTCGTTGTCTGCAAGACTGGACAGCCTGCGCAAGAGCTTACGCGCCAGCACCTTCGCCGCACGGACATCGTTGACGATCTGGTGCAGAGGGACGAAGTAGCGCTGCTCCATTGTCTCGCCCTGCAGTTGCCACTCGATGGCCCCCTCGGCGGCTTGGGCTTGCAGCACCGTGTGCCGGGCACTGGAGAGGGAAGCACAGAGCGTATCGAGGTCGAGGTCGAGCAGAGTTGCGCTTCCCACTTCCTTTGCAGCCAAGTCGCCTTCGCCCGAGGGTAACGACTGCGGCGGCGTTGCCGGCATGGTGCCATCCTGGAGCTGTTGCTGCTGCTGTTGAACGAGCTGCCCAATCTCCTCCTCCTGCGCCATCATGAGTGCGAAGCTCATCTCTTCAAATTGCCTCACAAAGCGCTTGAACTCAGCACCGCAGTCGGCCTCCTTGAGTTCTTCCTTGCGCAACGCCTCCACAAAGGCATCGACGCGCGGTTCAACGACGGCCTGCATCTCCTTGAACGTGCGCCCGCATCTAAGGAAGGTACCCGGAGGCGCGAGACGAAGCATCGCGACCACGGAGGAGCAGACGGCGCTGAAGTGGGCGAGGGAGTGGCGAAGTTGACAGATGTTGACCAGATGCTCGGAGCGAGTGCTGCTGGTACCGCCCGTGGTAGTCGATGTCGACGCAGAAAGGTGCTGCTGCTGCTGATCTGCTCCACTGTCGTCCTGGGCGAGCGACCCGATTGCCTGGGAGATCTCGTGCGTATTCTCGACGACAGACTTGATTAGTTCCGCCTTTGTCGACATGCGCTTGAAGAACAGTAGGCTTGCAACAGCGTCGCGATCGCCTTCCTGCGCGAATGCTTGTGGCAGGTACGGCTGCGTCATCTCCAACTGCGTGGAAGCCTGGTCGGCCCTCATCCTAGCTAGCTCGGCCTCAATAGTCCTCGCCTGTGACTTGAGCGCAGAGGACTGCAGCTTGAGATTGAGGTTGAGCATCTCGCGACTCTGGCTGTTCAAATTGGCGTTCTGGCCCTCCTCGACCAGCCCATCCCTCTCGGCACGCAGGGCCTCGACGTCGCTCTGTAGGTTGAGAACGAGCTCCCTGAATTGGGCAAATGTGGCCTCGTACTCGTTCGCATTCGTCTCTAGAGCTTCCACACGGGCATCGCGCTCCCGCAGAGCCATGTCCTTCAGGTCGACCTCCTCTTGAAGCTGCTTCTCTGTCTCGACGTGTACCTCGTCCAGCTCCTCGTTCAGCTCCTTGAGTGACTCGAGCTCTTCAATTGTTGCCGCCATCTCGTTCAGGCGCTCCCCAAGGAAGAGATTGCGCTCTGTCAGCTGCTCCAACATCTCTTCAGCTCCTAAGGCATCGTCGAGTTGCACTTTCACGTCCTCAAGCTGCGCCTCACTGGCTTCCAGCTTGGCGGCAAGGGAGTCGCGCGAGTCTTGCAGGTCAGCAAGCGCAGAAAGCTCCTTCTCCAGGTCGGAGATCTTGCGCTTTTGATCGTGGTCCGACTCCGACGTGACGTCGCGCAGTCGAATGAGAGCCTCCTTGAGACGCTCATTTTGCTTCTCCATCTGCAGCCAGCCAACGGAGGATCGCTCCTCTTCATCGACAGGGCCGTGCTCGTAGGCTGCGTTCTCTTCGCGAAGCACCTCGACCTCGAGGGTGAGCTCCTCCTGAATCTGCTTGAGCGAATCCAACTCGGTGATGGCTGCTTCTGCCTTCTCTTCTGCCACTTCGCGGTCTAGCGCAGCCATTTCGAGCTGCTCAGTCAGGTCTTCGACGCGAGCCTCGAGGTCACTTTTCTCCATCGAGAGCTCCTTTTCCGTCGTCTGAATTGCCAGCAGCTGCGTGGAGAGGCTCTGCGCCTTCTCTGTAGCCGTATCCGCCGATCTCAGCTTCTCTGTCACCTCTTCCTTCCACTTTTCGAGCTCCTTGACGCGGGCGCGCTCTTCTTCTCTGCGCTTCTCGTTGAGGCGATTCCTGACACGGAGCTCCTCGACTTCGCGCTTCAGAGCTTGGGCCTCTACGTTCGACATACCCGGCGGACCTTGACTGATCGGCGGTGAGCGTACAACGTGTGCGGGGTTGAGAGCTTCCTCTTGCCCTCCTTCGAGTGACATGTTGACGAGATCATCGCCGTCCTCATCGCCCGCAAATGAGATCGGATCCGACGTCTCCTGAGATGGCCTGTCTCTTGCTGACGTCGTCTGCGGTTGCGTGTGCTGTTTCCTCGCGGCTTCTACGCGGGAGCGAGCAGCGTCGAGTCGTTGACGAGCGTCTGCACTCGGGCTGGTCACGTTTGGGTCAGACGACGAATCCTCTTGCTGGTCCTTGTGGCTGCCAGCAGTGCTGAGCCGTCTCGGTGTAGTAATGGTAGCGGCTGCAGGCGCGGCAGGCTTTGACGGTCCAGTGATAGCCGCACCAGGACGTGGTATGGTGCGCTTTGGCGTAGCAGCGGACGCTGACGGAGCAGCCATGCTAGGCCGCGCCTTGGCTACAGGCCGCAGCCCGGTACGAGCGGCTGTGCTCTGAGCATCTTCGGCCGTGGGACGAGCTGAGGTCAGTGCGCCTGTGATGCCGCTAGCTGGTCTGACACCTCGCGCTGTAGCCTTGCTGGGACTTGCTGTGCGTGAGAGAGCCGCTGCTGAGCTGGGTGGACGCGTCGATGCTGCTGACGAAGATGAGGCTGACACTCTACCTGACGTAGCGCTGACGCTGGTCCCGGCACGAGACATCCCTGGCCTTGCAGGCGTGGCCAATGACGCAGGCTTGCTCGGAGATGCTGCTGAGATGCGGCCACTCGTAGACGGCGTAGCTGATGGTCTGCGAGAGGAAGCTGCGGAGCTCGTGGCCGATGTCGACGAGACTGCAGAGGTTCGCGAGGCTAGGCTAGGCCTTGGAACTGTTCGCGGCGCACCAGCTGACGGCTTGTCTGGACTTGTGGTGCGGCTGGCTGGAGCTCGAAGCCCTGCTCTCGGGACAGTCGTTTGAGAGAGGGAGGAAGATGACCTTGAAGTGGAAGCTGGAGGCGGCATCCTCATCGTCGTCGTTCGCGGCGTCTGCATCATCGGCTCATCGTCCATGAGGATATCGTCGCCGCTGTTGTACTCCTCCTCCGGCTCGTCTTCTAACACCTCAATCTGACTGCTGCGTACGAAGATGCCCTGGCCTGGATCCGCATCAAAGTAGCGCTTGCCCTGAACGCTGCCATCGTTCTTGCCTCCCACGACGTCAGGATCGAGGACGACGCCGACCCACAGCCCAGGCGCAAAGGACGTTTGTCCGACAAAGAGGACAGTGCCCAGCCCTACCTTGACGACGACGACACGCGAGTGAAGTCGAATGGGCTGCGACATGACGGCGAGGGAGCCGCGATCCGCGATTGTATGAGATGGGTTGGGTTGTGTCAGAAGTGTTGGTTGGAGAAGCGCAACCCGTCGATGCGTTCGCCCCGCTCAGGCCCACCCACACACTCCCGCTTGATCTCGACTTGGCCGCCTCGTCTTTGTCGCTCGCTCGCTCGACTCAACTGCCCAGCGCCACTGGACCTGCTTGCTTGCTGCCCTTGCCGCCTCCGCCTCCGCCGCCGCCGCCGTTTGGCTGCTGCTGGCTCGGGCTCAGCCCGCGCTGCGACCACGTCAAGTCAACCTCACAGCTTGTCCATCAATTCCTATCAACCAACCAATAGCCCGGTCTCGCCATCCTCTCAGACCAGAGACACAGCCAGTGACAGACATTGCAGCTTCAGCGCAACGCTTTAGCATTCAAAACAGTCACGCCAAAGTCGCCATCGAGCGCGCAGCTGCAGACGACTAGCCTCATCTTAACGCCGCCTCCTCCACAGCTCCTCTACGACTCCTATCCTACTCCCTCGACGCCCTCTCGACCATCATGAACCCAGAGTACGATCTTCTCTTCAAGGTGAGGCGCTGTAAAGAAGGATTCGGGAGTAACGTCTAGTCCCGCTTTGCTCACCTATTCCCACTCACATTCGCCCTCGTGCACGCAGCTTCTCCTCATTGGAGACTCTGGCGTAGGCAAGTCATGTCTCCTCTTGCGTTTCGCCGATGATACCTATACAGAGTCGTACATTTCCAGTGAGTGGAGGGTGATAAAGCAGGTCATCGCATCTGGAGCGAGACGCTCATCTGTTTTCTGCCCCTCGTCACTCGCTCAGCAATTGGCGTCGACTTCAAGATCAGGACCATTGAGCTCGAAGGCAAGACGGTCAAGCTCCAGATCGTGAGCAGCCGCACCTTTCAAATCCGCACGCATCTTGTCTAGGAAGACTGACCTCCTCCTCGTCGCCCCTTTCACGCCTTGCAGTGGGACACCGCCGGGCAAGAGCGATTCCGCACGATCACCTCGTCGTACTACCGCGGTGCCCACGGAATCATTGTAGTCTACGACGTCACCGACCCGGACACCTTCTCCAACGTCAAGCAATGGCTCCAAGAGATCGACCGATATGCCACTGAAGGGGTCAACAAGCTCCTTGTAGGCAACAAGTCGGACTTGACGGGCAAGAAGCAAGTCGAGTACAACACGGCAAAGGAGTTCGCAGACCAGCTCAACATCCCCTTCTTGGAGACGTCAGCTAAGAGCGCGACCAATGTCGAGCAGGCTTTCTTGACTATGGCGAAGCAGATCAAGGACCGGTAAGTGGGCGTGCAACCCTACAAAAGGAGGTAGCATCTATTGACGCGCACATGACCCCCCTCCCCTCTCTCTCGACAGCATGGGATCCTCGAACGTCAGCAATGCCGGACCGGGCAAGTCGACACTCAAGGTCGGCCAGGGCCAGAATGTGCAGGCCCAGAGCCAGGGAGGATGCTGCTAGACGGTCGTTGGGTCGTGGCGTGATTGACAGAGGGGTTGGAGTCTCGAAGTCGACAGCTGGCCTGCGAGCGGGAGACGGAGAGGTCATGGACACTGAGGGGCCGTATCGGGGTCGATAGATCATTCATGAATGGATGCTGAGAAGCTGTCCAGATATCGGCAAGGTTGCTCTCGATGATCTCTCGGCAGGGAGCATTTGCCAGTCGACGTGGCCTGTCACAGCTGAAAGTGCTGCCCTCGTGGGCCTTCTACTCCCCTCACCTCCGTCCCTAGCACTCTCCTTGTACTTTCGCAAAGCCTTCTTTCCCACATCTAACCCTTTCGAGATTGCATACATTTGATGGTCTGCTCTATGCGAAGCCTGAGCTGCTCCCTATCGTATTATGGGCCTTCTCGACGTCGAGGTAGCCTGCGCGGCCAAGCTGCAACCTTGGCCGTCGGCAGAAGGCGGACCAACGGGGCGGGCTTGCGTTGCCTTGCCTGGCCAGGCCAGGCCACGAGCCGTCCTGTCTCGAAGTCGACTCGGAACCAGCAGCAACTTCGTCGTCCTCATTTCCATTTCCAATCCCACCTCCTCACCTCACCATCATATCAGCACAAACAATGATCCGCCCAATCGTCCCTACTGCCCGAGCTCTCGTCCGCCCTCGTGTCGGCCAGGTCGGGCTCATGCGCTTTGCGTCCTCGAGCAGCCGCCCGCAACCCCAGTTCCAACCGCATGTTGGAAGCTTTTCGCAGGAGAATGTCATGAAGTGAGTTGGAGCGCGAAGATGCCAGCAAATCTCAATGGACGACCGCTCATGATATCCCTCTCTCCCTCTTCTGCCGTCCTCGCTCGTAATTAGGTGGGCCATGACTCTCGGTATCTGGGGTGCAGCTGCGGGAGGCGCCGTTGCTCTGTTCATGCAGAAGGTTCCCATCTTCCAGCGTGATGTCCTCGACAAGGTGCCCTTCGTTGGGGCTTTCTTCAAGGGTGAGTAGAAGGAAGAGAATTGAGAAAGGGGCCATGCTCTAGAGGTGGTGAAGGAAAGGACAGTCTGAAGGAAAAGGGGAGCCAAGGATGCCATTGGTTGGGTTGGGAGTGCTCGTGAGAGGTCGGTGGTATGAAGTGCAGCGTGAGACCCGTCTGCTGGCTAGGGCAGACGTCTGCAGCCACCATGCGTCGATCACAAGGTCTCCGCGCCCCTGGAAGCAGTCGAGCGAAAGCTAGGAGGGGAGCAAGTTGGGAGAAGGAGCATGACAAGAAGATCGCCATGATCTCCATTGCCATCGCCTACTGCCATCACCGCTCATCCCACTGCCTCAAGAGCACCTGTACTGACGGCTACCTTCTTCACATCCATCACAGACGAGACCCCTGACAGCGACAAGCCCTTCTAATCTACTCGCTTTCGACGGAGGGAAAAAAAAGGGAGCAGCACTCTCAGCCGGATCGCGATGCCTTGAGGCCATGGAGAAGACTCTGTCTGCCTTGCGAGCATTCGCTCCTGCCCGGGCGGCGACCGTAGATACAGCTGTGAAGCAATACATATGATCTTTGAGCAGTATTGAAGATCCCTGAAGCGCGATGAAGTGGGCGAGGAGCAGAAGCTGCAGCATTTGGGCGGCCGGGCTATCCCCTGCGGCAGCAACTTCACCAGTCGAAGCAATGCTTCATGTTCTGAGCCACTCCTGATCGCCGAGGATTGCGAAAGCGACTGGCTCGTAGCTTGAAACTGATCCAGTTTCCCCTATGCCTCGACGTCGGCGGGACGCCTTGCCTCAATTCGCCGTCGACGGGAGCGGAGAAGCAGTGGAGGATGAGTTGGACTCGTCTCGTCTCGTCTCTTCTCCTTCTGCCACTTTTACATCTGCACCATCTCCTGTCGCGGCTGCCATTCTTCCTTGTCCTCTCCACTCACTGAGAGATTTCGCTCGCTGTGAGCTAGCAGAGATGTCGGATATGGCCTCATCAAGCAGCATGTCCCGCCTCGCCTCTGGCAGTGGCAGTGGCAGTGGCGGCCCATCCTCAGCCTCGCGCAGCAACACACCCAACACGGCTGCCCCTTCATCTTCTGCCACCAATAAGGCTGCCCTCCAAGCGCTCGCCGAGGCCGAACGCGAGAGGTCACCAGAACCAGATGAGGACTTCCGCATGGACGAGCAGCCCACTGCTTGGCTGGTCAAGGTGCCACGCTTCTTGTACGAGGGGTGGAGTCAGATCACGCAGGATGATTTGAATTTGGGAAAGGTCCGAGTGTATGAGTGCGTAGCAGCCCGCGCCTAGCATACAGAGACTTCCCCTCAAGTGTACAGCGGCTAACATTGCCTTCGCCCGCAGCGCCGACCATCGCGGCAAGCAGCGTATCGAGCTCATCCTCCCTTCAGCGCCAGATGCTCCCATCCCTCTCCCCGAGTACGACCCAGCCCAAGCAGGACGAAACGTCAAGAGGATACCGCGGCAGTACGATGTCAAGTTGAGCAGTGATGCAAATGAGACGGTGAAGCGCAATCTCTTTGCTTTCAAGGAGATGGCCGAGGAGGAGGATGAAGATGCTGCAGAGGGTACTGAGGGGGAGATGGATGTTGAGGATGCGGACGATTCAGTCGGCGGAGGAGACGAAGATGATAGTGATGATGATCAGGCGATGGGTGGTAGGGGCAATGGGAAGCAGCAGGGCGGGAAACGACGACAGCCTCAGCAGTCGAGATATAGGAAGAAGAGACCAAAGAGTGAGTACAGGAGGGGAGCGGCGCTTAGCCGCAGCCACTCCCATGAAGTGGTGCTCACATTGCTGTCCCCATCTACTCGTGCCCAGTCACAACAGCCTTTGCGGGCAAGATCACAAACGAAGCGGCCGTCAAACCGCTCCTAGCATCAATGGGCAGCGCCTCAGGTAGTGGCGTCGCCTCGACCTCTCGCTCCGCAAGCCCCTCCCTCGCCGCCCCCTCAGCATCCTCATCCACTGATTCAAAGACAGCCCTCGGTCTCAGCTCGGCCCATACAGACCGCAAAGCCTCGTTTACCCCGGAGTATCGAGACATTCTCCGTCGTCGAAAGGAGGAGGCCACCCGACCGAAGAGGGCAGTCAAGATGCTGGACGAGAGCGAGTCGGGCGCAGCTAATATGCTCATGGCTGGTTTGGGGCAGGGTCACGTACGCGGCGTCAAGGGCCAGCCTGCATCTTTCATCGTGGGGCAGGGAGGCGCTGGAGCAGCAGGAGCCGCTGGTCGTGGCGGCAAGGCTGGCTCATCATCGGCTGCCTCGTCGTCTCGCGACAAGTTCGTCCGCCTGCCAAAGAACGAGCTCCTCGACCTCCTCTTCCACTGCTACGAGCGCTACACTTATTGGACGCTCAAGGCTCTACGTGAAGAGACGCGCCAGCCCGAGGCGTACCTCAGAGACGTCTTGGCGAGCATTGCTGATCAGCACAAGCGCGGTCCGTATGTGGGGCAGTGGAGTCTGAAGGGCGAATATGTTGAGCAGCAGAGAAGACAACAGGCTGAGGGAGCTGCGCAGGCTCAGCAGCAGCAGCAGCAGCAGCAGCAGCAGCAACAGATGGGTGGACAAGCGATGGGTGAGCAGGGTGATGAGGGAGGTGGTGATGGAGATGATGCTGGCGAGGGTGATGAGGACATGGAGGAAGTCATATAGAGTTCCAGCCTATAGCCTATCACATGAATCGCCTTGTGTTGAAGATGAGCATCGCAGTCAAAGTCAATCACCGACCTTGCCTTGAATCGATCGACTTTTGTGATGCTCTCTCTGCTCTTCCTCTTTCTCCGCTTAGCCCGCCGTGTTGCTTTCGCTGTTGCTTTTCTTCTCACACGTCGCGGCTTCTTCTCGCCTCGAGTCGATGGATGCGTGCGGGGTTGGCCAGCTCGCGGACTGAACCGGGCCAAGCACCGGCCACGGCGACAACGACGACGACGACGAGGAGCGGGGAAAGGAGCGACTAGCCTACGTTGCTCTCTTGCTTCTCAATCAACACCCACACGAGAAGGCCACGCAGCCGCACTTAGCAAGTACGCACGCGAGCAGACGCGATCGATACCATCGGATCCCTCAGAACTTTCAGTCTCTGCAGCTCCTCCTCTGCTCTCATCTTCACCTCCACCCACGTCGGCCCCTCAATACCTCGAATCGGGGGACTTCGCCGTCAATCTATGTCCCGCAACGCAAAAGCCTTCCTAGTCGGCTCCACGCTCGTATCTGGCCTAACAGTTTGGGGTGTCCATTTCATGCAGATCAAGGAGAGAGAGGTGCGCCAAACCCTCGGCCGCCTACATGATCTCCTCGCCGTGCTGACATCCACCACCCTATCTCTTTCCCCTTCCATTCGCGCAGACAATGTACAAAGGAGTAGAACGTGACGAGGCTCGCCAGGCCGCCAAGAAAGCCCAGCGTCAACGCGAAGCCGATCTCCTCGCCAATCAAGAGCGTGAAGCCCAGTTTCAGCAGATGCAGCCTACTCGCAACTACTCACAGGCCTCCTCCACCATTGCTGCACACTCGGTCATCGAGGAGGGCAAGGGCTTCGTGGACAATTTGGTGCACAAGGCTCAAAGTGGCGTCGGTGCAGCTGGAGGAGCTGTTGGGGGTAGGGAGGCAGAGGATCGCGCCTATATTACCGGGAGGTGGGCCATGAATGGTTTGCAAGTGGGTGCTGTAGCTGCAACTCCGCTCTACTTGATCAACTCGCTGAGGAAGGGAACCTTCACTTTTAAGAGACTGGTACGAGCTAAGTGAGTGGGGTTCTTCCCTCTTTCGCCTTCTGAAGAAGACTGACGCTTACCGCCCACTCCCTTGACTTCCTTTGTTGCAGCTGGACCACGCCCCTCCTCTCATCCGTCGGTGGTGCCGTAGCCGGCGCAGGCTACTCTGCCACGCTTCCTGCGGCTCGCTCATCAAGCACCTCGGCGCAATACCGTCAGGACGCTGCAGCCGTGCGCCGAGATGACGTCTACCTGATCGGGGGTGTCCTGGGCGCCTTGCTCACACCAGCCATCCTGTTGCGCCCAGCGGGGCTGATCAATGGTGTGCTTGGTGGCGGCCTCGGCCTTGGTGGCGCCGGTGGAATGATCTGGGATGCGGCGCGTGGTGGAGTGAAGGATGTGGTCGGGAAGGATGCGGAGAAGGAGGTTGAGCAGGCTGCGGGGAGCGTGCTGGGCAAGGTCAAGGCACTGGGCAAGGAGGCCCAGGGTGCGGTGGAGGGCAAGTAGAGGGAAGGATGATTCATAGAGAAATGTGGTAGCGACAGCGGCGGTAATGCGATCAGGGCAGTCAAAAGCAGACGGTTTACAGGATCAGACTCGTGCTCGTGCTAAGGGGAGAAGGAGCTCGGGTGATTAAGAAAGAGCGACAAGAGAGGCCCATGCTCAAGAGCACGGGCGCGAGCGGCCAACGGGCCACATCGCTACAATGAAGTGAAGGGAGCAAGAGAACAGCAATCGAGTCGAGTCGGAAGCAAGCAGCATTACCTTTCGGCCTAGCACGCTTAGTACTCCTCGACGAGCTCATCGCCCTCACCAGCCGTGTCCATGCCGACCTCTTCGTAGTCCTTCTCAAGAGCAGCCAAGTCCTCCCTGGCCTCGGAGAACTCACCCTCCTCCATACCCTCACCGACGTACCAGTGAACGAAGGCACGCTTCGAGTAGAGCAAGTCGAACTTGCGGTCCAGCCTCGACCAGGCGGCAGCGATAGCCGTCGTGTTGGCAAGCATGCAGAGCGAGCGCGAGACCTTGGCGAGGTCACCGCCGGGGACGAGAGCGGGGGGCTCGTTGCAGATACCGATCTTGAATCCGGTAGGGCACCAGTCGACGAATTGGATGGTGCGCTTTGTCTTGATTGCTGCGACGGCAGAGTTGACGTCCTTGGGGACGACGTCACCGCGGTAGAGCAAGCAGCATGCCATGAACTTGCCGTCACGGGGGTCACACTTGACCATCTGGTTGCCCTTCTCGAAGGACGAGAAGGTCATCTCCGAGACGGAGTTCTGCTCGTGGAAGGCCTTCTCTGCCGAGATGATCGGTGCGTACGTGGCGAGCGGGAAGTGGATACGGGGGAAGGGGACCAAGTTGGTCTGGAACTCGTTGAGGTCGACGTTGAGCGAGCCGTCGAATCGGAGCGAGGCCGTGATGGACGAGACGACCTGGGCGATGAGGCGGTTCAAGTTGGAGTAGCCAGGGCTCTGGATGCCAAGGTTCTTCTTGCAGATGTCGTAGATGGCCTCGTTGTCGACCATGAAGGAGCAGTCCGAGTTCTCGAGGGTCGTGTGCGTGGTGAGGACCGAGTTGTAAGGCTCAACGACGGACGAGCTCATCATAGGGGCAGGGTAGACGGAGAACTCGAGCTTGGCCTTCTTGCCGTAGTCCTGAGCGAGACGCTCAAGGAGCAAGGATCCGAAACCGGAACCTGTACCACCACCGAAGGAGTGGAAGACGAAGAAGCCCTGCAGGCCCGAGCAGGCGTCTGCGAGCTTGCGGACACGGTCGAGGGTCTGGTCGATGAGCTCCTTGCCGACCGTGTAATGACCACGGGCGTAGTTGTTGGCGGCGTCCTCCTTGCCGGTGACGAGCGTCTCGGGGTGGAAGAGCGAGCGGTACTGGCCGTTGCGGACCTCGTCGACGACGTTGGGCTCCAGGTCGACATAGATGGAGCGGGGCACGTACTTGCCGCTGCCAGTCTCGGAGAAGAAGGTGGAGAAGCCATCGTCATTCTCAGAAGGAGAGTTGGCAAGGACACGTCCGTCCGGGGTGAGGCCGTGCTCGTTGAGGTAGAGCTCCCTATGAGCGGAGTGGGGAGGTGATGGTCAGTATCTGACGAGAAATAGGACGAGGAATGCAAAAGACATCAATCAGAAATATGACTCAACTCACCAGCAGCTCTGACCGATCTGGACACCGGCCTGACCGACGTGAAGGGAAAGGACCTGATTACGAAGGAAACGAAGGATTAGGGGCGTGAGTGGCTGGGAGAAGAGCACGCAGAGTATGTTTGACGTGGCTCTGCACCCACTTCTCTCATTGCTGATTGATTAAGATGGGCGGGGTGGTGGAGTGGTTGTTGGTGTTGGTGTTGGGCGGGTATTCAAGTGCGCTCAGAAGCAACGTAGAGCGATGAGGGATGGTGAGGGGTGAAGAGAGCAAGAGCCAAGTCGAGACCGTCGCGACTTTGGCCGCCGTGTTGCTCTCTCGTTGCCTTTGGCTCCCTCGCTCTCTCAGTCTGGCTAGCTGGCGGGGCGACTGGCCGAAGGGCACTGGACCACTCTTCACGCGCTTCTCGCTGTTGTCGCGCCGAGTCGAACAAGACGAGGTCACGACGGAACGGAGCAATGGCGTTGACGTTTGGGTGGCCGGATAGGCGGGTCGGGACATCGGGAGGTCGAGTGCACCGCTTGCTGCTCCACACTCGTAAGGCTTCATCCCAATCTCCCACTCGCCTGGTACTGCGATACCATGAACTCAGCATTGCAAGATGCCATCAAGAACGGACAGAGGTTGAAAAGTGCATACATACATCAGTGGATTGATGGCCATTGAACATTCACAGCTGACCCTGCTCTCTCCTACGCCGCGCTCGCACAGAGGCCACAACGAATGATCGCTCAGCACCAGCTGTAGCAGGCAACGCAGGAGGTGGTGGTGGAGGGGGAGGAGGGGGAGGAGGGGGAGCAGGAGGTATTGCAGCCGCCGCAGCTGCAGCACGTACTCTCGCATCTGCTCCTAAAGTGCCGGGAACCGGGGGAGGCAGCGGTGGGGGTGGAGCAGCAGGTTTAGGGGGCATCCTCGCAGGGGGAATACCAAAGCTCAAGCCAACTGGAGCTGCTCCTGCCGCTCCAAAGCCACCAGCAGCGTCAGCACGTGAGTCGACAGGCGCAGGCTTGGCACAGGCTGGTCTGAGATGGTATCATTGCTGACAGTCCCCTTCATCTGAACTCGCCTTTCCAGCCAAGCCGCCTGCTGCTCCAGGCCGACCGGTGCCTCCTCCCACACGACCTTCAGCACCTCCAGCTCCACCTCCGCCCTCAAGACCATCTGCAGCAGCACCGCCGCCCCCGCCTCCTCCAGGGAGACCAGCAGCTCCTTCGGCAGCCGCACCTCCTAGACCGCCTCCTCCTCCTCCGGGCAGGTCATCTCCTGCTGTTCCTCCACCACCGCCTCCCCCGGCTCGACCAGCAGCAGCATCCCCCGCCGCACCTGCGCCGCCGCCGCCACCTCCTCCAGGGCGACCAGCTGCAGCTGCTCCCCCTCCGCCAAGCAGACCTAGCGCAGCAGCTCCACCTCCCCCTCCTCCGCCGCCTGCTGCATCCTCATCGGCTCCTGCGCGTGGAGTTCCACCTCCTCCTTCACGCGCTCCAGCTCCTCCCAGTCGACCAGGTGCGGCACCTCCTGCCCCCCCTCCTCCCTCAACTCCGGCGCGTGGCGCAGTACCTCCCCCACCAGCGCGCGCCAGCCCGATCAGCTCAGCACCACCTCCACCACCCAGCCGGCCAGCCTCATCTGCACCGCCGCCACCACCACCCACTCGATCAGCAGCAGCCGCACCAGCCGCACCGCCTCCACCCCCGCCCTCGCGAGCACCAGCTGCAGCTCCCCCCGCTCCTCCCCCGAGCCGAGCACCCGCGGCGGCTCCTCCTACCCCACCACCGTCTCGAGCGCCAGCCGCACCGCCCCCATCCCGCAGCGCTGCTGCCGCAGCCCTGCCTGCGCTCAATGGTGCGGGAAGCAATGGAGCATCGCGCAGTGTCTCGTCCACATCGATCTCGGGCGGCGCAGCGGGCAAGACTGGAAGGATCCCCTCACCGCCGCCGACGTCTGGCAATTTGACCTTTTCGCCTTCCTCGGCCTTCCCGCCTCCACGAGCGTTTGCGGGAAGTGGAGCTTCGCGCGTCTATCCTGGTGGGAAGACAAGGGGCAGCACGTTCGATTGGAGTACGGTTGGATGAGGATGATCACCGAGACGCTAAATGAGCGCGACGGAACGTGTATGCTGCGAAGTTGCAATGTCATCTATCGATTCTAAGAGCTTCGCCGTGTCTCCCCCTTGACCGTCATCTTGGCCTCCTCTACAACGCCGCCCGCTCCGCCCTGGCCTCTCATCCAATCCACTCCTCCCTTCAACTTCTCCAGTGTCACAAAGATCAAGATCGTATTCGGACTCAACCTCACCCACGCTGGAGTCCATCCCCTAAATAGGAAGCCCGGCCCTTCCTTGACCAGCGCAGTCTTGATCGTCTTTACGATCCCCTCTGAATTACCGCCCTTGCCCGCAGCCATGACTCTGGCCTTGATGACGTCGGCAGGACTGCAGATCGTCGTCGCTACTGTGCCTGCGAGGAAGCTGGCAGAGAAGTGCAACCAAGTGCCTTCAGTGTAGTAGCCGCTGCCTAGCAAAGCAGATTTGAAGAGGTCGTACGTTGCCAGCTGACTCGCATTCATCAGTACCGCTCTTGTGACGTTTGGCGCCAGACCGCGGAAGAGGGAACCCGGCCCTTCATGCGATACCATGCTGAACAAACCGGAGATGGCATTTCTGTAGCCAAAGCGCTCTTGAGGTGGCTTGAGCACGTCGGACGTCATACGGACGAGGAGGACATCCGCCCAATTGCCCGCTACACCGCCTACCGCACCCGCTGCGGAGGCGCACAGACCCATCTTCCAAGCTGGAAGCACCTTGGCCTTGCTTCCGTCTGGTAGCGTGGGCTGCGAAGCTAGTGCTTGAGCCTTGAGCGCATCATAGGCTCCGAAGCGAACGAGGGAGTAGCTCATCTGTCTGCATAGGGATGCGCTGAGACCCACATAGAGACCACGGGGCCCTTCGTCTTTCAAGGTGTGGGCGAGGAAGCGGAGCATGCCTTGCCGTGGGGCGGAAGATGAAGAGGAGTTGGTGTTCTGCATGCGCGTCTTGACCATGTCCAGGGGATGGGTGAAGCAGGCTGCTATTGAGGCTGCGACGCCGCCGAGGTAGAAAGGGTAGGGTTGCGGTGCACGCGGAGGGGATGGGGTAGGTGCCATGGTGCGGGAGGGGATTGGGGACGCTGAGGATGCGGCGAGGCCTGAGGATGATGAAGGTGCTTGAGACATGCTGAACGAAGAGATTATTGTGGCCAGTGATTGGCTAGTCGTGTGCCTGGAGAGGATGCTGAGAGCCGTCTATTCCGTTTCGAGCCGTCTATCGCTGGAGGTCGCTGCCCGCAGTTGCGCTCTGCTATGCTTGGAGTCTCGGCCTTTACGATGCTCTTTGTGGTGTATTACTCAGGGATACATGACCAATTGATGCTATATCCACTCGAGGGCAGGGAGTTGATGAACCTTGAGAGCTCGTTGGTGAGCGAGCCGATAGCGACCCAGCGACCTTGATCCTCTCCGTCCGCTCTGTCCGTCCGACTTTTCCTCATCGACGACGGCAAAGCGGCAGCCCTTGTTCCGTTTTGCTCGAGCCATGCCTGCGAGTGGAGTCAATTGGTGCTCCGCCCTTTGGCTCCAAAAAGCGACTCAGTTCCGTGCCGAGATCCAGGGTGAGCGAGAGTGACGACGTCGAGACGACCGACTGCAGCGACGACGCTGGCTCGTGAGGGCAAGGTCGAGATAACGTGCATTGTGCTTTGCCCGTTGATCCCTATCGATCCTCTAATCTCCTCATCGATCGACTTCACCAGACGCAGAGGATTGCGTGCTCAAGAACGTTGCCTTGCTTGCTCTGCTCCTCTCTTTCTTCTTCCCCTTCTTCAACATCTGCCTTCGATTTCACCTCTTCATCTTTCTTGCCCTGACCTCGCTTTCGCATTCATCCGCTTCTCCACAACAACACAAGACACCTCCTGATCGACGACGACGGCGGCGCCCGTCACATCATCCCGCACTTTAGACAGCGAAATCCCTTCTCGCGGGCTACTCACGCTCCACGTCACGCCTCACCGGCAGATTCAAGCGATTTTCCCCTCGGGCGGTGCCTGAGAAGGAGGCAGAGGAAGCTTCGCAAGTCGGCATCGCGAGAGCCATCGTCCTCCGCTCCTCACGCATTGCAAGGGCCGAAATCGCATTGAGGAGGGAGGCAGCGCTCTTCTGCATATACACCACGACATCTTCCTCACCTCAGTACTGCCTGTCGGTTCAGCCTCATTGAACCGGCCCTCTACCGGCTGTGCCTCTTGGTGAACCAGCCCCGCAACGACCAACGTCAGGCACTAAGCCAAGCAAGCCCATCCAGAGGATGGCGCATGAGCTCTTCTCGTACTGTCTATGCTGTCTACCAGGGCGTAGAGCGCGAGGCAGAGGGGCGAATGGGAGTACGAGTGGAGGAGATGTGAGTTCTTGCGCTACTGAAATCTGACTCCCGACGCCCAAGAAGCAGCCACTGACGCGCTTTGTCCACTTCTCCTACTGCTACAGGCTTCAGAATCGACACCGTTACTCGGCGACCGCAGCGCAGCGAGTAGCAGCAGTAACGGCCTAGGCTCGTCCAGCGGCGGAAGAAAAGGTAGCGCCTCAGCTGGCGGCGTTGCGGGTACCTCGAGAGGCGCTGAGCCTTTCCCGAGCAAGAAAGGCGCATCACCAACACCAGGCTCGGCGACTGCACTCGTAGACTCGACAGCACCTGGAGCGACGCAGGCGTCAGCACTAACGGGGCCGCCGCAGCCTCCCCCGTACTCCGTCGAGGACTTGGCTGCTATTACGGCTTGGGCGAGATGTAACTTTGTAGACGTCGCCTCAGGTGGGAGGAGAAGCACTTCACGGCGAGGGACGACCGCTAATGGAGCAAATCGACCGAGTACGGCCAAACCGGAAGCGGGCGGCATCGAAGAATCAGCCAATCCTAAAGCGCAGGGCATTCTCGAAGACCTGGCAAAAGCAGTCGCTACGTCCGGTGAAGCAGCAGCGTCAGCTCCGTCGACAGCTGGCTCCGATCCTGCTGCTGCTGCTGCTGCTGCCGCTGCACAGGAGCATGAGGCTAGTGGGCAAGGAGGCAACGTCGAGCCGTAAGGAGGACCTCGCAGCAGTGACGGGAAGAGGAAAAGAATACGGCTCTCTCAGAGTACTCAAGCATGACGATGCGCGGCTCGTCGACCAGCATACCCATCAAACACAGTGCACCGCAGCGCCTCGTACTGCCCTCATGTCTATAGCTAGCTCAAATGAAAACGTGCGCATTCATCCTAGGTTCCCTTCGCCCCCCATTGCGCCCGCATGGTCTTGTGTCTCTCCACCCACGGCCTTGCTCCCTCCCACCTCCATCCCCTTGAGTATATGTGCCACATCCTCTCCGACTGCTCACGGTACACTTTTGCCTCCTTGAGGTAATGTAGCGCAATCGTTCCTCCATCCTTGGGAAATGTGTCGTCATCGTACCAAGAGCCCATCTTCACGCCGTAGTCAACCGTCACAATCGGCTCACGCAGCGACAGCAAGTATGCTCCCAGCCTCGCGTCCTCATTCCCACGAGTGTGCCACCAGGGAAGCGGCTGAGAGGTGTTGCCCAGCCATACGACGAGGGGCCAGCTGAGCGCGTAGCCGAGACCGCCGAAGTGAAATGGAAAGCTCTGAGTGCAACCCCAGGAGGTGCCGATGTACGCTGGTTGGGAGCATGAGAGGTTGGCAAAGGCTTGGAGTGGATTGGGCAAGACGGGAAAGGTGTCGTCGTCCATCTTCATCACGAAGCGAGGTGGGCGCAGTGAGAAGGAGGCCTGCTTGGGAGCATTGCGACCGCGACTTTGGGCTATGAAGCGAAAGAAGTTGAACGTTTTGCCGCTATTCATTCCCTGCTCCTCATGAGGTAGAATGGTCAGGTCGCTGAAGTTGCGTTGCTCTTCAGCCAACTTGGTCATGAGCACAATATGCGTCTGTGCTCTTTGCTGTTCCCATCCTGTCCATGGCACGATGAGAAGCAGCAAGGACCGCCACAGGGCGACGCCGTTGCCTTGCCAGGTTGCAACCCTGGCGAGGGAGTGTGCAGCGGTGGAAGTGTGCCATCACTGAGCATGGCCACCGTGTGCGACCAGCCTCGCGGATAAGCCAAGATGAAGTTGACCTCTAGCACGCCCGGAGGGATGCCCATGTCACCGTGAGGGTGAGAGGGCATAGAGCTACGGTCATAACAATTAGCAGGAGGACTGGTCCCTCTGGCGACTTGCCCCTCCAGTCGAACACGCACCTATCAGCGCCAAGCACTTCGTCGACGCTTTTGGTCCCTCTGTATCGCGGCAGCGTTCTCCTTCAAATGACGTTGCGGATCTCCTCCCTCTGCGGCGTGACCATCGAGAAGATGCCGATGTAGAGCAGAGGCGAAGATCCCCCTACCTCTCCAGAGAAGCTTGCTTGATTGTTACGGCGGAATGGATGGCTCTCACCGTCACATCGTGTACTGTTCCAAGGGCTTGGCCTGCCGACTAGCTGTCGGATCGTACTGGCGAGCCCCGGTCTTGGATTCCAGTCCACGTCTGGATAGATTGTGATTTTCGGGAATCTCCAAGGAGGCAAGGTGTAAGGATCAGTCCACCAATGTGGGTCCTGCCGAGAAGAGATAGGACGCCCTGGGTACCACATGATGTAGCTGCGACGCAGGAGGGGAAAGAAGGCGAGCAGCGCGAGGACGAGAATGCAACAAAGGAGGGGTGATCGACAGATATGCTGTACTAAGGTCAAGACGTTGTGCCAGAGACGCCATACGGAAGCTTGCACTGCTTGCGAGGAGCGTAATGCACGAAGCTGCCACCGCGGGATCATTGCCGCATCTTCGTCGTCACTGCCGTGAGAAGTTCGAGCGCGCATACTGATAGCGATGAGGAGAGTAGCGCAGCAGGATTGCACGCCTTTGCAGCTGAGCCCTTCATTGCAGTCTTATCAGGCACAAGGCTCGCCCGCAAAGGATCAAAACATCAATCATCACCAGCCGGCGGACCGCTCGGGCGCACCATTCGCCAGTCCGCAGCGCTTGGACCTCTCAAGTCGAAGAGCCTGAGCCAGTCCGAGCCTCCTCTTTCTGACTGACTAAAACGATGCATTATAGAAAGCTCATCTCTATCTCTTCATCGTCCGCAACGTCCACTGCTCATCGTCTGACAAACAGATCCTTCCACCCTTCGACGTACCGCAGCTCATCGAGATGCTTGATTGTGGCATCGCCAATGACTTCCTCTGACTGCGTGCCCGTCGATGCTACCGCCGCTGCCGTCGCCGAGGTTGAGGCTGCGTCTACTGCCGTCGTGAGCCCGTTGCCGGCGCCATTGATCGAGCCATTGAACGTGGAGCCGGCGAAGCTGACCCTACGTGTCGTGAAGGGCGGGCGTGAGTATCATCCTGTTCATCTGATCTCCTTCTTGTGCCACTCACCTGTACACCAATCCATCACTGCATCCTACGACGACGCTCTCGTCGTCCACCTCGATGCACATAGGGTTACGCTCTGACGTTGTTAGGTTCTCTTCGCCTGAAGCGCTTGCCCAAGCGCCACGAAGCTTGGCAGAGGGGGCTGCTCCGCCATCGGCGATAGCGGATGGCGAGGAGGCGTCGAAGGTGCTGACGTAGATGCTTCGCTCTTCAGGGGGGACCCGCGAGGCAAACCGGGTGGAGCAGATGACGCGACGCTGCAGACGACCAGGGTCCATGTGGTTAGCGCAGGAGATTGGATTTGGTCTTTGCTGAGGATCACTCACCTTCTGCGGATGCACAGCTCCCGTCACGACCTCCGGAGTTTTAAGCACGCTCACGATCCTGGGCGGTACGGCCAGATTGGGAGCAAAGCGACTCTTGGTCTCGACTTGGCCGTCGGTACGTGTTGCCTCGCCAATCGCATCAGCCGCGGTGCTACCGCTCCCGTTCCGCCTCGAGGGAGAGGGAAGGGAAGCAGCTGAAGAGGACGGCGTCATACTTGACAGGCTGGAAGACAGGCTCTTGCTCGACGACGAAGGAGTCAAGCCACTACCTGTACCAACGAGACTCTTGCGCTTGGTTGTACTTGAGGAGGGGGTTGATGGCGCAGTACCGCCAAGCGAAGCGCGCGAAGCTCGCAGGCGCGATGCAGATGGGCTAGCAGCCAGCGATGCGCTTGTTGTGGCCGTCGAGGTGGAGGCTGTGCTGGCGTTGGAAGTTGTCCGAGTCCTCCTCGTCGCACTGCTTGGCGTCCTGCTTGGCGTCGTCGTCGTGCTCACAGCCGACTCAGTGGAGTCGCGCCTTCCTCGCGCTGATGGCGTTTCGGAGCCTGTCGTCTCGATGTGCTCCGCCCACTCCAAATGAACCACGGTCGTCTTGCTTGCGACGGTTATCGAGTTCCGATGCGCCGCGAACCACGTCAGTATCCCGGCCTCGCCGCCTGCAGCCGTGAAATCCTTGAGCATGGCGCCCCACTTCGTGTCCCCTCTACCCAGCTTCGCCAGATGATACTCTCCCACCATTCTCTTTCCCGCAATAGAGAAGCACCTAATGACCCCATCAATAGTCACCGCCACCAACTTGTCGTCCCCCACGAGCGACACGCCTAGACTCACGTTGGCCTGCTGGCCAAAGCGCGCTACTCGTTCGCCAGTACTGTGGTCCCACACACAGATGGCTTTGTCTTGTCCGACGGAGACGACGTGTCGCGAATCAATAGCGACATGCCGGATGCCCCGATTATGGCCCGTAAGGGTGTGTAGGTGGGCGCCTGTGGCCAGGTCGAAGAGGAGAATGCGACCCGTGTCGTAGAGGCCGGCAGCAAGGAGGCTGGGCGTTGAAGAGGCAGAGGAATCGACGAGGAAGTCGAGGCAAGCAATCTTGTCTGCTTTTATGACTCGACGACAAATAGGGGCCACGCTTGAGTCGGACAAGTCCCATACGCGCAGAGTTCCATCATGGCTGCCCGTCACGAGGGTATCCCGGCCGCGCAGCTTCATCGAGGTGACAAAGCCTGTGTGCCCCCTGCAGAACTGGACGCCCTGCCCGAGCCCACGCGACCAGTTGCGCTCGCGAATGTAGAGCTTTTGCACGACGTCGCGCCATGACCGTGGGTCGGAGGGAGGAGAGAGGGCCTTTGCATCGGTCTCAGTCAGCGCGAGGGCGTGGGACCGCCATATGTCTGGATGAGCAGTGAGGGACTGCCATCTCTTGCAGACCAGGGCGCTGCGGAGAAGCTGTACGTGAATTGAAGAAGCAGGTCAGCATGCAAGCTCGTGAGAGATATACCCTCTTTCTTCAACCCACGTCTTGTACCGCCAACCTCTCAAAGATGAGCACCGCCAGCCTCTCTGGCAGGTTGCTGATGATGTCCTTTGTCACCCCAATTTGGCCCTCGATGGTGCGTTTGATGCTCAGCAGGTCGCCAGACATCGCCGCATCCAACACGATGTTCAGCAGCCTAATACGCATCGGTCGCGAAAGTGAGCGGATCCTCTGCTTGATCGCCTCCTCGTCTAGCGCTTCGCCATTACCTAAGGCCATCAAGCTGTCATTGACGCCCTTCACTGCTTTCCCTTCCCCCTCATCATTGCCACCAACAGCACGCTCTACCTCGACCGGTTCATCCTCCTTGTAAAGCACAGATGAGCCCCAGCCCAGCCCTGCAGATGCCTTGATATTCTTAGCGCTGTCGTCCACGAAGAAGAATTTGCTCGCATCATTGACCCTCACAATCTGCGCCGCCGCTGCAAAGTACCCTTTGTCTGGCTTGCAGCAGAACAAGGGTCCAGCAGCATAGTCACAGTAGACTATGCCATCGAAGAGGTGCTCGAGGCCCAGAAGCTTGATGCAGCGGAGGGCATGCGTCTTGTATGCGTTGGTGAGGGCAAAGACGCGGCACTTTGACCGGTCCAGATCCTCGATGAGGGAGGTGAGGGCTGCTTCTGGTTTCAAGAGACCATCGAGCGGAAGGGAGCCGTCTACGCGTCGGTCGTAGTCTAGCGGGTCGATGCCGGAATGGTTCTTGAGCAGGCCCCGGATAGCAAGGCCGTGCTCGCTGTAGTATCGCTGGTGGAGAGCGCCGGCCTCGTCTGGGGGTAGACCGAGGCCGAGAAAGTAGGCATGGATGCGCTCGCCCATTAAGTCGGCGATTCGGGTGGATTTGTGGTAGAGGGTATTGTCTGCCGGCGAGCGGGAGGAGTGAGGGTCAGTCGCCCGCTCAAAGTGAGTCGAGTCCATGCAGCAACAATCACCTATGTCGAACCACACGATGCTGCGCTGGTCACCATCGCTTACAGCCTCAAGATCATCCTCGCTGACATTCAGCCCCACGTATCCTACGCCCGTCTGCTGTCTAATTCTCTCCACCCTCGATGTCGTTGAGCGAGTTGTGCCATTGCTGCACGTTGCCTTCTCGCCGCTCTTCCTTGGCGTTGAAGCCGACACTCTGCCTCTGACAGGCGTCTTTGTCGACTGCGATGCTGAAGACCTCGCTGCGGAAGCAGCAGTTGGAGCAGGAGCCATCTTCCAGGCCTCAACAGCCTGAATGACAGTAAAGAGAGGAGGCAAGGAAAGGAGGGCGAGGGTCAAGCAACACGCAGTCAGCAACGCAGCAACGTCAGTCCGATGTCTGACCCCACGCCCCGCCCTTCGGCGCTTTCGAATCGAGTCTCGCGTTGCGCACGGGGCGCACCATTTTCGCAACCTTGTTGTTGCCTCGCCTTTTTCTTCGCTTGCATCCTCATCACAAAAGGCGCAGCCGGGCCGCTCGTACCTGACGGGCCGTCGCCTTCCCTCACCCAGACGAGTCAGCGCGGGCAGCAGCAAAGAAATAGGCGGCGGTCTACATCTTCACTCTTCTCCCTACACGACCCATAGCCTCGCAGCAAGCCCGCACCTAGCCAAGCAACAATGCAACCTCGCTCTCGCCCTCCCCTCGTCACCATCTCAGCCGGCTACATATCCTATGCTCACACCGTACTAGGATTCTCCGCCTTCTTTGGCGCTCTCATCCTGGGCCTATGCCTACACTATCACAAGATCGTCAAGAATCATGTAGCGGGATGGCCAGACGAATGGTGGCCGAGCGTGAGCGCGACGATCGGCGACTGGCCGCAGGAGCGCTCCATTTTGCAGATCTTCATCGCCCTCATGTCCGGCCCGAGGATTTCCCTCGTCCTTCTATCGGCTCTGCTCGTCTCTCTGTCCAACCCTCAGTCGTTCAGAAGTAAGGCCTTGGCCTCGACAGGGATCCTGCGCACCCTATCATGCGGGGGATGGGTGTATTGCACATCGACCGACCTTCCCCTGATCCACGACGTGGCGATGATCCTCTACCTAGTGCTAACTCCCGTCTGGATGTTCATCTCTTGGGGGTCACTAGCACCGCAGCCGGAGAAGGAGGCGAGGGCGACCGCCCACGACTCGCCCGCCGCGAAGCTGTCCGAGCGTGCTCGCAAGACAAGGAGGAACACCGCTGCAGCTTTCTTTGCCTCTATTCCATTCATGTGCCTCTTCTACTATCGGCATAGAGTACTGGAGATCCCGGGAGCTTACACGACGTACTCGTTCTTTGAATGGAATCTGATCATCCAGGTGAGCAAGGAGGGGGATCAGCAGAAGCCAACCTCGTCTCACCGCCTATCTGTCCCGCTATACAGGACCTCCTCTTCGACCTGTGGTCAGTGTACGACCTCTGCAGGCTGGAGATACATATCGTCGAAGCCACAGAACCGTCACCCCGAGCAACATTGGGAGGTAGCTGGTGGACTGGGGGGACTGCAGTAGCTGTGCGAGACAAGGCGTGGAGCACTTCGCCTGCATCAGCCGCTGTCGCTCAAAGGTACGAGAGGGTCTTGCCGTAGCTGGTGTCTTCATATATCCGAATCACGCTCATCTCCTCATTCATCTGCGCGCCTGTAATCATCAATGGCTCACAGCGTCGCCTCAGATGCGAAAGAGGTCGACGAGATCCTCGACTCGGCAGACGATGAAGCCGACAAAGGGCATCTTACAGTGGAGCTGTCCCCACGACGTCAGGTGTTTGCCTTCCTCTCGGACATCTACGTTGACTTCCTCTGGTGGACAACGCTTACAGCTCTCCACCCAAGCAGTGAGTAGAATGCTGGTTCGCGAACCGAAGTGATGGGAGGCTGACGTCTGGTTCCTCCGTCACAGTCTTCTTCTTCTCCGTCTACAACCTAGCGATAGGCGGGCATGAAATCCTCCTCATCACACAAGTCTTCGCCCTCGGCATTACGCTCATCCCTTCCCTCAGGTGTAAACTGCTCGAAGAGCCCTCCCTACTCGTGACACCGCGTTCCAAGCCAGCCCTCATCGGCCTCTGGGCCCTAAGCCTCTCCTCAATCGCAACGTGGTGGATCCCAGATCCACTCAGTCGCCTTGGCTTCACCGGACTGGCGGCGGGAGGCATCGCTGTCAGCCAGGCCCTCTCGTGGGGCGAAGCGTGGCAAAAGGGAGACAAGGAGGTGCACAGGAGAGTCGTGTCTTGGCTGGTGGGGCTGGCACTGAGCTCTACGGCCAAATACGCGAACCACAGCAACAATCCGCTTTGGCCTTTCATGCATTCAGGAAATGGGGGAAAGCAGCCGATTGGGCTTGCGTTGGCTGGTCTGAGCTTGATCGAGCTGCTGAAGAGACCGGCGAGCTCGACCAACACTGGCACCGGCGGCCGAGCACGCGTCAAGGCGACGAAGGTGGATGAGTTGCAGGCAGCTCTTGGTATGGGTGGCCTCCTCTTCGCGCTGCACACCTTCCTAACCGACTCGGGCACTATGATCGCCTGGACTTGGACAGGCTTTCCCATCAAGGGGTGAGTGGGCAATGTGTGAGCTGAACTCGAGGACTCCTTCTGACGTTCTACTCTGTCGCGTCTCGCAGACCCATGGCTATCCCACATGGCTGGCTGATCCTCGCCTCAACGTCGATTGGCATCGCCACAGCCGCAAGTCGCCCAGACTTCGGCCATCACCCTGCGGTCCTCTTCTTCCTCGCCCTCTGCAATATTGTTCTCATCCTCACACGCAACTGGGTCGCTTTCTTGGCTGCGATCGACACAGCTTTTCTCCTGCCCCTCGTGGCCTTCCCACTGGTACAAGGAGCGCTACGCCATCATCCGCTGCGGATCATGCTCTGGATCTGGCTCGTCGCCGATTTGATGACCTTCTTCCAGGTGCTGACGGTAGCCTACGCTTTTGTCCCCGGCGGAATGCCCTTCAGGGAGAAGACGTGGGCGATGCTCGCGGTGCAGCTCCTCTTCCTAGGGGTGGGATTGCGCCAGGCCCAGCGTAGTGACAGCAAGACTGCGGCTTCCATTTCACACCTCAGCCTACCGCGACCCATCATGCGCTGCCTCATCGCCCTTTTGGCCGCGATCGTAGCGGTCGCAGTCGCCGTCTCCCGCATCAGGCTGGTCGACACCTCGACCATCATTCCTCATCATGCGCACGACGGCTCACGTGTCTTTACCGCAGGCATCCAGACGGTTCACTTCGGGCTCGATCAGCTCTTCCACGACTCATCCCGCCGAATGGCCGACCTCTACTCGGACCTCCAGCTGGATGTGCTCGGCCTCCTTGAGACGGACCTACATCGCAGCGTCTTTGGCAATCGCGACCTGACGCAATACCTTGCCCAGTCTCTTGGTATGTACGCGGACATCGGGCCTTCTCCATTGGGCCATACCTGGGGGTGCGTGCTGCTCAGCAAGTTTCCGATCGTCAATACGACGCATCACCTCCTTCCCAGTCCAGACGGAGAGCTCGCCCCTGCCATCCATGCAGTGCTGGATGCCTTTGGGGAGCACGTCAACGTTTGGGTCTCTCATAATGGGCAAGAGGAGACGCCCGTGGACCGCGAGCTTCAGACAAAGGCAATAGCCCGCGTAGCAAGCGCGACCTATCCCCAGCCCTTCGTCTTCCTTGGCTACCTCGTCACCAAGCCCCATGCAGAGCGACCCAGTCCATATAAAATCCTCTTCGAAGATGGTCGGATCCATGACGTCGAGCCGCTCGACTCCATGCGCTGGTGCCAGTACATCGGCTTCAGGTCCCTGTCCCGTGTCGCCTACATCAGGGTGTCCCGATACACGCTCACTGACACCGAGCTGCAGCTGGCCAAGTTCCGTGTACCGGATATCACAGGCGGTGAAGCGCCCCTGGATCCAAGCAGAGACGATAAGCCTAGACTGGTGAACCACGATCATCCTATGGTCAGGCCGGAATGGTGGTTCCCCACGCACTACATCGATCGCTTTGCGAGCCCGAGCGAGAAGTTCTCTTACACACCGTGGGTCTATCCGCGCTACTACGCGCCCAATGAGGAAGAGGTGGTGGGCGTATAGGTATGAGTGCAATGTAAGGACAGTGGTGGTCAACGACGAAGGACAGAAAGGAGGGAAGTTAAGAAGAGTGCGATGAATAATGGTATTGTACAAGGGAATGCTTAAAAGAAAGAGATCTGCTGACCCCACTGTGGGTTCCCCCTACGTGCTACGGGATCTATAGCCTACTTTCTCGGCCTGCTCTCGCCGAAGTCTGTGGTGGCTGCTGCTGCTGCTGCTCGTCACCTCCCCTGTTCGACCCCCTCATCCGGCTCTCTCTCGTCGTCCACTCCCTTACCGCTCTGGCTAGTCCACGTACTTGCTCCTCAGTGTTGTCCGAGTGGACGCAGATGCGCACCCGATCCCGACCGAGGGGTACGGTCGGGTAGGTGATTGGCCGGACGAGGAAGCCTCGCGATTGCAGGAAGGCGGCAAGTGGGCGTGTTGAGGCGTGCTCGGTGAGAAGAGGCATGATGGGCGAGGGGAGCGGGACTGGCGGCGACGGCGCTGTTGATGTTAATGATGAGCCTGAAGGTGGATCACCCGCATCGCTGTCGTCGCTTCCTATTGCCGCAGCGTTGCAAACAGCTCGTAGCCACATTGGGTCGCCTCCCGCAGGCAATTTTGACGCTTGAGATGACTCAGCACGAGGTTGCAATGAAAGCAGCCCTTCCTCATCCTCTTGCAGCCCGTCGATTGCCCTCAACTCCTCCCTCAGCATGCCACAATTTACATGTAGCCTGCTCCTCCTTGCTGGCCCCTCCTCCGACTCGAGCACATCCAGACTCGCGTGGATGAGGTGCACATTAGCGTGCGGCATGGCCGTAGAGAAGATGAGGGGCCTCGCATAGTTGATCAGGTATTGCCTCGCCACGCTCGACCTGGTAAGGATGACTGCACCTGAGGAGCCAAATCCCTTGCCAAAGGTGCAGACCCGCATGACTTCGGGGTCGCGGCAGACACCCAGCATCTGACAGATGCCTGCTCCTGTAGCCCCATGAACGCCTACGGAGTGCGCTTCATCCACGAGTGTCCAGAATCGCCCGCTGCCTGCGGGAAAGTGGCGCCGAGCAGCGGCTATGAGCTGCGGTAAGGGGGCGTAGTCTCCATCCATGGAGTACAGCGTCTCCACCGCCAGAAAGACGTTTGCCTTTGGACTCAGTCTACCGCTGCTCACAATGGCGTCCATCTGCCTCTCGAAGTCCCGCACATCGTTGTGCTTGAAAGCGACGCAGTGGGCGCGGGAGCGGCGCATCCCGTCGTGGACGCTTGCATGGACCAAGGAGTCGTAGAGGACGACATCGCCAGGCTGAGGGACAGTGGAGAAGAGGCTGACATTTGCCTCCCATCCCGACGGGCAAAGCAAGGCATGCTCTGCATCAAAGAATCTGCAAAGCCTTGCCTCAAGGTGCTCCATTTCCCCTTGACCGTTATTGCCATCGAGGAGGCGACTGCCAGTGCTTCCCCCCACTCGCCCGGCTGATGCTCGGCGCATGAAGGCGTCCTTGAGCGAAGACGATGTGGCGATGGAGAGGTAGTCGTTGCTGCTGAAGTCGGCGAGGTTCGAGGTGGACGAGATCGTCGAAGGTTGGAAGATGGAGAAACGACGTAGCATCGCTTTGGCCTCGCGATCTTTGAGGCGCGCGGCCATCGAGTCGAGGATGCCCATCGCACTGACACTCGAAGATGGCTTTGTCGATGGATCAGGTGCCCTTGAACTAAATCTCCTCGTTGCCGAATAGTTGCGCAGCCATTGATCGATGGCCACCGGTAGGAAATAAGGCGGTCACCGGCTCGGTGCTGGGGTTCAGGGTCAAGATCTTCCTAAGGCCGGCAGCTTCCTTGACCTCAGCCCCACCGGCCAATCGCCCTCGCGTGGCTCAGTCCGTCATCAATCATGAACCCACCTTTGCTTCACCTCTCTTCAATCTAAGTGCGCCTGAGGCAGGGGGGGCGGGGCTAGACTGACAGTGTGGGGGACTACTTGCCTCGCCACATCATCGACTGACTTGTCAAAGACCAGACCAGACTGTCTGTACGAAACACGCGGCTAGCCATTTTACCGTCGCCCGATCTCAAGTCCTACACCAAAGGCTTGCGCAGCCGGTAAGGAACACCCGATTGCCTTCCGTACCAGCATCCCCATCGAGCTCCATTCGCATTGCCCAGACTCGATGCAGTAGACTCATATCGTGGGCTTCGGTGCAATCAGGCTGAATCTAGGAAACGCACTGCTGCTGCCGTCTGCTCGGGAGAAAGTAGAAGGTCGGGGTATCTAGAGCTTATTCGCGGGGCTTTACTCTTGGCAGAGCGGTGAATGGTGATTGGGAGGAGGCAGTGTGGGGAAGCGCGGAATGATCTGCCACGGCAAGACTTCCAAAACAGCCAAGCATGAAGGAAGAAGATGTCACGAGGACGAAGATAGCTTTCTACACAAGACGCTTGGGCGCACTCGCTACGTGGTGGCGAGGATAGGAGAAGACAGGGAGTGCTCCCTGGCGGGATGTAGACGGTACCACGGGCACGGGGAGGAAGGGATCTGATCGCTCCTGACCCGTTCTCGCAATCCAAGCGATGGGATGAGCGAATAAGTTGGCGCACATCCGTTATGCTCTCATCATATGAATCACGTCAATGCAGTTGCTTGCGCGAGGCTATGCTGCGATCGCAAAAGGAGCATCATGATGATGATCGGCGCCCACCAGCAGCAGCCAAGGGTTCAGCAAGTCAAGGGTCAACGAGCGGCCATGGTCTTCCGGCGCGTGTCTGTGGCTGGCTGCTAGGCTGCTGCATGCCGCCTTGCCTGCCCACAGGCAGCTCTCGGCAGACCCGCCTAGCCCGCCAGACGCGGAGGGCTACGAGCCTAGCCTGGCCAAGGCCACTTGCCCGCCTTTTTCGGGAGCCGCCCAGAAAGAGAGGCTCGACCCTTACGATGAAAGTGAAGGGACACGATCTCCGCCCTCACTCGCATTCTGTCACCAAGGCGGGCAACGGGCCCTTCTTTGGACATTCTCCCACGAGCGGAGCCTATCAATATCCTGGTCTACAGTACGACGCTAGCGGCGTGGGCGATTGATTGACTCGCGGTCTGCCACGCTAATCAACGTGTCGTATTGCACTCAGCTTCGACGTCGACTTGTGCTGTTCTTCCTTTGGCCAGGGAAAGAACCAAGCGCGCGAGATACCGGAGGCGAAGAGGCGAAGAACAAGACGACAGGCACGACAATGCCGAAAGCTCGGAGCAACGCAGCAGCAGTAAGAGCAGCCACTGACGTCCGTTCCCCTTTCCCTTTCCCTTTCCCTGGCCCTCGCCCGGGCTGCAGCTGCGAGGCCTCGCTGCTGCTTTCTGCTCCTGCATCATCTCAGTTCGCGTCTGGTCCGCCCGGCTGCTCTTACGAAGGAGGCTTGCTTTTCCGTCTTGTCTGCCTTCTCCGTCCGTCGAGTCGAGGATCTTTCTCGTCGGGGCATTTGACCGGCCGCCTGCCATGCAGCCTGGACCCGCTTGCCCACAGCCAACTGGGACCGTGGCCACGGTCACGGCTGCAACGCATTGATACCACGCAGAACACATCTCAGACTTCCTCCTTTTTCTCTTCATCCCCTAGTCCCTCGCCCCTCGTCCGATTTCCAGGCTTTCCCGCCTGCGGCTCTCCCTCTCCCTGTCTATCCTTACCTCTTCAGAGCCACTCCTCTTCCTCTTCAAGTCATCCCTCCGTCTTCGCATTTTCTTTCTTCCTGCCACCGACTCAGCACTGCCCTGTTGTCCCCGCACTATCTCTCGCAACAATGTCAGGCTGTGGCGAGCCCTACGCTACCGCCACTCTTTATTCGACGAGGACCACGGTTCTTCCCACTGTTGTTGTGGCTACCGTTTCTCCCGCCGCCACGAACGATGACGGCAATTCTGGAGGACAGATCCTCACCACCTTCACTTCCTCCTACACAACTACTGCGCTTCTCCCTACGAGCACCCTCTATGCCACTCCGACCTGCGCCTCGACCACCGCAAGCGCTAGTGCCACTGGAGGCGGTGCAGGGTCGCGCTCTACCTCGGCCGTTGTCCCCACAGGGATGACCAGCAGCACCAAGACGCAGACGCTCACCTCTGCCCTCGCCACTGTCAGCGATGCCGGTGGACGTCAGTCCGTCGTGTACGTCACCTACACCCAGACACTCGCCTCTCCCCAGCCAGTCTACGTCACCACCGTCATCCCGGCTGCAGCTGAGACGTCGGCGGCGGGTTCTTCTTCGTCCGCGTCCAACAAGTCGACACACAAGGGCGCTGTGATTGGCGGAGTCGTGGGAGGTGTGATCGCCCTCGCAGCGCTCTTCCTTCTCGTCCTCTTCTGCCTTCGCAAACGACGACATCAAAGGGGCCAAGTCTCCCTCGACGAGCTCTTCAGGCGATCAGCAGGCGGCATGCGTGGTGACCGTGGCGATGACGATGAAGAGGATGGGCGCACCATAGCGGGCGTTTCGCGCAACAACTCCGGCGCATCGACTAAGGCTGCAATGGCTGGGATGGAAGGAGCAGGGCCTGGCGTAGTGAACATCGAGGACGAAATGGTCGAGGGCCAAATCGGCAATGGTATCGTGCCTACCCTAGGCCGCAGTGCGTCAAAGGGCGCCACTTTGTCGCCTACCTTTCCCTTGTCCATCAGCACGACGGCAGCCAATGGCAGTGCAGCCACGGGCCTTCTTGCCCGCTCTGGCAGCGAGAGTAGCAAAGCACCAACGCCTTACAATGTCACGCCGCCGTCAGGTGGTAACAGCGACCCCAGCACGCCCTACGAGGACCCACAGTCTCCTCCCTTGGCCGATGCTAGTATCATGGCTTTCGTAGGTGGGCGACCAGCTTCCTACGCTGGGCACTTTGGCTCTCCACCCAGCTCTCCGAAGGCAGCCACACCAGGAGGTACGACGGTCGCTTTGCCGCCAGCCGTATGGTCGGGAAGCAGCTCCCACCAGCAGCCACAGCACTACCCTACCCTGTCTCGCCCGCGTTCAGTCGGCAACATGGATCTGCACTTTATACCCTCGTCACGGCCAACCAGCCCAACCTACTACGCAAATGGACCACAGCAGCCACGATCGCCACCTCTGTGCCCTACCTCGCCTCCCTTTGTCGCTCCTGGCGGCCAGCATCGTCCCAACCTCGGAGGGCCGCAACGCTCCACCTCGCCGCCGCCAAATGGTGCAATGTGGCGCTCGCCTCCACTGAAAGCTAGCTCACCACCTTCAACAGCCAATGGCAACCCACACCGCACACCCAGCGGAGGTTTTGCTCGTGGACCAGACGGATCTGCTCGTCTCGGCAAAGGCAACCGTACGCTCAGCTGGGGAAGTGGGAGCATGGCACAATTGCAAGCCCTCACGTCTTCCACACCTTCATCGAACCAGCAGCAGCCGCAGCAGCAGCAGCAGCAGCAAGAGCCCAGCTTCGGTGTGCAACCCCGCGGCCCGCGACATTCCACACAGTACCAGCCTCGCAGACAACAAACTGCCTCCCCCCCGCCTCCCGGCACGCACAGCGCTGATTGGCCGCCGAGCCGATATGGGCATCTTGACGTCGCATTTGGTGCTGCGCGCCCAGCAGGAGGATCTTCAAATGGCTCATCCGCAGCGAGTACCCCGCCCGCTACATCACCCAATCCCGCGTCAACACCGACAGAGTCAGCAACAGGGCTGACCGGCAGCGAGACAGTCCGCAGCGTGGACTCTTCAAAGTACTGGAAATCGCCCATTGACTCTACATCCCCTCCACTGTCGCAGCAGCAGCAGCAGCAGCCTGCTCTCGCTCAGCCAGTCGCAAAGCACGGCTCTGCCACCCCTGTCGAGGACGATGAAGACACTTCGGCGGCATTGGCAGCGGAGAAGGCATTGTGGGGTAGAAAACTGTTCGTGACAAATGCGGAGGATGAGTCATGATGGTGCCCCTTTGTATTTACCTCTACGTCATAGACAGCAATGCAGATGGAAGAGGTGCTTTGATTGCTATTTGGAGAATGTGGTGGTCTGGGTGTGGCTGTGACTGTCATGATGGAGAGTAGGTACATTGAGACGACGATGATTGTCTTCATCGACCATTCGACGGACAGCGAGCGTCGCGCTGCCAGCCTCTCTATTTGGCTTCTCCCATTCTCTACTTCGCGACCTCCTCCGTCTTTCCGCTCAAATCAACGTCGTCATCCGGCTCCCCCGTGTGCCACAGGTAGTACCACCTGACCGTCTCCAAGCGCTTGCAAAGCGCCTCCACCTGCGCCTTCCTTGCCTCTTGCGTCTCCTTGAGCTGCTTCTTCGCCTTGCGCGACACGAGCGCCGTAGCGCTGGCCGTGGCACTCGAATCCCCATTCTTTGTCGGCGAAGTAGACCCTCCAGCCCCTCCAGAAGCCTTCTGCTGCGCAACAGCGATTTCTGCATCCTGCTGCGCCTTATTCTCTTCGTAATCCTTCTGAGCTGCGCGATAGCGGAGGAAAGCGATGACTTGCTTGATGCTGGGCGGATAGTTTGTGCCCATGAACACCGGACCGGCGGGAATGGCTGGTGGGGGTGGAGTGAGATCGCTTGTGGACGATGATGTGGATGAGGAGGAAGCAGCGCGCTGCGACTTGTCCTTGCCCTTACTTTCGTCTTCGTCCGGCTGCTCGATTAGGACGATGGGGCTGCGAGCCTTTCCGTCGAATCTGGTGCCGCGGCCCTCCGTTTTGAAGTCCAGGCTGTCCTCTACCTCTTGCTTCTCGCCATCGCCCGTTTGCGCCGCCATTGTAGGCTTGACAGGGCTCACATTGGATGCTGTACCCGGCATAGCCTCCTGAGGCGGGGCGTCCTTGACTAGCGGCTCGCCGTGCACAACGACGCACCATGCCCACCTGCCATGCGTGTCACGAGGCATGACCTCATTGAACTCAGTGAGCTGCCAGTACGTCCTACCGTCAGCATCAGTCCCAAGCGGACCCGTGCGAATCTTGTTCGCCTCACTCTCCCTCAAGGCCTGCATTTTGACATCGAGCACCCGCAGCTTATGGTTGCGCTCCTTCTTGTCCTTGTCCTTCTTCCACTTGGCAAAGTCGTCCACTTTGGCCATGCTAGGCGCCGCAGCTGCCAGGACCTTCTTCTCTTCTTCCCACTCCTTCTCCAACTGCTTGAGATCCTCGCGTGCAGCGCGGTCGATATCGCCCATGCGGGCCGCACCACTTTTGAGCTCTTCGCTAACCTCAGGAGTCTGGAGCACGGCCTCGAGGAGCACGCAGAGGATGGCGACCTTTTCTTCCATCTCGGGTGCAGGGAGGGGCTCGGCCGGCTTGGGAGGGGCAGGAGCTGTCGTGGTGGACGGAGGAGGGGTAGTAGTGCTGGTGCGCGTGTCATCTGCTCCGGTGTCGTCGTCGTCGCTTCCTCCACTCTCGCTGTCTGTGAGGGTCGAGCTTGTGCCAGATCGGCTGCTGCCATTGCTACTGCCATTGACAATGACGATGCGGCGGCTACTTCGTGATGCTGACGTGCCTGCCTTTGTGGCGCCCGTCTGTCGCCCACTGCGACGGGTACCTTCAGCAGCAGGAGCAGCTCGCGTGGCCTGTCTGGCTGAGCTTCGGCCTCCTCGCCTAGGCATCTCGTCCTCCTCACTTTCCGCATCTCCAGCCCACTCATCACGGTCGCCGTTGCGCGCAGGCTCCAACTCGTCCTCCTCGCTGCTTTCGTCCTGGTCGCTGAATTGAGACTCGTAGCTGTAGAGGCTTTGCTGCTTGACTCGCTCCAACGCGCGCACCTCGGCGGCTCTCTTGGTCCTCGTCATGCGAGAGCTAAGTAGTGTTGGCCCAGAGTCATCGGCATCCCTCATCGCAGCCTCTTTGGATTCGTCGGAGAAGACGCGCTCGACGTGGGGCAGCTCAGGGATGTCGAAGCCGAGGCTGTCGAGCAGGTCCCTCGCTGCTTGCCAGGGCTCTCCCCTCTGCAGGTCCTCGCCGAATTGGCGGAACGCTTGAATAGCCGGGGCGACGCGCGCCTTTGGCTGACCTTGGTTGATGCTGTTGATACCGGCAAGGGCGACGAGGATGCGCTCGAGGAGCGTCTGAACTTGGCGATGCGTCCAGAGGTCGAATTTGTCGAGCTGGATAAGCTGGCCCTTGGGCACTCGAATGAAGTCGAATCGCACGAGCGTCTCGTAGATCCACATGCGCGCCCACACGTTCTCCGGATGCAGGGCAGTCTTGATGACCTCAAGCTCAGGGGCTGCCACTGGTGCGGGAGGCTTAATAGGGCGAGGTAAGGTTGCCTGACGTGGTTTGCTGGTCGAGGGGAGAGCTTGCGCCTTGCTGGTGAGGGCATTTTTAAGGGAAGAAGTCGCTTTCTTGCCTTTGGCCTTGGCTGCTCCCGAGGGCGCTGCGGCTGCCTTCTTGCTCTGGCTACCATTGGCGCCGCTTGCGCCGGCGCCGCTGCTGCTGCTGCTGCTTGCTTTGGCCTTGCCCTTGACGTCGGACGTACTTGCCTTAGCTTTGGACTTCGCGGGAGCCTTCTGCTTCGGTGCAGCTGGGGGCTTCTCGACTCTGTGCGAGGCCCACCAATTGATCATCATCAGTCTGGAGGTTGAGGATCAAAATGCGGCTCATTTGCTCACCTGACGGGCTCGACACCGAACTTCTTTCGACAGATGCTGCACGTGCAAATGCCCAGGCATCGAGGACACTGCAATCAGGGACGCGGGCGCGGCACCAAGTGAGCATACACGGTAGCAAAGGACGCGACGTGCAACGGGCCGGAGGGGGACACTCACCTTGAAAATGTAGTTTGCTTCACTCTCATCGCAGTGCTCAGCGAGGTCGACACCCGGCACATTCCTTCCTCTCGCCTTGATGGCGTCGAGATCATCGTTGTACTGCACGCTCAGGGCAGCAGCGCAGAACTTGAGGCCGCATCGGACGGTAGGTTTGCGCATATCTGCGGCGAACGGTGGGCGGATCAGCACGGTCAGCCTCCTCTGCCATCTCTCTCGTCTACAGCCTTCCATCATCTACTCACAGGTGCAGCGGATCTGCTCAGTAGCGCAAAGAGCTCTATGCTGGTGACAGAGCGGGCCCTCCCCAGGCAGAGCTGTCTTCCTCATCTCTCCATTCTCCTTGGGAACCTTGGGTCCGACTGGCGTGTACCTGCTGCTGGACGATGAGCTGCCACTGGCATTGGGGCTGTTGGCAACGAGGGATTGTCTCTTCTTGGTGAGTACCTTGGGCTTGCTCGTGGTGGAGGACGCCGACTTGGCAAGTGGCGGTGGGTCGGACAAGTCGTCATCGTCATCATCGGAGTCCGCTTGCATGCGCGAGGACGATGTGCCTTTGGGCGTGCTAGCAGCCGGAGGGGTCGAGAACTCCTCGCCGTTTGGAGGTGGAGTCGTCATCTCTTCGTCGCTGTCTTGTCCACGCGTCTGATCGTCGCCATCTGCCATCTCGATGTCGCTGATCTCAATGGGCTCGATGGGAGGCCTAAGCGAGTCGTTTGGCGTTGAAGGTCCTGATGCGAGGCCAGAGGATACTCTGGGCTTGAAGCTCACTGGGTGAGCAATGCGGGTGTCGAGAAGGCATGCGTGGGTCAGCTCGAGCGCGCGGGATCATGGTTCGCGATCTCTGCTTACGACACTCACGTACGCTCTGCTTCATCTTGGAAGATCCAGGTGGTGACGAAGCCGTCGAGGCCGAAGCGGACGGCATTGTGTGAAGCGCACCTGGGACGGCGCCTCTCTATGTCGTCTCTCTATATCGCGAGGAGGTGAAGAGGATGGAGTGTGGAAAAGAGAAAAGGAAATGGCAGTGGGGCTCGCTCCCACACTGAGCCCGAGCTCGTCCAGCTGTAGACGAGCAGGCAGGCGGCAGCAGCAGCGGCGGACGCGGGTCGCTCGACTCGAATTCCAATCGCGCCCCTCTGACTGAGACGCGCTCTACTCCCGCTCCCGCTCCTACGACACGTTCAGCACGGCAGTTGGGAGCGTCGGCGTCCGCGGCGTCAAAGCAAAGCTGGACGACGAGCAAAGAGCAACAATGAGGAGAGATCATCAAGAAAGCTTTGAAGTTCCAAGAGTGGTGGTACAGAGGAGAGAACAGCAAGTAGAGAGGCAGGTCAGGCGTCGCGTCGTCATCTACGAGCAGAGGCATGCAGGCCAGCAACTTGGGTATCATAGCTTTGCCATCTTTCCCACCTTTGCCAATCACTGGTCCAAGACTTGGAAGAAGATGATAGAGTTTCCTGCATCGTCGACGACGGTCATGGCTCTCTCGCCGAAGCCGCTGTTTCTAGGCTTGGCCTGGACTTTGGCCGAACCAAAATGACGCGGCGGGAAGTAGTTATCAAGGCCCTGAGCGTACTTCTCAAGCTTGTGCGTGACCTCCTGGTAGAGGTCTGTGGTTGAGGGTGAGAGCAAGGGAGGAGATGAGGCGGTAGGTCAACGAGTGAAGACTTGTCAGCGTGGGATTAGTGATCGCTCTGCTCACCATCGACCTTGTCGACCTCGATCCATAAGGAGCCTTTGGGTGGCGCCGACTCAGCGTCAAGATGCCTTCGTAGGTAGATAGAGACGCCATCGACGCTGCCTTGTCCTGTTGTCTTTGGCGATGAGCCCGGAGCCGCACGATGCAGCTCGGCCCTGCCCGCATCCGCCTTGCCAACGACTTTGAAGCCCAGGACCTCCTCATACCATGGTAGCGCGGTTGGGATATGAGAGACAAAGAAGCATGGGATGGACCGCTTGAAGGTTGCAGAGCGGCTGGGCGGAGGCGTCTTGACTGCGATGGAACGGGGTTTGGGCGAAAACGTCAACTCGTGAACGCGATCTATCGCAGAAGTGGCCGTCACTCACTCGACGTTACACCCTCATCCTCATCCTCGTAGTTGTATTTTTCTCCCGTACTCATCCAGGCGGGCAACCCCATGTTCGTTGACTTGGGCAAATAAAGGGCGTCGTTGGCCACGCTGTCAGGAGGGAATGGACGTAGACGTGGAGGGTCAGTTACCATCGAGGTCTCGCAGCGTCGACTTTGCACACACTCACCGACGCTCGTACCTCTTTTGAAGCGATGACGTGAGCTCGGGAGTCTCGTCGGGAAGCACGAGATGAAGTTCTGGCCTTCGTGCGTAGAATGCCACCATCGTGTAGCCCGGAGGCAGCGGAAGCGTGGAAGCGATGTTGCTGCGTGCTGGTGTTGGACTTTTGCTGATAGTGGGGAGAGCTGCTCTGCTCTGGTTGTCAGGCCCCCATTTTTGGCGATATGGCGAATGTACAGGGCTAGAGAGAAGACGTCTCCAGTGACGTCGAAGGATGTCTCTCCCTGATGTGAAGTCGCAAAGATGGTTACGAAGGCAAGTCTGGTGGCTGACCTGTTTGTTGAGGTCGGCGAGATTGCCGTGCGGCGGCCGTGCAGCAATCTGAGCTCTATCCGCCTCGGCCGCCTCAACCGTCCTCGACGCCCAATGAGGCGCCCCGTCGCTCGAGTGCTGGCTACTGGTCAGGACCAAAAGCCGCTCATTGCTCGTCCAGCTGACCTCGAGGGAGCAAGCGCGAAGGCGACGGCCAAATTGGGGACGATGAGCTGCGGTATTCAACCTTGATTTTCTGCCTCATCGCTACCGATCTGAGTCTCCGGTCAACGCTGTAGCTGAGCCAAAATGACACCTTTGACGTGCAGGCCGCCGGCGCACGACCGTCGAAATCAAGTGGAGAAGAGGAGCACTGCGTCGGTGCCGTCGTCCTGTGTGCTCGCATCGCTGGCTGCGATCGCGATCGTGTGAACGCCTCGTCCTCTATTCACGACTTCTCAGCATCAACAGGTCAACTCCGTCTCCCTCAATCAGATCAACATGGCGTCTGTCGGGGACTGTGAGCTTCTCTCAAGGCACACTGTGGTGGCGGTGTTAGGCTGACGGAATTTGCGTTGGGATGCTGCTCTCTCTCTCTTGTAAGACATCTTCCTCTTCATCGTCCTCTCCATCCTCGCAGGTATCGTCTACGCAGTCAAAAAGGACAGCATCAATCAGAGCATCTCAGGGGCACAGGAAGGTCTCAAGGTGAGCATTGACAGCCTTTTGGGTGTTGGCCGTAGCGTACCTTTGACTTCTCTCTCTTTCATCGTGTTCTCGTAACAGCAAAAGGGCATTCGACTCGACAGCTCGGGCGTATCGATCAAGACGGATCGCAGAGCGCCGACGCGGGACGAATACATAGTGAGCAGCCAACTGAGGAGTGCATGCCCAGTGTCTGGTAACTGACAGCGTGGCCCGTCCTGCTTCTCTCGGCTCCCATTAGGACCGGACCCGCGAGAGCTTCGCCCGCTCCAGTGAGGTCATCGCAAAGCACAAAGACGCATTCACGACTACGGCTTGGCAGAAACAGAAGGAGCTGGACGAGGCGAAGCAGAGGGCAAAGGCAACCTCTGGTCGACGCTGACGGCTCGAGAAGGGCACAGACATATAAAGCTGGGCCGTCTCTGTCCTGCTTAAGGGTGTATTACTCACCGCTCTCTGGACTCACACTTGCAATACCTCATGTAGCTTTGACAGAACATGAAGTCATCTCGACAGCTTGGATCCTGGACGTTCGAGGTGGTCTGGTGCGAGACGAGAGCCGACCCAAAATGGCCCTGCCTTGAGCGGCGTCGCGTCCGGTAAGCCAGGCCGCGCTTTCATTTGATTGCTCTCGCTCTCGGCGGCCGTACATCGAGGCCCAGAAGTGAAGAGTCATTTGCTCCTTCCCTTCGTCCCTCTCACTCCTCCAAACGAGCAATCTCACCCTCTTCCTTGTCATAGACTATCATCAGTAAAACAGCAAACATGCCCAAGACCAAGGTTGTCCCCATCCAGAAGGACGTCTTCCTCAAGAAGGCCAGGTCGCTCAGTCTCGTCATTTACGACCACGTGAGAATGCTCAGCATCCATCCACGCTCAATGCGAATGCTCCTCTGATCATGAACACACACTTCCATATCCCCTCCTACGTGCCCGCGCAGAAAGACGAGGAGATTGGCCAGATCGAGCTCGAGAAAAAGGAGTACAAGTCAGGCAGCTACGGGTGAGTACTCAGCTCGAGGTTGCGCTACTACGAGCTCATGCAACTCATCCCAACACTACATCCGCGCCTCTCACTCGCCCCTTGTAGCTTCTCCGCTAGCAAGAATGACCCCATCACCGTTGACATTGCGGGCGAAGATGTGAAGCTCCTCATCGGCAACATCAACCTCACCGTCGTCGGCAGCAAGGGAGTCGCCGCCGCCGCCAAGCGTGAGGCTGACGACGGTGACAGCGCCAGCAGCGGTGCCATTGGAAGCAAAAGTAAGAAGGCTGCCTCTGCTACGACTACCAAGAAGACGGCGGCAACTGTCAAGGGTGGCAAGAAGGGCTTGGGCGGCAGCAACAGCAAGGGAAGCAACAGCACCAAGACTCGATCCGCCTCCGCCTCCGCCTCGCATAGCATGGACGACACGAGTGACAAAGTTGACGGTGACGAGGAGAGCGCTGTTGATGATAGCTCGGCCAAGGAGGGGAGCGGGGAAGGCACCGACAATGAGGAGGAACAGGGCGGCAATGACGCTGAGCCCAATCACAACGGAGGAGACGACGATGAGGACGATGAAGAGGACAGTGGGGACGAGGCTGACGACAACAAGCCAGCCAAGAAGAAGCGTAAGACGTAATACGCTCCCTCATCCCTCTCCCAGAGGCTCTGCGGCAGCCAAGGCGTAGCGTGACAGCACCATTGAGATGGCATACACGCATCATTCAGCAATTTCTCTCTCTGTCTCCACAATACAGCGGCACCTAGACCACAAGCACACCTCTACTGAAAGTCAGAGTGTGTCGATCCATGTACATACGTCATCGCTGTGGCACCCTCCACCCCATGTAATGCCATCCACCATGTCACAACCTCTCGATGCCAGTGCGACCCTGGCTGCGTACGTGTCATTCCCCCAATGGCGCATGCACCGCCTCTCAGCCGCTGAGTATCACAGCAGCAATGAAAGCATCAGGGTCAATGACATTGCTTCCAGCGAAGCGCAACACGAATCATAGGTGGAGGTAATCAGGCGAGATGAAAGGGTAGTAAGCAGACGGGGCGTGAGAAGGACAGAGAACGACGACAGATCCACCATGACCAAACCAGTGACGAGATCCCCTACCTCCCTCTTCTCATTACTCCATCCTCTCCACCGTCGGCTCTCCCTCCTTCCCCTCGCTTCCCCCCTCAACACCCCACCCCAAGTGAAGCATAGCAGTGAACCCTCGTCGACACATCGGGCAGTTCCATCTCTTCTTGGGCGGCTTACCTCTCCTGCGCTCGCTCTCCCTCTGCTGCCTGACACTCTCCTTGAGTTGAACACTGCAGTCCAAACAGAGACCGTGAGTGCAGGGTAGAAGGAGGGTATTGGTAGGGGAAGAGAGGCAGATGAGGCATTCCGACCCTGAGCTCCCGCCATTGTCTGGGTCAAGCAAGGGAGCAGCAGTTGTGCCAGTAGTACCGTCGCCTCCTTCCTCGCCCGCGGGAGGTGCCTCTACCTCAACAGGGGGCGGGCGCGAGGAGAGACCGTACAGCTCTTGAAGCTGGAATCTGTGCGGACCGATTTCGGCTTCCTGACCTTCGACGTGGGCCGCCCATATGCGGGCAGGGGGAGCAGCTGCTGAGGCTTCCGTCGTGCTCTCCTCCGCTGCTGTGTTTGTGGGTGGCCTGACGGGTAGAGATGTGAGACGCAAGTACGTAGTCTGGAGATTGGGCTCGGCGAAAGGCTTGCCATGCTCGTCCAGCGCTTCGACTACGATGGCTAGCTTAAGCGTTTCGCGCTCAGCCTTCTCTCGTGCAAGTCGCTGCTCCTTTGTTTCGTCGTCAGGGATGGCGGCTAGGCCTGGTGCCGCTGTGGATGCTGGCGCGGGAGCGGTGCCCTCGCTCTGCTCTCCATCGATGGTGAACATGGCCCCACCGGGCGCAGAGGGTGGGGCAGTGGCTGAGCTGCTCGACTTCGATGGCGGAGCGTAGAGGTTCAATCGCAGGGAGAGGCCAGCCTTGACCGGCTGCGCGAACCCTCTCCTCACCCTCGAGGAATGCACCGGCCAACCCAGGACGTGTGGCGCTGCTCCCCACTTGTGGTATAATGAGTCACCTGCACCCGCAGCGAGTAGGTCGACTGGCGCCGGTGACGCTGCTGCCTCTTCGTCATCTTCAGCCTCCTCCGTCTCCTTGCTCTGTCGACCCTGCTGGCTCTGCAGCCAGCTTGCCCAAGAACCATGCTTGCGCGACGCGCGGAGGAAAACCTGAATCGAGGCGGAGGACGACGTGCAGTCGTACTCGAAATGTAGATTGTGCGTTGTCGTCCCCACCATGCTCGCGCCTGCGTCTGACGTCGAAGCTCCAAAGGTTGGCATGGCACTGAGAGATCGAGCAGGGCGAAGGTCGGATTCTTGGACGATGTGCAGGCCCTCGCCACCGCCCTCTCCTTCACCGCTACCGCTCAGCGGATGATCACCAGGCGCAGCTCCGGCAGCGGCCCCGACACCAACTCCCAGCTCTCCACTCTTGACCATCAAATTGATCGTGTTGCGCTTGAGATTGACCAGACTCTGCAAGGTGGTGCACGAGCTAGCAGTCTTCATCGCCTTCTCAACCGCCTCCTCACCCTCTCCATCAATCTCTACCGCTCCTCCATTTGACGCAACAGAACGCTCAATCCACGACTTGAGCACCTCAATATCGATCCCTTCAGCCATGGCTACGCTGCTCGCGACTGCGGAAGCAGAAGCAGCCGTGGGAGGAGCAGGTCCGTCGTTGGGTCCGGGAGTCTCGACAGGCAGGGCGGAGGGGGTGAAGCCGGGCGTCTCTGGGATCTCGTTGGTACTGTTTGTTGCGCCCTGTGTGGGAATGGTAGACAAATTGGTCAGGCCGCTCAGGCTCGCACCACGGGCACGACCGCGGCTGCCTAGCCTGGCAGAGGAGCGGCCCCATGAGCCGGGCGTCTCTGGTGCGTTGGGCCCTGCCGAACCGTCCGCAGCATGGGAAGTAGGGTTGCCTGCCGGTCCTGTCGACATTGAGGCGGCGGACACCGACCCGCTAGAGGAGCTTCCGCTACCAAAGTAATGTGCAAGGTTAGGTCCGAAAAGGGTCGAATTCTCCTCCCGTTCACGTTTGGCTTTCGCCTCTTTTCTCCGAGCCGCCGATGACGATGAGACTCCATTGGCAGACCCATTTGCCAGATTGGTGACCCCTGCTCCCCCGCGTTCGCGGGTGATCTGAGCTTCCAGGTCTCGGAGCTGCTCAGCGAGGGCGAGACGATTGAAGGCCATCGAGTAGTCTTGGTCGCGATCACGCTCCCGCATGGCAGCGAGGCGTTGCGAGAGGTTACTGAGTACAGAGCGTCCACTGATCTCGCGGCCGTGCCCTCGAGGGCGCTGCGGCGTTGCCTCGTCGCCTCCTGCGCCGACAGCAGTGTTTTGTGTCGTGCCAGGAGCAGGAGCAGCATCGCCTTGACCTGCTGCTGGGCCCGCAGCCTCTGCAGAAGACGACGCTTCGTCTGCCGATGGGCCAGCTACTGCCGGTGCTGCGGATGATGAAGGCTGCGATTGCATCTCAACGTCGTTGCGAGTGGCGGTGCGGTCGGTCGAGCTTGAGGCCTGTCCTCTGCTTCCCAGAAAGGGAAGATGCACGCGATGGAGAAGTTGAGCCATGATGGTGATCGACTGCCCGTAGTCTTGGAATACGACGCTGAGTGATCACTGGATAGATGACTATGACTCTTGAACGGCAATGTAGCTGAAGTGCGAAGTAGGAGCAGAGCAGGTGATGCGGGGTAGCAAGAGGGGTCCAGGAAAGCAGTTGGTGAACGGTCGAGGCGCAGATGGATGAGAGGCGTAGTTCAGCCGCAATCCAATGACGTGAAAGTAAATGGGGGGGTATCTAGAGTGACGAGAAGGAAGGGAAGAAACGGCGGTCTTAAGTGATGGTGTGCGGGATCGTGATCAGGCTGTTCGAGAGCGGTTTCTTGGTTGGACCTGCAGCAGCCTCACTCGCTCCCCTCTGTGGCGAAGGCGGCGGCAGGCGGGCGAGATGTGGACGGGCGTGCGCAACCGGCGACTGGGCGGTGGCCGTGGCTGAGAAAGGCGCGGAATTGTCCACCAACTCGAATACGAGACGATGGAGACAATGGGCAACGGCAAGACAAGAGGCGAGATGATGAGATGAGACAAAGCGGGCCAGACAAAAGGACCCGCGAACGATCGAGGCCTGATGATAAGCTGCCAGCATCGACGGCGGATCTACGATCGTCGAGTGCCTGTAGCCACATCTTGATCAGGGCGACGCGGGCGGATCGTGATCCAGCCGTGACGCAGCACCATCCACGATGGCTGCTGAGGCAATCGAGCAGGTATCAAATGTGGTTTCGGTAACACTCGAAAAGTCGCTGATCCACAGTTTTGGTGAGCAACGAGATTCAAAGCTCGCTGGCTTGCATTGACTAGGAAGGCAGAGACAACAAAGTCAAGCACGGGTACAAGTACAGTGATGTAGCGAGGAGAACAGAAGAGCCAAAGGGTCTACCAGATGTAGGCGTTCGGGGAAGACAATGCCGTAACGCAGTCTCCTCTACGTCTACTCGTGTATTGATGCTGGGAGCTCATATGAGGAGCTTCAAAGAAGATTCTTGGGTGATGAGGCGCTGGAGAAGCTGGAATGGAGAGTGTCAAGGACAAGGCGTCAGCCACCATCATCGACAGCTCACGATATAGCGCGCCTCGATACCCACCTAAACTGATAGAGGCACGAATCTGGCGACATCTAGAGCATCTCCATAGCTCCCTTGAACCTCCTCTGCCTAGCCTGCTCCATCTTCTCCTGCACCTTCCTCGCGGCCGGGGTCATAGAGCTGATAGCGTCCGCATCCGATCCAGCCTCCCACGAGGCCGTGTGGTGGAAAGTGCGGTTGAGCGAGGTGACACGGCCCAAATTCTGGACATAGTCCTGGGTTGCATTTGCGGCCTTCTGAGCAGCAGTGCTGATGGAGGCAGTCGCCTTGGCTGCGGGTGTGGGGGCCTCGGTCGTGGTTGAGGGACGGGTGATAATGCTGCTCGCTGAGCGGGCGAGGAAGGGCGCCTGGACGGCCGAGCGGCGAGTGATGAGCGAGAGCATGGTGTGCGGCGGTGTAGTTGCAAAGGGAGTGTGCGTTGAAGTTTCGAGGTAGGCTTGAAATTCGCAGATAAGCTGAGAGTGGTTGCTCGAGCAGACCGAGCGGGTTTGGCGATCCTCAAGGTCTTATATCAATTCAATCGGCACTGACCTTCCTCACGTACGCTGAGCAACGACCACTTGCAACACTCTCCCCAGGTGCTTCATACTCCACTCGTGCTCTTCGTTTGATGGCACTACTGGCCAAGTGCTTCGTCCTTTGTCTGCATTCGCTTGCTTGGTGATCAGTTTCCTCCTTCGTGGGTCGCTCAGACCACTCGCTCATCAGTCGATGACGGCATGGGGAAGAAGAAGCAGACAACGACGAGCGAGGGCGGCTTCCATGGCTCCGCTACTGCTGTGGCGCTCGTCGTTGTTCGTCTGCGGGGTTGTGTGCCCGCTCACCCAGACCTCAAGCCCCGTACCCTGCGTCCATTTGCTCGCACTGTTCGCGATCGCCGCAAGCTGTGATAGATTACGGCACGCCTTGAACCGGGTACGAGGGCATGTCAGCGCATCGCGACACGGGACCTTCAAGCGCGCTACGCAAGCAAGCACACTTTCAGACGCTTCGCAGCGGGGTTAAATCACGAACAACGATCATGATGCGAAGCGAAGGAGCAGAGGATGCTCGCGGCGGCGGCTGAGAGCAACCGGCGGGCGGCTCATGAATCTGCTCAAGACTCGAGGGCAAGCTGCGTCCAAGTGCTCAGAGGCGACCTACTCCTTCGGGTCATATTCGAGCAGCAAGCGCCTCGCTCTCGGGCTGACCTGACGCGGTATCAAGTCGCTCGATCGCGCTTCATTTCGTCGCTCTTGAGCAGTCGTAACTCAAGGCTTGCTTGCCACTTTGCCTGCAAGCGGAGGATAAGGGTCTGGGCCCAACGTCTACTCGAGGATTCGGCTCACGAGGGTGAAAAAGACACGATGCAGCAGCGGAGCAGAGAGTGACGTCGAGTCGAGGCGATGCGAGGCGAGTCGAAGCTGCGCGTGGACCCGCGTGAGAAGAAATGAGTGGCTGGCTGCGCTCCGCCTGGAGCCCCGCACTCGAGCGAACAGTCGGACGATGTCATGAAGGTAGCGGGTCATTGGCGCCACTGAAGATAGGTCCGCCTGTAAAGCGAGTGTGAAGCTAGGTTGCTGAGCCAACAAGTGTTTTGAAAAAGCAGCGTCTCGTGGCCCGGGTCAGTAATGGGAGATGATGAAATGGAGGCGATAAGATGGTATTGAGAAGCCCCTGCCAAGGGCCAACTGAATCTGAGGTGCGTTGCGATGCGACATGCGATCCTGCCGTGTACGCGCTGCGTGGGAGCGCACTCTCCACGCTCTCTCTCTACTTCGGACTGCTCTACTCTACCTTGTGGTGACTCGAATCCTTGCAACGGGTGATATACAAACTTTAGAAGACGTCGACTTTTGTTTCCTTCCAACTTGGAATCATTGAAATGAGCCTTGCGTCGACGCCGACATCGCAATTGGCGGCGCCGCAGGAGGAATCATGGGGGACACACGGCCGAAGCTGACGATATCGGCGCTCGCACAGCTGCTGTCCCCTCCAGGCGCTTTGGCTGAGAAGCCCGTGGTCTCAAAGATGCCCAGAATGGGAACGTACGGTGGTATCGCGGTCGGCTTGTGGTGTGGCTGCTGATGCTGAACAGGCGCTGCCCCGCCGCCGCCGCCGATTGGAGTGATTGGAGTGGCCAGAGAGGAGGTCGTGCCCGAAGAGGTGGCGGTAGAGGAGGAGCGCTCCCTCCTGTTGCTGCCGGGAAAGAAGGATATCGAGCCATCCAAAACCGGGCTACTTGAATAGCCACTCATAGCACTCTGTGCTCGAGCTGCTTCGACGGCGTTTGCAGGAAGTGCTGGCGAGGATGGTCTTCGAGGTTGACCGCTGCTGCTGCTGCTGCTGAGCCCACCACTGCTACTACCGGCGTCGTGGCCATGCGTCCTCAGCGGCGCAACGCTGGGGCATCTAGACTCAAAAGTTGTGTCCTCGTATTCGCCCATCTCATCGAGAATGGAGACAGCGATCACGGCAGAGTTGCGCCTGCTTGCCGGAGCTGATTTGGATCCGTCTCGACAATGCACTCCAGCTCCCGCTGCGCCGTCTTCCATCATCGACACCGAGGCGTTGCCGAGCGGGGTCAGTGGGGTCAGAGGGTGGACCGGGCTACTGCTCGACGTACTGAAGCTCTCCATCGAGTCGTCGCCTATGGTGCTTATGCCACTCGCCCCACTCCCGCTGTCCAAACGAAGCGCGGGGGGAGGCTGCGGGCTGTTGGATCCGCCACCTGAACCACCACCACTCGCAGACGGGCTCACCGCCGCCTTCGCTGCTCCGTTGCCAGCCTCTTCCTTCAGCCACTCTGCCGTCGCCGCCAATCCCTCATCCAACTTCCTTTGTCTCTCCCCCATCTTCCTCTCCGCCACACTCTCTAGTTTCCCCGACTCCCAACCCAATCGCTGCCTGATCAGGTCGGCCACATTCGCATACTCGATCATATCTCTCCGATACGCAGTCATGGCCATCTCGAAGTCGTGCCTATTCTTCCAGGGATGAGCCCACGAGGCCGCCACGTCCGAGGAGGAGACGCGCGTGCCTGGCCCCCCACCACGAGATGTGACGGAGTTGGAGAGCAGAGCGGCCTTCTCTTCCTGCGCCTCATCCCATACAAGGGCACGGGCGCTGTAGAGTTTTTCGGTGTGGGCGATAAGGCTCATGGTGCGCAGGAGGGAGACCGTATCCGGCGTGACGCAGAAGCCACTATCGGTCAGCGGCTGACCGACTTGTGGGCGGGAGGTGAAGACTGTGCGGTCTGCTTGGCGGCGGGGTGGAGGAGGGAGAGGGTCGGAGCTGCTGCTTGTGGTAGCGGTCGCGAGCGAGGCTGGTTCAGAAGGCGACTTGGGTGACGCGGTCGGGGAGGCTGGAGGCGCTGGTGATGAGTTGGTTGCCGGAGAAGGGCCTGCCGGATCTGCCAGATTGCGCTCTGCGGCGAGCTTGCCCAGCATGAGGAAGTCGTCATTGGTTGCGGTGAGTGGTATTCGACGAGGGTTGCCCGTGCGAATGTCCTGCAAATCTTGGCTGGTGAGATTCAGGGGAATGATTGACAGCACGCGCGGGTTGATGAAGCGCCTAGCAAGAATGCGCTCGAATGCTTGCTCGAGCATGGCGTAAGGCTTGGGCGGAGTAGAGGAGGGAACCTCAGGCTGAGAACCAGCCGTAGCAGAAGCGCCGCTACTTGACCGCGTGGGCCCAGCGTTTGGCGCTGAGCCCATGGGACGAGGGGGGCCCTGACCACTGAAAGTGGTGATCTCAGAGAGCGCCGCATTGCGGAGATTTCCGGTGAAATTCCAGTTGTACTCGAGGAGCTCAAGCATTGCTCCTGGCTGCATGACTCGCACCACCTCTGACAGGAAATCAGGCCACTGATCCTCGCTGATCGAGCTCGAGCCTACGTTGCGGATGTGAACGAAGTCGAAGCTGGCATCAGGGAAGGGCAGGCCCTCGAGGAAGTTGGCGACCACCCACGAGACGCGTTGCTCAAGGTCGAGACACTTGAGCTGGGCAAGAGGCGTTTGAGACGGCACAACGTCGAGCCCTATGAACTCAGTTTCCTTCCACTCTCTCGCTGCATCCAGACACCACGCTCCAGTGCCTGCGCCCAAGTCGAGGACGCGTTTTGGCTTCACATTTCCCCAAGGTATCACGCTGTGTCGATATGAGAGGGCTTGGTAGGTGATGTTGTGCAGGGACAGCTCGGCGCACGTTGCAGACTGATCGTGTGCGAGGAAGTAGGGCACCTTCTCGCGCGGATAGGCATGGTATCGTGTGCGACGAGCGCCGCCGCTGAGGGCTCGCTCCTCCTTGTATGTCCAGTACGACTCCAGATCCCACTTGAGCGCTGGTGGGGTCGTCGCTGTTGAGTCATCGCTTGCTAGGGTGACGAGGGTGCGACTGCTGCTCATTCGACGACCGCCGCTTGAGCTGCCAGGCTGCGCGCCGGACGACCCAGTGTTGCTGCGTTGGAGAGTGGGCCGTCTAGCTGACAAATGAGAAGACGATGGGGACTGGTCCGCACTAGCTGCGCGAGCGTGCGACCCATCTTCACTTGCGTTGGTAGGCACTCGATGGAGGCCTGCAACGGGAGACTGTGACTGCATGGATTGGCTTGGCGACGATGCGACTGCTGCAGACGTCGCGTAGGGTGCGGCTGCTGAGATGGCTATAGAGCCATTGGAGAAGGATCTTCTCTTGGCCGAAAAGGGACGCACTGGCGGGGCAGTATGCAGATAATAACCTTCGACGTATCTAGTGCCCATTGGTCCTGGCTCGCACCGTGAGAGGGGAGGTACGATACCAAGCCGCACAGGAAGGGGCTGGCCTACGATGTCAGGATCTTCCTCGCACGGCCTCTGAAATTCGGACCATCGATCTGACTGCGATGCAGGACCGTTGAGGATCGTGGATGTGGACGCATCTGAATTTGTGTGCCTTAGCTCAGGCATAGCTATGCTCGTTGGAGGACCGACGCTGCCGCTCGTCGATGTCATCGTCCTCGGTTCTACAACCGAGTCGTCCAAGGATGTGTAGCTCGATGCCGAGCCCCCAGTAGGCCGCGATCGTGAGCGTGGCGGTCTGTCCGGTTGCTCCAGGTGACTTGACATGGAGTATCCAGCGAAAGCTGATGAAGAGGTCGCAGCATCTTGCACGTGGTCGGGAGCTCGAGATGGCTTGGCCTTGAGACCGACCTTGGCCTGCAGCTTTGATACGACTGATCCTGAGCCACCGGCCCCACCACTGAGTCCGCCTCCCGATGTTGCACTAGATGTGCTCATGATAGGTATAGCTCCTACGCCGCCTCTACCAGTGACGCGGGCTGGTGGAGCTCCAAAAGACGAGGGAAGCTCGAGGTGAGAAAGGCTCGACCTACGCTTCCCGTGATGGGCAAGGCCAGATGAGCCGGCGTCAGTACAAGGGTCTTGTCGAGACGAGAGCCGGGCGGGCAAGACAATCTTGGCCGCAAATCGTGAGCCTGCCCCTCCTCGACCACCACACTGGTGGGTGGAGGACTTGGGCAGGAGAGGAGACGTTGCTTCCGAGCCTCTGCGACTCGTCCAGCCTTCGCCCGAGGTTGATGTAGATGGTTCTCGAGACGACGAATGAAGCGAATGATCTGATGGCACCGACCTCAGCGAATGAGGATTGAAGCTGCCGCTCAACGGAGGAGGTGACGCAGATGGCACGATGCCGGAGGAAGTCTTGGGTCTGGACCGTTTGCCAGAAGAGGAGGTAGCGCTTGGTGTGGATGAGGAGGAGGAAGAGGACGACGATGACGACGACGCCTGCTGCTGCTGTTGCTGCTGCTGCTGTTGCCTCTCCCTCTGCAATCGGAGTTGCTGATGCTGAGCAGCCACAGCGAGGTGCGATTGGTAAGGAAGGAACATTCTGACTATGCTGTCCCCCTCTTCTTGATTCTGCTTCCAACGGCCTCGTCAGGCACCACTTCCGTTCGGCGCCAATGAGTTCGCCCTGTGTTTTTCCCACACCGCGGGAGAAGAGCCAGCCGGGTCGAATCAGGGCTCAAGCAATCAGGGGGCACGGACGACGCCGCCAGGATGCAGCACGCAGGAGCAACAAGCGCACCGCACCGGACAGATGAGGGACCGGGGGGAGGTGGGCTTTGAGGGCGAAGGAGATGCTTGCCCTCTTGACGACCTCGATGACGATGAGCTGCTCGCCGCACTTGCTTCGACGGGATCGACACCTCGTGACTGCCGGTCTCAAAAGAGGGGAGAGTTACAGGCCCGCCGGCAGGCAACCTCGGCCCCACTCGCTGTCTTGGGATGGAGGCGGACCTTGCGAAAAAGCTTGTTGCTAAGTCCCGTCCTGCCTGCGAGTGGCCTCTCGATGCGGGTGAGACACTCGATAGCCGAAAATCCAGCAAGGGGGAAGTCGGCGAGGCGATTGTGAAGGACAGAAAATGAATGTAGGTGGAATGGATTGAGAAAGGTGCAACCTCTCTCCCCACCACATAGTTGGTACAATCCGACCTGACGACATCGTCAACGACGTGAGTACAGCTCTGCTTGGCTTCTCAGCATCGACGCTAGAAACTCATTACTGCTTCTCGCTGGCAATATCGCAACTCTGTGATCTGAAGAACTCCGAGATTAGCTCTTCCTCCCTGCCCCGGCATCGTCTGCGTCTGTATTCACTGTCCCGGTGTCGTGTCAACGCCAACGGCGGAACGGCCCCCCTGTGTGACGTCTCGGAGTGACGAGGGGCCGGTGCTGATCGCCTCTAGTCGGACGCACGCCTACATGCGCATACAGTACGTACGCACGCGTGCAGAAACCAGAGTGAGAGTAAGTCCTCTCCCTGTTTCCTCTGCAAGCTGTGTTCCTGCATAAGGTTAGTCGCGAGTGATGAAAGGGCAGGAGGGCACGACAACGTCAAGTCGATGCGTCCGAAGACGTCGACAGGGAAGCGTCACGATCCCGCAATTCATTCTACGACGTCCGGGCCTTCTGACGTCTGACATCCGGCATGTCGACATCGGACGTTGGATCATTGGGGCTTCGACGGACCTTTAATTCACCAGCCGCTCACTGTGTCTCTTTCGCTCTCTCGCTATGCTCCTAATGCCCGCGGCAGCACCACGCGCCTAGATTAGCGTGAGAAAGGAGAGGAGATCTCCGCAAGCCAAGCCACCCTCATTTCGCGCTCGTCGTCATTAAGGTGCGCCACTGGCTTTACGCGCTGGTGGATGCCACTTGCGGTATCTTGGACGGCGGCTGAGGATGAAACTCGTGAGACGTTGTGTGGACGTCGTCAAGGAGAGAGAAGCGAGACCGCCTCCGCAAAGCAGAGTGACTGGACACTCGAACGCCCGGTCGGCAGGCGGCCAAGTCCTCTGTCAACATCGACGTGGAAGAAACGCAAGTATTGAAAATAAATAGATTTCTCGCAATGGCGGGCGGGCAATGGAGGGGTATACTCGGGGTTGAAAGAAGGAAGGGTCGGTGTGTGTGCCTGCTCTGGTTGACAAGAGGGGGATGAGGGCAAGGCAGTGTAGCGTGAAGGGGTACGAAAGTGTCGCGGGGCGTTACACTAGGAGAGAGAAATGAGTGTGTTTGCAGTAAAGCGTTGCAGGGGGGTGTAGAGCCATGCTCACGGCGTCACCCTGGTTTACGATGCGGTGCTGAGGGAACGCAGTGCAGGGTAGCGCGATGCTGATCGAGACCGGGAAAGAGGTCATGCTGGGTGTCGAGAAATGATGAGACGGCGAAGCCGCAGAATAGAGAGAATGTCGCCGTAGCGTCATCGCGCGTATCCCAGATCCTTCATCGGGTAAGCTCCCGTCTGTTGTTGTGTGCTCGCCGTCGGTATCAGGTTTGGCTCCCGTGACTGGCCGTCCATCGAGCTACTGACTCTCGGCGTGCCGTACGGATGCTGCTGCTGATGAGGTTGGAAGCCGAGCGCCCCACCGTTTCCTCCCGATGAAGACACGCCGTTACTGTGCAGTCTTTCGAGATCCGACCCTCTACCATCATCCACTCCGTACCCTTGCCGGCTCATCGACGCCTTCTCTCCTCTGTCATGCCCTCTCGGGTCCAGCATCCCACTTGGTCCGGTGATCGAGCTTCCGCCCGTCGCCTGGGGCGCAAGCATCATGCCATGCCCACCGTGAGCCCCGTTCAGCTGCGACGCCGACCCGCTCATGTCGGCCAGCGGCTGGTCCTGCAGCGTGTAAGTGGTTGACGAAGTCTGTTGTTGCTCCTCGAGCGTCCTCTCCCGTGCCTTTGGCGACTTGAAGTAGGACCGTCTCACCTGCTTGAGATGGTCGAAGGGCAGGAAATGCTCTTCCATCTGCCGCATCTCCGGCGCCAAGCTGTTGATATCGCGCTTCTCGTCGCGCTTCCGAGCCTTGAGCGGGTTATCTTCGAGCAAGAGCTCTTCGAGCTCGTGTGTCGCGTCAAAGTTGGCTTTTTTGCTGTCGGGCTCGAATGGAGGCTTCAGCTGCTTTGCCATCAAAGCATCCCAGTCTAGGTTGGCGAACCATGGGTGAGCCTTGAAGTCCTCGAGCCCGTTTCTGCAACCCATCCTCTTGCGAGTATCCCGCTCCAGCATCCCCTTGATACAGCTAATCGTCTCCCTCGAGACGATCGTGTCTACATTCTCCGGGAACCCGCACCGGTCATTCATGATCGAATGCGTCAGGGCCGAATTTGTCTTGCCTCTGAAGGGTCTCCGTCCAAAGAGCAATTCGTACGCCGTCACGCCCAAAGACCACCAGTCGACGGAGCTCAGGTAGCCGCGCTTGCCTAGGACCTCCGGGGCCATGTAGGCCATGGAGCCGGCAATGGAAGTCAGTGGACGCTTGAGCGAGAAGTGGACAGCAATGTTGAAGTCGGTAAGATGGGCATGACCCTTTTCATCCAGGAGGACATTATCCGGCTTGATGTCGCGATGGACCTGCGCGAGCGCATCGAGGCGTGGTTAGCTGCCAGCTTCGATGTTCCACCGTGCATCGCAGCGAACTCACGATCTGTAGGTTGTGAAGATAGTCTAATGCGCAGGCTAGCTCTGCTACGTAGAAGCGTACCACCGCCTCCTTCATGTTGCCAGTACGATCGAGGTGGAAGCGCAGGTCGCCGCCCAGCATCAGGTCGAGGACCATGAACATGTTCTCGTCATCTTGGAAAGCGTAGCGCAGGTTGCACACGAAGGGGCTCTCGATCTCCTCCAGCAACCGCCTTTCTTGAATGATATTTGAGACTGCTCTCATCTTCATGCACTTGGCTTTGTTGATGTATTTGAGCGCATACAGTGTCTGAGCGGCAGAAGGTGGGCATGGTCAGCTCGGAAGGTCTCGTGCAACAAATCCTAGTCAGCCCCCTCGCTCACCTTGGTCTGCTTATGCTGCACAACTCTGACCTTGCCAAAGGCTCCCTTGCCAACGGCCCGCAGCAGGTAAAAGTGGTAGAGGTCGACTGGCCCATCGAAGTCGATGACCTGGCAGCGCGATCATCAAGGGGCGGGTCAGCATATACTCACGCCCCGATCTACATACTACGCTCTCCCTTTAGCTCACCTCTGGCTTACAGCAGATGCCGCCCATTGTCAGGAAAGAGAAGCGACGAGGAAGATGTCACGGGGATGCCAAGCGTTGCAAGTGACGGCACCCCTCGGGGTAGGATAGGTTGGACAGGAGCGGAGTGTGGGATGAGCCGATGGGGGGGACGGCGGCTGGGCCTTGGGGTTGCGGTTGCGTAGTGACGACAATGGCGACGACGATGATCGTGACGGTATCAACGGAGGCGCAGGATGACAGCCATAGGGTGATGGGCGGCGATAGACTAGGCGCGCCTCCGCGGGGCAGCAATCGTGTTGGACGACAAAGCGAGGGACAGAGGAGGGCGACTTGAGAGAAGGAAAGTAAGAATGAGGCCAGTCAATCTGCGCGGCCGTCGTCCGTTGGGCGCTGGCCTGTCGTGTCGTCGATGCTTAGCAGATGATAGCTGCCTTTTGCACCCCTCGAGTGATGGAGAAGAAAGATCTGTTTGTTGGTTGGCCACGCTCTGTAGTGGGGGAGGAGAAGCAGGCGTGACGGCGGACAGGGCAGACAGCGGCGGATGCACGGCGCAGGGAGAAGTCGTTGGTGCAGCAGCAAGCCAGCCAAAGTCAAATGAAGCCACGCCGCGGAGAGACAGAGAGGCCAGCGGCGGGTGAACAACCAAGAGGCGACGAGGCGACGAGGCGACGGACGCTAAAGGGCTCTCCCCTCTCTCTGCTAGTCGAGGCTAGCCAGAGTCAATCTCAACGCCGAATTCTCGCCAAACTCCTGTGGGAACGAGTGAGAGCTCGACGATGTCGGGGCAAAGTGAGTGCTGTGTGATCAAGGTTAAGGCCTTGCGTGTGGTAGCTGAGCTCAGATGGGCGGCGACAAGCAGTGTCATTGCTCGTGATCGTGCGCATCGGCGTGAGGCTTCTCATGGGCGGTCAGGTACACTAATTGCAGTATCAATGATTGAACCTCTGTGCTCCACGAGCATCAAAAGAGAGTGGTTTCCGCTCCTGTCAGAGGTGTCGAGACTCCCTCATTCTCAAATCTCAATCAGAGTAGCGGTAGCTTACACGCAACAGGACCGAGCGTGGGTGAGGTGAGGCGTGAACTTCTCTCCACTCGTCTGAGCAGCCAAGTTGCGCATGCGCCTCATTTTGAGCTGCACGCACGCCCGGGCGTCGAAGAGGGCGGCGCAACTTTCTCGCATCGTCATCATCTAAACCCGGACAAGGCGCAAGCTGAAGGCCATCGCGGTTGCTCAGGAGCTAGGGGTACTTATCGGTAGTATGGCAAGCGCGAATGGGGAAGCAGAGGTAGCACGAGCTGGAGCAGCGGCAGCGGCGGCCGAGAGCGAGTCAGCATGGCCCACTCCTCCAACGTTTCGATTCGACCACTCTCACCTTCCGAGTCTCGTACATCGGGTGCGGCCGAGCGACATTGTAAGACCATCAAACTCGCTCAATAAGGGAAAGAGCAAAGCCAGCTCCTCCATTACTGACCAGCAAGAATTTTGGCGAAGAGCGAGATGGTCACCTGACGGGAGCCATCTCCTAGCGCAAACGGAGAGCCATCACCTTGACCTCTTTAAGCTATCCAGCAGTAGCGACAGCGACGCTGCCGCGTCGTCGAGCTCGTCGCCCCACTCGCTCCGACACATCCTTCGTCTTCCGTCCCCAACCCCGCTTCTCGACTACACCTGGTACCCCTTCGCGCACCCCAGCCATCCCGCAACCTGGTGCTTCGCGTACAGCGCGCGCGATGTTCCCCTTCGGCTGGTCGACGCCTATACAGGAGCGACGAGGGCGACCTACGGGATTCAAGACCACGTAGAGCGCTTTATCGGCCCACAGGCAGTCGCCTTCACTCTCGATGGGATGAGCTTGCTCGCCGGACATGGCGGGAGCATCAGCATCTTCGACGTTACGAGGCCTGGGGTCAACACATGCACAACCCTTCGACTGGTGCCAATGAAACGCGCGGTAGGCGCAGAGCTTCAGAGAGGACTCGTGTCAGCGCTGACAATCGTACCACACTACGACGGGTCAGGCTCTGAGCTCATCGCCGTGGCTACTTTCTCTGGCACGGTCGGCATCTACCAGCGAGGCGGCGGCGCTCCTCCGGGACTGTGGGTTGACTCTGCCAGACAGCCCACGGTGTCAAGCAGCCTATGCATTGCTGGATGGAAAGAAGGGGAGGGCGCTGGAGTGATGCAGCTCGCTTTCCATCCGACCACGCCCTACCTGCTCTTCGTGGCGCTACGCAAGTCGGGGAGCATCAAATGCTTCGATCTCAGGTATCTCTCGCCTGCCCCAGATTTTACCTCGTCCGAGCCGGCAGATGCGGCACTTGTCGCCATCTACGATCGCGAGGGAGTCGAGGGGCCAGACGGAGAAGACGAAGACGATTACGAGTGGACACGTGCAACATCCCAACGCCTCTTCTTCCACATAGACTGGGCAGGTCGTTGGCTTTGTGCCGGCAGCACAACGGGCAGGGTGAGCGTCTGGAGCTTGACAGCCAGCGGGGACGATGAGGGGAACCAAGGAGCAGGGCAACATGCTGCGAGTCGAAGGAGTCAAGCACAGCTGAGACCACGAGCTCGTCGAGCTTCGTGGAAGCTAGCAGGAGACGCCATTGCTTCAGTGAGCCTCCATCCTCTGCTGCCCCTCGTCGTGGCTGCAAGTGGATCTAGGAGGTGGCCGGACGAGGGCATTGAGGACGAGGATCATAGCAGTAGCGACGAGAGCGCCAAGAGGACTGGCACTGCGGGCGCTCCTCGGTGGTTGGCCCATGATGCAGGATTGAGCCTCTGGGATATAAGTGAAAGTCAATGATGATCAAAGTGGGTCTCGTCCACTCATCTTCACGTCTTCCTTGCGTGGAGAGGAAAAGCAGAGGATTTCATTTGGCAACGACGAAGAGCGCAGGGCTTCTCGTGAGAGGAAAGGAAGACTAGATTTGAGATGTTTCGAGAGGCGCAAGTCTTGATTCAAGAGTCGAGAGGCTCTCAGCGGGAAATAAGAGAAGAGATGTACAATTGAGTACGAGATCGGTCTTCGAGGACGACGCGAGGCCAGATCAACCCGCTGCGATGTCCGTGGCGTCCTCAATGGCAAACCAAGCTCGACCTGAACGAGGCGTCGCTTTCGTCTAGAAGAGAGCGTGAGCGAGGAGGCCCAGCAGACCAACAGCGGCAGCGCAGGGAATGGTGATGCCAAGCTTGGGGCCGACTGTGGCGGCGACGTTGTGGCCGGTGGTTCTATCGAGGGGAAGGAGGACAGCTGGTCAGCGATCGGCGCGCTCTCGTCCACCCCACATCAACTCACGTAGCACCTGAAGCATTAGTCGAGCTGCCGCTGCCGCTCGAAGAGGGCTCGCTGGAAGAAGAGGACGTTGAGCTAGGCGTAGATGAACTCGTTGTGTCGGTGCTGCTTGAGCCGCCAGATCCGGTGGAGCTGCTGTTGGACCCTCCAGACGTAGTCGACGAGGAGCTTGAGTTGGACGACTTCGGCGTTGAGCTGGTGGTCGAGTTCTTGGAACTGCCAGAGCCAGAGCTGGAGCCGGATCCTGAACCCGAGCCAGAGCTCGAGCTGCTTGAGCCGCCGCTGCTACTGCTGCTCGAGGTTCCCGAATCATCACTCTTGCCGCTACCGACGAGGCTACCGGCACATTCGTTGTTGCCGCCGTCCTGTTGAGAAGGGAAGAACGAAGTTCCGTTGGCAGTAGTCGGAGTGACACGATTGGTGGTGTTGTCGGGATTGGGAAGCATGGGCATGAAGGGGGTGTCAGAATCGTCGTCGCGTCGAAGGAAGGCGTTCGCCTTTTCGCAGCAGTTGCCAGCTTCCGAAGGAGGCTTCTGAAGCATCGTAGCCCCGGTGCGCGAGTGGGGGCGATGTCGTCGAGGACATCGTCAGAGCGATGATGTGACGTTGACGCTCAAGGCAGCGACCTCTCACACCATGACACCACCTCATCGTCTCTGTGTCGTAGCGAGCACACGCCGGCTTGATTGCTCAGCCACTCACCTGAACGACGACCTGCGACGAAGCGTTTGTCTCTCCGTTGTTGTCACGGACTTGAAGGGTGATCTTGGTGCCTGCCTTGACGTTGACGCTGCGCAATATGGCGAAGAGCATGGCGAAAAGATCATGATCAGCGCGCCAGACGAACAGGTGTCAACGGTCCTGGCTGGCGCTCACTGCCAGGTGTAATGGCCCGTTGCAGCGTTCTGAGCTTCGATGCGGTAGATGGGCTCACCCTCCATCTTGCTGCCTTCATATACCTGCAAAGCAAGAGGCGGGAGACAAAGCGATGTGAGCACGGTAAGTACACCTTTGAACCTCCTCGCAGAGCGCAGCTCACCGCGATGTAGACGGGCGGCGCGGCGTTTTCCCATGTAATCTGGGCAGCGAGACATTGCACTAGGCTGAGGTCGCAGATAGAGAATGAGCAACGGTGATCAGTGTGAGGAGAAGCTGTTGATCCGCCTCAAATGCTTGAACGCTCACCTCGTGGGGGTGTAGATGACGGGACTGGCCTTGGTCCTCGCCGTAAAGAAGACGGCGAGGGCGACGATGGACGTGTGGATAAGAGTCGTGAATTTGACCATGGTAGCTGGGGTTAGCAGGGTAAGAGGAAAGGCAATGTTGCGAATGGGTGCAGGGATGAAAGTTGATCAAGGACGCTGCATCGGGGGGGAGACCCACGAGCGCGCTGGCGGACGGTCACCAACACCACGCCTCGTCTCTTCCTTTGCCCTCGCACCTGCTGTGCCGCTCAAGCACCGCCTCTCTCCTCGCTCACCTCACCAGCGCAGTCAGGCCGCCTGATACGAGCCGCCGATCGGCATCATCGACTGCAATCAAAAGCCGCTGCCCCAAGGTTCCTCCGCACCACTACGTGGCGACCGCTGATCATTTGAGGCCGTTTAGTCTCATGCCGCACACGAGACAAGGCAGAAGCCTGCGGCATGTGCGAGACGTGGGTCAGCGGCTGCGGATGACCTGATGCCTCCGTTCACATCCTCAGCTGCTTGTCATTCTTGCTCAACGGCCTTTCATTGCACCATGGAGGGCGAGCGAGCCAGTGTCTGGCGGCACGGCGGGCTTGTGGTGGCCCGATAGCACGGGGGGGGCTCGGTCGCCGTTTGCCGGTCGTCCGCTGCTGCGACAGGAAGGTCTCCTCGGTATCGCCTTGTCGTGAGTCTTGCACACGAGACGTGGTGGATCAAAGAGGGCGAGGAGCAGGCTGGCATGACCTTGTTCGCTCCTAAGCTCACCGGTGCTCAGCTTGCCGGTCACGATGCTTAGTCTTCGTCAATGACGCTCTCTCCTGCCTGGCCGCCGGAATGCGACTCCTCACATCACCCGACGGAATTCGACAGCCGATGGGTGGACCCGCGCCTGTTTGCAGCCCAGCCGGCCAAGTTCGTCTTACATCTTTGCATTAACGAATTGAATGGTAGAGTGGAGTAAGACCTTTCACTGCTTTCCATCAGATCCACCTCTCCACGCTCTTCATTATCAGTAACATCATCGTCATCATCATCCACATCGATCCACATCGATTCCCGGCCTCATCGTTGTCGCCAAGGGGTTTCCGCGTCGCCGTCCTCTCCTTCCTCCACTCATCCTCACAGCGAGTCAATCGCGTTTGGACCCGTTATCGCCCCGAGAGACATCGTCTCTCCCATTACTTCTCTTATTCTCCCCTCCCCAGGTGACACACCCCTCAAAGACACTGTGCCATCATGTCGTTGGGTCGCGAAGCAACACAGGTGCGCTCAAGAGACTCGGTCGCCTCAAGCAAAAAGGGCGCCACGATGCACGGCTCGTCCAAACTGTCGCAGCGACCCTCGCTCCTCTCTCGAGCATACAATTCAATGTCGACACGCGGTCAGAAGGGCAAGGAGTCGTTCAAAGAGACCATCGCCAAGGTCAGCTCCCATGAGGATGCTCCTTCAGAGACCACAGCAGCATCAGACCCAACACCAGCACCAAAGAGCTTCGCCGGTGTCTTCCATTCACCGGAGCCAGGGTGTCGTCCTAAGCCACCAGCTAAGCTGACGCCCGATCAGGAGGAGAAGTTAGCAGAGATGCTAAAGTATTTTCGAGCGAAAGACACATATCCAACATCGCTCAAAGATCCGCAGGCTGAGGAGAAGGCGCCGACAGAGTGGGAGAAGCTGCGCATGCTGAGCAGGGAGAGCATGCTGAGATATCTGCGAGCGACAAAGTGGGACCTCGCTCAAGCAAAGAAGAGGCTTACGGATACGATTGCTTGGAGAAGAGAGTTTCGCGTTGACCAGCTCGACCCGAACGTGGTAGAGCCAGAGGCAAGGAGCGGCAAGGAGACGGTGCTCGGTTTCGACAACAACGCCAGGCCCCTCCACTACATGCATCCTCACCGCAACGATACCAAGGAGACGCCGCGGCAGATGGAATTTGCAGTCTGGATTCTCGAACGATGCATTGACCTCATGCCACCTGGCGTCGAGCAGTTGGCTCTCCTCATCAACTTTGACCACAAGTCCCGCAACCCCACCAGCATTTCCAACGCCAAGCTCATGCTCTATATTCTCCAAAATCACTACGTCGAGCGTCTCGGCGTTGCCCTCTGCATCAATGTACCATGGGTCTTCAAGGCCTTCTGGAGCGCCATTCAGCCTTTCATCGACCCGGTCACCAAGTCTAAGTGCAAATTCGATGAGGGAATCAAGAGCGAGGTGCCTGCCGCCCAGCTCAGTGCAGAGTACGGCGGCGACGTCGACCCCAAGTACAACCACGATGCGTACTGGCCCAAATTGGTCGAGCAATGCGACGAGATCCGCGCAAAGCAGTTGAAGCGATTCAAAGAGCAGTGCAACTCAGAGATCGGAGCGTCAGAGTGGGTCATTCGTGGCGGCAATGACAAGGATTCAACTGAGCAGATGGGCAAGAAGGACATCGAGGACATCGCGCAGGAGGCAGAAGACAAGGCTGCCCTGGCGAGGACGCAGAGCAACGCACCGGCTGAAGCGCCAACGACTCAGATCTCTGATCCAGCAGCAGCTCGACAGGAGGCTATTGCCGCTTCCAAAGAGCGTGCAGAGGCGGGCAAGGCGGGCAAGGCGGGCGTCGCTCCCGTCACCTTGCCTAATGGTCACTCCGACGACACTCCTGCCGACTTCAACCAGGGCACCGCCGACACGGCCGTCACCCCGTCAGAAGCCTTCAAGACTCCAAGCGCGAACGTGAACAAGAATCCGATCGATCGCCACTTTAGCGCGCTGAATGCGGCGCCCATCGGTACTGGCGCGGCTTGCGTAGCAGGAGCAGGTGCAGCAGGATCGGCCGCTGGTGACCCGGCCGTCGCTACGAATGGTGACAAGCCTGCGGCTACCATGTCCTCTGCAGAGCCGCAGGAGCACCACTCTGACTTCAAGACAGCAATGAACAAGATTTTCCACCCGGACAATCAGCACGGCCATGATCACGAGAAAGGATCGACTATCACCAATGGCGATACGACCAACGGCGCATCAGCGGAAGCACGCAGCGTGACACTCCTCCTCTTTGCCGCTGCCCGAGACGCGGCCGGTCGCTCGACGATGAGGCTTGACCTTCCGTCTTCACCCTCGCCCTTCCCCCTGAAGGACCTGGCCTCGCTACTTGAGGCGCAAGGCTCGAAGGACAAGGACGCTGAGAAGGTCAAGGACCTGCCGCGACTTCAGGATGTGCTTAAGCGCTCACAATGGAGTGTGGGGCAGTCGATGGTGGATGAGGACGAGGTTGATAAGACGATGCTCAGGGGTGGAGAGGAGGTGGCTGTCATACCGCCGGTGAGCGGTGGATGAGGATCAGCTAATGATGAGCGGTGAAGCGAAGGGCAGGAACGCAGACGGCAGAACATATCATACATCTAGTCTTGCCGACATTCTCTTCCCAGTGTCATGATCGTTCTGGCCCCACCTGGCTTTCAGCGGACTGCAATGTCAAAAGTGCAACGTACCACTGTTTCCTCGCTCCTCAGCTTATTCGCAACGTCCGTGCGCTTACTCTACTGTCCGTCGCTGCAGTTTCACCTGTCAAGAGGGGCATTCGGTGAGCCCTTGAAGGCCGGCAAGGGGTGGGCTTGATTTGACCCGCTGCCTCGCCTTCGTGGTCGCTCCCTCGACTTGGAACATACTCTGCTTCTGAATAGTTTGAAGCGAGATACGCCGGGTGCACGAGCGGATCAACAGTACGTAAGGGATCTTCTCGTGTGTGGCTCGTTGAAGACGATGTCGTCAAGGATTTGAGGTGAAAGTGATTGAGCGAGAGCGTATGGTACAGCAGTGTTGATCGTTAGCCTGCTGTCTTTGCTGGATGTTGCCCTAATCGCCGCAATGTGGTGTTTGTTTGTTGGCCCATCGGAGCTTTCGACGCAGTGCGTGGCAACACAAGCTTGAGCTTGATTCTGGCCAATATCCTCTAGCTGGTTGGAGATCGGTTTTCTGGCGCCATTCTAGCTCACCGTCGTACGAGTGCAAGCTGAGACAATGCTACACATCTGCTGCTACCCCATTGGGCGCTTGCGTTGCGCCTTGCTGCTCTATGCTGCAAGTCTTCTTGATCTATTTGGGAGGCCAAACCCTCGTCGCGCTCTCTCCCTTTCCTTTCTCGTCAGCGAGCCGATGCACGCCCGCACTCACGCATCAACCCCTCTCGTGGTCCTCGACGTTGACGCCGCCTCCGCCGCCTCCGCCGCCGCCGCCACCCTTGCCGCCCGTCGCCGGTCGCTTGCAACTTGGCGTCGAGTCGAGCAGAATGGTTAGCTCAGGAAGAGTAGCAAGGAGCCCTAGTGGTAGACTAGAGTAGACTAGCGCTCCCTTGCTCCCGCTGGCTTGGCTATAACGTTCTCAGGGAAGGCCAATGGCCCGCCGAGGGAGAGGGACAGCAGGCAGCGATTAGCATCACTCATCTCGACTTGTCCCGTCGAACGGAAGAAAGCCAGACGCGAGCGGGAGACGGAGACGTGGGACGGCGGCGATTGGGCTGAGAAAAGAGGGTAAGAGCGACAGAGGTAGATTCGGGGAGACAGGAGCAGGCAGGCAAGGAGCAGCAGCGGCGGCGGCGGCGGCGCATCTCATTGGAGCGCCAGGCGAGCCAGACGGACAGAGGGCGGGCGAGCGTGACTGCCTCTCATCGGCGGAGGCCCAAGCGTGAATTGAGAGTGGGCCCTGCTCGTCCCTTTGTAGTCGCTAGCAGCAGAGAGGGAGGAGGACGGGGAGCCATTGGATACTCTTACCACCACTACCATCATCCTAATCCCATTCCATCTGCGACGCCGTAGCGCCCACCTCTTCACATTCGTATCCCTCACAATTACCTGACGAATCCTCGATACCACCCTTCCCATCCTCCTCCTCCTCCGATCTCTCCACCTCATCCGCCAAAGTTGCAGGGCCTTTGCCGAGCTGCGACCACAACTCCTCACCACTCCTACTGCTACGAGTGCACGCCCTCAACGACTACCCTGCTGGCCAAGGACATCATCTTTCTTCCTCTTCTCTGCGTCCTTCTCCTTACCTCCGACTCCAGCCTTTAGTTGCTTCGTCCTTCCGCCGCTGTCCCATTCTCCCGCGATGTGCTAGGGCGAAGAAGAGGCTGAGCCGCGTACCGCCTTTGTGATTGCTCCAAAGCACTCTTTCGACCGAGCGATCAGTGCCGCAGGTCCTTCCATTGCCATGATGGCCACGCCAGGGAGAGGTGTCGTGTCCACACCACCTGGTCATAGCCCTTCGGCGCTGGCCAGCTCCAGCCGGCTACCATCTTCCTCGCCCTTTGCCTCTGGACAGTCACCCATATCCCCTTCCTATCCTCATGCTGTGCCCTCGAGAGGGGCCGCAGCTTCGTCGGTGGATGCCGCCGCGCGCGCAACCTCAATGAAGGCGGCCAACAGGCTGACGAGGGCTGCCTCGCCAGCCGCGCCCATCGACCACGACTTTGTCGTCCAAGCCGCCAATCCAAATCATCCAGAACATCAGCGATGGCTCGAGAGCTTTGCAAGCGGCGCCTCCTCTTCCAGGAGAAGAAAGCCAGAAGGGCTCACGACGGGCGGAGGCGGCGAAGGATCCACATCAGCCCGGAGGAAACCCAGTCGCCCTGATTTGGGTAATGGCTCCGCCCGCAGTAGGGAAACCTCAGACAATGTTGCGCTCGCATCCTCCGACGCTGCCACCAATACTCGTATGCCGCCATCACGATCCACAGCTGGTGTCGCGACGAGGTCCTCCATCAGCGCTGACTCTCATGGCCGTAGAATAGGACTGGCTGCGCCACCAGTCGCATCCAATTCGTCTGATTCATCGGCAGACGAAGGCGCTACTGCTGGGTCCATTCGACCCACTTCGCCGTACCGTAGCATTCGCAAGCGATCTTCTGTAGCCGACGCGCGCTTGGAGGATGCGACCCTACCTGCAAGGACATCCTCCTCGGTCGCACTCGAAGGAGGCGCCCACCTCAACGGACAAGCTGAGCGGGCTGGTTCTGAGCGCAGGCGTAGGAAGAAGCGAAAGGACCGCTTAAAGCACAAGGACAGAGCGCCAGCGCCACCAATGCCGCCTCCACGTATCAGCAGCTCTGTCAATTACCAAAGCCTACACAGCCCTATGATGGACGTCGACCTCTCTCAGCAGCAACAAGAGCCGCCGCAGCCGCTCACAGAAGGTTTCGAGCCGATGCCATACATGAATCAGTCTCCTGCGCAGCCCCTTGAGCCCGTTGCAGGTCCACTTGAAAATGTTGAGCCAAGCAGGAGGGCCAGGCAACGACCGCAACCCTCCCAGTCTGACGTTCAGCTGCTCAGGGATGCTGGCATTGGGCCCGAAGTACCGGCGAAAGAACAGATTCTTCCTCCTCGCATCGCTTCCAATCCGGCTTCTCAGATGCAAAGGACAGGTCCTAGCTTGCCGGCGCGCAATCCTGCAAGACGCCCGTCGCTCTCCAACAGACTTGCATCTGCTCCTACGGCCAACCACGAGCAGACGAGTGCGGGCGCTTCCCAGCTTCCAGAAGGCAAGACGATCCCACGTCAGCGCAGCACCTCCTTTGACATCCTTCGGTCCACCTTCTCGCCAGCGGTCGCACCTATCGAATCCGAGACCGGCAGCGGTAACAGAATCGCGTCCTCATCAGCCGGCGCAGGCTCCAAGGTTCGCGCATCTCTCGATGGCGTTCGTCCTAGATTCCTCACCTTCTCACGAGGGACACCAGCGCTGCCAGACGATGCATCTGAGGCCGATTCGTCCGTCTCAGGTTTCGCAGGAGGATCCCAGCAAGGCACATCGTCCGTGAAGGGGCCTCGCAAGCTGCGAACATTCTTCTCATCGCTCAAGCTCGGCAGCCACGGGACCAATTCGGCCATGCCGTCGAAGCAGGGGAATGTCTCTGTCTCTGCGCTACCCATTGGCAGCGCCATGGACGCGGAAGAGAGCTCTTCTCGAGGGAGAGACAGAAGGGTTTCTGAGCAGGGTCCACAAATTGCGGCCTCGCGCTCGACGCAAAGCATGGACCTTCCTCGTCCATCGTTGACTGCACTTCTCGGTAATGGTCGCAACGAGTCGCCGCCTGTACCTTTGCTACCTGCCCACTTCAGCATCGTTGATCCACAGCACGGGACTGAGAGCCCAAAGCTGTGGGCCAACACCGGCAAGGCGAGGCTAAGCCTGGTTGGTGAAGAGACTGAAATCGACTCGGACCATCCACGCGCTTCAATGTCTGGCGCTGACCGGGATCGCGCGGCAAAGGCACCGGTCATTCCACCTTCACCCATCGCAGAGGTCAACGAGAACTCCGGCAAGAGCTTTGGATTCCCTCGGATCGCTAGCAAGACCGGCCTGCGCAGTCCATCGGCGCCAGTCAGCTCGACGGGAGGCATTGTGGATGCACCGATGCCCTCGCCCTTGGCTTCAGAAGCTCACACAACCGCGTCCACCCATAGCAGGGAGGGGACGAGCGACACATTTGGTCGTAAGAATCGCCTCGCTTCCCTCTGGACTCGAGGCGCTGCCCCCTCTTCTCAGCGTGAACGATCGCAGACGATGACCGACGGCATCGCATCCAAGGAGATTCTCGTTGAGTGGGGCAGAGCTAGCCCATCAGTGTCGTCGCGCATGGGCCAGAGCCACCGCACGCAGAGCTCACAAGGCGAGTCAGTGGACATCAGCGGCTCTCTTGCAGACAGCTGCGATACTGCCGGCACCACGGGGCTCGGCATTCACGCTCTCGAACCTCAGACCTCGAGGTCCAGCGGTCCGGTACACGAGAGCCGGCCTGCTACGCCATCAGCAGGCGGCTGGAGATCACGAGTCTCATCGCTGGCCTCCATCAAGTCCGTCAAGAAAGCACGATCCCAAATCTTCCGCGATAGCCCTCAGTCATCTTCGTCGCCCGTCCCGCCCCCCTTGCCAACTATGCCAGGACAGAAGGGCCCGTCGATGTCTGCTTCATCTTCGACAGGCACCCATTCTGGCGTAGGCGTCAACGGCAGTTCAGCGCCGGACGAGCTTTGGAGGCGGAACTTATTGGCAGAGGCTGTTGGGCTCAGCCTTGATGCTTCAGCGGTGGGAGACAAGGCCACTTCTGGTGGCATCGAGAACAGGCCAATCGCATCGCGCTCTTCGCCTCCCAATGGTCCAAGCAGCAAGGGAAAGCGTACGCCTCTGCTGGAGGTGGTGGCCGCGGGTCGCAAATCGTTCAGTCGAGACAGAGGCAAGTCAAAGGGGCTCGATGCGCCAGATGAGAGCATGCCTACGATTCACCGAACGCTAGGTCCTGCCTTGCTGAGCGACCTCACCTCGCAAAGCGGTCATGCCGAGCGAGACGAGGCGCAAAGCTCGGTAGCTGGAGGACATAGCGAAGAGGAGCTTGAGCCGTGGGACGGCATGGATGATGACGCCAACGAGAGCCTTGCTGCGCCCTTTGTTCCTCCTCGTAAAGTCTCAGTCGGCGGAACGCCCAAGCTCGAAGGCATCGCAGAGCAAGACACGACGTCGACAGAGGGATCTCGTAGCCAGAGCCGATCAGGCAGTCAGCAGAGTCGGTCAGTCGTTCCAGGCGCTGGGTCGACGCCTGCGTCTCCTCCTCTCTCAAGGACGGGCGACGTTTCGACCACCATCGCGGCATCCTCATCGACCACGCCGTCAGCTCAAATCGTTAGTTCCTTCTCGAGCAACCGACACTCGATGGGCAAGATGCAATCCACGCCTCCTCACCTGCACCTGCAGTCGCCCAACTCGACGCCCTTTGCCTCTTCTACTAACGTTGCTGCAGCAGAGGAGAGTGGCCGGTTCAACGAATTCGTGGTCCCCTCGCCATCGCAAGACTACCCTCAATCGCCAGCTCCCCCCGCCGCCATCGGAGCATCGAGCAGTGGTCGACGCACACCTCGCCTTTGGTCATCGTCGCAAGCCGGCAGGAAGTCTCCCGGCGCAAGCCTCAGAAGCGGTTACGGCGATGGCGGTGGCGTAAGTCCTTCACATGCTGGTCGCACCTCGTTCAGCACCGATCGGGACCGCGCCCCTGTTGCCAGCCCCTATGTGCAGCATCAGGGGATCCGTAGTCGTCAGGCATCGGCAGACGGCGGCGGAATCAAGGGAGCCCTCAAGAAGCTGGTACCGGGCGGGTCATCTGGTGGCCTCTCGGTTGGTAAGAGCAGCACGAGCGGGACGTCTTCGCCGATGGGCAGGGGCATCAGCTCGGAGCAGTTTCAACAGAGGCCGTATCAGGATGGCCGAGCTGAATTTGATTCGGCTTCTTCACGCGAAGACCTGCTGCCAGAGGGCACTGCACCCAACAGCGGCCCTCAGCAGCAGCAGCATCGTTTCCAACCTTCTCCCTCAGCATCTGCCGGGCTGCGCGACCCATGGGACGACAGTCTGGCCTCGGCGCAGGCTGCGACAAGGATGCTAGAGGTCGAGCATGAAACCCTTCAACCTAGCCCACTGGGAACACCCCTCTTCAGGCACGGTGGGGGAGGCAGCGGCGGCGGCGGCGGCACGGGCGCGACACACTCGACTGCCGGACCTCACGGGGCCGAACAGGCCAGCATTCGTAGTGGGAGCAGCCGCTCGGATCTCATTCATGGAGACGACACAGCCAGCGAGCGTAAGAGGTCAACCACGCCGGCAGGCGTGGCGATGAACAGAGCGATGATGTCTTCCTCCTCCTCTCTGCAAGCAGCCATTACGGCAAGCAGTGGCGCTCCTGCTACTACAGGCAATTTGCACACGTCGCGCTCGATGTCGACGAGCGAAGCGCATGACACCTCTGCAGTGTCCAATGAGGCGGCCCTCCACTCTCCCCAGACCCCATCACGCAGCTCGGGTGGGCATAATCAAGTCTTTTACACCCCTCCGACAGCGGCAAGCATGCTCCCCTCATCCAGCATGTCCTCCATGCCCACCAATTCCTCTGCTGTCTCGCCCTCCGCCTCGACGCTCTCACACCAGCGCAGCGGCAATGCGGCCGGCAGTAGCAGTGCGAACGGGACCTTCCTGCCCTCGCACTCGTCTAGCTCCTCCTCCGTCGGCTCGATGATCTTTGCCCAGCCTTCCAATCTTACAGCGGCTGACCCGCTCGAGGCTCTCTTCCGGCAGCAGAAGGCAAGGGAGGCAGAGATGCTGAGGAGCATTAGTGAGAAGAGCAGAAGGATGGCACAGCAAGGCCAGCCGGGGCTGGCTGGGCAAGTGATGGCTCAGAGCCCTTCTGCGCCGGGCAGGATGGGCGGCGGTGCGAATCAGCAGCAACAGCGGAGCCGCGTGCAGTAGGACTGAGCCGTGGTGACGGGCATCACGGGCGGTAGCGAGATGCGGTCATCGATAGAGGTCGATTTCATCTAGTCAATTTTTATGCCTGCTCTGCGCGTTGCACCGCACAGCGTCTGCATCTTACCATACACTTCCTTTCATCCTTCTTGCTTCGCTCATCCTGTATTAGTGTGTCGTCAACGTCTGACGACGAGGACACGATATCTTGGCCTCGTCGAACTATTACCTATACCTTTCCTTTACATCTTCGCAGCCTAAACAAATGAAATGTGGAGCAAATGCTTGCACGATTATGCAAGACTCGGATGAGGAGTCTTTAGGAATCTTCTGAAGTGACATTGATAGAGAACCAATACACCACTTTCTCTTTGGACTGCCTTGCTCTCCGTCTTCTATGTTGGAATCATCGCCATGTCCACCCGACCTTGCGAGCACCGCCGTCTCAGTTGTTCGTCAGAACCGACTTGCTCCTCGGCCGTGCCCTCGCCTCAAATGACACACACTCCCCTTCGTCCTGATCTTCGTCACGGCGGCCACGAGCAAGGCGCCCGGTACCATTCAGCATCGTGGCGCCGCTCTGTCTGCTGGTATCGTGATCGTCCTCCTCATCCTCCTCTTCGCCACTGTCGTCCTCCTCGTCACTGTAGTCGTCGGTGATGAAGTGCTGCTCCTGCTGGAGACGTGTGGCTTTCGCAGCAGGACCCCAACGATTCAAGAGGGAGTTGAACTGCGGTGCAGGGGGCTGCTCGTCGTCGTCCTCGCCCTCGCAGTCATCATCGCTGCCGTGGCGTGCAGCTCCGTTGAAGATGTGAGGATGAGGCGGCGCTCCGCATATTGCTCCTTTTGCCTCATCCGCAACAGGCGAGTTGATGCTCTCATCAGCGTCGGCGAACCGACTGTCTTCCTCTTCAACATAGCCTCTTGACCGCGGGGCAAGCTTAGAATGCGTCGCGGATTGGACGGCAATCTCCGCGTGCTCCTCGTCCACGCCTGCCAAGCCGGATGAATGCGTTCCGCCGCTCCCGACCAACCCATCAAGTTGCGCCGACCCTCGTCGGAGGGCAGCCGCTTCGTTCGCCTGGCTATTGATGGGCATCGCAGATGCAAGACCGCCCGTAATGGCTGATAAGGAGGGCCCGCCACTTGTCGTGGCTAGGTCGTCGCGGGCGGCAGCGGAGTCAGGAGGGTCGTGGAAATCAGGATTCTCTGCGTGCTGTCGGGCCACGTCGAACGGGTCGACTCCATCGAATAGATCCACTCGGCCATTGTAGGGCGGTTTGAAAAGGTTGTACCCTCCTTCTACACTAGGCGTCAAGGATGAGGAAGCACGAGGAGCTCCAACACCGAGCCTGTCTTGGCTACCGTCGACAGGGGCCATCGCGCCCGGGCTCGCCCCACCGTTGCTGACGCCCTCGCTGCTGCTTCCCGTGGCCATGCTGTAGTGCTGCGTCCATCCACGACCATCGTTGCGCATGTACGAGTCACGACGTGAGTCGATGCCAAGATCATCGTCGGACAGCTCGAGCTCGTCGTCCAGGTCGTCTACATCGATATGCTGCGGGCGAGGGGCAGGAGGGGTATTCTGCTGCTGGTGGGAGGCGAGCCCACCGGCTGCCACCTTGGCCTGAGAGGCAGGACCATGCTCGTACGACTCGTCATCGTCAAGAGCGATGACGCCAAACGAGTCGCCGCGAGCAGGCATGGCTACCTGAGCACCGTCAGCAGTAGCAACGAGGCTATCAGCAGTGGCAGCCTTCCGGCCTTGGTCCTTTTCGCCGAAAGCCAACGACAGCGGTTGATGCTGTCTTCGCTTTAAGCCGCGGAAATGGCCCTTGTCCTCCGAGAGAGACGACTTCAGTCTGCCGCCGGAAGCGGATGCGTCCGAATTGGCTGTTCCAGGCCTCGAAGTCGCGGACGACCCATTGCTGGTAGCCAACGAGCGGCGGCTGGACTCGGAGAAGAAGCGATGCCAGAAGTCACCGCGGCTGCTGCGATGGCGTGCATTGCCCTTGCCTTCGGGAGAGTGAGTGGTGGTGTTGGGCTCGCTAAGTGGGAGGTCAACGGTGTTTAGAGCAGTGGGAGAGACAGTGTTCGGCGCACTGATGCCGCTGCTCTGCTGAGAAGGTCGAGCGGTAGAGGTGCGCGAGAGACCCATGTGCCCGTCAGATGAAGAGCGATCCACTGACGGCCGACTTCTCGTGGGCGAGATTCCTCCTGCTGACCCGACAGGTCGGCTCGTCGATCGACGCTTCCACAAGAAACGACGACGCTGCTGCTGCTGCTGCTCGTCACGCGAAACAATGGACGCAGTGGTCCACCCCATGGCCGGTGCTGATGTCGGAGGTGCGGGCGCAGAGTTCTGAGCGATCTGGCGGAGCATAGACGCAGCGTCCTTGTGCTCGGGCGATGAGGGGCGACTTCCTGGCTGAGAGCGCGAGACGGTCCGCGACGGGGTATGACCGCCAGAGGAAGCGCGCGTTGAGCGCCCGGCCGTAGTCTTACGTGAGGCGGCGGAGCCTTTGCGGAAGAGATTGGCTGCTCCGTGGGGGTGATGGTGCTGATCATCGGCCGTGGGAGTCGTGCCACTCGCGAGATTGAAACCGCCTGACTGACCAGGTGAGAGGAAGCCGCGTCTTTGTGACTTGCCTCCGGGTGACGGAGGCACAAGGGCATCGATCTCCGCTGTCGAACGGCTGCGTGGTCTGCCGAGACCTGTTCGCATGTATTGCTGCTGATGCTCTTGTGTGCCCGTCAGACTATGTAGTAGCTTCGACTGCCAACGCTTGATGCGGCGCTTCATCTTCGAAAAGCCGGTCAAGGCGTCCTCGACCTCTTCGTGCGTCACGTCGACCGAGGGCAGTTGAGCAGGATCCGTCTCCTTCAGCCAGCCGTGCGCGTCTTCGAGATCCTGTACGATCCAGGGGTGAGCCTTGACTTCCTCAAGCTTGATTCGAGTCGCCGGGTTCTTGTCTAGTAGGCGGTCGAGCAGGTTGCGAAGCATTCGAGCTTCCTCCGATAGAGAAGCTTCGTCGACGTCAGGTCTCAAGTCTTCCTCGGCGTTCTGAACATCTGCCTCTTCGTCAGTCCACTGAGGCAGTGATCTCCAGCGCGGCTTGCGCGGCCCAATGAGCAGACGATCGGCACCAGCCGTAGAGGGAAGGCTGTAGTCCTCGCGCGGAACGACAGCAAAGAGAGCGAACTCGCTCTCTGCCGTGAAAGGCACATGACCAAAAAGCAAACAGTAGAGCGTGACGCCCAACGCCCAGACGTCGATGGCCTTGGTGACCTTGGGCTTCGATTTGCCGCCCGCAGCAGCCTTCCCAAGAAGCCCTCGACCTGAAGGGGTGACGGCAGCCGGACTACCAAGCTGACGAGGTGAAGCTCGTCCACTCTCTCCGCTCTTACCATCCATCCATGGGAACTCTCGAGTCCCAATCTCGCTCGCAATGCCGCCTGCAATGCTTTGACCTGTATTTCTCGCTGATGCTGAAGCGGTCGAAGGATTCGACGCCTCGCCCACTTGGCAAAGCTCAGGCGCGAAGAAAGCGGGAGACCCAGCCGTCTTTGCCAGCTCGTGCTCGTCCATGACGCTTGCATCTCTCGAGCTCGAGCTGCTAGGAACACCGCCACTGGCAAGAAGCAGAGCGTAGCTGAAGTGAGAAACACCAAAGTCGGAGATCTTGACGCGACGCTCTTCGTCCCACAGCAAGTTGGCCGGCTTGATGTCGCGATGGATGATGCCTTGATAGTGGAGATACTCCAGTCCAAGGACAACGTCTCGCATGATGCTTCTGGTCTCGGCAACGGTCAAGGTAGGAAAGCCTCGCGCGTCCTTCCAGATGACCTCTCCGCCTGCCATGTATTCGAGGACGAGGAAGATTTTCTTGCTCTGCGGATCGTCGATGACCTCGCGCAGTCGCACGACGTTCTCATGAGAGAGCTTCTTCAGAATAGCTATCTCTCGTCTGACCTTTTGATCCGTCGTCATCATTTGTGCTTTTCTAGCCTTGGCAGCTTCCTTTTCTCTCCTCTTTTGTAGCTCGAGGTCGGCGAAGGTAGGTCTGCTGGGGGCGCCTTCGCCCCATCGACCGTAGCGAGCCGCAGCGTACATCTGAGCCCGTGGTGACGCAGGAGGGCCAGACGAGGTCGGGGTTGGCGGGTCTGCAAAGTCGACTGCTCGCTGCTTGCCCGTCGGCGCGCCTTCTTCCGCATACTGCTCCTCTGCTGCTGCTGCGACTGCTTGTCTCTCCTTCTCCTTAACCGCCGATGCCGACGATGATCCCATCATCCTCGCTTGCCAGCCTCCCGTAGCCAAGCCCAGCCTCTTCTTACTTTCTCTCTCGACAATCTTGACCGCCACTCGCTCTCCTGACTCTGTGTCGCGAGCCAGCCTGACCTTGCCGTGAACGCCTCTTCCAAGCTCGTCCTCGATGATGTACTGGTTGATCATCCTTCTGCCGCTCGGCGCGTGCGTCTGCAGCTGAAGATGGTGCGTCTCGAGCACTTTAGGCGGCTGGTGATGCATGCCTGATGGAGTAGCATAGCCTGATGTAGGCGAGTTCGGATGCGTGGTAGGAAGAGAACCACTATTGCTCGACCCTCTTGTCGGTCCGCCAGCCGCTGTTGAACTGTGGACAGGTGAGGCAGAGCCCGGCGTTGTGACTGTGGATGAATGCTGCTTGCTGCCGTCAGATCCCGAATGTCTCGCCGTATTGGTCCGCGAGAGCATTGCACTGAAACCACTGCTGCCGGCGCCTACGTTGCCATTTGCTGACGCCGCCGCCGCCGCTGCTGCTGCTGCTCCACTATGCTGGTTCTGGTGAAGTGAGGCCGCTGCTGAGCTTAAAGACGTGCCGCCTCCTGGCCCTCTATGCACGCTAGACCGCCTCGATGGTGATTCTGAATGTATCGAATCCGTAGCAGAACCTGGAAGCGACCATGTCGGCTCTGCGAGATCATGTGCAGCGCTGGGCTCTGACGGCGAGCTGTAGCAGGCCGGTGATACGACGGCGCTGCTGCCTGCAGACGCCGCTTGCTGCTCTGCGAATAAGCCTGCCTTAAGCATGGCTGCAGCTTGCAATGATCCTCTACGGCTCCCGATGGGAGGAGCTGCGTCTGGTGGAGTTCTGAGACTAGATGCAGACGGAGCCGGACCTGTCAGTGCTCGCCCGAGACGAGGGAACTCCGGCGGCTGTAAGGAGCTTTGATCTACGCTACTGCTACCACTGCCACTGCCGCTGCGACTGCTCTTGGCCTCTGCTTGTACCAGAGATTGTCGTCGTCCGACGCGATGGTGGGCGGACAGGGCTTGCGCATAACTGGCCGCTGCTGAGGCAGAGTCTGCGTCTGAAGTGGTTGTCGAAGCAGACGACGTCGAGATGAATGTCTTGGACGAGTAGCTCCTGAGACCGTCGGGCGCGCCGTTAGACAGAGGTCTCGTCTCAGTGGGCGATGAAGAAGCAGCGGGTGAATGACCAGCAGAACCAGCTGTGGTGTTGATACGCAGAGGTGCAAAGGGTTCTAGCTTCGATGAGGGCGATTGCGAAGAAGAGGTTGAAGGCGATGAAGATGAAGATGGCTCGGACTCTCCTGCCAGACGCAGCCGATGCTGAGAAAGGTTCTCGTCATTGCTGCCCTCTTGGCCGCCGTCGGTCATGGTCCCGTCGCTGTATGCCGCCTGGGCTTATCGCAGCGCCCAAGGGGCTCAAGCTGGTGTAGACTACGTTGCGTGAAGCTGAGCGGAACAACAGCCTGGACTAGGATTGAAAGAATTTGGCAGCTACGACTGCTTAGCTGCGTGCAGGTTCCGCGACGTCTTGGATCCAGGGTTTCGCTGCGTTTGAGAAGTGTCCTCTGTCCAAGTGGCGGGGGTCGAAGGACGAGAGGATTGAGGGGAGCCGAGTCAGCCAGATGCGAGGAGGTCTGTTGTGGTGATCGTAATCTGTCTGCGACCCCCAGCGGAGCAGCGACTCAAAATGAGGAGAAGGAAAGGGTAGTAGAGGGAGAGCCAATGTCGAAACGAGAATGTGATGGACGGACGACGACGACGACGACGACGCGCAGCAGCAGCCCCTTGTGCCGCCCGTGTGTCCGCCTGCGTGTCCGCCCTGTGTCCGCCCCTCCGTCGCTGCGCCCGCCCGACACAAAATGCTGCAAAAGCAAAGCAATCAGGAGCCCACGACGGGGTCAAGCGAGGAGCAGCACGCACGTCAACTCCGTCGCTCCCTCGCTCGCCGCCAGCTGCTGCCGCCACCAAGGACGACGAAGCTCTTGCGCCCCGCACACTAGCGCAGGCTCACCATCTCTCGCAATCTTCGTCATCCTCGTGCCATCGCAGCTCGTACGAGCCCGAGTTCACTGGTGCTGAGCTTGCACCTGCGCTCACCTATTCCACGTTCAAGCGAGAGAACAGCTGCACAGGGACGGGGGCGAAGGCGAGGACAAAGGTACGATTGGGCAGCTAGGCAGGCGGCAGTCGCCAAGCTGAACATGTTGAACCCTGGACGTTTCCCACGCTCATAGGAGCAGCGGGTGAGATCCAAAGCAAGCAGGTTGGCGCCGCCCACCTCCGAACGGACCTATACCCCGTAATGGTCTGCAATAAGAGCAGCTCTAGCTTCCCCGCAATCTGACTTTCAACATCTCAGCCTCGCCTGGGCGCCTCTCAAAAGAGCCCGTTCGTAAAATGAGCTTGACAAGAAGCGCTGAAGAGGCAGCGGTAGCGTAGCATCGTAGGCATACAAGAAAAGAGCCGGTCTATGTTTTGCACTCACCTCGTGCTCAACGTGTCTTCGCTGTCGCCTGCTCGTCGCATCGAGGAGAGCAGCTCATTCGTGGTTAAAGTTCCAAGATAGAGCAAGGATGAGTGGTCACTTATCGTCATGAGAGAGGAGGATGGAGACTGGATCACACGAAACGGCCCGTATTGCCCCTTCGGCTTCACACGACTATCGCCAACGACAGGGCGTCACTGCGGGTACCTAATTAATCCTTTTGGCCTGGGCTGCGCTCGATCCATTCATCCTCATCGCCGCGGCCTCCGCTCGTCGCGGATGCGGGCATGTTTGATAGCAAGCGTTTAGCAACAATCTCAACGCAGTTGAAGCCTCCAGCTTTTCCCACGTTCACGTCTTCCTTGGCCGCACAGCCTCATCTCAGTGCGCCTTGCCCTTTGGCTTTTTTGGCCCTTCATCCTTGCCGTCTGGCGTACCATTCGCATCCTCGTCCAGCCCAGCCTCATTATCTTGGTCGTCTTCTTCCTTTTCGTTGTCGTCCTCGTCCTCATCTTCTTCCTTCCTGGAACGCTTCTTGCCATCATTCTTGGACTCCTCGAGCGCCTCCTTCTTCCTCACAGCCTCGAGAGCCTTCTTGTGCTTCTTGCCACTGCTCGTCCCTCCTTGATCCCACTCCAAATCATAGTCCTCAGCCACATTCTTGATGACCCGCCTCAGCTCCCTGACTTCATCGACGAGCTCACGGAAGCGCTCCGCATTGAAGCCCTTCTCCATGTAGAGTTTCGCCTGCCTACGGGAGGTCGTCTCGCTCAGCACGGCGCGATAGCTTACATCGCGATTATGAATGAGCACCCAGCTCCATGTCCCAAGAAGGCCTCCAAGGCCAACAAGGTAGGTGACGGGTTCCATAAGGTCCCAGCCGTACTCTACCTTGACGAAGGTAACGTAGCAGACCACGAACCACCATGCGAACCCCAAGCACGCCCCACCGATGGCCAAGCTACGCGTACCAGTTTGAGCCAACTGATCACACTCGGCCTTCAGCTTCGCCATGCTCTCTATCCTACCCGTCTTGGCGAACAATGACGCCCTCAAGAACTTGGTCCTGTCCTCAAAGCTGGGAACGGAGACCCTTACGTTGCGATGGCCGATGCGCACGACGAAAGTTCCTACCCGAGCAGCATCGCGGAGAAAGTCGCCAATTCCCGTTGCGGGAGACCAGCGTTTCCCGTCCCCTGAGCGGGTGTGGAAGGAGATGGAGGGCTCGTACTGTTGAGACGAGGGGAGGGAGACGTCGCGACGTTGTTGGTCACGGTCTTCGTTGGATGTAGGTGAGGACGATTCCGCAGAAGCTTCTCTGTTCATCTCTGCCGTGATGTAGCTAGGCTGTTCGGCTTTGATGAGCGAGGCAACGTAGCTGAGAGGCTGTGCCGAGTGCAGCAGGAAGACGACGCTCTTTGCTGGTGCTTTGGCATCGAATTCAGTCGAAATGTCCTCCGATGGTTCTCCTTGCTCCCCTTGATGCAAATGAGAAGACGACTTTGTGGTACCTCCCTTTCCTTTTCTCTTGACCTCGGTCGAAGCTGACTCGGACTCGACTTGAGATACGGACTGACCTCTCTCCACTCTCGACTCCCAAGGTTCCGGGTCCAGGGGCCCGCTGTCGTTCTCGCTTTCTGCGTTGTGAAGATCCCCCTCCTTTTGTCCTTCGCTTTGAGCCGCGGCTTGCGCTTCGTCCATCAATGTTCGGGCGAGTGGGGAGGATGCCTTTGACGTGGGAGAGTTGGGATCCTGCACCGCATCGGGCGGTGCGAGAGGTAGGGTGAGCTTGAAGAGGGAGGCCTTAGTGAAGGCGAGGTAGCCTCGGTCGCCATCGTCTATGCGCTTCTTCTGCTCTTGTTTGAGCTTCTCGAACGCTTGCTTGGGGTTGATGGGCTCAGCAGACGAGGGTAGGGTGGACTTGACGTCTACGCGGCGTAGGCGGGATGTTGAGAAGAGGCGCCGCGGTATTGATGGGCCGGCTATGTGGGATAGCGAGGATGTTGGAGAAAAGCCTCTCCGACATGTCAAGGCTATCATCCCCAGGGGCGAATGTGAGGGTAAGATGGAAGGATGGGGTATGGCAGCCTTGGATGGTGGGTCAGTGTTGGACTCTTGTATCCAGTCGTGCCAACTGAGTCTGCCGCCAAGGTGTGGGGGCCAGGGTCCAAACGAACGTCACACTGCAGCTACCGATACGACGCCCATCTCGACCCCCTACCCTATTCATTTCAAGACGCAGCGCAGCCCTGGTATGGGATAGATGGGCATTGCACCGCCACACAGTGGATTGCTGATCTTCATTGCAATGTCACTTGCTCTTTGAGCCGTTGAGAAGGTCCCAAGAAAGCTTGCAGCCAATGCCCTCGTGTTCCCTCCCGCGTGGCCCCTCGCTGAAGTCGGAAAGAGGTTGAGAAGTCAGTCGCGGCCGCGTCTGGCTAGACAAAAAGCTTTCGATCCATCGACGTCCACTACCACCATCAAAGGCCATCCAGCTCGTAGCAGGCTGGATTGCGCATAAGCTCACTCATGGTAGTGGCAGGAGGGCTGCAAGCAGCGGCGCCGCCAACGTCCTCCTCCTCCTCATCATCATCATCATCAGCAGCAGCAGCGACGACGTCTGCGTCAAAAGTGCCGCCTACAAGGGCAGCCGCGCAGCCTCCTCTCATCCCCACGTCGGTAGTTGACGCACCGACGCAGAGACTGTGGGCAGCCAGCTTGACGGCTGCCATCCAAGCGTACAAACTATACAGCTTCTTCTCGCCTGACGCATCGCTATCGCATGCGCTACTGGTTGACCTTGCCCTCGTCTTGGCCCTTTCAAGATTACGCATCCCGCGCCTCGACTTCATCGATGCCAAGTGGGCCATCATTGGCGCCCTCCTTGCTGCCTTCGACTGGCTCGCCCTCGGGGGATGGCACACTTTGCTGTCCTTTGCAGGATTGGGCGCAGTCACTAGCTGGATTGCAGCCGTATGGGATGATGCCTTCTCGAGGCCCATGGGCCTCTCAGAACATCGCGTGCGAATCAGCGATCTCATCCGGCCCAGCTCACACATCCTAGGAGAACACACCATCCACATTCTCCCTCATAGCACAGCCAGCATCTCATCCAGGGCGCCTACATGCCATTGCATTGGTGTCGGCAAGTCGCGAGTTGAGATTCCCATCTTCTTCAACAATACGGACCCTACCTTCCTCCAGTATAGCGTCACGCCTTTTGGCTCGGAGAACGCCTACCCGACCCTGTACAATGTCACGATCTCCAAGGGAAGTCTCACCACAGTGGAAAGCGCTAGAGACATGCTCCAAGGTGGCGTTAAGCAGGCAATTCAGGACGGACATTGGGACGAGGTTGAGGCAGAGGTCATGGGGTCAGGCTCCGTCGTGCAAAGGCAGGGCCAGCATGTCCCAGCAAGAGCAGGGCAAAGGTCGAGGAAAGCCAAAGATTCAAACATGCATCCGCGTCAAAGCAGTCAGCAGAAGTTCGACCTGTCCGTCAGCGCGATTGGCCGTGTCCGGTTGGAAAGGGTGATGGACAAGAGCCGCATGGACGCTCGCATTGCGCCGGGTGAGGTGATCATCGTGCAATGCCCTACTACCAGTTTTGCACCATCGCTTGATGGGCAGGAGGCTGGATCTTCGCCGCTCGCGCTCGTCAAGAAGTCTGCTGCGGCGCCAAGGGGTGGCGCTCATCAGATCGAGCATGCCTGCCCTGGTGATCAGACAGAGCTTTTCGTCAATGTCCAAGGTCTGGCTCCCATGGAAGTCTCTTACAGACGCAAGTGGACGCCTGGCGCACGCAATGGAAGGGCAAAAGCCGAGGACGAAACGAAGTCGATCAGTCACATCTCTGATCCCAGAGTTGCGAGCCCATTGATCGGTGCAGAGGACGGCACGAGCAACGCAGAAGATGTCCTGTCCGCACTCCTCGGCCGTCGCCACGGCAGTACTCCTGGTGCTGGCTTCCGGAGCTTCGACTGGGCGCTTCCGCAGCACGAGAAGGTGCCCATTTTTGCCCGCCTTGATAGAACGGGCAGCTACTCGTGGGAGCTGGACCACGTAAGGGACGCCTGCGGCAATGAAGTCAGCATGAGCTCCATCGGCAAAGCGCAATTCTCGAAGGGTGGCAAGCTCATTGGCGCTGCCAGCGGTAGCTCTGCGTCGCACCCAGTGGCTCGCAAAGAGATCCAGGTCCATGAGCGAGCACACGCTACCATCGTCGGGTGCTCGCGAGAACGCCCTCTCCAACTGCTTCGCAATGGCACAGCAAAAGAGGTCCTCCTGCGTGCAGCCAATGTCGAGACTGACGCCAAATGGACGGCGTCAGTCCGCTTCGAGCCCGAGGATGACAGCACCGATGCCTGGACGAAGAACGTCACCATCGGCAACGACGGTCTTGGCCGCATCCAAGCCGCCAAGCCAGGCAACTACATCCTGGAGCAAATTGACGGTTCCTACTGCTCAGGCGAAGTCGGTTCACCTTGGTCGTGCCCCGTCATCGAGGTACCTCCACCGACGGCCGACATCAGCTTTTCGACCATCGAAGACGTCTGCGCAGGCTCGGTCGGCGTAAATGCCATGGCGGTGCTAAGCGGCAGCCCACCTTTTCGCCTTCAGTACGAGATCAAGCGATCAGGGCAGCCCGCATTCCGCCAGGAGCGTGTCATTGAGAGAACGAGAGAGGAGTTTGAGTTCAGACCGTCGACAGAGGGAGCTGTTCAGTATCGCTTCATCGGACTTTCGGACGCCAATTACAGAGGCTTGCCGCTGGATGGACCTACATTCGAGCAAGTTGTCCACCCGCTGGCCAGCGCCAGCTTCGTCAAGCCAACGAGCAGCAGTGCCTCTCGCCGCGAGGACTCTAAGATCATCATGCGAAGCTGCGAGGGGAATCGCGCCAAAGCAGAGGTTCAATTGGAGGGCACAGGTCCATTTGACCTCACCTACGCTCTGCGCACCGCAAACAGTGGTTCATCTGTGGGCTCAAGCAGCTCACATCAAGCCGCAGCGATTCAGCACACGGTCAAGGGTATCACACGGCAGCGCCACACCCTGGACATCGAGCTTCCGCCTGCAATCAATGCGCATGGAGGTTCCATGACGATTAGCCTGGTCAGCATCCGCGACGGGAAGAACTGCGAGCGCTCCCTGACTACATCGGATGTCAACGTCGAAATTCGTCGCGTCCACCCTACGGCGGCATTTGTTGTGCCTGGAAGTAAGGCGGCTCAGCGTACAGCGGTGCTCCAGGGCGAGTCGTTGATCCTCGAAGGTCAGGAGGCCAAGCTGCCCCTCCGTCTTGAGGGTGAGGGACCGTGGAAAGTTGAGTACCGAAGAGAGGGAGACGCAGTTCCTGTAACCACGACGCTGCATAGCCCTGAGGCGGAAATCGTCGTCGACCGACCGGGCGTATTCCAGCTCGTGTCGGTGCACGATGCTTATTGCCAAGGGTCAGTCGTTCAGCAATCATCAAGATGGAATGTCGAGGTGCGACGCAGGCCTGTCGTGGCATTCGACGCTGCATCAGCCGCAAGCGTTGGCGGCCAAGGCCGGTCCAGCAAGCAGCAGCAGTTGAGCTCCCTCATACGCCCACCCGTCTGCCGCGGAGTACCAGATAGTGCCAACTTGCTCCTGCTGTCAGGGCAAGCGCCCGTGCAAGTCACGTACGAGCACGAAGCTCCCGTCTGGTCTGCGCAAGATGGCGCAGGACAGAATGGCGATCGCTTTGCCATCGAAGAGGCCGCCTCATCGTCATCTTCGCCCACTGGAAGGCGTAAACGCGAAACGTTTTCGACTGCACAGAACATCACGTCACTACATCTCTCCACCAGCGTGCCCGGTTGGCACAGGTATCGCCTTGTGGAGGTAGGTGATTCCAGCTACGCGCTAGGCGCAATCTCACGAAGCGATAGCGATGACTTGGTCCTCGAACAGCTCGTCCACCCTCTCCCCTCAGCCCGCTTCATCGATCAGGACCATCACAGCAGCGAGCAACAGCACAGACGAGGTGGCCGCTCGGGCCCGAACAAGCGCAAATCCTTCTGCCTAGGTGACACGCTCAGCGGTCGAGATATGGCTCGTGCTGCTCCCATAGTTCAGTTGAGCGGCTCACCTCCCTTCGATTTGGAGTTCGAGCTGGTCAGCCAATCCAATCCGGGTGCCACGCCCTCGACGCCGTCGCGACGCTTCGTGAAGCGCGGCATCCAAATGCACAATGTTGCCCTCGACTTGAACGAGGCGGAGAGTATTGGCGAAGCAGGGGACAAGCCTTTCCGCCTGGACTCGACCGGCACATGGGTGTATCGCATCGTCTCTCTGGTGGACGGGAATGGATGCAGTTCTACGCCTTCACCAGGCGAAGACTCCTCCTCCAGCGGCTCCTCTTCCGCATCCTCACCACCCTCACTCTCTATCAATGTGGCGGAAACTGCCAACCTGGCCTCTGTGGGCGCACGGGACGACTACTGTGTCGGCGAGAGGATCCAGTACGTCCTACAGGGAACTGCGCCGTGGACTGTCGTGTACTCCTTCGAGGGCAAGGTCAGCACCGCGACCAACTTGAAGACCTCGACTAGCTTCTCTCGCATTGCCGAGAAACCTGGCGTACTGGAGATCAAGAGCGTCGCGCATGCTTCCGCTGATGCTGACGCTGACTCTGTAGGTGGCGGCGGAGGTAGCTGTCGCAAGGAGATCACCAACCCGGCCACCGAGTCCGGCATGCGTAAAACGATCCACGCGCTCCCTCGGGTGCGCATCATGGACGGCGGCCATTCCTACCAGGATGTCCGGCAAGGCACACTCGCCACAATCCTCTTCTCCCTGTCGGGCGAGCCGCCCTTCGATTTCACTTACCAGCACCTCGAGGCCACCGATAGACACTCCGACCCTAAGGTGCTCGAGACACGTACCGTGGTTGGCGTAAATGCGAGAGAGTACCGACTGCAGACGCGCGAGCAGGGCACGTGGAGGGTGACGTGGCTGAAGGATCGATGGTGTAGTGTCAGTATTGATGGAGAGACGGGGGATGTGAAGCGAGGAAGCGGAAGGTCAGTCAAGGCCAAGAAGATGGCTGTCAGGGGTGATGTGAAAGGGACGATAGGGAAGGGAGAGGGCGTAGAGGCTGGAGGGGCTTTTGAGATTGAGATGGAGTGAGGAAAGGGCAGCATGACGATTTGATGGTATTTGTCGCCCAGTCGAGATACTGAAATAGTGGAAATGATTTACAGCTCGCTCTCGTCTTCCTCGCTTCCACTCCACTCTCCCACATCCCCCCCTTCCATCAACAATCGCTCCGTCTCTTCGTACATCTTATCCAGCCCCGTCAGCCTCTCGAGATACCCCTCTGCCTCGGCCGGGTCCTCGCCGAGCGCCTTGCGTACCATTGCCCATCCCTCTGTCCTATACTGCCGAACCACAACCTCGGAGCACGCCGTACAGCGGTCGAAGGCCTGCCCTGTTACTCGGCGAGAGGAGAAGGAGGATAGGGACCCGCGTAGCTGATGGGGAAGTAATCCGAGACAGCATTGTGGATCGGGGTCATCACCGGAAGGTGGCGCGGGTGCGTTGTGACGGCGTGGATGTTGGAGCAGTGAGATCATGAGCTCTACGGCGGAGGCGGAGGCGATTGCTGCGAGGCCTGGCCGTGTGACGGTGCACATTTGATCGAGAGTGCGATCTGTAAGGCTCTGTGCGAGCGGATGGGGAAGAACAGGAGTCAGCGAGAGGATGGGAGTGATGCGGAGCGCGATGATTGCAACTCACATCCGTAGGTGCCACAACATCATTGCAAAAGTAGCAGCCCAATCGTCTGCCCTCGCCCTCCTTCTCTTGTGTCGCTTCGTTCGTCGGAGGCCCAGCTCCATGCCTCATGACTAAAAATGTATCAAATCCCAGCGCAGCATTTATCACCAATTTCCCCTTGGCCGCTCCGAGCAAAGTCGGCAACCACCTGCTCTCCCTCGAATCCATGAGCAAGAAAATCGCATCATGCTCATCAAAGAGTCGCTCCAAGTGCGCAACATCGCGCTCACTGCCTCCTCCCCCGCCTGCTTTGTCCCCTTTGCCGGCAGTATGCCCATGCCCAGGCATTGGCACTCCCATTTCAACCCCCCTTGCCTTGACCCCAGGGAAGACTTTGCCCAGTCGCTCAGCTGCACATTCCGCCTTGCTCCTTCCTCCTGATAAGCAGTCCTCAAAATCGAACAAGGGTTGCCGAACCGGATTGGAGAAGCTGACTTTCCCATTATCCACCAGAGTCATCTCCCTCACGCCCCATGCGAGGAGCAAGCGAGCGACGTAGCAGCCCAGCGTACCGGCGCCGAGTATCAGGCAGCGGGTGCGAGAGATGACCTCGAGATCAATCTCTGGCAGGAGGCGCCAGCGCATCAGCTTGAGGTTGAGGTCCACGGCTTGGTCGGCAAGGCGGTGCGGGTCCATTAGCGGACCCAGGTCCGCTACCCGTGGGGCGAGCTTGTTCTGCGCATTGCGCTCCCATCCTACTGCTGCTGGGCGGGCAGGGAACGAGGCAAGCTGCGCGAGTGGGAGAGGAGACGGGGATCCCTCCGGTTGGACAAGGCCTCCTGTTGAAGAGGCATTGTCAGTAGGAAGGAAGACAGTGCCCATGAGCGAAGCTGAAGTACCCGTAGAGGTGGACGATAGCTCATCTCTCCAGCAGACGGCACGAAGTTTCTTGACGCCCCACCGTACGGCAAAGAGGTTGAGAAGGTTGCGTAACGGCCAGCCTGGCGCAGAGTCGTGTGACGATGGATCGATGAAGAGGACCGTAGGGGGCTCACTCTCCTCGACGCCTCCAGGATAGAAGCTCACATAGTCGGTAATACGACCGAGATGATAGCCTTCTCCTTTTTCCTTTTGCCTCACAAGTGCAAATCCGGCATCACAAGTACCCTTATATCTTTCAACGTGCTCCCTCAATGCCTCGCTCATCTTCTCCCCTTGTTCCTCCTCTATTGCACTCCATCCTCCTCCCTGGAGTGACCAGCCGGGCTTAGCCACGAGTGCAGGAAGTGCTGCCCAGTGGTAGAATTTGTGCTTCTTGAGGTCCGCGTAGGCCAGGATGGTGAACCTCAACACGGCATCGCGTAGGGGTTCCGGGGAGTGGAGAAGGTTGGAGAGAATCTGCGAGCGAGGGGCCGTCAGAGGAGGAATGGTGAGCAGGAGTATGTCTGGACAGGCGCGAATGATCGCAAAGATGGGGAATGCAGCCTCACCTCATCTGCCTGTGAATTGAAGAGGGCATTCTTGTCTGCCGAAGTGAAGGCGACGGCTGTGTTGTAGTTGAGGAGGGTTCCGTATGCTGGGACAGAGAGGGGCCGGTTCGAGCTTGCTGAAAATGGCTGTGACGATGAAGTAGCTTCTAATGGTGGCCTTCAGAGGGCTCAGAGGAGGTAGATGTTCCATCAGCAGACCGCATATATGCTCGCTCCTGGACCGCTCCACAGCTCACCCTGCCTGTCCCCTGGCATCGACCGCCTCGAGACTCCCCTCTGCCAGAGCCAGCGTACCCTGGACAGCCACCACTTCCCCCGTCTTTCGATCCTTGACCCTTCTCGCAACACCATACTCTCCTCGCAGCGGAAGAGGAGCTTCATTCAATCGAAGCCGGTCGAGCTTGAGAGTGGAGAGGGCGTGCCAGAAGTCTGCGGAGATCTGCGTTGGGAGGGGAGAGAATTGGAGGATATTGGACGCGGTCGCCGTATCGTTTGGAGCGGACGGTGATGGTGACGAGGAGGAGGAGGCCATGATGGACCATTTACAGTGGGAGGGAAAGCGGCAAGGAAGAGGAGCGCAGCCGCAATCGACTCGAGCGACATCGCAATCGATGTGAGAGCGCCACCCGAATTGGGGCCCGTGCGAGCAAGGGAGCGAGAGGCGTCCTTCTGGGGCAGCAGATTGCAATCGGGGCTCACTGTACCGCACACGACTTCGGCCAGTCATCTGAGAAGAGTTGGACAGGTCTTGAATTGAAATCTAATCATACACCCATTAGTCGGATCAAAGGCAAAGGAAATGGCGTCTCGTTCTCAAAATGGCGGCTTCACCCAGCCCGGACTACTCAGCGGGCCCAGCTCCATCCTCGTCGGTCCCATTTTCTCCCTCCTCGCCCTCCTCATCTTCATCCTCCTCGTCCTCTTCCTCCTCATCCTCATCTTCCTCGCCCTCATCACCATGCTCATCCTCCTCGGACACATCGTACGAGTACTGCGCGGGCAACGCCCGATTCTCGTCTCCCCCGGGCATCATCCCCCCTCCATACTGCCCAGCCCCACCAGCCACAGCGATGCACAGTTCATTCCTTCCTGCCCCTCCCCCAGCCTCAGCGGCCGCCTGCGCAGCAGCCGCTTCAGCCATTTGAGCCTTTTCTGCTGCGCTCTTCCTCCCTCTTCGCTTCTTCGGCCTACCCTCTGCATCTTTGCCGCAGCCTTTGACCATGAGATGCCGCTTGAGAGCATCTTTGCGGCTGAAGGACTTGGCACAGTTGGGACAGCCAAATGGCTTGACTGCAAGGTGGATGCGAGAGTGTCTGCGAGCGAGAGGAGGGTGGGCCAGTGTCAGCTTCTGCGTTGGGCAACTGTACCAGCCTGCACGCCGTTGCTTACCTGTTGAGATCATGCCTCCTGGAAAAGCTCGCTGGGCAGCTCGGGCAGGCATAGTTGCGTGGCGGCGGGTTGGCAGAAGTCTGTTTACGCTTCAAGCCAGCACCGGTACCCATGGGCGAAGGGGTCCAGTAAGGGTGCGGGTGACCAGGTATGCCGTGCGCCGCGTGAGGGTGATGAGGATGATGAGGCTGACCCGGAGGGCCATAGTGGTGAGAAGGAGGCAGTTGCGCTGCAGCTCCATAGACGCCTGTCCCAGAGCTCGCAGAGAGACCGCCACGACGTTGTGCGCCTATGGCCGGTGAAGACATCGTGTTGCCAGCTGTGCTCCCCATGACGGGAGAAGAGGTGGCGGAGAGGGAGTATGAAGAGGAGATGGGAAAGTTGGGCCCTGCGGCGGCAGAAGTTGAGTTGAGGACTGACATGCCTGGTGGGCCGCCGGCGCTGAATGATGGGAGGCGGGTGCCTTGGCCGTAGTAGGCAGGGGTAGACGAGGAAGACTCGCCCTCGCGATAGTAATAGGAAGAGGAAGACGGAGGTGGTGGTGGGGGCGGCGGGCCGGCGCCGTTGTCGTAGTACGGTGGACGACCATTATTCGGGCCGGTGCCATTGGTCCCATCTCCTGGTCCCGCGCTGGCGTGTCTGAAAGGTGAGGGCAGAGGTGGGAAGCTGAGTGGTCCTGATGCGCCACTGACTGCTCCTCTCCTCAACAGTGGCGTATGGTTGGGCACGGGGACGGAGGCCGAGTCAGAGGAAACGCGGTGAGGCGGGCGTGGCGAGACGTATGGCGATGACTGCGATGATGGCGGCGAAAAACCGCCATTCCCTCCCCCTGGCGAGGGCGAACGGGAAGAGCGATGACGAGTGTAGGAGAGTGATGGTTGCGAAGGAGGCGGAGGAGGAGGAGCTAGGCTGTGGCCGTTGTAGCCGTGGGCGTGGTCATGGTGCCCAGTGCCTGCCGTTGCCGACGAGCTGGGCCCCGCAGATGACATGGAAACCTTGAGTGGCGGTAGAGTGAGGACAGGGGAAGAAGAAGAAAGGGAAAAAGAAGGATTGCGAGACGGTGGAAGAACCGGCCCGTCGTGATGGCGATTGTTGGCGAGAATGGTGGGCAAGTCGCTTCCGCGCGCGAGGTCGTGGGGATTTGGTAGTTGAGAAGGATTTCGACGAACACAGTGTCTCGTTCGTCGCCGCTCTTGGAGGCTGAGGATGGCGTTGCCTGATACGCTATTTAGCGACGGCAATCGCCCTTGGATGGATGGATGAGGAGCAGAGAGGAGAAGAGGCGGCGTCGACGACGAGGACGACACGCACCACAAGAGGCGCGGCTTGGTGCCTGGAAAAGGCGGAGAGAGACGAGCAAAGGGGGGGCGGCGTCGGGAGCGCGTCTTGAGCAAATGGCGGCCGTGAGGCAGAGGGGCCGGGGAGAGGGTTGATGACGATGAGAAAGACGACGACGATGACGACGAAGAGAAAGTAAGATAGAGCGTTCAAAGTAGTTGTTGCCGATGAGAGAAACGGAGCAACGATGCTCACGCGGATGGACTGGCAGCAGTCAGAGCCTAGGGCTTTGCAACAAGGGCCAGGAGGGAGCGATTGCCGCCTCGCACATTTGAGCTGCCCTCCCGCCTTGACTTCCCACCCCTCCCCTTTCGCTCTCCGCTGCGCCTGTCGCCGGTTTCTCTCCCTCTCGCTGCTCGCGCACCACACGCCCCCCTGATCCGCTGCCTGCCGCCTCCGAAGGCCGATGAGAGACGAGACAGCCTGACATCCAAACCCAACTCACGTCGACGGCAAAGCCGTGGGTCCAGTCTCGTCGTGAAGTACGACCCACGAAATGAAGACGACGAGGAGAGAACGAAACAGCTGACGCGCATATACGGGGCCCAAACGCGCTCTAGGCTCGCAGTACTAAAGAAGCTCGACTGTCGTATTGGCATCGCAGTAGGGCCAGCCCTGGGAGATCTGTACCATCCAGGAAACGCTGTGAGAGACGAGAGACAATACGAGACTAGGCTTCCAGCCCACCTCATCGTCACCTGTCGTCACGCCCGTCTGCTTCTTCCGTACCGGCACCACTTTATGCGCCAACTCCTTGCCTCCTGCCTTAACGTGGTGAGGGATACGCAAGCAGGCTAGAGTGAAGCTTTCACTGGCTCGACCTTTTTGTGCCCCGCCTTGCCCTACTAAAACCTACCTCATCGTCAGACGTCCACTCATTCTCCGTTCTCGTAGCTCCATCCCAAAACTCTCGCACTAATGGCCGACGACCCACGATGTAAAGTGTACCTTCCTCCTAGTCTCCTCATCGAGGACGACGCCACACTTTCGGACGACCTGCAGCGGTGCGGGTGTGCAGGCAGCGCCCTGCGAAGGGGTTGAGTCGGGAGTTGCTACGCGAAAAAGGAGTGGCGTTTCTTTGACAGAACCCTGACCGACTGAGTCGAACTTCGGAGGAAGGGCAACTGGAGAAGAGCCGATACTGAAGGTGCGAGCCGGCCGCGTGAGCGATGCTATCGGCGATTGGGTGACTGGCTCCTGATGAGCTTCGCTGCTACTCGCTAGACCGTCTCACGTGAGAAATCGAACAGAAGCTACGCGCTTGGCAGGCGGATGCGAGGGCGAACAAGAATCAAGCATAGCGTCCATCCTCGGCATCAGGCTTCCAAGATGCGAGGCTGGGTAGCGTGATAGTAGCGAAACAGAAGGGGTAGTGTGGCTTAGATAAGGGGGAGAAATTTCGCAGCTGAACAAGTAAATAGTGCTCTGCGAAGGCACGAAAGCGATGACGAGGCTAAAGCAACAGCGGACGCATCTGGTAGCTCTCAAAGCGCGCGTTGTACATCGCGTCGGCTACAGTGACAGAGTGGTAGCACCGAGCTTAGGCGCTCTTGTCAATAGTCTCAGCGATCCTCTTGCGAACAGTGTAGTCGCGACGTCCCACCATGGCAGCATCGATGCTGCTTTTCTCCTCGCGATCCTCCTGCTCGACCTCCTCATAGTACTCTCCGCCGGGCTGCGAGCCAGGCACGTATGAGAGGACATTGAGGTCCGCCTCCTTTAGGGCCTCTACATTGATGAGGGGCAGCTCGCGACGCCCTTGTCGGGCGGGCACGTTGGAGAGAATGTTGAGATCGAGGCACTCCGCAGCTCCCACGGCGATGAGGCCAGCGATGGTGTTGGCTTGGCAGTCCGGGCTTGCTCCGTCGCCGACACCTCCGAGGGGTCCAACAAGGCGAGGAAGGAGGAGAGCGGGGTGAGAGCAGTCTAAGTGGGGCATGGTAATCAAAAGAAATGATCAGGTACGGCGCCCGTGCCGATCGGTCACGGTGGGAGAGGAGGGATGCTCACCGATCATGCGCACCCCGAGGTCCTCGTTGGCGCGCTCGCACTGGCGGGTGGCAATCCCGCGACGCATGACATCGACCCAGAGATCTTCGTGCTCAGAGTCGGTGCTGCGCTCGGTGACCTTGATATTGTCGCACCTGCGGGAACGAGCAGCAGAGACAACGATGAGCCGGAACGGTGGGGCGAGCGCTGAGAGCGGCCCCACTCACTTTATGACATTAATCGCAGCAAGGAGAGCAGCAGTCTTCGTAGCGCAGATCTCCTTGGAAGCCTTGTAGCCCTCGACGACATTGAGCACGCTCTTCTCGCAGTCGAGGACACCGGCCTTCTGCATGGAGTCGTAGGCAGGGTCCTGACAGAGGGGCTTGACCTGGGCGCGCTTGAGCATACTGACGACCACGGGGTCGTGGTGAGCGTGGAAGTCGCCAAGGCTACGGCGCTTGTGATTGGGTGGCTGGGTGGAGAGCACGTTGATATTGGCGCAATTGAGGGCGCCGACGCTGGTGAGAGAGGAAGGGGGGGGGGGGGGGGGGGGGGGGTTCATCAATGTCAGCCACGTTGCGAGAGTGAATGAAGAGCGACACCAGCTCACCCAATGAGTGCAGCGATGACATTACTCTCGCAGGCGGCCTTAGGAACGCCGAAGTAGGGAGGGTAGCCAATGGGAGGTGCTCCGGTGGGCTGATAAGGAGGCTGACCATAAAGGGGTTGGGCAGAGGCAGGCTGCCCATCGATAGGCACCATGCGAGGGCTCGGGACGTCGGCGCTGACGGTCGAGACCAATGCCGTTACAGCGGCGACGACGACGAAAATGTACAGCTGCATGGGTGCGTAGGTGTTTGGTCAGGTGGCGTGTAGGACGAGGGTCAAGAAGCGTATTGCTCAGAGAGAGGGACTTGCGCGAGAGAAGGAGATCCATTACAAGCCTTTTCGCTTCTTATCCTTCGAACAGCAAGCGATGAGCCGACGTTTCGTGAGCTGGTGCCTGAATGGAAGTCTTCCCCCCTTTCTTTCATCATGCCGGCATTGCTTGTTTGCTTGTTTGCTTGCTCCGTGCTTGTTGTTCACCAACGAGGCGTCGTTGATGATGTCCAGCATACTGCAATCAGTGCGACGCCTCGGGCCGTAAAGCTCGCGTCAGTGCATCATCAGGCCAGAGGGCACGACAGCAGCGGCCCTCGGACCATCACTTCTGCGCTTTGGCCCTCTGTGTCAACATCCGCCCATTGGCGGCTCGAGATTGGGCGCTACTGAGCCTTCTTGCCTTCTCGATGATGGGATGCTGTCGCTCTGCCCGGACTCAAAGCAATCTCTTGGGCGTCCGCTACCATCCCTCACTGCATATCATACCACTATGCTTCTTCCTCGCGCCCATCACGCAATGTGGCTCCTCGTACTATGGTGGCTGTGCACCAGCCTGACGCTCGTCCACGCACAAACGCTGCAACCTCATCAGCCTCCGAAGACTTCGTTCGAAGGCTTTTGCCCCGGTCGCCGGGCCCCACCGCTGAGACAGCGCACTTGTGCCCCTTTTTATTTCTTTGCAGCCTGTGGTCCTGCGGAGCAAAATGACTGTCGATCGTCGCTGGAAAGCATCCTCGACGGCATTCGTGCGGATAATACGACGTGGGACTGTTTGACCAGCAATGAGGTGAACATCGCCGGGGTCGAAACTCCCGTCGACGTCGTCGGCAACATTGCGATGTCGCCTGGTGTGGCTATGATGCTCCCGGTAGAGCTCAATGCTACGATGACGTCGACCAAGCAGAGGCCATTCAGCGGGCTAGGACCGAGCCCATCCGGCCTTAGATGCTCGTCGGGAGCAGGGTGTACCGCTTTGATCAAGCTCGAGTCGGCCGACGTGAAATGCCGAGCCCAAAACTACTTCAAGGTGCGCGATGTCCTGCTTTTGACAGCTCCGAGTCGCAATTGACCCCGTTATCTGCTTCTGTCGCTCCCTCTCACGCAGAGATGGATGCAAGGTACAGGCTGGCAAGCCCTCGACTATCACTTTGGCGCGACGATTGCCAAATGCCTACGAAACGAGACCATCATCCCTCCGCCATGGATGCCCAATCAGACTCACTACTAAGAGGCAGTGACGGAGAGGAGGCGAGGGGCGTACTCACAACATGCTATCATTCGTCAATGCCCATCATTTATTGAATTGTCAAGAGTTGCGAATGCGAGAGCGTACAGATGAATGAGACTCAGACGTGTCGAATCAGTCGCACCGCTACCAACCCGGAGGGGGCAGAGGTGCTCTCCCAGGAGGCTGAGGCGGTGCTCCTGGTGGCGGCCCAGGGTGAGCGTAGCCACCAAAGGCAGGCGGTCGACTCGGCGGAGGACCAGGGAAGGCTGGCGGTGGACCAGGAGCAGCAGCACCTCGCGCAGCCATGGGCGGTGGGCCAGGCGGAGGGGGAGGCTGCTGAGCACCGTAACCACCTGCTCGAGGAGTCATGCTGCCTGAGCCGTAGACCGATGCGCCGGGCGGTGGCTGCTGACCGTATGCTCCGCCCGCGGGAGTCATACCGCCTGCTGCCATTCGGCTTGGCGTCATACCACCAGCATGCATCGGCGTGCGCGCTCCACTCGCCATGCCGTACGGCGTACGAGCGCCGCCGCCGTATGCAGTTGCCCCTCCCGCAGCGGGTGTGGCTCCACCACGAGCACCCGCAGCCATAGCAGTGTACTGCGTCTTGAACGCATTAGCGAGCGACGCAACGTCGGGCAGATGCTCAGCCTGGTGCAGCTTGAACCTTCCCGGCAACACCTTGACTGGCCAGTACTGGATCGGCGCATCTCGATTGGCTTTGAATCCCAGCTTGAAGCAGCCCGGATGCCTCGGGTCGAGACCGAACGCATAGGTTGAACGCGTGGGGTTGGCCAAGCACCAATTGGTGAGGTATTGGTCCAGCTCTTGCTCATTGCCCTTATACTTTTCGTGGTTGACCATCATTTCGACCATCTTCGCCATTGGGTTGACATGGTTGACGATGAGCTCATCGAGATCATTGTACGTCACGTTCATCACACGCAGAATACGCCCAAGGGAGTACTCATTCTCCTTCTCGAGCTCGAGGACGTCCAGGTGCTGGTAGACGTTCTCGTCGACCTTCCATGTGACAGCGAGGTGGTCATTGCCCTTTGAGCTTGGGCGGACGAGCACAGCACCGCGGGGTTGATTGGCGAGGAACTCCTCAGCCTGCCCAGCCTTGAAGTTGCGGAAGTTCGGGTGCTTGATCACACGGCTGATCTTGCTGCGATTCTTGATCGCCTGGCGTTTGAATTCGGCTTGACGCTTGTCCTTCTCTGCTCGCTCTGAGTTCCAGTATCGCGGGTCGACCGCCACAGCCACGTTCTGGAGGCGGGAGGCCTCTGCCGCTGCAAGATGGGAGGGCTTGGCCGTGAGCTCGACTCGCAGCTGGTCTTTGTCTATGTCGATGATCTGCGCCTTGAGCGTCTGGTCGCGCTTAACAAGCTGGCGAGGCTTGGGAGGCTTTTGTCCTATCTGAGCATACTCTTCCAGCTCCATAGGCATGAGGTACTGCTCGTTGATGGTGCCTTCCATGCCACAGTCGAGACGGACGACGATGTGACCCGGAGCAATGGCCGCAACAGAGACATTAACGATAGACTCGCGGTCGAGCGTACGCGGTGTCTCGCCCGTGAGGATAATGAGCATCTCGTCTTGCGAGGGAAGCTTGAAGGGGCCACGAAGATCGCCGTAGGGCCTCAGCAGCTCGTCGGTGCACTGTTCAAGGGTGAGGCGCTTCCTCTCGCCATTCTTCTTCATCAAAACGTCGGCGTACGAGTCGATATCGAGCTCGCGGAGTCTGCGGCCCGCATCAGGGTCTTCGAGGAGCAGAGCGCACGGATGCGAAAGGTGCTCGCCCTCGAGGTCCTCCTCGTCCAAGTTGAGAGCATCAGCTGCCATCTTGCGTGCGTACTTGTAGTCCTCGGGGTGGATGCGAGTGCGGTCGAGAACGTCAGGCAGCAATTTCTCTTTCTCCGTCGCTTCGATCCTGTCGGGACGCAAGTTGAGGTCACTAGCAGTGATCTTGAGCTGGAGGAAGGCGGCAGCGTTGACGAAGATCGGCCAGCTGAGAATCTGGTGGTCGAGCAGGCCGCGGCGGTTGACGACTGTGCCCTCGAGCTTCTGGCTGATAGCATCGACGAGGGCTTTCGCCTTGCGCGGGCCAAGGCCGCAGACGAAGGGGAGCAGCTGTCGATAGTACACATCGCCCACTGCCTTGTTGAGGTCGACACCGACTTCGTTGGCGCACGATACGATCGAACGCTCGAGATAGGTCCTCAGGCGATCCTTCGAGACTAGGCGCTGGTGCGCATCGAAATTGATGGCCGTCAAGTCGTCGCCGAGGGAGGCGAATTCAAGCAAAGGGCTCTGAGCGTAGCGAGCGAGACCGACGCAGTATCGCTGCAGGGTCTTGAGCTCGGGGAATTCGGCGGCGGACCTCGCACTATGCTGGTAGAGACGAGCGGTATCGTCGTGGACGTAGGTGACGTCGATGGCCGCCTTATCGGTCTGGTCTGCGGAAAAGTTCTCCTCGACGATGATCCTGGCCTTGGCCTCCTCAGCTAGAGCCTCAAGATGCTGCTTGAGCTGCACAGTACGAGGACTGAATCCATTGACTACGATTACGTCTGGCTTCAAGCGCACCAGGAGATTGACGAAGCGCTGACGGGGCGTGAGGAACTCGGGCGGCTCTTCGCCCCTCCTCTCGGCCTTGGCAATCTCGGCTTGCTGGGCCGTGTCCATCGCCGCTTGCTGCTCTGGCGTTGGCAGGTTGAGGTGATCAAAGGTCGCGTGCGATCGGAAGCGGCCGGCAGCGTCGAAGAAGACAGTAGCGACGGCGTCTTTGCGAGGATCGCCCTGACCGTGGGAGACGGCGAGGACTGAGGGAACCGACGTGCTCTTGGAGCCGTATCCATCTTCTCTGTCGTCCTCCTCGTCGTCCTCGTCGGGGAACCTGCGTCGAGCGATCATGCTACGGGACTCGAGGGGACGCGCGTCGAGTCTCTTGTCCAAGATGCTCTCGCAGGTACGGCAAAGCCATTCTGAGCACTCCTCCTTGAGCCACTCACGAACCCAGATGCGGCCGCTATTGATGAGGCCTTCCTCCAGCGCAGCCTTGACGACATCACGGCGCAGTGCGTTCCACTTCTGGCTGACCTCACTGACACCCTCTGACGCGAAGGCTTGGTAGAGACGCTCTTCGAAATCGCGGTAGACCCCATCTGGAAGCTCAATCTCGACATTGACGAGATTGTCGCCCTCTGCTTGCAGGATGAGGAGATACTGCGTCTGCGAAGCGATAGGCTGAGCCGGCTGACGACCGCTGTACGACGCCGGGATTCTTGGGGGAGGCTCATTCGAAGTGAACTCGCGTACGGGTTTGTTCTCGAGATACTTGAAGTTCCAGAAGGGATGCTCCTCATCGATCTTGATCGAGCCACGCTCCGTAGGTCTCACAGTGATTTGGGCGTGATCCTTGAAGAGCTGGCGAATCTCGCGCTTCATCATTGGCTCTCGGCTAATCTCGCGAGTGATGATAACCTTGGCCAGATTCAAGGCCTGCTCTGCTGAGCGTGCTCCCGCTTCGGGGTTGACGAATTGCTCGGCCAGAACCTCAGGAGCGAGCGCGTCGTCGTCTGAGAAGTAGCGGCGAGCTGATGAGCCTGCTGCCAGGTTCTCTGAGAGCTCCGTTGAAGAGATGCCGAAGCGCTTCGCTAGCTCTGAGATGACAGTGTTCTTGAGAGCCTCGTAGCGGCCGAGGACGCTTGGTCGCTTAAAGCTGGTGACGCCCGTCGCAGCGAGAGACCCATTCAGAGCCCCAGATGCTGCATCATGTGCAAAGCTCTCCTGCGCGTCACGCATCTTGTCGCCGTAACGCATGGTGAGCCATTCGGAGAGATCAGAAAGCTCCTCCAAGCTGGCCACTCTGTCAAGCATGACCTCGAATTGAGCTTGCTGCGCGACGCCCAGCCCCAGACTGGAGCTGTCGTCGACGACGGCGATGCGCTCGAACGTCTTGTGGATCGCCTCCTTCCGGCCATGTAGCGTCTTCCAACGGAAGGCGAGGCTGGTGACAGTGTGCAGCTCTCGACGCGTGAGGTAGCTGATGGGGCGGGGCCTGCCCGTCGCAGGATCGACGTAAGTCGTCTCGTGCGTGAGCTGATCTGATCGATGAGAGTAGAGGAAGGGCACCTCGAGGCGATCGAAGAGGACGTATTCGAGGACCAGACGGATGGCTGCGAGCCACGGCTGTCGGAGGTGGAAGAACATGCCGCCAGGAGCGTTGAACTCGTTGCTGCAGCGGTTTGAGATTCGAGACGAAACCCAGAGCGTGGCTCGGTCGAGATCGCTGCTCTCGATGGGAGCCTCTAAGAGCTTGAGACCTTCGTCGCCAGGGAGTGCGAGCTGGAAGCGCTCCGGCCAGTCGATGTGCTTGACTCGTTCGTCTGCCTCGGTGAGCATGCGCTCTTGAATTGCTGCAGGCTCGAAGACGTCCTTAAACTCGACCTTCTTCTTGCCCATGCCGTCCAAAGGTGCGCCGTCTTCATCAACCATTTCTTCGTCTTGGTCCGCCTCGTCTTCAGACAAATCACCCTTCTTGAAGGCCCATGCATAGTCCTGGCCATCGCCAAAGATGTCGTTGATCTCCTCCCAGGCGTCCTCGTCGATACCCGCTTTGTTGGGATCGAGTCCACCTGCGAAACGTCCACGACCTGCTCTCCTGGCAGCCTTCTCTGCCTTCTTTCGCTCCCTCTTCTCTCGTCGGCGCTCCTCTTTCTCCTCTTCATCCATGTCGGCCATGGCTTCGGCGTCATCACTGTCATCATCGTCGTCGATGAAGTCATCCATGTCGTCTTCAGGGTACATGCCAGGAGGTGCGGCTCTTGATGTCGGCTGACCGGCGCGAGGACCCGACTTTTTCTGGCCGGCTGATCGGCGAATGACTTCTGCAGCGGAGGGCATGTCCTCGTCCTCGTCTTCGTCATCGACGGCCATGCGGCGGGAAGGAGCAGGTGCGCGATCGTCATCGTCATCGTCATCGTCTTCGAAGATGCGGGCGAGATCGCGTCGGTTGCGTGAGGAGCCCTCGGGCTCTGGCGAAGCAGATCCTCTACGGAAGCGCTTGCGCTGTGTGGGGAGGAGCGTGTGAGCTTGAAAGGGGCAAAGGGTGGATATGACAATGTCTTTGCTGTTCTCACCTGCTGCCTCCTGTTCCTGCCGGTGTTCTCTGCGACGAGGTCCAAGTCATCCTCATCGAGCCCATCATCCTCATCTTCCTGCTGTTGCTTCTTCTTTTTCCTGAGCTTCTTGACCCTCCTCTTCTTCTTTCTCCTCTTCTCCGCTTCGTCATCGTCGCTCTTTTCCTCGTCTTCCGTGTCGTCGACGATGAATCCCTCAGCGATGAGCCTTGCTTCTTCAGGGTCGTCCTCTTCCTCCTCACTCGAGTCACCTTCATCACCAGACCCAAAGACATTACCACCCTCTCGCATCAGGTCGACTCCATCATCATCGTCCTCTTCTTCGTCCTCTTCATCGTCGTTGATGACACCATCTCCTGGCCTGCGCTTTGGCTTCTCAAAGCCACGTTGAGGAGGCGCCTCTGATGCCGAGTCGGGCGATTGAGGTTGTTCAACTTCGCCTCCGCCTTCCTCGTCGTCCTGGAATTGGCGGGTGGGGAAGTCTGCCGGATCCTCATCCATGATGCAGAATGAAAGAGGATGACAAGAGTGAGAGGTGTACTTCGCTCGTCACTGGGTGGAAATGAATGCCCCAGTGACCAATTGAGCAGAAGTGAGGTTGTGTTGTCGTTGGGAGGGAAGAGGAGAAGACGAAGCGGCAGACGACGACGACGTCAATCCTGCCTGCCACGCGCGCCGCTCGTTGAGCCCCCAGACGGAACTGGCTCACCAACTCGGGGTGGATGCCGACGAGAGTCACAGCAGCCACATCGTCCTCATCATCTACGATTGATCTCCAACACCACGAAGATAGCCTGAGCAGCGCAAGCCCAAGATGGCAGCAGGTCTCAAGAGTGAGTTGCGCAATGCCAGAGAGAGGACGTGCGACTAGAATGCAGGCCTATTGCTGACCATCCCCATGTCATGCAGCTATCATCCTGCTCAGCTTTGTGCTAGCCGTGGGCTTCCTCCTCGTCATCCTTTCTTGTGCACTGTGGGCCAACTGGCTACCGTTGCTAGTCGGTGAGTGCGACGTCTCATCGTCCTGACCATCTTATCCCGCAGCGAACTAACGCAGCAATGGCACTTTGCCCCGCCTCCGCCTCGACTAGCGCTCCTCTACGTCCTCGCTCCTCTGCCCAACAGCATCTGCGCCAAGTGTGCAGGAGCTGATGACTTCTCAGCAGACTACAACAGGTGAGTAGACGTCGGTGAGGCCTAAGGGTCATCGTCACCGCCAATTGCCTGCTCACCACCAATCATCCTCTACCCGCTCCGTGTCCATCGCCCGACCTCCACTCACGCAGCTCCTTCCTCGACTTTGGCAACTGGCTCACGTCCGTCATGGTCGTATCAGGCTTTGCGCTGCCCGTCACACTGGCTCACTCGGGCGTCATCCACTCGATGGCCTGCATCATGTCCATGGTTGGCGGCGGGCTCGTCTATGGTACCAGTGAGTCGCAGCACTGACGAGGACAAATGTTGCGGCATGTCGTTGTACTCACTCCCTCTGTCTCTCTCCCGGCCCAATCGCATGCAGTCCTGACGTACTCTGGCTTCTTCAGCGAGGGGCAAGACGACTACTTCTGATGGGCAAAGATACCATGCATTCCTTCTGTTGTCCCGCTCCTCTTCGTCCCCTGGTTTCGTGTCAATAGCATTGCAGTCCCGATCCATCGCCACCAGCACACTACCTAGCACGGGTCCACTCAGCGGCTTCCTATGGTCAATGTCGTCGCGTGTCATATCGAGCTTCTCCCTGTGCTGGCAGCGACGATGCTGCGAATGTAACGTACTGCTGGGCGGCCTGCCGTTCCGTAGCCTTGCCCAGCGGCGGCCGCCTCATTTGCCGGTCCGCGTCGCGAGCCGCGTCTTCGAGCGGGTTGGACGAGCTCGCGCGAAATCCAATCCTCGAGTTGAGAGATGTCGTCAGCTGTGTTGCTCTCTCCTCAGCTACAAGTCCTTCATCTATTCGCGGCTTGTTTCCAGACCATCATTCACCTTTACCCCTGCATTCCCTCAGACGGCATCACAACATCCATAGCAGCACATGCAGCTCGACCAAGACACGCCATAGACCAGCTGCACTCCCTTCCTCTCACTAGCACAGAAGCAAGCGCTTCCCTGGTCCTCGCCCCAGAATGGTCCTCGTGCACCTTCCCACCTCTTCAACCTCCAGCAAGCCCCTGCCGTCAACAGCGAAGGACTACTCGCACGCCTACTACCACATCCTCCGATGCGCGAGAAGACAGTCAGCCACCTCGTCCGCTGCAGCGGGGGCTGTTCTTATCCTCGTAGCAACTGACGTCGACGCCCTCTGCGCTGCGAGAGCTCTGGCCAGACTGCTATCTGAAGATGAGATCATGTATCGCATTGCGCCCGTAGATGGATTCAGAACACTTCAGCGGATCGTTCAAGAGGATGTTGTGGGCAATGAGGATGTGAGTGCGCTCCGCTCCAAGGCTGCACGATGACCATCATGGCGCTGCTGATGCTGATGCTGATAACCTCATCCTCTGCCTCTCTCTTTTTCTCCCTCGCAGCTCCACTCGCTCATACTCCTCAATCTGGGCTCTCTGCTCTCCCTTCCATCCTACTTTGGCCCCGAAGCCCTACCACTCCCACCGTCAGCCAATGTCCACCTCATTGACTCGCATCGCCCTTGGAACCTCGACAACCTCTTCGCGACCAATGAGATCATGGACAGGCTCTGGGTATGGGATGATGGAGATATTGTCGCCAGAATGCAGAAGGAGCGCGAGGCGTACGAGACGCTCGAGTTCGAGGTGGACACCGACGAGGAGGAGGACGAAGATGATGATGAGGACGACAGCCAAGAGGCCAGCAGTGGTAGCGAGAGCGAGGATGGCGATCCTGACGACCTCGACAGCCCCTCAGGCAGCAAAAGGCGGCGTGTACGCACCATGTCGGCCAACGGCAGTCAGCTGGGCGACGATGAGGATAACGATGACGAGAGGGGAGGAGGACGATCACGCGCGTCTGCTAGCCGTTCTCCACCCCCACGTCGCCGGCGACATCGCAAACGGGTATCCCGCTCACCTTCAGAAAGCAAGAAGGTCTCTCGCGAGCAGAAGGACATCTATCGTGCCATCCTCGCTCGTTACTACAATCGCGGCACAGGTCTAGGTATGAGCGTCGCAGGCATGCTCTTCGTCCTGGCCGAAGCCCTAGGCAGAGCAGAGAACGAGGGTCTTTGGCTCGCCATCCTTGGTCTCACATCGCAGTACCTCACAAATTCGATCCCTTCCGACTTATACGATGACTACGCCACTGGCCTTGCGTCGGACGTCATCGCTCTCAACCCACCAGTGGCCAGCACCTCTGGCCAAGCCGCCAATTCCCATCTGCCGAAGCCAGCATCGGCAGACGACGGCCGCATCCGTGTCATCAACGACGAACTCCGCTTCACCCTCTACCGTCACTGGTCCTTGGAGAGCGCTATGTATCACACCCCCTACGTGGCTGGCAAATTAGGCATCTGGCGGGAAAAGGGTCTCTCGAAGATACGCGGGCTTCTGGCAAAGATGGGCTTCAGCCTCATTCACTCGAGGCAGCACTATAACAACATGCCGCTTGATTTGCGGAACAGTCTCACGGAGAGATTGGAAAGCATTGCCCCCGAATATGGACTGACGGATCTGGTCCTCAAGTCTTTCGTCCGCAGCTTCGGGTATCGGTCGAATCCGCTCTCCGCTATGGATTCCGTAGAGGGCTTGAATGCATTGCTGGTTGCGGCGACAGGACTGAGGGTGGAGGTGCAGGACGAAGCGCTCACCTTCACCGGCGCAGCGCCAACGAATACGGATCGAGGAGCATACCGCGGGCAGGGCACGCCCATCACTTCGGAGCTCTTTGGCGCAAAGAGGATGTGGAGCGTAGGCGGCGGAGGCAACAGTGCTGGCGATGGCAAGGAGAATCGCGCTCCAGGCGCAAATGGCGCCACAGGATCATCAGCAGACAACGGTGGGGACGCCAGTCTCGACGACGCAGCTCTTACAGCCCCGGCTGCGCAAAGCGAGACCTGGTCTCGCAACTTCTTCATTGCCTACTCTGCACTTGAGTCAAAGCGGTCTGCCTCCCTCCAGATGCTCAACTCTTCGCTCAGCCTGGCTCGCTCCCTCCATTCAGCCATTTTGGACGTTGGAACTTCCCTCATCGACAAGCAGTCCATTCGCTCACTCAAATCTTTCCGCCTCGCCATCCTGCGTGACGGCCCGCATTTGGACATCTTCTCGACTCAGCCGGCGATGCTTACCAGGCTGGGGCTGTGGCTGACAGACGCATTGAGGGATATCGTTAATGAGCAGGAGAGGAGGAAACAGGAGGCGAAGAAGGCGCGCAAAGCAGAGAAGAGGAGTGGACGCAAGGGCGCTTCTAGCCGGGACGAAGACGAGGAGGACAACTCTGCCGCAGGTCTTCAGTCCCTCCCCTTCGTCCTCTGTGCCCTCAACGCTACACGGGATCTCTATCTTGTCGTGGGGCTCATCGGCTCGCCCGACTTCGGGGATGTACAGCGTAATCGCTTTGGGCTGGCTTTCCAGGATGCGATTCGCAAGAGTGGGGCGAGGGCGAGGAGCGAGGGGTGGTTTGATACTACGGCGGTCGAGATTCGCAAAGAGGACTTGACGCCGTTCGTGGAGAGATTAGAGTTGAGGTCGTAGTGCGGGAGGGTCTATCATTCATTCTTCTGACTGTGTAATGGTCATTGGCATTGCATCGATGTAGTCCACTCACGTTTTGACCGTCTTCGGAGTGGGGCGACGCGTCGTAACGCCCGTCTTGGCCCACCCGTCGAGGCCGGGTAAAGCCGACGCAGCAGGATCAGCCAGCAGGGGAGGTCCGTTTTCCCGAGGTCAAGAGGTCCGCTCGCGAGCCTGTATGGGTGTAATCATGCACTCGAGTCAGATGTCGATGGTCAGCATGCCTGTTGGACCGTCAACTGACGTCTAGTGTAACCTTAACCGGCCGGCTATCTGCTGCGCTAGTGATGAGCCAAGCCAACTCGGGGAGGGAGAGATGGAGATGTCGGACCACTTCTCGTAACATCTTCTCAGCAGATAGATTCGATTTGAGCGACTGCTTGCTGTACCTGATGCCGCGATTGATCGATAATTGAATGGGCGTAGCGCTACCATACCGTGATCCCCGCTGGTCATCGTGAAGCAGCATGAGAGTGAAGCGCCCTCGCCGTGATGTGCTGCTCTGGCCTAGCCACTCGAGTCGGAGGGAGGGGGCACGGCCTCGTCGTCGACGCTCTCCCAAGCCACGATCACCCCTTGGCAGCGGGACGGCGGCTAGGAGAGAAAATCGGCGTGCACATCGACGATCGCAGCTCACACGCTCGCACGCCTGACTTGGCCTTGGCCTGACCTGACTTGCTTTTTGGCCCGCTTCGACTCGACTTGACTCGGGCGACAGACGACAGACAGCGCTCAGCACCAGCTGAGCTAGAGAGAGCCTGCTCTTTTCCCCTCCGACGGGCAGATAAACGGGAAAGCAAGCGGCAGTCAGCAGCAGCCGACAAGCAGTCGACCAGCAGCAGCAGCGAGTGAGCGATCTCAAGTTCTATTGGTTCTTGTCGCTCCTGCACTGCACTCGAGCTCGCTTTCGAGCTCGCACTCTCGCACGCACTCACGCACAATCACCCGGCGACGTCGACGTCGACGTCGACGACAGCCAAAGACAAGGACATCATCGATCGATCGGACATCATCGCATTTGACGTACACGCCGCTTTGACCCGCCAGTGGGGAAAAACCGGTCCGGTGGATCGCTTTGCTTCTCTCTCACCTCTCTATCCATTCTCATCATCTTCATCTCGTCTCGAGCACTGTACCTTGCGGCGCCCCTCCTTCTTTCTCGATCAGGCGTCGTGCTGATTCCATCTGGCGCCGACAAAGTGACGAGGGCAACTCGACTCCCGATCGCGTCGTCGATCGATCTGGCCAGATAGCGCCGACATTCGGTCGTCATCATCGTCATCTGCGCCTGGGCGGGCGCTCACCGGAGCGAGTAGCTCATTCTAGTCCACTTGATCCCAGCGAAGGGAGATAGGCGATCAGCTCGGCATCGTGTCGTTCTACTCGTAGTCACCATTATCGGCGCTCGTCAAAGGCAGCTACCGCATCGGCCCTCGCCGTGCGACGATGGTGTCTTACGACCATGAGCCCCCGGCTCAGCAGCATCACAGCTCGTCAGGCGATCCGTTCATCTTTGGCAGAAGATCAATGATTATGGGCCAGCCATCCTCATCCTCAACCTCATCGTCGTCCATGCCTGTCGGCTACCAAGCTCGTCATCATCAACAAAACCAGCCTCCTCGCGATGAGCAGCCGCGCCCATACCAAGGGCCAAGCGCGCCATTTCCCCTGCCGACTAACAAGCGGTCCCTTGGAGGTCTGGCTGCGCTCGACGAGCACGAGGGAGCCAATGTCATGAAGTCACTGTTCGGAGAAGGCAGAGCTCAGCCGGCGCCTCTGGGCAAGACGCGATGCTACTGGGCACTCCTGTCATATCACTCGAGCTCGGACAACCCATACGACATGACATTCGTTTATTGTGATCCTGTCCTCCAGAGTCATCTGGGTACAGAGGCTGATCACATGCTGGTGAGTGCCACAGCGCAGAGATCATCAACGCCTTCCGCCGGCTGTATGCTCACTCATCTCTGTCCCGTGCCGGCAGGGTAAGAGCTTCTTCGATTTCGTGCATCCCTCAGAGAAGGACAGGGCCAAAGACGACCTACAGAACATCGTCTCAAGCAGGACACTCTTTGGCTCCGTCACAAGATGCCGTTACTGGCGCGTCCCTGCCATTCGCAAGTTCTTTGGCAATCCAAATCCGCCCATAGCACCCGAGAGCCACATGTACGTGGAGGACGATCTGTACCTGCCCATCGACGTTGTTCTCAACATGGTCGGCGACTCCCTCGCCCTCTGCTTCTTCCATGCCATCATCAACAAGTCGATCATGGACAATAGCGAGACGGACAAGACAGATTGGACCAACTGGTGCGGTACGGCGCGCGAGCTCTTCGACATCGAGCAGTGCAATAAGCTGTGGTCCTCCGTCGTTGCCCAGCAGCTCAACAAGAGGAGACAGGACGAGCCAGCTGCGCCTCCGTATGTCTTCCAGATTCTGTCAATGCCCCATGCCCCCACTGCAGCGCCGGGCTCATTATCGCCATCGTCTGCACGACCCAACGAGAGCCCCGAGATTCTCTTCTCGTGGCCGCCGCCGAGACTGTACCGTCAAGAAGCAGCAGTGGGCAGCCGGCGAGACGAGGAGCACTTCCACCAAGCGTTCGAGGACGGAAGCTACTTTGCTGACGACTTCGCCGGGCTGGCCGTCAATGTTCAAGCGTCGCCCTCTGCGAGGACGGAAGACGGCAGCACGGCAAGAAATGGTGACCCAGGTACAATCCAAGATGGCACCAACACCTCATGCACTCGACGCTTCAGGGCCAAACACACGCTCACGAGTGAGGGTATGCTGCGAGCAGTCGAATCTGTTCTAGTCCCCTATGGCTCCATCATGTTCGCGTGCTTCTCGACCACGTATCAGCAGACGATTCAGCATCAGCAGAACCGCAGCACACCGAGCTGGGCCCATCATACGGATCATGCTTTGACGCAGACGCCTCAGAGCTTGTCAATTGGCGCTGATGGCCCCCCTCGCAAGAAGACGAGGGACATACACCACTCCCCGCCCGTACCGTCAACGTCCTCTCTTCAGACTCCTTCTCATTGGATGCCGGCCGGCAATTCCGGCTCAGTGCATGACGCCGAAGGCTCCAGCTACTTTCCTCACAGCCATCTGCCTCGCCTTCACGGCCACGGGCATAGCACAGATGCCTCTACCTCGTCTGCTGACCAGCAGCCTGCAGAACGACCGTACTGGCCGCGACCGCCGTCGCCGGACACTGATAGCAAGGATGGAGTCCTGGCCCAAGTACCAACATCATCCAGCAACAGCAGGCCAATGGAGATTGACCTCGCAAACAGTACAGATCCCGTAATTATGCAAGCCACGGCAGCAGCCTCGCTCTTTGCGGAAATCAATCCGGAGACGGGCGAGAAGCGATGCACGAGCTGCGGGACGAGCAACAGTCCAGAATGGCGCAAGGGCCCGACAGGGCAGAAAACGCTATGCAATGCCTGTGGTCTGCGCTTCTCGCGCTCCATCAACAGGCAGTCAAAGAAGGAAGAAAAGGCTAGGAAGCAGGCAGCGGCGCAACAGGCGGCCATTGACGTGCTCGAGGGGCGAGCTGTGATGAAGCAGAAGCAGCCAGGAAAAGGAGCCGGAGGTACGAATACATCGATGTCCTTGCCTGCTGCTCAGGCTTTGTACGCTCAGCAGGCACTGGCAGGGGAGCAACCCTTCTATACGGGTATCGCCCAAGCAAGGCCGTCGGAGCCAAGTGCCAGAGAGGGCGCAGGAGGAGCAGGCAGCGGTCATCAGCAACGTCACTCACATGACGGAACGATGCCTCCTCATGGTCATCACGACGCGCGAGCCGCTACCGCGCATCATTCGCATCCTTCGGTCACGCATCACCACGAGCACCAGCACCAAGGCCCCTACATGCTGCATCATGGTCCACCACCGGCGCTGTCCCATGCACATCAGCAGCCTCACCAGCATAATCAGCAACATCAGCAGCCTATGAATGGCTTTGGTATGGCCCCGCACAGCCAAGGGCATGGACCCCTGCATCCTCCCTTCCGTCCCTACTAGGCCCTCTTGTGACGACTTTACCGTGGTGTTTGACCCGCCTCGCCTCCTGACTTGCTCTCCCGGATCCATCGCACCTTCACCGACACATGTAGAGCAAATTGTATACCACACTCTCGTTTATCTGACCTGCGGCCCGTTGAGCCTTCGTGGCGACTTCAACTCGCCGTCTTTGTCTTGTCTCGGTCATGATCCATTCTCACGGTCCCCTGAGGGCTGCCAAACATGTACTCAACCCCACTTCAGTAGGCGTGTGGAGCTAAGGCAAAAGACTGCGAGCGCACAGCCTCACTATGTCGCGGACCTCGCTCTTCCACAATATGATCCATCCTCCCGCCTGCCATAATTTGCAGTGGTGTTCGCATCTTGAAGGTAGCGCGGCAGGTCCTTGGCCGTCGGCCTCATTCCCGTCGGGCGCTCTGCAGGGCACTGCTCAGTCGTGACTCGACGCTCATTTTGTTCAGCCTCTTTGCTACCACATCTTTCCCCGCTCATCACTGGCGTGTGTCTGTTGTTCTCGCGGCCCTGTGGCTGGGCGCGAAAAGGGTCCAGCATCAGGAACGTCTCGCTGGACTGGACGGGCCGCGTCGTCCTCGTCCGTCCGTCTCTGCGCTGCGCCCCACCGCCGTTGCCGCCGCCGCCAGCTCCACCGCAAAGATGGAGGGCCCGCGTCGTCGACGAGCCAGAATTGGACTCGACGCTGCTTGGCTGAGGCTGAGGTGGCAGGATCCAGCTTCGTCATCCCAATCGTCAGACCTTGCTTCCCTTTCTCTTTGCTTCCCAAACCACCAAGACTTCGCCACAGCATTGCGAAGGTCACCTCGAGCTTCGCCTCGTCGATCGTCTCGTCCTTGTCACCTACGCTCCTTGAAGGCCTTTTGTACCCCAGTGACACACACGCCCGCAGCCAGCGTTCAATCGACTGAGCGCAACAGCAGCAGCAGCATCGTTAACGAAGATTAGCAGCTTGGCCCGACCCGCCAATCTCACTGCATCACCACCGCATCATCCCATACGATCCTTTCCATCCCTTTCTTGCCTCAACGTGACGACGACGACGACTTAGGACGCATCGCCGAACTCGAGAAGCTACTTAGTACACGCATCTCGACGCCACACCGTCGCGCTCCTCGTCGGCATCTCGTCCCCTCCTCCAACACCAACACTACCAACACCACTTCGACCCCGCACCCGACGCGCGCACAACTTCACCATGTCGGACGCAGAAAAGAGCAAATCTAGCAATGCCGGTCGCGGCCAGCAACAGCAGCGAGGCTCTGGCGCATCAGCACATGCTCCCTCTCGCTCCGTCAATGCGGCCTCTCCACCCGCGGGCCGTCGCGGCGGCAGCAACCCGTCCGCAACCTCTGGACCTCCTCGACGAGGCCATCAGAGCCAGTCGTCGCTAGGCAGTGCGCCCGGCCAGGCTGACCCTTCGCAAGCCATGAATCATCTTCAGCATCTCATTCAGGTGAGAGCATCGTCGCATTATCAGCCTTGTCACTCCGCGCTCATATCTCTCCTTCGCTCATCTGCTAGGACATGAAGGTCCAGCAGCAGCCAGGAGGCTCTGCCGCTGCCTCGTCTGCCTACAGAGCAGGCGAGAGGGACGCTCAAGCTGGCCTATCTGCCCTTGGCGATCGCCTCGCTGCCCAAGAGGAGCAGCTCCAGACTCAGCTTCAGCAGCAGCTCAACCTCCAGTCTCTCTCGTCGCGCCCTGGCGCACTCGCTAGCGTAGGAGAGCACGCCGAGATGGGCAACGAGGGCACACAGCAGCCGCCAAGTAGTGGACGTCAAGGTGGTGCTGCACCCCGTTTCGCAGGCAACGCCGCCTTTCAATCAGCCATGGCCCGTCACTCACAGTCAGGTCGCAGCCAAAGTCAAGACATGCGCTCTTCTCTGGCTCATCAGCGACAGCTCAGCCTTCAAGGTAGATTCGCAGAGCTAGGCTACACTCCGGCGGCCATGGGCAATCTCGGTACGATTGCAGGAGGCGACTACGAGGACGGCACGACTGATGACGGCAGCTCCGTGGGCGACTTCATGGGAGCTGGAGGCTTCGATCCCACCAGGCAGTCATTCACGCGCGGCCATATGCCCCACGCCAGCGTCCCGTCATACCCCACCTCTCAAGACTACGTCGCCGAGCAGCTGGCTCTCCAGCAGCAGATCGAGATGCTTCAAATTCAGCAGCAGCAGCTTCTCCAGCAGCAGGTCCAGTTTAATCCGTCGGTACAGATGGGCGGGCAGCCGCAAGTGGACAGGCCCAGCCATCACGGCATCAGTGGCATGGCAGGCCATCGTCGTATCCAGTCGCATGCTCCTCAGCTGAATGCTCTCCACAATTTCAACGCGGGCGGTATTGGCAGCATTGGCTCGGTCTCCAACCAACAAGCACCGGCAGCTGGACGTGGCCACAATCGCCGCCACTCGACCAACGTCGTCAAGGCTGGCGGCGCTACTGGAGCAGGCGCGGCCGACTTGTCTTTGAACCTCGACACAGCCCCCCTGATGCAGCCCAACATGGGCTTCTCGTTCCCCAACACAGCCTCCCTTCAGCAGCAGCAGCAAATGCCCGCGGCTGGTCTTCCTACTGCTGCCGGTTCTCAGCGAGGCATCGGGCACGTGAGCCACCCCTCAGTGCAGCTCGCCTCGACGCTCTCTCCCGAATACCTCATGGCTGGTGGCGGCCTACTTAATCTGAGCTCGCTCACGACCACCGGCACCGAGCTCGCCGACGGCTTCAGCGCTGGACGAGGAGGTGGGCATGGCCGTACAGGCAGTCAGAGCTGGCGCATCAATGGCGCGCCGGGCCCCGCTCCCGTCGCGGACCTCGCGCAAGCACAAGCTCAGCTCGCCTCTCTCCACCAGTTCCGTACACAGGCTGGACCAGGCGGAGGCGGACACGCTAAGCAGCAATCTTACAGCGGCGCAGGTGGCTTCCCGCCTCATCTGATGGGCCAATTCAGCCCAGCTGGCGGCTTCATGCCTCCAGGCCAGCAGCAGCAGCACCAAGGCGGTGGTGGTGCTACCCAGCGCAAGGCTCTTTTCGGATCCTATCTGCCCCAGGCTTCGCTCCCCCCGCTCCTCGCCGCAGGGAAGATCGTCGTCGGTCAGATTCGCGTCGACAAGCGCAACCGCTCGGACGCATACGTATCGACCGAGGTGCTCGAATCAGACATCTATATTTCAGGCTCGCGCGACCGCAATCGGGCTCTATCTGGCGACATCGTAGCCGTAGAGCTGCTCGACCCGCAGGAGGTCTGGCTCAGCAAGAAGGCGAAGGAGGACAAGAAGAAGTACAAGGAAGAGCAAGGCGCTATCAGTCGTAAGCCTGACAAGGCCAAGGATGACGTCGAGGTCGAGGGAGCTCAGCTTGGACTGATCACGGATGAGGAAGATACGGAGCAAGCTCCGCCCGCATTGGCTGGTCACGTCGTCGCTATCGTCGAGCGTACGCCCGGCCAGCTCTTTTGCGGTACCATTGGCTTGCTTCGACCCTCATCTGCCGCGACCAAGGAGAAGCAGCAGGCTGAGCGGGCAGCTCGAGAGGGCCCCGGTGCAGCGGCCGGCGACGATGGACAGTCGCAGCAGAGGCCCAAGATTGTGTGGCACAGACCCCTCAACAAGACAACCCCTCTCATTGCTATTCCTGCTGACCAGGCTCCTGAGGCATTCTGGGAACCCGGAGGACAAGAGAAGTATGCCTCAATCATGGTCAGCGTCGCCATCAAGCGCTGGCCTATTACGTCGCTTCATCCTTTCGGCACGCTTATTGAAGAGATTGGCGTTATGGGCAACGTCGAGGCCGAGACGCAGGCCATCCTGCAAGACAATCTCTCGTCGGCGACGGAAGAGTTCTCGGAGAGCGCTCTCAAATGCGTGCCTCCTTCTCCCTTCACGATCCCTGAGCGCGAGTATGAGGTCAGACGCGACTTCCGCCAGAGTTGCGTCTTCACCATCGACCCATCGACGGCCAAGGACCTCGACGACGCCGTGAGCGTGACACACCTGGATGGCGGCCTCATCGAAGTCGGCGTCCATATCGCTGACGTGTCACACTTTGTCAAGATGAATTCAGCCCTCGACCGCGAAGCTCGCAAGCGCTGCACTTCCGTTTACCTTGTCCAGCGAGCTATTCCTATGTTGCCGCCCAGGCTTAGCGAGGAGCTTTGCTCGCTCGTCCCCAATGTTGAGCGTCTCTGCTTCTCGGCCGTATTCGTCATGAACAAGGACGCGCGCATCATCGGCAACTGGTTTGGTCGCACCATCATAAAGTCTTGCGGCAAGCTGGCGTACAGTGATGCGCAGTCTGTCATCGAGACTGGCTCCCTACCCGATGAAGTTGGCATTGAGGGTCCTCACACCCGTGAGAAGGTTGCTGAGGACATCACGACTCTGCATCAGCTGGCCAAGATCATGCGCGAGCGTCGCTTCGACGGCGGAGCCCTCAAGATCAACAATGTCAAGCTCAACTTCAAGCTCGACGACGATGGGCTTCCCATCGATGCTTCGGTGCACAAGGGCCAAGAGGCGAACCAGCTGATCGAGGAGTTCATGCTCGCAGCCAATACAGCCGTCTCTCAGCGCATCGCGGCCGGGATGCCCGACCTGGCATTGCTGCGTCGCCATGGTGCACCCATCGAGCGTCGCCTCAAGGGCTTTGCTCGTCGCGCCAAGCAGATGGGCTTCGATATCGACGTCTCTTCTGCCGGGGCCTTGTACGCTAGCCTGGAGAAGATCTCAGACCGCAAGAGTCGCTTCGCCCTCGAGTCGCTCGCTACCAAGGGCATGCTGCGCGCCAAGTACTTCTGCGCGGGTATGACAGACATCTCCAAGTTTGGGCACTACGCGCTCAATGTTCCCGTGTACACGCACTTCACCAGCCCGATTCGTAGATACGCGGATGTCATGGTTCACAGGCAGCTCGACGCCGTGCTCAGCGGTGCGTCCTCGTCTTCATCCTCGTCGGAGAGCCCGAGCATCAGCAAGTTTCCCATCGACCGCGAAGGCATGGCCAAGATCGCCCAGCAATGCAACGTCAAGCGCGACGCGGCCAAGGCTGCTCAGGAGGCCTCTCAGCACCTCTTCCTCTGCCTTATGATCCACGATCTCACGATGCGTTACGGACCCGTCGTGCGCGAGGCAACCGTCGTCGGCGTACTGGACGCGGCCTTCGACATCGTTGTGCCGGAGTTTGGCATTGAAAAGCGCGTTCATGTCGACCAGATGCCCATTCAGCACCATACGCATCAGGAACACGACAATTCTCTCAGCGTTTACTGGAGGCAGGAGGTGGACACTATCCAGTGGCTGGCAGAGAGCAGCGACGATGCGAGCGTCAAGGCACTTTGGCAGGCAGCGCAGAGGGCGGCGGCAACTAGCAAGTCTGACAGCGCAGCGCCAGCTATCGATGAGTCCATGCAGACGCAGAGAGATGATTCTGCTCTCTTTGAGGACGACGACGATGACGACGACGGAGACGCTGCTGGCTTCGCCTCGGCGCATGCAAAGGGCAACGGTGCCATCCGTCCTCGTGTCGACGCTGCTACGTCGGCGCAGCATTCCAAGAGCAAGTCGACTGTGTCGGGTCAAAAGCTTACCTTTGAGGGATTGAGCGAACCTGGTGCGGGGCATCATAAGGTGCAGACGGTTCGCATTCTGCAGACTATCCCGGTTGTCATTTCGGCGACGGTGGGGAGCAAGAGTCCGCCTGTCCTGACTGTATTCGCGGTGAACCCATATGCTTAGGCGCGAGAAGGAGGAGGAGGTGGAGGAGGATATCGGTAGGAGTCAGAGATACACGATGACGTGGGTCGTCGCTTATCTATCATCACATCGTATCGCGACCGCCATCACAACAATTGCCTCTTTGTCATCATCATCATTATATAGCGTCGCCCAAAACAATCAATCCCAATCTCATCAAATACTTCTGAGGGCGAAGAGGTCAGATCAGCTCAGACGAGACGTTGTCTTCCGCCCGTTCTTGAGTCCGCCTGAGACGCGCCTTGGACCCTGATCCACCAGCGGCGTCGGCCTGTGCAGGTCCGCTTTTGCCGACGCATGAATTCATCGACTTGTTGTCCTGTTCCCCACTCCCTCTTGCTCATTCATAGAATCTCCCTTACATAGAGCATCCCACCAAGGGCAGTGGGGCCCACAAATATCATGTCCCCCCCATCATCGCCCTCGTCATCGCCGCCATCGCAGCCCTCATCGTCCACGGAGCTGACAGGTCGCGCCATCCTCATCGGCCTCATCGTCGGCTCACTCCTGTGCTTTACCAACTGCTACTTCGGCTTGCAGTCATCATGGATCTCCATGAGCTCTATGCAGTCTGCACTTGTGGGCTACGGGCTGGTCAAGCTGCTGCCTAGGACATCGGACGAGGACACAGAGGGGGCAATCGCTTTGCCCAGCGACCAAGGCGAGGACGCGCCGGCATCGCCGTCTTCCCTCTTCTGGCGCTATTTCGGCACAGGTCGCTTCACTCCTCAGGAAAACGTCGTCCTGGCTGCAACAGCAGTCGCATTAGGCTCGATGCCCCTAACCGTCGGGCTGATCGGGATCGTTCCCGCGCTTGCGCAGCTCAAGCCAGAGAGGGACCATGGTGCTCTGCCCGTCTACTTGACCGGATGGCATCTTTTGCTTTGGTGCGCGGCCCTCAGCTTCTTTGGCGTCTTCTTTGCTAGTCCGTTGCGCAAGAGGACCATTGTCAAGGAGAAGCTCGTCTTTCCCTCTGGTACGGCGACGGCGCATTTGGTGGGGGTGTTGCATGGGACCGGGGTGAGGGAAGATAGATTAGCCGCCAGCAAACAGCAGCAGCAGCAGCGACCTGGCCAAGAGGAGAATGGAGCCAACGACGAACAGCCTCTGCTCAATACCGGCGTCAACGAAGAGAATGGCGACCCGCACTCTGCCGTGGTAGGCCAACCGGCCTGGACGGCGCTCATCTGGTCCTTCCTAGCTTCCCTCGCTTTCACCTTCAGCTCAGCACTCTTGCCCGTCCTCTACGTCATGCCTGTCTTTGATGTTCTCCCACCGCACAATCTGGCTCGCGTATGGGGCTGGTATCTCACGCCTTCGCTCTCGTACATAGGGCAGGGGATCATCATGGGGTTGCATACCACGGCTAGCATGCTCGTTGGAGCCATCTTCGGCTGGGCATTTCTCTCTCCACTCGCTCACAACAGCGGGTGGACCGACGCGCCGCCCATGGATGCAGAGTCGGGGAGCAAGGGCTGGATCTTGTGGATCTCACTGGCAATCATGACCGCTGAGTCATTCGTGGGCCTGGCGGTCATCTTCTTCGCCGAAGTGACGAGTCAGAGTATCAGGACATCAAGCAGCGGTGACGACGAGGAAGACGAGCCGTCCTCCCGTCTGCCACCCCCGCGTACAATCATCGTCGGCCTGGCCCTCTCCTCCCTCTTCGCCGTCGGGACCCTCTACGCTCTCTTTGGCCGCGAAGGGATCGAGCCCTATACCACGGTAGTCGCTATTGTCCTCGCATTCGCCCTCTCCGTCCTCGCCGTCCGAGCCCTAGGCAGCACAGATCTCAACCCGGTTGCGGCCCTAGGCAAGATGTCCCAGCTGGTCTTCGCGATACTCCAGCCTCACAACATCGTAGCAAACATGATAGCTGGCGGCCTTTGTGAAGCTGGCGCAATGCAAAGTGGGGAACTACTGCAGACATTCAAGACTGGACATCTCACGGGAACCTCGCCACGCTCTCAGTTCTGGGGACAATTGATGGGGAGCTTTGCGGGTATTTTCGTGTCAAGCTACGCCTACCAGCTCTATACCAAGATCTACACGATCCCCTCGCCGAGCTTCCCAGCTCCTGCAGCGAGTATGTGGTTGAACTTTGCTAGGTTGGTCAACAACGGAGAGGTGCCGAGACATTCGACAGAGTGGATGGTTGGGTGCGGAGCGGTCTTTGCGGTCACAGGGACCATCAAAGCCGTGGCTCAGGCGAGGGCTAGCAAACGCTCAGCGGGTGATCCAGTCGCACCGTGGGAGAGGTGGGCATTCTACCTTCCCTCAGGCATAGCATTCGCTGTCGGGCTGTTGAACACGCCAAACTTCTCCATCGCACGATTCATAGGAGGAGTGGTGAGCCATCTTTGGATGCGCAATATGCCCGGCGCAGGCTCATCAGCGTCGTCATCGAGGATACTGATCATCATCGTCGCCTCAGGCTTCGTGCTGGGAGAAGGTGCGGGAAGCATCATCAACTTGTTCGCCAAGCAGGCAGGCTTGAGACCGCTGTCGTGTGCAGGATGTAGAGGTGGGTGCGGTGGCGGATGCTGATGCGAGGCGCGACAGAGCTAAGATTGGATTGTACCATAGAATAGAGGAAGGACGGAAACGGCTACCGTACGAGCGAACAATCTAATGCCCCACGACACGCAATGCACGTTTGAGTACGTCACATCAGCGTCGCACGATAGAGTTTCTCATCTTGGTCGGCGACTTGGCTTTTGATAGAGCCGATTGGAATCCTTTGAACACCGCCAAGACGTCCCTCTCCACAGCAGTCATGACGTCGTGCGAGTAAAAGCTGCGGCTCAGCGAGCTCATCCTCGTCGTAGCGTCTCCAAAAACACGGTCTCTTGTCGGTGCATCTCAGCTCGTGACCCCCTTCGTTCCTCGCCATCACCATGACTCCTTCAACCCCTTCATCTGCCCCTCGAGCTCCTCGCGCCCAACACCCTCGCTTGGTTGAAGCTGGAGCAGAATGTCTAGCGAAGGAGGAGGCAGGCAGGCAGGCAGGCAGGCAAGGCAGGCAGGGCGGGCGCGTCGTGCGTCTCCTTTCCCCCTCCGCGTCCTCCGCGCCTTGTTGCTCTCTCTTTTGATCGCCGCGCGGAAGCCGTATTTCGATCGAAGCTTCTCTGCTTGCTGCCGATTAATTCGAGCGTCCTACCCTCAAGGGCACCCTGGCGCCAGGGCAGGCCGCCAAGCAAGCAAGCACGAATGAACAGCGAAGAGGTGCGCGGGCTGTGATGCTGCCCTGCCCTGTCGAAGTGGGTTCATTCCGCGACCTAGTTCCTTGTCAACGGGGGATAGGAGAGAGGAAGACAAACAACACCCGCTGGCCAGAGGTTGCGTGCGCGCTGCGCTTAGCATCGGGCATTTTGCTGCGCGCCTGCGTGCCCCCCGGCTGGCTAGCATCTCACCGCTTAGTGAGCTCTTGCGGAGAGGAAGAGGGAGCTACGCTAATGTGTGAAGAAAGGCAGCCTCGTCGAGCAGCGTCAGCGCGACTTCATTGGCAACGGGACAAACATGGACGGACGGCAGAGCTACGAGCTGAGAGGAGAAGAAAGCAGCAGCAGCAGCGGGAGACGCCGGTGAATGAGGGGAAGAACAAAGGCACAGATGCCGCTAGCCGCTCGGCATCGACAGCGCTGGTCCCGCACCTCAAGCTCAGCTCTGGTTCTCGCTGCCGACCATATCCTCGGCTGGCCGCTGTCTTGGATCGTCACTGTTCTTCACTGGCAGCAGGGATGGGGGCAACGAGCTAGCGAACCCTTGGTCCCGCTTTCTCTTTACCATCTCTCCTTTCACCATCTTTGCCCCACCTCCCCTCATCTTGTAGTGTTACCTCCGACAGCAGACTGAGCCCGCCTAACACCTGCGGCGTTCGACCCTCACATCCTCTACGGAACCTCACGCTCTTTTTTGAATCGTACACGACACAACAAGACGACTTTGGCCCTGGCGGCTACTTCGACCGTCATTGCCAGCAGCCACACTTCAGACCAGCACCTTTCTCGCACCCTCTTGACACGCCCATCATGCCCGCGCCACGCCATGCCCTGCTTCCTCTGCTCCTCCTCGTCCTCTCCAGCGCTGTCGCCCTGGCAAACCAGCGTGTCCTCCTGTACACGGCGGTGGCGAACGACGGGTTCTACCATCCCTCGATCCCGGCCGCTGTACGAGCCATGAAACAGCTGGGCGAGGATAACCAAGTGGACATGGTACACTGCAATGACCGCGACGAGTTTGAAGACCTCGACCTCAGTCAGTTCGATGCCCTTGCCTTTGTGAACGCAGCTGGGTCCATCCTCACCAAGAAGGGAGCAGGCCACATGAGGAATTACATCGAGAACGGTGGAGGGTACATTGGAGTGCACGAGGCTTCGTGCGCTGCTACTTCGACCCCCTGGTACCTTCGATTGGTAGGGGCTCAGTTCAGCTACCACCCTGAGATGTCCTCTGCCACCATGGACATTCTCGATCACGACCACCCGTCAACGGCGCATCTCCCTGACCGCTGGGATGTGGTCGATGAATTTTACAACTTCTTCTCAAATCCTAAGGACCTAGGCGCTACCGTAGGCGTCGCCGCGGACGAATCTACGTACTGGGACGAAATTCAGCCGCTGAAGGAGCGCGCCAAGCTGCAGGGGTCGCCTCACCCTATCAGTTGGTGGAGAGAGGGGGAGCTCTTGTCAGCGCCAAAGTCGAAATTGGGCGGAGGTTTGGACAACCTCAGAAAGGACATTCGGAAGGGGATCCAGGGCTCCGGTGGGGCGGGACGTAGCTGGTACACAGGGCTGGGCCACACGTCTGCCTGCTGGAAGAAGGACGACTTCTTGCAGCATGTTTGGGGCGGGCTGACCTGGGTGCTGGACAGCACAACCATTGCGAGCAACCAGCTGCAGCCTGGGCCGGACACTCCTGGCCAGAAGTACAATGGGACGAGCGACCCGCATGTGGGGCGCAATGCTACGAGGACAGGTAGCGCGACGGGCGCAAGCACCAGCCCGGGGCCGAGTGTGAGCGGGGGTGCGCAGAGGCATGCGAATGGGAGCACCAGTGGAGCGGCGCCGAAGTGGGCAGGGCCCATTTCGTCACCATTGGCGGGAATGACAGCGAGCCTGCTGGGTGCCATGGCAATGGCCATGCTGGTGCAGCTCTGCCTATCGTAGGGTGCTGCAGCGACAGCATCACCGCCGGCATGCCGGACTCACGCCTCACGCCAACTTCCGTCGCCTCCCACCTCGACCAATCACTTGTACAATAGGCATCACCAAACACGGATCGCATTACCGAGCACCAGCCCACGACGTCCTTCTTCCTCTCATATAGGCTGGCCTTCCCTCGCTAATCTCTCTCATCTCTCGACTCGCCTCACACCACCAACTCTCTCTGCTTGCTATCGATGCGACGATGCGAGACTGACTGGCTTGACCAGCACGCGGCTTCCTGGGACGCTCGCTACCACATCTTTGCTTTCATGGAACTTGGACGTACGCTGTAAAGCCTTGACCATGATCTCGCCCCGTCATAGCCCGCTTTCTCTTGCTCTCGCATCCTCAGCCTGTCTGTTGAACTTGTAATGCAGCATTCGCCCTCTGATGAATGACTGATAGGTGAACGTAGAGAGGTCGCTTACGAGGCCTTCACTCGCTCTGACGGACGCGTGCCAATCCGCCTCTGCCGCGGTCCGACGTCGAAATTTCCGCCCACACGAGCAACGGTCCCAAATGGTCTGTCCGTCCGCTCCTCAACTTTGCAACTTCCGATCTCGAAGTCCATCTCGTCGTCGACCGGCTCGCCATGGATTACGTCCCAGCGACGACATCAGCATCCGTGCCCAACCAAGGGCCATCAACATCCAAAGCTGGGCCCAGTTCAGAAGCCCTGTACTGGCGTCGTTTCCGCAATCCGACTTTCATCAAGGAATACGCCCCAATCTCACATATCGCCTTCGTTCCTGCGCCGAATGCATTCACGGCTGCTGCGCTCGAGAGCTCTAGTGATCCCAATGGCAGCAGCAGCGTGACTTCACGTCCAGCCGGAGCAGGATACCAGGCTACAAATCAGGCAAGGGCAAGATTCGCCGTAACGACTGGACCGAGGGTGCAGATCTACTCTGCGAGGACAAATCGTGTGCTCAAAACCATCACGCGATTCAGTGATGTGGCAAGAAGCGCGGAGATCAGGGCTGATGGAAGGTTGATCGTTGCTGCCGATGACGGAGGCAAAGTACAGGTGCGTAAGCCCGGATGCCTGAAGGTGATTGTATGCTTTGAGCTGACACTCCTCATCACGCTTTGTCGCGCAGGTCTTCGACGTCAACTCCCGAGCAATCCTGCGCTCCTTCAGTGCACATCGCCTGGCAGCGCACGTAGCGCACTTCTCCCCCAACCCCACAACAATCCTTTCAGCATCAGATGACGCAACCGTTCAACTTCACGACATCCCATCAACCACGACGCTGCGCACCTTCACTGGGCACGACGACTATGTTCGTACTGCCTTGGTCTCGCCAGACAATCCAGACTTGGTCCTCTCGGGATCATACGACCAGACGGTGCGCCTCTGGGACGCGCGAGTGCAGGAAAAGGGAGGCGAGGTCATGCGAATGAGACATGGGGCGCCGGTAGAGAGTTGCTTAGTATACCCAACAGGCGGAGGAGGGGTGGCCGTATCCGCTGGTGGTCCGGTGGTACGAGCTTGGGACCTCATGATGGGCGGGCGTGGTCTCAAAGCCGTCTCCAATCACCAAAAGACGATCACTAGCCTCGCCCTCTCGATGAGCACAGGCGCAGAGGGGCCGGATGTGGGGGCGAGCGGTGGTGGCATGCGTCTGCTCTCAGCGGGCGTGGACGGGCTAGTCAAGGTCTACGACCCAGCAAGAGATTACACCGTCGTGCACACGATGCGATATCCCTCGCCTATCCTCAGCCTGGCCGTCAGCCCGGAAGAGCGCGAACTCGCAGTTGGCATGGCAGACGGGACTCTCTGCGTTCGAAAGCGCGAGGTCAAGAAGGGAGAGGACGAGGCGCGGGCCTATGCACGCAAGGCGATCACGGGCGGAGGGGTCGAGGCCTTTGTCATTAACAACATGGAGGAGGGAGCCGGTGCTGCGGGTATCGATGCGGCTGCGAGGGAAGAAGCTGCAAGGAAGCGCTCCCTTCTCCTTTCAAGGGATGACGTGAGAGCGGAGACGGTGAGAACAAGGCGACTCAAGCCGTACGAGTCGCTGCTCCGATCGTTCCGCTACTCCGAAGCGATTGACGCTTCGCTCGGCCCTGGAGTACCCGCTGCGGCTACCTTTGCTGTGCTTACGGAGCTCAAGAGGAGAGGCGCGCCTGATGATGTTGGTGGGAGGAGAGGAGCAGGTGGGGCTGCTGATGGGCTAGCGAGAGGCCTGGCAGGCAGAGATGACGTCGGGTTGGAGCCCGTGCTGCGCTTTCTGCTGAGGCATGCGGCTAACCCGATGTGGACGGATATCGTTGCTGATGTGCTGGAGGTCGTACTTGGTGAGTAGCGCTCAGAAGGGCACGGCCACGAGTGGCATCAGATGCTGACACGTACCGTCCTCTGGACGCCGCCCGCAGACATCTACTCGTCAACACTGGGCCTTTCGCCGTTGACCGACTCCCTTTTCTCGCGCCTATGGGCAAAGCTGAGCGACGAGGTCAAGCTGCAGCGCCAAGTTGAGGGGGTGCGCGGTGGGCTTGAGATGCTGCTCAACCGAAGTTTGATCGGGAGGTGAGCATGTGATCTGCGGCTCGAATGCAAAGCATTGAAAAGCAAGGTACGCTGCGAGTGCGACTAGTATCCTTCAGTCGCCGGATGGAGACTGTTGGTGAGCCTCCGCCTGTGATCGTCAAGAGGGAGAGTCGTTTTGCCCCGACCTGATCCTCATCTGAGCGACCTCCAGAAGGCTTGGCCACCTCTTTGATTGCGTGCTTGTTGTGCTGCGCCATTGACTGCTCCTCGACTCTCGTATGCTTCGTCCTCTTCGCCATCCTCTTGCATGATGTCCTCGCCCTCCCCGGCAGCGGCGGGTATCGAGCTTACCGGCTCAGGTGCACCACCAAGCCCCTGACCCTGCCCCTGCCCGTCTTTGGGTCCCCAAACTAGACATCCTCTAACATGTGTATCCTTGCCATTTTGGTGATTGGCCAAGACGCTAATTTGAATCATCCAAGTCCAAATTGGCTCCAACCCTCCCGCCTCGCCAAAAAGACGCTTCTGCTCCTCTCCACTCAACTCCTCCTCCTCCATGATACTCCTCGCTGGGCTAGCACCAAGATAGAAATGCTTCCAACCATGTGGCTGCCCAGCTCCTGGGACTCCATCGGGCCCTACAGCTTGTGAGGCATCAGAGTCCCATTGCCTGAAGCGCACCTCGGTCAAATCATGGTAGTCGGTTCCCGCTTCGACTAGGACTTTTGTTGGGGTATAGGAGTCGTCTCGCCGCACATTGAGCCAGAGAGAGACGTGCGTGACAGCGGTACGACGACCAAAGTCGATTGTGATGCGATGTGGCTGTGTACCATCGGATTGCCATAGTTGTTCGAGGTCGGCATCACGAAGCTGGCGGACGCCGTGCCCGGGCTTTTGGCTGCTGAGGGACCAGAGGGTGCCGGGGCGAGAGCCAATCTCAAGTTTGTTGCTGAGATCTGTTAGTGAGAAGGGCGATTCAGACTGAGCCATGAGGAGGGTCAGTGGAAGGGAATGAAGTGAAGGAAATGGGAGCGAGGACGAGTGTTGGTTGTTCTCTCGTCGAGGCGGACAGAGACAAGTCGAGACGCGAGGCGAGGCGAGGCGGAACGGGCGGACGGACAGACGAGGAGGCCTTGAGAATTGAGGCGTGTGGAGAGACTTCAAGTCAAGGTTCAAGTGCTCATCCGCTCTTTACTGACCAACCCATCGTCTCAACATGGCCCATCTACAACGTTCCGTCTTGAGGACGGCCACTGCGGCGCCTTTGGTGGCAAGAGCCTGCTACGCGCCTGCTGCTACGCGCGCCTTTGCGGGTAAGCATCGCCAGCTCCCCCCTCTTACCTTCGGCAGCCGGCTGACCATCTTGCTCTTCCGGTATTAGGCTTTCCACCTCTCCACAATGCACCCAAGCCCACTGGCGAGTCCAAGCAAAGCAGCAGCGGCGATGACGAGTCGGGTCTCCTGCAGCAGATCAAAGATGAGATCAAAGCAGCCATGAAGGGAAAGCAGTCCGACGTGGTATCTACGCTGAGGGTGACTAGCCGCTCCTTGCTCGCTGGTCTCTCTCCCTCCGCTCACCACCTTTCTTCTCCCGCTCACCCCCACAGTCACTTCTCTCCGACCACCAATATGCCCTCAAGGCAGGAGGAGGTGCTGTGACTTCCCTCGCCTCTATCCTCCAGAAGGCCATCACCCGCCGCAAGGACTCTGCTCAACAGTATACGGACGCTAAACGCCCCGACCTCGCAGAGAAGGAGCACTCCGAGGCGTCGCTGATTCAGCGCTTCCTGCCTAAGCAGATGGACGAGTCCGAGCTCAAGACTATCGTGGAACAAGCGGTCAGCGCTGCTAGGGGACAAGGGATTGAGGCGAAGAAGTTGTTGGGCGTTGTGATGAAGGAGGTGCGCGGAAGGGTGGGAGGGGGAGCAGAGGGTAAGAGATTGAAGGAGATTGTGGAGAGGGTATTGGGGGATAGTGAGGCGGACAAGGGAAACAAGAAGTGAGCAAGAGGCAAGAGAGTGTAGGTAAAGGAAGGAGATCGCAAAGAAACAAGGAAATGCAACACGTCACCACTTGTTCAAGCTGCCACCGGCGACATCTGGCCGCAATGGAGGTACGCGCAGTGAGAGGGAAGAAGTGTTTCATTGAAGATCGTGAGGTATGAATTGTGCTGAAGGGCATGCTGAAGAAGTCGCTGGCGAGGCCTTGCCATCTTCCGAATGGTCCGCTCCTTACCATCGGGCCGTGGTCGCGCTCATTCGTGCAGACACGGCAAGGTATTCAGGGCCCCGCGCTTGCTTTGTTCGCTTCTTTCCTTGCTACCAACCACTGCAGAAGTCCGACGGCGAGTATCAGCCGAGAGCTGGTCCTCATCCATCTCAGCACAGCTTGACTGGAGAGCTGGATTGCTCAACGATCGCACAAACACAGGCTGCTTTACGACGATGCCAAGGGTCACACTTGCCAAATTACGCAAACGCGCTCGAGACCAGCAGCGGAAGAAGGAGGTGGCCGCGTCCTGTCGCTCGCAGACCGTCTATACAGCACCAGGGCCTGCTGAGCGCATCGATCGAGTCGCAGGCCCCTTCATCAAGGGCAATGATGGCGAAGACGACGAGGTCACCGGCGAAAGGGGTGGCGTTGTCCTGAGAGCAGCACCAGAAGATGGCGGCGCCGTCATTCTGCAGAGACTCTCGCAAAGCTCCCACTCCCAGCTTGTACGATTTAAGAGGGACGCAAAGGAGTTGAGACTATTGAAAGAGACTCTGCAAGAAGAGCTAGAGGCGAGGGAAGAGGAGCATGACCTTGAGCTCGATAACGATGCCCTCGCCCTCGGCCTCCGCGTCCGAGACGTTGAGAGTATGCCACCATCGGACCGCAAGGGAGAGAACATGACCGCAAACCCTACACGCGCTACCACTGTCCCAACAAAGGAATGGCAATTCACCTCGTCCCACCTCCTCGCACAGAAGGAAAGCAATGACTTTCTGGCAGCACTTCGCGCCGTGACCTACAGCTACGTAGACTTCCTCGAGCCGCTCTTCCTCGACGAGCTGCGCAGCGTGCTTGGCAAGAGGGAGGCTGGTCTCCAAAGACTGAAGAAGACGGTAGGGGAAGAGCAGATGAGGTTCCTTGATGGATGTGCATGGACAGGGATACGGATCCTTGAAGAAGGAAGTAGGACTGCTTGGCAGGCGTACGGAGATGGTAGGTAGTACCCGTCTACGGACTCGGGATCGGCAGCGAGCTTACTCAGATCCCTACGACCCCGCCTAACCTCACGGCAGATGCATCACCAACCCTGCTCCTCACCTTCGGGCCACGTCTCATCCTCGAGCTAGAGCATGCCAGCCTCGAGCTGGAGGAAGGACAGATCTGCCTCTTTGACTCGCGACTCCCCCATCGGCTGGTGATATCAACCGTGAAGAGGAAGGGAAGGGAAAAGCATCGTGACTGGCAGGAGAGACCATGGGCCGTCTGCTTGTTCGCCGAAGGTTTGATACTTGGTGAGGCCGAGAGAGATGGAGAGGGCGACAGTGTGTTGTGGGTGGCCAACAAGGACAGGATGCTGGAAAATCCGCCAGGGGTGCTTAAGCTGGGCCAGAGGAGGAAGAAGGTCAGGACTTGATCTGCATAACGCGCCATGAGTGTGCATGGTCATCGCATCTCTACAACCCCTACACCTCAGCAGCGAGGCACTTGCTACCCACCTAAGCATCGGAGGAAGGCAGGCGACATTCAGAAAAGACTTTCGCAGAGACTCGGCTCTCGTGTCTCATCAGCATCAGGAGAGACGCAAAGCAGTACAAGCCTCTCAAGATAGCGCTTCAAGGAGATCTTGAGGCGAACACCATCTAATGCGAGCGGCTAGACACGGATCCCATCGAGCTTGGCCTTTGCCTGCGCGGCACCCCTTTGTCAAGCCGACACTCCTCGAGGCCACGAGAGGCAAGCACTCCTCGACCACGGGCATGCCTTGGTGGCCGTCTACACGTGCAATCCGGTCGCCTATCACCATGTATCGATCGTAAGCATCGACCACGTCCTATTTCTTCTCGTCAACGTCACACACATCTATACCTCATCAATCGATATCACATTCCTCACACCGCGACACACGAGGAGGAGATTCACAGTCTGAAGAGAGAGCTAAGATCTTCATTGACAGCTTGCTACTCGCCTTGCTCCCGTTTGATCAAAGCGACCGCGCAAAGCGTTTTTTGTATGCGGTGAAGTGCTGAGAGGAGGATTTGCTCGCTCTCCCAGTCAGCAGCCGACGCTGGTCTCCCTCCTTTAGCCAAGCATCTGGAGAGGTCGCAAAAGCGCGGCCGCCGCTGATGCGATTGATGCCATATTCGTCTGAGCTGGGATGAGGTCGACGCAATTGCAGATTGGCGTAAGTTGATGGCGCAGCGTTGCCTGCGTCTTCCCTGGCGGGAATGACCATCGAGCCACTGCTGCTTGCGGGCAAGGCCGGCCGGGCGCGATGCTTTGATGGCTGCCGCACCAGGGATCGAGTCTGGATCGCCATGCGTGCGCCTCTCCGAGCCCCAATCTCCGTCCTCGACATTCTCCCCGTTTTCCTTCCATTCCTCGTCGCTGCCAGCCACCTCGTGCCACCCCACGAGGCCAGCCGACAGCGACGGGCGCGACCTCGCCTCGCGCCTCTGGTGTTCCTGAGCCGCAAAGCACAACCTTGCCTTCATTCGTCATCACTGTCGTCGGAGAGGAACTCGCTCTCGTCCTCGTCAAGCTCGTTGAGCAGCTGCAGGTCCAGCTGGTAACGGAGCACTCCACCAATGCCACCAAAGCCACGCACGAATTGCATCCCCTCCTGAGATCGATCACTGACGAACTCAAGGCTGCAGCCGAATTGCTGGTAGTTCTCGGCGATCCACTCGAGAAGCGGCATAGGCTCGGCGGTCTGCTCCATTGGCTCGCCCGTGGCTGCGTCCTTGAAACGGTCGGTCTCCTTCTCCTGAGCAGGCGTGAGCATAAGCACAATCTCGCGCGCTTCAGAGTCCTTGAGCGTGTAGCGAGTGAGCTCCAGGTTCTCCCAAACAATCAATGTTTCGACCGCACCGGCATCGAGGGCCTTGAAGGTGTCTCCAACGCCGAAGCAGTACTTGCCCGTCTCGAGGGAAATCTCGTCAAAGTACTTTTGAATGAGCTTCTTCTCCTGGACGAACTTGACGTTCTGGAGCGACTCGGCGGAGAGTTCGATTGCTTGATTGAAGCCATTCTCGCCTCCGTAAGAGACGTCGACTGTGCGGATGACCTTGGGGGCGAGGCGATAGTCGAACATGTCCGACTGACCCAGCTCCGTCTTGAAGTCGGCGCTACCAGCGAGGACGAGACCGGCAACATTGCACTTGTTGTCGGTGATGAAGTGCTGCGTGGCAAGCTCGGCGACCTTGCGCACGTAGTTGTGGCGGGCCTCCTCTCTCAATCGGGCGAAACGGAGGGCAGATTGACCACCACGCCCGTGCTTCTTTGGAAGGTCGACGGAGAACTTGTGGATAATGTTGCGCGTGTTGCCTGAGAGGGTACCGAAGAGGGCACCGTTACCGTCCATGATGATGAAGCCAAAGGAGGCATCGGACTCGAGGAGCTCGCTGAGGGCTTCGGTGTGGAACTTGTTGTCACAGAGGTAAAGGGAAGTGTTGATCGGCTTGAAGGGTTCGAAAGAGATGTTGACCTGGCGTAGCGGTGAGGAAAGTCAGATCTTGCTCTCAAGGAATATACTTTTGTAACTGCGCCTCACCTTCTTCTCCTTGCCTTCATCAGTCAAGACAGTGCCACAGTAGACGACGAGACCATTGGGCGGGACTGAGAGGGAGCGAACAGCGCCGATCAGCATCTTGCTGCCCTCGTTCCAGGGTCTGTAGAGGACAGGCCCATACTCACTTCTGTTGTAAAGCTTCAGCCTCTGCTGGGTACTCGTGATAGCCGCCAAGACGGACAAACGGTTGACCCGCGACTTGATGTTCGAGGCAGTGCCGTACTCCTGGGTCAACATGTTAGAGAACTGAGATACCTGCGACTTTGGCGGAATGACGAGGGAGATCATCGAGGTACCTGCACCTCGGGCATTGTCCAGAGACTTGACGAGCTTCTTGACTTTCCAGATCTGCAGCGGTGGGAAGGGACGATCTCGGTCAGAGACAAAGTCGCAGAGGCTAACGAGGCAGGCCGCTATCGCCTTACCTGGATATTCTGCTCCTCTTGGGAGGGAGTTTGTCCTGACATGCTGGGAATGGATTCGTGAGGGGTGGCGAAAGGAGCAAGGCAGGGCAGGGCGGAGGCAGTGGAGATGATCCAAGTGATGAAGAGCAAAGGCACCAACCACCAACCAAGTCTCGTCCTCGCCGCCGTCCTCGCCTCCGCCGCCTCCGCTTGTCCCGCGAAGAAGTGATCCAAAATCTGCGCCCTCGAGTCACCACGTGGCTGGGGCGCAACCACGGCCGTCGCCCCTCACCCAGCAGCCTCGAGTCCTCTAATTGATCCATTGTCCACGTCAAGTGAATAAGAATGGGTATCGCATCGAACAACATCAAGGTTCCCACACTTGGAGCAGCCCCCCAACAACCCTTTTACCGAGGTAGCAATCACCGTCCAGTCTCAACAGGCCCGCCCTCCTCGCCCTCCCTCACCTTGGCCATCTCCTCATCCGCCCTGGCCAACGCCCTTTCCATCTGTCGCTCATCCCTCTTCTCACTTCTCATACGCTGCGCCTGCGTCAGACTCTCGACATAGCTCTGCCATTTGACGAGCTCCGCCAAGAGGTAATTGCTCTTCCTCTCCCAGTTGCTCAAAGCACGCCCAAAGTTGGTTCCACGGGGTGAATAGAGGGACAGCATCGGTTGACGAAGCTCATTGTGCTCTGTCAGGTCGTGCTCTGTACGGGCAATGTAAGCAAGGCAAGAGTCAATTTGCTCTTCCTCGCGGAGCGTGCTGGCGACAGTTGGAGGCTGCGGGGCTTTCCATTCGTTGATGTAGGTGCGCTCGTTACCGTGCCCTGTGTAGACGAAAGAGCGTACCGACGGGGCACCGCCACCGCTGGATGAGGGCGCCACACCAGAAGGAGCAGGACCGCCACTGAGTCTTGAGGAGCGACGTGACGAGTCGTTGCCGATGGAAAGGAAGTTGGCACGACTGCTTCGCCCACTACGCCCACTGCGCCCGCTGCGCCCACTGCGGATGCTAGACGATCTGCCCTGCGAGACGTACATGGCCCCACTGTCAGCGGTAGAGTCGCGGAGTACCTCCGACTCGCCCAAGTCATCCACGCTCATCGAGCCTCGGCCGATCAAGCTGTCATACGACGCAGACCCTGTGCCGCTGCTCGAGGGAGCGACAAGGTTCCAACCATACTCCATGTTCGACACTCCACCGGCCAAGGGCTGCTTGCTAAGCCTGGCCGCCCAGTAGTTGCACGTCGACAGCCACTCCTGTACCAAGTCTTCAGTCCCTGCTTGGAAGAAGTAGACAGCTCCCGATGCAAGCGTGAGGGCAAAGACATGCGGGCGGGCCTTGTTGTAGCCCGGAGGAGGGAGAGCATGCGCCAAAGCGTGGGCCAGAGTGAATTCGCCCAACTTCGTCGCGTTGGAGAGCCAATTACCACCCCCTACGGCTGATGCTGCCTTAGAAGAGCTGGTGCTGGAGGCTTGCTGACCAAATGTGAACATGCTCATGACTCCCTTTTGGATGACGACGAAGACCTCGGTCCAGCTCTTGTCCTTCGCCCTCTTCGACGGAGTCTCCCAGTAATGCTTGCGCGTCAGAACACCCTCCTTTGCCCACGGAGGGCCAATTAGTGCTAGCTCATCGTCAGAGATGTCGTCGTCTGCGTCCATGTCCGCCCCATTCTGGTCCTCATCCTTCGTCTCCTTGACCAGCGATGTGGTGAGCATGCTTGCGAAGCCTAGCGTGCCAGGCGCAGCGGTACTTGACGGCGTAGTGTTGGCCTTTTCTCCTCCTGAAACAGGGGCGTTGTTCGTCTCCCAGCTCGTCATGGAGCTACCCGGAGTCAGAGTATGGGCAGTCGTCTCTCCCATTGACCTCGACCCCACCGAAATCTGCGAGCCGCCAGCACTCCCAATGCTCCCAGTCGCACCGCCACTATTGTCATCACGGAAGCTCTGCGCGGCGAGCAGACCCTGAATGCCACGTATGCTCCCACGCTTAAGCTGCGCAATCTTTCCACCAGCACCGCTGCCACCGCTGATGCTTCCAGTAGGCGCGCCGCTCATTGACATGCGACCACGGCGCTGTGAGCCGGTGATAGTCGCGTCCCCTCCGTCTGCGGCGCTGCCGCCCATGGGCAGGCGGATGCGCTCTTGCTTGACTGCGCCGTACATGTCCTTGAGGAGGGCATCCAGCTCGATCTCTTGACGACGGTCAGAGAGGTACAGGCCTCGACCTGCTGCTCCCGCAGTGGCACCGCCAGTGCCTCGCGACCAACTGGAGGGCGTGCTGCGCCCACCGCCAGCAATGATACTGTCTCTGGGAGAAGCGGTGGAAGAGGCGTGGCGCAGGGTGGAAGCATGACTGACGCTGGGCGGTAGACCGGCAGAGGCAGTATGAGCTGTCGTGTTGGTATCATAGCTATGCGCCACACTTCCGCTGCCCCCACTCTTGACGCTCATCGAATCTGCATCTCTCCCTGAAGCCATGCTACCTCGCACTGTCCCCTGACCCTTGCCGATTGTAGCCTCTTGCTGTTGCTGGTTCTCAGAGACGGCCAACATGGTGTTGCGGACGAACTGCGGGCGGGTCATCCTTTCAGAGATGTCGGCCACGTGCAGATCCGTGTTGAGGAGAAGGAGAGAGAAGACTACTGCGTGTACGTTATCTTGTGAGCCGTACGTGCTTGCCACTCCCTTGGCGCTGCTGCTCGTCAGCTGGCACTGCCAGTATCGTTGACTGAAGGCACCCAAAATGCGGTCCACTTGTTGTGTCTCCGCCCTCAACCAAAGCCTGTCACACAGCTGTCGAAGCGCCGCGTCCAGTCGAAGGTCTTTGAAGTCGAAGTGGTCGAAGTAAAGGCGGCGCGTTGCTTCCTTCAAGGGGCCAATCCCGCCAAGCCATTCGGCAATCTTCTCCTTCGCCATCCAGGAAGTGCTAGTAGGATCGTCCTCGGATGAGGCCCAGCATTTAGCCGCAAGCTCCCGTGCTGAGTCAAGGAGACCGTCGTCTATGCTTGTGGTGAGCATGGAGGAGGCGCCGCCGCTAGAGGCGCCGGTGATGGTGGTTGCTGTTGTGTTGGCATTGCTGCTGGCATGGGAAGGTCGACCGCTCGTAGGAGCGCTGCTGCCCTTGAACCCATCAGATGAGGATCCGCCAATCGAGCTAGGAGGAGCGATGTTGGCTCCGCCGGTACTGCCGGCGATTGGCCCTCTTCCACTTGCATTACTGTGCATGCTTACGCGACCAATCTCAGAGGGTAGCGGTCCGATATCAGAGACGTCGCGGCGCTGAGATACGGGGAGCGCGCTTCTAGGGCCCGTGCCCGCCAGCACTGCCTTACCGCCGAGGGAGGGCGTGGGATCATCGTCTGTAACTGAAGCTCCGCCCATCTCAGTGGGCTGTTGTGGCTGCGGAATCAGACGAATGCTGCGCTCCGGATGCTTTTCGAGGTCGTCCTCGTCATCAATTTCCTCGCTTGACGAATCATCCAAAGGGTCGTTACCATCTTCACTCTCATCGCTAGCTCTATGCGGTGCTTGACGCGCCGTCCTTGTGGAAGGGTAGCCCGAGCTCTCGCTCTCCGCAGAGGGACGGCTCACCGCTTCACGTAGGGCAGCAGCCGCAGCACCTGCACCGCTGGTTTCGCTGCCCTCTGCGGCCGTCTCGAAGCTCACAAAACTCGTGGCGGACTGGTTGCCTCGGCGATGAGGGCTGCGAGCTGTGCCGGTAGAAGCCGCGGTAGGAGCGGGCCCAGAGAGCGACGCAGACGAGTCGCGAACTGCATCGCCATCGTTCGGTGCGGTCAGGACCGAGTCGTTCGTGGAAACGCCCGAGTCTGCCACAGTAGAGTCAATCGTCTGGAAGTTCTCGCCCTCTGGTGAGGCGGCCGAGCTTGGCGTCTGAGGGGCAGCAGAGGCCGAGCTAGGGCGAGCAGCGGACTTGCCGGAGGACTTGACGCCAGCTGCAAAGGGGCTGCGGCTGCGTTCCCAGGGTCGACCGAAAGGAGGTACTGGCGTCTGAGGGTCGCCCGCAGTACCGCCGGCGCCGCCGTTGTCCTGCCCGTGCGTCGACGCTGACACAGTCCTGCGCTCCGAACTCTCATCCGGTGTAAGGCTGCGGCTGACATTTCTTGACGCTGCAGGCGAAGTGGGCGCACTTCTCGCCGTACGTGGCTGGTTAGCGTCGTCATGAACCTTCAGGGTGGCTCCACTACGCTGCTGCTGCTGCTGCTGCTGTTGCCCCTCCTGGCCCATCCCGATCCCCAAGCCTAGCTGAGGCAACTCCGGGCTAGGCCCCCAAGTAGCCTTTGGCGTGAACTTGGTCTTGTTCTCCAGATCATGCGCGCTAGCTTTGAGCGTCTCGTCCATCTCGGTCTCCCAGGCTTTGATAGCTGTTCGCAGCTCCTGGCCCGAGGCGCTCGACTGGACAGAGGACCCGCCTTTGCTCGCCATCTTGGCGTGGCCTTGCGGCGCTTTGTTGCGAGAGATGCTGTTCGAGGAGGTAGAGGCGGCCCAATCGCCGAACTTCGTGGGGATGCTTGGCACTTGCGGGACGTCATTTCGGATGGGCGGGGAGCCGGGGATGGAGGGGCGACGCTTGCTGCCGCTGAGGATCACGGTTGCATTTGACGTTGCCGGGCCGCTGCTTTGATGGTGGAGAGAGGGCGTGCTGGCTCCTGCCGCGGCATTCTGGTTGCGAATGTACGTGGGTGCTCGGAAACGCTTGAAGAGCGTGCTCGTCTTCTTCATGCGGTCCTTGAGCGAGGAGGACTGCGTCGCTGCCCCGCCGCTGTCGGTCAGCACTCCGAGATCCTCATTAGAGCTTGACCTGCCTGACGAGACTCGAGGCGGCGGCTGCGGTGGTGGGGCGGGGGGCAATGGACGGGAGAGCATCGATGTTCGTGGGATCGATGTTGTCCTCTCTGGCTTTACCACGTCAGATGCAGCAGTTGGACGGGTGCTCGTGGCGTCCGGATAGGCTGGGATGCCCACCGTAGGGGAAGCCCTGGGCGCGGCTGCTGCACTGTCGCGCTGCGAGGATGAAAAAGCTGACGAAGCAGCCGCAGTCTTTGGCGGCAAAGAAGGGCCAGGACTCTGGACGCTGGTCGCTGTAGGCGTAGGCGTACGAGAACGCGAGACCCGAGGCGTAGACTCTGCTAGCGTCCGCGGTGAGAAGCCGGTGTCTCCACTATCGTCGTCGTAGTCGTCTGCGACGCCTCCCGTTTCTCTCAGTTGGACAGTCTCGTTACTAGCCAAGATGGCCTCAAAGCTCTTGCCAACTCGTCCAGGAGGAGCAGATGCAGCACCAGCCTCGTTGCGTCCCGAAGAAGCAGAGCTGAAGGACTGGACAGTGCTGGCCGTCGCAGGGCGAGAGGACGATGCTCCGGCCACTCCTCTTCGGAAGGGCCAACGTCGAGAAGTGGATGTCGACGTCGCACTAGTGTCGTTGGAGTTGATATTGACGGTGCTGTTCTGAGACGAAGAAGAGCGGCGATGTCGTTGCTGCTGTGACGAGGTGCGAGGAGGCCCGGCGCGAGGTCCACTACTTTGCTGCGACGAGTAGGACAAAGAAGACATTGCGATCCGACGACGTCGTCGACGACTCGATGAGGGACGAGAGCGAGTTCCAATTCGGGGTGAGAAGGCCCTTGCTTGGCTTGCTTGCTTGTGTGCTTGCTTGCGCTTTGCTTGCTAGCTGCTGCAATCGCAAGCGAATGGTCGAAGACGGACCTGAATCTCCTCCGATCCACACAAGGAGAGCGGCGTCAATCTACGCCCCAGAACAGTCGACCGAGGGGGTCTGACTGGGTAATGACGCCGTTGCGAAGTGATGAAGAGTCGGCCTGCGTGTGGACGCAGAGGCGGGCCGGCTTTGCGCTCGGGCCGCTCGATGTGAGGAGAGGCTGGAGAGGGGCAGCAGCAGGAGGCCAACACGCTAGGGACGCAAGGAAAGGCAGGACGTGCCCGAGCGAGGGTGGGAAAGAAGATGCAGAAGAAGGCCTTTGCGGGAGTCACGGACGAAAGGAAGAGGGCACAGCGAGTGGGAGAAGGAGGGAGGCGGAGAAGTGAGCAAGGCCACAGGAGGTGAGGTGGTGAGAAGGCGTGAAAAGACAAAGAAAGCGCACCTGAGAGGCGACGACGTCGACGCCTGCAGCTGGATGGGCTCAGACTCCGCTGACGCCCCCCAAGTCAACCAACACTTGCGGCCACCCAAAATGCTCACTCGACTTGTGCCTCCTCGTGCCTCCTCGTGCCTCCTCAATCCTCGCTGTTTCGCGGCGAAATGCTATATATTGAAAAGAGATGGCTGCACAATAACAAGGGCAGCGCAAAGTGACCGCCATCGAGCCTAAGCATGCCCTGCTGTCATGGTCTCCTCGCGCTGCCATTACCAATTACCACTCCTTGCGTCTGCCTCACGCGTCGGCCATGAGCCTGGCCAAATCCTCGTTCGCTCCATCCGCCGCCGTCTCGGTCACCTCGAAAGCGGGATCACTACCAGAAGCGCCCTGAGCCGACCAGCCCATTCCTCTAGCATACGCAGCTTCCGATCGGTCCAGAAGCAGGTCAAGCGTCTTCTGCGAGATGACCTCGTCGTCCTCCCCAGCAAGCTGCACCTTCTCCCCCTCGAGCGCAAGTAGCGAACGAGCCATATCTACCATGCTCTCATTCTTGCCCGATCCACCGCCACTCTTCGATCCACCGCTCAGAGCATCAGAGACAGCCCCCGCCGGCAGCTTGAATGCCCCATTCTTGATCACAATCGCCTCGAGCTTGCGCTTATCCCCAGCGCGCTTGAGCAGGCGCGACTCGACCGTATTCGCGCTCACAAGTCTGAAGATCAGGACTGGCTTCTTCTGTCCGATGCGATGGACACGGTCCTGCGCCTGAAGGTCCATCTGTGGATTCCAATCGCTATCATAGAAGATCACCGTGTCTGCTGCGACGAGGTTGATCCCAAGTCCACCGGCGCGAGTGCTGAGAAGGAATAGCTTGACGCTATCCTCACTAGAGTCCTCGTTGAATGATTTCATCTGCGCTCGACGTACCTCCTGCGCCGTGGTACCGTCAATGCGGCACGTCTTAAAGTTCTTGTACTCCTCTGCCCAGTCCTGAATAATGTCGAGGATGGTTGTGAATTGGGAGAAGATGAGGACCTTGTGTTTTTTGGCGAAGAGAGCATCCAATAGGCGATTAAGGAGCAGCATCTTTCCGCTCGCAGTGACGAGGGACTTGTCAATCAGCTGTTGGCCATCTGGCTCACGAGGCCAGTCGAAGAGATAAGGGTGGCAGCAGATCTTTCGGAGCTGCATGAAGAGGTTCTGCAGCTTCATATTGTTGATCTCGCGCTGCGCTTGGCGGATGGAGAAGAGCTTGCCCTGACGCTCTTGCTCCTTGAATGAGGGGGGCTCGGGAGTGGGGTCACGGCCGACGTCCTCGCCTCGCTCGATGCGCTTGGCAAAGACGTCTTCGTCCTCCTCGGCGTAATTGATTTTGCTGGTGCGACCTTTGCGACGGCGCGACATGGCAGAGCTAGTCGGCCCGCTAGACGATGACGCTGCTGCCGCCGATGACTTGCCATTGGTCTTCGCCTTTGACTCTGTCCAGGATGCAGACGACGACCCCTCCGCCTCATCATTCTCGTCCTCTCCCTCGCTCTCTGGCTCATTGCCAAGGATTTTCTTGATCTCCTCCCACTTAAGGCCAGTCTTGCGCTCGAGAAGCCAACGGCGCACATTGCCGTGGACGCAGCGATCATAGAGCTCCTTTTGCAGCGGTGAGAGCGGGGCGTATAGGAGATACTCTTTCTTCGGAGGCAGCGTCGTCTCGACGTCCGTCTTGATGCGACGCAAGAGAAAGGGCTTGAGGATGGCATGAAGTTGTGTGATGACGGACTTGCTGTCCTCCTTTGACAGAAGACGATTCGAACCGCCCTCGTTGTGAATATCGGAGAAATCGAACCATTTTTCGAACGTCTCGAGGTCATCGAAGATATCGGGCAAGATGAAGTTGAGCAGTGACCAGAGCTCCTTGAGGTTGTTATGGAGTGGCGTTCCCGTGAGGATCAGACGCTGCGCACTGCTGAAGCGCTTGAGCTCTTGTATGAGCTTGCAGTTCATGTTCTTGAGGCGGTGCCCCTCATCGACAACGATGTATTTCCACTTGAGGTGGGAGAGGTGGACGCGATCCATCATTGCGACCTCGAAGCTGGTGACGACGACGGGGAAGGCCTTCTTTTCTTCGCTCGTCGAGGGATAGTGAAGGTGGCGACGGAGACTAGCGCGCGCCTTCTTGTCTTGAGCGTGGTACATGAGAGCGGGGATCCCTGGCGTGAATCGTTCGAACTCGTTGACCCAATTGGCAATCGTAGAGAGTGGAGCGACGATGAGAAAGGGACCCCACACGCCCTTGCTGCGAAGGTGAGCCAAGAAGGCAATCGTCTGGAGCCTGCATGCGGAAAGTAGGTTGCCGTCAGTGATGACACTTCGAGACGCAATGTGACTACGGTGGATACATACGTCTTACCCAGCCCCATCTCGTCGGCAAGAATGCCGTTAAGACCATTCTCGTAGAGGCTCACGAGCCATTCAAAACCATCGAGCTGGTAGTCTCGCATCTCGGCGCCTGTGACCAGAGCTGGCTGGCGTGAGCGGTGCGGTTGCTGCTGCGAGGCTGGCACAGGCGTGCCCCTATTGCTCTTCTGCTTCTTGCTTTGAAGGTCGTCCTTCGTGAGATAGTCTGAGATCTCAATATCGCCCTCCTTTGGCTTTCTCTTGTTGACCACAGACTTCTTCTGAGGCGCGCCATCATCATGTCCATTCGCCTGCGGTTTGTCCTCTGCCTCACCAGCTCGGGTGGTCCTGCCTACAGGGGCGCTCTTCGCAGCACTGCCGCTACCCTCTGTTCCTCCCTCTTCCTTGGCTGCCTTCTTGGCAGCTGCTTCAGCCCTCGACTTGCGCTCGCGCTCCATCTTGTCCGACATGATCTTGGAGTAGACGCCTGAGCGCTGGAGCAGAAACTTGAGCTTCTGCGCACGCTTCTGGTGCTCCTACGAGAGCGAGGCAGATCAAAGACATGGTCAGGCGTCGGACTCGATTTCAGTGTCTCTGAAGCTTCTCACCTCCGAGTCTTCTTCCTCTTCCTTCTGCTGCTGCTTGCGACGTTGAGCCTCCAACTTCTGCTCATCTGTCATCTTTGGTCGTCCTCTGCCGTTTGACGTTGAGGGTCCAGCTGCGCTCGAGCCGCCGTTCTTGTCACCACCGTTCGATTGCTCCTCGTTACCGTTTTCGGGTGCTTCGTCGCCCTGATCAAGAGCTCGAGCGCTGGCGAGTAGCTCAGCATCGTTGGAGTCGTCTGCTCCTGGTGTCGACTCCATCGAGTTGTTGGCCGTTGACCAAGCAGAGGAAGATTCACCGGCCATGCTTCACCAGGCGACAACTGCCGATGTTGACGTGGCAATGGGCAGCAAGCAATCTCGCGGGCCAGCTCCGGCGGCTTGTGATGATAACAGGGCAAGTGATCAAGGCACACCATCGTTCCATTCTCGCTCGCCTCTCCGTCGTCCGTCGTTGCTCAGTCAGCTCGTCGCCCTCTGGAGGACCCACTTTGTGAGCGCGACGCGCGCCTCCCACGTGGCGTGACGACTCGTCAGGCACACCGCCGCTCGACTTCGAGCATAATCGTCGCGAGGCGATGAATGAAGAGGCATGCCCTTTTGCCCATCGAGATGGAAGGGTGCCCTCTATGCCTTTGTTTGCACCTGAACTCATCGCCTCCTTTCCATCACACGACCCGTCCTCGAAGTCAAGTATCCCCTTCTTTGATCCAATGCCAAGAAATCCAAGGCTATTTCCGATGCACCGACGCCTGACCCCGCCCCCTCTCAACTTCGGCGTCGTAAATTCCACGGCGCGGTGCAGAGCTGCTATGAGCTGCACTATGAGCTGCTGCGACGCCTTTATCCTTCTGACCATCACTACAACTCACTCCTTGAACGACATCCTTCACCGCCCAGCGCCCTCCTTTCCTTTCATCACTCATTGAGTCACCTTTTCAAAGCTTATTCTCCTCTCGTCGTCATAGTCTTGCTCTCGCCGTACGCCGATTCCACGCCCCGCGCCTCCACCTCGTCTGCCACGGCCGATCACATCAACCTTCCCTTGCTGTACAGCGTCCAGCAACCAGGCATGGCCGACCGCGAGGACGGCAATCACAATGGCGGCGGCGGCTCTCATTTCGCTGATCCAGATCAGCCAGGGCGAGACGCAGCTCACGATGGCTTCGCCGACCAGCTCCTAGCGCCTGCGACTGAGTGGGCAGAGACGCTGCAATGGTCCAAGGGCAAGACGAAGACCAGTAGCCGACGTCGTCTGCAGCTCGTCGTCTCCTATGCTCCCGACTGGATACTTACGCTGCTTCTTGCCGGTATGCTGGCTTTCTTGGACACCGCACATGGCTTCCGTCGAGAGTTCTCCCTCACCGACCCTTCACTTCAACACACCTACGCCGAGCACCAGCGAGTGCCAATGTGGCTCCTCGTTCTTCTCGCCGTCATTGTTCCCATCTGCATCCAGGCGCTCATCTCCCTCGTCGTCGCTCGCTCCTTCTGGGACTTTCACGCTTCTCTACTCGGATTGGTCGTCACGCACGCCCTCACGGTCACCACCACGACAATTATCAAGATTTCCGTTGGTCGTCCGCGCCCTGACCTGATCGATCGCTGCCAGCCACGCGCTGGCGCGACGAATGCTCCGATTTACGGGCTCGTCACAGACGCCATCTGCACGAACCCGCTCAACGAGCACCTGGTCTCAGACGGGTTCCGCAGCTTCCCCTCTGGCCATTCAAGCGCTGCCTTCGCAGGACTGACGTTCCTCTCGCTCTATCTGGGTGGCAAGTTCCATCTCTTTGGCAGAAAGGGCCACGCTGGGGTATCGTGGATCGTCTGGCTCCCCATGCTTGGCGCGACGATGATCGCCGTCTCTCGCACGATGGACTACCGACACCACGCCACAGATGTCATCGCGGGCGGTATCCTGGGAGCAGGCGTTGCCGTAGGGACATACTTCCTTTACTACCCTTCGCTCTGGGACTCGCGCTGTCACAAGCCGTGGGCTCCTCGTGTTCCGCGGTATCGCTTGCAGCGCGGCGTCACTCACCAAGCCGACGTGGAAAACGCAGGTTCTGCAGAGTCGCGTCATCGCCTTGCTTCCAATGCTAGCGGTAGTAGTGACTACGGTGAAGCTCAAGCGGCGAGTGGGAGCAGGAGGGACAATGTTGGCAAGCATACCGCGGTCTAATGGCGGACAAGGCAAAGAAGCTGCAACATGCGTTGCAGCACCATGTAAATAATCGACTGGCTCTCTCGATGGCTCTCGACAACAAGTCTGCTCAAATCTTCTCTAATGTTTTCAATGCAGCAATACCATCCTCATCATCATGCGTTATCATCTCGCGCACCGCCACTCTGCGTCTGAGCACCGTAGACGCGTCGCCACGCCTCGCCAGACGGACTGGGCTCGCTTGCGTCCTGCCTCGACGAGAAGCGGTGTGCGGGGCGACGTCGAGAAGTGCAGTTCAATCAATCTCGAGCCGCGAGCACAGAGACTACCTTGATCAATGCACGCTTTCGCTTCCTTGCTTTCTTTCCATCCCTACCATCATCCGTTTCCGTTCCCGCCAGCGTATACAACGACATCGCTACATCCCCTTCAGCCCTCGTACAGAGGCGGCTGGCAAGATGGCCAGGTGAGTGAGCTCGGCACCGACATCGAAGCGCAGCGATGAACACACGTTGCGGGCTTTCAGTGCTGATGGCGACCTTGTTACTACCTTTCGCTCGCCCCATCTGCCGTGACCGCAGAGGCAAGCTCAACAAGCTCACCAAGGCCGAACGCGAGTCGCAGCGTGCAGGCGCAGATGTACTCTCCTGGGTACACGGCGGCGGCCTGGCCTCGGAACTGTCCTCCCTCCCCTTCGCTTCCAGTCTGCGCTTCCCCTTTGAGGACCTCTTCGTCAACGATGCTCTCGATCAATGCGACCAGTAAGTAAGAGAATCAAGTGCAATGAAAGGCTCACAGGTTGATTACCGGCATCTTTGTGCGTTCCTTGCGCTCGCAGCGACGAATCCAACCAGAATCTGCAGAAGGTCTCAAAGATGGTCCATGAGCTTGCACTCAACCTCTATCGCATGACGCTGGGCTACATGATGAAGAAAAGGATGCAAAAGCAGCAAGAGACGGTGCTCAGAGTGCGTGCTGGATCTTGGATGGCGGATTCGGCCGCTTACCGCCCACTATCCCACCATCCGCCACCACCCGCTCCTCCTCACCACAGGTCGGATTCACCAAAGTCATTGCCAGGTGCGGGCTGCACTCGCGCTCCCTTCTTACGGCTTGCGGCTCCGAGACCACTCGCAAGGACATCGAGAAGGAGCTCGTGGCAACTTGCAAGGAGGAGAGCTTCAGCGACATCGCCCTGAGACGCACCATCTCGAGCATCTTTGATGCCCTATGTGATCTAGTAAGCACGAGAGACTTCGATGAGTGAGATTCACGCTCACAATCACCTCTGCTCCGCATCGATAGGCTCGCGATCACGGTCGAGACCTCTCCTTGTGGGGCCCACCCTGCGTCTGCTCTCTCTCAGCCTACGGCAATTGCCTCGAGAAGCTCGTCATCAGCACTGGGCCGTCGGACTACATCGCGAAGCCCATCAGCCAGCTCTCAAAAGCCTCCGAGACGCATCAGTGGCTCTCTGTCCTCATCGATGCTGGCTGCTTTGGCGATACCAAGAGCGCAGGCTACCCTGACAAGGAGGTCACTGGCACAGCGTGGAAGCAGCTCATTGAGGCGTGCTGGGATAAGCTCAAAGACGTCTGTTAGTGCGCGGAGCATAGGGCGCAATCGGCGAGCAGCGACTGACTTGCTTGCGTCTGCTGCTTCGCACCATGCAGCCACGGACATAATCAAGAAGGTCGACCCGCTCAAGGCGCAGTGTGCCAAGACGGCCGTGGCCATCATCAACGAAACAGAGCCTATTGACCTCTTCTGGGCCATCACCCTCCACGAACTCCGGTCGTCAGACGAATGCAGTAGCGAGAGTAACTGCTGGGCACCACGCTTCTCATCTCACAAATCGTCAGGCTGCGAGAGCCACGACTCTAAGCCGAAGCGACCTGTTGATGGCGAGAGCTTGGAATGGCAGGCCGCCATGGAGCGTCTCTTCCACATCGACTCGGATGTGACGGCCGAGGAGAGCCTCTCAGGTCTGATCAACTTGATCAAGAAAGCTGAAGGTCTCGACATCATTGGCAACAAGAGCAGGATGACTACAATCGCCACTCGTGGCCGTCGCTTCGTCGCTCGTGCCATCAAGGATCTGGGACAAGCCGCCTTCTCTGCTGGATCATGCCTAGCCGCCGTGGAGCGATTCACTTGGGCCATTGGCTATGACCCGGACGAGGCTGTCTACCCAATCAGACGAGCGATGTGCCTCCTCAAGATGCAGTGCTGGGCGCAGGCGGAGAGCGACTGCAATGTATCGATTGCTCTGGCCAGTAGGAACCCCATGGCTTACTTTCAACGAGGGGTCAGTCGAGCTCACCAAGGCAGAGATGACGCAGCAAAGAGTGGTGAGCGCAGCATGACCTTGGCTGACGGTCATTGATATGCTGACTACGCTGCACCCACGCTGACAGATTTTCAACAAGCCATACGCTATGACAAGGAGCTCGGTTCCGGCTCTCGCGACTTCCAGAATATGGCTGCGACGTATCTTACGCGCCTCAAGAACAAGCCCGATTTATTCAAAAAGGCATCGCCCGCGCACATGGAAGTGGCATGGGCAGACGCATGGCATGATGAGCGTCAGACCTATCGAACCATCCCTGCTGGGGGCGCGAGCAGCAAGGACAGCAGCAACAGCCACAAGACCCCGGCGGTGCCGATCAATGCGTCGCTCACTCTAGAAGATGTCGCGCCGGTCCCACTCAGCATCATGTCTCGCGTGCCCGAGCTGAAGCCTCTCTACACGTCACTGATCACGGGCAAAGCAGTGCGAATCCCAGTGGAAGGCAATGCCACGAAGTACAACGAATCGCAATGCACCATCAATGGTGAGCCACAGACAAGCGCAAGTGCGAGCAGTAGCAGCAATGCGTCCCCTGTCATGGAGAACAAGCGAATTGGACCCGATCGTTGGACGACCCCCGCAAGCTCGAAGGAGAGTCAGGCCAAGGCCGCGTCGTCGCCCATGTCTAAGCCTGAAAAGAAGGCTGCCAGCTCCCACACGACATCACCGGTCAAGAAGAGAGCACCTGCATCCACGACAACGACGAGCGCCAAGCATGCAGGCAGCAATGGCTCGACTATGGCAGTTAAGATAGCGGAGAAGACGACGGCACCTAATGCGAAGCAGGGCTCGCCTATTGCCGCTCAACGAGATGCTAAGCTGGATGCGGCACCTGCTAAGGCCCCTACTGCGTCCGCATCTGAGCCTGCTTCCAAGGCCAAGCTTGCTGCGCTCTCGGCAGCAGCGGCCAAAATCGTCGCTGCTCAGCCAGCCACCGCAGCAAGGAAGGCGCCAGTCACCAAAGGCAAGCAGAAGGAGCAGCAACCACCCGCAGCCGCCAGCGCAGGGCCCAAGCAGCCAGTTCGAGCAGCGGCGCAGAGCGTGAGCGCAACTATGAACACCGCGGCCGTCACCTCCGGGTCCAAGGCAGAGATACAGCACTGGCGAGACGCTATGTACAGTGACAACATTGTCGATCTCAACGAAGGTGCCAGTTCCTCTTACTCGACTGGTAAGTCCACCAAGCACATGCCTCCTCCTCCTCTGCGCGTCGACACTCAGGCCAAGGCAGGCAGCAGCAAGCAGGTCGCTGCTCCCGCAGCTGCAGCTTTCAGCAGCCCTTCTCAGTCTTCGTCGAGCCACCCCTCCCACGCAGGCCCGTCTTCCTCCTCGCCCCGATCCTCATTGTCTCCAGTAACGCCCGTAAAGAGGCAGAGGCAGTTTTCATCATCCGCCTCAATGTCCACGTCTCCACCCACCACGGACACGAGCCTGACTACTGCCGCCACCTCGACATCGGCGCACGCGTCCATGCATGCGCACAACAAAGTACGCGGCCACGACGTTCCGCCTCCTAGGCTTGATACCTTCACCTGGCGCGCCAGTGACGGTGAGGCTGCGGGAGAGACGTTCCGCACGCTGGCTCCTGCTATGCGGCCCTACCCCATGGGATCTGCAGATGCGCTCAGCAAGACAGTGGACACGCAAGCCCTCTGGCAGCAGCAGCTGATGGAGCAAATCTGCTTTGCATGGATGTTCATCCGCCTCGTGCGTGCCAGGCTTGGCTGGGAGCATGAGGGCAAGAGGGGGGAGAAGAGGCGAAATGAGGAGTCGGAGAGAAAGGTCAAAATAGCAAGGGAGGGGCGGGGAAAGGAGCCGCAAGGATTGAAGAAGGGATTTCTGGTCAACAAGAGTGGGGTCAAGACGAAGGCTAAGTGATTTGTGACAGGAGACCGCAACGAAAGGCTGGCGCGAGCAAGCAGCAGACGCGCACACAGGCCCAGAAGACGATCCCACCGGCATTTGGCCAGTAGACGATCTCGAAGATGTCAAAGCAGTCATGCGCTGCCGGTTACCAGGCAGTCACAACAATGTCACGACCTTCTCAGCGTCATCCATACCAATCACGGCTCTATCTCTTTTCCCTCATACTCCCATCGACGACCGAGCCGCAACACCGCTTATCTCTTCTCTCGAGCTCCCCTTTGTCCCTTCTCACTCTTCTCTTCAAAGTTCTTCTGCCTCCTAGTCGATACGATTGACTTCCAAGGGCCGAGGCTCAATCTCATTCCCACGTCAATACATCACATCGACTGAGATCCAGAGCGCAACGCGCGAGTATGATAGATTATGCAGCGCCTCTATCTGCCTACGGCTCGGCCATTGCCGCTCCTTACCACACGTACATCGATACTGACCTCCGCCCTTGCATGCGCCTTCCTCATCGACTGCGGCCCTACTTTCTTCCCTGCGACTGTCAGCCCCTCTTCGTCGTCCTCATCGGCATCTGCTTCCTCGACAACGCCCACAAAGCGGAACAGACCTTCGCCTAGGAAGAGGAGCCCCGTTTGCACGCTTGCTTCCTTCCCTGGCGAGAGCAGCGGCCAGCTTGATGCCAATGTCACTTCAACATCATCCTCTCTGCCAAGCATCGCCCCACTCAAGGCCCCATCCGTCACCAGAACCTGGCTCAGCACGCTATCCGTTGAATGGGCCCCAGCCGCCAACAAGGGGCCGGTGGTGCCCGCTGCAGGCGTGTTGGGCGTAGCCGCAGACGCATTAGACCGGGAGGAGCTGGACAGGGCAGAGCCGGGAAGGGGGACTAGTCGGTAGGTAAGGCGAAGTGATCTTCCTCCTTCGTGGGATGAGACACGGGCGGTGGCGTTTCGTACCCGTAGCCTCAAGGAGACGAATTGCTCTGGCTCGACAAGTTGAAGCGCTGAGCCGGTCGGGTCCAGCACGTCGAGGCTGAGCTCGACCTCTCTCCTCAGTAAGCGCTTGCACAAGCCTTCATCTAGATCCTGGCATGCTTCCGCCAGAGCGTTGCTCCAGTCGCCTTGCTGTTTTGCGATACTTCCACTGCTTGACGATGCTATCCGTCTTCTCCCAGAGTAGTCATCCACCTCAGACCATCGCGACCCTGCAAGCCTGCGGCGCAGCTCTTCCCCGATCCAAAAGCGCAGTCTTGATCCTTCTACCTCGGCAGGGTCGAGCTTGAAACGGGAGAGGACAAACTGCCTTTGCTGAGCTGTCGAGGCGGACATGGAGGCGAGGGAGGAAGAGGGGATTTCCTTGTTGGAAAGCTCTTCCGCGCTGAGTGGGAGTTGAGGGAGAGTGAAGAAGATGGGCACTGTCCGGTCGGATGGGATGAGATGGCTGATGGTGAGCTTGCGAGGGTATGAGTCCGCTGACCCGCTTGAGGTGGTGGCGAGAGAGGCCTCCTCGACGTCCTCGGTGACATCGAGGGAGACGCGCACCTCTCTGTGGTGCACATTTCGCACATCGAGGCTGACGAGACTAATCAAGTCGTTCTCCTCGTCGCTCCCCTTTTTCTCATCCACCATGTACCTATTCACCTCACCCTGCTCCTCCCCATCTTTCACTCCCCTCAGCACACTCTCCGCGTTCCTCCTGTCCATCCTCTCGACCCTCCATCCTCCACACTCCAGCACCGGTCGTACATCAACCCCGAAGTCCAGACGCGCACTCCGAGTCCAGAAATCGCGTCTCTCCTCCGTGACCAAGCCCCCACGTCCGGGCGCATTCACGTAAGCGTAGTCGACGCTCACGGAGCCACGAGTGCAGTCCAATGTACCGCGCAGTTGAAGTGATACCACCACAGAGCGGCCGGGTGGGATAGTGATGCCTCGAGGCTTAAAGCCTTGAGGCAAGGACAGGACTGGCCGTTCTGAGAGCTGTCGCTCCAAATGGTACGCATCGCTGGGGAGCACATCTCCTTCCCTGAGCGCGGCGAGAATTGAGGTAGTCGCATCGTCCTGCAGTGTGAAGCGGAGGTAGTCCACCGGCAAGTCGGACAAGTTCGTGAGGCGTAGCCGCAGACGGATTGTCTGGCCCTCTAGTACCGTCAAGCGCCCGTGAGTAAGAGAGGAAGGCGCATCCACCTGCAAGAGCGGCTGGGAGGGGACGACCCGACACGTCAAGAAGCCACCCTGCGGCAGCTGAGGGGTTGCGCCTGCCTTCTTTGCCCCTGTTGACCCTGTACGCTCGGCGTGACCTTCAAGCGCTCGTCTCTGTGCCACGAAAGCCGGACGAGCGTCCAATCCGCTGACCTTGAGTCTGCTCCGCCTATCGTCTGCGGCTGCTTCGCTTGCCTCTTTGACCTTGTGCGCTGCCTCGTCGTACGTATGCACACGGAATTCCCGCTCTGTGCAGCCAGACAAAGTCAAGAAGCAGCCCTGGACGGTCAGTCGGTCGCTCCCAGCCTCACTGCCTGGTCCCTGTACGCTGCACACGCCCGTCAGCCGTACCGTTGTGTAGGATTGGGCCGGAAGGAGCACCTGTGGTAAAGCGTGAGCCTCAAATGGGGCGCCGCGAGTGCTGAGCTTGACATTTGTAAGCTCCAGGGTCGTCTTGAACGGGTTTTGGAGCGTGATGTGGAAAACGGCTTCTTCTCCTTGCATAAGAAGCAGGGAATCCTTGCTTTTGTTCTTCGTCGAGGAGCCCGCTGTGCCACTTCGGGACGTCGGATTCCAGAAGAAGGGGTTGTTGAGCCCAGCAATGGTCGAAGTCGACGCCGAAGTTCCAGCTTTTTCCGCCTCGTCTGCCTCTCTCAGCTCCTTGCCCGGCCTCTCAACGGGTATTCCCAGCTCCCCTGGCCCAGTTCCCTCGACCGTATATAACGGCTCTGGTGGTCCCCAGTAGAGCACCTCCAGATCCCTTGCGTCTCCCCACCTAGCCGTAGTGACGCATCTCGCCAAGCCACGCATTAGGCTGCGTTGCTCATCGCCGGAGAGGACCTCGTGATAGTCCCTGAGGAGGATGGCAGCAAAGAAAGCCATGCCGACATGGTCCTGGAGCATCTCGGCTACACAGATCGTATCCTTCAACAAGGCGACCTGGAGGTCGAGCCAGCCAAAGATCGGCTCATCAGCACCGGTGCTACCTCCTGTCTCGTGATCTGCCTCGCTAGCATACTGGCGAGCGCTCGCAGTCGCTGTGTCTTTCGCCCTTCTGGGCAGTAATGGCTCCCCCCTCGCCGTAGTCTTGCCCGTCCTAGCCGCCTTGGACAATATATGATTCGGCGGCACCCCCTTGAGGGGCTCGACGTCTACATTCACGCCGTAGGTCTCGCAGATCTGTAGAGCCAATATCAATACGGCGTCCGCGCCTTCTCCTAAGCCGCTCGTGAGAGTCTGAGAGATCATCGTCCCCGCCCCTCCTAGGGCGCGATGCTCGGATCCAACGATCTGCGAAAGAGCCATGCTGAGAGTGCGCGGCTCGCGAGGGTGAAGAAGGAGGGCACGAGCGAGCAGTGACACGACGGCAGCCTGCAATTGGCGGAGCAGGTATGCTTCACGCCTCAGGAAGCCTATGCATCCGAAGACGTTTGCGAGGGAGCAGAGGATCGCGATCTGGTCTGGCGGCTTGAGTGCTGATACAGAGTGGCTGAGCGCTAGTGAAGCGGGAGCCGCGATTTCGTGTCGTTGTACGACCGACGCCTTAGAAAGGGCAGCATACATCGCTGGACCCGGTCGTGCATCTTCCACAAGTGACGGCGGGACGCCTCCGTAGATGAGCTGGTCGAAGCATTCCGCATTCCACCCGCTTGAGGCCCACACGGCCAAGAGGAGTCGGGAGTAGGCTATACAGGCTGACGCGTGGATGAGAGGGTGCGTGTAGTCGCGAGGCGTCTCGCTGTTTACCGACCGGGCAGATTCGGCTAGGTAGCGTGGTGGAGCCAAGGTCTTGGAGTAGATGTCCAGGGCGAGGGAGTAGGCCTCGGCCACGTCTGCCCATTCTAATTTGGCGAAGGGCGACTCTGGTACAGCAGCTTTGGCCGACTTGTCCCTCTCTTTTGCCCCGCCGGTGGGCAAAGAAAGATTCGGCCCCTTTTCCTCCAGCCCGCTCATCCTGAATACAAGGCAGCGTGCTACAGCCCACCCTTCCAGGGCGCTTGCATACCAGACTGCATCCTGCCCACCAGCAAGGGCTCGTTCCTTGCCTAGCCAGCTCATGCAGGTGTCGTACCCGCCTAGGGCTCCCCAGAGGTCGCCTGAGAGGAGCGCGTAGTCTGCGCGTACTTTGGCGTAACGACCTGCACCCGTTGGGCCGGCGCCGACGAGGCTTGAGGAGCGCTTGACCTTGGATGAGCGCGCGGCGGAGCTCTGCGACACGGCTGACTTGGAGTTGCCGTTTGCTGAGCCGTGGCTAAGAGCATCGGGAAGGGTGCCTCCGCCGACTGGTGATGAGGATGAAGTCGACGAGGAGCCGAATGATGAGAAAAAGGACGACGCTCGCGATGCTGCTGATGATGAGCTGGACGAGGGCGATGTGGCCAGCGATGTCGACTGCGATGAGGTCGACGAAGCCGAGCTCGTGCCGGCAGAGCTGGAGGACGATGTCACCAGGCTACCATCGAGCGTCTCCCTAGGCGTCTCGAGCGATTTGCCCTCTAGCGCAGCCACGACGTCCCAAAGCCCATCGAGAAGGGTGCCGAGGAAGTCGCGCAGCAGTGTTCGCAGGTAGAAGCGCACATCTTTGCCGTCTCTGCGTACCGCGGGAAAGATGACGAGCCCTGAGTTGGCCGTGTCTGCGAAGCCTGCCATAGTGTCTGTCGATGGCGAGCTGAAGGATGAGTCTCCGCTACCCTCACCACTACCACTACCGCTTGCAGTCCTCTCATGGTCGGCACTACTGTTGCGAGCGCTCTCTATTGGGTCCTTGACTGAGGACTGCCTTGAATGCCCCTTATCACCTTCCTTGCCCGCCTTGGTATCAAACAGAAATGCCCTATGCACAATCGCATTCGGGTGTAGCTCTCTCAATGCTCCCGGTACCTTCTCGTAATCCTTGCCCTTCCCCTCTTCTAAGCTCCCGAGCGCCAAAACTCCCAAGACTTGGCGATGCATTGCGAAAGGCGCCAGAAATGAATGTGAAGGATCATAGCTGGTGACAAAGGAGAGATGCACCTCTCCGAAGCGATGAAGCGCTGATCCTACTGCAGGACCCGGTCTACCATTAGTTGAGACGGGCAGGTCAGCAAGGCGAATCGACTCAAAGGAGCGAACCACGGCTGCCCATCGCTCAAAGTCTGCTGGTGAGACGTTTGGTCCTGAGGGGGTGAGGAGCACGCGGATCTTGGCGGGGGAGATGAAGGCGCGTCCGCCAAAGGGGTCCTCTGTAGGGGCTATGCCCGCGCCAGAGGACATGCTGCGCAAATGAGGGTGATCAGGGGAGTGGGCGTAGGCAAGAGACGCGAGAGAAGTCTTCAAGTGCCATGTCGAGGCGTTGGTCGAGGCGGACGGAGATGCGCACAAGCCAGTGCCACGCGACCAACACGGCAGGGCTCAGGCACGGCTTCCGGCCCACATCTCAGACGACCGGATATCCAGGCAGAGGAGAAACGGCCGGCTTGACTTTCTTTCTCGACCGCATACAAAGAGACGGCAGGAGGGCGAGAAAGGTGGGTAAAGGTACACACGGCTGGCCTTCTCTTCCACATCCTCTTCGGACGGCAGCATGGCATCCCCTGACGCCTCGTCATCGTCCACATCACCACCACCACCACCGCCACTCTCCCGTCTGCCCGTCCTTCTGCCCCTCCTCGCCTCGCCCGCATCAGCACGCGATGCTGCCTCACCGCCCTTACATCTCCTACCTGGTGGAGAACTTCGCTCCTCGCGCCTGATTCATCGTCAATCGTCAATTGGCATAGAGTGGGTTTCCACCTCCCACGTATACCCAGCAGCATATCCGCGCTCTCACCCCGAGAGCACAGCTCCCCCTTGCTCTTCCGTAGAATCACGAGACAATGAGGCCGACCTGCTAGGCACGGCGAAGAGTAAAGACGTCGAGTCTCAGCAGAGGCATAGGGACCTAGCTCGCTTTGAGGAGATCAAGGCGCGCTATTCCGGTGGCCTGGCCTCCTTTTACCCGCCGGAGACGGAGCAAGAGGCTCAAGAGAGGGCCAAGGAGTTGGCTGCTATGGCCTATCCACAGTTGTGGAGCTGTGTGCAGCGTCTTGTTCCTGTGGAAGTGCCTGGTGGCTTGAAAGTGAGAGAGCGAATCGCTCGGGCTCGTAGAGGTCAGAGGTTGAAAGGGGAGCAAGAGGAGGGCTACACCCTTATTCTAGCCCATGCGAATGGATTCCACAAGGAGACATGGGAAGAGACCATTCGCTCTCTCCTCGAGTCTCTTCCCGACACGCTGCGCATCGAAGAGATCTGGAGTCTGGACAGCCTAGGAGCAGGGGAGAGTGGGGCCTTGGTGAAGGAGACGGTAGGCGATGTCTTCTCTTGGCTCGACGCAGCGAGGGATATTGAGCAGCTAGTCACAAGGTGCTTGCCCGAGATGGGCAATGAGGCCTTCGGACCGAGATGGCCGCCTACCCAGCTAGGGGCAAGAGCACCAAGGGAGCGTAGCGGCGCTATGCAGAAGGGCCGGCGTCAGCGACGTCATCGCAGATTCATCGGAGTAGGCCACTCAGTCAGCGGAGCAGCTATGGCCATGCTCGCTGGCACCAGACCAGGCTTGTTCGACGCGGTAATCCTCATCGACCCCGTCACGGGGCACAAGGACAGTTGTGAGTACCCTCGTCCCTTACGCAGCACACCTCCTCGATCAATGGCTCGTTGCTCACCTCGCTTCCCCTACTGCCGCCGATAGTCTCAAAACACCTCGACCAACCCTACACGGGCCTGAATCAACCTGCCGCCACGGGCGCTATTGTTCGTCGTCATACTTGGCTCTCAGGCAAGGCAGCAGGGGAATACTTCCGTTCCAAACCCTTCTTCAAAGGCTGGGACCGTAGGGTCTTGGACAGCTACACGCGCTTTTGTTTACGACCGCTCACCGTCCCTGGTGGAGGCGGGGCCGTTACGCTCGCCACTTCAAGGTGGAGCGAGGCGGCCGTATTTGCCTCGTCTGCTATTGGCTGCTTCGGACTGGCTGCCCTAGAGCACGGAGGGACGCGTAACGACGACGCCACACCAACGAAGATCTGGCACCTCTCCGCCTCATCCTCTCGCTCCGTCCAGCGGGATGTTGATACCACCGCCATCGAGAAGGCGATCAAACGCGGCGCGGCAGAGGGACGCTTTGGGGCAGGAAGTGGAGCTGAGCGATTGGAGAAGGAGAAGGCAGATCACCTGGTTGTACAACAGATGCCAGACTTCGTTGGCAAGAAGTTGGCTGACGTGCTGAGGAAGATGCTGCTTAGCAAAGCAGAGGAGGGCTTCAAGCCGCCTGGGGCGAGATTGTGAAAGAGGCTTATGATATCATGACCAATGCATTGCCTCTGCGTTCGACTCGTCTCGTCTCTGTACCTACTTGCTCGGCTTGATCCCCTCCGCATCCTTGGCCAGCTCTTCCGTCTTTGCCGCCATGACAAAGTCGTTCTCGTGAAGCTGGCGGCAGCGCAAACGATCAGGTCAGGTCAGCTTTGCACACCAATCTCCTGTCTCCATCGCTCGCATCATACTTACCCCACCGATGGAATGCGTCCACCATTCGACCCTCACCGCACCCCACTCTGTTGTGAGACGAGGATGATGCTTCTGCTCCTCCGCCTGAGCTCCAATGGCTGAGGTCAAGGCGAGGGCCGTGCGAAAGTTCTTGAAAGTCAGAGAGCGGGACAGTCTGGTGTGAATAGAGCAGTGATTGTCAACGTCATATCTCTACGGGACGACTTCTCGACGGCGACTGTGGCGCTTCACTCACGCCTTTTCCCCAGGCACGGCCTCTACGATTGTCCAGCCAGCCTCGCCGAGACCAGATTCGCGCAGCCTTGCTTCGGCCTCTTGGTCAGTCATTTTGGTGATGCCTGAGCTTTTGCGGCATGGTACACATGACCCCTGTGCGAGCTCTGCTGACGTTTTCGCCGACGAGACTGCGACTGTGGAAGACATGAGGCGAGTGTGTCGATGTGATGACTGAGGAACGCAGGGACGCGAGGGGCCAGCTCTCGCGGACACTTTGGTGACCGAAGCTGCTCTGCCTGTGGATGTGAGCTGAGAGCAGGGCCTGACGACTCTTGATGTCGCTCTAGCTGCGGCGCTCATCGACTCTTGACTTTGCCTTGACTAGTCTGACCTGGACGGCAATCTCAATCGCTATCGCTATTGAATGCGAAGGTTGTGCAGCTTTTGGGAGGCCGATCCGAGTCCGCCCACATGAGCTCCACACGGCCGTCATCGACCGCCGGCCGGATGTGACGGCACACATCAGAGGCTGCACCCTGCCACTCACCCTAGCTTCGTCAGAAGGAACAAGTCGGGCACTGACGAGAGGCAACCCTCCTTCATCCCCTCTCTCATTATTCCCCAACGCTAGCATGTTCCGCCAACTACTCCGGCAAGGCGGCTCAGCCCGTCGTATGCCCCTACGATGCGCGCCTTGCTCCTCGTCAATTGTTTCTGTCCGCCTTCTCTCCTCCTCGCACTCAAAGGTCTACAGCAGCGCCGATGAGGCAGTTAAGGACATCAAGTCCGGCTCTGTCGTGCTCAGCTCCGGCTTTGGCCTTTGCGGTACGCCTGACACTTTGATCGACGCCATTAGCAAGAACACGCAGATCCAGAACCTCACATGCGTCAGCAACAATGCCGGCAGTGGGGAGCGAGGACTTGGTGAGTGCGGCGGGATATCCACAGACGATGCAATGTAGCTAACCTCGATCTATATGGGCAGGCAAGCTGCTGGTCGCTGGCCAAGTCGGTAAGATGATCTCGTCCTTCATTGGGTCCAACAAGACGTTCGAGCAGCAGTACCTGGATGGCAAAGTGTCCCTTCAGCTCACACCGCAGGGATCCATCGCAGAGAGGTGCAGAGCAGGCGCCTTTGGTATCCCTGCCTTCTACACGCCTACCGGGTACGGAACTGCAGTACAGACGGGGGACATCGTTGTGCGTTACAAGAAGGAAGGCGATGCCAAGCCCGAGCCTAAAGAGTGGGCTACACCTCGTGAGACTCGCGAGTTCAACGGGCGCAATTACATACTCGAGGAGGCCATCCATGCCGATGTGGCTATCGTCCACGCGTGGAAAGCAGACGAAATGGGCAACTGTCAATTCCGGTCAGTAGGCGTGGGGACAATTGAGCAGCCTTCTGCGGCGAGCTGCGGCTGACTTCCCTCACCGACTTACCGCCTCGGCACAGCTACGCAGCCAAGAACTTCGGGCCCGTCTTCTCCAAGAACGCTAAATTGACCATCATCGAAGCAGAGGAGATCGTCCCGGTGGGCAGCATTGACCCCAACTTCGTCGATGTCCCCTCCATCTTCGTCGACCGAATCGTCAAGGCAACGATGCCGAAGCAGATTGAGGTGAAGACGTTACGCGAGGAGAAGAAGCCGCCCTCGAAGGAGGAATCTGCCCCTGCTGACGAGGCGAAAGCTAAGGGCAAGGCTCGTAGAAGGGCTATTGTGGCTCGAGCAGCAAAGGAGCTCCAGGCCGGGGACTATGTCAATCTTGGTGTGGGGATGCCTTCGCTGGTGCCCAACTTCCTGCCTGAGGGTGTGGACGTGACGCTGCACAGCGAGAATGGGATCTTGGGCATGGGTCCCTATCCTACACCCGCGGAGCTAGATGCTGACCTGGTCAATGCGGGTAAAGAGACGGTGACCCTCTTGCCCGGGGCGTCTACGTTTGACTCGACTGAGTCATTCGGCATGATCAGGGGAGGGCATGTGGACGTGACGATGTTGGGCGCTCTCCAAGTCGCGGCCAACGGAGATCTGGCGTGAGTAGCGGCGCGCCATCTCTGTGATCCAAGCTGCGATGCTGACCTCTCGTTCTCCGCATCCGCAGCAACTGGATGATCCCGGCAAAGGTCGTCAAAGGAATGGGCGGCGCAATGGACCTCGTCTCCTCGCCAGACAACACCAAGGTCGTCGTGCTCACAGACCACGTAGACAAGAATGGTCAATCCAAGATCGTTCACCGTACTAAGCTCCCCCTCACTGGATCGCGCTGCGTCTCGAGGATCATCACGGATCTGTGCGTCTTCGATGTCAACCGCAAGGGAGAGGGAGGCTTGACATTGATTGAGCTGATGGAAGGGGTGAGCTTGGAGGAGGTCAAAGAGAAGACGGATGCTCCATTTGAGATTGCGAGTGGGATTGAAGCGTGAGGGCAAGGATCGTACGATGCAATTGAACCCTCATGGCCGTACCCGTACCTTTGCGCGTGCCAATTGCTGTCGTGTGACACTAGAGTAGGCCTCTTGCACTAATCATCCGTCGTCGCGTTCTGTATTGCCTTGGCTTCGCCGTGAATAGAAGTGGAAGTTTGAACCCGGGTCTCGTCTCTTGCCACGCGCCTTTTTGAAATCCAAACTCACGCACTGAGCTCGAGTTCTGGCCCGCCCTCCTCGCCCTGCCGCCCTGCGCGCCCCGAGGCGAGTCATTGCACGTCGAGAGGTCGAGCTCAAGCTCGAGTCGTCTGCCTGGCCTCGGACGACGGCGGCGATTGGCCGCGTGCAAAAGTAGGAGGTCGAGTCGAGTCGTTCCCCGCTTCAGCGCTTGACGTCGAGCTTCTCCTTCTTCCGAACGCAGCATCCCCTGATATCGAGCTCAGAGAACCGCCAATCACTGCATTCTTTCCTACTGCATCCTTCATCCTCACATCATGGCCCCGACTGCCGCCAACAACGACCCTTGCCCGACTTGCGTCGATAGCGAGGGTCCCATCCGCCGAGTCAACGGCGAAGAGGCTGCCAACATTGAGCAAACCCACGTCGGCATCCCCAACACTGTCAATGGCAACGGCGCCAGCGCCAGCAACGGTCATCCGACCAATGGCAACGGTACCAACGGCGCTGCCAATGGTACCGACTCCCGCCACGGAGGCTACGGCTCGCAGCCTTTTGGTGCCGGCCGCGCCTCTGACCTCCTCTCGAACGTCTCCAACTTCAAGATCATCGAGTCGACGCTCCGTGAAGGCGAGCAGTTTGCTACCGCCTTCTTCGATACCGAGACCAAGATCAAGATCGCCAAGGCTCTCGACAATTTCGGTGTTGACTGCATCGAGTTGACTTCACCCGCTGCTTCTGAACAGTCAAGGGCTGACTGTGAGGCTATTTGCAAGCTGGGCCTCAAGACCAAGGTCATCACCCACATTCGTTGCCATATGGACGATGCGAGAATCGCAGTCGAGACTGGTGTGGACGGCGTCGACGTTGTCATGGGAACGAGCAAGTTCTTGAGGGAGTACTCGCACGGCAAGGACATGACCTACATCACCAAGAAGGCCATCGAGGTGCGTAGCGCAGCGCAAGGCGATGCGATTGTGTAGCGGACTCAAGACTGATCATCATCTCACTCCTCATACGCCCTCAGGTCATCGAGTTTGTCAAGTCCAAGGGCATCGAGATCCGCTTCTCGACCGAGGACTCGTTCCGCTCAGACCTCGTCGACCTCCTTTCCATCTACCAAGCAGTAGACAAGGTCGGCGTCAACCGAGTCGGTATTGCCGACACTGTGGGCTGCGCCAACCCTCGCCAGGTCTACGACCTCGTCCGCACCCTTCGCTCCGTCGTTGGCTGCGACATCGAGTGCCATTTCCACAACGACACGGGATGCGCCATTGCCAACTCGTACACTGCCCTCGAGGCCGGCGCGACGCACGTCGACACCTCGGTCCTCGGTATCGGTGAGCGCAATGGCATCCCGTCCCTGGGAGGCTTCATGGCTCGCATGTACACCGCAGACCGTGAATACGTTATGGGCAAGTACAACCTCAAGGCCCTCCGCGAGGTCGAGGAGCTCGTCGCCGGCGCCGTTGGCGTCTCAATCCCCTTCAACAACCCCATTACTGGTTTCTGCGCCTTCACGCACAAGGCCGGTATCCACGCCAAGGCCATCCTTGCCAACCCGTCGACGTACGAGATCATCAAGCCGGAGGACTTTGGTCTCAACCGCTACATCCACTTTGGATCACGACTCACTGGCTGGAACGCAGTCAAGTCCCGAGCAGACCAGCTTGGCCTTGGCCTTACCGATGCGCAGATCAAGCAGGCTACCGAGAGAATCAAGATCATCGCCGACGTGCGCGACCAGTCAGTTGATGACATCGATGGTATTCTCCGCATCTTTGCGCGTGGAGTCAAGGAGGGACACGAGGTGCACCGCGATGCTGTCTTCAACAACTTGTGGCAGGAGCACCTGAGGGCAACGGGCGAGAAGGAGGAGGACCTGCCTGAGCAACCGGCTACGAATGGGAATGCCAAGGCGCAGGAGCAATTGGCTGCGTAGATGAGCAAGGGAGTCAGGCGTGGACACTTCTCTGCATGTCCCTTCGTTGTTTTTGGTCGTTAGCTATGGTTTCGGTTTTCGTCTTGTGTTTTCCTTCCGCTACACACACACACACACACACACACAACACAGTTGATCGAATTGCCAGAAGATCGAAGCTGCGATGCTCGCCAATCGGTATGCGGGGATGGACGGGAGCGGTTGAAAGCGCGTGGAAGAAGCCGAGTCGTCTTGCCGGTTGGGCAGGCCTCCTCATCCAGATTGCCATCGACCAGAGAGGCAGCAGTGCGTATGAGCTATGGCATCTCAAGGTTTCGTTCGTGAGCAACAGACATCCATGCGATCTGATCGATGCCTCCACTTCACCGCAGCTAACACTCTTGCCTACCTCAGACCTTGCCCCTTTTCCCCTCTGCTGTCTACTCTAATGGTGGCAAGCGCACCGAAATAGTTTGGGCGGTCAGGCCTAGCCACGTGGTTCAGCGTCGTCGCGCACCAGCCACTTCCCTGACGAAGCCAATCGCATCTCGCTCCTTCCCCCCCGCTCCCCCGTTTGACTCTACCACTCGATCCTCTCGTCTGACGATCATCACCAACCGTCCACGACCTCAGACGGACTAAACGACTTGACACGACACCGCAACAAGCAGCCCATCTGGCGTCTAGCTTCCTCCTTGCCACGCGACATTAGTCTTCTTCATTGAGAGCTCGCAGATCAGCTCCACCTGTTTGCCTACACTTAGGGACATCAACCCACGACCGACTGAGACAGCATGTTCATCCTCAACTGGCTTTGGGTGAGCATCGAGAGTATGGGGCAGTGGTCAAGACTGACAGCGAGCGGGAGAGGGAATGGGAGAAGTGGAGCAGGCCAGCAATGATGGCTGCGCAATAGTGTGGTCTCTGGCCTTTGCTCGCGCTGCAGAGGCACGACGAGCTCGAGCGTATGCGCCAAAGCTATCGGAGGATAAGACTTGAGCGTGCCACGCCCAGTCTCTTCATCCGTGCGGAGGCTTGGCGTCGCTGTAGGAGAGAGTCCGGCCCTCATAGCCTTCAGAGAGAGAGAGCTTGCTGCGAGAGAGACACCGCCACGCCGAATCGCTCGCCGTCGAAATATATACTGACCTCCTCCCTGAAATCGGTTCCCTCTCCCATCGGTAGGACGTACTCGCCCAACTGGGTCTCGCCCACAAGAGTGGACGACTCCTTTTCCTCGGCCTTGACAATGCCGGAAAGACGGTGAGTTGTTACCCGTCGCTGAGCAGCCCTGGTGTTCTGCCCACTGACAAGTGGTCTCCTCATCTCCTCCTCTCTCGCAGACCCTTTTGCACATGCTCAAGAACGACCGTCTTGCCACTCTGCAGCCTACACTCCACCCTAGTGAGTGCGGCGAGGCCTCATTCCACGAGTCGAGCCTCTTGCTGACCTTGTTCGACCCCTTCCCTCGCTCGCAGCTTCCGAGGAGCTCGCCATCGGCAACATCAAGTTCACAACGTACGATCTTGGCGGACATCAGCAAGCTCGTCGCCTCTGGAAGGACTACTTCCCCGAGGTAGACGGAATCGTCTTCCTCGTCGATGCGGCCGACTACGAGCGTTTCGCCGAGTCGCGTGCCGAGCTCGACGCTCTGCTGGGCATCGAGGAGTTGAGCAAGGTCCCCTTCCTCATCCTGGGCAACAAAATCGACGCTCCCGGCGCGGTGAGCGAGGAAGAGCTTCGTCAGGCGCTCGGGCTTTACCAGACGACGGGCAAGGGCAAGGTGCCGCTCAAGGACATCAGGCCAATCGAGGTGTTCATGTGCTCCGTCGTCATGCGACAGGGATACGGTGAAGGGTTCAGGTGGTTGAGCCAGTACATCTGAGCTCTCGATGGTCAATAGGAGGATTATTGGGAAAGGGGGTGGGTTAGACGAAGGGCGTCGATGACGCATCGACGTGCCAATGTTCCGTGTCTCGTTATGAGCCTGCGGCTGCATCTGCCCGTTCGACTTGTAGGGTAGAGCGTCGATTCAATTGCAGGCGATTTTCTCAAGCTATGGCTGCCATTATGTGAGCTGCTGTGTCCACAATATGGTATTTACTGTTCGCTTTCAAATCCTCTTTCCGCTTCTGCACTCTGCCCCATCCACCACTCCCCTCGCCGAGCGCAGCGCCTCGATGCATTCAGCGAAGACGGCTTCGATGCGACGCAGATAGCGCTCGTCCTCGTTGTCCTCCTCCTCGACATCATCTCTGCGGTCGAGCTCAGGAGGCGCGGGTACATCGAGACTGTCATGTCCGCCATCGGCCGTGAATGCTGGCCATGAGGCGAGACTGAGGGGGATGGGCGTCGCGAGCGTGAGTGTACCCTCTTCGTCATTCCCGCTCGTCGCGTGCTTCTCTACTCTGCCAGCTACGGTACTCTCCTGCTCTGCTTCGCCCTGCCGTCTCTCTTCATTTGGCAGTCGAAGCCTTCCAAGCGCAAGCGCAGTCAGGCTTGCCCAAGCTCTTGCTGCATTCGGAGAATGGTAACCCCCACCTCCCAGTAGGAGCACTTTTGCCCTCCCTTCTTGCGCCCATTGCTGCACCTCTGCCACCCATCTTGCAACGCAAGCCAGATCGAGCTTCCACGCTCGACAGGGATCTCCTGCCAGACCGTCTACGCCGCACTGCACTACGATTGCCTCGGGGGAGTAGGCGTCTAGTAAGGGAGCGAGGCAGCTGGACCTTAATCGGTTGAGGGTGGGCGGCCGGCCAAGCTGGGGAGGGAGGGGGATGTTGAGGTGACTCGAGGAGGTTAATGACTCGCACAGAGGAGGAGCAGGTGGGTAGAAGCCAGGCGAGGAGTTGTGCAGCGAGATTGTGAGAACTGAAGGGACCGTTGATGCGGGTGCAGAGGAGCGAGAGGGTGCATTGCCTCCAGATGAGAAAGCTTCCTCAACACCGTCGCCCCAGTGCAAGTCTAGGTCAAGGTAGAGAATGCGTTCAAGGCGTTTTAGGACCATCCGGCGTTTACGTGATGGAATCGCAGGCCTTCGTCGCTGTGGATTGCTTCCGTTCTCGCTGACTGTCTGCCTTGCGTCGGCACTGCGCTTTGAGGATTTTACGAGGGTAGTGGCAGCAGCGACAGCGGCTTGGATCTCCTGCGGACGAGCACCAAAAGACAGCGTCAAAGGCTGTGCCGCTTGGCCATCCCGGAACACCGCGTCTTCCCTCCCGATTTCCCTCGTCATCAAATCCTCTGCTTCGCGCTCTTCCCTTGCTTCGCGCACTGCCACCTTTCTCGGCCTCTTCAACTCGAGGATAGCCAGGACGGCGTCGTTCACGTAGCAGAAGCCCGCAGCCCTTGCTTTGTGCGCATGATGACGGCCCCCATCCCAGCATATAGCTACATCGCACGCCTCTCCTTTTTCATCGTCGGCGAGTAGACTCTTGGCCGCACTGATGGCCGCGCCGGCTACTTGTCGAGCGTGCGCAGCGAGTAAGGGAAAGCGTGGACAGTCGTCTACGAGGCCATAGGATTCGTCGCTGCTGCCTTCGCATCGCCTGTCAATGTATGGAGGGCCTGAGTTGAGGATAGCACGAATGTACTCTGGTGCGTGGTATGAGGTGAGCTGGAAGTCTGTTGCTGGCGATGGAGTCAGGACTGATGCTTGATGTAGGCTAGAGGGAGGGCTGGCCGAGCATTCTGCGGGTGACGAACAGATGTCGGCCCCTGCTTGATCGAGAGCGCCGCTGCCGAGCACTTTCAGCAGCTTGCTCCTTTCTGACTCTGTGTTTGTAGGCTTGCGAGTTTGATCCAGTGCCCCTCGGCTGCCCTCTGACCCGCTGTCATCATCTTCGCTCTGTGCGCCGTCCGCCTCGCCGTCAGCCGTCGAGATGTCGAGGAGGCCAAGGTGATGTACCAGTGAGTGGACGAGGCTGGACCTCCCCAAGTTCGACGGCAGAGCATCTGATGCTTCAATGAGATCGGTGGAGACAATGTAGGAGACTCTTCGGTGAGGTTGACGCTGCGACATTGTCTTCGCATTCAAGTCTTGTGGCTCCCATCGACGATCTCAATGCCGAGGCTCCTTTCCTAATCACGGCAGTCGATGTATGCTGTGCTGACGACCTATTGTCATGCCTGACAAAGCATCGAATCAACGCATTCTGGCGAGAGAATGTCTAGCAGGTCTTCTGAAAGCTCAAATCCGCTTTGACAGATGCTCGTTGTTGATGGTCAGGAAGAAGAGCAAACGCAAGGTCGGGCTCAACTTTCAATCCAGTCGAGACGGCGGCGGCGGCCCGTGCGGCTTTTCGATTTGATGGGCGCGTCTCGCGTGCGTTTCTTCTGTCAATCATCAAACAGGCCGGCCTTCTCGTCAAGCCCTCATCACGTCACTGACAGCGGCAGTAGCTCACGCGAATGAAGTCACGGGTGCCCATCACCCTGCACCATGAACGTCGTGCAAGTGTCGGTTGCCGCTGCTGCCGCCATCCTAGCCGGGTAAGCAAACGAATGCGCATTCTCGTCAAATTCGTGAAAATACAAGCTGGCAGATTGGAAAACGTCGTACTCGCACTGGTATGCTGGATCGTCTGGTGCTACTCGTGTCGCTAGTTCTGCTCCCTCATCACATCGACATCGACCTGATATGACTTCCGCCCTCTGGTGCACCCATAGCCTGCGCCAGTGCTCTTGCGCTCTGCCCATTCGCTTGCGCACTCGCGGCCACCTCCCCATCAATGTCCCTCGGATCAAAGCCCGGTGGCCTCTTGAAGGTGTATCCCACAAAAGCCAGCTGCTTTCTCATCTCCAGCAGTCGGCCGCCATGCGCTTTATCCCTCAGCATCGGGTCTCTCGCCGGGTCAGGCGGCGGGGGCACGCCTCCGTTCTCGGCGGCAGTCAAAGCGCCTGGAGCAGCGAGTGGCTCGTCGGCAATATCGTCTTCGAAGTGGCGCGTGTCGGCCGCGTGAGCCAAGGCTGGGCGGAAAGGCGGCTTGGTGGTGCGATGCAGCTCATCCCAATCGATTCCCTTGAACCAAGGGTGCGACATCAGCTCCTCGACCCCGTCGGCCAGCCCACCGGCTCCGCCGGCCCCAGCGCCTGGTGGAGCGAATCCGCTCTGTTGACGAGCATTCTGCAGCACCGAGTTGGGCCTGCTGACTGATGCCGTACTTGTGCTGCCTAGCCTGTCCTCCCTTTCGCAGACTAGCCGGAGAATGAAGTCCTGAGCCTCACGAGAGATTCCTCGAGGCTTGGGAGGGAAACGCAATGTTTGACGCCAGTTGAGGATCTTCTGGCGCGTGAGATGACGACTCTTGGAGACAAAGGGAGGGTAGCCATAGAGCATCTCGAAGACTATGCAGCCAAGGGACCACCAGTCACACGATTGATCGTAGCCTAGGCCGCGTAGCACCTCGGGAGCCATATAATTGTTGGTGCCCACCACGGAGTAGGCAATCTTCTTCTTGTTTTTCTCCCGCCAGGTCAGGACGTGTGTGTGCGGTGTCCCGTCAGGGTTGCGGTCGCTCATTATCTCGCGGAGCTCTCGATCGTCGAGGGGGCGTCCAGCTTCGTCGCGCTGCGGGCCGCCACCAGCAGCACCATTTGCCCTCGTCCTCCTGCCTGCCCCCGCATCTTCCAAATCAATCCCGTGCTTCTTGAGCAAATTGCGGCGATGCTGATCATAGTACGCCCCGTCATGCGCCCAGTGGAAGCTTTGGCACAGTCCGAAGTCTGCCAGCTTGATGTGGCCCTGCGATGTGAAGAGGAAGTTGTCCGGCTTGATGTCCCGATGGATGTACCCGAGCCTGTGGGCTTCGTGAATTGCGAGGATCATCTCAGCTACGTAGAAGCGGGAGAAGTCTTCGGGGAAGATGTCCTTTTCGATGAGCAAGTTGAGAAGATCGCCGCCGCCCATGAACTCCATTATGAGGTAGAGGTGGTCGGTATCCTGGAAGCTGTAGACGAGATTGACGATCCAGCGTCGGCTTCCGCTAGCGCTCGCGCTCGTCATGAGGTCGCGTTCGGCGCGTACGTGGCCCTCCTGCCCCTTTCTCAGCATATCTGCTTTCCTCAACTGCTTCATGGCGAATAGCTGCCCACTTCCCTTTTCTCGTACGAGCGCCACCACACCGAACGCGCCGTGGCCGATGGTCTTCAACTTCGCAAAAGAGTTCGCGCTGACTCTCGCTCTGACATCGCGGAGGTACTCCGTTTCCCTTGCCGTCCACGCAGAACGAATGGCCTCCTTGCTAGACTCGGGAATGCGAAGGCCAGCAAGCTCTTTCTCGAGGCCGGCTCGGCGGGTATCGCGCGCGGCTGGCTTCTTGAGGATGCCATAGTAGAGATTTTCGAAGTAGATCTTGGCTGCTACGCTCTTTTCGACCGTGGTCAGTGAGGGGCGCAAAGCGAGATTGTCCATCTCTGCCGCCATGTGAGCGGAGAGGTCGCTGCCGTCGAGATAGGAGTCGCGAACTAGCATCGAGGTCGGTCGGGCAGCTGGATTGGTGGTGAGCGACTCGAACATCTTGTTCAGACCACCAGTACCCCGTTCTCCGCCGCCTGGCAGACCGTCGATTGAGATCGGAGCAGCGGCTGCTTGGGGATTACGGTATGAGAGATAGTCCTGAGCTTCTCCGTCTGCTTGTCCATTGGGGCTGGGAGTGCGGTTGAGGATCGTCGTGCCAGCGGTGTTGGTGCGAGGTAGCGTGGGTCTAGCGATTTGCGGAACTTCGAGCGTGTCGCGTGACTCCTCGACCGTCGGCTCGTCCGAGCCACCGCTCCTGCCCTCCTCAGCAATACCCTTGAACTGGTTGACGAAGCCACCGACGCCAGGGGTATTCGGGGCGCTCGTCGTCGGCATGCCGTGTAGCGTCTGTTGGCTCCCGCTGCTTACAGAGTGGCCCATCGTCGGTGCGAGGCTGTTGATCGTCGGCACGCTACTGGCCGTAAAGTTTGAAGGCAGCCCGTTCATTATCTGCAGTGCTCGGGGCTGATTGATGAGGTAAGAGTCCTGATGCATCGCCGCCTGTACTTGCGCAATAGCTTCAGCCTGATTGCGGGCCGCCTGCATCTTGAGAGCCTCCTTGGTGCGCTCCACCCAAATGGGGTCAGCTACCTTGCCGACCCCATCTCGTCCCCAGCGGTTGAGCAGCGCTTCCGCTTGCTCAGCATCACTGGCGTGTGCGGCGTGAACGAAACTGCTTGGCCGAGGGGCTGAAATCTGGCCTACATTGATACGCTTCTTCGTCGCTTTCACGCCGGGTAGGGCGGCGAGTGAGGATTGAGCTGCGGGAGGGCTGCCGTCTGGCGAGATGGAGGCCGCCGCAGCGGATGGAGGAGGGCCAACCTTGTTGGAAGGGCCACGAATCCCAGCCGTCGCCTTGCTGAGCGTGGATCGGAACTTCGAAGGGCTCGTGGGACGGTGGTCGTCTTGCATCGACCCAAGGAATTTGGAAGCTCCCGCTGTGTTGCCCCGATCATTGGCAAGCTGCATCAAGTCGAAGAAACCCTTGTGCTGGGAGTGGAACAGGGTCAGCGATGCGATAAGCAGCGCTCCACACGCCCGATAAGGACTCACCATGAAAGCGCTGCCCTTGCCATTGGCAGTAGTGCGGCCACTCTGACCTGGAGCGTACCTCGTCTCCGGCGTTGGGAAGCTCTGAAAGTGAGATGGCCTCAAAGGTGGCCTTGCAGCGAGCGGCGACTGCTGGCGCTGCAGGCCATTGTCGGCTGGGCCCTGGTGAGAAAGGCGTCTTCCCTGCTGAGCAGCTGGACGTTGAGGTAAGGGTGTTGGGCCAGACATGCTAGACGGCCTCTGCGGAGCATTGCTAACTTGGTGGTACGGCCTCGCAGCGCCGGGAGGCAGCTTGCTGGGCGATGGTGGCACTCCAGCGCGGCCTTGGGGCGACTGAGCAGCCGGAAAAGGGTACGAGTCCATTCGCACGTCTGCAGGAGAAGGAGGGCTCTGAGGAGGAGGAGCAATGTAAGAGGGAGCGAGACGTTGGTCTGCCTCGTACCAGGCTGACTCGTAGGGGTTCGGGTACTGTGGTCCATTTGGGATCGCTCGAGGCCCAAGCGGGCGAGCTGTAGCAGCCATCTTGCTTGGCGAGGAAGACGAGGCTTGTGCGAGACGCCCACTCGGGTGAGAGTAGTCAGAGAAGGAGGGTAAGATGGGGAGAGGGCGGGAGGGGGTGGAGAAGGGAAAAGGAGTCGTTCGCCGTCGACCCTGTCACCAAAAAGGAGAGAGTGCACAGAGCCCCCACGACATTGACGCCCACCGACCCCTCCGATCTGTGCGTAAATTGCTTGCATTGGCCGGCTAGACAGCCTAGGCAGCCTAGGCAGCCAATGTGCTATCGGAAGAGAAATTGAATAGGGGTCGAGCTGCGAGAGCGCTCTTCAGTGCCGCACGGACCCACGGCACGCTCGCTCTTCCGCTCAGGGGTCGGCGACATACAATCGGATCGGAAGACCCAGGCGATGCCGCGTCATTTCAAATGGTAGGCAACGCGAGCTCGTACGTAGGAGCTCCTTCGACTTGGAGATGACCGACCGATAGGCGGCCGTGTCTTGCACAGCGATGCACCCTTAGCCGTCGTGTCGCGTGCTCTATCCCCACCGACCGCCATGTCTGCCCCTCTCGCGCCCTTCTACATATGAGCCAAACCTTGCCTCCTAGTCTAAATGCCAAAGGGTGCGGGCGGAGATTCTGTCTGCTGTGATACACATTCGGCGAGGAGAGCGAAGATGATGCGGTATGCTTGCGGTGACAAGCACCTTCATCGTTGTTTGATCGCGGCATCTTCTATTATACCGTCACCCTCGCTACGTCGTTGCCCTCGTCGTCGCCGTCCGTCGTGGATCGTCGTGAGCCGTTACTGGCGTGTGAGAGCGAGGCGTTGAGCCGTGATGTGAGCGGACCTTGGACGAGCCGTTCGAGCTGCTCTCCTCCGCTTTGCCTGCTTTGCCTGCTCTGCCCGATCACCTCGCCATCGTCGCGGTCCGAATTGTGAAGCTCAAACGACTCAATTCTGCGTGCGTTGAGGCCGAGCCTGCTTGGTTGCTTCGGGCTGCCTCTCGCCGTTCCCTGCCCTGTCCCTCCCCCCTTCCCCCCTCCCCCCCTTCAGTCGTCTGAGTGTCGCGCTGCGCTGCCAAAAAGCATCCATCCGTCGACCGCGTCCGCCGCCCGGCTCTTGCTCGCACTGGGGCAAGCAGCAAGCAAGCAAGGTGAGGACGGACAAAACCTATGCAGGATGAAACGGGAGCCAGGGCAGGCTCGTCGGACGCTTGGACTCTTCGCGACGTCCGATTGACTTGGCTTGACTTAGCATACGATCACCAGATCACACTTTTCCCATCTCACCACTCTACCATCCTTCCTTGATATCCTCTACGCTCCTTTCTGTCAGCTTCGTAGGTCGACGTTCATCCGCGACCGCAACGCCTTGGCGAGCTTATCGCGGCCAGATCAACTAGCTAGCAACGACAACGACTCACGCGGGCTGTGTACACCCGCTCAAAGGCAAGCAAGCAAACCTACAACGACGGGCGCGCCCACCGCCGGCCCCGCCCTCGGACATCTCCTCACCTCAAAGCCGTCAGTTCACCTTGCGTGCCATTGATTCGCAGCAAGGGTCCTGGAGCATCTTCATCATCTCATCACGAGGACGATAGATAGGGCAGATTCTCGAGGCCCTACCCCACGGGGGATCTCCGCCTCGTCGAAGCATACATAGAGCGAGCCAAGAGAGAGACAGACGTCGTAGACACGCATCGACCTCTCCGTCTCCTCCTTCTATGGTCACGATGACTTCGGCCACCTCTTCTCCCCATCCTTCGAACGCCAACGCTCGCCAACACTCGCAGTCGCTGAGCATGGAATTCGAGATGCCGGACTTCAACCTACAGCAATCCCTCGACGACCTCGGGCTATTCAATCTTCCACCTGCCTCGACGTCGACACAATCTGCATCCCTAGTGCAGTCCATGGCTTCATCTTCCCACTTCACCGACGGCAGCGGTAGTGGCAGCGGCGCCGGCACCGGTGCTCCGGTCGACGGTCATCCTAGCCCAGCCGGGTCTCTGTCGAGGAGTGCTCCCGAGAGGCCACTGAGCAGCACCGGATCTCACGCTTCGCCTGGTAGCCATCGACAACGTCAAGAGAGCGCAGCTGCATCGTCGACTGCGGGCCCTTCATCCGGCGCTCACCCCCTCAATACCGTGTACCCGGCCGCCGACCGCACCAACGCCAATGCAACGACGCAGTCTTCAGACGAGGCCAATGCAGCGCTTCAACAGTTACTCTCTTCCATACAGACCAACGGCGTCGACCAACACCAGCAGCGCCAGTCGACCGCTCCTCAGCTCAGCCTGCAGGACATTCAGCGCCTTCTCCTCGAAAAGGAGCGATCAGACCAATTGCAGAATCTCCAGACTGCGTTGCTACGCCAACAGCTTGAGGCACTGCAGCGAGCTCGTCAGAATCCTCAGGTTATGCAGCAGCTGCCTCAGCAGCTTCAAGGGTCGCAGTCGTCTGTCCAGCAGCTCCTTTCTGCTCTGCAGGGCGGCAACGGGCAGCATAGCCAACTCCAGCCAGGCAGCGACGGCATGTCGGCTGACGCCAGTCAGCTCCTCATGAACATTCTCGGCAGCGACTCGCAGGCTGATGTCTCGCACAACATCCCCAAGCTCCTCGCAGATGCCTCCATGCTGGCGCAGTACGGCCTCATCACTCCGCCTGCGTCTGGCGGCCTCAACATGGGCGCATCGATGCAGCAGCGAGGATCAACAACGTCGCAGGCCCCCTTCATGTCGCCTCTGAATATGCCGCAGGGCACGCAGGGTGGAGCGGGACCGGTGCCCTTGTCCCTCAACGCAAGTGCAATGGGCGCAGATGGCTCAGGAGCATTGGGCCAGATTCGCCATCCTTACACGCCCCTCGAGTCACCCGCTGTCACCCCCGCCAGCGTCTTCTCGAACATGAGCCTCGGACACGGCGGTGAGCAATTCTTCTCTCCTCTCACTTCGCCAGCCCTAGTACCGCAGCCAAACTATTACCCTCCCAAGAGCCGCAAGAGCGGTACCACGCCCAGTGCCTCCCCACTTGCATTGCAGGGCAAGCCCGGCCCACTGCCGCGCAAGAACAGGAGTACGACAGCCGAGGCGAGGGCGAACAGGCAGCGACCTAGCCCGCTGATCAAGCCTACGGTCGGTACGACCGGAAGCGTCAAGCGCAAGAAGGACAACAGCAGCAAGCCAGCTTCGCCTGCGACGGTGTCTCAGCCCGAGTCTCGTCGCGCTTCGATCAGTGACAATGGCAATGGGCACTCTCGCTCGTCCAGCCAGGTGGCCACCTTTACACCGATCATGGCTGGCGCGGCCAAGCCCATGGACGCTTCGCCCTCCGAGGGGGCCACATCGACGCCCAGTCCTATCGATATCAGCACGGCAATGGGCCCGCCCCTGTCCACTGCGGGCGGCAAGCCTATGACGCCTGGCAGCCTGATGGGGATCGGTGGCAGTGGCGGTAGCTCAGGGGAGGATTCGTCGAAGCGAAGCGGTAGTCAGTCCTCAAGTCGATTCCGCGCCGACTCGCGAGCGAGTACATCGAGCCAGTCGCTCAGCAACGTCAAGCCGTCCTCGTCCAGCAAGAGCAGCAAGAGCAAGGGCAAGGGCTCTTCCTCTGTCACATTTGCCGCAAACGCCAAGGGCGAAGGTGTCACTACAGGGGGCGATGAAGAGCAAGACGAGGAAGATGAGGATGGCGGCGCCAATGGGGCAGGAGACGTCTCCGCGACATCCGACTCCCGTCGCACATCTCACAAAGCCGCCGAGCAAAAGCGTCGCGATTCCCTGAAGTACTGCTTCGACGAGCTGCGCGGTATGCTGCCTCCCATCACGCTCGATGAGGATGCCCCTGGCGGGTCATACCTGGGACCGGATGGCCTAACGGAAGACGAGGATGCGGAGGGATTCGACCGTGCCGATGTGATGGACCCGGAGTTCAGCAAGACGGCGAATAGGGCGATCAGCAAGGTGGCACTGCTGAGGCACTCTAATGAGTGGATCGTGCGATTGAGGGGCAGATTGGCGAGGAGGGATGCTGCGCTTGGGGCTGCGAGGTGCGAGGTGGAGCAGTTGAGGACGCTCTTGATGGCTCATGGGATCATGCCGCCAGCTGGGATGGGCCAACAGCACCACCAGCAGGCGCAGCATCATCATCAGATGCAGCAAGCGCTTCACCATCATCATCAACAGCAGCAGCAGCAGCAGCACATGGGTCACTTCATGATGCCAGGGGGCGGAGGCGCGGGAGGGGGCGGCAGTGTGCCTGGAGGCGTACCTGCACCTGGGATGGACTGGAGCTGAGCAGAGGCGAGCGGAGATAATGGAAATACCATTCTGACGATGATGTCTTTGCTACCTTACTCACATTTGCATCTCGTTGATAATACAGAGTCGCACATATCTCACGATCATCGCAGACTGTTCTTGCAACCTTTGAGCCTGAGTGGTGTAGAAGAGAGAAAGCCATGACGCCAGAGCGGGCGCGTCTGGCGGCCTGGGAAACGAGGCGCTCTGGCGGAGAGGCGCAGAGTCAGGCGAGGCGGGTCAATTTTTTGGGCGGAGGCGCGGGCTGAGAGCAGACGAGGCCGCACTTTGCTCGCAACGAGAAGGCAGCGAGCGCATCGCAACTCAACGCAAGGAGCATACAGCCACGACTCCTTCGCTCCTCTATCATCATCCATCTTGGTCCTTCCCCTAGCACAGCAGTGCTACCAAAATGTCTTCCTCTGCTTCATCTTCCCCGCGCTCTTCACCTGAGCCGACGTCTTCAGCGGCAGGTCGGGCCATCAAGCCCCTCCCCAAGGATGGGTCTGCCTCGCCCAAGCGACGTTCTCTTCGTCCTGATGCGCCCGCCTTCTCGCCTTCCAGCAATGCTGCTGGCCCTTCATCGGCGGCAAAGGGGTCGAAGCTGAAGCATGCCCTGCCACCCAAGCCCGTAGCTAGCACCAGCTACTCAACCAAGCCCCCCAAAGCGGCAGAGACGACTGTGGTAAAGGAGGACGGCGATGAAGAGGACGAGGAAGAAGATGTTGCAGAACCCGCTGCTACCACATCAGCTGCTGTCCCTGCCGCTGCCACGAAGCCGATTTCCTCTTCCTCGTCCTCCTCGACCAAGCGTCTCAAAGTAGACTCCTCCCTCGTCCCCCTCGCCCCCAAGCTGAGCAAGACGGCCGCAACTAGCTCCACCCCGCCTCAGCGTCTGATCGTTGTTCTGGAGCAGGCTTGCCTTGAGACCTACAAGATGTCGTCTTCCTCGGGCAAAGGCGGAGACGACAAATACGTTCTGCTCAACTGCGATGATCATCAGAGGGTGTTGGCCAGGATGGGAAGGGATATCGCTGAGGCCAGGCCGGATATTGTGCATCAGGTGCGTACTCTCAACACCTCACGGATGTGCTGCTTCATTCTCCTCCCCGAACTGACCAACTCCTTTCTGAATTTCCGCTTGCTTAGTGTCTCCTCACTCTCCTCGACTCTCCGCTCAACAAGGCGGGCATGCTGCAAGTCTACATCCACACAGCGAAAGGCGTCCTGATCGAGGTCAATCCGCAGATCCGTATCCCGCGCACATTCAAGCGCTTCGGTGGCCTGATGGTCCAACTACTGCAACGACTCTCCATTCGATCGGTCAACGGCTCCGAGAAGCTGCTCAAGGTCATCCGTAATCCCGTCACGGATCACTTTCCGCCGGGCACGTACAAGATCACCCTCTCGTACGATGCACCCTTGAGGAGGTTGAGCTCGCACTTGCCGACTTTGTTGAACAAGCCGCAGGAGGGTGCAACCCCCGGGCCGGATGGAAAGCAGCAGCCCAGGACGCTGGCCGTCTTCTTGGGAGCTATGGCGCATGGGAAGGACGACTTTGCTGATCAGTATGGATTGGATGAGAAGATGAGTCTCAGCGAGTACTCGTTGAGTGCGTCTGTGGCCTGTGGAAAGTTCTGCTGTGCTATGGAGGAGATCTGGGATGTATGCTAGGCGCGAGTGATTGCCCGGGCCAGGGAAGACAGCGTTCGGTAGAGAAAGGGAGAGAGTGGAGGCAGACGTCACGATGTCCTTCTGAGCGAGTACAGATACGCGTGTGATGGCGAGAATTGGCTTGCATGCAATAGTACAGATGATTTTGGTCTCGTCGTCGTCGTCGTCGTTTTTGGGTGCTGGCTCTTGGCGTGCGCTTCCCGCCTCTCTCACTCGTATTGCTCTCCACCCCCACCATCATCATCTCCACCGTCATCTTCCCCATTATCAAAGTAGTTCTGTGCATAATCATCGTCCTCCTCATCCTCGTAATTGCCTAGCTGCTCCTCATCATCTGCATCATCCAACCCACCATCGTCATCGTCATCCAGCCCAGCCCCGGCCGCTGCAGCCTCATCATCGTCCCCTCCTCCTGCTTTAGCAGCCTTCATAGCTTCAAAGGCATCCCAGTCGAATTTGCCTTCGGTATTGCCGCGACGTAGCTGCTGTGCTTGCTCCTTTTTGGCGCGCTGCTCCTCGCGACGAGTCTCGCCTTCCATATACTGGCGCCAGATTTCGCGAGGGAAGACTTCGCGTTGCAGCGTGAGATCTTTTGATTGAAGTGAGGGGGCAGGTTGCTCCTCTGGACGGTAGCGATCAGTGTAGCGAGGAAGGTCTTTGGGCGCGATGGTGGCAGGGAGGTGTCAATGCCTTGGCTTCCATTGTCATTGGACATCTGATCGGGGCAGCGCGCACTCACCTTTGACCTTCTTCTCCGTCTCCCTGGGCCAGTACGGCCCGCGTCTCATGGCATCCAAGTAGTCCAACTGCAACTGAGCAGCCCTTCTCTCCTTCTCGCTAGGCGGTGCTGGCTTGGGGAGGTCGGGCATGTAAGGGTAGAGATGCTCTGACGACTGGCCTTGGATGGTGGACATGACATCGCCGTAGGAGAGGTGGCCGAGGGGTACGGTGGGCTTGCCCCCTCGCCCGCCGCCGCGACCACCACCACGACCGCCTCGCGACATGTCTGCGGACAAGCTGAGAAGAGTTTTGCTTCGAAGTGAAGTCGAGACGACCCTCTTCTATCCAGAACAGCTGACTTGACCAGGCCCTTGATGCTCTCGATGTTGCGTTGAATTGTCCAGATCCAAAATCTCAAAGTCGCAGGTCGCAGCTGCTGCCTGCCTGGATGCCGCCCACCCGCGCTCCCGCGCTCCCGTGCTTCCGCCAAGCGCGACTGCTTCACGCTTTTCGCCTCGGCGCTGCCTTTGTGCCGCTTGACTGCCCGGCAGAAATGGCCTTCGGTGCAGCTCACGAACCTCAGGTCCGCCTGCCGCCCCGCCGCTGTTGACAAGGGACGCAGAACCGGGGCAGAGAGCAACGACGGACGACGACACGATGCCCCTCTTCGTTCCTCCTTTCCATTCATCACCATCCTCTCGCCGCGAGTGCTTGCTGAGCAGCATCACACACTCTCTCTTCATCACCCTCGGTCCATCCACTTCACTTCACTCTACTTCATTTGGAGCTTGAAGCTTCCAATTCATCCCACGCTCTTCTCGCCTTAAAGCTTGACACGCTCATTACTCTCTTTGCTCAACACACAAAACCTCTCGCAGCAACGTATCGCCCTCTCAACCCTCCACGCCTCTCGTCATGCTCGCATTCTCCCCACGATCCCTCGCCTTCGGCCTCGCGGCTGCTCTGGTTGCCGTTAGCTCTGCTGCGACTGCGCAGACAACGACCTCGTCCGCCGTCTCGGGCATTCCGACGGGCATCTCATCAAACTGCTCTTCCTTCCTCACCAAGCTCAACGCAGACAGCAGCATCAAAGCATGCACTGCCCCTCTTCTCTCCGCCACAACCTACTACACCAACGCCACCAAGTCTTCTTCAGCAAAGAATGCAGCTTCGGGCGCTCTGCAAGAGTCTCTCTCAAGGCTCTGCGGCGCGAACACGGGATGCGATTCGGGATTGATCAGGCAGTACTTGAGCGAATTCTGGTCAAGCTGCACGCCAGAGATCAAGAGCCAGACGGACGGAGTACTGGACGTGTATGATGTGCTTTACCTCCTGAACCCTTTCAGGGAGGCCATCTGCTCCAAGGACGATGATGGCAATTTCTGTCTTACCACGGTTGCGTCTACCGCGGATGGCAGTAAGACGAAGCGCAGCGCCGATGAGCTGCAAGAGGACTTCAACGAGGAGGAAGCAGAGTTCTTCTCGCAACTCCAGGAGCGCTTGCATCGCCGTCAATCGGACGCAAGCGACACTGCTGGCTCGACGGTCAGCAACTCCTCGCTGCCAAACATCGCCTTCCTTTTCGTCCAGCCGAACAGCGACAAGTCTGCCCTCTGCTCCGCATGCACGCAGAACATTCTCGCCTCGTACATCAAGTTCGAGACGTCTATCCCCTACGCGATTGGGTTGAGCAATTCAAAGGCGCTCGCCGGGCAGAGCGCGTTGTACAAGGCCGGGAAGGAAAAGTGTGGTGGCAAGTGGGCACCAAAGATCAATTCCATCGCTGGCACGACGGATTTCGCCAAGGTGGCGGCTGCACCGCAGGGCGTCAGGGCGAGTGCTGCCGTGATGGCGCTGGTGGCGGGTGTAGCAGCATTGGTCATGGCTGCGTGAGCGGACGACTTAGCACGGGAAGTATGGCCATTTGCTTGTCACGCTTCCCAAGATGGACTCTCGCAGCGCATCGTCACCACCACCACCAACACCACTACTACGGATCAATTTCCCATCACGGCCCGTTCAAGGATCCCGGCCGAGGCCATCCCCTTCACCTCTCTATTCCACCAACGCTTCCTTCCTCGCTCACGCAAGCCTCGTTTCGTTCTTCACCCGCGGCGCAGCAAGTCGTCCGTCTATTACCCACTTCGGGCTCTTTTCATTGCTCTCTTTTTTGATTTCCACGCCTCGCCCCTGTAACAGACCGTCGCCTCGTTTGCGTTTCCTCGCTACGCTACCCCTCTCCCTTCACTTCAGTGGAAGGCAATCTCGTCTCGCTGGTCGTCACGATGCAATGAATGAATGCGTTTCTGATTCTGGGCCGTTGAACAAGAGCATGACTAGATGGGCTTTGCCAACGGGTAGCGAGAAAGGCCGTGCGCGACCCAGTGTCGGACGAGGGCGAGCGGGAGCTTCGAGCGGAAGGCCGAGTGTTGGCTTTACTCCTCCTCGTCACTCGACGGCATACACGCATATTGGCCATGGCACTGCTGCACTACAACGAAGGAACAGATGGAAGATAGACATCGGTACTGGCCCCCAACAGACCAGCATGATAGCCATCGCTGGCAACCGACTCGCGACGGTCGGTCGCCGCCGCCGCCGCCAGGACCACCACCGGGTCCACCACCTCCTCGTCCTGCTGCGCTGAGCAGGCCTGCCCAGCACGGAGGTCCTCCTATGCAAGGGCAAAGCAGAGGTCCGTTGCATTCTGGTGCCTCAAGGGATGAAGAAGGAGATTGGCGGCGCACCTCGCAGCCAACTCGCATTCTCATTCTCTCCAACCTCGCGTCAAACGATGGTCAGACGGCAGCTCACCTCGCTCTCAGCATCAGCACCATCGATCATCCCTCGTCGATGGTCGTGAGAGCCCTGCAGCGGGTGGTGCTCGTTGTTACTACAGGTGGCCCTGCTGCGAAGGAGGATAGGGCTGAGCAACAGAAGAAAGAGAGCAAGACAGCCTTTGCCTTCTTCAGCAGCGTCGAGGCCGCAGGGATCGCTCTGGAGGCGCTGAGAGCCAGAGAGCTATTTCAGGCCAAGACCGCTCATATCGCAGCACTCAGCAACGACAGTCAGGGATCAGGTAGCAAGGGGCAGCACATTGACTTTGCTCGTTTCAGCTCCCACTTCATCCAGGCAGGCGAGGGCCGAGGCAATCCTGCCTGCGGCGGTGAGGATGCTTCACCAAGCTGGACTACAACTTGGCACGACGACGAGACAGGCCATGATTGGCAGCCGGTTGATCCAGAAGCGAAATGTCAGATCTGGCAAAAGGGCTGGCCGTTGCCACTGCCTAATCCAGGCCGAGAGAAAACCGAGGGTCGTCCTCCCTCCCACCAGCAAGCAGAGAAGTCACAAGCATCCTCTGAGAAGCACAAGAAAGCCAAGGTCCCACCAGCCCCGCCGATACTCGGAGGTAAGCTAAATGCGGCGCACAATATCGCTCATTGGGGGAGGAAGCAGGAGGAGCTGCACGGCGTCGGGCTGTCCACCGTCGCTGCGACGAAGTCATCAATTCCAGCCGCATCGGCGCCTATGCAGCCCACAGCGCCATCAATATCAACCACGTCACAGTGGAAATCCATTCCTCCATCAACCACCTTACCTTCTTCAGCCCCATCCGTCACTTCGCACAGGGAGAGCGAAAGCTTCACCGACCCTGACCCGGCCGTCCTCGCCTGCTACCTATGCTCGCGACGCTTTAAGACCCCAACCCAACTTGCCAAGCACGAGGCTCAGTCTGAACTACACAGGGGCAATTTGGCGGATGAGAGCAAGAGAGCGGAGGGTAGGGAGCGGAAGAGAGAAGCGAGGGACAAGGATAAGAGGGAGAGAAAGGAGGCAGCGCAGGTTGAGGGAGAAGAGCCTTCAGCCGAAGTCGCGAAGGAAGCGCAGAACAACGAGGTGGATTGCGCCTCCGGTGAGGCAGCTGCAGCTATCGTCGCCCCCTCCGTTGCTCCTCCTCAACCACAGTATAGGGATCGAGCCCTGGAGCGTCGCGTCGCCTTCGGGATCGACGAATCTGCCCTGTCCCAAGCCAAGCGCGCCAAACGTCATCATCAACAGGACCGTACCTTTCATCCCGGTCCTCCTGCTCCTACCGCATGTTCTGCTGCTCAGCCGGAACCTGAGCCGCAGCCGGCAAGCGGTCGTGCCCTCGACGACAGTAATGTCGGTCATGCAATGTTGCGCGCCATGGGCTGGGAGATTGGGCGAGGCTTGGGTGAAGGGGAGAAGGAGGGTAGGGCAGAGCCTGTTGAGGCTGTGCTGGGTTTTGGTGGGGAGGAGAGGGCCGGCATTGGTGCGACGAGGAGGGTTGAGGAGACTACACTACCTGTCGGCGTGGCAGGGATAGGCATGATGCAAGGCTCGATGCTTGACCAGGCGAGGGGGGCGAGAAGAAGGAGGTATGAGGAGATAGCCGCAGGCGAGGGAGAGGGAAGCCAAGGCCAGCAGCGATGACATGGCAGTATAGTGGAAGCTCTACATTAATGCACGGTTACAGAACAGATTCGAGCGGAATTGTCAGGATATCACGTAAAGTGAACAATCGGCTGCGAGTCTCAAGCCATCTCGTACGCTTCGTCCTCCTCCGGCCCGCTGACGACGACGGAGGGCAAAGCCTGATACTGAGCCGACGAGGAAAGCGCCGCAGTGGTTGGTGTCGCTGCTGCTGGCCCTGCGAGTGATCCACGCCGTGTGTCTCCCCGTCGCGAAAAGAGGCTCGCGGCACGACTCGCCAAGCTGTCCAGCCATACAAAGGCCGAGCCGGGCCGGCCACGAGTGGCGCCCACAGCCTCGTACTCATCGAGAGCGTCTTCGTCATCGTCCTCCGCCGACTTCTTGCTCTCCAACACAAGGCCGTCCTCCCCATCAGCGCCTCCTTCAAGATGCCTCGGTCTCCTCCACCACTTCAAAGTCAGGCTCCCGCCCACAACACTAACACTACTAGCAGCCATAGCTGCTCCCGCCATCATGGGATGCATCTTCCAGCCCCAGGGCAGGCCGACACCCATGGCCAGCGGTAGAGCGACCAGATTATAGCAGGTAGCCCAGGCAAAGTTGAGCCTGATCTGGAGGAAGATCCGGCGGGAGAGCAGGAGAGAGGATGGCACATCTAAGAGGGAATTGCGCACCAGTACGATGCTGGCAGATTCCAAGGCGATGTCCGAGCCGGAGGAGAGGGCGATGCCGCAGTCTGCAGAGGCGAGAGCGGGGCTGTCGTTGATGCCGTCTCCCACCATTGCTATCCCCCCTTCCGACCCCCTTGGGTCGAGGGCTAGGTCCCGCCTCAGCTCCTGGATGAGCTCACTCTTCCCCTGCGGCGTCCTGCTCGCATACACGTCGTGCTCGTCATCTATCCCGACCTGTCTTGCCACGGCCCGCGCGGTAGCTTCCGTGTCTCCCGTGACCAAGGCGGTGGAGATGCCCATGGAGTGCAGGGCTCGGATCGCCCGCCGCGCTTCTGGACGAACTTGGTCTGCGAGAGAGAGGGCGAGTATGACTTGCGAGTCGAGCGTCACATACACAAGGGTACGGGCGAGATGCTCCTCGACTTGGGCAAAGGTACTGAGGCTCGGTGGAAGGTGGGGCGAGACCATCTCCTTCTTGCTGCTGCTACCGGCCCCGCCGAATAGACGAGAATTCCCGATCGATAGGTGGTGCGGGTGTGACGAGGAAGCGTTGCTTCTGACCGTGCCAGTGACTCCCTGCCCCGTAATGCTCTGGAATGACTCGACAGCCAGGCCCGTGGAGCCCTCCGTCCCCTCTGCAATACCACAGCGTCGCCTTGCGTAAGCCGCAATAGCGTTTCCGAGGGGATGCTCGCTTTTGCCCTCCAACGCACCAACCATCTCCAGTGCATCGCGCCGCCTCAGCGTCAACCTATTCCCATCTTCATCGCCCAACACAGGTGCATCGAGGTCCTCATCGTGCGCCGTGACCGGCCCGCCAGCCCATGCCACTCCCACAACAGCCACCTTTCCCCTCGTGAGCGTGCCGGTCTTATCGAAGAGGACTTTGCGGATCTTTACGCTCGCCTCCAGCGGTCCACCACCCTTGATGAGGATGCCGTGTTGCGCCCCGACTCCTGTGCCTACCATCACCGCCGTGGGTGTCGCCAAGCCCAGTGCGCAGGGGCAAGCCACCACCACGACGGAGATGCACAACTTGAGGCAGACCGCAAATTTGGTTGCGTGCTCCTCCCTGAAGACTTGGGGGAGGTGATCTGGCCCAAGCAGATGAGCGAGTGCCATCCAGCTCACAAAGGTGAGCAAGCCGAGCCCGATTACTGTAGGCACGAAGACGCCCGCTATCCGGTCGGCAAAGGCCTGAATGGGAGCCTTGCTCGTCTGAGCCTCAGAAACTAGTCGCACAATTTGCGAGAGGGAGGTGTCCTTCCCTGCGCGATGGACCAAAAAGTCGAAGGAGCCGAGACCATTGACCGTGCCTCCAATGACGGGTGAGCCGACCCGCTTGGTGACAGGCATAGACTCTCCGGTGACGACGGACTCGTCTACCGTGCTGGAGCCGCGCACAACGACACCATCTGCGGGGATGCGATCACCGGGAACAACCTTGACGTAGTCACCCCTCTGCACCAGCTCACCCGGCACGCGCTTCTCAGCCGAGCACTTCTCCCCGTCGGTGTAGATGACGGCCGCAGTAGGCGCCAAGCTGATGAGTCTGCTCAGAGCCTCGGACGTCTTGCCTTTAGCTGCATTCTCAAGATAGCGACCGAAGGAGACAAATGTGATGAGCATGGTCGATGTATCGAAGAATGTTGCCGGCTTTCCGCACATGTGCTCGGGTGTTGAGGAGCAAAAGAGGCCAAAGAGCATGGAGAAGGCGGAGTAGGTGAACGAGGCCGTGGTACCGAACACGACCAGGACGTCCATTGTTGCCGAGCGATGCTTGAGAGCCTTCCATGCCGTGCGATAGAAACGGCGGCCGACTCCGAATTGGACGGGAATAGTAAGGGCCAAGCAGAGGACGTCGGTCAGGTAAAGCTGTGTGATTGGCTGCCACATGAGGATAGACCGGGTGACGGACCATTTGGGGAGGACCATACTGATGAGAAAGACGGGTACGGCCATAGTGAGCGAGGCAATGAAGGCTTGTCGCCACTGCGTGACCTCCTTGACCCGACTGAGCGACTGAAGCTGCGTCGAGTCGCGATCATCGGCGAGGACGACATCGAAACCTGCGTCCTCTATGCGTTCCACGATGTCGCGTAAGCCCAGCTGCTTGGCGTCGTACCGGACTTTGGCTCGCTCTGTCGCTAGAGCTACTTCGCATGACTGGACACCAGCCAGCTCGAGGACTCCAGACTCGATGCTGGCTACGCAGGCGGAGCAGGTCATGCCGTAGACGGAGAGCGTCGCCTCCTCGATGGCTGGTGCAGCGTCGCCTTGCTCAGCTGCTTGCGTCGATGATGTCTGCTTTGAGGCTGAATCGACCTTGACATCGCTGAGTACTATAGCATCGAATCCAACATCTTCGACTTCCTCAACGATTTTTTCGACCGTCCATTGAGAAGGCGCATAATCGACGACAGCTCGCTCAGCAAGGAGAGCAACGGAGACGTCGAGGATGCCGGGCTGTTTACGCAACATAGATTCGATGGACTGGTAGTGGCGGGCGCGGATGACAGGGAATTGCGATGATCAGTGGATGTTCGTTTTATCTGATGGTAGCTGCGGATCCGCGCTAGTAATCACCTCGACGCATGCGCCACAAGTCATGCCCTCGACTCGCAGGGTCGCCGTAGCTCGATCCATTGCTGCGCCACCTCCTTGGCCGTCTGGAAGCATGTTGCGAGGTGAAGACGCATCATCCACGGCGCTCATGGCTTGGCTGTAAGGAGTTGTATCGCATCCAAAGAATGGGTTCGAGGGGAAAGAGGAGAAAGGAAATTCGTCTGAGAGGAAAGGTAGGAAAGAGTGCAGCAAACATTGAACGGCTAGCGCCGCCGCACGACTCGCCGTCTCCGTCTCCGTCATCCGTCGATAAAGCGGATCTAAGACTCCGAGCCACCTCACCTGGCCCGCGTGGCACTCATCTCGGGCAATAGGGTGGCAGCCGCCGGCAACTCTATCCCACGCCGAAAACGTCTGACGTTGGGCTCCCGTGACGGCGAAGGGTCACGCAAGAGCTCAACCGGTGTTGAGCTTGGTGTTGACTGTCTCTTCTTCGTTGCTCAAGACCGTCATTAGGGCAAAGGATATGCTAGTGTGCGCTGTGAATCAAAGGCCGCTTTGCCAGCTGTCTCCGCTCTGCTCGATCCATCAACCTTGCCTCAATCGCGGGCGTCGGGCCCCTCTTTCTTGATGTCCATCCCCCTCCTCTCCTCCTCGTCAAAGAAATGCTTGATAGCCTCAGCTATCTTCCCATCCCTGATGGCCTCGTACAGCCTGGTGACGCGTCCGCCTACGGTGCTCTTCCAAGCGGCGCCGTCACTCCCACCAGCGCTCCCAACACCCACACCGTGAACAGCACCTCGGCCAAAAGAGCTTTTCAGCTGTGTTCCCTTGCGCGGGTGCGGCCCAGACCAGGCTTCGATTCCCAGCTCGCTGCGGACGAAGGTGAGGATGCGTTCCGTAAGGGCACACGGATGTCCGTGCTCTTCCTTCTGAGTCCTGAGTATCCCGTCACTCCTGCTCTCCTCATAGAGCCTGCAGATGTGCCTACCCACAGCCGCCAAGATCTTCTCCCTGCTATTCCACTCCTTCATCCCCTCATCAAGATGTCGGCCTGACGACTCGCTCTCCAGCATCGCAGCGACAAAGAAGTTCGGATCAGACATCACGTATAGCGATGACGCCGCGTCATTGGCTCGCGTAGTGTAGTCTAGGTGGCCCTTGGTGATGAAGCAGAGAACGAGTCGCTCGACTATGCGCTCGACCGTAGCTTCAGAGGAAAGAAAGGCGTGACTCTCTTCCGGAAAGTGAGGCGAATCGCGTGTGTACCACGCATAGACTTTGTCGATCGAGAGACGGTCCCTTGAGAGACGCTTTGCAGCATCCTTCAGCCAGGCGTGAAGCTTGCCAACAAAGAGCACAAAAGCGAGACGGAGGTCTATAGCCTGCGTGACGACCATGAGTGCATTTGCACAGAGCTTGCTCAAAGTCTCGACCGCCATGGCTGTGTATCGTGCTGATACGAGCGCGAGAGAATTTATACTCTGGTTGTGCATCTCGGCGCTCATGCAGAGGTGGTTGACACGATTGGCCAGGTAGGCCAGCTCGGACATGTAAGCTGCGCTTGCGATATCCAGGCCTTTGAGCCCGCCGTCCTTGTTGGGGCCATCACAGGGTGCGAGACAAGGCTCCAGTCCGTTGGACATTGAGGCGTTGAGGAGCTCGGTTTGTTGGGCGAAGACGATACGGCCTAAAGTGGCAAGACCATCCCGCGTCTTTTCAGTCGCGTTGGTCACGGCAGTGGCTTGGAAGTTGCCCTGCGTGGGAACGGATTGGGAGGAAAAGGTAGATGAGTGCCAGGCTGTGTGCGAGCTCGATATGCTTGCGCGCACTAACCGCATGGAGGACCTCGGATGTGGCGGGATCCATCAAAGGGTTGTCTGTGCTTGAGTTGATTTCGATCTCTAGATTGTGATGAGCAGCGATAAAGTCCTCGACGACGGGGCCGATCCACTGAGGTGCGGTACGAGCGGGGTAGCTGCAGGAGTTTGCGAAGCAGTCGAATCAGTTGACGCCTCTTCAATCTCTACCGCTGCCATGCCTACTCACCGATCTTGCTTGAGAAAGAGTCCATCGACCTGCGCTCCGGCTTCAGCAGTAGACTTCGTCCCAGCACGCCAGAGCAGCTCGACAGGGCTGCTTGTCTTTTCCTTCGCCGCATCTTGTAACATTCCACTGCTGGCCAACCAACGCCTCAAGTTGCGTGCTACCTGCACCTGCCCAGGGTGAGGACGCGCCGTGTCGTGTAGAAAGGCAGAGAAGGGCTCCTTGAAGCCTAACGATGCCTCACAGGCCATTGCGGTGACGACCTGCGTGAGGGCGAGCAAGCCGTGGGCGTCGTACAATGCCTGAGAGGCAACGGAGGCAGCAACTGCCGTACCGTTGATGATAGCTAGTACCTCCTTTGGCTGGTAGACGAAAGTGGGCACGCTGAGCTGCTGTAGAGCCTCGCGAGCGGACATGCGTTCTCCCTTGATGTCGACCTGGATTCCTGCATGCCCGCATAGAGCGTAGGCGATGTAAGCAAGTGGCATGAGGTCTCCGCTAGCGGAGATGGACCCCTGCGTGGGTACGACAGGCGTGACGTTCAGCACCAGCAAGTGTCGAAGAGCAGCGATGAGCTCCCAACGGACGCAGGAGTGTGCGCGGAGAAGGTTGTTGATGCGGAGCAACATGGCACCGCGTACCCAGGCGGTAGGAAGGGTGTGAGATGGCCCGCTCATGGAGGGCGTGGTTGAATCTATGCCGGCGAGGAGACCTTCAAGGGCGTTTGCGATTGAGTCGGCTTGTGAGGAGGGTAGAGTGGAAGCAGCATTTCCGCCGAAGCTGGTCGTGACGCCGTACACGGTGCGATCTCTGCTTGAGACGAGAGTGGCGAGAGCTTGATTGCCAGCCTCGACGGCGCATTGACGAGCGTCTGCGTCCAGCTGAAAGCTGCTCTTGTGACGGGCGATGGCGTTGAGATAGCCAATGGTGAGAGATGAGCCGGTGAGCTTCAGTGTTCCGTCGGTACCGGTGCCGTGAGCTAAGGTTTCGAGGAAGAGAGCATTGTGCGTAGGCGGACCATGATGAGGTACAAAAGAAGCGCGGACTCCGTCATGGCCATCTCCATGGTGGCCGTTGCTCATTAGAATGTGAGGTGAGGGACGTATGGGAGTGGTGAGGGGAGGAGGCGGATGCTGAGGATGGTGAGAGAGAGGGCAAGGAACAGAGGATCGTTGTCGTGTTGCTGGTGAGAGGTCAGGAGTCAAGGTTAGTCGTCGCTTGGTCATGACTGCTTGAGGGTGGATGTGCTTCGGTTGCGCTAAGTCTATGGTCTGACTTCAGGGTGGGTTTGCAGGCTGACTGACGTGTCTCAACGAGTGAAGTGCATTTCCATTGCGAGTCAGCGTCAGCGAAGCGGGTAGCCGCATCTCGTTGTGGGTCAACACCCTGTGCCGCCTTCTAGATGCCGCCTTTGCAGCATCCTTGTCATCTTTGCGGAGAGACGCTCGCAGGTCTGCAATTGGAAGCCGGTATCAACGATGGTCGGGGCATTTGAAGAGGTACAGCCTTGATGGAAAGCAACGAAGCAAGCACAGCCAGCCGCCGCCAAGAGGTCGAGCCACGCTCGACGCGGGAAACGCGACACGGAAACGAGGCGTCGGCGTTGAGGGTGGAGATTGACGGATAGGCACAAAGTTGAAGCAAAGGCACCTCAACTCAAGCTTCCCTCGACACCCACCCTATTTCGCACCTTCATCCTCTCACCCAATCCGCAATCTGCGGCATCTCGAGATGGTCCGTATTCACCTCAATCTTGCACCAGCATCGGTTGGTCCCTCATCGAGCAAGAGACGTCGGCTCAATGGCGCCGGCGTCGATCCCGACCAAGGCTCCTCTGCAGCCAGCAGCAGCGTGCCTCGTCCACTCCTCGCGCTCAGCCCCAATGGCGAGCTCGTACTGATAGAGCTACAGGGATCGCTCGAAATGGAGGACCAAGGTGGTGCGGAGGGAGAGTCATCGACAATCGGCGAACTCATCTGGGGAGAGGGCCGCGAGGACAAGCCCACGCTGGTGCTCTCTCACCATCGCCTCGAAGGGAAGCTGGCTACTCTGTCTAAGCCTTTGGCTGTCATCGAGAAGAGGAAAAGAGTGGACCAAGAGGAGGAAGACGTAGATAGAGAGGACGGAAGAGATGGGGGTGTAGGCGAGGCGCCCAAGAACAATGGTCATGGCGCTGCTGGAGATGCTGCATCTGGACCACTATCATCGTCCTCGACCACGATCCACGCAAGCAAAGAAGAGGAGGAGGCTCGAAGACTACCGACAGCAGCAGCAGACGACGATGAAGACGATGCGCTCCGCCTGTCGGCCTTGCTGGCGGACAGCGATGATGAAGACAATCGTGACGCGAGAATAAAGCGACAGCGTCATGCAGACCCCGTCTCACCGACTGCAGAACGCCGCGGCAAGCTGGGAGGTAAAACGTCCATCAGAAATGGTGAGCTGGGTCGTCCACCTGCGAGCAACAGAAGTGAGCCAGCTGTTCGCGCTGGAGCAGAACGACAAGGCGAAGAGCAAACGGCCATGCCACAGACGACCGACCCACGCTCTTCCCCTCCCTTGAGGTCGAGCAGCCCCGCACCAGTGCCAGCTCCTCTCCACCTCGGCAGCTCAATCGACTACAGCAGCCCTCCGGCCACGCCGCAGCGTGCGGCGCCCGAGCACCGAGCCAACGACGATGATGAGGACGAGGGCGACAGAACGATCACCGCTCCGCCAACAGCTTCAGTACCCAACGGCAACAAAGCTGCCGATCTGACCTCTCGGGCTCGCCGCACGCGCCAAACGGCGACGTACTACGACGTGGTCTGCATTATCCGTAAGAAGGTCCTCTTCAGCAAGCGGCCCGAGCCACTTGTACACGGCGTCGGCGACGGTGCAAGACTCTGCTAGACCAGACACTCCAGTGCTCATTGTCATCATTATCATTAGCATTCCTTCAAGCGCCGCTAGCACTTCCTCGCAATCCCCTTCCTCGCCTCCTCCTCCCTATACTCAAACATGACCTGTACGCCCACAAAGAGCGTCCCGCACGCCAACACCATAAAGCGCGCCCCCTGGGCAGTGGTGAAGAGCTGCTCGACGAGATACTTGGCCCCTTCCACTCCAATGGCAAAGCCTACCAGATTCGCGCCCATCATGAGCAGAACGTTGCCCACTCCACCGATAGCAGCAACGTGACGATACCATGGATGGTGGCCGTACGCCGAGGCTGGTATAAGTTTCTTGCAAAGCACCTCGGGCAAGATGAAGAGGGTGATCAGCCATCCCCACGTGAGGAGACGGAGGGAGAGGTCGTGCCACAAAGCGACGAAGGTGAAGACGAGCAACGTAGCCGCCAAAGTAGTCAAGGTCGAGCTATTCCGCCTACCTCCTCCTTGGCGGCTGCCGCTGCCCCACCCAGTCTGACAAGGTACATAGATGTATCTCACGACCCACAGATTGTAGCTGCGGTGCCAGCTACGCCAGAAGCCTAGTGTCGAATAGTTGTTGGCCATACAGCGTACCATGTTCTCCGGCGGATCGACACCGTCCGCTAGCGCCCAGAGGCGGAAGAAGCGCCAGGGCAGGAGGAGCTTGAGCCAGACGATGATGAGGTTCCAGAAGCCGATCATGCTTAGCTCTAGGGGTGATGCGCCTGACCACCCATGCGGAGTGTCCTTGATCGCGTTGACGTAAATGAAGTGGCTGCGTATGCGGAGGGCGAGGGAGGGATTGAGTGAGCGGGAACTTCGCCAGAGCTCTTGTTCTTCAGCTTTGCGCCCACTCACAGAATAAACTCCATAGTCAACATGCAAACCCCAAATCTGATTGCATACCTCACCACATTCGCGCGAGGCACCATGGCAGGCCTGCTAACCTGCGAGGCAAAATCATTGAAGCTCATGATGGGCCCGGCGATGAAGAGGGGCGGGTAGAGGATGTGCGCAAGGTACAGGGGGAGGGAGGCATACTCTGCTGCAGGGCGGGGAGTGGAGGAGCGAAGACGATTGTCTGTTTGGCCAGGTTGCTCGGCTGTGCTGAGAGAGGAGGAGGAGGACGAGGAGGAGGAGGGGGAGGAGGGGGAGGAGGGGGATAGAGCGGCCCAGTGTCGATCGAGGCCGTACGAGACGAGCCGCAGCATCGAAATGTTGAAGTTGATTTGCCATCGCGGCAGCAGACCCGTGTATGGTTGCTCGTCCAGCCACCCAGCCACTTGTTCTCCTAGCAGTCGTCCCCACGGAAAGCCATCATTCCAGTGCACCGCAGCCAGCATCGAGACGTTGAAGGTCCAGATGAGTAGAGGCGCAACGTATGCTCGCCCTGCTACCAGCCGGTAGAGTTGGTAATTCGCGATTAGGATGGTGAGAAGTTTCAGAGAGTTGACGCCGTGAAGAGCGAGTAGAAAAAGGGTTGTGAATCCTAGGAGGAAAGGCAGGCGATTCCGTCGCGGTGATGTAGCCGCAGCCCCGCCAGAGGTTGACAAGGACCTGTACGCCCCTCTTCCTGCGCTTCCCCACTCCGGCAGTCGCGAAGCCACAGCTGACAGTGCCAGGTATAGTCCCATGATCCCCAACAACGCAGGCACATAGTCTCTGAAGCTCCTATACTGGAAGTCCGAGTCATCTCGCCATCTTCCCATCAGCCAGCCGGGCTTGAGATGCGTGGCGAATCTCGCATAATTCGGATTCGAAGGCTGGCTGAGCTGTATAGGCACCCACACCATTAGTGGAATGGCGATGGCGAACACAAGGTAGTAGAGGTAGAACTCTGGGGTGCGCCACCGAGAAGCAGGCGGTTGAGATGGCGGGGCAGAGGGCTTGGTCGAACCACTTGCGAGACCGGCTGCGGTGCCGTTTCTCGCCGCTGTTGATGCCAGGCGCTGCTTAGGCATAGGCGCAGCTACATCCACCGTCAGGCCTACGATGCCTCGCCTCCCGAGAATCTTGTGCCATATTGAGCTCGATGTGCCGCTGCCATTCGCTTCGTCATAGCCGTAGGTCGATGAGGAAGGCGGGTATGCAGTCGTGGGGACAGGCTCATCCGCAGCACCCTGATGCGACGAGGAGGTGGGCATGCGGATGACGTGCGTCGGTAGCATGTGCTAGCAAGCGCTGCCTGAGGAGGGTGGTGGGGTGTAGCGCAGGGTATCACGATGAGAAGGGAAGGACGGAAGGAAGGAAGGAGCCGGGAGTTGGACTGCATTGCAAATTGAAGCCGCCCTCGACCGCTCGCCGCCTGCGCTTGGGCCACTTGAAAAAGGCCGTGGCCCTCAATGAAGAGGCGGCAACAACGACTAGGAAAGTGATGGTATCGTCTGATTCCAAGACAAGTCGCAATCCTCTTGAAGTGCGATCGCAGTCATATCGTACACTGTCACGCCCTCAGAAGAACTTCCAACTCGACCCACCCTTGTCCTTTCCCCCACCTCTCGCATTCCCACCCCTCTCCTCGTAAATAGCCTGCAGCGCCTCCAATTTCCCCATCGCTTCACCAAGCTTCTCCTTCCTACTCTGCAGATCCAAATGCCGCCTCACGCCCGGATTTTCCCGTGCAAACTTGAGCAGATCCTCCCTCTGTAAGTCATAGACCAGGCGAGAGTCGATCTCCCTCGGGAATTGGTACAGGAACTCCGAGACGAGCTCAATGTTGATGAAGAGGACGGCGGTATAGGTGAGCTTGTCTGCAACGACGTTGAGGAAAGCCTCGGGGCAGAAGGCTTTGCTGTCGGGTGAGGTCTTGCAGCGTTTGGACTGGAGAGAGCGCATACGGGCTTGGAGGACGTCGGACCTGTTCTGCAGGAAGCGGGCTTCACGCGCTTTGATGAGGAGGGCCGAGTTGTAGTCTGGACGTAGCGGGTCGGACTGGTCGTCGTCCTGCTGCGGCTGCTCGGCTTGCTGTTCGCTGCCTCCTTCCCGGGCCTCGCGAACCGCCTTCAGCCTCGCGGCCGCTCTTCTTCGGTCTCGCTCCTCGAGCTCAGCGACGTACTCCATCGCTCCCTTGAGTCTTCGCCCGCCGATGGCCTTCTTCAGCCGGCTCAGAGCATCGTCGCACATCGCAAGCTCGCGTTCCACAAGGGCGACGGAGCGTCCCCTTCCCGCCTCCCACTCGCGAGGCTCGACTTCGACCTCATACTTGAAAGGCTTGACGCAATTCTCCACCTGGTCCGCTGTAAGACCGAAACGCTCACGGAGGATAGCAGAGCTGAATGCGAGAATCCGCTCCGCCGCCTCAGGGTGGTGATTGAAAGGCTCCGTCTGCGCCAAGTGCTCGATCTGCGTGCGAATCGCGTCCACCACGAGCTGCGTGCTCGCCCTTCCCACGCCGGACTTTGTGAGAGCAGAAGAGCTGGCGTCGAGTTTGTGCTGCCAGTACCTGTCGAGCGTCTCCGGCGTGATCTTTCTATCATCCGCCAGCTGCCCGAGCTCCTTGACCCGCGGGTCAGTCCAATACAGTTGAGCCAAGATATCCATGACCTTGTCGTCCAGCGCTTGCTTGAGTAGCTGCCTCACCTCGGGCTTGCCAAAGTGAGTCGCGAAGTCCTTGAAGCGTAGCTTGAGGGAGTCCATCGTTTCCGCTACGTAGGACTCGGCAGAGATGGCTCGATCGTTATATTGGACTTTGAACTGGTAGGAAGCCTCTTCCAGCTCCATGCGGACGGCGTTTGCGATTGTGTGCAGGGAGGAGCCTGGAGGCGTCGGGCGAGGGGATAGTGGTCAGCTACAGGGACGACAGCGCTACTGCTACTCGCTCACGCGTACTCACCCATGCTCTCTTCCAACACGCTCATCAATCTTCTCCTCAAGGTATCCGTCCCCGTCATTGGTTCCACCCCTGCATTCCTTCCCCTGGTCGGCGCCTTGAAATGCTCTCGGTTGGCACTGAAGAAGTCATTCTCCTGCTTGGTTACCGATGAGCCGATATTCCCTTCACCATGCGCATCATGCCCTCCAGATCTGAAGCGACTCAGCATGCCCGTCTTACAAACCACGCCCACATAACCGAGCGCCAATGGGTACTTGTTATTGCTGAGCAACCCACTGCCGATCTCGGGAGCGACAAGGTCCATCTTCGTGATAACGCCAATCGTGCGCAGACCAAGTGGGTCGACTTTACGACTTGCGCGTAGGGCGGGCGAGTTGGCCAGATCGACATCCGCGGCGCACACGGCCAGGATGATGTTTGGCTCTTGGATGTACTTTTCGCATAGCCCGCTGATCTTCTCGCGCAGCTGCTCGGGTTGATCCATGGAGCCTGGTGAGAGGGCATGACAATGTAGAAGGTCAAGTGATGAGCAATGACAACATGGCCTGGTCAGCGGGCCGCTCTACTCACTGATCTGCACGTAGCCCGGCAAGTCGATCATGGTCAAGTCTGGCACGTGTGGGCTGTGGATCCTAAGCTCGATGGGGGAGTCGCTCACACACTCTTCGGCAGGGACCGCCATGTTCAAATCGAAGAGCGTCTTCTGGATCTGTCCAAAGTCGGTGATTCTGCCCGTCCCCATTCCAGGGAACTCGCCGTACTCTACAGGTGTTTTGCCCCCATTGGCGGTCGACTTGGGCGTGTGGATCAAGGTGAGCTCGATGGGACGGCGGGTGACCATGTTGCTGCCCTTGGGAAGGAACTCGTGACCTACAATGGCCTCAAGAACCGAGGATTTGCCGCTGCTTTGTGAGCCGATGACGACGATGCTGGGGAGAGTGAGGGAGTCGCTCTCGTGGTCGACGGTCTTGAGGATATTGCGGACTTCGATGAGCTTGCGAGTGAGCATCATGAGCTCGCGGGTGCTGGATGGAAGTCCAGAAGGAATCGTCTCGTCGTCGTCTACCTCTTTGCCTTCGCCTTCAGCCGCAACGTTGCTGCCTCCAAAGATGCCCGCAGCGAGGGCGGCGGCGGCTGCATTGTTACCGCCACCACCTCCTCCGCCTTGGCTGCCACTATCGCCGTGCTCACTGTCGTGGGACGATGAGGAGGCTCGATCTTCTCCGGAGAAGAAGCCCTTGAACGATCGAAGGAAAGCCGAGTTCTGCATGTCCTCGTACGCCTGCGAGGAGGCAGACGCCATGCGGTCACGAGCGTTTCCCAGGCTGCCGGCGATGTCTGATGCCGCCTCAGAAGCAGACTCGAACGCGTCCCCAACGAAGGAGGTGAAGCCTGGCGACGAAGAGAAGTAGTGGTGGTGGTGGTGGTGGTGATCAGCTCGGTACAAGGGCCATATCCACCTTCGAGGCGCCCACAACTCACGATCTGCCGTACGATTGGCCATAGCCAGAGTGCCCGCTGCGGTGCCAAGTGCTGCGGTACCAGCGAATACAGGCAGACGCAATCCTCTCAAAGCTGCCCTGCCTAGGGTACTGAAGCTGAGTGCTCTGACGTGCATGCCTCTGAGCCCAACATTGGCATTGTTGGTCAGTCGGTGGTGATGGACGAGGTGCAATCGCGGTCTCGAAGCTGACATGAGAGTAGAGGCGCGAGGGATGGCTGCAGAGGGTGTCGGTGTGCGCAGAGGACTTGCAGTGGTTCTGCTGATACGCATCAGCCTGCCACTGAGGGCAGACATGATTGCGAAGTTGGATATGTGATGTTGGTGGTGATGGTGGATTGACGAGGCGAGAGATGCGTGGAGGCAGCCAAGGCGGGCATCAGAGGCGGCGGGCCAAAGTGTTGATCCACTCGCAGCCAAATCGATCAACTGAGCGAGCGAGCGGACGGACGGCGCGCCTCTGTGGTATGGATGGCCCATGCGGCAGCCCATTGACTGTGCCTGGCTGCCTGCCCGCCTTGTCTTTGCTCGCAATTGACCATCTCTTCAGCTCCTTGTGCTTCTTCCTTCTCACGACTACAAAGGGCCGACCATGCCATGTCCTCATCACCACCATCGTCGAGATCAATAGGCGACGATGAGAGTAGGAGGCACAAGCTGGCAGATATTCTAGGACACGAAGCGCAGCAGCCATCCTCTGGTGCAACCGGTGAAGCTCAGAAGTACCAAGACGGTCTCGCCGCCATCCTTGATCAGTCTCACGATGAAGCTGAGACCAATGGAAAGGCAAGACAAGACGACGATCGAGAAGATGAAGAGGCTTTCCTCTACCCAGGCGCAGACCATGCCGCCAACATCTTCGAGGGCGAAGCAGAGTCTGGTCCAAGCTCCCCTCGCAGCTATGGAGCACGAATGAGGTCCATTCTGGGCAGCAGCGAGGGCGACGACGATGATGACGCCAAGCGAAATCAGGGAGAGCATGGTGGCAAAGATGACAATGACGAAGACGATGACGATGAGGCATTCGTATACCCAGACGATGACAAAGAAGATGAAGAGACGGCATCAGCTCTGCCTGATCGCACAATCGATTCCATCCGCGACATGGCCACTTCGCAGCGTCCAGGCTTCAAATGGCGGCGAGGCTCCTCTGCAGCAGATCTCTCCATGTCAACTTCAACTACCATGACGGATATGGCAGGCGAAGGAAGAGGGCATTACCCTGCCAGACCGCCAGAGTACCCCACCCTCTCACGGCTGAGAGCCAAAGTCCCTGGAGTTGCTTCCCACTCTCGCTCATCGTCGTACACTCAGCGCTCCTCTCCCTTCGGTACAGTGGGCGGATTTCTCGGCATCGGGCCTAGTAGCAGCACATACGACGTCTCGCGCTCCTCCCTCACACATTCGCGAACGGCGTCCACGTCGAGCTCCGTTTTAGGAGGTGGGGGGCGACGCAGCAAGCTCTTTCCCTACGGCGCCAGCGATTTCACCAACGCTCCAGTGACTGGCTCAGATCTCAGTCAGACCTCTTCCTTCACCTCCCTGCCACCAGCCTCGGCCGCAGTCAACGGCGCCGCAGCACCAGACTCGATCTCGTCCTCCGTCACTCCACCTTTGGCAGACCGCGGCCTCTTCAAGTGGTCCGCCCTCCGGAAAGTAGCTGCCTTTTTCCAGGAAGGGCATCGCAGTAGCATCATTACAACTTCGTCCGGCCAATCTCTACCGCAAAGCATCGGAGCCCAAACAGTCCTCTCAGTCGCAGGCGGCCTAGTCGCAATAGGTACCACATCAGGGCACGTCCTCGTATTTGAGTTCTCACAAGATCTGAAGTGCATCCTAGGCGGAGCTGGCGCCGGGCAAGTCACAGCACTAGCCTTCTCTGCGGATCACACATTCCTCGCCATTGGTTATGAAAAGGGACATGCCTACCTCTACGATCTCGCCAAGCCTACTTCGCCCTCACGGACTGTCCTACCTGTGTCAAGGCAGGACGTCGCCTCAGGACGCAAGGAGGGACATCTAGAGAGCGCGAGGATCCTACATGTCGCCTTCGTCGGAGGAAGACATACGGCCGTCTTCACCGCTGATGATCAAGGGCTGGCCTTCTACCACTCGCTGGGCAAGATACTAGGCGTAGCGAGCAACGATACGTTGCGCATCCTCGGCCGATATCCAGACCCAACAGCACCACCTTCGAAGCGCTCCTCCTTACCCATCCTATCTCTTGCGGCCCTCCCCTTGGGCCCAATCGATCACCTCGCCGATGGCGTGCACTTTGTCGCCTTGGTCACGCCGCAGAAACTCGTCATTGTAGGCTTGAAGCCGAACGCAAGGACCTGGTATAGGAAATCGGCACCGCTTGCCACCGTGAAGGGGAATGAGGAGGGTCGCCGCAATGAAGCAGGAGCGTGCGCAGCTTGGTTCCCGGCTGTAAAGCCTGAAGAAGCCACGACAACGCAATCGCAGCGAATGGACGACTCTGGCCTCGAGGAGCCTACGCTCGCCTATTCTTTCAGCAGCCAACTAGCTATCCTGAAGCTGGTGACCAAAAGAACAAAGATAGAATCATCTTCTAATGGCAACGTCGTAACGAACGGAGCAGCCCCGACATATCGTACGGACCTGGAATTCGTTGAGCATCCCTTGGCGCCAGACGCTCTCGGCCCAGACCCACGGCCCATCGAAGCTTTGCAGTGGCTCAGCCACGAGCTCATACTCCTCGTCACTTCCACGGATCTAAGACTCGTCGACCTGCGTGTGGGTAGGGTCACCGAACGGGAGTCGCTCAACCCCACCCTATCGGGCCTCGTCCGCCACCCATGGCTCGCCAACTCGCCACGCCTGTCAACGTCGCTCGGTCCCTTCACAATCTCCAGCATGCGGGTCTTCCGCGGGAAGCCCTTTTTCCTCACCTCCTCTCAAGTGGTCGTTGGCCACCTGCTCAGCTGGGCAGACAGGCTCCTCTCCCTCGTCTCCGCCGGCGACTTCCTCAGCGCAATTGACCTCTGTCGGGCCTACTACCAGGGTTCCGTTCCCGGCTCACTGGTCGGGCTGCCCTCCGATCCTGCTGAGCTGCAGGCTGTAGTGGCGGGCAAGCTCAGAGAGCTGATGAGCGCATCAGCACGATACGCTTTCGCGCCGGAGCGCCTGACGGATGGGACGCACGTTACAGCTGACGGCCGTGGAGTCGATCGAACGGATCTCTTTCGTCAGCTTGCGCGAGCGTGCGCACAAGCCTGTCTCGCATTGGGCGATACGGACTTCTTGTTCGGGGAGCTATACAATTACTACAGCGAGAATGGGATCGACCCTCTCTTCGTTGGAGAGCTGGAGCCCTTTGTTCTTGATGGCCAATTGCGCATTTTGCCGATCCCGGTGAGCCAGAGGTTGATCGAGAGCTGTAAAGTCGCAGGGGATTATGGGCTGGCAGAGAGGCTGCTCTGGCATGTCGATCCAATGTGCTTGGATCTGGACCAGGCCCTCAGCCTGTGTGCCGAGCAAGGGTTGACAGATGCGATGATCTGGATCTATAATGAGGCAATGGACGACTGGGTTGGACCTGTGGTGGAGCTACTCGAGCCGCTCAAGAAAGTCGTCAAGCAGCGCAAGCGCGAGGCGGAGAACGACGAGGACGCCAGCTCCGTAATAGAAGGCGATGCTGAGGACCACAGCGCCGTCGTCACGGACGCATACAAGGTCTTCTCCTACCTATCCGTGGCCCTCTCCGGTCATTCGTTTCCCTCACAGGAGCCAATCACACCCGCAGAGCGAGGGGATAAGGCTAAGCAGTCCGTGTACGGCTTTGTCTTTTCCGGACACTGTGTGATCTGGCCCCCAGGCGCGGGTGGCCGCATCGTGCTCTCGGTCGATGAGGGCCAGGAGGAAATGACTTACCCCTACCTGAGGCTGCTCCTGGCCTTCGATGCGGAGGCAATGCTTGATGCGCTGGATGTCGCCTTCGAGGATGGATGGTTGGACGAGGAAGAAGAGATGAATGGCCACCAGAAGCCGGATCAGCTTGGAGCGAACGGCAACGGCTCTTCTCCACCCCGCATCACGCGCCAACGCATCATCGATGTCCTCCTCGAGGTCACTCAGGATACCACAGCCACCCGCGCCTCACCAAGCGAAACGGAACGCCTCTTCACCTCTATCTTCATTGCACGTAATGCCTCCCGGTATCCACAATTCGTTGGTCTCGCCTCGTCCGTCTTCGACGCCCTTCTGCGCTCTCTCTGCACCTTGGGCGACGAAGAGACGCGTGAGGACCGACAGCTAGCAGCTGAGGCGCTGCTCAGCTGTCCGAGCGCAACTCAGCGGCAAAGAGAGCGACGCGACTCTTCTCATTCGTCGACAAAGGCGACATCGATGTCAGCTGCTTCCCCTCTTGCGGCACTCAGCGAAGACGATCTCGTCATGCTGGAATCTGCAGGCTTCTGGCGCATACTCAAGTCGGCTTATCGCGAGGTGGGCAATTGGGGGCAGCTAGTCGCGCTTCTACTCCATGAGCAGCAAGAAGAAGATGACAGCTTGCTCGACGCGTCACCCTCTTCTGGTAGCGCCATTTTCTCGCAGCTCTCCGACGTACTCAGCCGGGCACAGCAGCAACAACGCAAGTCAGGCAAGACTGTCGCACGCAGCGATCTCGACACGATGATCGTCGACGCTACGCCACGCCTTGTCGGGTTGGATGCGAGGCTGACCGCCGAGATGGTGGATCGCTTCTTTCCTGATCGACACGGCGACGTGCTGGAGGTGTTGAGCGAAGACGATGGAATGCAGGAGGGTCGCGAAGATTTGGCGGCGAGGAGGCAACTGAGCTACCTGCGCTGCTTCCTTGATCAGGAAGGCGAGGAAGCAGCTACAAGGCCGCTCAACCCTGAACACCTGGATGTAGCGTGTCGCTCGACCTATGTACATCTGAAGACGCGACTCGAGCCCTCGGACTTACTTCGCGTGCTGCGTCGACACTCAGTTACGGCAGGCAACGCCTTCTTTGACTTGGAAACGGTCATCGAAGCCGGCCAAAGTAGCATGAATGGTGCAGCGTACGATGCTGTCCTCTGGAGCCTTGACCGACTCGGAAGGACGGAGAAGGCGTTCAGAGCGCTCGATGAATTCATGGCGCGGGCGGCGCTGCGGATGAAGAAGGTCAACGACGACGATGTGGAGGACGTGATTGACAGCTTGGCAAGGGCAACGAGGATGTCTGTGCAGATCTGTGATGCCCCTTCGCACAGCCGGACCACACAACAGGCTATGCCTGCTGAGGAGAGATGGTACCGATTGCTGCGCTCCATGGTGGCTCTCATCCACGACGTCGGCGGCGGAGGAGGCGACGCGAGTGACTCGTCGTCCGCGGCCCTGGAAGCATCACAACGCGTCGTCGAAGAGACCCTCGCGGCGATGGTCACCTCTCTCTCCTCTTCCTCTTCCTCCACCACCACGGAGGGGGACATCTCCCTACCCTCCCTCTTCCGCCGTCTCGTGTCCTCATCGGCGGAGAAGACAGACGGCAACTCTCCTCGCACCTTCGGCGAGGTCCGTATGGTCGTCAGCGCTATGATGTCCGCCTGCCGGCTTCGTGGTGAGCTCCTCGGCGTGGCGCAGAGACTATTGGGCAGGGAGGAGGCGGGTCAGTTCGTCCAGCTTGCAAGGCAGAGGAGGAGGGGCTGGAGGGGGCTGGCTGCGCCCGCGCCAGCAGAATCAGGGATGGACACCCAGGCGGAATCTACAAATGGAGTTCCTCGCCCGCGTCGTCCCACAGGCGACATCACGCCCACTGGTCGTCAATCCCCATCTGGTGCCCTTCCGCTTGGCACTCCGCTTCATCAGCACCCAGTGCATCGCCTGGCCTCACAGCCACCTACCCCTGGCGGGACGATGACTTCGCCGCTGGCCTCACGGCGTGGCACAATCGATCGCAAGGGGAAAGGACGGAGTCTGAGCTTTGGCCAGCAGGAGGGAGTGGAGGACTACTTTGGAACGACGGCCCACGGCTCGCAAGATGGTGGGCTAGAGCAGAGCTTCAGCACCGGGTCGCCGGTTAGACGGGGGCCGGAGATTGCCACACCGCCAAGGGGTACGACAGACGGTGTTGACGAAGTGTTCGACGGAAGTGGTGAGGACGCGCCGCAGAGGAGGGCCGTTCGCGTGAGGTTGGGGCCCACGCCGATGAGTGGGACAGCAATGGCAGGAGTAGTGCGGCGATAGAAGGGAGATAGCTTGGCGATCATACCGTATTAGTCTCGTCAATTTGCATGCTTTGTACCACGTGTCTGACTGCTGCAAGCTCGAATCGCATTGGCCCTTGCTCGTAGCCCGCATCGCCCTTCGTCTCCCCCTCGTATCAAGTACAAATACACGGCATTCCATCCTCTCTCTCTCCACACCTTCTGTCTCTCACCAATCTACCCACTCCTGCTGCCAATCCTCGCCAACCCATCCTCACTGTTCTCCTGATCTTCAATGGCGTCACTCTGGCTGACGACTCTCAGTACCGACTTCTTTGATGACTCTTGCATCTCGCCTGATATGATGAGTTCGTCGAGGATCTGCGAGTGCGCACGAGGCGTGGCGAGCGAGCGAGCGAGGTCAGCTCCTTCTCTCGACAGGTCAACGACTTCTTGAGCGCCAGTACCCACGCTATAAGCCTTTTGAAAATTGAAGATCAAGTCCAGCTCGCACACATTCCCAAAGTAGCGGTCCAACACCTCGACGTAACGATGAATGATCTCGAGCGTCGCAAGCTCATTGTCGTCTTGGTGGATTCCGGCCACGAAGAAGAGGGAAGCATATCGGCGATAGACTAGTTTGGAGTCTCTGAATTCGAGGAAGTTGGACATGCGAGTGCGTCGAGCTAGGACGAGTTGGGTGACATCCTTTACTATCTTTGCTTTGGCCTTTGGGTTGAGCGTTGTGAACCATTTGGCTAGGCGAACCTTGCCTTGCCGCGAGATGAGGAGGATCCAATTGATCTGTGTGTGCGAGCAAGTGAGTCAGAAGGATGTTAGCGGACGCGGAACTATGACGCAGAAAGGTAGCGCGGTGGTGACGCTGGCATATACTCACCCCCATCTTTGATCTCGAGTTCTTTGGAGTGAGATGAAGGGAGAAGGAGGCGCGACGGAGCAACCAGTCGGCTGTCCTGCGCACAGACATCGTCGCCGGCCTCCGCTCGACCAACTCGACAAAGCCACCGCCAGTCCGCCTCTGTCCGTCGTTACTTTCCACTCCATCTCTCTCCCCCCTCCGCGTCATGCCGCCTACATCAAGCTCCTCCTCCCTAGCTCCAGGTCAAATCTACTCTCAACCCGCTCTGACAGGTGCCGGTACCCATCAATCCACCATCCTCATAACGGCCCTCGATGCTCTCAAAGCGTGCAGGGTGCCTGTCCGATTTGAGGACTTTGCAATCACAAACGGCCTCACGGCTCTGCTAGATGACGAGAAACTCAAGGAGAGATTCAAGGCGCATCCTAGAGTCGTATGGAATGAGAGGCTGGATCTATGGAGCTACAAGGTGCATACAAGCGCCGCGCATAAGGCTGATGCGCTGGTGCGCAATGCTGACACCCCCTCCTCACGACCCTCGTCGCTAATGCGTGCACGCAGCCAGAGCACGATGTCCGCTCCCCTAATGATCTTCTCTCCCTCCTCCACAACAAGTACACCTCTTCAACAACGCGCTGTGCAGGCATGAAGCTCAGTGAGCTGCGCGAGTCCTACCCTCAAGCACGAGAAGCAATCGAAGCCTTCGCTGCTACCCGTCCCCGGTACAAGCGTGAGGTGCTAGTGCTGCGCGGCAAGGATGGGGCCATCAAGATGGTCTTTTCCAATGAGAGCAAAGGAGAGGAGATGAGAGGTCCAGATGATGGCGGGGACGAAGAGCTGCTCGTTGCCGACGGCGAGGGAGGGGAGACCGTACGACCCCCACCACCCCCTCCGGCGGGAGGAGAGTTTCGCTCTCTTTGGTCTAGCATTAAGGTGCCGGACTCGGCCGTCGATCTTGCTCGTCAGCTCGAGGCCGAGGGGATGACCAGCGCAAACCTCGTACAGTCGACGGTATCTGCCAACCCGTCAGGACCTGCAGCTGGTGGGCCAGGAGGCAGGAGGGGTGGTCGAGGCGGCAAGAGAGGAGGGGGTGGAAGTGGGAGGAGAGGAAAGGACTCCAATACGCATCTCAAGGGCGTCGTCGACCTAACCAAGGATTACGTCGGGGAGGAGTAGGCGAGTCAGGCGGGGAGGGAGGCAGGGTAGCGCAGCATTCACAACCAGCATCTGTACCATCATCACAATCTAGCGAGCACACTTGTCACCACCGCTGCAGCGTGCGCCATGCCATGCGACGCACACTCCTGCCTGCTTGCGGCCAAGACGAGGCGGCGTTGCCATGATGATGACGCAGCCGCCTGCTGGTTACCGACTCCGAGCGTCCGCATAATCAGTTGGTCGGCGGAGTCGTCCTTCCCTGTCTCGCTCCCTGTCTGCTTTGTGTCGGGTCTCCATCCGTCTGCTACGCCCAAACGAGCTGGTCGATGAAGCAGGTCAACAGCAGCCGACTCTCCAATCCCTCCTCGTGCCGATTCACAACCTTGATCCTGAACCGTCCACCGCTTCCCAATTCCCCTGTACACCGACTGTCATCCTCGTCGCTCTCAAAGTCTACGCCTTGCCCAACGCACAGCCACCGCAGCCAGCTCGTAGGCAGCTCTCCGTCCGTCTTCACCAGCTTTCGCTCGCCGAGACTTCTCAGCCTCGCAGCTCCATGCGACTCCCCTTCTCGCAGACGACTTGACTGGGAGCAGGTACGGTATACAGCAAGGGCACGAGGGGCGGTGAGCAGTACAGTAGCCCTCGTGTAGCCAGCAACACTCGATTCACGCCGTGCGACCACTCTCGTCTTTCTCATCTCGCTTCAATTCTTCCGATTCGGTCTATGTCTATGTCTATCTCTCTTTAACCCCTACAACCGCCCCCGAGCCGCTTTCCCATCTACCAATCTATTTCATTCTCTCTCGCTACCCCACATCAAGGTCTTCTCTCGCTCCCGCTACCCCTCTCTCCCTTCCCACTCCCCTCCTCCCCCAACCCAACTCTGGACGCCTGCCCACTCAGGACGACGCGGAGGCGGGCAGTGGGCCCACTCCTCCCGATACAACGTACCCCTCCTGAAGCTGGACGAGGCTAAGCTCTCGACCGGCGAAGTGAAGGGAGCGGCCCATGGCCGGCGCTGCGGGCTGGTGTGGGCGCGCGATGACGAGCTTGCCGTCAAGATCCATCTTACGCAGCGTCGTCGGGTCCAGCCTCTTGTAGTCCAGCAGCAGGTACGGCTGCAACTTCCCGATGGCTTGCCCAGAGAGGTAAAGCCCCAGCAGTGGCGTAGGGGCGCCGTCGGGCTTCTGGCCGTCGAAGGCCCTCACCTCGCCAGCCCGAATGCCAATGGACATGGCCATCTCCCTCGCGTCGGCGATGGCCTTGGCGTGCGCGGACGATTGGCTGATGAAGTAGCCATTGCCCTTGACGGTCCCGTCGCTGTCGATGAATCCAGCTAGAACAGCGGCGCGGACGTCCTCACTTGCAGCCTTGAAGATGTAAGATGTTCGGGAATCCATTGGCCTTGCCGTTGTCCCAGCCTCTTGTACCCAATCAGCATGAAGGGCTACAGCTTCTCCAAGGCTTGACCGGAGAAGTAGACGGCGAGGATGGGCGCGGGCGAGCCGTCGGGCTTGTACCCAATCTGCTCTTGAACTTCGCCGGCCCGGATCCCAAGGGAGCGCGCGATGTCCCTGGCGTCATGGATAGCCTTGGCGTGGGCGACGCTCTGGGTAAGGCGGTATCCGTTGCAATGGACCGACCCATCGCTGTCCAAGAAGCCGGCGAGAGCAGCGGCGCGGACGTCCTCGGCGGAATGCTTGTAAAGGTCTGGGAAGCCGTTGACCTTGCTGTTGTCCAAGATGCCCAGCGCGCCCAGTGCCGATCGCACGGGGTTCCAGCAGGCCGGGTCTCCACCATGTTGCGCTCTCGACGTGATCTTGCAGCGCCAGCAAGTCTTTGTCGAAAGAGGGCTTGTGGAGTCGATGTAGCGCACGTATAGCGCCGCTGCCCAGGGGGGGCGACTGGCGTTCAGCGAAGCAACGTAAGACTCCAGGAAGGCCATCGTCGCGTCCTCGACCGTCGTGATGGCGGTGCCGTTCGCATGCCCGTCCCCCATCCACAGGCCGAGGTAGTAGGGGTGAAGGGGCATGCTAGCCCAGCTCGACGCGCCTTCGAGGACCCAGTGCTTGACAATGCACATCTTGAGGAGCGACGCTCGCTTCTGCTGTGGGCCTTGTCCGTGCGGAGCGTTGGCCCAGGCAGAGGCGGTGATGATGTCGGCGTCTCGAGGTTTGACGATGTTCGAGGCGAGGAGATGGTCAGCAATGTCGCTTTCGGCGGCCGCAAGGAAATGTTGGGCGATGGTGGGGCTGTCGAGCTGGCGCTGAAGCAGTGCCGGGCCACCGCAGTCGCAGGCCTTCTCCTCCACCGTGCTGGCAATGCCCGCGGTGGCGACGGCACTGTAGTTGTTGTCCTGCCTCCATGGCTCGCTGGAGAGGGGCGGGTCTTCGTAGTCGTCGTCGTCGTCGTCGTCGTCGTCGTTTGCCGTGTTGTTGTCGGCACCTTCCTCAACCCAGTCCTCATCCCCGTCATCATCATCTGCGGGCCACTGGATTGGCGCCAGTGGGACGCCAAGCCAGTCGACGTCCTCATGCTGGAATGGAATGTCGTCCTGCTCGGTTGCGGGCTCGCATCGCGCGAACCACTTGAGCGTCGAAGGACGAGGCTGGACGATGTTGGGCGCAATGAGATGGCTGGCGATACCGCTCTTGGCCGCGGCGAGGAAGTGTTGCTCAGCTTGCGGGTTGACGAGCTTGCGCTCCACCTTTGCGATGCCACCGCAGGTGCACTCCTTCTCGTGCACTGTCGTGGCAATGTCCGCCGCGGCGACGGCACCGTGATTGGCGTCTTGCCTCCACGGCTCGCTAGACAGGGGAGGGTCCTGCACTTCGTCGTCATCGTCATCACTGCCCTCCCGCCAGTCCTCATCGTTGTCGTCGTCGTCGTCGGGCCAGGCTACAGTCGACGCCAACGGGACTCCGAGCCAGCCGGCGACAGTGTCATCTGCGCCCTCCAGGTCATCCTGCTGCATGCCATGGTCGCAACGTGCAAACCACTTCAGCGTCGAGGGACGGGAGGGCTCGATGGTCGGCTTCGTCTTGCCAGCCGCGTACAGATAAAGGACATTGTCGCCGCTGGTCACGTAGTGGCGGGTCTGGCCCCTAACGCGATCATACTCGAGGCGATAAGCATCGACGATGGGCACGATCGGGCCGGGGCTGACGGGGAGAAGGGTGTCGAGGTGATCGTAGAGGGAGTTCACCATCCTGGAGACCACTGACAGGCTTCGGCCCGTCGAACGTGCGGACGATCGTGTCGATTGCGAGCATTCTGTTCGAGTAGCGGTGTCAGCGGCGGAACCGTCTTGCCCGCCGCGTAGAGGTAAAGCACGTTTGATCCAGAGGTGATGTAACGACGGGTCTGGCCCCTGATGTGATTGTATTCGATATTGTAGGGCTCGATGATGGGGGTTGCGGGGCTTAGGGCGACCGGGACTAGGGCGCCGAGGTGATCGTACACCAGCTGGCCGTCCTGAAGGCTGGCGACCGACTTTGGCCCGTCGTATGTGGGGACGGTCGTCTCGAGGGCGAGCATTGTGTGGAGGAGCGGTTTCAGCGGCGAAACCGTCTTGCCCGCTGCGTAAAGGTACAGGACATTTTGGCCGCTGGTGACGTGATTGTATTCGATGCGATATGGGTTGACGATGGGGGTGGCGGGCCCCAGGCTGACCTGGACTAGGGCGTCGAGAACGTCGTACAGGAGTTGCCCTTGCTGGAGCGTGCCGACGGTCCTGAGGCCGTCGAAGGTGTGCACGATGGTGTCAAGACCGAGTGTCATGATGTGAGTGACTTGCGAAGGGAGGAGAGACAGGACGAGTGGGCAGTGAGGCAGGTGTGGTGCGGTGAGAAAGCACCAGAGAGCTGACTGCTGTTGAGGACTTGGGTGGCTTGGGCAGACGAGAGTGTTCGATCTGACGAGGTTTCCTAATGGCCCTGACGGGTCCTAGGCTGATCGGTAGGACGGCGTCGTAGTGGTCGTAGATGAGTTGCCCTTCATGGCGGCTTCTCATCGAATGAGGCACTAGCTGAGGAGCGTTGAAAGTGCGTCACGCCGCATTGCGCAATTGCATCACGGGCAAGGGTGAATCCTTTGGGACGCCTTAGGTGAGGTTGGCTACCCTACTGCTTACGGTACCCCGTTCCCATTCGAGTCGTCATTGTGGGAAGAAGAGTTTCTAGGAAGCTGTGGCGATCAAGCTGGGAGGGTGAAAGATCATGGTGAGCTGAGTCTGATGATCACAACGCGCGACGCGGTCACTACGAACGATGCTGAGTTGTTGCGCTGGCGGTGCGCTGAGTCGCGCCAAAGCAGGGTGGGGACATTGTTGATGAGGTGGAGGGGCAGGGATGGAGGGAAGGGAGGGAAGGTGTGGTGCGGAGAGAGGGAGGAGGAGGACAAGAGGTGGCTGTCGTCGAGCTCCTTGGATCGAGCAGCTCTACTGGATGTAGCGGACGCGATTAGGATGAGGTGATGAAGATGGAGATGATGTGGAAGAGAGGGAGAAAACCAATCAGCAGGGCGACGCGGCCCCGCGTCGCTCAGTCGGACTGGCCGGGAGGTTGCTCGCGTGGCATAGCGCGTCTCACACCATCACGACGGAAGCGTATGGGGGACATGAGGATGTCCATTGTCACGGAGGAAACCATACCTTCGCCCAACGAACAATCCCATCTTCTACGCATCGAATCATAACAGTCTACTACTCTTCTCCTCCTCGTCGGAGTCCATCGCTCATCCGCATCATTTTGCTAGCGTCGCCCTCGCGGCGACACCCCTCCGCCTACCGTGCATGCGCTGCGGCGCCTACTTCTGCACCTTGGCAATGTCGATCGCACCTGTAGCGCCCAGGGCCGACTTGATTGAACCATATAGGCCGAATTGACCAGCGGTAAGCGTACCAATCATGAAGAAACGGGCCCCGAGACCGCCGAAGAGACCACGGACACCAAGCTCCTTGCTCATGTTGATCAGACGGCTGGTGGTGCCCTCACCGGGGGCGGCCTTGGTCTTGTTGATCTTGGACAGGAGCGTGTCAGCGGGCTGAGAGATGAAGGCAGCAGCAAGACCGGCAATGACACCTCCGCCGAGGTTGAGCGAGGTGATGGTACCGGGGGCGAGCTGGTCCTTGGTCTTGCCGGTCATCTTGACAAGGTTCTCAAAGGCGACCTCGAAGACGGCAAACTTGGCCATGGTGTAGGGGATCTGCTTGAAGAGGATGGGACCGAAACCAGAGTAGAAGCCCTTGAAGCCCTCTTCCTTCGCGATGCGGGCGAAACCACCGAAGAGACCGTTGGCGAAGGTGGGCTCAGATACAAGACGGATACGGGTAGCCTCGAGGGGGCAGAGGGCGATGTCGGCGAAGAACTCGGCGATGGCAGAGGCACCGAGGTAGACGGAGGTACGGTTCTGCTGGGCAGTCTCGTAGCCGACTTGGTCGATGATCGTCTTCTTCCAAAATTCATAACCACCGAACTTGAGAGCTCCCTGGAGGAAGTAGCCGCCGATGGTGGGGCCGAGACCAGTGAGGAGAGCTCCACCGCCCTCCTTGGCCACGACTTGGCGGAACCCGGCGATCATACCCTGCGAGGGCGAGAAAGGCGTCAGCGAGTCAGCGCGAGAGAGTGGAAAGGAGCGTCAGCGTGCTCACCCTGTTGTAGACCTCAGGCTGCAGCTGGATACGAGTCTTGACGACTGGCGACGGAGACGGAGGCGAGAAGAGTCAGCGAGCTGCACGCAGGGCAGAGAGAGGCTGCATTGCGAGCTCACCATCGACGGGGGTCATGGCACCGTGGGTGATGGCGCACTGCGACGAGAGAGAGAGGTGGAGGGGAGGCGTGAAAATATGTTCAGCGTTCTGTATGCTGCTGTGGTGGAGTAACAAGATCTTCTCAACGGCACGGCCGGCAACCTTCGCAGAGAGCGAGGCTGAACAGTGCATGACTGAGCAAGCTGGAGCCTGACATGATGCCAGCGAACTTGTGGCCCTTTCCACCCCTCCCTCTTCCACTCCCTCGACCTGGCTCTCTCACATTGCTCTCTCACAGCGAATACTCACCCCGAGAGCACCAGCAAGGGCGAACCTCGAGTAGAGGTCGATACCAGTAGGGTTGGCCTTGGTCTCCAGCGGGGCCTGGATAGGGTACTGAGCCGAAGCTCCCTTGACGGGCGAGAACATGAGGGCGGACATTCTGCTTGTTCTGGCTGTGTTGGGTTTTTGTTGAGTGGTGCTAATGAGAAGGGAGGGAGAAGTTGTTGGAAATGGCCGCACTGTCCCTTGACCAGGGCGGGCAGCCAAGGCGGGCGGGCTGCGCGAAACTGGAGTTTCGGCCTGAGCCGGGGCGCAAGGGAGCCTGAACGCTCCTGGGACGAAAACTTGGCTGGCAAGGGGGGGCGGGCGAGCGGCGTCTGGACGACCGAGGTCGACGGAGAGACGCAATAGCACGCGGCGTCGAGGGGGAGTGTTGGGAGTCAACTGGGATCGCACACGCTGGTCCACGTTCGCCACCACCACGAGATCAGCTCAACGATGCCCTCGCTGCGGCTCAATAGTCAACACTGCCATAGACACTCGTGGCGCTCTCGTGTCTCGCATCACTCGCTGCGTGATTGTGGGTGCATCACTTGCCGCAGAGCCGCCTGGGCTCCGTGGCACAAAGAACGTGAATTGGTGTTCGTGAGAGGAATAGCGCGACGCCGCGACTACGAGATCAGCTGGTGACAAACAAGAGCGAAAGAGCCGGCCTTCGCCTGAGGCAGCTGAGAGCGGAGACGAAGAGTAGAGTGCTACACAAATAGAGATGCTAGATGCGCAATACGCGCTCACAGAGCGGTATCGCTGGGTTCGTAAAGGAGTCTGTTGTTCTTCTCGAGGCCGTGGGAGCGCAGTCGAATCGACGCGGCTTCTAACCACAGGCGGCGAGGTTGTTGAACGACTTGAACTGAGACGAGCTTCCGTCCTTGCCCTGGCAGTAGCCGTTGAAGAGCGCGTCGAGGTAGTCCAAGTTTTGCTGCGCGGCGCAGCCGTACTGCTTCATTGCCATGGTGCTCGAGTAGGAGAGCTTGCCGGGCTGCCAGCCGTTGTAAGAGCCGGTAGCCTTGAGCACGTCACCGCCGAAGCTGTCCAACTGGGACTTGAAGTACTTGGCGCCGGTCATGACATTGGTGTAGGGGTCCTTGCAGTTGCCTGATGAGGGGCACTTTTCCGGTGTGATCTGCATGAGGCCAATCTCTCCGTTGGGGCCCGTCTGGCCAGCCTGGCACGTCGACTCTTGCAGCGCAAAGCTCATGAGAAGCACGACGGGAACGCCAGTCGCCTTGGCTGCGGACTCAAAGGCCGACTTGTACTGGGCGCAAGGCTTGAAAACGCTAGACGAGGCCGCCTCCTCAGATGAGATCATCTTCAGGTCGCTCATCGCGACCTTGGGCGGGTTCCAGACGGAGTTGGGGTTGTTCTTGCTGACGCCGCAGGTGAGGAACCAGTTCTGGCCGTTGGGCTTGCTGCCGTCCGCGCCCGAAGAGCTGCAGGCGCCGGCGAATTTGAGGGATCCCATCTTGCCTGCGGAGCCGCCCGTGGCAGAGAAGGTCTTGCTGCCAGACGACGAAGATGATGAGCTGCTGTCATCGTCGTTGCTGCTCTTGGACTCGGACTGGTGGGACTGAGGCTGCTTGTTCTGGCTGGAAGCCTTGCTGTTGGTGCTCTGCTTGTTGCTGGACGACTTGACGGCCTGGGTGTCTGCCACCTTGGTCGTGTTGACGTCCTTGAGCGCCGCCTGCGATGTCTTTGCCTTGCAGCGCTTCTTGTTGGCACGCTTGTGAGCTCGGGAGGCAATGCCGGCTTGGATCTGACGGCGGCTGAGAGCAGCGGCAGTCTCTTCGTCGTCGAAGCTTTCGGGGTGGTCTCGGGCGTACTGCTCCGCGAGAAGAGCGCGCTTCTCGGCGCTGACTTGTTGGTGGCCACGGGTGACCATCAGGAGGCGATCAACGCCGCTGATGTCTTGGCTAGAAGCCGTGGCGAGGCTGGCGGCCAGGAGGGCCGAAGCGGTGAGGGCAATGGGGTTGAACTTCATTGTCGAAATGAGGTTGGAACAGGGGAGGTGTGCGCGTGTGTGTGTGTGGGTTGTGAGTGCGAGAATGAATGCAGTGAGGACAGCTTGATGCTATGCGATGAGGAGAATCTGGTGCGGTAAAGTGGGGCGGGCGTCCGTCAAGGAGCTCGTAAGGGTGTAGATGGGATGGTGGTGCGTGGATCGGGAGGATAAGGGTAGGGAAGGAAAACAAAGAAGACGGGAGGAAATGATCATGGGCCCAGCTCCAATCTCCTTTATGTCGCTCGCGGCTCGATAGTGGCGGCGTTACAAGGGACCGCGGGGGCGCACACCCAGGGGCTTGACGGACGACAGGATGGCAATGCTCCTTGTCCTCGCGAGCCTCCTCTCATCCCTTTCCCTTCCTGATTGTCCGTCCGGAGTCTGAGTGGCCAGTGGCCGCCGCCTCTCTGTAGCAGGCTTGTTGCCCTCGCCTGCGCGTTCCCCCGTGCAGCTCAACGCACACTGCACACGCCCACGCAGATTGCCCGCAGACCTTGGCGCGTTGCCCAGTCGTTCCGCTTCCCCGCTGCGTCCGCGCTCCCAGACCAGATGCCAGGTCCTCCTCTCCCCTCGCTCTCCTCTCTCCTGAACCTGCGCTGGGGCCGCCTCCTGGACGAACAAGCCCCGTCACGTCGCGGATCTTACACGGCGCCGCGACAACGATGACCACGACGAGAGTCAGTTGTCGAACCATGGCACAGCGCTTGTCACGAGTTGGAGCGGGCGTCGTTGGCGCTCAACAGGAGGTCCAGGGGCCGGTGATCTTGATCGGAGACGACTCGAGTCGCTGCGTTGGCTGCCTGGCTGCCTCTAACTCGCCAATCATCTGTGCGCTGTGCGATGTGCTTGCTTGCTTGCTGCTGCTTGGTCTTGCTTGTGCGCCTGCACGCACAAAGGATCTGCCAAGCGATGGCCAAACTTCTCAAACCTCAAATGAGAGACGACGAGACTGTCGCATCCCAGTCGGCCGCCCGTGCATTGAACGATCACAGAATAGAGACCACGCGAGCGACGTCGAAGAAAGCGCGAAGCATGAAAGCCGACCAGACGACCCGCTTTCATGCGGGCTCAGGAATCTCACGTCGGTCACGGTGAAGAGACGGTGGGCGGTAATGGTTGGTGAGCTGTAGCGGCGTGGTGTCTATTTGCTACTCGTGAAATTTGGTCTCGGCCGCGAGCAGAGGTAGAGTGTTTCACCTATCTTAGTAAGATCTTGAAGGAGATGGGTGCTTGGTGAGTGTGAGCTCGAGCAAGGTGAACACCACGACTGCTGTTGCCGCCGCTGACAAGCTGTCAAGGCAAGTGCCATTCGTCCACCTCTGTTCCCGCTTCGATGTTGACATTTCAGCCCTTGTCTTCCTCTTGAAACATCATCGTCTTTGTGATTTGATCCACTGTGCCTGTGGTGATTGACGTGCAGCAGTTGGTGCCGCCGCCCGCGCCTGGCTCTGGACTGGCTCTCAGGTTCTGGCCCCGCGGCAGCCTTCCTGGATCTATTCGCTAGACTTAGACAGACGGTACCGTCCGATGACGATCTGGACCCTTTGCAACATCATCTACTCGTCCTCGCTACACTATCTCTTTCAACATCCTCTCGACTTTTTTTTTTTCCTCGTTCCTCGTTGCCATTACTAGTCCTCCCTTTGCGGCCTCGCAACCCTCTTCATCTCGCTCATCTTCCGCTCTAGGACGACGCCCGCTCGCCGCCGCCCGCCCTTGCGCAATCGCGAATTGAACGCATCGATTGCTCTCCATTTCGCCTGCGACGACGAACGGGGTGGTGGTCCCCGCTTCACTCGCTCGCTCGACGACCCACGCACGCACCCACGCAAGCACGCCCTTTCCGTGCATCTCTGTCCTGCTCGTCAACATCGTCATCATCACCACCACCATCATCATCATCTCGCCTCTCCCCAGTAGACATCAGCGCCCCTAGTTAACCTCACTGCTCTTAGTGGGGTGGCGCCGATGACAGAGGAACGCGAGATCACAAAGGGTCTCCGATCATGGGTCAGTGTATGCGCAGGCATCCATCCGTATCTTGGGATCCGCTGATCAGTTGCTCCTTGCCCCGACGCTACCAGTGGTCTGCGTTTACCAAGGTCAAGCTACAGAACAAAGACAAGAAAGGTCAGTCGCAGCGGCGGCGGCAACGTCGCTCCTCCATCGCGCTCACACCTCATTCTCGTCATCACCACCCACGCACTCTCGCAGCAGCCCAAGATGATAACAAAGTCTTCGGTGTACCATTGCGCAAATCGCTCAAATATGCAAGCGTCGCCATCTCCATGGCAGGCGATGATGGCAAGCAGTATGTCTGGGGCTACGTTCCGGTTATCGTCGCCAAAGTGGGCCTCTACCTCAAGGAGAATGCAGTCGAGACGGAGGGCGTCTTTCGTATTGCTGGCTCGCAGAAGAGGATGAGGGAGTTGCAGGAGACTTTCGACTCGCCCCCCAAATACGGTCGCGATGTCCAATGGCCAAAGTACAGCATTCACGATGCTGCTAGCGTATTGCGACGCTACCTCAACCAGATGCCGGAGCCTATCATTCCGTTGCACCTATACAACGAGTTCCGCAACATCATGATCAAGGAGCCATTCGATGTCAACGCTGCTATCAAGACGTATCGTCTCCTCATCACCTCGTCTCCACCCGCCAACCAATACCTCCTCCTCTACGTCCTCGACCTCCTTGCCGTCTTTGCACGGGCGGCAGACAAGAATCTCATGCCCGCTAGCAACTTGGCCGTCATCTTTCAGCCTGGCATGTTCTCCCACCCTACTCACCTCAGCTCGGCGGACGAGCACAAGATCGCAGTGCAGGTGCTGGAGTTCCTCATCGAGCATCAGGACCACTTCGTCCTCGGCCTCTCCCCTCCACCGCCAGCCAATGTCAGCCCGGCAGACTTGACTGCCGTAAGCCAGCCAGTACCAGACTCCGAAGTCTACTTTGAGCCATCGGACTCGGATGAAGACTTGGGCGAGCTGGAGGCGCATGAGGGTGGGGGAGCTAAGCTGGCCAGGTCAGGATCAGCACGAGCATCAGCGAAGGCTGGCTCTTCGAAGCAAAGTCGCCGCCTCTCAGCTGGCGCAATGGGGGGCGCAGCAGGCCGGAAGCTGTTTGGTAGGAGGTCAGGCAAGGGCGCCGTTCCAGAAGGAGGCGCAGAGATGCAGCTCTCGACCTCCGTGGGGTCCAATGCGTCGGCCAAGGCGGAGAATCTGCGCGTGGACAACCAAGTGCTCGGACAACAGCGAGGCACAAGTCCGATACCCAGTGGAAGCAGTGCGACGAGTCATGGCGGCGCCGCCCGTAGCAGCAGTCCGACTACAACGCCCACCAACGCAGCGAAGGTGAAGAGAAGCAGAACAACGCCTACAAGGCGCGCCGTCTCTGGTGCAGGTGTCGATGCGAAGGAGAAGGGCAAAGGCGACTCACTCGAGCCGGCTGAGGCGGACGCTGATACTCCTAGAAGGCTGAGCGGTGATGCGACGCCAAAGACGAACGCACAGGTAGCAGGCAGCGCCCCAGCTCAGACTGAGGCTGCGCCGCTTTCAGCGTCTTCGTCCAGTGATCCGCCGCCAGTAGATAAGGAGGCCGAGGGCCCACCTGCAGAATCTGAAGAGGCAGCACCGTCTGCCGCTCCCCAATCAGCTGAGGCCAGTACGACAGACTCCGCAGAGCAAGGAGCAGCGCCAAAGCCTGCAGAAGGCTAGATACCCTTGCGCCTTCCTATTTCCTATCCTTCATTCGGCTTCCACCAAGGTCGGACCCGCAGCGCAAAGAGACCTCCCAACGCTTCGCTCAGATCAAGATACCCTCTCGCCCCTTTTCCCCCGTATCTGGCCTCTTCATGGCTCTCGCCCTGCCCCGATACACGGTTCTCCCACCCCTTGGGGACACGGACAAAGAATGACTCGTCACCATACCTCTTCTTCCTCCGGACACTTCCTGGCCAACCCTTTGCCCTGCTACTCCCTTGCCCCATCAACTTCGACTTCTCTGCTTCCACCCGCCATAAACGAGGCTTTCACCACACTCCTTCTTGCATGTGGACAGTACCTTTTCCTCTTCCATTCAGCGTCGCTCCTTCGCAGCCTTGCTCGCATGCGCACACTCCCTCTCTTTCTGTCTGTTTCCTCCTTCCAATCGTTTGCTCTCCCCTTTTGGTCTGCCCTTGTTGCTCTATTACTCTTTCATCTTCCTTGCTGGCGCCCCTTCGTCGAGGGCTTGAAATGCACCCTCTGTCATGGTCTCGTGCGAGCGTGTGCGAGTCGATGAGCGAAAACGAGTAAGTGCATTGGATGATTGGGTTGAACAGATGAGGTGAGATGAAGATGGAGACGACAAGTGAGGATGAGAGCGAGTGGAAAACGCTACGAGAGGATGGAGGAACGTCTACACAGCAGCCTCTTCTTGTCTATGGCCGTCGACAGGCACCTTCTCCCAACCTCTATACCCTCTCCAAGCCCGCCTTCCCTCCCCAGCAAGGAACACGTGTCGGCACACATCCGCCGCCGTAGGACGGTCATGCGGCTGCAGCTCGAGGCAACGCTCTATGAGGTCCATGGCGTCCTCGAGACGTCCACCCCCATCCACCTGGCCCGCATAGTCGTCGCGACGTTGGCTAATCTCCTCTTGCGAGGGCGAGCGAGGAGAAGAAGGTCGATCATGGTGGTGCTTGGGCTCGCCTTCGCTGTCCACTACCTCGCTAGCATCCCCTTGCAAATCGTGCTCCTCAGCGGGCTGCGCTTCTGTCGGCGACAACTCAGCACTACACCTCTCCAGCAGCGCCTGCCTCGCCCGACTGCCCGCCTCGAGACCATGCATCGCCTCTTCTCCATTCCAGAATGGCGCGTCGCCTACCAAGCACACATAGCTCACCACTCCGAGAGCCCAGACATCCTGCTCCTTACCCCCGTACTTGTCACCCCTCAGAATCTCCGCAGCGGCATAATCCAGCGTACCCGAGAAGGTATCAAAGGATCGCCCCGCCTTGACATGAGCCGCACTGCCAAAGTCTATCAGCTGCGCATGCCCCGCTCCGTCCAAGATGACATTCTCGTCCTTGATGTCTCGGTGCACAATGTTGTGCTGGTGGAGGAAACGGACTCCGTCTGCTACCTGGCCGAGAATGCAGCGTGCTTCGCTTGTGGCTAGGCCAAAGGGATGCGACTCGATGTAGTCGAAAAGGTCGGTGCCGTGCCCGAAGCGAGGCATGACGAGGTAGTAGAACGACTCATCTTCAAAGAAGTCGAGCATGGTGCAAAGGCCCGGATGGGTGGAGACTCGAGGTGTGTAGCCAGCGGGAAGTGGAGGATGCGCCGACAGCAAAGAGGGTGAAGGGGCGTGATGGCTGGCAGCTGCGGCTCGATTGGGGGAGATGGACCGACGTCGTTGCGGTGGCGCACCTCCGGCTTCCTCTATGTGAGGGGAGAGTGACGTACTCCTTGGAGGAATTGGCGTGGGCGGCGTGACCAGCGCATCCTCCTCCTTGTCATCACCAGTAGGCGTACCCGCGGTCCACAAATATTCCGGACTCCATGGCTCGGGTCCCTCCAGCGGCGCCGTGAAGGGTAGTCGTCTCAATTGATCCATCACGTGGATCTCCACAGGGATTGGGCCCAAGATTCTATGCCTCCTCCAGCAGTCTGCCAAGATACGGCTCTTGATGATGTACTTGACCACAAACTCAGGCCCAACGGGCGCCTGCCCATCAGCAGGGTCTCGCAATCTGATTAACTTGACAAGACCGTACGCCCCGCGCCCGACGTCCCGCACGATGACAAAGTCGTCTATGCTGCGCTTGCGACCGTTAGGGGCGGCAAGGTAGCCGTACATTGATTGGACCTGCTGAAGGAGGACTGGGTCGCCTGATGAGGGGACGGCCGAGGTGAAGGGAGCGCCTGCCGATGTCGGCGAGGACAAATGCTGCTGCGCCGAAGCGGCAGCGTTTGCGGCAGCTTCTTGACGCGCGAGGGCTCTTTGAAAAGAGGTATTGAGGGCGCCCGGGCTGCGCGCACCACCACCGCCATCGTCGTCGTCGTCGTCGCCGTAGTTGGAGCCGGGTGGGGTACCTCTGCGGCTGGGTGGCATCGAGATGGCAGCACGGAGAGCCTCCATTCTTCCCTCCTCAGACGAGTCGGACGAGTTGCCGCTGTCGCTGCGTGGGCGTCGTGCACCTCTCGTGCTCGCGCCATCGTCGTCTTCGTCCGAGTCTGAATCGACGTCGACCAGCCCTTCCATCGCTCCGAGCACGGACGTCATCGATGAGTTCACGCCGGACTGGCCCAAGGCATCGAGGGTAAGCGAAGGTCTGCGTTCACCTGTCGAGCCTCCCGTTGACGCAGTAGCTTGTGCCGCTGCGGCCGCTGCCGCTGCCGTAGTCGAGGCTCGGTGTTGCGCTGCGAACCCGGCTAAGCTCCTTCCCGTCGCCGTACGAGACCGGGGCAACTGCTGGCCAGGCTCGACCCCTTGGCTGGCAAGGAAGCGTGCCCACTCTTCCGTTGTTGGCGTGCGCAGGACGTGCGTGACAATGCCTCCTAGGTGCATTCCGCTGACCCCTCCACCGCTCCCGCCAGGTCCAGAAATCCCTGCCGCTGGTACCGCTGCAGATCGGGGAGGAGAAAGCGTCGTGGAGCTGGACATGGTCGTCGCGCGGAGCATTTGTGGCCGGGAAGAGCTGCTTGAGCTGCCAGATGGGGAAGATGGCTCGAAGACACCGCCGCCGCCGCCGCTGGCTGCCCTGCTCTCGCCTCTCGGGCTGGTTGGCGTCAGAGCCGGGACTGCGATCGGGTTGATGAAAGGGCGGGAATGCTGTCGTGACATCCGAGGTGAGGGGCCAGCGCTCGAAGGCTGTGAGGGAGAGGCGGTCAGCCTGACCTCGTCCGCTGCGGCGGCTGCGGAGGTGGCCGCTGCTACCAAGGCTGGATCGGCACCGTCTGCCATAGCGGCGGAGGGGAGGGCAACGATTGAGGTACGCGCAGTGTCCGCGCTAGTGATAGCGCTGCCCAAGCTGAGCATTGACCATGGAGCATCGGGTGATGCCTGAGCGATAGGGGAGAGGGGACGCTCTGGTACCTCTTCGCGACTGGTGGCTCGGGACGAAATACCGGTGCTGCTCGAAGTTGACGAAGTTCTTGGGCCCCCCACTGAAGCAGCAGCTGCTCGCATACCCTCTGATCGTCTAGCTTCGAGAACGCTGAAAGGGGCGTTGTCAAGCAGAGCCAGACTCGGATGCCTTGCTCTAGCTCGTGCAGCTTTACGTCCTCCTTCTTGGCCTGCGCCGTAAAAGGATGTCGAGGCGGTCGTAGTGCTTCGTCCTGCGGCCGCCCCCACTGTTGACGTCTGCTGAGCTAGGGCAGACCTTGAGCGTAGAAAGCCGGCCGTGTGCCTCCTCGCGGTGGGAACACTTGACTCGGCAGTTGTGTTGGAAGCGGACATGCCAGCAGTCGATGATGTGGCGGGAAAGTAGCCAAATTGCGCATCCCACCGAGATCCTCCCAACGGGCTGCCAAGACGATGAGGCGGAGGATCTTGATTGTGGTTGCCACTGCCCTGAAGCAAGTCGCGGAGATTGGGCGACATACGAGGGCTGAGCGGGCCAAGGCGAGGAGAGTTGTGCCGGCTGTGGGAGGGCGAGGATCCGGCTGCAAAAGTAGGTCGCATACGTGGCGACATGGCGCGAGGGCTGCTCGGAGTTGGAGGCATTGCTTTTGGTGGAGACAAGGTCTGAGATGTCTGTAAGGATGGTGCAGATGAGATCGAAGGCGATGGTGTCCGTCGTTGAGTCTTTTGAGGGGCGAGCTCTATCTGGGTGACCGTCGAATCCGGTGACGGGGACGACGAAGAGGGCACGGACGAGACAATCCCCAACGCTGATTTTGAGGCTGGCGGTTCATCCTCAATGGGAACATCGCTAGCAAGGTTTGAGATTTTGCTCGCTCGCTTCTTGAGCCGATCTCCTTGGCCCTGGTGCTGATCGCTGCCGTCGTAGCCCCGTCCAATGCTCTTGACTCTACCCAAACCAGGACTCGAAAAGCCGCTGCTGCGTCGAAGGAGCTCTGCGTAATCACTGCCACGCATCGAGGATGGCGTTGTACCCGGCTCGAAGCCATGCTCTGAGCTACCTCTGCGCTGATCATCCTCTAGCTTGCGTGATGAACCAACGCCCATCGGTGGTGATGAGCTCGGTATGCTGTGGCTTCCAGTCGAACTGCGATTTGACAGTGAGCGCAACGAGGTGGCAGCGGCAGAGTAGGACGAGTGAGAGCCAATCGTCGAGGCCCGCGAGAGGGATCCTTGCCTGCGATGAACCTCGGCCAAATTGGATGCGCTACTGCCACTACCGCTGCCACTGCTTCCTTCTGCGCTCTCTTCAGAGTCATCTGCCAGCGATGAGAAGCCAAATGGCGAAGAGGCAGCTCGCCCAGCTCCCTCATTGTCGTAGTCAAAGCTACGCCCTCTTCCAATGACGGAAATCCCACCGCTCCTCCAGCTGCCTGAGCGCGTCACGCCATCATCGCCTACTTTCTTAGAATGCGACGACGAGCCTGACTCTGCGCTCTCAATGTCATTGCGAGGAAACTGGTAGGGCGAGTTGTAGAGGCTCTTGGTCGAGCGGACTGAGGGAGAGGCTGGGCCGATGAGGGTTGAGGAGCCAACAGGCGATGGGATGCCCTGCCCATCTATGGGAGTGCGAGGAGAGCTGGGTCGTAGCGCTCCTTCATCCTCCTGTGATTCGCGTCGAAGGTAGGACGCCTTCTGGTGGTGATGATGATGGTGTTGGTCATCCTGTTGTTGCCGCTGGGATGATGTACGCGTCTCGAGTGCCAAGAGGGGCCTGATCTGCTCCAGAGGCATGGTGGCGATGGCGTGAGCAGCCCTCGAGAGAGGCTGATGCGCAGCCTACGTGCTGTTTCAGAGGAGCGAATGATTGGGGATGATGGAGAGGCGAGCGGACGTGCGTGCGTGCGGGCGTGCTGAGCAAAGTCGAGCAAGAGGTGACCTGTGCGCAAGAGTGCTCGACGGGAGGCAAGCAAGCAGAGCCCCTCGATTGCTCTCCCTCGATCTGTGTGATCGACGATGAAAAGCTTCGGCTGCGGCTGCGGCTGCTCTGCCAAGTGGTGTGATTTGGGTTTGATGGCAAAGGCAGAGGGACGTGCTGATCAAGATCGACGGGCCCTTGGAGCTACCGTCGACTAGCCGCTCGTCGCCTCTTCAAATCACTCCAGCCCGCCCGCCTGCCCGCCTGCCCGCCCGCTACTCGGCCACGGAAGGCCAAGCAAGCCCCCCCAAGGCGAGCCAGGACGGGACGCAGGCCCCTGCTCCGAACGTGCAGGGAGACAAAGGGCAGCAGCGCCAAAGGGCAGCAGCGCGAGCAAAGGTTCTATTTCATCGTCCTCATTACTCTCTGCCTTGCTCATATGTCGAATGCAGTCTGATATTGTCATGTCAATGCTGGTAGCCGATTCTGATGTTGTACAAGTTCCTGTCCCGCGCACACGAGAGTCCACGCACGGCCGAGAGCGCTAGTGCGCTACCATCAAAGCCTGCTCTCGCTCACCTCAAACCATCCTACGCCTTGCGGATCGTCGCCGCCGCCTTCTCAGCCAGACCATACAGCGACGCGCTCAAATGCGCCGTCATCTGCGTGGGGAGCACACTCGCATCGACGATCCACACATTCTCCGTGTCGTAGACCTTGAAGTTCGGGTCCACCACACCGCCCAGCTCGCGGCTCATCATGCTCGCCGTAGCGATCGGGTGGTGAACCGAAGAGAAGCCGTTCCCACCGTTGCCCTTGAGGACGAAGTTCTGCCACTTGGCAAAGTCGCCCTGCTGGTCGTTGTCAGGGATGACGCTGAAGCCAGGCAGGGATTCAGTCTCGCCAAGGCCGTCACGGATCGCAGAGTCCTTGAGCGTCTTGCGGGCTGCGCGCAAGCCGGCAACGGTGAGGGCCATGTCGACGGGGTTAGTGAAGTAGCCGGGGTTGAGCTGCGGGTGTGAGAAGCCCGAGGCGTCGGTGGAGTGGACCGAGCCGCGAGAGAAGGGCATCATCTGCCACAGGTCGACACCCATACCAGACTGCGGGTACCCGTGGTCACCAAAGAGCTCGACAATGCCGACCTTGTCGTCGAAGATGAGCTTGACGGTCAGCTCGTACTGCTTGAGCAGCCCAGCCTTGTTCACAGCCGAGCCTGCGTTGACCTGAGCCTGAGCCCAGCTGTCCATGTTGCTCTCAATCCAGCTGCGTACCTCGGTCGCGTTGCTCATGACCTGGTAGATGTTGGGGAAAGCAATGATGTTGGAAGGACCCTTGCCGCTGGGGTCGTAATGACCTTGCTTGGAGCCGATGCTGTTCATCGTCTGCTCGATGAGACCCTTACCGACGCCCGGCAGGTCAATCTGCTGCTGGACGCCGATCTTCTTGAGGACGTCAGCGTTGCCGATTCCCGAGGCCTCGAGGAAGAGGGGGGTGCGGATGGCACCTGCCGAAACGATGACACCCTTGGAGGCCTTGAAGGTGCGCTGCGGGCCAGACTTGGTCGACTGAGCGACGACGGAGGCAGCCTTGTGCTTGCCGTTGTTGGAAGAGGCCATGTTCATCTTGACTCCACGCCAATTGAGGAGGACGACGAGGTTGGGCCTGATCTTTTCGACGGGGCTGAGGTAGGCCGTAGCTGACGAGACGCGGATCTGATTGCCGGTAGGCTGCATCGAGTTCTGAGAGTACGAGACGACCCCGCTGACGTTGCCTGCTGCGAGGTCGCTGACCTCAGGTACACCCAGAGCGTTGTTGAGAGCCTTGACGTAGGCCTTCTGGTGAGGGCCCTTGTACATGTCCGGAGTGAAAGAGACGGTGACAGGCCCGCCAGTGCCGTGAGCAGAGGAGTCGCCCTGGGCGCCAGCATCCTTCTGCCAGCCCTGAGGAGCATTCCAGTCCTCCGACTTCTTCATGTAGCTCTCGATGTCGGACCAGCTCCAGCCATCGTTGCCCAGCTGCGACAGGCCATCGTACTGTGCTGCGTCACCTCGACCCCAAGCGCCATTGTTGATGGCGGTTGAGCCGCCGAGGGTCTTGCCGCCGCGAATCGTCTTGGTGTTGCCTCCAGCTGCTGGTTGAGGAGTCGTGGCCCATCCCCAGTCGAGCTCGGTGCCGAATGCCTTGCCGTATTGGGTCATGGAGACGACGCGGTCATCGGTGCGGCTGTCGCCTCCGGCCTCAAGACAGAGGACGGTGTTCTTTGGGTCCTCGCTGAGGCGGACAGCGGTGGTGAGGCCGCCGAGTCCACAACCAACGATGACGTGGGTGTAAGACTTGGATGCGGCGTAGTTGACATCGGACGTGACCGAGTTGGATGCGCGTCGCCACAACTCGTCCATGACGGGAGCAGAGAGTGCTGAAGAGAAGAGGGCGGCCGTAGCCGTTGCCGTGATGGCGAGTGCTGAGCGCATGTTGATCAGGAGCCGCGGATGGGAAGACTTGAAGGGCTTGAAGGGGCTTGATCGAGAAAGGAAATGAAGGGGAGAACGACAAATGAGTGGTCTTATAAAACCATGAGATCGAGGTGCGGCTGGTTATTGCGACCTGCGGCTCCTTCGTTCAAAGACGGGCCGCTCTCCACGACGGGACGAGGGGAAGCGGAGACCCGTGGTCTTCTTCACGGGTCTCGCAGCCAGCAAGCGGCCTGATCGTGCGCACGCACGGCTATCTATCGATTGACAGGCCCGAGCCAAGCCAATCTCGCTCTTGGTGGGCGCTGGCGGGGGGCGCATCTGCTGCGAGCCCAGCCCGTCTTGCGGCTGATTGAGGCGTTGGGTGCTGCGACATGCTGCTACGGCGGGGCCTCGACGCCGGGACGACGCCGAATCGCGTTCAAAAATTCACGATCAGCGAGCAGCAAGGGCAGTCCGTGGTCGAAGAAGGGTTCGCCAGTCACAGCGGCGAGGGAACGCAAAGCCCGTGCGCGCCCGCCTCGTCGCAGCGACGACGACGGACTTCCTGCGACTGCCTCGTGCCTGAATTTGGCGCATCTCGCCTCGCAAGAAGACGTCAACCTCACGGACGGAGGTTTGGAGGCCGAAGTACGGCCTCGACGACACGAAGCCAGCAGCAGCTCGTCGTCCGCAAACGGCGGAAGATGGCACCCGCAGTTGCCACGCTCCTTCGTGTCTGTGGAGCGATGCGATGCGATGCGATGAACAGCAGGCAGTGCTCTGGCTATTGGTGGTCGTGCTCCGACGTAAGATGAGGAAGGTCCGAAGCTGCTTGGGCTTCACGATCAATGGCCCGGTGCGACCCGTTTCATTGAAGCACGAGGTGTGACGGCGATTGTCGCGGATGACGGCAACTCAGACCGTGGCATCTAGGTGGCAAGGAAGGCGGTGAGTGGGCAGGAGGTCGGCAACTAGGGAAAGCGAGACATGATGATCATCGACTCTTGTCGAGCGAATAGCCAAATTGACCAGCCGTGAGACCCTCATTCTCACTTGGATCTGTTCGTGCCGGAGCTGTGATTGCTAGATTCAGTCCCGCGTGACTCGCCCTCAAGATGAAAGGACTCGACGTTTCAGCGTCCGCTGGGGCTGGCGACAGCCGTCGCTCAAGCGATACGATGTCACTCGTTTACGCGCCCGCCTGACTGAATGTTGTGCGAGCAAAGCAGACGATGGCTTGCGCATTGGCTCATTCGTGGTCCTCTAAGCTCCCTTACTTTCTCAGGACCGACGAGTGATGGCCAAAAGCACACAGACAGCTTGGCCCTTGCACGCTTGCTCCTCATTCCCTTTCAGCTAGCCTGGTGGTAAAGCGATCAAATCCCCGGCATGCCGCCTTCGCAGCCACAATCCACTCGAATGGACAGCCATCGTGAGCGGCCTCGTCTATCGCGGCTCACGGTAGTGGCCTTTCGTCCATCCTAGCTAGCGTTGGATGTGCGCCGTTGCCGTGGCTCGCTATAGTCGCGCTTCTGTCGGTCGGGCCGGGCGCTCTCTTGGATTTGCAACGGAGTCAAGTCAAAGGCGGCGGCGGCGGCGGCGGCGGCGGCGCTTTGGCTTTGGCAGGGAGCAGCTGCAGCGCCGCTCGACCACCGCGACCTGGCCCGCTCCCGGTCGCTCACACGACCCAGCATCAAGGGCCGCCGATGGCCATAGCGTCAGTTCTTTCCTCTTCATCATTACCGCTCGACTCCTCGAGCCCACCCACGAGGGGGCTCCTCACCCAGACACACACCACATCGATCAGCACCGACGCTGCATAGAGGCCAACTCGCGCTCCGTGAGGATCTGCCTCACCGACCTTCCACCAATCGCCTTCTCCTCTCTGCGCTGCTTTCCTCTCATCCCCTAGACCCTCCATCACCCCACTCACCCACCATGAAATAGCCGCTATACCAATCGAGACAAGCCTCTGGTGTTTGCTTGGACTTGGACTCGGATCTTAATCTCCCCTTTTCCCCCGCCACGTTCACGATGTCGTCGACGAACAACGCTCAGCAACACACGCTCAAGGCGCCTGTGCGCTACGAGGCTCAGCGTTCACCCAGCGAAGGGTCGAGAGGCGCAGCGGATGCAGCCTCATCGGGATGGGTGGGGCCCTTTGAGCGGGTCCTTGGAGATCACGAGGAGCCTGGCTCCGACAAAAAGGCATCATCTGCGGGAGCAATGGCGGCTGCTAATGAATCGTTTGCAGCCCTTCAAGGAGGCGGGGGTGGAGCCGGAGGAGGGGCAGGCGGGGGAGTAGGATCAGCAGGGAACAAGGGCAGCAACGACTACGTCGATAGTCCACACAGCCACTCGCATCCGCATTCACAGTCGACACCGACGGCAGAGAGACCGTCCCCACGCAGACCATTGTCGATGGTCGGGCGAGCAAAGAGCCATCTCTCAAAGGCAATGGCAGATGACGAGGGCAATGCTAAGGGCGCAGAGAGCGATCAGCAGCTCATGCCTCCGCCGAGCAACACGGCAACGGGCTCGCGGTTGAGCACAAAGAGCAGCACAAAGTCTCTCAAAGCGCAACCTGCGCGAGGTTCTAGCTCTTCCTCGTCCTCTTCCTCTGCCATTCGCACCTACAGGCCGGGGCAGGACGACAGCCTTGAGAAACGTGATGGTGATCAGACACAACGCTTTCCCGGCTTGGCCCCCACCACATCAGGCCCGTCGATTGTAGAGGTTTCGTCACGCGATCAAGAAGGCAAGATCGTTTTCGACAACCTCTACCTCAATCACGCTCCTGGTCTTCAGCCTGTCCATCTACGCAACCACCTTTCGTCGGGCAGGTCGGTCTTGGTACGGCTCGAGAGCGACCTCGGCCACGCCGTCTCTTTCATGAGGCGAAAGAGGACCGGTGCAAAGAATGAGCTCGATCAACTCATCTGGCCATCGAATACCCTCGCCTGGGCTCAAGGCGCCGGGCTCTCTCCGGCCAAGTTGCGCGAACTGCGAGCCATCTCGACCAATCTCGAGGTGGCAGACTCCCTCATCCTAGAGAGCGGCGCATCAACAGAGATCTTTGTCATCTTCCGAGCGAACATGCTTCCCCCAATCCACGATAGAGAGGCAACGTCGCTCGTCAAGTCTCCCAAGCTAATGGCAACCGAAGTCCTCAATATCGGTGGCAGCGAGGTCGATGATGCAGAGTCGACTTCAATGAGCTCGAATGGCAACGATACTGCGCTGCATCGATTCAAGACTCGCGAGGCTCGTGGTATGGTGACGATCAGAGCTTGGCCTATGGCCACGGATGAGAGTGGCAACTCCTCCATGCCTTCATTCGATGCCGGTTCCAGCAGCTCTTCTGCCACTTCGTCCTCGCGTCCTGAGTCGATGTACGGGTCAAGCCTCAGCTCCTCGGCAGCTACGGCTCTCACGGAAATGTCAGACGTGTCGGCGCAAGTCGTCAAGCTACCCCTTACGGCACGCTTCTGCCGCCCTCAGTTGGCGGTCAATGTTCGCCATCCATTCGCCGGTGACACTTCGGAGTCGGCTAAAAACATGGTTATCCATCGACATGGCCACGTCAGCGTCGACTTTGGCGATGTCGTCGCTGGCAACACAGTCTCGACGGAGCTCCGCCTGATCAATCAGTCGGACATCGACTGCTTCTGGCAGACTCGCATCGACTGCGGCGACGATCCGGAGGTCGAGCCGTGCATCGCCATCTCCTCGGCGTCGGGTCCGCTCCAAGCTGTCATCTCGTCCGCCGACGGTGCTGCGCAATACCAGCCTCATGTCCTGCAGCCTCGAGGCACTACGAAGCTCACTTTGACACTCAAACTCGACTCAGAGGACTCGGCGGCCGAGCTGGAGGAAGCCGTCTCCTTCACCAACTTGCACAACACTTCCAATTCAGTGCGCATCTTCGTCAGAGCCAATATCGTGCCTGCCAATCGCGAATCGCCACTCGTCATCGAGTCAGGTGAAGGCCTCGACTTTGGCGACTGCTGCGGCGGGCACTGGACCAGGCAGCTCCTCGTGGTTCGCAACGCCGGGGAGCATGCCCTTGACATCGCACTCAACGCGCAAAAGGGCTTCGAGGTGGCGTTCGAACTGGCCAAGATTGCAGCAGAAGATCTTGATCCCCAAGATAGCGAGCGCATGTCGGCTGGCACGTCGGCGGCTTCGAGCGACTCTGCGGCAAAGTCGGCAGAGCCTTCGACGCCTGTCGAAGACGGAGGCCTTAGCGACAGCCACCACTCGATTGCAATGGAGATGATCAGGACGCCGACTCATCACGCCTCGGCCGGTCCACGTGCAGAGCCTCCCGTCTTTGACTTGGGCGGCGATACGGCAGACACCGCCACCCCGGCTACGCCAGCCTCTGACCTCGAGAGAACACCAGTCGTCCTCACACCCTACGCGCATCCCCCCGCGCCCAAGCACGAGCCAGACGAGGTGGATGACTTTGACAACTCGTCCGTCGCATCTCAAGCTGGATCTCGGCCTGGCTCGCCCGTGCAGACATCTAACATCTCCGAGATTGACACAGACGCACAGAGCTCGATCACGCCATCGTCTGAGGCGCGCAAGGTGGGGACCAAGAATCGCAGCGTCCTGGCTTGGCGCGAAGCCAGCGAGCAGAGCAATGAAGGCGACCCCGGCGTGCCGCCACATGGGCCATCCTCAGCACCTGCTACTCGTGAGGGCGGAGGGTCGGCGGCGTCGAGCGTCAGTGGGGATGGTGGCAGCAGTCAAGGCGGCAACAGCAGCAACAGCAATGTCAGGCGACCCGAAGAAGACGGCGTCTCAGTCATCTCTGAGCCATTCACAGCGCAGTCGGACAGTCGATCCATTGCTGCTCAATCCTCGCGAGCAAGCAGCTCAGCGCCGTACCGAGGTGGTAGCCAAGGCAGCACTGCCGGAGTGTCGTCAAGTGGTCCTCTTCGCAATGTCGACTCGAAGCAGACAAAGGAGATTGAGAGTCTGCTCCTCCGGCCGGGCGAGGAGTCGCGCATCGTCGTTTCGTTCCGTCCTGCCCGTGGCGATGTGGACGAGGGCTACACTGCCGGTCGCCTGATGGACAACATCTTCCGAATCACTCTCGACTATGTCAAGGCGCGAACCGCAGTCAGTGGCTCGAGCGCGGGTGGCGGGTCCCGTTTGCGAGGTGGACGAGAGCGCAAGACCGTCCTGTGTCGCACGCGAACATGCACCTCCTTCATTACCGTCTCGCCCAAGGAGCTTGACTTTGGCGAGGTAAACGTAGGATCACGCAAGTCAAGCCAGATCGCGGTGACGAACCACTCGGACTTGACAGCACGGGTCGACCTGCGCTTCGTTTCCAAGGTCCTCAGCATGTATCGCGACGAGATGGCTGTGCCATCGGGGCAGACGATCCACCTCACCGTCGACTATTCGCCTCGCAGAGTCAACGTTGCCTATTCAAAGCAGATCACCGTCGCCAACCTTCTCAACCGCCGCAATGACCAGGTCATCGATGTGCGTGGACGCAACGTCGATAAGCAGAGAATCAGCTTTCATTCCCTCTTCTACCGCATCCTCACTCCCCATGGCTCCAACTTTCTGGAGTTCGGCGACGTCAATATCAATTCGTCGAGGGTCCGGACGTTTTCGATTGAAAACACGTCCAAGGCGCCGCTCGTGCTCGACATTACCGCTGCCCACCCCGAAGACCTCGCACTGTACATCAAGGAGGCGTGGAAGGACCAAGCTCCGACCGCTGCCAACTCAATAGGCGGCGGGGAGGCATTGGCTCGGAACCTCAAAGGCTACGAGGAGACGGAACCCAGCACCATTGCGCAGCTCAACGTCGCCTCGTCGGGCAAGGATGGTAAGCAGTCTAGCCAAGCAAAGGGTGCTGAGCTCAAGGAGCGCTTCTTGGAGTCGATGTCCGATGCTCCGGCCAACGTGCGACAGGAGAATGTCTCGTGGCGTACAGCGCAAAAGCTCAGTCATTTCCGCCGGGACGCCGCTCCGACTTCGGCAGTCGGTGCTGCAAAGGAAAGTGATGCGGCTGGAGCGCAGAAGGCCGCCAAGCAGCCCGTCAATCTGATTTCTGCGCTCAAGAAGGGCGGAAAGGGGAGGACGACGATGAGCTATGGTCGGTCGGTCACGTTCAAGGATCGCACGCTGGTTCAGGAGTTTGAGCATCTCGACTTGGCCACTGGCCCACCTCTAGTCGCCAAGCGCATCTCGGTCAAGAGCAAGTGCTTCCAGTCGCTCGAGCAGATTGAGACGAGTACGAGGTCCCCGCCTGTGTCCGCGCCACCTTCCAGAAAAGCCACCAGCGCGGCGAAGAGACCGCCTACGCCTGCGAGCAAAGTCCCTTCGACGCCTGTGAAGCGCATCCCTTCGCCCCTTGCAAAGGATATCCTGTCCAAGGCTGGCTCACCTTCACGCCCCGTCCTGGCCGACCATCGTCGCCAGTCGTCGCCCGCGCTGACAGGCAAGAAGAAGGTCCGTCAAGCCGTCCTAGACCCAACGGACGTCTCGAACCTGGGCATCGACGAGCTCGTCACAGCCATCGAGTCTCAGCCAGGTGCACTAGGCACGCTCTACTTCAACAGCCCGCAAGCGGAAGAGAAGCACGTCCGCCTCGAGGTCAATCTGCAACGTGAGCTCAAGAATGCCATCCAGTCCAAGAAGCTCGTACCCCTGGGCATGCTGCAGATACCGCCCGGCGAGGAGCGTCAGGTGGTCGCCGTGTACTGCCCGAATGGGAGCACGCGTCCTCACATCCAGGGGACGGCCAGGAAGCAAGACTCGCGAGTCTTCCTCCGCCTGGTAGAGTACGACGTGCGCGCCGTGCAGGAGTCGCCCCAGTTCGGCCAGATGGCAGACCTGGATAAGGACGAGTTGCCAATTCGCGATCTGATGGTCAGGACGACGACGTGCCGCGCCATGCTCGAGTTGGGCCAACCCCACATCAACTTCGGGCAGATGGAGAAAGCCGAATCAAAGACGCGCAAGATCCTCGTGCACAATCGCTCCGAGTGGGCGGCCTCGTACTGCATTCGCAAGAGTGGCAGCATTGCGAGCGGCGACATCAAGCTGAGCTCGGCGCGATTTGGGGTGGTGCCGGCGCATGGCAAGAGGGAGGTCGAGTTCAGCTTCTGCCCCACATTGACAGGGCCTTTCAACGAGAAGCTCGTGATTGAGAATGTGGCCGATCGCGATCGCGATCTGACCGTCTTCCTCAAGGCGACGGTACACAAGAAGCCGAACTTTACCGTCGAGCCGGCCTCACTTGACTTTGGTGCCAGTCGAGCGGGTAAGCTCACCGAGCCCCTCGTCATCACGGTCAGCAATACGACGAGCAAGGCGCGCACCTTTGTCGTGGCCGTGGACACGAATGAGCTGCGCCACCAGCGCACGATCAGCGACCTAGTCTTTTCGATGAGCGAGGGTGGTGCAGGAGGGGAAGGCAAAGCCGTGCTCAGCCAGGCAGAGCAGACTTCGATTGCTGAGGAGATTGAGCACATCTCGCAGAAGTTGAAGATTGCGACGAGGAAGGGTCAGGAGGACAAGATCAAGAAGTACGAGGGTCGATTGAGCGAGTTGGCCGTCAAAACGGGCGCTAGCGCGGGCGCGAGCGCGAGTGCAAGCAGCAGCGTCGGCGACGGCGCAGCGACGAAGGATGTCGCAGCTGTGGCGGAGCCGCTTTCCTCGTCACCCGTCGCTGAAGCCGCCCTCGAGAATGGCTCTCTCGCCGCTCCTCCTCTGACGGCAGAAGGCACAGCGACTTCGACGTCTGCCACGACCACATCCCGCCTCAAGCGTGTCTCCTCGACGGTCACTCTGGGCCTGGAACCTCAGCAGAGCAAACAGATCTCGTTGCGTCTGCGCACCAACGTCATCCACACCGTGCTCGCCGAGACGGCGGCTGTGGCAGGGTCAGCGCCAGCTCGAGGCGAGGAGGAAGAAGACGTAGAGATGAACGTACGCATCCACGAGGTCAAAAATCAGGACGAGACGAGGGTTGTGCGAGTGAAGGCACAAGTTGCGTGGGATGGGCGATCGGCGGCTGCGGCAATTCAAAACGTCGCGCGGGAGGAAGATCAGCATGTAGATGGGATAGACGACAAGGAGCGCGCGGGGCTGGTGGCGGCTAAAGGCGACGAAGATGCCGAGATAGACCCACTGCCCGCAAACGACGGCTCCTCCGTCGTCTTTACACCGGAGACGTCGGGTTAAAGGATGCGTAGACTAGCGGACGAGTTTCGCTTCGGATCGATTTTGGTTTTTCCCTTCTTTTCTCTCTATTCGTTTCATGGCCTCGCAGTACACAGCAAACCAAGCAGAAGACAATCACATCTCATGACGACCCAACAAGCACACGACTCCCACGAATGTGTGCATCTGCATCTTCTCACGATCTCACAAGCTCATCGACGCCAATGCCTACGCCAACGCGACTCAAAGTTGCGCCCTCCTTGGCTTGCTTGCTTCTTCTCGCCGTACCTTGCATCGCGGAATACGGTTTGGAGGGGGGCCGCCCGCCGCGGGAGAACAAGCCGGCGGCGAAGGGACTGAGGCGCGAAGACCCTGAAATGGAACTAGGCGATGAAGCATTGGAATTTCCGCGCTAGGCCGGGCGGACGGGCAGATGTGCAGATGACCTAAGCTCTCGACTGAGCAGTGGATGGAGGCGACGCAGTCGACGCAGACGACAGAGAGCTTAGTCGAGAGCGGTAGTGCAGGCCCGTGCTCAGAAGACGTCAAATCGAGGAGGCGTCAGCTTCTACCGATTCTTTTTCTTCTCATTATTACCCCTTCTTAATCAGTTGCGTCTCGCCTCGTCTCGTCTAGGTTGGCCTTCGCGCGGCCCCTCGTGAGCACCACACACCACACCTCATCTTGGCCCTCACGCTCCTTGCTGCGAGTCTCGCCCATCTCACGGACGCTTCCCTCATCCTTATCGATCTCGAACCTCCACGGCCTCGTCAGCCAAGACATACGATGGCAGCCGCAACCACGTCTACCTCGTCGTCGCCGCAATCCTCTCTTCTCTCCAGCGCCGCCTCGCTTGGCTGGTCTCCGCTCGTCTCACTCTCTCGCTCGTCAGTCTGCTCCCTCTTTTCGCGCCTGCAAGTGGGACTCCTCACAATCAAGGACGTCGATGGCTCCACAAAGTATTTTGGAGATGACTCGCTCGTCAGCGCCGCCGCCTCAGACAGCGATGATGGTGCTTCGTCCAGTGCAGCCTCGCTCAAGCAGAGCGATGAGCCTACGCAGGCTACGCTGGTGGTGAACCGCGACACCTTCTGGCCGCGCATGTTCTTTGGTGCTGATTTGGGCTTCTCGGAGGCGTACATGGCCAATGACGTTGACACTCCGGACTTGGGGGCCTGCTTTGATGTGAGCGCGAGGCGGTGCCAAGGGCTGATACGAGGTACGCCATACTGACTCTGCTCAATTGCCCCACACCAGCTCTTCATTCGCAATCGCACTGCCCTCGCAGAGCTCGACCTCGGCCCCGCCTCTCGCCTCACCGGCTGGGTACAAGGTCAGCTCAATAAGCGCTATGCCAATACGCGCGGCGGCAGCTTGAAGAATATTGGCGCTCACTACGACATCGTGGGTGCTAGACGGCACGCCACTCTTGCGTAAGGCGAGCTGACCTTGACCTCCCGCTGCCTCCCCTCGCAGTCCAACGCCATGTATCAACGCTTCCTCTCCCGCGACATGACCTACAGCTGCGGTATCTACTCGACGCTGGACGCAGACATTGCTCCTCCCATTCCCTACCAGGCTGCTACATCCCTGCGCGACCACTCTGGCTCCAAGGCAGGCAAGGTCCCATCTCCCACGCGCGACTCCGGCATCGGCTCTCCACAATCGGACCTCTCCTCGCCGTCGAGCTCGGATGAGCTGGAAGAAGCGCAGTTGCGCAAGCTTCGCCTCCACATCAGTCGCTGCCGTATCTCTCGCGGGGACCGGGTGCTGGAAATTGGCACAGGGTGGGGATCCCTCGCCATGGAAGCATGTCGCCAAGTACCCGGCATCACCGTCGACTCTCTGACCTTGTCCAAGGAGCAGAAGCAGCTCGCCGAGGAGCGAATCCGTGAAGCCGGGCTTGAGAGTCAGATCACGGTCCATCTCCTCGACTACCGCGACATGCCCGCCGAGTGGGAGGGAAGCTTCGACCGCGTCGTCTCAATCGAGATGCTCGAAGCAGTAGGCATCGAGTTCCTCTCCACCTACTTCAGCGCCATTCATCGCGTACTCCGCCCGGATGTGGGCACGGCCGTGTTCCAGTGCATCACGATGCCTGAAGCCCGCTTCGAGGCTTATGTGCGGGGCGTCGACTTTATCAAGAAGTACATCTTCCCAGGCGGTGTACTGCCCTCGGTCCGCTCGTTGGTGGACGCAATGGCTGACGGATCGCAGGGGACAATGGTGCTACAGGCGGTCGACTCGATTGGCCCGCATTACGCGCGCACGCTGAGGGAGTGGAGGGCGAGGTTCGAGGCAGCCTTTTACGGGGATGACGGGATCCGAGGGGCGTTGCTGCGCGACCATGCGGCTATCCAGGCACTACCCAAAGCGCAGCGTGAGGCTGAGGTCGAAGTTTTCAGGAGAAAGTGGATCTATTATTTCGTCTACTGCGAAAGAGGGTTCGCTGAGAACCAGATCGGAGGTGAGCACGCGGGGCGAGACGAGAGCTGTGGGGCGAGAGACTGCGCTGACACACAACACCGCGCCATTGCCAGACCACATCCTCACCTTTGCACGCGTCGGAGGACCAGCACACTCGCAGCCCATCAGCTTTGGTGCATGAGCACGGCGAACTGGCTGCCTTTACCGGCTTCTCATTCGCACCGCACCACAACGACCACCAGTCATACTCGCATCGCAAAGCATCTCGTGATCAGGAAGGAGGAAGTACTTCGTCGTCTCGTCTTACGCACCAAGCTACGATACGAATCAAAACGATACCTATGATACGATGCATGCGTGACGAGTGTGCATGGCGGAATGGTGCTCCGTGACAGGGCGGACTGGCGGCTCAGCGTCCCCTGGCGCTTCTTGTCAGCGCGTAGCAGACCAAATATGGCACCTCTGAATCGTTCCTGCCGGATCCCACTCGCCCCATGCTTCCCGTCGATCGCCCATCCCGCGTTGTGATTGCTCGTGACAGCCTCGGCCCGTGCACGTAGCCGCCAGCATGCCGATTGCTCGCCAGTGGTGTGATGTTGTCCACGCACGTCGAGCCGCAGCGCCCACCGCGCCTTGCCCTTTCCCCGTCGCCCGCCTACACCTGTAGCCACTACTCGTCCGTTTCGTCGCAGGAGTCGCTGTCCCAAAGTCGCGGCGAACCATCGCGTGCGCCATGCCTCGCGCTTCTTGCCCATCCCCCGCAGCACACGGCGCTACTACGTGCTTCCCCTCCGACAGGAGAGCAGCCTCGCACTTTGCCGCGATTTCTCCCGGCCACCAAAGGTCCGACTCGATGGCTCTCACTGTCCGCTTGCCCTTCGACGCGGCGACTCGGAGTCGGCGTACCACGTGAGTCAGTGGCCTCTTCACCTGGCTCATCAACGTGCAGGAGCTGCCAGTAGGGATCGCCTTTTCTGTTGATACGGCAAGAGGGCGCGACGTGACCGCTGCGATCATCTCAGCGCTCCGTCGGTATCCTTATCATCGCCACTGTAGCATGCGGTACCCTAAAGTCTGCGCCGCCAACACGCGGACCAGATTGCAAAGACGAGCCGCACAGCGCCATCACCTGACCAATTTCCGTGGAGCTGTCTGGCCCGGCACGGTCTCATCGGCTTGTTGCAACGAAGACGGCGACCTGCACTTACAACAATGGTGGGCTGGGCCGCCCCACTCCGTATCAGCATGTTACTGTACCATCCATGGCCTGAGCATCGCAGGTCATAGTCGGCAAGGCTGGCGAGACGCTCGCAACGTGTTGACTTGCGTGTGAAGGGAGAGAGGGAGGGTTGCGAGCTGAGAGAGATGCTCAAGCTCTGCTATTCGTCGTAGCAGGCGGAGATGCTCCGACAGCGAAAGGCAATGGGCGCGAGCTCAGCAGCTGAGGCTTGTCAGACGGGCGATAACGCGGAAACGACTTCGCTTCGGATACGGTTAGAGCCACACCAAACGGACAGTCTCTCGCTTGCTGCTGCCCTCGATCTTGCACCGTCGTCCACTGAGCCCGTCTGTGTGCCCAGCCAACTCTATACACTTCGTTGCTATCGCGTCGTCGCCGCCCTTCGTCGTGCTCGATTTCCCGCCTGAGCGCTGCTACGTGAAGCGGGCCGTGACGGGTTGTAGGCATGACCGCGAGAAGAGCATCTGCCTCGCACCTCTGACCCGAAGACACACCGCAAGAGCACCCACCCACAAGCCCATGCACACACCACTCAGCGCCATCCCAGGCCTCCCTCACGCCCTCAGGCCTACTGCGTCCGCTCGAGCTCGCTACCACGGCCGCTCACGTCCCGCCAGGACGCGTCCACTTTGACGCGACGCTACTCAGCCGCAACGCAAGCAAACGAGGTGCCGATTGGACCAAAAGGTGCGCCGAGCCTTTCGCCATCCTTTGATAGAAAAAAAAAGGCACATCAATTAGTAGGAAGTGGCCCAAAAACGCCAAAAAAAAATTTCAGTCGACAGCAGACGGATTTGAACCGCCGCGGGAAGATCCCATCAGATGAGCGCTTGGTATACCAGGTTGCGACTAATTCGAGTCTGACGCCTTAACCACTCGGCCATACTGCCATTTTTCGCTTGTGGGGGTCCGTGCGCGCAAGGCAGCAGACATATACAGTAGCTTGCGTGCTTCAGGTCGGCCGCAGCTCACCCTTCTCTTGCAACCATCACTTTCTTGGTACTAGCATTGTCACGACACGATACGAGCAAATGTCTTGACTCGCACTCCCCATCTCGCACTGCCCTCGCACTCGTCTCGCCGTCTTTGATGGGCCTGCGAGGCACGCGTCCGACGCTCATGCGCGGAGTCTCCATCTAGGCGGCAGCGTAGGACGAGCTTCGACGAGACTGTGGCTTGCTCTGCTCGCCGTCGCCGCGGCACGGCACGGCATGCCATAGAACTCAGTTCACTTGGCCCCCGCTCATAGACGCCGGCCACCACGCTGGCCCGCTCCCTCGCACTCATCGTTTGTCCGCGACAGGCTGCGCGACATTGGTCCACCATCATCGTCGTCGTCGCCGCCTCGCTATCTTCGAATGGCGTCGTTCTTGTCGCGAATTTAGCCCTAGCCCGCCTCGGCCGCGCCGGCGGCGTGCTTCGCTGTGTTTGTCCCGGCCGCTCACGCCCCGTCCCCTCCCCTCTGGACGTGCGGACGGGGAGGAGTCGGAGCTGGTGCTGCTTCTGCCTGCCTGCCCGCCTCGCTGTGCGCTTGTGCAGTTGTGCGCTTGTGCGCTTGTGTGTGTCTCAACTTGGCTCAAGGCCATCTTTGCCTCTGCGCTCCTTTCTCTCCTCAATCTTCATCTCTAGCTCCTGGACCTCGCCCCTTTTTCATTCTCATCGCATTGCATCGCGACCCTGACCCGATTCCCGCCCCACGCTTCCAAGAATCGAATCGTCTACGCCATTATCATCACCTCCTCTTCATCACTTCGACGTCGCAGTGTCCGCGGCTGGCGGGTCTAGTCATAAGAAACCCCCACTGTCCTTCGCCATGGCAACGGCGGGCTTTGCGAGGGTGAGATCGACACCTCATGCTAGCGTAACTTCGTCCACCAGCTCACCTCCTTCGCTCTGGCAGCACGTCGTGCGGACTGCCATCGAACTCACCCCATCCCCGACAGGCGCACAGATGGCCAGGCGATCAGTGCCGCCAGAGCTGTGAGTGTGCGGCCCTCGTTCGTCGTCAACGCCGTCGTCTCTGCGCATATACTGACATCCCACGATGGCCCGCGCCCGCAGCCAAAACGTCCCTGAGACTCCGGGCCTCACGCTCAAGGCCGTCACCATCATTCTCGGCTCCCTCGCAACCCTCTGGCTCCTCGTCGTCGCTGTTGGCATCCTCTGTAAATACGCAAACAAGCCTCGCTCTGCAGCCCACATCGGCGGCTATCTCTCCAAGGAGAGGCTATACCAGCCTAGCGCAGCGGGGTATGGCAATCGTGGCTCCAGCGCGGCGCCGCAGGATCAAAAGTGAGTAGAGCGTCGAGCGAGTAGAGCAGCGAGAGAACGATCGCCGAACACGCAGCGCTGACGTCGTCTTTGCGACCGCGCAGATCGTACGGTGCTCGTCAAAGCCTTCTCGGAGCAGCAAGCCCCATGGCACGCCTCCCCTCCAACACCGCATCCCCCGACGCCTCCTTCACAATCGACTACGGCAACTCGACCCCTGACCTACACTCCTCCTCACAGCGTCGCGACTACTTCGCCGGTCCTTCTCCCAACCTACCAGCCGGTCGTGCGGGCGGCCCTTCCGGCGCACATCATCGCCATGCATCCAGCGGCGTCGGCTTGCCAGGCCCGGCAACAGCAGTCCGCCGAGGGCCAGGAGGATCCCAACACCCGCCCCTCTCCCTCGTGCCCGCAGGACCTAGCTTCAGCGACGCCGCCATGCCTTCGCCAGATGGGGGAGCATTCAGACCAGGGCAGATCTTCCAGCATTCGCAGCAAGGAGGGTACAGCGGCGGACCTGCTCGCTCTGCGTCTCGCAGCGTGGGCGTGGAGCGGTCCAACTCGAAAGTGATGCGTGGCCCACCTCCAGCTCGTTCAAACTCGAAGCGACGCTCGCGCTACTCGCGATCCCCCCGCGTAGAGTCGCTTGGCCCTGGCCAGATTCGCGCGAGCAGATACTTTGACGATGAGCAGGAAGATGACGGCGGGTACGGCGGCGAGGGCACAAATTACTCGCGACGGAAGAGCAGGTACTCGATGGCTGGCGGCGGACAATCGCGGCGTAGTCACTACGGCGGCGGGGGAGGCAGCATGAGCGGTGGTGCAGGTGGGATGTTCCCCTCTGCGACGTCGAGACAGAGCATATATGGGCAAGGCTCGGAGGATATTCTGCGTCGAGCAGCGGCCGAGGGATTCGGTAGTGGATCGCCAGACTTTGGCCCTCAGACGAGTAGGGGAAATACACAAGGGATGGACCCGTTGGGAGCGCAGAGGAGAGGGCCAGCGCCCGGAGGGGCTGGAGGGCAACGAAGACCAATGCAACCCCAACAGCAGCAGCAGCCATACCCGCCTCAGCAGCAAAGGCCTCAGCAGCAGCAGCAGCAGCAAAGATACCCACCTGGCGCCGCGGGGTATGCAGGGAAGCCGCAGAATGGGGGACCACCAGGGGCATATCGCGGTCCGCGCCCAGGAGAGTACGCTGACCCGCGTAATGGCGGGCCAGGCCCTGCCTACGCTGGCTTCGGTGGTCAAATGGCAGCGAGGCAACCTCAGATGGTTGGCGGGTCTGGCTCGTCAGGTGCGCGGCAGCTTGTATGACAGAGAGGTAACCTCACGACGTGCCGTATCACTTGCTGCGCTTATGCATCCTCAATGCAGTCATTGGAATTTCCCAGCTGACGTGTGCAAGTGAAGAAGCGTCGTGCTTGTGTCGCGCTTGTGTCGCGTTTGATGTCGGGCGAGCTTCGCCAGACAAGGCGAGGATTGAGATTTTCTCCCAGTCCGCCCTCTGCCGCTTTGATCCCGAGTCGCGCTTTTTGTTCCTTTCCCTCCCTCCGCCCCTCCCTCCATCCTCACCTCCCGTCGTCTCGCCCAACATGGCGCCCAACCCCATCCCACTCTCCCCCGCACGCTTAGCAGCCTCACGCATCCGGCTCCACGCAGGCGAGTCAGCCTTCCGTGAGAGCTCCGCCACGATCGTCATGCCTACCGCCTCTGCTGCGTTTCTCAACCCGGTCCAGGAGTTCAATCGCGATCTCAGCGTGCTGGCCATTCGGGCGTGGAGCGAGATGATTGACGAGGACATGAAGAGGAAATGGACCGCCAGGATGGAGAAGAAGAGGCTGAATGGAGGGGTCAATGGACAAGGTGGGAGGAAGAGGAGGGCAAAGGATGCTGGCAAGGGTCAGGAGGAGGGTAGTAAGAAGGTCAAGGCGGGTGAGTATATGCGGGGATGTCAGGAGTAGCACCCGAGCTCACACAGTCTTCTCGTGCTCTTAGACAACGGCGAACCTGAGGCACCAGTCGCAGAGTCATCGGCCGCAGGAGCAGCGGCGGCGGCAGCAGCAGCAGCGGGAGCAGCAGGAGCAGCAGAAGCACCACCATCGGCCGCTCCTCAGCAAACTGAATCGGCTCCCCAAGCAAGCTCCTCAGGATCGGCAGCAACACCACAAGTACAGGACTCCCTCGCAGCTCCAGCGCAAGAGGCTACCGCGCCTCGCTACTACCCCTTCCGCTTCACCGTCCTTGAAGCACTCTCTGCGACAGGCCTGCGAAGTATTCGCTATGCGCGGGAGATCCCGCTCCTGAAGCACGTCATAGCAAATGATCTCTCAGCGTCCGCAGTCGTGGCTATGAAGCGCAATGTGGCTCTCAACTTTCCCGCCGGGAGACCAATCGAGGAATGGGTGCCGGACAGGGAGGCCGAAGCCAACGAAGCGGCGCGCGAGCTCACCGAGGACGAGATGATGGAGCTCGAGAATGGCGGCACTCTCGCTCAAGTAGACGCTACGCCCGCGCCCCCTCTCGAGAGCGAATCCGAGGCTGCGTCCGCGTCCGCTGCCATCCACCCAGACTGCAAGATCAAAATCAACGAGAGCGATGCCCTCGACGTCATGTACTCTCACCGACATCCCGGCTTGCGCTATCAAGTTGTGGACCTAGACCCATATGGATCAGCCGGTCCCTTCATCGACGGCGCCGTCCAGTCAGTAGCCGACGGCGGCCTCCTCTGTGTAACATGCACAGACACCGCCGTCCTCGCCGCCAACAATTACCCCGAGAAAGCCTTCGCCCTGTACGGCGGGAGCTGCACTCGCAACGAGTACTGTCACGAAGTCGCACTGCGCCTTGTCCTCCACTCCATCTCAGCCGCCGCAGCAAAGTACGGTCGCCACATCAAACCACTCCTTTCCCTCTCCATCGACTTCTATGTGCGCCTGTTCATTCAGGTGGACACCGCCCCGATCGAAGTGAAGCAGCTGGCAAGCAAGACGGGCTTGGTCTACACTTGCTCGTACTGCCACAACTTCCACGAGCAGCGCTTGGGCCGGTCGACGGAGACGCACGGCAAAAAGGGCGGGGCGACGATCAAGTATCAGAATGGGGGCGGGCCGCCAGCTGCCATGGCGGCGGGTGGCCGATGCGAAGAGTGTGGGTCCTCTTACCTTGCTGCGGGGCCGATGTGGCTGGACCCCATCCACGACCCAGACTTTGCGAACCGCATCCTTGAAGTGCTTGAGCGCGACCCTAGCCGCTCCAAGACGGCACCACGTATCCGCGGTATGGTAGGGACGGCAGCGCGCGAGATTGCGGATTCGCCCTTCTACTTTGTTCCAGCCAAGGTGTCCGGCTTGATGCACGCAGAATCGCCTCCTTTCGTCGCGGTGGCATCAGCGCTGCTCAATGCCGGCTTCTCCGTCTCACGCTCGCACTGCCAGCCCGGCTCGATCAAGACGAATGCTAGCCGCGCACAATGCTACGACATCTGGCGGGCCTGGATCGACCAGGGCCACCCAGTCAAGGTTGAAGGGATGGCGGAGGGGTCCCCCGCGAAGAAGTTGGTAACGAAGGAGCGCGGCGAGCTGGCAGGGAAAGTGAATTTTGAGGAGCATCCAGAGGCGAGGAAGCTTGCGGCAAAGGACGATACGGGCAAGGCGGTCCGCTATCAGCAGAACCCCTTGCCCAACTGGGGCCCAGGGACAGCGGCCATCCGCCCAGCCAAGGGGAGCAAGCCGCAGGAGAAGAAGTAGGCGACGCGAGCACTGGCTGCGACGCGGCGCAGCGTCATCATTGTGTCAATGCGACAGCGGGCGTCATTGGATGGCCACATCTGTACCTCGTCGCCTTTGCACGTCACGGAGCAAAAGACAACGAAGCGAGCGGGAGTGTTCTCTGGGTCTCTCTGTAGCATCGGCCGCTTGATCCCGAATGATCGATGTCGATGTCTCGCGATGCCTCGCGATGCCTACGATGCCTCACGATAATGTCTGACGATGACACTTCGCATATGCCTCCCTACCGCCTTGTCTGCCTGGGTGGTCATCGCTTCGACGCCCACCACTCTACGAGGTCAATGTTGGACAGCTTCGTCGCGAGGTGATGCCAAGCAAAATTCGGCCACGCACGCGCTGCTCGAGCGGGCTTCGATTCAAAAATGTCGAGGCGACAAGCACCAGGCAGCGTCACAGCTTGGGTCGGCTGCGTGTCGGCAGGCGTGCTTCCGCGAGAGCACTGGAGCAGATGAAGCATCGACGTCGCCCTGTCCGCTCGTGAGGCAATCCAGGGCACGCAGCATGGCCTCGAAATGCTCGCACGCCTGCAGCGGCCAAGCACAGCACGCACGAACGGCTTGCGTGTTCGAGGGGGCAAAGCATGAGGACAAGAGGGAGCAGGCGTTGCGGTCTTGGAGTGAGATGCTGCAAAGCGGTTAGACTAGTGGCCAGGCTAGCCTCAAGTCAAGGCAGAAAGACAGCTCGATGAACGACGTCCTGTAATCCGGACCTTGAGGATGCCGGGCTGTCGCTGCTCCTCGGTGCTCTCTGCTCTCTGCTCTCTGCTTCCTCGGCTGCCCGCCAAGCCAAGAGTGACCGCCGACTCGCTCGTCGTTGACAACAGTCCTTTTTCATCTTAGCCCCCTCGTGTCCCTGTCAATCCACCCTCTTCATTCTCCCTTCCCTCGATCCCGCCGCCAAGGGCCAAGAGCGAGCCGTGCAGCGTACCTGGATCTCTTCAAGGGCCATCATTCTCTATATCTAGTCCACCTTCGCATCCGTAGCCAGGATGGCTCCTCATCCAACTCCCGTACCTATCGCCGCGTATTCGCACCACTACTTCAAGGGCAACAACATGGCCCCCGCCGTCGTACCTGCTTTGGGCGAAGCTGGCCCGTCATCATGGCAAGGTCGAGGGGCTCCTCTCGTCGTCCGCTCACGGTCCCGCACGCCCGTCTTCTTTGAGCGCGGAGTCATCAACACGGACGGCTCCTTCAATGGTTCGTGTGCTTCGACGGCACAGTCTACGATGCCACTCGAGGCGCCCGAGGGTAGCTGCGCATCATAGTGAGTGCAAAGACAGAGGGGAGTGCCGCTCTCGACGAGGGTCTCCGGCTGATCACTCATCGACATCCGACATTTCGCACAGCTTCCCCGACATTACGGCGTACTGCTGCTCAGGCATTGGAGGGACGCTCGTCGAGGTCACCTACGAGAATATGGGGATGCCTGCGAGCGCCTCTTCATCATCGTCGTCCACCAGCTCGTCCCCTTCCGACGGCTCTTCAGGCTCATTCCGTGAAAATGTCTGCCAGACCACCAACTACTCGGACGCGCTCGCCTGCTTCCAGCTCACAGCCCAGACCAACTGTAAAGCGGGCCAGACGGGGCTCTACGGCGTCTGCAATGCGACGGGAAATGACACGAGCAGTGTGACCCTCTCGCAAGACTCGACGACGTCGGGCGCGGAGAGCACTGGGTCGACGAGAGCGACGACTAGCGCAGCGGGGGCTGGGACTTCTGCGTCTTCGAGCTCGGCGGGGGCGGGAGCTGGAGCTACGATGGAGGGGCAGACTATTGTGCCTACCGCAGCGTCTACTGGTGGAAGTAATGCTGCGGGAGACTCGAGGGGCAGGCCCGGGTGGAAGGCGTCATCCGCTATTGCGGGCCTGGTGCTAATGAGCGTGCTCCTCCAGGCGTAGAACACCTTTTCATCGCGCTTTTTTTTCCCTTTGTATACCCTATCGCCGTATCTTTGCTCTCATTGCGTCGCTTCAATCGAAGATGAGTGCTAAGAGAAGAGCTGCCCTGCGTGAGGTGACCAGACGTTGTGTGCTTGGCGGCGCGAAGAGTGGAGGAGTGAGGGCGGACAGAGAGCGGCCAGTCCGAATCGAGCGGCGGACCTTCTTCGTTTCCTCCCCACTCTTCTCAGCAAACATGAAGGACAGTCTTGTCGTCATCTGCCGTCATTCCCAGGCGTGAGCATCATGTGATCCCGCGGTCGTCAATCGCTGGCAGCTGACCATTCACTTCTCTCTCTCGCGCGCACCCGCAGCACCCACAACGTCGGCCTCGATTACTCCCTGCCCGATGCCCCTCTCACCGCCCTCGGCAAGGTCCAAGCCAGCAAGATTCCCTCCTTCGTGGGCGCAGACCTCCAAAAGCAAGTCGAGCTCGTTGTCACTAGCCCCTTGAAGCGCACTCTCCAAACCACCCTCCGAGGCTGGCGTGCATCAATCGACAATACGGGCGGATTCAGCAAGGTGGTCTGCCTTCCCCAGCTCCAGGAATGCAACGCCTACCCTTGCGACACCGGCTCTGCGAAAGAGGTGCTGGAAAAGGACACGGAGGTCAACATGCTCGACTTCACCAACCTCACACCTGACTGGACCAGCAAGCAGGGATTTTATGCCGCAGACGAAAAGACGCTCAACGAGCGTGCGCGCTGGGTTCGTCAATGGGTGTACGAGCGACCGGAGAAGACGATCCTACTCGTCGGCCACGGGGATATCATTCGCCGCATTACGGGAGCTCCCGAGGCGAACTCGACGTACGCTTGGAGGAATGCCGAGGTCAAGACGTACAAGTTCCGTGATGGAGCTGAGGCAGACAAGGGCTACTGGCTGACGCCGGAGGGAGTCGACGTTGCAGCTGGTGGGTATGAGCCTACTTCGAGTGAGATGGACGAGGTAGAGAAGGCAGAGAAGGCGCGTGGTTAGACTCGAGGGCTGGCATAGAGTAGACTTTGCGGCCCGTTGTAGGTGCCCGCGCCCGCCAACGTGGAGGCTATAATGCATACCATAGAGAGCAGCAGCAGCGTCGTCTTCTGGAAGCCTGATGGAGGCAATCAAAAGCCTGGGCGTGCAGGCCGCTGTAAAACTACCAGTTTCGGCCGTATCGCACCTTGTCCTCACCTTCCCAACGTCGTCGTAGGCGCCGCCGCTTCTTGCTCTTTTGACTCGTGGGCGTCGTTGGCGGGGCTTCAAAAAGGCCTGAGCCGGGCGAGTTCAAGTCGCCGTGCTGGAGCGCGCTGAGAGACGACGAGGGGCGCTCGGGCCTCCGTCCAACACACACGAAAGCGTGGCCGAGCGTGCCTGCCCCTGGCCCAAGAGCGCTCTTTGCGACCGACTTCTTTCCTTTCGTCCGTCACCACTCCGTTCACCGCCTCACCCCGTCGACCCCGAGCTATAGGCCTGACTACTTCGTCTCTCCTGTCGACATAGCTATCTCGACGACTAGCTAGCTACGAGACAGCGTGCTCTTGTCCACATCACCCGGCTCGCTGAAGAAGGCACGCCGCAACTCAGAACCATTAATTACGTCGCAGAGCACACAACGAGGACAAATCGTACCCAGTCATGTCAGGACAAGCTGGTATCCCGTCAGGCGCTGGAGCTGCCCCATCCAATGGCGCGAGTGGCAATGTGTGAGTGGCAGACGACAAGACGCCAGCCTGTCTCAGGTGGCACGTAAGCTGCGAGAAGCGCGGCCTTGATGAGTTTGAATGCTCGCGGACGACTGCTCCGTGATCCATTCGCTCGGAACGTCCTGAGCCCAGATCCATTTGCTGATGCCAGCCATCTCTCTGCCTTCGCATCCTGCCCCGGCCTGCTCGTTCTCCTCGCCACATCCTCGCATCCATTGGCTCCCTCACTTCATCCTCAGCCTTCCCGACATTGGCACAGGCGCATCCGGCTCACTCGATGTAGGAGGTAGCATCCTTGCCGAGCTGGAGGGCAAGATTGCGCAGACGTGAGTGCGGCGACGCTCTCACGCAGATGTTCTCGTTGGACGCGGTGATCCTGACTACGCATTGCCTTCTCGCCAACTTTCTATCCTTGCACCACTCACTCCTGGCTCATCAACTCGCTCAACTACAACGCTCGCTCCTCCGGCTATCGCGCACCCACAGTCAAGAGTCAGTCCAGGTCAAGAGCAAAGAGCTCGACGAGCTCGAGGAGCGACTGCGCCAGGCCGAGGCGAGGAAGCAGGAGCTCGAGGCAAAGGGGGTTGGGCAATCGTAAGCTTGCTGGAGAGAGGCAAATGGACGAATACGGGAGGGATCGTTGGTGACGTGCAGTGAGGGTCGGATGGGGAGACACACAACAATGCGTAATAGCTACATCTATACTTCAACGATCTCGACGGGTCGCTTCGGCCTGCACGTCACACAGGGCCTGATGATGTGAGATGAAGGCTGAGCCCCACGATGTCATTACTGACCCCTGAGAGAAGATGTATCGAGAGCTATATGGGACAGGAAAAAAAGCGCGGAAGCACGCTCAGCTCTGCGCACACTGCACATTAGGTCCGCCTCCAGCCTCCTCATCGTCCTCATCAATGTCCATGCCGCCATGCGGGCCACCGCCGTTTGTCCTGGCCTTGCGTGCCTCACGCTCATCAAGGTCCTCCAACTCTGCGTCCTCTGTGTCCACTTTACTGTCCAGCTTGGCCAACTTCCTCCTCGCCGGCAGAGCCTTCTCCAGCAGCGGGATGGACTCGAGCGGCATAGAGTCGGGGAAGGCGACGGAGAGGTTGACGTACAAGTCTCCCGGCTCGTGGTGGCGCAGCGAAGGGAAGCCTTGCGATCGAAGCACCTTGACCGTGCCCGGCTTGATGACCTCGCCCTGCGCAATCTCGACGCTGAGTGCTCGGTCGTCCAAGTGGAGGATCTGGATCTTGCCGCCAGCCAGAGCGGTGAGAAGGTCGACCTCGTAGTCGGTGTACAGGTCGTTGCCCTTGCGCTGGAAGCGGTCGTGAGGCTTGACATCGACGACGATGATGACGTCTCCTGGCACGATGCCCGGAGCTTGGTCTGCCTCCTCCTTGAAGGTGATCTGTTGTCCATTCTCCATTCCCTTTTCGATGCGCACCTCGAGAACCTTGCGCTCCGAGTTGACCTTCTTGCCAGAGCACTGCTTGCATCTGTCCTTTGCCGCCATCGTCTCTCCCTGGCCAGAGCAAGCATCGCAGGGAGTCTGCACCTGCTGGATCATGGGCCCGAGCTGACGAAGCTGCATCTTGACACCTTGGCCATTGCAGCTTCGGCACGTCTGGACATTCTTGCCTCCCTTGCCTTCACAGCCCTTGCACAGGACGTTCTTCTGGAGAGCGAGCTTGGTGACCTTGCCTGCGTAGAGCTCCTCGAGGGAGACTTTGACGCGGTGTACAAGGTCCTTGCCCTTGCGCGGGCCACGGGGTCGTCCACCGCCTCCGCCGAAGAAGGAGCCTCCACCGCCGCCGCCGAAGAGTTGGGAAAAGAGGTCCGAGGGGTCCATACCTCCCATGCCACCGCCGCTCTCGCTCAAACCGGCCTCGCCGAATCGGTCGTACCTGCGGGTGGTGGTGGGGGCGTGGACGAAGTTCAGTCAAAAGGCAGGGAAGACACACTGCTCGTTGCTACCGCTGCTCACATGTCACGCTTCTGAGGGTCTGAGAGGGCTTCATAGGCTGATGTGACTTCCTTGAAGAGCTCGGGGTCTCCTCCCTTGTCGGGGTGGAGCGACAGGGCTTTCTTGCGATAAGCCCTGCGCAGAGAGAGAGGTCGCGAGAGGGGGGAGAGTGGCGATGTGAGCGGGCCGGCGCAGGAGCAGGCTCGACTTCGTCGACTCTGGCACTCACTTCTTGAGCTCTGCCTCGCCTGCCGAGGGCGATACGCCCAGGAGGTCGTAGAACTGTGCGCAGCAGGGAAGAGGTGGTGAGCGAGGGGACGTCGAGCGCGAAGGCTGTAATGCTGCGCCTGCTGCAGTGACTCACCTTGGTCTCCCTGCAGTGACGAGAAGCGTAGATGGTAGGGGCAAATTCGATCAGAAGGCTGGATCTCAGCATATACGCAGCAAATCGCCTGCCCACTCACTTGACCATAATGAGAATGTGGCTGCTGCGCTCGGCTCTATTGGCAGGTGGGTATGGTGCTTCTTGCTCTATGTGTTCTTTGGTACGCCTCTTGCTGAGTCTAATGCAGTGGCTCTTGTGCTCTTGCTGCTATCAAGTGGTTGGTTGGATTGGTAGTGATGGCGAACAATTCGACGTCGTCCCGTTTGCCCTCGTTTCGAGTGCAGCCTTCGTCCGTGGTGTCGTGCGTAAAATGTTGGCGCCCGCTTGCCCGCCAGGCTGAGAGGCCCTGCAGCAGCAGCCAAGCCGCCCTCGCTCGAGAAGGCCGTGGAATCGCAGGTCTGCGCCCGCCCGCCCGCGCTCGCGCCACTCAACGCCCAGTCACTCACTCGCTCACTCACTCACAGCCGCCTCCGCCTCCGCTTCAACCAGGGCGAGACGGACGGAAAGGGCTCGCGACGTTGGACGGACGGACGGGCGACACACTGAGCATCCAATCCACAATTACCAACACCACCTGCCTGCCGTCGTTGGGTGGTAGCTCTACGGCCCGCCATGGCAGCCCCGAATCAGGCAAACAAGCATGCCTTCCTGTCCATGGCCCCGCCGCCAAACTACGTCGCCGGCTTGGGGCGAGGCGCATCAGGCTTCACCACTCGCTCCGACATTGGCCCAGCTCGACAGCAGAGGCCCGACGACAAGGGCAAGGCAAGGGCCGATGGTGAAGACGGCGATGGCGATGATGAAGGTGGAGCCGGCGGTGGTGAAGAGGGGCAATTTGACGACCGCGATCCAGAGAATGAGACGGGCTTGTTCGCGGGCGGCGTCTACGAGAAGGATGATGAGGAGGCGGATCGCATCTGGGAGGCAGTAGACAACAAGATGGACGAGAGGCGAAGAGACAAGCGCGAGGCGAAAGAGAGGGAAGAGATGGAAAAGCTGCGTGCAGAGAGACCAAAGATTCAAGCTCAATTCGCAGATCTGAAGCGCGGATTGGGCGCCATCTCGCAGGACGAGTGGGCTGCGCTGCCCGAACCAGGCAACTTGACGGGCAAGAAGAGGAAGAAGGCAGAGAAGCGCGAGGCCAGAGAGACTGGCAGAAGCTACGTCGTACCAGATAGTGTCTTGCTGGGGGCCAGAGACCAGAACGCGACCGTCTCAGAGGATCAGACGGAGCAGGGAACAACAACGAGCCTCACCGAGATCGGAGAAGCACGCAACAAGGTCTTCTCCCATAACCTCGATCAAGCGGGGACTAAGACCTCGCTAGGTGGTACGGCATCTACCATCGATCCACAAGGCTACCTCACCTCCCTCTCCTCATTGCCGACGCAATCCACTGCAGAAATCGGCGACATCAAGCGCGCTCGTTCCCTCTACGACTCGCTCATCAAGACGAATCCCTCGCATGCACCCGGCTGGATCTCAGCAGCCCGTCTGGAGGAGAGAGCTGGCAAGATGGTCACAGCCCGCAAAATCATCGCCCAAGGCTGCGAGCATTGCGCCAAGAGCGAGGACATTTGGCTGGAGAACGCGCGCCTGAATGGGCGAGACAACGGCAAAGTAGTGCTAGCTCAAGCTACGCAAGCGCTGCGCGGACAGAGCGTCAAGATCTGGCTAGCGGCTATGGATCTCGAGACGGATCCGGAGAGCAAGAAGCGGGTGTTGCGCAAGAGTCTGGAGTTCCTGCCCACGAGCGTGACGTTGTGGAAGAAGCTGGTCAGCCTGGAGTCAGATCCAGGGGCAGCCCGCGTCCTCCTTTCGGGCGCAGTTGGTGCCATTCCCTCTTCGGAGTCCCTCTGGCTTGCTCTTGCTCGCATCTCGACGCCGGACGAGGCCAAGCAAGTCCTCAACGAAGCACGCCGCAACATACCCACGTCACACGCAGTCTGGATCGCGGGTGCTCGCCTCACCGAGCAGACTAGCGAGGCAGCCACCGATGCGACGCAGAAGCAGCTCGACGGGCGTCTGGCGATGGCGGTGCGCTCTCTGACGAAAGCGGGGGCAGTCCTCTCGCGCGATCAATGGATGGAGGAAGCTCTACGCACTGAGTCGGAAGGCAGTCCGATGACAGCCACGGCCATCATCAATGCGACGCTCGACATAGGCATGGACGACGACGAGGAGCGTCGCATCGTCTGGGTTCAGGACGCAGAAGCGGCCAAGGAGCGAGGCAACATCGCCGTGGCCCGCGCAATTGTCGCCTACACGCTGCGTCTCTTTCCTGACCGAGGCAGCGTCTGGCGCTTCGCCGTTGACCTCGAAAAGGAGCTCGCTGCCGCAGAAGGAGGGGACATTTCGTCACTCGAGGCATTGCTGGAGCGCGCCGTCTCTGCCGTACCGAAGAACGAGACTCTCTGGCTCATCTACGCCAAGTCCAAGTGGGAGCGAGGAGACGTTCCCGGTGCAAGACAGATCCTCATTCGAGCATTCCAGCGCAATTTGGGGTCGGAGGACATCTCCCTCGCGGCTGCGAAGCTCGAGTTTGAGAATGGAGAGAAGAATGCGGCACGATCACTGCTGGAGCGAGCAAGGGGGGAGGTGGGGTCAGCCCGCGTCTGGATCAAGAGCGCGGTCTTCGAGCGCGATGAGGGGCAGCATACGCGTGCGCTGGAAATCGTCGTTGAGGGGCTGGCAAAGCACGATGGCGAACCCAAGCTCTGGCTCATGCGCGCGCAGCTTCTACAACATCCAAGCGTCAACGCCGACCCTGCCGCAGGGGTACGAGCAGCGCGCGACGCCCTCACAAAGGCGGTCAAATCCTGCCCACACAACGTCGACGTCTGGCTCGCCTCATCCCGACTTGAGGAGTCCGCCAACCTCACTATGCGCGCCCGTGCTGTCCTCGAGAAGGCTCGTCTATCCAACCCACGTAACGACTCCCTCTGGCTGGAATCCGCCCGCATAGAGGACCGATCCGGCAACGCTGCAGAGTATCGTCGTCTCCTCTCTCGTGGCCTGCAGGAATGTCCGGCAAGTGGCAAGCTGTGGGCTGAGAGCATCTTTGCTGAGCCTCGCCCAACACGCAAGACGCGCAGTGCTGATGCGCTCAAGAAGACGGGCGACGATGCGCGCGTTCTCTGTGCGGTAGCGCAGCTGTTTTGGGTAGAGGGGAAGTACGAGAAAGCCAGGCAGTGGTTCGAGCGTAGCGTGCGGGCGGATGTCGCGTGGGGAGATGGTTATGCTTGGTGGCTGAAGTTTGAAAAGGAGCAGAGTGACAGTAGCGAGGAGAAGAGACAGCAGATCGTGGAGGCTGCCTCGCGTAATGAAGCCAAGTACGGCGAGGTATTCCAGCAGGTGAACAAGAGCGAGGGGAGGCAGCGGGAGAAGTGGGGGATGGAGAAAGTGCTGGATGTCACCGCGCAGAAGCTCGTGCTCAAGAAGTGAGGGCTGCGAGCTGCCGAGTCTCGATTCTCAATCTGTATCATCATTGTAATGCCAACAGCGTCGACTCATCGTATGATGCCACACCACAAGCTCGGCCCAGTCATCGTCCCTCATGCTCCCCGTCGCGGCGTGACTCAGCGAGACACGCCCACGCTTTGTTTCGACCGGGAGGCTGGAAAGTAGGCCCAGCACAGAACTTCTTCGGGCGGTGCTACAAGAGCAAAAACATGTTTGATTGCCGTAGCAGCCTACTTTTCTGGTCTAGCGTGTCATCCTTTGTGCAGAGGCCATGCTACAGTATCTTCTCTGTATCGTCAAAAGGTCTTCTTTCGCCGAGCTGGGTCCAGGATCGATGGTCTTGAGATTCCGCTTCACGTCTTGGTCCAAGCCGTGCAGCTGCTGGAAATCCCATGGCCTCTCTCTGAACTTGGCAGTCCCTTAGGCGAGTGCTGCGAGTCTCGAGCACATTCTGAGCGAGGTCCTGACCATCGGTCGAGTAAAAGGGAGACACTGGATAATCCGAGACGAATCGTGTCAGAGGCGTGGGGGTGACGGAGTCGATTGCAGCTCATGAAGTCACGAGAGTGGACTGAGATAGCCATTGCCTTTCTCCTAGCGCCGCGTGCTTGGACAGCCAGGCTACGTGTATGAATCAAGGGGAGAGAGCGAAAGAAGAGAGGCAGGAGGCGTGGATGCTCATCATCGGGTAGGCGTAGAGGTCTGGACGGAGCTTTGTACCACTCTTAAGGCGGTAGCGTTCCACTTCTGCGACTCTTATCTCGGGGTCATTTAAGTCTCGCGTACGAGGTTCAGCGAAGTTTGACGACGGGTGTCGAGAAATGGCTGTCGAGGCGGTATGAGGCGAGATATGGGTTTCTCACCAGTCTATACCGATCTTGACGCCCAGAGCGAGCACCTTCGTGGTGTATCCGAGCGCGATCGCTCGAAATTGGCAGGCTCCGTCGCCCTCAACCTCCATCGTCGTTACGAGGTCATCGCCCGGAGCCGCCCCTATCCCAGAACCCACACACCTCGATGTCATCTCCCTCCTACGCCGAGGAGTCTGCCTCATGAGTGCAGCAGGAGGGGGCCGCAGGAGAGCAACGATCAAAGAGGGCTCCAAGCGAATGTCGCCTTGCTGCAGCGCCAGTGAGCTTGGGTGCCCCTCTGTCGATGTAGGCGAAAACGCATCCGCCTCCTGATCGTCCTCTTCTTCCACCTCTGCCCCAAACTCATCTCCCTCGCCTCCGCTGTCTTCTCCCCCCTCGTCCTCTGCCTCCAGCGCAGCCCAGTCCACCTCTCCACCCAGCCAGTCCTCGTAGGGCAGCTTGGTGCCCAGCGCAAGAGCTTCCTGCCCCATCCTCTCCACCACCTCCACGTCCTGGCGCTCCAATTGCGAGGCCTAGCCCTCGTCGTGGTTCTTGTTCCCGCTTAGACGATTCCACGCCCACTGGATACCCCTCAGATTGTCGGGGAAGTATCCACGGCGATTGTCTATGCGGTCGAACGATACCATTGGCATCGGAACCACGCAGCCGTCCTCGCACATGAACAGGCCCGGCCCCACGCGACGAGACTTGAGGAGCTGGTATAGGTCCATCACGGTGATGGCAAAGTCCAGCCCACGCTTCGCCGCTCCCTGCCTGAGCGACCTCCAGCGCGTCTCCGACAGCTTGAGCATCATGCCGTGCTCGTGAGCGTTGATGGGCGGCGTCTAGATGGGCGGCAGGGGCACGCGGATCGTCCTTCCTGCCGAGTTGATCGAGGGAACGAAGAGGGCGCTGCGGTCTTGACGCCGCCACGAGAGATCGAAGCGCGAGACGAGCCGGCGAGCGACGGGCAGGGGGTACTCGGCCTTGATGATGTTGCATGCCACGCCGAGGACGTGGCAATTCTCAGAGCCGTAGTCGCGGCCAGGGACGATGCGGTCGGGAGATGCGTTGTGGGGCTCAAGAGCCCAGCATTCCTCTTGGTACTTTGTATTGAGTACCGTGCCGATGATGCAGTCTCCTGGGTATGCCACCCTGTTTGCCGGGTCCTCCGCTGTCCCTCCCACTGCGCCATCCAGCATGACTGAGTCGTCCGCCGCGCCGTTGTCCGACGAGGCGCTCGAAGCGCCATCGTCGTCGCCAGTTCCCGCCTCGTCGTCACAGCTTGAAGACCGTCTATTAACTTGTGAGCGTCGCTGGTGGTTCGGATGCTGGGCCTCAAACGACGGTACCAGGCTCCTCGTCCTCATTTTGCACCACGAGAGCTTGGTGCACTCGGGCATGGGCTAGCTCTACGTTGGCGCGGCAAAAAGCACGGTATTGATTTCTCGCTGCCGGATTTCTTGCCGTCTCAGTCTCTGCAAAAGCCCTGACAGGACCGACGCCTGTATTCCTGTGCTCGTTGTATGCCAGGTACGGGAGATCCAGGGTCCATGGCGAGGGAACGAAGGGGATCTGATGAGGCTCGAGGAGGAGGGTATCGCTGGGCAGCTCGGCCAGGAAGCGATTGAACCAGTTGAGCCAGCCCATGATGACGACAAATTTGTCCTTGGCCTCGTGCTGCTTGGAAATCCAGCTCGAGCCAGATGCGAGAGAGGAGGAGGGGAGCTACGATGTTGCGGCAGCGTCACCTTCGTCTCCATCATCGTCTGCCATTGCCCAGGAGCGGATCGTGATCATCGGCGGAGGAGGAGGACTGGCCAAGGACGAGCCTCGTTTGCTTCGGCGACTCTGAAGCTACGGGTCGTAGTCATTGTCGTGAGTAGATGGCAGCGTCGTATCTCAGCTCCTTGATGCCGCTCAGCGCCAGTGGATCTTCCATGACCTTATGAGCGCCACTGGATTGGACGCTAGCCTTGAAGCGACGGTGGCGCCGTCCCAAGGCTCTGTGGTTGTTGGTTCTCCCTTGCTGTTTGAACGAGAAAGGGTCCACCCCCGCGACGAGGACGCCACCACAGAAGGGGGCAAAGTGAGGTGGTCAGGTGGTGATGATGCACCGTGGCCTGCACCATGTCTGGTAGCGAGCGGTAAAGAAGGAGGAAGATAGAGGTGAGCGCGAGGAGCATGATGATCAATGGTTGCCACGAAGGGGCTGCGCACCTATGGTCAGGCTTGGGGTAAATCCTTTGCACACGACTTGGGTGATGACCGGTACGAGCAGGCCTGCCTGGTCGGTGTTGACCTCCTCCGCGAGGTTGATGAATGATGAGATGAGATGTGGCTGGCGTTCTTGACGAGGAGGCCTGGTGTTGAAGTCGGATAGTGCTCGACGAGTGGTGGCCAAGAATCAACGGGTGGGCGGATGCTGGCCGGCGAGGGCCAGTGGTGTTAGTAGTAGAAGGTAACGGTAGCGGCGGGCAGTGGTGGACGAGGATGAAGATGGGCTGCTGGCAGCTGAGGCACGACGTTGAACTGAGCGAGGCTCGTCTTGGTGCGCGAGGCTAAAGGTGGGTGCGGCGGGTCTGGGGGCGCTCAAGGTGGAAGGGGGAGCTGCTGTTAAGAGGGGATGGAGAGAAAGCAAGAAGTGGGCGAAGCGGCGAGGCTCTCTTATAGCCCACTCGCTGACCTTGTCTCTGCTGAGCAGTGGTTCCACGTCGCACCTCATCGGCTCATTATCCACCCGCTCCTTTGCACCTCGTTCGCTGCCGACCTCGAGGTGGGAGTGGGCTGAACGCGAAGCTGAATGCCGCCTGCCCACCTCCGTCCACTGTGTGCGGGGCGTCACGTCGCACTGTCCTGCCGCTGATGATGAGCTGGTGCACAGCCCAGCTCGTAATGTTGCGAGTGGTAGGAAAGGGTGAGCCGCCGCGATTCTTGGGGCCAAAGGGTCGGCTATCTGTGACGGTAGCGGGAGCGGCAACGCGGTGGGGCGGCCGCTCGCTCGTTGACGTAAGGCAAGGTGGACGGGGGATGAGTAGCAAAACGAGCGAGATACGGGTGCGAGAGCGAACACGATGAGCGACGACGAGTACCGATCTCAGGCGGTAAGCCAAATCGCGCAGCAAATGCCTGCCTCGTCGGGCAGCCAAGGCTGTATCGTAGCGTTGAAGCCGTCGCTCGTTGTAGCCAACGGAGACCAATCGTAGTGGAAGGGCCGGCTGGAGAATGGTGAATGTAGCAGCGCAAGGGTCACAGAGCAAAGTGAAACATCATCAGCTCTCCAGTCTCGTTGGGAGGGTTGCCCGTCACACATCACACCGCTTCGCCCACTCCTTCGCTCGCCGGCGTCGTTGCGATCTGGATGTCAAGTGAAATTGTACAATTTCTCAGCCCGCCGCTTGACCCATCAATGAAGCGTAGCGCACAGGTGGTAGAGAGAAACATGAGGACCGTAGTGAGGCTGCCCGCTTAGGCCTCGACGGCACGGACGCGAGCCTCAGCGTTGGTGACCTTGACGCCGAGAACCTTGGCCCTGTGAGCGCGAAGGACGGAATGGAGAGGCGATCAGCGATGATGCTCGATGTGGACGGTGGAAGACGAGTGTAAGGAGAGTCCTGAAGCCTGCCCTGCTTCCCTCTCCCTGGTCCCTGCTGCGATTGTCCAGCAGCCAGGGAGCAGTACGCCGTGAAGTGTTGGTCTGCTCGAGTCATGAAGCAACGCTGTTCCCTTGCTATCCCGCTCTTCCTCTGTCACCTTCTCGCGCACGCCCTGCATGAATATCTCGCATTGCCTTCTTCCATCTGGGGTTGCGGATACTCACTTCTCGAGGATAGCGATGCGCTTCTTCGAAGAGACGTTGGAGGCGATCTCAGCGGCGAAGGTGTTGTTGTGCCTGTGAGTGAGGAGAAAGAGGGGGGTCAAGGGTCAATTCTCCTGTCGTAGAACATTGGATGCAGAATCGAAGACGACCCAACCCTCCAGCAGTCCTTCGCCTGTCCATCGTCTCCACCCGTCAAGCTCTGCCGGCCCCTTCAAGTCTGCAGAGGATGACGACAATCTCGATACAAGCTCGGTGCTGCTGATCTCTACGAGTTGCACGTAGAGCCTATCGAGCTGTCTCCTCCATCTCAACGCAACCTCCTTCCTTCAAATGAGCTGTCTCATCCCATCCCCCTCCCCTCGACCCTCGCATCTCTGGCTCGAATACCCACATGAGGAGCATGTCGACATCCCTCGGGTTGGAGACGACGAAACGACGGAGTCCGTTGGGCATCATGTGGCGAGTCTTCTTGTTTGAACCGTAGCCAATGGAGCACATGGGAGTCCTCGAGCGGAAACGACGACGGACGGCCGAGTCGATACCGCGAGGCTTCCTCCAGCTCTCTCCGACACGCTTGTAGCGGTCAGAGTGGTGGCGCTTGAACTTCTGCGTGCGCTTCTTGACGATGGTGACCATTGTTGATGAGGAAGGGGGGGTTGGGGGTTGGTGGTGGTGAGAAGCTGCGATTCGAGGCTGGCCGTCGAAGTCGTCGAGCGAGTCGAGTTTGCCTTGAGCGACGAGCCTGAGCTTGCTTGAGTGCTCTCGTGGCTCCCGCTCGTCCGCCCTGCCAAATTCTCGGCCGCGCCGTTCCGAGACGATTGCGGCGCAGCGACATCGTCGGGCTGAGGCAAACCGGAGGTCAACCCGGCCGAGCCTCTCGCCCTCTTTCGAACGGGGCGGGCTTGGACGAGACGAGTGAGGGAGCGAGGCCAGGGCCAGAGCCACAGAGTGAGTGGGAGGCAGCGGCAGCGGCGGACGACGACTGTGAGCGAGAACCTCGAATTCTTCGTCCTATCCTCTCATCCATCCTCGTCGCAAGGACTTCCTCAAGAGGTGCGTTCGCGCTGCGGGAGACACAGGTAGACTTTGCGCGAGTACTAACATCTTGCCTTTCTTGCCATTCTGATTCGACCCTCCTTGGACCTTCTCGGACCTCTTCTTCCTCGTCTCTCGCTGCACCTCTGCGTCTCTCTTCAACGTTGACAGACAACCATGGTCCAGCAATCCACCCCCATCGTGAGCATCAGTGCAGAGCAGCACGATCGAAGGAAGACAGCGTGGGACTACAGAGAGGGGGCATGGGAGAAAGGGAGGAGAGAAGTCGAGGGGCGAGAGGGATTGGGCTCGAAGGGCGTCATATACCCCCGAAACAATCGCTACTTTGATGGTCATGGCAGTCGAGGTCTAGCTGGCGGCTGCGCAGAGCACCATGAGCGCACAGCATTCGGTGCTGGTCATTGCGTCTGCTGGCAACGTCGCCCTGCTCAGTCGAGGACAAGGCGGGCGCCATTCGATGCAGCAGGATGGTTGCGTGAGGAGGGTAGTGTCACCAGGAGAGGCAGAGAGAGGCAGAGAATGAAGGCGAAACTGGGCATCTCTCCTTGCGCTCGACAGCTTTCAACATCACTCCGCTCTCGAGTTCAGTCAGGCTGATCTTTTGCCCCCATCCACCCCCTCACAGCTCGTCGACGGCAAGGGTCACCTCCTCGGTCGTCTGGCCTCGATCCTGGCCAAGGAGATCCTCTCCGGCCAGAAGGTCACCGTCGTCCGTTGCGAGGAGATCAACGTCTCGGGCTCCTTCTTCCGCAACAAGGTGAGCGATGGGCGCGAAGATTCTACTGCGATCGACTTACTCACACCTCGTCACCCCTCACCCCACACCCGCAGCTGAAGATGCACGCCTACCTTCACAAGCGTCACGTCGTCAAGCCGAGCCGCAGCGGTCCCTTCCACTTCCGCGCCCCCTCGCGCGTCCTCTACAAGGCTATCCGCGGCATGGTCCCCCACAAGACTGCCCGCGGTGCCGCCGCCCTTGAGCGCCTGAAGCTCTACGAGGGCGTGCCTCCCCCGTATGACCGCAAGAAGAAGATGGTCATCCCCGCTGCTCTCCGTGTGCTCCGTCTCAAGCCTGGCCGCAAGTACGCCACGCTCAAGCGCATCTCGCACGAGGTCGGATGGAACCACCAGGCTACCGTTGACAAGCTCGAGGAGAAGAGGAAGATCAAGGCGCAGGCCTACAACGAGCGTCGCGTCGCTTCGATCAAGAAGCGTGCCAACGCTACCAGCTCGGCAGGGTCGGCCGTTGCGCCCCTCAACGAGAAGCTGGCCGTCTACGGTCTCTAAGCGGGCGTACCAGCGCCGGCTCTGCTTCTTGGGTCGTTGATGTTCATTGCGCTTCGGTCTTCATCTCTACACCCCCATGTACTTTCTTGACACCCCATGAGGGGCGGGGCCACACCCTTCCTCTCACCATCTGACCTGCAATGACCACGACGAGGTTCTCTAGCGTTGAGTGTGTGACTGTGGCCGATGTGTGATCGTCTCGTCGACGCTGACCACGTGGTGCTGTCTTCAAGCTCGGCCAATTCGACGACTGCCGATCGGCGAAGTGAGCGAGGCTCCGCTGGTGGAGGCAGCTTGAGCTGCATTCGCTGGTTCCTGACGGCAAACCTCGCCAGGAAGAACCCTGAAGAGGGCGGCCTCTTTTCTCTTTGCCTTTCGACCACCACCAAGCATGTCGTCAATGATGCAGTCCAGCATTCGTAATGCTGCCCGCAGCGCCCTTGTAGGGCGAAGTGGCAACGCTCTGCCCCGCATGGCTGCCAGCTATGGGCGCGTCTCCGCCTTCTCGACTTCCTCCCACGTCCTTGCAGGCAAGAAGAGCGCCAACGCCATTGACGAGAGCGAACGTCGCACCTTCCCATCCTCTTCCAATTTGCCCCCCGCCGGCGAGTCCAAAGGCCCCGAGTACATTCAAGGCGATGAAGGCTCCCACGGAGCTCGCACGCTCAAGTCCTTTTCTATGGCGGGGAAAGTCTGCGTCGTCACCGGAGGAGCTCGTGGGCTGGGCAATTTGATGGCTCGTGCTCTTGTTGAGTCTGGATGCGACAAGCTCGCGATCCTCGACTTGGACCAGGACGATGCCTCTGGCTCTGCAAAGGCGATGACGGAGTGGATTGAAGGGGAGGAGGGGGGAGGTGTCAAGGCGGGGACAGTGGACATTAGGGGATTCAAGTGCGATGTCAGTAATGAAGACAGCGTCAAGAAGGCCTTTGAGGAGGTCAAGAGTGCTTTTGGAGCCCCTACTACGGTCGTCAATTCGGCGGGAATCGTGGAGAATTTCCCAGCGCTCGAGTACCCGACAGACAGGCTGCAGAAGGTGAGGCAGGAGCGAGAGCGATGGTCGCGGAGTCGTGGCCGCACGCTGACAGTCTGAACATCGTCTCACCACCCCCGCCCAGCTCTACGCTATCAACGTCTTTGGCTCGCACTACGTCTCTCGCGAGGCAGCCAAGCACATGATCTCTTCCTCGATCACGGGCGGGTCCATCATCCTCGTCGCCTCAATGTCCGGCTCGATTGTGAACATCCCGCAACCGCAAGCCCCTTACAACGCCAGCAAGGCAGCGGTCAAGCACCTTGGAGCCTGCCTGGCCGTCGAGTGGGCCAAGCACGGTATCCGCGTCAACACTCTCAGCCCAGGCTACATGCTGACTAGCTTGACGCAGCAGATGTTCGACAGGAATGCTGAGGGGAAGCAGCTCAGGAAGACGTGGGAGGGAATGATCCCAATGGGCAAGATGGGGATGCCGGAGGATCTCAAGGGGGCTGCCGTCTACTTGGCGAGTGATGCGAGTCGATACACGACGGGGAGCGACCTCATTGTGGATGGCGGCTACACATCGACGTAAGCGCGCGCGCGAGAAATGAAACCACTCCTGTTGAAGGCCCCCATTTGACGATTCGATCTGTGTAAGATTAGCAACGCGCGCAGGAGCACCTAGCGAGCAAAAGGACCAAGAGAGAAATGAAAGATGATGAAGTGGACTGGTCGCCCGTACCGCGCTTCAGTGCGACCAGCATGCTACATGTTCTGCGATACCGAGATCTAGTCGGCAGCAATGCACGCACACACGCGCGCCGCTCTAGTGGTTGTGGCCCTCGTGACCGTGGTTGTGCCCATCGTCGCTCTTGGCCACCTGCTGCTGCTGAGGAGGGGGAGGACAGCACGCCTCGTCCGGTCCGCACTCCTCGTCGCAGGCCAGCAAGCAGCTCGAAGGCGCCCTGGAAAGGGCGTGCTCAACGAGGCTACCGTCCTTGGTCATCAGTCGCCCCTCCGAGTCCGTCTTGGGTGCGCTCGACCCACCCTTGCCACCATCCGTCTCTGCCACCTCGACGCCCGAGATCCTAGCCGCCTCTGCCATTCCACCGGCCACGAACTCGGGCTGGATAGTCGACGAGTGGATGCCGTATGCGTGCAAGAGGCGACGCAAGTCGGCTGCAATCTCCATGTATCGCTGCTCCTGGCCAGTCGAGCAGTCCACGAGCACGTGCACCGAAGCAACAATCTTGCTCTCGCTGAGCTGCCAGATGTGCAGCTCGTGCACGCTCAACACTCCACGAACATTGTGCATTGCCTCCTTGACCTGTTCGAGCGGTACGCCGGAGGGTACACCCTGCAGGAGGATGAAGGAAGCCGACTTGACGAGGGGTAGGGCAGAGTGGAAGATGATGATCGTGATGATGAAGGAGATGAGCGGGTCGGAGTAGAAGCGCCACCAGTAGGAGGTCGTGGCAATGAATACTCCGGCGAGGATGACACCTACGTTGCCCAGAGCGTCACCAAGGACGTGGAGGAAGACGCCCTGCATGTTCATGCTGCCGTCGTGAGAGTGACCATGTCCGCCGCCGTGAGAGTGGCCGCCAGCACCGCCGTGCGAGTGGTCCTTCTTGGCCTTGTTCGAGCCAGGGAGGCGATGGGCGATGGCCGTCTCTGCGCTAGGCAGGTCGTCGTTGGCCGCGTCGGCATCAGCCTCGACATCACGGTCCATGGTACCATAGCCGTTGGAGCTGGATGCAGCGGGATTGAGCGTATCGCGCTCGCCCCCCTGAATAGCCACAGACTTCCCCTGACGCTCGTAGCCCATGTCCTGCGCCGTCTGTACGACGTAGGCGCGTGTTTGAGCCGGATGACCATACAGAGAGCCGACCTCCTGGTCGACGGAGGAGCTGCGCTGCTTGGACTTGCCGTTGGAAGGGATCGCAGTGGCCGAGGCTGAAACGGATGAGTCGTGCGCGGGCTCAATGTCGTGAGAATGGGCATGGTCGTGCGACTCGGCGCCGTGCGAGTGGGAGCCGTGGGAGTGCGAGTGACCGCCATGCGAGTGGCCGTGGTCGTGGAAGAGGAAGAGGCCGACAATGTTCGAGGCGAGACCGAGGGAGCCTACGATGATGACGAGGCGGGGGTTGGATACCTCTGCGCGGGCGAGATGCTGCGTGAGTAGCCTGACAGAGGGGCGATGCTGCGCACCACTTCAACTCACCAGTCACGTTGACGAATCGTTCAATTGCCTCCATGAAGATGCTGAAGCACAGAGCGAGTAGGAAAACTCCATTTACGAGGGCACCCAAGATCTCAGCCCTCTGCCACCCGTATGAGTAGCGAGAGTCGCTCGTGCTGTCCTTCTTGCTCAGCTGCGAGTGCGAGGCGAGTGCGAGGCGAGTGTGATGATCGTCAGCTCCATCTCCACATGTCGCGCCAAACTCTCGCTGTATCGCAGCCTGCTCACCTTGAGAGCATACAGGGCGACGACGAGGGACATGACATCGTTGAGCATGTGGAATGAATCGGCCACCAAGGCCAGGGATCCGACGGCATAGCCTGGCAGGGAGCGTGGGATCAGCTATGAAGACAGGCCAGGGTGTCTGCGCCGCGCTCACTCACCTACGATGATTTCTAGGAAGAAAAAGGCCGAGTCAATGACCAGGAGCGTGATGATCCTAGCCTCGCGTGAGAGACCCATGATCGCGGCGTTAGTTGGAGTTGGAGTAAAGAAGGTAGCCGGCGACGAGTAGAGCTCCCTTTTAGAGGGTATGGGTGGCCGATGATTTCAGCGACCTCGCCCCAATATGCGGCGAGAGGAGCAAGTCTCGTGAAGAGGGGGCGCAAGAGTTGGGTGGATAGATTGGATTGGAGGTCGCCCGTCGAGTCGTCTGTGTCCAAAAGTTGATGGAACCGGCGACTGAGCGAGACGCGGGCTATGGCCGCTGGGCATCTCGCCCCTCACCCACGTGTGGCGAATCTCAGACTCACACCAGCCACCCAACTGCACAACGACGCTCAGGAGGACATTTTTTTCGGGTCCAAAAAGCTCGACGCGGGCACAGACACAGACCCATAACTACCAGCGGACGAGCGAAACGGAGCAAGAGGTGGGGGATTGTGGCTTCGAGTTTTTGGTTCAAGGCGGCCACAACCTGCGTCGACGCTGACCACTCACCCTACAGCGACGGCACAATCACTCACATCAGCCCAAGCGATCTTCGACTCCGCGCACCGCGTCAACGCATTACGATGAGATGTCTCACGAGGATCGATGCCAAGCTCCACTCGAAACTCTTACTCGGTCGCTCGTGAGCCTTGTCTTGTCTCGTCTTGCCTTTACGAGAGTGTGTCGTGTGACATCAGACTCGCCGTGGGTCTATCCTGTATGTGAGCTAGCGACTGCACACCGCCGTGCTAGCGACTGCACACCGCCGGGCTTAATGAGCTGACAGCGGCACAGACCAGGATGCAGCCCATCGCAGCGAATAAAGGAGCGAGCTAGCGAGCGAGTGAGCGGGGAAGCGTACAGCACTGTGGGTAAATGGGGCTACCACGACCAATAGACAGACGAGCAGACTCGTACCATCATAGCGATCAGCACATCCGATATTCTTTCGAGACTGCTCAGTTGCACTACCAAGCCTGCAGAGATTGCATGCCCAATGCGATTGATCAGGAACTCGTCATGAGTCCAGCGATCGAATTGCATACGAGCTTGCGACGACTTCCATGCCGAGCATCGTCGTTGCTCAACGTCGCGACCCCGTTCGACAGACTCTTCACACGGCAGGCAGGACGGCCAGCTCATTGCTGTCCCCGCTCTCGGTGGGCATTGCCCACTGACCCTGCCGCTCCAGGCGTACCGGTTACTACCGCAGCTGTGCGTCTCACTTGTGATTGCTCCAGATCAGACGCACTGCCACCTGGTGAGCTTCGACTGTGGATCGCGCCCTCTCGGCCTGCCTCAGCTCATTGGCACCCTCAAAGATCCCCCCGGTACTCGGCTAGATTTCACGACATCGTGTGGGCTTGCTCCGCCAACCGTCCAGAGCTGAATCGCGCATCCTGCAGGTGCCCTCGGAGAAGGTCATTCAACGATTGCCAGAGGGGCGAGCCAAGCATGCTCCTTGAAGGAGGGATTGTGAGCGCTTGGCTCGCAGTGAAATCGTAGGCGTAGCTTCATCATCACATCACGACAATGTTGCCTCATGCGAGAATGATGGCACAATGCCGCCATCCTTGCTGCGGAGAATGACACGGCTTCTTGCAACCTCGTCCGGACTCCCTCCTTGTCAGCCTGAGACGACCTTCATACGCGCGTTGGACCCTCGATCGCTGTCGCCGCTCAGTCTGGCGCCTTCTTGAGGCCGCGAGAGCGTGGTAGCTACTTGGTTGCCTCACTTGGACTGATGTATCAGCAGCATTGTGCTCTCAAGCGACCCTCGACCATAGAGCTCGTCAATGTCGAAGTTACACCGCTTGAATGACTGATGTGATCTCTGATCGATGGCTGTCATCGCTCGCGGCGACTAGAGCGGCATCTAAGAAGCGTCGTATGTCCGAAATGCCCATCAGATGGCGCCAAGTTAGTCGTACGACACTCGAAGTCGCCGCAGCACGTGTTTTGGGTCAGCAACTCTCAAACAAAGTCGCACGTCGACCCAACAAGGGTCCGACATACCCCCCAGAAGGCAGGGTCAGCGAAATAATGCGCGCGGTCGTTCTGCATAAGTACCAACACCAACACACGTCGACAGAGACCAACACCGCAGCCTCAACGCCGGCCTTCGGGCCGGCAAACGAAAAACTTTTAACGATACAGAGAAGATTAGCATGGCCCCTGCACAAGGATGACACGCTAGACCAGAAAAGTAGGTTGCTACGGCAACCAATTATGTTTTGCTGTTGGGAGCACCGTCCAGAGAAGGTGCTGAGGCTACTTTTTAGCCTCCCGGACGGCAGAACGCGCGGGCGCGTCTCGCTGAGCCAGGCGGTGGCACCGCTTTCGCCTAGCCGGGCGCAAAAATTTGGCGCTAGCGGGGCGGGCGGGAAGAGCCACGTGGCCTATGACTGCTAACTTTTCGCCTCTTGCCCTGAATAGGAGCCCAGGCGTGCTTTCCATCACGGCGACGCTCCGTCTTGCTGGGCTGCTAACTCTCGCGATCGAGTGTACAGCTACTGCTTACAAGCCAAGCTTTGAAGAGCTCACTGGCTGTTTGATTGCCCTCGCTAGAGCGCCTTTTGCCCGTAGCATCAACCCTGTGTTCCAATAAGTTACGCTCACTCGTCGAGCATCCCGTGTCAGTCGTCCAAATGTGATGTACATCAGTGGGATGTCAAGAGCACAACATAGCATCATGCGTATCCTCGAATGGGTAACAGTATTGCTCTTGCTGGCGACCCTGGCGAGTCCGATTCAGCCTGGCAGCCCCGTGTGCAACAGCACGTTGATCTCTCTATCCATACGATGCCGTCCTGCCTTTCACCAACACTTTCCAGGTGAGATCTCTTTGCCATTAAATCGCCGGACTTTCTCGAACTTGAGAATCTCATTGACCTGGCGGCGAGACTGGTTTGACGGGCCTCATCGGCGCGCAGGCTATCTTGCCCTGGGCCCTGTGAATCCATCTCGTTGCCCTACGCACTGTATACGCAGGGCTTCGTGCCGTTTGGTGAACCGTCTTCGTTGGCCGGTGCGCGGGCTAGTTGAGACACGAGCATCGAAGTTGGTTCCCTCTCGTCCCTAACTGCCATCCGAACTTGCCACTCTCAAAAAAAAACAACATAAGCAGCAACGATCACCGCAACAACAAGGGCAGCGACAATGCCACTTGTGCCGATCAGAAGGAGGGCATTAGAAACGACTCAAAGCCTTCTCGCGGACTGCTGGAAAGCAACGATGGGAGTCGTGTGAGTCGTGAGTTACACCACGCTCCATCCACACTGGGAGCATTCCAGCCGTCCGTGTCGCTTGGCTCTGGCTCAAGCACGATACTTCGCGGCCACAAGATCAAGGCTGAATGGGCGGACCAAGGCGCATCGTCCTCCCCTTCGTAGCCTCTGCGGGGTCAAGCCGACGCTGATGCGCCGAGTCAGGACACCCCAACGAAGCGCGTCAAGGACGAGCCTGGAGCTTAGCGAGGTCAGCGAGTGCGCTCTTTCTCAGGCGCTTCAGAACGATAGCTGTCTATCGATCACGGCTGCGCGACAGGGCTCACCACTGATCTGCGTGAGTGATGTAAATGCGACTCGGGTGCGAAACTCGGGTGATATTCCACGCACAGTGGCAGACAAGCCTCGAGCTCGCCGGTATCATGCCTCAGTCTACCGTCTAAGCTGGCCCCACAGGTGCTGCCCCCTCACCTTCAACCGTCGCAGCGGCCGGCGCAGCGCTGGTCCCTGCCCCTTGCCCCTCGACGACATTCCTTGCCTCATCGTGGCCCACCCTCCCATGCTTCGCCTTCTGCTTGCGCGCCCACTCGTAGAAGAGGGGCACGTCGTGCGCAATCTTGCCCGGCATGGCCATCTCTTGGAAGACGAGGGGGATCTTCCCGCTCGAGTCGGATTGGACGGCCATGAGCCATTCGATGTCCGGCTCCTGCCCCTCGGCGTGGTGCGCGCCCTCCCAGACCGCCTCGACCGAAGCGTACTTGGCGCGTACAAACTCCTCTGGTCGTTCGGGTGCCGAAGGGTGGGCTACGGGGAGGGAGACGACCAAGAAAGAGCGACGCCCCTGACTCGGGGATCCGGGGTCCTGCGGTAGCTGCAAGGGCTTGGTACTGAGCGCCTTGAGGATGACCTCCTCATGTGCGGGGCTGAAAGGTTCCGGACTCGGTGGCAAGGGGAGCGTGACGACGAGCTCGACAAAGTCGCGATTCGCGGTCAAGCTCGGCAGATTGTATGAGTTGCGCCACACCTCTGCTCGACCGGGGATGACGACGCCCACCTGCAGCGATTCGAGGATATCGCTGATGTATCCCTTCTCGTTCAAGGTGTGGTCCTCTGTTCCCAGCCCATCGTACAGGTCCGTGAAGCTCAATCCTCCTTCCACGGGGTTGTGCTTGGACAAGCGCGCATGCCAGCCGCACTTCTTGAGCCGTCCCTCCATATCGCTCGGGCAGTACAGCGCTTGCACTTTGCCGCCCTCCTTCTGGTCTTCCTTGCCGAACTGCTTGCCCTTCTTCCATGCTTGGGACGAGCGGACGAGGTTGAGCGACTGCTTGACCAAGGCGATGAGGAGGGGCGTGGCTGCGTCTGCGCTCGAGGGCAAGCCTTCCGCGGGGACAGTCGAGGCGCAGAGTGGGTAAGTGGGGTCGAGGGGTGGGATGGTCATCGCGAGCGAGCTGAGTGGATAGATAGATGGTAGCGATGAGGTGATGGTCAAGGTGGTCAGGGGGGGCCGCCGAGATGCAGCTTCGCGTTTCCGCCGCTGCATCACCTCAGGTTCCGCGGCCTGGTGGAGGCCCAGCCGCGACTCCGCTCACGCGGGGGAACGCACTCTACCGCCCACCTCGAATCAGTCGCCCTTGCGCTTCAGCACGAACGACTGGTGGCAGCACGATACGATGGCGGTGTGCAGTGAGAAGCGTCGTCTGGTCGCCTGGATCTCCCACGCCCAAGCACAGCCTGCAATGCAAGGCCTTTGCCATTGAGGTCACGCGCTCCTCACCCACTCGCCAACCTCCAACGCGACCCTTTCAGGCTGATCGATCATCAATAGATGTCCAGCCTCAGGCACGATGACCAGCCCCTCTCCACATCTTGCCGTGCCCAACATCTCAACCAGCGTCTCCATCTTGCCACGCGGTATCCACCCATCCACCTCCCCCCAGAGCACCTTGACCGCACACGTGACCTTCCCCTCGTACGCACGACAGTCTAGCATCTCCTGCACGTCCGCGTCGTTGGCCTGTGCGATCTGACGTACAAAGTTGCGTTGCCCCTCTGCGCCTAGCCAGGGAGCAGCGAGAGCGTCCTCCATCTGCTGTGGTACGGTATGGTGGCAGGCGCTGCGGATTACGGAGCGGACGACGCCTTCGTGGATCTGCGGTGGCATGTCCAAGAAGACGCTCGGGTTAGCGCGAACGAGCTTGTAGAACCCGTCGCCCCAAGGTAGGACCGTGTTGGTGTCCATGAGCAGGAGCGACTTCAGCTCCAGGCTGTGCAACGTGTGCGCGCGAAGGACTATAGCGCCGGCTATATCGTGCGCGACGACGAGCGGGTTGCTGATGCGCGTCTCCTCGAGCAGGGCAACGAGTGCCGTTGCCTGAAAAGCTACAGACGTGTCGCCATCAAAGTCGCGGAACTGTTGCGCGCCGCTATAGTACTGCGATTGGCCATAACCCGGTAGGTCGTACAGCAGGATGTGCAAGTTGGGCGTGCTGGCCAAAAGGGCTGCAGAGATGGCGTCGAAGACGATGGAGGACCAAGGGGTGCCGTGCACAACGACGAGCGTCTGCTGAGCAGAGTGCGCGAGCGCGGGCGACGACTCGATGATTTTGTAGTGGATCTCCCAGCCTGAGCAGTCAAACGTCTTGTCCAATAGCATCGCGCGCGCGTGTGTGTGTCGTGCGAAGAGGCAGAAGAGAACTCAAGATCAGCGTTGGTATGATCACCCGCGCCCCTACGCCGAACCTGCGACGATATCGCTCGAGGACCTGAACTCCGCTCGTGCGCACGGACATCTGTGGGTGAAAGGGGTCCGATGCCGTTACATTGGTCGATACTACAGATCTATAACGATGGAGAGCGTGCGCACTCGCTCACGGTCCCGGTCCGGGCACCTCGACCCCTTCCTCCCTCCTCTTTTGCTCAGCCTCCTGCTCCTCCTGCCCCTCAATGGCCGCCTCAATACCTGCGCTCTGTCCATTCCACAGATCAGCGTACAAGCCTCCCTGCTCGAGGAGCTGGGAGTGCGTGCCTTGTTGTACCACTTTGCCGTCCCCGAGCACGACGATCAAGTCGGCATCACTGACCGTGCGCAGACGGTGGGCTACAAAGATTGCCGTGCGCTTAGACGCGAGGAGAGAGGAGTTGAGGTCGCGCATGAGCGAGCTGTGCGGGTGAGGTGGGGCGGGACAGGTCAGCGCATCGTCGCAGAGCACCGCCGCGCGCACTCACGTCTCCGTAAAGATGTCCAGCGCACTCGTCGCCTCATCGAGGAAGAGGATGTCCGGATCCTTCAACAGCAGCCTGGCAATAGCCAACCTCTGCTTCTCACCACCCGAGATCATCAATCCTCTCTCCCCCACCTGCGTTTCATACCCGTCCGGCAGTGTCTGCAGAATGGCATCCAACTTCGCGCGCCTCGCTGCAGCTTCCACCTCCTCATCCGTCGCGTCCAGTCGGCCGTAGCGAATGTTGTGCCTCACGTCGGCATTGAAGAGGGGCGTGTCCTGCGGGACGACACCGATGGCCCTACGCAGCGATGTCAATGAGACGCGCGTGATGTCCTGCCCGTCGATGAGGATTCGACCTGATTGAGGGGTGTAGAAGCGAAACAGGAGACGGAAGATCGTGCTCTTTCCGCAGCCCGAGGGTCCCACAAAGGCAGTCTTGAGGCCCGCGGGTATGGTGAATGAGCCTAGCGTGGCGGCGCGTGGCGGCGCGTGGTGGCGGTGGTCAGCACCGAGCTGCGGTCACATCTTTGCGCCACGCTCTCTTACAATTTTTGAAAATCGGCCTCTCGGGGTGGTACCCAAACGTGACATTCTCGAAGCGGATCTCCCCGCCAGTCACCTTGAGCTCAGGTGCGTCCTTCTCCTCGCGGACAGCCACCCGCACGTTCTCGAGATTGAACATGGCCTCCATATCAATGAGCGACTGACGCAGCTCGCGATACACTGTGCCCAGGAAGTTGAGAGGCAAGCTCAGCTGGAACACGAGCTGGTTCACCATCACGAGGTCGCCAACGGTCATCGTTCCGGCTACAACGCCTTGGGCCGCAAGGAACATCATGACTGTGAGGGCGGTCGAGAAGATGATGCTTTGCCCAGAGTTCAAGCTAGCGAGGGAGGTCGCCACTTTGACGCTTGCAGTCTCGTAGTCAGCCAATGCGCGGTCGTACTTCTTGATCTCGTAGGCCTCGTTGTTAAAGTGCTTGACTGCCTCGTAGTTGAGGAGGGAATCGACGCTCGTCGTGGCACCGCGATTGTCAGCCGCATTGGCTTCGCGACGGAAGCGCGTTCGCCACGATGTCGTCTTGATGGTGAACCAGGCATAGGCTGCCATGGTGACTGCTGTCACGCCCGCGAATGTGGGTCCGCACTTGTATGAGAGGATGCCGCAGACCATTGAGATCTCGAGGGCCGTGGGGACAATATGGAAGACGATGGATGTTAGGAGGAAGGAGATGCCCTGGTGCGTGGCGGCGCGTAAGCATCAGTGGACCCCATTTAGCTACGCCCGCGCTCACCTTGGTGCCGCGATCAATCGCTCTTGTCAAGCCTCCGGTCTGCCTGCTCAGATGCCACCCCAAGTCCAGCCGCAAGAGGTGGGTAAAGACATTCTTGGCCACTCTGCGTATGGATCGCTGCGCCACCGATGCAAAGACGGCATTTCGCAGCTCAGAGAAGAGGGCCGCCCCAATGCGAGCAGCACCGTACCCCAAGATGGCCGATCCCGCAATATACCAAGCGAGACTCGGATCGTCAAAGTCCAGCGGCTTGGCCAAGCCCTCTGTCAATTGATCGATGATGTTCTTGAAGAAGAAGGGTACTTGCACATTGAGAAGCTATGCGAGTGGGCGAGCGGAGAGAGTGTGAGCCTGAGACGGAGTGGGCTGGCCGCAGCGCTCACCTTTCCTCCTACAAGCAGGGCCAACGCAAGAATGACCCTCGTCTTCGCCCCCGTATCCCCCTTCGGCCATACATGCCCGATCAATCGCTTCACAATCTTCCAGTCCGTCTTGCGCTGCTGCTCCGCCGTCTGCACTGCGGAAGACGAGAGGCGTAGCGGATCGTCTGCTGGCGGTGGCTGTGATGCAGGTTTGGCCGGCTTAGCTGACTGGGTTGCCTGAGCTGGCTGAGCTGGCGGGTTGGAAGGCTTTGGGGAAGGGTCTGGAGTACTTTCCTGCCCAGCCATATGACGATAGCCGCATCGTTGCAGTATTGTTGCGGGAGGTGGGGCGACGATGCGACATCTAGGCGGCGTCGACTGTGCCAAATGCCACAATGGCTGAGCGCTACGGCTGAGGTGCTGTGAGGCCGACGACGTCGCCGGTCTTGCCCTCACGGCGTGGTATCCAAGTCGAGCCAGCGCCATCTGCGGCTGCGGATGGGAAGCGCGCACTCGTAGGCTCCTCACTGCTTGATGAAAACGAGGGGATGGGTTGGAAATGGCTTGAAAGGTAGCGAAGGCAAGGCATTGCGCAATCGCTCTGCATGCACGGTCTTTGGGACACGGCAACCGGCGGCGGACTGGCGCACGGCCATGAAGCCACGCCACGCGAGCAGACCTTCGCAGGGCCGAGTGGGAGAGCGGAGAGGAGCGAGGCAAGCAGCCCAACACTTCTTCCTTTGCCAACTCCTCGACAAGATGGCAGGACCAAAGTACTCGGCGACATGTTCCGCGCCCGTCAACATTGCCGTCATCAAGGTGCGTGAAGGACTGAGGTCAAGGCTGAACGGGTAGACCTGCAGCTGACCTTCCCCCCCTTCCCCGCGTCGTGTAGTACTGGGGCAAGCGTGATACGAAGCTCATTCTCCCGACCAACGACTCGCTCTCCGTCACCCTCGACCAAGACCACCTCCGCTCAGTCACCACCGCAAGCGCAGACGAGTCGTACGGAGGCAAAGACAGACTTTGGCTCAATGGCGTCGAAGAGGAGATTGCAGAGCAGGGCAGGCTGCGAACCTGCATCGATGAGATGAGGAAGATGCGCAGCGACAAGGAGGCCGGCGATGACAAGCTGCCAAAGGTGGGCAAGTCGATGCAGTACAGCGCAGCGCACTCGTAGGCTGACCTTCTTCACTCCATCTCGCCCGCCCAGCTCTCCTCCTGGCCTCTCCACATCTGCTCAGAGAACAACTTCCCCACCGCAGCCGGCCTCGCCTCCTCGGCGTCAGGCTTCGCCGCCCTCATCTATACCCTCGCGACCCTCTTTGGTCTTCTCCCAGCAGTAGACAACTCGCAACTCTCTCGCATCGCAAGGCAAGGCTCTGGGTCGGCTTGCCGCTCGCTGTTTGGCGGCTTCGTGGCGTGGCAAGGGGGAGAAAAGGCGGACGGGTCCGATTCGCTAGCGGTACAGGTTGCTAGCAGGGAACATTGGCCCGACTTGCACGCTCTGATCTGCGTGGTGAGCGATGCAAAGAAGGGAACGCCCAGTACTGCGGGAATGCAGAGGACGGTGGCTACTTCGCCCCTGTTGCAGCATCGTATCAAGGATGTGTAGGTACACCAAAGGGGGGATCGCGCCATGAGCTCTTGTCCACAGCTGACCTTGTCCTTCTTGGCCCCTCGTCCAGCGTTCCCGCCCGCATGAAGTCCATCTCTGATGCCATCCAACGCCGCGACTTCGACTCCTTTGCCGCAATCACAATGGCCGACTCTAATAACTTTCATGCCACCTGCCTGGACACAACACCGCCTATCTTTTACATGAACGACGTCTCTCGCGCCATCGTCCAGCTGGTCGAGGAGCTCAACCGCGCGAGCGAGGAGGCAGGGAAGGGCAAGGTGGCCGCATACACATACGACGCAGGACCGAACGCTGTGCTTTATGCTCCCAAGGAGAATGTGCAGCTGGTCCTCCAGCTCGTAAGGCACTACTTCCCTAATGCCGACTTTGATGATACCGTGAGTTGGGCGCGTGTCGGGCTGATAGTAACATATCGATCGCTCACACGTCCCTCGCTGCTGCAGTTCAACCTCCTCGGCGCAGGTTCTGGAGCCTCTCATCGCGGCCAACAAGCCGCCGTCCCACTCCCCTCCGGCCTCCCCTCAACCTTCAACTCCTCAGTCATCCCTGTTCACGAGGCGGGCGCGGTGAGGCGTTTGATTCACACACAAGTCGGCGACGGCCCGCGTAAGCTGAACGACGCAGAGTGCCTGCTGAAGGAGGATGGTGAGCCCCTTAGGTTGGCGAGGGCGAAGCGTGCCTAACGACCACGCGAAGATGTGACGGCGGGCCGAAGCCGAATGTGTGCGTGTACGCCCAATAATCAAGCTCTAACTCAACTCAGCTAGACAGCGCAGACGCAGACCCTGAATTGATTGGCCTCTCTGCTCTGCCTCGTGCCCCCATCATGACGCTGGGTGTCGTCGGCTACTATTCTTGTTGAAGCTTGCGAGCTCAAAGCGCTCTCGCCCGCCTCTGCTCGTGTGCCGTCAAAGGGCGAGGGGCCCGTCCATGCCGAGTGTGCCGCCGCTCTCTCGTTCCCCCGTCCCACGCTCGCCCGCTCGCTCGTGGCTCGAGCGCCTCTCCGAGGTCCATAGGTCTCAGCCCTGCCGCCCTAGCGCCTCGACGAGACGACAGGCGGAGCGAGACAGACGTCCACATTTCTCCCTTTCTCGACGTCCAACTTACCACTACGACCACACATCTCATCGCCTTTTACTACTACCCGTTCATCAGACGATAAAAGGCGCGACGGACGAGGGATATAGCATAGCGCTAGGCTCTGCCCTCGACCTAGAGCAAATCCTCCTACTCGCTCAACCCGCACGCTGGGCGTGCAATCGACTTGCGCCGCATACACACGAGCTCTCCCCGACCTAGATCTACCCACCATGCTCCCTGCTCAGCGCAACAAGGTCGACATCAACGTGCGCAACGACCGGAAGGAAGCGATGTCCTGTCGAATATGAGTACTGATCTGCCACCCCTCTCTCATCCCTCGCCTCCCCGCAGTCCCTGACCGAAGAGGAGCAAAAGCTCTTCCGCCTATACGGCAAGCTCCCAAATCGCAAGGATGTCATTGGCAACAAGCTGAAGGTGCGCATCGCACTCGTAGTGCACAGCTACTCACCAGCGCTCAGCTGACCAAGCTACTTGTACCCCCATCTCGTCGCCCCGCAGGAGCGCAAGTACTTCGACTCGGGGGATTATGCCCTCTCCAAGGCAGGGAAAGCTCCTCAACAGTCCGTAGGCACGGCCATCCCTAACCCCGAATCGATCCCTCACGCAAGCACGGTCGGATCTCCCCCGCCTCCCGGTATGGCTGCAGTCTCAGGCTCTTCACCCACCAACACACCTGGCTCCTCATTCCCTCAAGAGAGTGGATCCGCCTCCAGTGGGACAATGACGAGCAACCCAATTAATGTGCCTATGCCAGCTGCCGCTGGTGGACAAACGGGAGGCGCAGGGCAATGCGGTGGTGCTGGACCTGCTCTGCCTCACCTGCAAAGGCCCAACCAGTCTGCCGCTGTCAGCTCGTTCCCCACCGCTACGGGTGCTGCAGGGAGCCCGCAGGGAAAGGAGGGAAGCAGCCTGGGGCGCGAGGAGATCAAGGCTGATGATGTGATGATGGAGGACTGAGAAGGCGCGAAGCAGGATACATCTCTCAAGTCTCATGGGCCCTTCTTGTAGTATAGCATCATCCTTATCCCTCCTCGCCCGAAAACAACCTCGCGCGCCGGCTGGCGGCGGTATCAAGGCGCGCAGAGCAGACTTGGCTTATCATCTTTTGCATATCATCTCCTCTCTAGCTCTGTCTCAATGTGTCTCGAAAGCGATTCGTCAACCAATCCAATTGATCGTGAAGAAGCACTTGTGACGGGCGGCCGCCTGCGTGCGTGGACGCCTCGTGGTCCGCGCTCGACTCATCCGCCGCACAGACGTGCATCCGCGAGTCCAGCGTGGAGTCGTCGTCGTCGTCGTCGTCGCCCCCGGCTTCCCGTCCTACCTGCCACATTGTCTTCACCACCCGCTCACCTCTTCGCTAGCGATGCCAGCCTATCACTCAGCCTACAATGAGGACACAGACTCGCGCGTCATCGGGAGCATGAGCCTCCTCCCATTTAGAAGCAAGATTCGTGGACCGGCAGGGACGCCTGGTGAGTTGCCGCGCCAGATGCTCCGATGCCAAATGGTCAGATCCTGACTATAAGCCTCTGTCCTCTCACTCGAAGTCGACCCAAATGCAATGGACATCATCGATGAGTCCATCGACCTCTTCCGTGCCAATTCACTCTTCCGCAATTTCGAGATCAAGGGGCCGGCTGATAGGGTGAGTGTGCACCCCTGCTCTGCAATCCACTCCTCACTGACATATCACTTCACACCTTGCGCATACCTCGCGCACACCTCGCGCACACCTCGCGCACACAGACACTCATCTACCTCATCCTCTTCATCTCCGACTGTTTGACCAAGATCGCCTCATCGCGCTCCCCGCTCCTCCTGCCGGAAGCGACCAAGCAACTCTCCACCTTGGCAGTAGACTCTTTCGCCCTGCCTGGCGACGCTGGGTTCCCCTTGAACGCCCTCTACGCCGCTCCCCGTGATAGGAGCGAGGCAGATGCGCTGCGTGGCTACCTCACCCAGGCTAGGCAGGAACTCGTGGGCAGGCTTATTGAGAGAGTGTACAACTCCGGTGGGGGTGGAGCAGGGGTGGGTCAAACCCCGAGTAAGTGGTGGTTGGCTTTCACGAAGAGGAGATTCATGGGCAAGTCGCTGTCGTAGCGTGAGGGTAGCGTAGCTTGCAATTACAGCGTCGAGTCCACAGCACCGGATTTTCGTGCTTCCTCGCTGCCTTTACGCCTTCTCGCCGTCCGTCAACACGCCGCGACTCTCATCCATCAACGTCTCCACCTCCCACGCTCCCGCCCACCATCTGATCCCGCACTTGACGCCTCCCTCCTCCTTGATGCGCTTCTCCAATCCCCTGAACCTCCGCACAAATGCCACGTCTTTGCCCTCTCTCATCCTCAACAGTGGGCAGTAGTCGTTCCCCCCATCCCCCACGTACATGATACGGTCGAACGCCTCAAAACCGCCATGTCTCGCAAGGAAGGCTTCGAGCTCCTCGCCCTTGCACATGTTGGGGCTGCAACCCACTGTACAGCCATGTTGCTTTGCTGCATCTGCGGGCACTCGGCGGGAGAGTTGCAGGCAGCCCTCTGTGGACCAGGAGGCGGGGTTCGTCACCACTTCGTCGAAGACGCCAGGCGCGAGGCCTTGGTGACGCAGGATGGTGTCGATGTAGATTGTGTTGGAGTTGGAGAGGAGGAAGAGCGTAGTTGCCGGTGAAGAGTGCTGCTTGAGGTTCTTGACGCCGCGCTTCATTGCCGGATGCTGTGTGCGAGAGTTGGGGGCGGGGCAAGCGTCAGCTCCTCGAGGTCTCACACCTCATGCTACGCGGCACTCACAAATGGCATAGCCCTCATTGCCTCCTCAATCTCCTCGCGCGACTTTCCCTCGACTTCGTGCAGCTCTACGAGGAGCTGGGCGCAGAGGTCTGTGAATTGGACGGACGACTTGAGGGACCTGCGTACGAGAAGCAGCTGGCGTCAGTCACACAGCCCCTTCGCTGCTGTTGATGATACGCTGGCACACGCACTTCATCTTCCTCCTCAGCCGCGGGCAAAGGGCTTCGTGAACCCATCGATCTGAGTCTTGATCGGCGAGGGACCTGGCAGTGAGCGGCAGAGGCAGTGAAAGGAGACGGCAGCGGCAGAGGCTGTGTGAGCGTGGCTTCAATCGAGGGACTAACAACAGCCTCGCCTCTCTCGCAGCTCACCAATCAAAGTCAAAGACGATGAGCTGCTTCTTGACAGGAGGCAGGGGGTATGCTGCTTCGGTGACCATGGCTGTGTAGGGTATTTGCCGGCCGCTGTAGGTGTTGGTCGTGCGAGTCAAGAAAGGATGTCGAGCGAGCCGCGAAAGGACGGACGGGGCAGAGCTTTCTTCCCGCTCAGGGCGACGCCACGTGCTTCATCCCGTCCCACGCCGTCGCCCGCGCTGCTCACAAAGCTTGCTCCGCTTCACGAGCGGCTAATCACTCGAAAAGCTCCGAGATGAGCAAGCAACAAACACCACCTTCGAGCAACGAGCGATGGAGCGGGAGCGGTACAGTGGGAGCGAGTTAGAGATGTCGGGACTCTTCGAATCTTGGCTTCGTGGAATGGCAATGGGAACTGTCACTGCCTGTCGTCGGCGTAGCTCCGGCGACTAGAGTAGAGTAGAAGAGGATGCGAGGGCTTGGGAGCCTTTCTAGCGCCTCACCATTGCTGCTCTCGCTGCCTGCGCTGCCCGCGCTGCGCATCGCTCGCGGCTTGGCATGCTCCTCTCTAAGATGTGAGGTTGAGCGAAATGTACTGTGGTCGCCCAATCAGCGTACTGAGGCGCTCGTGGAGCTTTCTCCTATTTGCTCAGTCTTTGCGTTGAGGGTTGGGCTGGGCGGCCGAATGTGCCGAACGGGCAGTGAGAGCAGCGTCAGGGCCCACTGACCACGACTGTGGATGCGCGTGCGGCAGCGCAGCCCGCCCGCCGCCCCGCAAAAGCACGGCGACAAAGCAAGTTGCAGGCTGCGTTTCGAGTTGCGTTTCCAGCCAAGCCAGCCATCGCTCCTCGTCGTCATCATCGGTCATTAATCACAAGTGGAAGGCGACCTCGATCCAAGGCGACAAATCTCCTTCCTTCCACCTCAACACCCAACTACACACCACCAACACACCACGCTCATTCCAAAACACATTCAGATTCGTCCTCGTCTCGTTGATTAGGAGGTCAGAGCGGCTCCTCCCTCGCTTGCCCCGCCGCTGCTGCTGCTGCTCCGCCACCACCACCCACGCCAACCCTCCATCATCACCCTCGTCGCCTGGCCGCAATGAGCGTGTACGTCCCTCCCTCATCATCGGGGGGCAACTCATGCTCAGGATCATGTGACACGCTCTACATCCAGCAGTACAGCTATCTCGGCAACTACCTCAACGCCCACATGCTGTCCGTCCCTTCGCATCGATATGCATACCTCATGTGGTTCGTGATAGCGGGCGTCGTCCTCATCTCTGCGGGTATTCATCACCTTGGGGTGGGGGACAAGACGTGGATAGGCGCGGCGTGGACCAAGTCTGCCCCAAAATCGAGGTGAGTAGGCGCGCCGCGTCACCATCAGCTTGCTTACAAGCGTGCTCACCGAGTCACACCTTCACCCCTGCCTCTCCTCGCTCAGAATAATAAAGTTTGGCAAAAAGCCAGATCCAAGCGCACTCATCTCACGGACAAGATCCAATGAGCCATCACGTCAAGCCGGTGGTGAGGCGCACTCCTATCCACCAAAGGGCGCTGCCCAGCTCGCGCCTCAACACGCGCCACCTCCGCGGCAGCGCTACGTCATCACTCTACCCAGCATCGGCCGCCTCTTCCTAGCCTTCTGGCTGCTTGCAGTCCCTGTGATCCTCACTCTTGTGGGCGCAGACTACATTCGCCCTACGGCAGGCATGTTCGACCTCAGCGCTAGCTGGCCAAACGCTTCGGACGCGCGATACGGCTTCTATGGGAAGCGCGACGCCCTCGTCAAGCGCATCGACTGGGGTCTGGGGTCCTTCTCCCCCGTATCAACCTCGCCAGCTACCTACTCGATCCCGTACCACACCTGGTGGACGTCAGGCGGGAGGACGGGATTGATGACCAATGCCTTGACGCCGTTCGTCACGCTGCTCGCGTTGAAGCAGGTGCCCTGGGCTTTGCTCTCCACCAAGGCGCTGGGTGGACACGCCTTTGAGCGCCTCTCGTTTCTTCACAAGTGGGGTGGGCGATTGATCTGGCTATTCGCCATCGCCCACACCGTCACGTGGAGCGTGCAGCTTTCCAAGGACCAGTGAGTGCCGCGCAGAGCCTCCAATGAACCGCTTCCGCACATGCTGACCATGTTGATCCTTTGCGCGGCGCAGGCAATTTGGTACCTCTCTCTGGGGCTTCGTCTTCATCTGGCCCAAGTTCCGATGGGCGTTCGTCTCGATGGGCTTCCTCACCCTCCTCGTCCTCCTCTCCCTCGGCCCCATCCGCCGCAACTATTACGAATTCTTCTACATTGGCCACATTGTCTGCGCCATCGGTTTCATGGCAGCTGCAGCCGCTCATCATCCTCCGCTGGCTGGATGGATGATTGCTGCGCTGGCGTGGTGGGGAGCAGAAAGGTTGACGCGAGCGATCAAGGTGGCATACGTGAACGGCATCGGGTTTGCCGGGAGGAAGCCCGAGCAGGTGTTGGTGAGCAGCGGTGCGCCGCAGCCGGCGAAAGAGCAGCACCAGTTCCACGCTGCGATGCCGTCGATGCATTCGATGCAGCCGCCGCGTCGTCACCAGCAAGAAAGCATCGGCGGGCACACTTCGTCCTCCGCCACGCTCTACGACGGCAGTCCAGCCCTGAAGCCCATGCATCACCAAGGCGGGCGATACAATGGCAACGGCAAGCCCTCTTTCTTGGACACCGACCCGCGCGAGAGGCAGCCGGCGCCTTATACCAACGACGAAGAATGGGAGCTCGACGAGAATGGTGACAAGGTTCGCAGGCGACCAAGCCAGCGCTACGGCCCCGTCAGCGACCTACTTAAGGAGTATGCGTCCGCTGGAGCGAGGGGTAGCGCTATGTCTGGCATCGAGGAGGACGTGCCACTCGCCGGCTCATCGAGGTCAGGCTCAGTCACACCTCATGATGATCCGGATAGGTGGGAGGCGGGGCAGGACTTGGGATCGGCGAATCATGAGGATGCGTGGCGCGGCCGTGCGTATGACAATCGCTCGAGCCAGTCTCACACGCTGGACGGTATGGGCCCACTCAGCTCTGCAGACCACTACTCATCGATGCCGCAGCCGCAGCCGCAAGCGCAGCCACAGCAGCAGCCCTACCAGCATCAGCAGCTGGCATCGCGCCCAATGACAGCTCGCTCTCGCGACTGGAGCCCCTCAGGTGGCAGTGTTGAGCGCGATCCACGTCCAGCTCTTCCAGCAGATGTAGCTGCCCTCATCAAGCCCGGATATGCCTTCTGCCAAGTCCTTCCCGGCAAGACGCTCCGTCTCACCCTGCGCACCCCGAATCGTATGTCCTGGCAACCAGGGCAATGGGTCTATCTCAATGTACCCGCAGTCAAGGGCTGGCAGTCGCACCCCTTTACAATTGCCTCGGCGTACGACGCTGCGATGCCGATTGTCTCGACGAATGGGGATCGCGATCTGGAAAAGGGCCTAAAGAAGGAGCGCAGGAAGCGAGGAGAGGAGAGGACGATGGTGTTGCTCCTGCGTGCGAGGAAGGGGTTCACGCTCGATCTCTGGGAGTATGTGAGACGTCACCGACACAGTCAAGTCGTCGCGGCCGAGGAGCAAGGCCTGAACGGCAGTATTGCCAACACGACTGGCGTTCACCTTCGCGCCATCGTCGACGGCGCGTTCGGCTCAACAAAGCGCGTCCGCTGGGGCATCCACTCTTCGATCGTCATCGTATGCGGTGGCTCAGGCATCTCCTTTGGCATGTCGCTCCTCGAACACCTCTGCGCCTGCCTGACGCAGCGCAACGTTTATGGAGCGAGCAAGCGCGGCGGCAAGGACTTCGAGGTGCAGCGCGTGCGCTTTGTCTGGATCTTGAGGGAGTACTCACACCTACAGTGGGTCAGCTCGGCCTTGAGGAGATGCATCGAGATGGTCCCACCTGAGCAGCTCCAGGTCGATCTGTATGTTACGCACATCAATAATCAGGTGGCGCTTGGTGCGAGGATGGCAGGGCACGGCGCCCGACCGACACTGGCTTCCCGGCCCTCCTCCTTCATGGGCATGAACACCGCTCCCGCCTCTCGCCCTACGACGGCTGAGGAATGGCAGACCACCGACCCTGGGCAAGGCTGGCAAACCAGTGGCGGCGACGTCGTTGCACCCGCTTCGGGCCCACAACGCCTCATGGAAGGAGGGGAGGCCGACGATCTTGACATTGGCTTCAACGACTTGACAGAGTTCGACGGTGAAGACCAAGCAGGGCTTCCTAGTGCTGCAGAGCAGGCTATCAACTCGCGCATTCAGCAGGAAGGGAAGCTCAGGCGTGCCAACACGAGGAAGGCGACGTTGAAGCGTAGCAAGAAGCAGGCGGGCGAGAAGCAAGGCCAGCCGCAGCAGGGCACACAAGAGGACGCTATGCGCGTAGCGGCTCAGCGTGCCATGTTCGATGGGCAGATTCAAGCCACGATCCCAACTAGCGACCGCAGCTACGAGCCATCCCCTCATCGCCCACCCATGTCTCGTCCGGGCACAGCCAACGCTCTTGGCGTGCCTGGGAGCAGTGCAGGGCTCAGTGGTGCTTCGACACCCCTCTCGTGGGAGGCGGAGAACGCACGCCCAGATCAGCACTGGCGCCAGCCATCCTACGCAGGGAGCGTCTTTGCCCAGTCCTCCCTCAATCACAGCTCGGCCAACCTCATCTCCTCCAGCCACGACCCCTCCTCTTACTCCAACGAGCACGGTGCGCCAGCCGGGCCTGATCGCAGCGAGTATGCAGGCTTGGACGATCCCATCGACCTAGATGCCGAGGAAGACCTCGATCTGCGCCTCATTGCCGAGCTTGCCCAGCCTGGCCATCCGCGTCTGGACCGTCTGATCGCAAACGAGGTGCAGAGAGCGAGCGGGAGGGTCATGGTTGCTTCTTGTGGTCCGGAGAGCTTGAGCGCGATTCTGAGGAGGATCGTCGCGAAGCACATTGATCCCAGCATGGCCAGAGGGAGCAAGACTGGCAAGGGCATCGTGAATTTGGCCACGGAGAGCTTCGAGTGGGGCGGGTCGTAGGTGCTGCCACGCTCTCACGTGGTATCTCCGGACTTCTCGACTTGTTTTGCACGACCTAATCTCCTCCCCTCTGTATCATCACCGCGCCTCATCGCTCCTGCAGTACTGGCGCGAGCTCATTCGTAGCCGGCGCCATTGTTCTTGTTCATATCACCACTTGCCATCTGCTACTCTAAGTTACTACGGGCTCGCTCGAGCCACAGGAATGGACATTGCCTCTTTGCCCAGCTGCGAGAGCGAGACGCTTTTGACTGCTGCTTGATCACTCGCGAGATGGGCTTGGACTACTCTGGAGTGAGACATGGTGATTAGATGCGGCCAAAAAGTGTGACGAGACGAGAGGAGCGCAAATGGTCCCCATCATGGCTGGCTCTCATCACAAGGCAGCTGTAACCTCTCCTCGCTCTGAGCAGTCACCAAGGCAGCGGCAACAGTCGCGCGTCAGAGGAGGAGTGCCGCAGATAGTGCAGAGCTTGCCTCGAGCGATTTGGATCAACTGCGGGTGACGTATGAAGAACCGCAAGGTGAGCCACGCGCAAGTAGCCACAACGCTTTCGACTCACACTTTCGTGTGCCAAGGCCGGCCTGGTACTCGGACATCGCCGCCATTGCCTCGTCATGAGGAGCAGCATTGACCAGACCGAAGGCGGTGAGGACAATCAGACTGGCGGACAAATTTAGCTGGCGTGCAATTCTCATGGCGCTGCTGACGCAACGTCAAATCGTGGTCGTCAGTATCATGCTCATATTTCCGCCTGCATCTCACGATAGTTACAATCCTGCAGTCTAATCTGGGGCGTGTTTTGGTTGAGCAAGGGTGGTGACGACGATGTAGGGAGGGAGAAAGAATCTGGATGCGAGCGCTACTTGCTCTCCAGCTGTACACCGCACTACGAGCGGCACCATAGGGCCCGCTCCTACATCACGACGATCCCACTGTCGTGCCGTCTGATGATCCGGTCCGGAACCTCATTGCCCATGGCCATCGTCTCCCGACCCACGAGAGGAAGTCGGACAACCGCGGCGCGCATTCGTAGCTCATCCACTGCACATTGTGCTGATGATCATGTATGATTCTGGAGCGCAATGATGAGGACCGCGACAGAGGGGAGCACGCTACGATTTGATACACCAATGAGAAAAAAGGGACACGGCGGGAAGCGATTGATGGGGAAGGGGGAAGGGAGAGTCCGCACATTATCATCGCCGCCGGTCATCGTCACTCGCGCCCGTCCGCGCGCGCGCATCTATTGCGATTGATACCCCAGCGAGTTGCCCGATCCCGACGTCGGTATCGCTCACGTAGACCCCGTCGGTCCACCGCCTTGTGCCCTCAGTGCTGCAGCCTGCGCCGCCGCTGCCGCCGCTGCTGCAGTCTGCTGTTGTCTCGGGCTCAGACCTGCAAGTGCGCTCGCTGTTGACGAAGTGGTCCCACCACCTCCTGAGCTAATGAGTGCGTTGCGCTTGTGCATCGTCACCTGCCTAATGGCGGTCAGGAGGTCCAGCTTGCGGAGGGGCTTACTGCAGTACTCGTCCATCCCGCTCGCGAGACATCGCTCTTTGTCACCCTTCATTGCGTGCGCTGTAAGTGCAATGATTGGGGTGCGAGGCACGCCTTGTGACTCTTCGAAGGTGCGGATACACTTCGTCGCCTCAATGCCGGACATGACGGGCATGCTCACATCCATGAGAACCACATCGAACTTGCCCGTCGTGACGGCATCGACTGCCTGCTTGCCGTCTGATACCGTGCTGACCTTGTGCCCTTCTCGCTCAAGCATACGCATGGCGATGACCACGTTGACGCGGTTGTCCTCGCAGAGAAGAATGTCGTAAACTTCGCTGTTGTTGGCCTCCGACGGCGTGGCTGCAGATGACTCGAGCGAGGGAAGGAGAGCGTAGTGCAGGTCGGCAACTGTTGCCGGCGTGTTGATGTAGGACGAAATGCCGTGGTCGAGGCAGTACGTAAGATTGAGAGTCAACATCGTTGGTGAGACGAGGTTGATGGGAATGTAGCGCAGATGCTCGATGGTGCGCAGATCCTCGACAACGCTTAACGTGTCGGCGATGATGGCGTCGATACGCGGCATGATACCCTTGGTCCGCTCGGCCGCTTCCTCGACGCTGTGCACGGTGATGGGGCGCAGGCCGAGTGAAAGCAGCATCTGCTCAACGCCCGTCGTGTCGCGGAGGGTGTCCAGCCAGAAGATGTTGCGACCGGCAAAGGGACGCAGCTTCTCCATGACGAGCTCCGGCGAGATCTGATCAATCTTGACGACCATGGTGAAGAAGAAGTCCGACCCGTGGCCATAGTTGCTTCTGACCCAGAGATCGCCTCCCATCAGGTTCACCAACCGTCTGGAGATGCTCAATCCCAATCCCGTTCCCCCGTACTTCCTCGTCGTCGACCCATCAGCCTGGCAGAAGGTGTCAAAGATGACGTCCAGCTTGTCCTGCTTGATGCCAATTCCCGAGTCCGAGGCGCAGAACTCCAGCATCGCCTCAGTGGGTGAGATGAGCTTCGCCAATGAGCACTTGAGCGCCACCCTGCCCCCAGCCTCTGTGAACTTGACCGCATTTCCAATCAGATTGGTGATAATCTGCTTGAGACGCAATGCATCGCCGATCAGCGGGTCGGGACAGTCGGCCGCTACCTCGTACATGAGGTTAAGCTTCTTCTGTGTCGCGCGCACGGACAGGGTCTTGAGGACGGAGAACACTATGCCGCGCAGGGAGAAGGGAATCTCCTCGATGTTCATGCGACCGGCTTCGATCTTGGAGATGTCGAGAATGTCGTCGATGATTGCCAGGAGGTTGCCCGCGAGGGTTGAGACTGTGACGAGGTTCTCACGCTGGCTGCGCGAGAGTTCGGTCTCGAGGGTAAGGGCGGTCATGCCGATGATGCCTAGCGAGGGGTGGGAGTGCGATGTCAGTGCTTGCTCTATGAGGCTGCTGATCGCCGCGCTCGCTGCGCTCGCTCACCGTTCATTGGCGTCCTGATCTCGTGTGACATATTCGCCAAGAATTCGGACTTCGACCTATTCGCCAGCTCAGCCGCCTCCTTCGCCGCGGTGTTCTTTTGAATGGAATCACGCAGACTGTATACCATCTGGTTGATCTTCGTCTTGAGCGAGTCCATCTCACCGGACGCCTCGACGGTGACGAAGCGCGAGAAGTCTCCATCGGTGGCCGCTGCGGTGATCTGAGCGAAGGCTCGCACTTGTGATGTGAGGTTGTTGGCCATGATATTCACATTGTCCGTGATCTCTGCCCATTTGCCTCTGATGTCCTTCTTTTGTGCCTGTACACCGAGCTTGCCTTGCGTACCTACCTCGCGAGCTACGCGGGTGACTTCGGAGGCGAAGAAGGAGAGTCTGCGCGGCGAAAACGAGGATGACGGTCAGATGCAATTCCCCCTCCTACTGTGACGCAAGCCGCACTCACTGATCGATCATATTGTTGATGGTGTCGACCAGATCCAGAATCTCGCCCGAGACGGAGATGGTCACCTTCTTGGTCAAGTCTCCCCGCGCGACAGCCGTCGTCGCCTCAGCGATGCTTCGTACTTGGAGGGTGAGGTTGGCAGCCATAGTGTTGACCGACTCGGTAAGGTCCTTCCACGTACCACCCACGCCAAGTACAGTAGCCTTACCGCCTAGCTTGCCCTCTGTTCCAACCTCCTTGGCGACGCGCGTAACTTCCGTCGAGAAGGTGCGAAGTGACTCCACCATGTTGTTCACGGTGGCCTTGAGGTCGAGGAACTCGCCATTGACTTCAACGTTGATGCTGCGGGGCGAAGAGGGAGAGGAGCCGGTCAGTCGATCGTACTAGGAGAGCCCTTCCGCCTCTACGCGCCTACTCACGTCTTTGACAGGTCTCCTCTTGCTACGGCCGTCGTGACAGTGGCGATCTCTCGTACTTGCGTCGTGAGATTGCTAGCCATCATGTTGACACGCTGCGTGAGCACTTGCCATTGGCCCTTGACATCGTCGACGTTGGCTTGCCCTCCCAGGCGCCCCTCTGTACCGACCTCGACTGACACGCGAATGATCTCGTCACTGAGTCGCTTCAATTGTCGCACCATGTTGTTGACCGTCATCTTGAGATCCAAGATCTCGCCTTTGACGTCGACGTTGATGAATTCGGTCAAGACACCCTCAGCAACGCACTTTGTAACGCGTGCAATCTCCCTGACCTGGGAGGTCAGGTTGTCGGCCATCTTGTTGACATTCTCGGTCAAGTCCTTCCACGTTCCCTCGACGTTGGGCACCACAGCCTGGCCGCCGAGCTTGCCGTACGTTCCCACCTCCATGGACATGCGTACGACTTCAGAGGCAAAGACGCGGAGTTGTCCCACCATGGAGTTGACGGTGTCCTTGAGCTGGAGCATTTCTCCCTCGGCTGAGATGTCGATTGTGCGCGTGAGATCGCCCTTTGCTACGGCGGTTGTGACGACGCTGATGCTGCGGACTTGCTCGGTGAGGTTGGAGCACATGCGATTGACGTTGATGGTGAGTCTGCGCGCGACGAGCGTGAGAGAAGGGTGAGCAGTTGATCTTTCACGCACAAGGTCGTCGCACCCGCACGTACTCTTTCCAAACACCCTCGACGCCAGGCACATCTGCCTGCCCTCCCAGCATTCCTTGACTACCGACCTCCCTTGAGACTCTGGTCACCTCGTTGGCAAAGTGTCGCAGCTGATCCACCATGACATTGATGGTAAGCTTGAGCTCCAGCACTTCTCCATTCGCCTCGACCTCAATCTTCTTGGAGAGGTCTCCGCGAGCCACGGCCTTTGTGACGGTAGCGACTCCTCTGACCTGCGTGGTGAGATTGGCGGCGAGGCGATTGACGACGTCCTTGAGCTCCTTCCATCTTCCCTCTACGCCCTCGACCTCTACCTGTCCGCCCAATCGCCCCTCGGTCCCTACTTCGAGGGAGACTCGCGTTACCTCGGTAGCAAAGACGGACAGCCGATCTACCATCTGGTTGATGATGTCCTTCAACTCGACCATGACATGACCTTGGACAGGTACGGTGATATGCTGGGACAAGTCACCAAACGCCACGGCCTTGCATACACGGGCGATGTCCTGTACCTGAGCTTTGAGGAGTCGCAGCTCATCTTGGGCGCTCAGCCCGCTCTCATCGCTATATCGTTCAAAGGCGCCTACAGCTGACTCTGGGTCTGCCGTGCTTGAGGCGAGGAGAACAGGACCGTCGCTTCCCATACCGAGCGGGTAGGAGAGCGGGAAGGAGGAAGACTGCGGGTGGTCTTGTGAGATGGGATATGGGAATTTTGCGAAGCTGGATCGACGCTCGCTGTTGGCCGAGGTGGCGGCTGCGCCAGCTGGAGCCTCGTATTCGTCGCTTTCCCGCTTCGCACCGCCCTCTTGCCCCCGCGAAGGGATCGGTCTTGGAGCAGACGACTCTGCAGGACCCTTGTTGGTGAGAGCGTTCGGATGAGACTGCGCGATCATCTCGAGCTGGTTCTCTGCGCGCCACAGCCTTTCGACAAGGGTACCGATATTGGCCTCGATTTCTGCCGTCTTTTCGTTGCCGCCTTCAAAGTGGTAGCGAGGAAGTGGCAGCGTCACGACACTTGACGCCGACGACGAGGACGAGCCATCTGATGAGGAGCCCGCAGCTTCATGTCCGTTGAGCGGGGAGCCGTAGGCGCTCTGCAAGCTCTTTGGCGGCGTCGTCTTGAGAATGCTGCCTGTGATGAGGTAGAGGTGGTCGATGAAATTGCCAGGCATGAGCGCAGCATCATGAGGCAGAGGCGACGATGTCTGGCGTGAGAGGTCCTCGTTGGACGAGGGCATAGCGACGGCAGCCATGGTAGGCCAAGAAGTGGTGGAGTGAGAGGATCACGCGCCTGGCGTGAGGCGATGGGTAGACGGTCGAGATCGATTTGCCGCTAAGATGTAGGGATGAGGATGATGATGAGCCTGCTTTCACACCTCCGAGGACAAGGGGCAGCGAGGGCGGCGAAGACGGCGAGAAGCGGCGCGGCTGTCGTGAGCGTGAGCGTCGTGCCGCACGGCTTTCTATTGGTTCAAGCGCCAGGTCCGCCAGGAGGGGAGGGGGCGATGAAGTGGCGTGGGCGCAATGCCTAACCGCTGGGAGAATCGACAGACTGATGGTCGAGGCAAGCGGCAATGGTAACGACGAGGATAGTGAAAGAGAAGGAGCGCGTGGGTCGCAGGGATCCCGGGATCAGTTACGGCCCTCACACCTGCTGTTCAACCCAACAGGCGCAGGCGGCGTTGGGCGCAACCAAGCGGGCAGGCGGGCGGGCGGGCGGGCGGGCGGGCGGACAGCGCGATTTCGCCATGTGGTCATCGACTGACTGAGTCCAATCGAGCGGACCGAGACGAGAGGCGGCAGAGGAGCGGGACTCTAAAGACACACACCACACCGACTCGTTTGCAGGCAGAGAGAGACGCAGACGCAGATGCACGCACGCACGCACGAGCGAGACGAACAAACGGGACAAGAAGATGCTGCGCTACGAGGGCAAGGGCGAAGAGGAGACAAACGATGACGACGGTCGCGGGCTTGCAAGACGAAGATGACACAAGACAAAGATTGCTGCGAATGGGGCTATCTTTACACAACGCGACTTCTGCTCGCTTCTTTTCATCTTCACGCCTGTACAGACGAGGGCGCTGGAGGAGGACTGTACAGCTGACTGAACGGCATTGCCTCCGTCGGCTGCAGCCAATTGAGCTCGTCGTACCTGGCCCTCGACTCGTCGCCTTCCACCATGTGGAAAGTGTAGATGTACCTGCGCGAGAGGGCGTGCGTGGCATGCGTGAGATGTGACAGAATGGAGTGCGTCAGCTACTTGCTGACCGGTTCAAGAGACCTCGCGCATACGCACCGACTCTTGTCGCTCAGATTCATCTTGCTCTGGTGCAGCACTGAGCCGTGGATAAGGACGAGAGTCCCTGCTTTGCATTCGCCAATCTGCGCCTCCTCGTCTGACCACTCGAGCTCTTCGCCCTTGTCGACATCAACGAAGTGTGTTCCACCTTTTCCATCTGGCTGTCTCCTGACAAAGCGGCGGTCAATCCCTCGAGGCTGGCCGTGCTCCCTTGCGACGCCCTCCGCCTCGAGCGGTCGTGACGCTTTCGCGCTCTTTGCGTCGCTATGTGTCTTCGACCAGCGGTGAGAGCCAGGCATAAAGCTCAGACAGCCATTGTCACGCGTGCAGTCCTCGAGGGCGAACCAGAAGCCAATGGCGGACGGAGGGTCAGTGTAGAGGAAGGTCGAGTCGTTGTGATGAGGTACGGCGCCTCCTATCGCTGGGGGTTTGCAGATGACCATCGACTGCAGGACGCGGGGATCTCGATGAGCGTCGAGGGAGCGAGCAAGGTTCTGCAGTCTCTCAGAGAAGGAGAAGCGGTGGAAGACTGGGTCATGGGCGTGAAGAGCATGGCCGACTTTGTTGACCGCCTGGCGATAAGGGAAGATGGATCAGCATACAAGCTGTCGTGCGTCCGCCACAATCTCGCATGCGCACCTGATCTTTCGGTCTGTTGAGCTGACCATCCTCACCTAGCGCTCCCTCCTCGAAGAAGTAGCGCACCTTGTCGCCCGACTCGAGAAAGTAGCGCGCATGACGGTCATCGTCGAGGTCGTTGGTGAACTTTGTCAGCGGGTGGTCCTCAAGGGAGAAGTTCTTGACGAGGTGGCGAGCCTGAGCAAGCGGCTCAGCAGGGTCAAAGAAGTCGGGCAGCAGGAGGTAGCCATCGCGATGGAATTGATCCAGCTGTTCGCGAGTGAGGGCGCCGGTCGTCGTTGTCGTCATGGTCGCGCTCGAGAAGATGTGAGCGATTAGTGGACAAGCCGCGCTTGCCGCCAATCGTCGCTGCGTCGGAGAGCCAAAGGCGGGGAAGCTCTCAATCGGACTGCCGGCCGGATAACGAGGCCGAGGGCAGAGCGCTCTCGGGGGCTACGTCGCTCTGGCGCCGACCCTTTGCCCACAAGTTGCGTTCCACCTTGCTATTCGTCGTACTGCGTTGCTGTCCCTGGCAGCACGAGAGACACTCGGACGTTGCGAAGGCCGCCACTGGTCATCATGTTCCACTCGTCCTCTTCGCCACACTTCGCCAGTCAATCGTGTGACCGCCCGCCCACTCTTCGGCACGAACGGCAACTTTAGGCCGGTTGCTAGCTCGTCGTGCATACCCGGCGGCTGCTGAGTCGTCATGTCCAAGATAGCCGGCCAAATCGCCGTCGTGCGCCCTCAATCTGGATACGAGGGAGAGACGCGCTAAACAGGCGGCAAAGGGGCCATGGCGTGCAGGGCAATGGGGCCCTCGCGCGATACGCTCGTAATTGCGGGTGTACACTCGCCTGTTCCTCGCCTGCGCACATTGCCGCTATCTCACAGGACGCCGTATAAGACAGCAGTGCAACGATCTCGCATTCCCCACATCCTCTCCCTACACCCAAACGCCTCACCAAGATGGGCTTCCCAATCGACGATCCCGTTCAGCAAACGCCTGCCGCGGGCGACAAGACGTTGAGCAGCAGCACAGATGAGAAAGCCAGCGTCACCGCCCACGACCATGCCAATGCGCCTGCGCCAGTCAGTGATATCGCCTACCCTTACCTCGAAGAATCGATCGCCTACGCCGATGCACAGTACTCCAAGAACGATGTTATTCCCCAAGGCGACAAGCTCAGCCCGCACGAGTCGATTCGAACTGGGTTGCTCAGGCTCGTGTGGGGTGCGCCTTCCCCCGAGCTTGCTGTGGCAGCCCCAAAGCCGATGGACATGTCCCTCTCCGTCGAAGATGGTATTGACGAGTCGACGGCAAAGGAGCTGCAGAACAGGAGAGCCCTTCGCAAGGTGTCCGCGGTGACGGCCACGTACCTCATTTTGACCGATATCCTTGGTCCCTTTTCCACTCGTGAATGCCGCGGCGACTGACATGACGTACGCGGAACCTGTTCTGACACGCCGCCCTCCTCTGCGCAGCCTATGGATTCCGCGAGCTCGGCTACGCTCCCGGCACGCTCCTCTACTTTTTCCTCGCCATCGCTGCCTGGTACTGCGGCAACCTCCTCTCCGTCCTATACCTGCGTCTGGACAGCGACCGTCTACCCGTTCGCAACTACGGCCAGTTGACTGGACGCATCTTCGGCGCCCCGGGCCGTGCGCTCAGCGATGTTCTCATGATCATCCAGCTCGTCGTCAACTGCGGGACAATCCTACTCTCCAACGCCCAGTCCATGGCGCAGATCATCGACAATGCGCCGGGCAACCACCACCTGTGCTTCGTCGTCGTCATTCTCATCTTCCTCATCATCAGCTTGCTCCTGAGCCCCGTTCGCTCGCTCAGAGGCGTCGGATTCTTCTCCAACGTATCCGTCTTCCTCAATGTCGTCCTCATCTTTGCCACTATCGGATTCGTCACCACCTCGCCCCCGAACTACGAGGCGGCCAAGGCGTCGTATGGCATCGACAGGGCGCCCGTCATGGCCGTCGCCTTTGTCCAACAGGCGCTCGAGGCCAAGGTCAACGGTGTCATGAACCTCGTCTTTAGCTACGGTGGTGCAATGGTGTTCGTCGATTTCCTCAGCGAGATGAAGGTGCGTACGTGCGGACTGCGGCTGTCTTGTCATTACGCTGATGCCCTCTCCCCTCGCCACTCTCGCAGCGCCCCTGGGACTTTTGGAAGGCCATGTCCTTTGCGCAGACGTTCATCTTCTGCCTGTACATCCTCATCGGCCTGGTCGTCTACAGCCAGCAGGGCCAGTTCACGCAAAGTCTCGCGTACTACGGCGTCTCACCTTACAGCATGCAGACGTTCGGTAACGTCGTCGGCTTCACCACGGGCACGATTGCCGCACTGCTCTACGGCAACATCGCCGTCAAGCTCTGCTACTCGACCATCGTCGAGCGCTGGTGCAAAGGCCCCGCTCTCATGACACAGCGCGGCTGGGCCTTCTGGGGCCTCTGCAACGCCGTGTTCTGGCCCCTCGCCTTTGTCATCGGAGGCGCCATTCCCCAGATCCAGACGATCGCCGGAATCGTCGCCGCCGTCTGCATTCTTCAATTCTCCTACACGTTCCCCTTCCTCCTCAAGTGGGGAATGGACATGCAGATCTTGGCCATGGCAGAGGACGAGGCGTACACACCTGGCACCACGCCGAGGAGAAGAGACGGGTGGACCAGCGTGAGCCGCTGGCGTCGTGCACTGTTCACTGGCTCGCTCAAGCAGCAGGTCATGAACTGGGCGCATCTCGTGCTCTTCTTGGCGAGCTTGTCCATGGCTTGCCTGGGTATGTGGGGAAGTGGGCTATCCATCAAGGAGACGTTCGCCGTTGCGCAAGCGACGTCCTTCGGCTGCGCAAGTCCTGGATCGTAGAAGGGTAATGGGCCGTGACGCTCGTCGATCTTCGCGCAGGGGAGCCTCACGGTCTTGTCACTGCTATCTGACCGTACCTGCAATCGTAAAGCTTCTTCCCATCAGCCCGGTCTTGCACACAACGAGCTGATTTTCCCATGGGCAGCATCGCTCACTACTCTGCTCGGCAGTACTTGGCTGCGCAAGGGCATCGTGAGCGGCTGACGGACGTCAAATCTCGCCGTCGTAGACGTGAGAACGCGCCTGATTGGCCTCGAGGTCTCCGTTGCGAGCCGCATCGACTTTCTGGCTGAGGCGCTCTGGCGCTGTGCTGGACACACGGAGGCACAATCAGATGGTGCTCAGACTCGGCTATTTTGGTCGTCAAAGGGCATAGAGATAGCAGAGAGTCGTTGCAGTGATGCGCCGGTGCTTGCCACATGAAGCTGTTGCGATTCTCACGCTTCGCTGACTCTCCGATGATGAGCCCTTGCCCTCTTTGCGACTGACAGTCTGGAGGACTTGCCCCGAATCGATCATGTCCGCAAGCTGAAAGACAGCGCGCGTGTGCGAAAGTGCAAAACTCGATCCGAGCGCAGAAGCAAAGACGGCGACGCCCTTTACCCTGGATGTACGCACAGGCTCTAAGAAGTCGTTGAGCATTGTGAGCTTTCTTCTCTCCATCGTATTGCCATACCATCAGCAGGCAAGACTGAAGTCTCACCTGCTCCACGTAAGTATCGATGCTTTCGCGCTGCGGCACGCCATCTGACGCGCGTCGCGTTCTTCACAGCCACCATGAAATTCGCGCGCCCTCTACTCAAGCTGGCTGTGACCCTCAATCTCGTCGGCATGACTGTCATGTGGTCTGTTGATGCCGCTCCTGTCAACGAGCTGCTGGCCAAGCGCGACGACCCGCAGAAGCCCGTGAGTTGCGCCAGGGGGGTCCTGCACCTTCCTCAGACCGTAGCTGACATTAGTCGCCTTTCCTCCAGCCTGACCCATGCGGTGCTTGCAGTGCCGTCGGCGTGCACTCGGCTTGCTGCCTCTGTTACCACAACTGTTTGGATGAAAGGGCTGCAATGAATGCTTTCCTCGAGATGCGCGAGGTCGAGGAGCCCCTCGTAAAGGTCAGGGACGCGTCTGTGGCCGACCTTCGGGGCAGCGACACCGCTAAAATTGGCCTGCAGCGTAGGAGTGACGCCAAAGATTCTGTCAGCCACTTTCAACTCATCTAGGCCAGTGCGGTGGTCCCGACGCTACAGGCTCTTACACTCAACGCCGAATCCCCTTTCCATCTTTGAACTTTGCCGCAGAGGAGGCTAATGATGCCTTCAGGTGCTTTGAAGGGACAAGGCCCACCACTTTCAAAAAGCTCGCGGGCAAGGACAAGTCAAGAATGTCTTTGTTACTATTTCAAGAGCTACCGTTGATTTCATTTCTTCGAACGATAGCGCTTCAGACAGCTACAGGTGGCAACATGTCCGGCAAGCCGCCCTATCATCAAATTTTCTTCTCTTTCAAAGCCGACGGCGTATCCGTTGACTCTTGATCACACTACCGTCATATCTTTTGACTCGTATGTGCGCTGCATGAAAAACGAAGAGTCTCTTGTTCCTCCTCTCGCAGGTCGCTGTGAGTACCTCTCGCCAGCAACTGGACCGCACATCTTGACGCGTGTTGCTGAAGCCACACTGGCTCGAGCGAATCTGCAGGCGCCAGCACGGCTGGGTCGACAGGGCGTTGGATCGAGCTCGACCTAAAGCTTGAGAAGGGTCAAGTTTCCGCGCTCTCGGTTGAAAACTTCGATCACCTTGGTGAGCTACGCCCTCGTCTTGGCATCACTGCTGGTGATAGCGGGCTTGGAATGATCTCCGTCGCCAAGCCAGTATCCCAAGTAGTATGGGTTCAGCGGCATCAACTCGATGCCGTGCCCTCCGCGGCGGAGGAGGAAGGCCACTCCCAACATCTTGATCGGCATGCTGTTGTAGTTGGTATGCTTGGAGTTGGCGTACTCCTCGACAGACATGCGGTGGAGCTCCCCTGGGAGGATGAGGAGCGGGTCGATGAGCTCCGTCGCGATTGGGCTCATGGCTGCGACGAGTGATACTGGGCGATTTGAGTGGAGTCGAAGGCCTTGGTGATCGGCCTGATCGTCCCGCAAGGGCCCAAATGACTAGGTTGTGCGGCGAGTTGAGTCGAGATTGCGGAGCTGGTGCGTTCGTCGTTGCGCCAAGGCTCACTCGAGAGCTGCATGGCGTCGCTCTCATCTTCCTCACTGTCGCTGCTGTTGCCCGCCGAAAGTATGGTCTTGTCCTCTGAGCCAAGCCATTCGCCTCCGTCGCTGGAGTCATCGTCTGACTCCAAGTCGCCTTGAGACAGAGCAACCCCAAAAGCACGTTCGTCGAGGACGTTCGCTGAGCTATCCAGCTCACTCGCTGCGGCCAATTGAGCAATGCCAGGGTTTTGCTGGCAGCGCGTCCACCATGTCAAGGTGCGAGGGGTACTTTGCGAATGGTTCTGCCACAGAGATGGCTTCGTCTTGGCAGCGGCGTAGAGGTACAGGCCGTGGATGCCATCAGCGACGGAGTGGTTTTTGCATTACTTTGACGGCAGATTCAAGCGAGAGCTTGAAGGGCGTCTCATCTTATAGCATATGAACCAATGCGAGACACCTCATTCGCCCACGTCGTGCAGTACAGGGCGGTGGGTGTTGATCCGGTCAAGGATAGCCATACGCATTGGCCACGCGTATCCATCTAAGTCGGCGAACAGGCCTGCAGCAGCGTGGTGGCGTAACAACGTTGTCTCACCGTCTCCTGGCGAGAGAGCAAAGGCTATGTGTGCAAAAGACGCATGCTGTACCGGCGAGGGCGGGTGTTGAGCGCAACAGGCAGCTGAGCAATGGCGCAAAAGAGGATGCAGGGAGATCGCGAGGTGCCAAGTGTGCTCTCGAGTACACTCGATGGCGGTCGAGTGGATGCGGGAGTGCTCGAGCCTGATCGAGAGTTGACGAGTCGCTGACGATGTGCGCGAGTGTGCTCGATGGCCAGCTAGAACATGGTCGTGTAATGGCCAACCCCACTTCGGTCATGCCAGACTCCAACAGCTGCAATGTCCGGTCCTCCATCGTCCTCTCCATCTTGGCTGCAGCGGAAGATACCAAAGCTGCGATGCGGGTTCTGGCCGGGGTGGTCGGTACGAGCAGCGACAAAGGGCGTATCTGTGACATAGGCGATGTCAGCGCCAATGATTTCGGGCATCACTTGCAGAGTGAAGTCGTCTCCGTAGGTCTCATTGAGCTCCATCAGATCAACACAGACGTCATAGTCGACGTCGGGATCCAGAAGGGGCTCGATTCTAACGCGCCAGGGCGTCGTTCTCAGCGCAGCGAAAACAGCTGCTCTCAAGCTCTGGTGAGTCCATGGTATACCATCACGAGGCGGAGCGCTCAGTGCCACCGCTCGGAGCTGGCAGTTCCCATCTCCTTCGACCCAGGCCGTCGTAACGGTTTTTTTTGCCCCAGGCGCCGTCGTGTCTGTTCGCGGAGGGGACCAGTGGGACGTCGCAGCGCCGGGAGGTGATGATGATGGACGAGACGGATGTCGCCCGCCTGGAGCGCCGAAACGGGGAGAATCGGCTCATCAAGGACATCGTCCCCCTCGTCATCTTCCTCCGACGGCAAATTGGCAGCGGCGAGCGGACGGCCAACGTCATCGCTGCTATCGTCGTCGTCGCGCGCGTAGTCGCTGTCCTTGTCTGCGCTCCAGCCCTCTGCGTCGAGAAGGGCATCCAAGTCGACAGGCTTGACGCTGATCCAATCCGAGAAGGGGATGGTTACTCGTTGCACTGCCTCTCGCGCGTTCTCCTCCACAAAGTCGTGATTCATGCTGTCGTGCCAGGTGAAGTGCATCTCGTCGTGATTTGACTCGCCACGACCCCACTTACTGTATCTGCCATCGTCGCAAGCCGAGTATTACGCGGTGTGTAGCCCAGGTTGTTGTTGAGGCGATCAAAAGTACGCAATGGCATTGGCCACACTGATCCGTCTCCATTGATTAACAGCCCGGGACCAGCGCGTCGATCCAACAGCATCCTCTGAATTGCCTCTACCGTCAGAGAGTAGGGCAAGCCACGTCTCTTAGCCCCACCCTTTAAGCGAGCGTTCGCATATTGGGCAAGGCGCTCGATGGATGCTGCCTCTGCTGCGGAGGGAGGGGGAGGGGGAGGCTGACGGCTCGTCTCCGCAGCGAGCGTCCTTGCCCACGTTGGGTCGATCGCTGGAACCGTTCGCACCGGTTGTTTCTTGCGCCACGAGCGAGAATAATTCAGGACCATGACGCGCGCTTCCTCGTCAGAGTAGTCCATCTTGACGAACTGGCAGATCACGCATAGCATCTGTGTGTTTTCCCGCGTGTACTCCCTCAGTGCTGTGTCAATGCGTTCTCAGCTGCATCTCTGACGGCCTGCTGCTCGCCGGTGAGGAACCTGCTTACTGGCAGTTTCAAGGAGTCGCTTCGATACGTCGAGCAGAGCCAGCGCCAAAAAAATCAGCCGAGTGGTGCCTCAGCCCGATGTTGGTAGTATGGATGGCAATCGCCGCTTCATCCTCCCAGCCGCTCGTGATCGTCGCAGCGAGACACCTCACCTCGTTGATGCCCAGGGTGCTAGACCAGAGCGAGTTGAAGAAGAATCTCCCACCTTGCCCGCGAGGGCGACCGTGCAAACGCGCGCAGCGGCTGCAGATGGTCGCGAGGAGCTCCCGAGCTGGCTCTCTTGCCGTCGATGGCTGGGTGCATAAGATAGGTGAAGTGAAGATTGGGAAAGCTCTGGACGAGGCGACGTCGCGTGAGGTATTCGAGCCGGCTTGAGAGCGTACCAGGCTGCTGCAGGCGGTCCAACACCGGCTGCGCATCTGTCTCACTTGCCGTGTCGAAAAACCAGTTGATCAAGGATTCGATGTCCTACAGCGCCTTGGTACAGACGCAAGACAGATTGCCTTGAAGCCAGTCGTTCGGACTGCAGCCCTGAGACGACGCCACCAAGCAGCGCGACACTTCCCTCGCGCGAGGCCGAGGCTGATCCTTACCATCGCGAGCTGCACATTTGCTTGGCATATCGCCAGGAAGCGGTCTCTGATGCCTCGGTTCTTGGTGGTGCGAGTCTCTCCGGCCTCTTGCCGCTTTGGGATCAGACTCGATCCGGAGCTCAGCGAGGATGATGACAGGAACTGAGAGCGAGAAGGGCCGGGGTATCAGGATGGCGGTGGCTCATCGATGTCTGCCATTGGCGAGTCATCTGGGGGACATATGGTCAGCACGATATGCTCAAGAGAAGACGCGAGCCAGCTGGATGTCCGAAAGCGCTCACCGATGTCATTGTTGGACCTCGCGATTTGCATTTACGGTGGGAGGAGCTGCCCCGCCATTGCTTCTAAATGGTGCCAGCCATGGGTCGTCGACGCCCGTGCTTGGTGGCGCTGCCCCTCACGATGGCCAGGAGCTTGAGCGCCGGTGACGGCAACGATTCCATTGGACTTGCGACGTTGCCGTTCGCTGACTTCGCGCACTGTCCGTCCCGTCCTTCTCTGCTTGCGTCTTCTCTTGGCCCCTTCTGCAGCGAGGGATTGGGCGAGTGCATTCGAACGGTGAGGTCTGCCGCACTACAGTACCGCGCCCTCTGGTCGAAGCCGTTGACTTGCGCTTCTTCGATGCGCCGACCGGCGCCATGGATTTGCTAGGCTATCGAAGAGGAGGCATCAGGTCGGGACCATCACCGTATCAGGACTCAAATGAAGTGTCTTGCTCTTGCTAGTGAACGGCTCCGGCTTTGACGCTGCTCGCTCGCGGGTCTTGATCCGCAGAGGTTGCGCCAGGCTGACGTAGGGCGCTGACTTCCCTCTGCAGCTCTTTGATCAGTCGACGCTGCTCCGCTTGAAGATCGCACTGTTGCAGAAGGCGCAGATCGTGCTTCTCGAGCAGAGTCTCGGACTGCAGGAGCCGTCGAGCAACTTCAGCAAAGGCAGCCTCCTCCTTCGCTTCACTCTCGGTGTCAAGTGCTTCAATGTGCTCGATCGTAGACTGCTGTTGAGAGTGAGAAGTCGTCGCTGAACGCTGCAGCAGCGTGGCTCGAGCGGGAGGGACAGATAGCTCTTCCTCGTTGCCGCTCTGACCCGCCGTGGATGTGAAGAGCGCTGTGTTGGAGGCTTGGAGCGCCGCGTGCTGAGCGCCAAGTCGTCGACTTCCTCATAGGTTGTTGAGGCTCGTAAAGTCATGTTCCTTGATGAAGACGGACCCCTCTCCCCGTGATTATTGACCCAAACGAGGATGAGGTCTCCCTCTGCTGTCTTGTATTGATCTACACCTTTGCTTCAACATTCTTCCACTCGACCACGCGTGTACTGTAGTCGAGTGGTGTCTGTCATGAAGCTGCTTGTCCGGTGTATCATCTCGTCGATGTGAGCTCAGCCGGTCATGCTGGTGCTGTGTGGATCGAGAGGAGACGGCAGCGAGGGGTAGGGAGACAAGATATGTGATTGGTTGCACGGGCCGCAAACACCAGAGGAAGGGGGGCCGCATTGTTCGGCAAAACAGCAGGCATGCCATGTCGGCGCGCCGCCGACCCTCCGACGAGCAATATAGGCACAGGCACACATCACCACCGCCAATCATTATGTGCACTGCACGCCGCTCAGCACACTCGCGGAAAGCTCGCCAGAAGTTGACTGCCCGCATCGATCTCGGACCTGACCATGCTGCTGTTCCCGGCGTCTGGACCCATCTCGTATTTGAGCGACACCTCGTCACGCTGTCCGACCGTGCTCGATGGTATCATGAGACGGCACAATCGCGCGGGCAACAATATCTCTTCGGTCTAGCAAGACCGAGGTCGGCGCTTGGCGCGGCGGCAATCCTGTGGTTGGCACCATGACCTCGTCTCGGCATGAGATTCGCGGGCGATGCCGTCGCGACCCAGATGGTGTGGCCTCACTGTCGCGCCCACCGCCGCCTTGGCGCGCAGCTTTGAGCTCGCGAGCTGAGCAGGTATGTGCCGCAGGCAGTGGTCAGGCTGGCCGAGGTGCCGCTCATCATTACCGGCCGCCATGGTCGCACCGCTATCAGCGAAGACGCGCCGTGACAAGCCCGCGAGCAGTACGGAGGGTGTCAGCCGGCCTTCCTTGGCATCGGCATCCCAATGATTGTCATCTTACGGCGTCGTCCGCCAGGACACTTGTGAGCGATGGAGCTGTGGGTCTCGATGCCAATTTGAAGTTGACTGGAGGATGAGAAAGCTACAAGAAGGGGCTCCTTCTCAACCCCCAACCTGCCAATCAGCCTCAACACGAACAACGACTTCCAGCCTCTCCGAGCAGCTCCAGCCTCAAAGCCGGGCCTTCTCTGAAAGTGAGTGGACAGATGCTTGATGTTCATGCAGCAGCTCATCTCACCTGGTCGCGCTCTCCTGCAGACCATCAAACGTCAAACATGCGAGCTCCTCTCTTCCTCGTCATGCTACTGGCGGCTCTGACTTACGTCAGCGCCGTTCATGCGGCCACGATGACCCTTCAGTACAAGATTGAGAAAGCTCTCCGAGGTCTCGAAGGCGTGAGTCGGCGACGACAGCCATGCAGTGCGCCGTTGTGTTTCGAGCGCTGAACAACCTCTGCACAATCGCACACCGCAACCAGGACGAGCTGAAGCAGCGCGCTACTGACTGTGAGATCTGCGCTGGATGCGAGGGCTTGTGCAGCGCATGCTGTACCTGCGAGGGCGGGTGTTGAAGGCAAAAGGCAGCTCAGCAATGGCGCAAAAGAGGATGCAGGGAGATAGCGAGGTGCCAAGGAGGATTGGATTGCGAGGCCCCTCGTATGCGAACCCCTCCTCCGTCCTCCGTCCCACGTGGCTGCTCCCGCCCTCGAGCCTGTGCGACTCCGCCAGTTCGCTTTGTTCCCATCCTACTTTGCTCAACCATCACAACTTGAAACAGATTTCCCATTGACTCCGCCCCATCGTGTTACATGCTAAGACTCTCGATCAAAGGCGAAGGATCGACGGGCACCGCGAGCGCCAGCGTGAGCGGCAATGTAGATCTCTTACGGCTCAATCTTCCTCCGCGACCGCTATCTGCATGCCGCGCCGAGCCAAGCATCGTGACCCACCGGCACCCTCGTTGCGGCTGATCTCCACCGCTTATCATGGGGTCAAGGTTGCTTTCGAGGAGTATCTGGCCGCCCGGATGTGCCCTTCCGCTGGTCGAGCGCCGTGGTTGCGCTTGCTTTCCAGGAGTATCTGGCCGCCCGGAGGTGCCCCTCCGCTCGTCGACCGCCCTCGTGACGACTGGTCCCGAATCTTACAAAAGCCCCTGGTTTCCTACATCCCCTCCCCTCAGCACTTTGAGCACTCCCTTCGAGCACGACTGAGCTTTGTCCTGCGCGACTTCACAAGCAAACAGTGAGTTGAGCACGGTCTATCGACCACGACGTCACAGCTGACCCCCTCTCGTTCGCGCATACAGCCATGCGTTTCACCGCTATCCTCACGCTCACCGTCGCCTTCATTGGCCTTGCTGCGGCCGTCCACACACCTCACGACGCCAAGGTTGAGGCTCGTCTTGCCACTCTTGAGGGCGTGAGTGTCCAACAACGATCTCGACGCTATTGCCCGCACGGCACATCCTACCTCACCAAATCTGACGCGTCCCCACTACCATCTGCGTCGAGCAGGAGGAGCTTTTGACTACTCGCGACGCTTGCGATGACTGTGGTCATTGCCTTACCCCTTGCAAGGCATGCTGCTCTTGCTATGGAGCCCCTGGCAACGCTTGCTAAAGGTGAAAGGCAGGTAGAAAGCGGGTCGGATGTCTAGGAATGCGCTGAGGGACCGCTGCAAAGCCGGGCTGCAGCGAGATCGGCAGCTGCGAGGGGCTGAAGGCATAATCGCGTCCATCTCATCGATGTCACCATCTGCTAGAGCACGACTCTTTCCACCTCGTCGACCATTTCTCTTTCACCTGAAATACGCTATCCATCCACTCATGCTTTGACCTTGCCAAGCTCTTAGCCAGTAACCTTCTGCTAGAGCTAGCGCCGTGAGGCTTCAGCGCTCGACCTTCTCGCCTGTAAGTGCTTGTGCAACGCCAGAGTGCGCACAGATGCCTTTGCAATGGGCGCTGACCAGACCGGATGACCTCATTGCCCTCGTGTCGCACTGATCAGCCGTGTCCAGCTCTGTGGACCCTCCGATGAGGCGATACGCATCGATTTGGGCGCACCTTGACAGAGCCAATGATTTGTCTTCAAAAACGAGGGTCATTCGATTGTCGTGCAATTTCCTTTTCGGATCGAGGAGTCGCAGAGCATCAAGGGAAGAGGTCCAGATCGTGGTATATACAGTATCCAGCTCGACCCGACTGTCCCACTCTTGTCCACCTTGTACACACAATGAGAGTCAAAACTGCCATACTCATCGGCCTCACGTTCGCTGGACACCTTGGATTGGCTGCCAGTAACTTCAAAGTCGAGGTCAAGGAAGACCGCTCGCAGAAGCTGAAGCTGGCGGCTCGCATTGCAGAGCTTGACGTTGGTGCCCAGATGGTGTACCCTAGTGTCCTCTGGGCCTCGTGCTGATCGAGTTTTCTCCTCTCACATCGTTCTGTAACACCGCAGGCCACTTTTGAGTCTAGCATCATGCAACGAGCTGAAGGTAGCGAGATGAAGCTTCGCCAAAGGGTGAGTTGAGCGGAAAGGGCACATGGCTGGCGGGAGCTGATGCGTCCTCACGCCCTCAATCGTCCGCCCAAGGAGGACCTTTTGGCCATTCGTGGCTCGTGCCAGCTATGTTCTGATTGCATCGATCCGTGTGTCGACTGCTGCATTTGTTATGGTGAACCTGGAAGCGCTTGCTGAAGGTGGATGGATTGGGGAATACAAGACGCGTACGCAGCGCCGCGGTGGCCGCGGTGCCGCAGTCTGGTCAGACGGGGAAAGGTCGGCAGCGCTGGAAAGAAGTCCGGGAAGACAGAGACATAGGTCAGACGACGCCATGCCACTTTCACCTACAAGAGCGCCGGTTTCGCTCTGATGCTACTCACTACGTGAGTAGCATCCCATCTCGCCCTCTTCTCTTGAACTCGACGCCTTTTCTCTCCTCAACCTCAAGACCACCCTGCTTTCCATCACTAGCTGTGCCGCTGCCGTGACTGAGCGGCCCAGCTTTTGCTCCTGATTACTGAGGCAAAGGGACGCGGCGGCATTGTGGGTAGACACACGGATTGCACTGACAGCCGGCACTGAATAGCCACGTACAACTGCGTGGGCCAGGCGAGACTGATCGCGTACGAGGTTAACTGCGCACAGAAAACACTCGGATTGCCCTCGCCGGGGTTACTCACTTGCCGTGGGAATTGCCCCCGGATCGACTACCTCGCAAAGCCTCGAGTGCAGAGGTCACGTTGGTGGTATAAACACAGCCATTTGACCAGACTGACTCCCTCGCTTTCCTACACCGCCAAAATACTCTCAGACCCAACAACGCCCAGCCTACTCACCCAACAGCTCACAATGCGATTGATCTTTCTCAGCCTGACCGCTGTGGCTGTCGCTGGCCGGCTCGCTCTCGCTAGTATTGCCTCGGCCGAAGTTGACCTCGAGGCCAAGGGTGAGCCCACGCACCAGCTCAAGTTGGAGGCTCACGTCGCAAAGCTCGACGTGAGTGTACACTTGGTATGCGCAATGATCGTCTCGGCATCCCGCTGACGGACAATCCTGCACTCATCTCGCTGCAATCTGTCAGCCCACGCTGAAGGCTAGCGTGAAGTCTCGGGCTAAAGCTGACCAGAATAGGCTCCGACAAAGAGTGAGTCAAGGGAAAGCGGGACGAGCTGCATCAACTTCTTTACCATCCGGCGTGCCCCATTTCACATCCCAACAGGAGCTTCTGGCTTCTCGCAGCTCGTGCGATGAATGCGGCGACTGCACTGAAGCTTGTTTGGCTTGCTGCCTTTGTTACGGCGTAGTCGGCAGCGCTTGCTGAAGGTGCTGTGAAGGTGCAAGGCACAGTGAAGGCAAGGAAGAACTGCCGCAGCACCCACACGATTCCTGGGTACGCGAGTCAAGGATCTGCGGTGAAATAAGAAGACTGCGAGGGGAACAGAGACGTAACGCAGTCAGCGCCCTATCGATGCGAATGAATCACTGCTTTTTATCGGGTGCTGCTAGCTGCCAGAGCCGTACACCTCTTGCCTTGCCGCGCTCGAACTCGATACCGCTTCTTTCACTTCTCAAGTCCAAGCTCGACCCCTTCTTCCCTGATCAAAGCTGCTCCGCTTGAGCCCAATCAGTGCTAGATAGTGCACTGTCATCTCGTCTCTGACCACTGTTCGCCTCCGGGCAACGTTGTGGCACGACCATGGATTGACACTGCCCGTAATCTCCTCGCGTCGCGGTCGTAAAGACCTGGAGCCCTACCAAAGGCCTTGCACTTTTGCGAAAGATGGAGCGAGGCCGAGACGCTTCATTGCTTCAGCAGGTCCGATTCAGAGCCATGTACTACACGCTCTGTATCGAGAGTTCGGGAACGCTGCTGGCGAGAAGGGAAGAATCTGTGTGAGCGATCTCTCTCCGCCTGCTCCGCTCCCGGAAATTCGGGTGGCGCAGAAGCCAAATTCAAGATCGACGCGAGATCTCAAATGCGGGGTCAGGCGAGAGGAAGGCGAGGCAGGCAAAATGCTCGGGCCTCCTCACTTTGACGTCCCGTGTCGGACCAAAAATTCAATCTCGTCTCTTCACCACTAGCCTTTACGCACAGACCTTTCCACGCTCGCAATAGCGTCCGGAGCTCGAATGACGGGATGAAGATGTTGAGGTGACTCTCCCGCGTCGATGCAGTGGAACATAGAGTGGGAAGTCAGTGGGCGAATGATGCGGGAAGGGTGAGGGGCCACCGCTGTAGCGCTCTGCGAGATGAGGAGCAAAGGTACAAAAGGGCGAGTGTCATGGCCGAGGAGTGCACCAATCAACAACATCAGCACCCCTCAAGACAATCCTCTACCGTCAAAATGCTACCCCGTATCTCACTTCCCTTCCTTGCTCTCGCGCTCGCCCTGACGAGCAGCATTGCCTCCGCCAGCCCCATCGAGCTCGGCCCCGACTCGCTGGAGGCTCGCGCCCATCCGTCCAAGCATCCATCCAAGCACCCTTCAAAGCACCCTGCCAAGCACCCTGCTAAGCACCCATCCAAGCACCCTCAACCTCACCCTCACCCTCACCCTCACCCTCATCCACACCCGGAGCCTCACCCGGCCAAATCCGCCGATGGTGCAGTTTGCAAGGCCTCCTCCGCTTGCAAGAGCGGTGTCTGTGTCACGGGCAAATGCGCCCCTGCCGTCGAGTCAGGCAATGACGCCGACTTCTCCTCGGGCACACTCGGACCTTGGACATCTACGGGGGCCGTCACTGTGGTTGCGGACGCCGACTCTCCTGGCGGATATGTGGCGCGCTTCACCGGGGAAGGGGAGATCTCGCGTACTGGGTTGACGGGGGGCACGATCATTGACAAGCGCACCGACTCGTCCAAGACACGTCGTCAGACCCCTGGCCAAGAAAACTGGCTCTGGGAGTCCGACTTCCAGTTCCGTCTGCGCTCCCTCACCGAGAACCCTACGACCGGGCAGGGCTGCTACTTCAAAGGCAAACTCAACAATGAGACCCCTGGCAGGCAGTCTCTTGGCGAACAAGACGTGAAGCCCAACGAGTGGCAGAGCGACTTCCTCGTCGTGACGTTCGAACCCACAGCCCCAATTACTAGCTTGAGCGTGGGCACCGGCTGCTACCCCGGGGCAAAGATGGAGGTCGACATCAGGAGGATCACGAGGAAGAGCCAGTACATCTCGACATACGGCGAGTCCGATGACGATGATTGATGTAGGACGACGATGCATAGCGCGTTGGGCGGTGTGTATCTCATGCTTGTTAATGTCACTAACGTCACCGGATGCATGCCTTCCTCACGCTCGACTCGACTGACTGATGGTATAGATGAATCATGCGCTGCGCTGCGCCTGACTGACTGAACGTCGTACAAAATGCTTGTCCATGATCTCCTCGCTTCGCCTCGCCTCGCTTCGCCTCGCCTCGCCTCGCTACTCGCTCACACTGGCCAGCACCCCGCGCAAAGTAGGCGCCCCACCCCTCGTCGGGAGAGAGTTCACGTACTTGGCCGAAGAGAGGACCGGGCGTTTACCTTGAGGCTGAGGCTCACGCTGCTGTTTGCCCGCCTTTTCAAGCTTCGCTCCATTCTTTCTCTCCCCCTCACCACGCGGCAGCAATCTTCTCAACGCCTCAATTCGCCTGGCCTTCCCCTCCAGCTCCTCGACAGCCTCAACCACGTGATCCACAAGGATCCGCCTCTTGCGCTTATCCATGCTGTCGGGATGCATCTTCTTGACCTCATCTGCCAGCTCAGAGTAGAGAAGACGCTGATGGATGAACTCGTCGAGGTGTTGCTTGATGAGGCGATTCAGCAGTGTGAGCTGCGAGGTCGAGAGGTGGGAAGCACGACCGGCATCCTCTGCAGCGGCAGAAGCGAGCGAGTCGTCTGCGCCTGCTGCATTGGTCCCACCAAGGAAGCTGAGCAGTAGCTCCTCCTCCACGGCTCCGCTCTCCTGCCTGCGTACACTTGCTGCGATTCGTTGCTTGCGCGAGGCGCGACGCTGGTCGCTCTTGGCGCGGGTGGAGCAGACGGTGCATGTCTCGGCGTCGTGGGTGAGGTTGAGCGGTGGGGCATCGTGATGTAGCGCTTGGGGTTCGCGCTGGTCACGGGTACTCTGTAGGCCGCGGACGGTGCGGTCCACACGGGTCTCGGCGATCGTCATGTCGTCCTCCTCCTCGCCGGCGATTCGGACAGACTGTGCTGTCGGTTCCCTTCGTCTCGGCGCGGCTGGTGTGGGGCTCGAAGCTCGCTCTCTTCGCTGCTGCTGGTCCTTCGCCTGCGCTGCTATCGCTGATGCCTTTGGAGTCTCATCGCCATCCTCCTCCTCTGCATCACTGACCCGAGCTGGAGGAGGTCGCTGTGCCGCAAAGGGCGAAGTGCGCCGGGCTGGCGGCTTCGTTGGAGCTGCCTCTGCAGATGTCGCGAGAGTCTGACTCGCGGTGGTCGCCTTGCTGCCATCCACCACGCTCCTCAGCCTAGAGAGCTCGTCTTCAATACGCGCCACCTGTCGCTGAAGCAGGCGATACTCCTCCTCCGTCTGCGATGACATCAGCGGGGCGGACACTTTCGCCTGCATCACCGGCTGCTGTAGATCCGCCACGGCATCCTTGTACGCCTTCAGATCCAAGCTGAGCGCCTGCACATGACGAGCCATCTCAGCAATGTTCGCTTGCCAATGCTCAGAATCGCCGCTCCCTCCCGCGCTCCTCATCGTTTGCTGCTGCCTCACGCCCTTCCTCTCCTCACGAACCTCCCTTTCAAACTCTCTCAAGTTCCCGCGCAACTCCTGCTCCTTCTGCTCCACGCCCTCAAGCCGATCCTTCGTCGTCTCAAGCTCGTCCTCGATGCTGAGCACGAAAGCTTTGAGTTCGTTCAGCTGCTTGCGACGAGCCGGTAGTTGCCCGACGAGTGCGTTGCGTGGGTGCAGCGGAGCATGGCGGATTCCGTAGCGTGTCTTGGAGGGTGAGCCGAGCGCTGACGTCACGCCGGTGATATCATCTGGTAGCGCCAGAGGAGGTTGAGCTGTACGACCCATGTTGACGCCAGAGGGTAGGAGAAGGTTGTGTCCATCCTTCTCACTAGTCATCTTGCGATATCCGCCTGCATTCGTCGTCATGATTGGAGCGTCTACGAGCGTTTCGTTGCTCGAGTCTCCCCTGCGTGGCGCAGGCGGCGGGCTAGGGGACCGACGTCGACGAGTCGGAGGCTGGCGAAGTGGTGACGAGGCGACAGCGCGTGTCGGTCGCTCAACGATATAAGTGGGCTCGCATGAGTCGTGTCCTGCGTGCTTGCTGCTGGTGGCTGCCGCTGCTGCTCCAGCTGCCCAGCGATCAAGCCTCTCGAGTGCCCTCTCTGGCAGTCGCTGCGCCTTTCGTCGGTTGTTTGCTACGCCAATGGTCGACGATGCAGCTAGGGCGGCGTGGTTGCCTGTGGACTCGCGAGTTGCAAACCCGCGACGGTGGTCATCATCGTCGTCGGATGAGATATCAGAGGATGAAGAGGCGGCAGCATGGGGTGCGAAACGGCGGTTGGAGGGCGACGATGCCAAGTGAGTGCGGCTGCGAGGTTGAGGGGCGGGCGCTGCTGCACGACCAAATCCTGGCAGCGAGTAGTCGTTGAAATCGCCTTCAAGGTCGATTCGGTGTGGCTCTGATGAGGACGGCGGGATGGGTGGACCCCAATTTGGAGGAGCTCGCAGTGGCATGGCGATGGCGGGTAGTTGAGGTGATGAGGTAGGATGGAAAGCGGACTTAACTTAACTTGCTGCCATCCGCGAAAGCAACACCGCGTCGACTTGAGGCGGGGCGGGGCGAGTCCCGCTCCCGTGTCACGTGCGCGTTGTGAGGGATCAGGGACGACGACGACCGACAGACGACGACGACGACATCGAGATCGAGACGAGGGAGCGAGCGGCGACATTGTAGTCTAGCCGCCACCACCACCATCGCGCTACTCTATCGAGCCACACAAAGCAGCATCGATTGTCACCGCACCATCATCATCACTTCCACCCCCCAACACTCTCACCGTGTATGCTCGATCCCTCACAACATCGTCTAGCCCCTTGTTCCGTTTCCCCTTCGCCCGCATCCTCGTCGTTGGCTTAGCTCCGTCAGCTCCAGCTCCACGTCGACAATGTCCAAGAGACTGCCTGGAGGCGGACATCACCTGCATTCAGGACCAGGTGGATCGCCATTCCCGCCACTTGGTCTAGCAGCCTCAGGAGCAGCCAATCTGGCAAGAGGGCCGCCGAATGGCAGCACCAGCGGCAGCAACGAAGCTAGCGACTCAGCAGCAGCATTTCACCATGGAGCGTCGCATCGTCATGGGCGACGAGATGGTGGTGGAGCAGCATCACAACGCGAAGGCTTGCCGCCGGCTCCGTCAAAGGTGGATACGGTGGCTGCTCAGCAATGTCGACTTCAAGACGCCTATTGGTCGGATGACGAGGTGCGTGCGCGCCCCAAGGTGGCTAATCGTCCTGAACCTCCAGTATTGACCTTGTCTTCTCTCCTGATCGTCCCTCGCAGGAAGACCTCGAGTGTCCGCTCTGTCTCGAGGAGATCGACTTGAGTGATGCCAACTTCAAGCCATGTCCTTGTGGCTACCAGGTGAGCTCGCGTGACTCCACTCGCGGCAGTGGCAACCATTGACTGAGCACTCATCCCCGATGCCGCTCTTGCGCAGATCTGCCGCTTCTGCTGGCACCACATCAAGCAGAATCTCAATGGCCGATGTCCAGCATGTAGGAGAAAATACTCGGATCAAGCAGTCGAATTCAAGCCAATGAGCCAGGACGAGTGCGTAGCTCCGAGCCCTGACATACATCGATGAGACCCATAGCTGATTTCGCCCTGCCCACAGGATCAAACGCCTTACGCACGCCAAGAAGCAGAAGGAAAAGGAAAAGAAGGAGCTCGAGAATATGAATCGAAAGCATCTCGCCAACATGCGGGTGGTGCAGAAGAATCTCGTCTACGTGGTGGGACTGAGCTCCAAGCTGGCAAAGGAGGAGGTGAGTTGCCGCGCGCTAGCATACAGGCTTGCTTTCCTCAGGCTCATGCTGATACCTCTGCCATTCCTCTCGCACAGCTCATCCCGACGCTGAGGAGCAACGAGTACTTTGGCCAGTACGGCCGAATCTCCAAGATCCTCATTTCAAAGCGGACCACGGCCTCGAAGCTGGTCATGGGGACGAGCGAGTCCAACATCGTGAGTGACAGAGCGAATCTTGAACGTCACGTCTTGCTGTCGCTAATCTCGCCTGATTGCCGCACACGCAGGGCGTCTACGTCACATATCACCGCAAGGAGGACGCAGCTCGAGCGATCGTCGCCATCGACGGCAGCAAAGGGCAAGACGGTAAGATCATGCGTGCGAGCTACGGCACTACCAAGTACTGCACCACGTATCTCCGCAATCTGCCTTGCACCAACCCAGCATGCACATACCTCCACGAGCCAGGCGAAGAGGCAGACAGCTTCACAAAGGAAGACCTTAGCACATTGCGCCATGCAGCTCGCGATCTTGAGAACAAGGGGGCCGCAAGCAAGGTGTCGGCGGCAGCAGCGGCGGCCTCAGTTGCTTCTCCCTCGCCTGCTCCTTCATCCGCTCTCGCTGCCCTCTCGTCAACATCCATTGCATCACCTGCCGCGGATGAGCCATCCGCTCTGCCCAAGACGGCAAGCTGGGCTTCGGGCAAGCCGGCGGGAACCCCTTCGACGCCGACAGCTATTATTACTGGGCTGCCGGCTGCATTCAAAGACTCAGACATGCCTCCCCTCTCTGCATCGAGGAAGGCAAGCACGCCCAAGGTCCCGACTGTGAAGAACAACGGGGGTGGAGCATCAGCGTCGATACCGACTGGTCCGAGAGCAGCTACGAAAGCAGCAGCAGCCGCGGCGGCGTCGACGGCTTCTGCGGCATCCACTGCAGCAGCGACGGTCACGTCTGCGGCGACGTCAGCAGCCTCGAACCTCGTATCGGCAGCGGTGAGCGACAACAATGGCAGCGCGGCCTCTCCTGCCCCGCCACCTCCCCCCGGTCTTACCAAGACGGCAAGCAGTGCCAGCCTGCGCTCCCCGAAGCCGACATCAGCAGAGGAAGCTTCTCCGCCTACGCCGTCCACTCCTTCGCAGCAGCCCGCGCAACCTCCCCCGTCGGCGCCCCCAGGTCTAGCAAGACCGCCCGGCTTAGCCTCTACCCCGACTCACTCTGCGTCTTACCAACCGTCAGCATCCGCACAAGCTCTCCTCGACGACCTTCGTGCGCGGCGCGAAGCCGAGGCGGAGCGCGATCAGCCTGCGCCCTCTCCCTTCCCCGACTTTGACTACACGCTCAGTCGCTTCAACGATGGGTCCGAGTTCAGCTTCAACTTTCCGGGACTGCCGCAAGCGCAGGCGGCCAGCTCCTCGTCCGGCGCTCTCGCTGCCTTCGTTCCCCTCGGCGTTTCCAAGGCGAGCTTGTTCGGTAACGGAACAACTGGGGATGGGGCAGATCAAGCTGCTTCCTCCCCTTCCCTTGGCGCTTCGTCCGCTACTACGACTCCTTCCTACTCCGGATCGTTCGACCCCTTTTCCGACTCGGAGATTACGATCGGCGGAGTGGGGGCCAGTGAGACGCCGACGACATTCAAGGCTCTGGATGAGATGCGGGGCAACCTCTCTGACTCGAGAAGTAGCAGTGACGGGAGCGGCACAGGTACGGGTACAGGAGCGGGACAGTCCACTTCCTCGCCCTCGTCTTCTGCGCCTACTGCGAGCCGTTTCGACTTTGCCAAGCAGCAAGCGAGGGAGCCTTCGCCTCTTGCGGCTGGCGCGGGTTCGTACGGGAATAATGCGGAGGGGGGACCGCTCAATTTGAGCAGTAAAGACGTCTCCGGAATTCTAGGCGGGATGTTCGATCACGAAGTCGGTCACGATGGGCACGACGGAATGGGTGGTCAGCACCAGCATCAGCAGCACTATTCCCATTACTCCCACCAAGCGCATCCCGCCGGACTTCAGCACCACGCAATGCCGCACCGCGCCCCCTCCCGTGCCGCCACGCAGGCGCAAGCACAAGCTGCTCAGCAAGCTCATGTACAGCGTCACGCCGTACCTCACAGCTCTCTGCTCGGCCCGCAAGGAGGGCAGCAGCGTTGGTCCCAGCAGGGCACGCCCATGGCTACTACCCCATCCTCTGAGCCGCTACTGGCGCAGATCATGGCCGCCGCGGGTGGAGTGAGGCGCAATGCTGAGCAGATGCCCCAGCAGGGTCACCACTTTGGCGGCGGACCGGCGCCCAGGGGTTGGCATGGCCAACAGGCGCAGCAGCCCCAAGGTGGTAATGGCGGTGGTAGTAGCGGAGGGTCTGGCTTCCGTAGCGCCTACCCAGCCATGTCGTAGCGGTCGTTTCAAGCTGGTGTTTGGTCGCCTTCCTGCTTTCGTTCTTTCTCGTCTTGTCTCTGCCTCTACTCACCCTACTCACGTGTTTCACGGTTTCACACACAACCACATACAATGACAATCAGCCAGTTCCTGACGACGATGGCGATGCGCTATGATGTTTTCTTGCAGGTTGAAAGTCTATTTTGTGATTGTACGGGTATTGTACGTTGCGTATGATACGATGGAGCGACGCCGGTTGACGGCTGACGTCCATGCTGCTTACTTGCCTTGCTACACGATGATCCTGTCTGCTGAAAAGCTCTCCATCTCGCGCGTCCGCTCTCTATCGCATGACCGTCTGCGAGTAATCGTACCTAGTGTAGAACTTCTCCGAGTCACTCTCAACCACGGCATCCTTACCCAGCCCCTTCCTCGCGCCACGCTGCTTCCCCTTGTCACCGGCAGCGGCCTCTCTTTCCTCGCGCAGCTTACGGTCGGCACGCAACCAGTCCAGCGCGATGTTGAGTAGGACGCCATCCTTGCTGTCGCGAGCAGCCGAAGCGGACGAGCTGCGAAGGCGTTGCATGTCGCTATCGCTAGGAGGCCAGAGAAGGGAAGGAGCAGCCTGAGCGTTGGGCCCGCTCTCGTCGACCACTTCTCCCAATCGCATGTGTACGACGTGGCTAGGGAAATCGTGCAACCCGTCGAAGATGTGCGTTGCGTACACGATTGTCGCACCGCGCTCTTCTGCCTCCTCCTTGAGGAAGGCCAGGAGGTCGCTCCTTACTTGAACATCCAAGTCGACCGTCACCTCGTCCAGCAACAGGACGGTCCAGGGGGCCATTAGACCCATGCAAAGCTGAACGCGTCGTCGCTCCCCGTCGGAGATGGCGTGCATATGCCAGTCGAGATCGACGTCCAGCAGGTCAAGCAGCCTGTCGCGCCTTGCCTTGTATCGGTAACCACCGACAGAGTTGAGGAAGTCATCCACGACGATGTCTGAGCGGACGACGGGGTTCATCGCCCATTCGGTGCCCAGGTAGGTGATGCCCGAGGGAGGGGAGTTGAAGACGTCCCTGTCGAACACCGTGATCGGGGTAGGGGTGCCAGACTTGTTTGATACGAGCCTCTTGCCTGCTAGGAGACGGAGCAAGGTGGACTTGCCTGCTCCGTTGGCGCCGATGAGAAGGGTGCGCGAGCCTTGCGGGAGGGTGAGATTGATATTGTGTAGAGAAGCGGGAAGGTGTGGTTGGAAGGAGTAGGTGAGGTTGCGCACCGAGATGGCTGTTGCGGCTGAGGAGAAGTCCGGGCGCGAAGGGGTCGAGCCGTTGGACGACCACGCCCAGTAGCCTTGGCGACCGCGTAGCTTCGCCTCCATTTTGCCCACGGCAGCGAGCGTGGCCTTGCCCCAGTCACCGCCGTGCTCGGCGTCGACCTCCTTCTGGTGGAGGACGTAGAGCAAGTCGAGCCCCTTTTCGGTAATGAACCCGCTCTTGGCCGCTGACTGGACGAGCTGCTCTAGCGGACCCCAGAAGTCCCTCACATTCGGCAGGACAATCGGCACATTGTGAATACCCAACTGGCTCCAAGTCACCATTTCCAGCACCTCCTCAAAGGTCCCATATCCGCCGGGCAGGCCTACAAAACCGCGGCCAGACTCGCGGGCCATGAGGGCTTTGCGCTCGTGCATGGAGGACACAACTTCCGTATGCATGTTAGGGTGTGTGTGGACTTGCGTTGAGGGACCTTGACCTTCTTTGGAGGCGGAAGAGTCCGTTGGATGGCCAGAGGGAGCGGAACTGGTCATTACGGAGGGAATGACGCCGAGGACCTGGCCATTGGACGCGAGAGCTGAGTCGGCGAGGATGCCCATGCTGGCATGCGATGAACGGGAAAGCGCATCAGTTTCGGCGCTGCGAATGACCCAATAGATCTACGCCCACTCACAGCCCCTTTTGACCACCACCGTAGACCATTCTCCAGCCATTCTGAGCGATGGCGCGTCCTACATCTCCGGCCAGCTGCGCATACGCGGGGTCATTTCCCGGCGATGAGCCGCAGAAGACACAGAGGGAGTCCGCGGCTGCGAGCGAAGCGCTTGACGAGGCGGGAGCAGCCATTGAGCTTTCGAGCTTGGTATTGTTGAGTTGGGGCGAGAAGAAAGTACAACGGCGTCGCGACGCCGAGCTGATTAAGCAGTGCTTCTGGCGCAGGCCCGCACCCGGACTCATTGGTGCTCCGCTGCCTGCCGCCTCCACGCTTGATCCGCACTGTACGATCGATTAGGGCCGAGCGGACTGCAAGGCCAAGCCGGCCAAAGCGGCAAGGCGTGGCGCGGATGGCCAGAGAAACACAGAGCAACCAGAGAGCGAAAGGGGGAGAGGAATCAGCACTCCTCACCATCCTGGCCATCACTCGATCACCTCGCAATCATGCCCGATTCACCACCTCGCCCACCTCCTACTGAGGGCGAGGAGCATCCAGTGCAAGGCAGCAACGAGGCTAGCAGCTCCAGCTCGGCCTCGTCGTCATCAATGCCCTTGCATAGGGTGACTCAGCGCCAACGACTCAACGATGGCACCTACAAGGACGTCAGTCCTCAGCATACACAGCACCAAGACGACGACAGGCCACGATCTGCACCCTCGTCGCCACCAGCATCAGCATCAGCATCAGCCTCGACGTCTGGGTCCTCGCCACCACGACAGCGTCAACCTCCCCTCTCATCCTCAGCATGGTCATCTCTGCAAGATCGATTGCCACCTAGCGTCCCGCAGCGAGCGCCCCAGCAGACAAGCCCAAACCAGGCACTGCCTTTCTTCCCCGTGCTCGGAAGCTCGCGCACAAGCACCAGCGCCGAAAGCGCCGCCAGTGGCAGCTCTGCTAGCTCCAGCCCTCGCCGCGCCTTCCTCCCTCTGCCAAGGCGGATGCTCCCACCCGGCCTTGGCTTGCCCGTCCCTCCTCCTCATTTCGCCCAACAAGCAGCTGCCGGATCAGGACCAACAGACATCTTCTCTCGCCCCTCCGCCGGTGGTGGCGGCCCAACCCCCAGCATTCCCTCTCTCGGACGCTCTTCACAAGAAGGCCTACGGCCCCCACTTATCCTCCCAGCACCAAGTACGGTCATCCCGACTCCGCGTGGATTGCTGCCCGCGCCAGGGTCGACATTGGCTGCGCTACTCACGGACATACTTGGAATAGGCAGTAGGCGGGCAGCTACCGGCGTGAGGGAGGCGAATCATGATGTTGCCCCGACGCCGCCTACGCCACTGGGCGGGACACAGATTGTTGTGCAGGGGGCAATGATTTCTAGGCCATTGCCGGGAGCGGCAGCTGGAGCAACAGCTGAAGCAGCACCGCAGACGACGGCAGAAAGCTCTACAGGTCCGCAACCTGCTTCGGCATCAGCGGAATCCTCCGGCTCAGCGCAGAACACAAACTCATTCGCCGACCAAGCCGCGCCTAGCACCTCCGCGGGGGGCGATACGACTCGCAGCGGTGGCGAGACCGATGACGGCCCTGCCGAAACGAGCAGAGGCACGATGCTCGCGACAATGGACGAGCAGGCTAATATGCTCACCCGTCTTCTATCGATCGCCGCGGCTGCGACGGCCGCTTCGCTCATCTTGAACGGCAGCCAACGCACTCCGACAGATGGGGCTGCGCAACAAGGAGCGGCAGCAGCGGCGACAGGACAGTCTACGACGGCTCCAGCTACGATGCAAGCACCGTCTTCTTCCTCAAGCCCTGCGCAGAGGGACAGCGATCGTCCCTTCCTCCTCCCTGGTCTCCGCGTCCCCCGTTCTTTCAGCTCTATTGCCTCTCGCTTCCGCAACTGGACATCACGCCGCGGCTCCTCCCCTGCTGCGCGGTCGCCGACCCCCTCTCAGTCCGCTCGTCAGCCTGGCACTGAGGAAGAAGCTGAAGTGGAACGTCACATCGGCTCCAGCAGCAGCACGGCCCAACCCGTACCCGAAAGGGTGGCGAGCATGGCGCAACGTCACCCTGAGATGACTTTGAGCGAGATGATTCATGAGGCTATCAGGGAGGAGAGCAGAAGGCATGAGAATGCGGGCGGCGAAACGGATGCAGAGCAGGCAGGCGAGGCAGAGGACGAGGGGCGCGAAGCGACAGAGGAGGAGTTGACGGCTACTGCTACTGCCGCGGCCGAGGCTGCCGCAGACGGCGTACGCAATGAGGACCGAATGGACACGGATCCCCCTACTGCCCCAGCGGCCACGGCCGAGCCTGAGTCAGAGGCGGAGTCGCAACCACAACCAGCAACAGCTCCCACGCTTCCCGAGCACCTGCAGAACGTGCTGCGCTCTGTGAGGGAAAACAGGCTTCATCCTGGCTCGGAGGGTTCATTCGAGCGCTGGCTTACGGATTTGGGTGGGGATCTCGTGTCGGCGGTCAGGGGAATGCATGGCGGGAGCGAAGCGTCTTCGACATCGTCAGCGACGCAGGCAGCATTGGCATCCGCAACGTCATCTACCACCGCATCTGGTCCCACTACCACCGCGCCTGCCGGGGAGCAATCGACCGATCCGTCTCCGCCCGCTCCGACGCCTGCACCAGCCGCAGAGTCAGCAGATACCATCCAGCCCTCCTTGCTCCCCTCTTCAGGCTTAGAGGAGCGACGCCGCGAATGGCAACAAGCAGCGCGTCGTGCGGCAGACGTGGAGAGCGGGAACCTCAGTTTCTTCCGACTGTTCAGGTTCGACGAGGCGACGGATGCCAGTCAAAGGCGGACGGACACCGCTGCTGCAGGAAGTGGAAGCAGCGATGCTGGCGCTCATGAGGGGAGCAATGCTGCTGAAGGCCAGGGGCAGAGAGATGGCACCGCGGCGCCGCTTGTCCCCACGGTCGTGGTGGGCGTCAGATCCAACTTTACGCCTCCAGCCGGAGCGGCCCAAGCTGCGGCGCAGGACGGCGTCAACGGCACTACGCAGCCCGAGACGGCCCAATCGCAACCGCCGCAAAGCACTAATGACGCCAACACCACCTCAGCGTCGGGCGCCCCATCCGGCTCGCCACCGAGCAACCCCCTCCCCACGCCAGGGTCAGCTCCCCGATTCCTCCTCTTCGTCTCTGGCGGTCACTATTCCCCTTCCCATCCCCTTCTCTCCGCCCCTCGATCCCTCGCTGCGCGGGAATTCCTCATGCTTATGGAGGTCTTGGCGAACATCAATGGCGGCGGAGCGGGGATGGGTCCGGGCGGAAAGGCGAAGGACACGATTAGTAAGGAAGAGCTGGAGAAGCATGCGGCCGGTGTGAGAACTTGGAGTGAGATCAAGGAGAAGAGCGTGGGACAGGATGCTGAGCCGGGCGCTACCACAACCACTACCGCTGGTGCTCCCTCGCCCTCGTCCACTAGCATGAAGGAAACGCCGACTCTCGCCCTTCGAGCAGGTGATCGATGCGGGATTTGCCTAGAGGAGTGGGCGGACGAAGATCGATGCCGCGTATTGGAGGGGTGCAGGCACGTCTATCACCAGGGTTGCGTGGACGAGTGGCTGATGGGGAGCAGTAATACCTGCCCGTTGTGTAGGGAGGTTGGAGTCAAGATCGAGAGAAGTCCAACAGGGCAAGCAGCAAGCGGGAGCGGTGGATAGGCGACATATGGCTCTCGGCATTAGAGATACGCGACTCGACATGCGAAACATTAGGCAGGATTACACTGAAGCATCTGTATCATTTTCCCTTCTCCCTCATTCTCATCGAATCGATCTCCCTTCCCTCCCAATCGAGTCCCAATTGGCTGCTCGTCGTAACATCAGGTCGGCCTACCCAATCCAAGTCAAGAGAGCTAGCTCCATATTGGGCGCAGTAGCCAAGGATCGAGGCTTACTCTTACCCTCACCCTCTCGAGGTGCTGCTGACCTGACATTGGCCTTCGGCTTTGTCTGCTTGCCCGTGTCGACAGATGAAGGAGATTTTGAAGCGCTGATCGCCGAGGGCAACGACGACGCCGATGTCCACGCCTTTGGGGAGAGGCTCTTTGGGACGAGTTTGAATGGTTTTGCCTTCACACGGCTAGGTGACCTTGGTGGCCTTTGTGAAGCCGCCGCCGCCGCCGCTGCTGCTGCCAAGTCCGAGGAGTTAGGTAAGGCCAGAGGAGCGGGAGCTCGAGCAGGAGGAGCATGGCCGGGTGAAGTAAAGCTCGCCGCAGTCGGAGTCCGGCAGGATCGAGCGGCTGAAGTTGGAGGCAGCGAAGTATCCTGCTCCTCTTCCACCGACGCAGTCTGCCTGCAGAAAGGCACATCATCCGTAGTTGGCCATGCGGCAGTATCTCTGCTCTGGGTCTGACTCATCGTCGAGCCTAGCGACATGAAGCTCGATACCCCCTTCCTGCCGGTACCGCCAGGTCCCCCTTGCTGCTCTTCATCGGCTGTCAAGAAGAAGTCACCCGTGTAGGAAGGCCAGTCTTGTGCTAGGTTCTCTAGGTCGGCCAGCGCGAGCTGAGGGGCGCCGAAGTACCCTGCGGTGGATGGGTGGGAGGAGGCAATGGAGGGGGTAGGAGACACGATTGGCGGAGTGGAGAGAGCGAGGGGTGGGGACAGGAGTGGTGGTGGAGCTGCTATTGAGGAGCTCGCGAGGGCCGTTTCGGTAGCCAAAGATGCTGACTGTACGGGTGTCGAGGGCGAGGGAGGTGTCATTGAGAAATGACTCGAGGGGGGGACAAAGCCAGCGGGCAGTGTTGGTAAAACGCTGCGCATCCTCAACCCGCGTGGAGGCCAGGTGCCCGATGCTGATTCAAGACCGTAGCTGCCCGTTCTGGTTGGCGTGGTAGGCGTGACAGGTGGGGAACAAGATTCGGCGCCACTGTACGGGTGTGCTGACCGTGGCTCGATTTCGTTGGAGCTGGCTTTGGCATGAGACTCATGGCTGGTTTGACCCTCCTCTCTATGCTCACTCCTTGGCCTGATGAAGTCTAGCAACTTGAGAGGACCTCCTGCCGCAATAGGAGGCAGAACGGGTGACAATGGCGCTGTTCGTGGCCTGAGTGGGGGTACCACGTCCTTCAGGCTCGGTGAGGGCAGGAGTGGCAGCGCAATGGTTGGCGGTGGGGGCTGCGGCGGCGGTGACGCACACCGGAGTGGACTTTTGCGTGGGCTAGACGTCACCGAAGACACAGGCGAGACTGCCTTCCCGGCGATGGAGGGCGAGGTGCGAGTGCCTGTCCCCGCGGACGAGGGCTCCGCCCTGCCGACGGTCGACATGGTAGGCGCCCTCGGTGCAGGAGGCGTCAATACGAGCATCGGTGGCCGAACTTTGCTTCGTGGCGCCAGAGAGGCAGACTTGTAAGGAAGGGAAAAGCTGCCTATCCGACCCAGTGACTTCTGGTCGTGGCCCGAACTAACGCGGGGCTGGTGTTGCTGCTTCGTAGTCTTGCGGCCCAAGACCAGTGCGCCTGCACTCTTGACGTTGCGTAGGGTCCGAGGCTTTGATGACGTTTTCGGCGTCGTTGTGGCCTTCGCTGGCGTAGCCACATCTTCATAGGACTTCGTAGGCGAAGGGTGCATGTTGCCGTCCTCGCTACGATTTGCAGGCTGCTCTGCCAACGACTGCAGTGAGGGTCGAGGCAGCGACGTGGTCCTCGAAGGCGTCTGAGGCGCCAAAACTGCGGTGGCAGCTCTGTCCCTTTCTGCCGCTTTGCTTGGCTTGCTCTTGAGATTGAGGATCAGACCGAGGCTGGAGTCTTCACTCATGGCAATGCTTGGACGTCGCCGGGTCGAGGGTGTTGAGGCCACAGAGCTGCTAACGATTTCCGTAGGCGAGCTTTGGTCCAAGCTTGACGCAGAGCTTTGGAAGTGTGGCAGATTCATGATCTGGCTCGCCCTTCGCTGGAGGCTTGGCCTTCGTGTAGATGCGCTCGCAAAGGTCGCCGATTGAGGACTCCTGGCTACCCACTTACCCACGTTGGAGCGGGCCAGGCTCATGTCTTCCTCGAACAGCTCGACGGTATCATTGCGTGGGACCAGAGGGTCTTCGAGCAGTACTAGAGGAGCAACTGCCGCCTTTCGTAGCAGCATGCTCCGCCTCGCAGCAAGACCACCGGCCCGTAAAGCCAAGGTGTTTGTGCCGGCGTATGGATGGCGTTGCCGGGCGAAACGTTGGGTTGTTGGTGGGGCCGAGGAGGGCGGTGAGGACGAGGACATCTTGTGAGACAGATGCGCTGATGGGATCGTAAGCAAGGACCAATCCATTGGGCTGCTCAACGGGTATCGCTCGTCGGCCCCTTGATAGGAGACGGTCATGATTCGATGTCACGGTGAGCCCTAAGCACGGTCCTCTTTCAGACGCCCATCAGGGGTCCCAGCCATGAAGGGGCCAGGAAGGACGCATCCGACGTCATGAGCCACGCGCGCGCTCTGGCACGATCAGATCTGATCGAGCTTCTGTCCCTCTCGAAGCCGTCATCCAGCTCTTCGTCATGGGCTCATGGCGGTACATCGCCATGAAGTACGACGCTGCCCCGCGGACACTCGGACTTTTTTCCCCTCTCGCTCTCCCTTGCATTGGCGTCAACGTCGCGTCGCAGCGATCGGGCGAGCGGAGCGGCGGGCACGCGGAGCACGCGGACGGGACCTGCAGTCGGTTACCTGACGACGCCAGAGTGTCCTTTTGGCCCAACGACGTTGCTTTCTCCCTTTGTCCTTGCTTAATCACCCAGCCTGCAGCAATCACATCACGCTGCGGGGCCGAGTGCCTCCTTCATCCCGCTCACTATGTCGTCGACGACACCAACGTCGCCTGGCTTCCCACTGGGTGCTGCGACTGCTGGTGGATACGACGCAGCATCATCATCATCATCGCAGCAGCCCTCGGTTCCCCTAGCCAGCCCAAGAGCGATGGCACTCGCAGCTTCCAGCTCGCGGCCTGTTACGCCTATTGGCGGCCATGCCTCCCTCACTACGCCCTCTACGCCAGGCAGCTTGGGCGCAACAACGCCCGGCGGCAGCACGGGAGGCGTTGCTATCGAAGAAGTCAAGCGCTGGGTGGACGCAGACGTCTCAGCCTGGCTTACCTCGCACCGCTTGGGCCAGCATTCAGCCACATTCGCAAAGAATGACATCACAGGTCATGTCCTGCTCGATGTCGACCAGAATGCTCTCAAAGAGATGGGCATCACGGCAGTCGGGGATCGTATCCGCATCTTCTCGGCCATCAAGGCCTTGAAGAAGCAATGCATTCAGACGGCGCAGATGGCACAGTCGGCGCGTAATGCTGCACTCGCCAGGCAGGCTCGAATCTTGGCCCAGCAGGAGGGAGAGATGGAGACGCTTTCCAACTCTGGGTCAGACACCAGCCGTCCTCGTCCACCTCCCCTGCGGCTGTCTGGATCAGCGGCATCCAACGTCCCGGCTACTCCACCCTATCCAAGTCCATCGAGCCAGCATGGCCTTGGCCTGGGCTTATCTCAGGCTCGCGGACTCACGCCAGGCAACCGCCAACCGAATCCGGCCAATGTGGGCCAAGGCCGTAGCCCTGTTCCCGCAACGATGCAGCCCTCTTCTCTCACCTCGACCTCAGCGTCCTCATCCCCTCAGATGACGCATCGCAAAACCAACTCAGCCGTACCAGGTACGTTTGCCCAGCGCAATCCTTCCTCGACTGTTCAACAACGCCCTTTCGGCAGCTACGGCGGCACGACTTCTGCAGGGTCTAACGGCAGACCCGCCACAGCAGGAGGGACGTACAGCGGCGGCGGAGGGCAGCATGCTCACGCTCACGCAGTCAAGGTCGGTCAATATGGCGCCCCAGTCTCTTCAAGTCCTACGAGCTCTACTTTCGGCCCTTCCGCAAGTACTCGCTCCGTACGGCCCGAGACGGCGGATGCGGCCCTGACTCCCATTACAGAGAACATCGACTCCTACTCGCCCTCCACGCCCAGTGCCTCCAACTTTCACATCGGGCGCGGCGGCAAGGCAGGGGCAGGGTCCACTGCTAGTTTGACGGCCAGCCCTGCCCCGCCCACGCTGGAAGACCTGAAGCGAAGGACGATCAAGTTCATTGGGGATGATGGTACGACTCGCATCGTCAACGTCTCCGACTGTAGAGACGCGCACGACGTCCTTGCTCGCGTGCTTCGCAAGTTCGGCAAGTCAGCAAGCGCCAACTCCTATCCTCCCACACTCGGCCAATCACTAGCTTCCCCCTCGGACGCCGAGCACGCCACAGGCGAGAAGTACGTCATAGTAGCTACGAACGGGGAAGGAGCCACACGTGACTTGAAGCCGGAGGAGCTCCTCGCCATCTGCCATGCCCCTCAGCCCTATGACCCACTGCGAGAACGTGGATTGAGCCTACGGCGCATCCCACCAGGCGGGGCGAGTCAAGACGGTTCGACTTCGTCGCGGCGCATCGCTCGTGCTGGGCGGAATAAGCTCGAAGCCTTCTTTGGAGAGAGGGTGCAGGATGGCTCTCCAGGGCAGAATGCAGCCTTCCTGGCTGACGACCCGCACAATGATGCTGGTCATGTGACCACAGCGGGGAAGAAGATGAATCGCGCCTCTACGGTGTCCATCATGAGCGGCTTGGGAGCGGGGGCGTTGCAGACTATCAGGCGCGGCGAAGCTGGCGGTAGCAATAGCGGTCATGGCAGCGGTGTTGCTGGTCCGTCTGCAGCAAGCGGCAGTGCACGCAGCAAGGCACCTTCATCAGACACGGCCTCCACCAACACCAACATGTCGCTGCCCCGTCGCGCCCGCAACTTTATGGGGCAACGTCCTCCATCCGAGCTGATCTCGTCGCACCTGGCAGACTATTTCCCTGCTACAGAGAAGAAGGTGCTAGAGCGAACGGCGAGACGCTCGATCTACGGTCGTGCCTCCTCCTCCATACGATCCAGCAAACGCGACTCTACCTGGTCCTTCGCCGGGGCGAGCAAAGACGACGAAGAGCCCCCGCCCCTTCCGACCAAGGGAGATGATACGGCCACGATTGCCTCTCGCAGCACAACGCTCGATGTACCCGACTTGGCGATAAGTCGACCGCGGAACGTCAGGCGTATCTCCTCCGGCCGGGCGTCAATCGACTCGTCGCGCAGCCACACCAACCATCGGCCCTCCTACGCCTCACAGCTGCGCGCTGCGCGTGGTCTGACCACCTCGGGAAGCGGGGCAGGGACGACCGGTTCTGCGTCCCTCGTCGACAGGAGCGATGCGGCTTCTATGCTGACGGTGGACGAGATCACGCAGGAGGTGGAGAGCCGACGAGAGAGCAGAGATGTGCGCGATACTGCGGCACAAGGTTCAGGCGCAGGTGGTATGGCGGGATGGGTAGTCGATGAGGATGGGGTGCCGATCCCCCTCGCCGGTACAAGGACAAGAGGGGCGAAGCGCAAGTCGACCGTTGCGTCCAGCATGGTCACAGGCGGGGATGTGGCGAGTATGGTCACGGTGGAGGAGGATGACTCGACACGGCCCAGCTCGGGGATTAATAGCGACGCCAGTAGCGGGGCTGAGGCTAGCGAGACGGGGGATACGGTCGCCTCGAGCAAGGATACTACCTCGATACCAGCGCCAGCCAATGTTGTGCTCGACAGGCCCAGCCCAGCAGTCGGAACCACACCAGGAGATGAGGACGAGGACGAAGAGGACGACAGCTTCGATGAGGATGACGAACTCGACGACGAGGACGACGATGAAGACGAAGACGATGAAGATGCCACAGCAGAGAGCGACACCCCGGCCGCGCCCGCCAAACAGCCCATCAAATGGATCAAAGGCGCTCTCATCGGCGCTGGGTCCTTCGGGTCTGTGTACCTAGGCATGAACGCCAAGTCCGGCCTTCTCATGGCGGTCAAGCAAGTCGAGCTCCCTTCTGGCCAATCGCAGAACGATCAAAAGAAGAAGCGCATGCTCGACGCCTTGGAAGGTGAGATCGAGCTGCTCAAGACGCTGCAACACGACAACATCGTGCAATACCTCGACTCCTACGGTGATGGGACGCACCTCAATATTTTCCTCGAGTACGTTCCCGGTGGGTCTGTGGTCGCTCTGCTGCGTAATTACGGGGCATTTGAGGAGCCCCTGGTGCGCAACTTTGTCAAGCAGATCTTGAAAGGTCTCAATTTCCTCCACAACAAGGACATTGTACATCGCGACATCAAAGGGGCGAACATCCTTGTTGACAACAAGTCCTGCATCAAGATCTCCGACTTCGGCATCAGCAAGAAGGTCGAGTCCGACCTCCTGGCCAACGCGAGGGCGCACCGGCCCAGTCTGCAGGGCTCCGTCTTCTGGATGGCGCCGGAGGTGGTCAAGCAGACCAGCTACACGCGCAAGGCCGACATCTGGTCTCTTGGATGCTTGGTCGTTGAGATGATGAGCGGTACCCATCCCTGGCCTAATTTGAATCAGATGCAGGCGCTATTCAAGATTGGATCGAGTAGCAAACCAAGCATGCCAGATGAGATCAGTAAGGAGGCCGTCGACTTTCTCGAAAAGACCTTCGAGATTGACCATGAGAAGCGACCGGAGGCAGAAGAGCTGCTCTCGCATGCTTTCATTACTGCGGAAGAGGGGGGAGGCACGAGTGGGGAAGCGACGGTCGGCGAGTCGACCTTGGAGGGCAGCGGAAGCGCGAGCGGTGGCGGGAGCACCATTGAGACGGGTGATTCAGCGCTCACAGAGGGGAGCACGAAGGTGAAAACGAGAGCGAAGAGGGCTGCACGCGAGGCAGCAGCAGCGGCTGCAGCCACAGGAGGCGTCAAGTGAAGTTGAGAGATCCGAGCGATAAACGCCGAGGGGCTCGAGCGTATCAGACCCGCCCCTGAACTGCCACCTCCAGTCAAGATGTCCGCGTCTACGCATCCTTCCTCCCGACCATAACCGCTATGCTGACCTTCCTCAAGGCGTCCACCGACAGCGAGCGTCCAGCATCAAAGGGCGCTGTGTCATCAGCAGCGCAACACCCTGCTCAGCTCTCCTTCTTCGTCGTCGTCGGTCTTGCCGGTCTCCTCCTCGCCTTCAAGCAGCGCCGTGTATGGCTAGGCTGGTTCCGTCGCCCAAAGCCGAAAGGAGGACGAGGATTCGGGCGTCCCGGTCGGGGTGAGGCTGCTTCAGGTAGCATCTTGCGCAGCGCGAGCAGCGGTTCCAGTCGATGGGGCAGCCAGCGTACTAGCACACCGCCTCGCAGTCCGATGCGTGCTCCCTCGTCACCAAAGGTGAAGAACCTGTTGGGTCTTGGAGTCAATAAGACACCTTCTCCCACGGGCAGCGCAAACGGGAGCCGGTCGCCCTCGCCGCTCTTCTTTACTGCGTTGCGCGGCATGGAGGGGAAAGACAAGGAGAAGGAGAAGCTCAAGACGAGTGCCAAGCCCACGCCGCCAAAGACCCCCGCGCCTACTGCTGTCAATGGCTCTTCGATCATTCTACCTGGTGTGAGTGGCGCAGTAGTGCTCTCCACGGTAATTTGCGAAGCTGACCCCAAGTGCGGCCCTAACAGAGCTTCTCTGCCACGAAGCGCGTTGAGACCTCGTCGTCTTCTTCGGCGCCGTCAACACGTCCGCCCTCACCGCCATCGATCAAGGTCAAGTCAGACAAGAGGCTGAGCGGTGAATCTTTCAAAGCGAAGCTGAAGCAGGCGCTCAAGAAGGATAAGTCAGCATAGAGGTGGTGGTCAAGATGGAGTGGTGAACGAGCTTGCGTGAGGATTGGCAGTGTTGGGAGGAAAGGAGGCCAGGACGCCAAACACGAGGTCCGTGCGGGCCGCCCTCATCAGATGCGGCTCGGTCCGCCGCTCGATGGTTCCTTGAATCCATCTTTGCTCCTCATCTCTTCTTGCCTACGACATCCAGCATTCTACTCTCCCGCAATGCACCTCTTCACGCCTGCACTAGCTGTCGCTTGCTTGCTCTCCCTCTTGACCAGCCTCATCGCGGCCAATCGCGGGCCTGAGCTCCCCTCGTACCAAGAGCTCCTCTTCGACAAACAGCTCGGCACAGGAGACACGGGCCTCTCACGCTATGCCACTAGCATGTTAGCAGCAGAGATGCGCAACATGACGCTCGACTACTATTGTCGCCAGTCGAGAGCTTACAATTGTCTCTAGTACGTCCGCCGCGCTAAGGCCGTTCCCTTGGCACACCCGCCTTGCACTGATCTCCTTGGCCCTCTCTCCCTCCGCAGCATCATCGGCGGCCCCAACATTCTAGACCCGATCCTGACGCCACGCCGGGGGAACGTCTTCTATTCTACTGCCTTCAACAGTAGCAAGACGGGCAAGCCGATCGGCACGGGTTATGCCCTTTCCCCTATCAGTAAGGGGGAGCTGTACGCGGACTGTGCGGGGAAGGATACGACGCGGTTTACGGACAAGTTGATGTTTGATTTCAGCCCAGGTCAGGCCGGAGTCAGTGTGGAGCGTTTTGGCAGTGGGGATGGGAGGGGCGGCGGGTACCTCTCGGTGCGTGGGGTTGAATAGCGCGGGCAAAGGGACAGTGTAGCTGACCATCACCACCCGGCGGACATTCCTGGCAGGGCTACCTCTCGGACGACAAGAGCGATAGGGTGAGCCCGCTCGCTCGTCTCGCACAAGGTTCATCGCACGTCGCTGACATGCATTGACTACTGCCTCTCCTTGTTCTCTTAGCTCATCCCAGGCCACGACTCGATCCAGCACATCGGCAATGGATTGGACCTCTGGATCCGCTGCGTCGATCCCAGCGATCGTGGCATACAGGACGTGACCGAGGCTGATATCGTCGAGCCAAGGCTTGAATCGTGAGCCGCGCGAGACAGAGAAGGGAGACGGCCGGCAATACAGGGCCTAAGGGCGCTTGCAATTAGCTTCGTTCTCGAACGTCCATGATCAGCGGTGTTCGGCCGCAGGACGGCCCGTAAGTGAGCCGTGGCGCGCCAGCGTCGGGGCATTGAATGGGTCGCGGGGGCGAGGGCAGCGTGGGCGTGTGAAGTGTCTTGACCCAGCCTCTTCCTCCCTTTTCCTTTCTCTTCACCCTCGACCCTCAATACCACTGCATCCCAATCCCTCCAACCGCGCCTGACACTTTATCATCCCTTCATCCCCCACGCTCATTATCGCGAACATGCTTGCCACTAAGACCCTCCTCAGCATCATCGTCGGCGCCGTGCTCTTCTGCGCTACGAGTGCCGTCGCTGACCTTGCCAAGCAGCGCGAGTTCACTGCGACGCACAAGGCCGCCGGAGCTGATGTCGCTGCTCGCGGCGTCCCCCAATGGGAGCAGTGGTGCGGCAAGGACAAGAGTGTCCACTGCCTAAGGTGAGCGCGCGCACGCAGCTTCACGCCATTCTTGTTCTGCTTCACTACTGATATACCAGTCTTTTGACGCCCCACCAGCATCTACGGTACCACCCTCACCGGTCCTCAATTCGACCACTACGCCGGCCAAATCCTCGCCAGCAAGTCCATCCCCGGTGGACACATCTACGCGATCAAGACTGGGTCCAGCTTGCACGTCCGAGCCGACTGTGATTCTCATGACGTGTACCACAAGGAGTCGAGCATCGCCTGGGTCTACTTCGGCAAGCATACGAGCGTCACTGTGCACCATCAAAAGGAAGGGAGGAAGACCGGCGTTCTGACTGGTGATTTGATGGACAAGCCCAAGGCTCCCAAGGTGAGTCACGTCGGTCGCTTGCAGGCTCTCGCTCACCATCACACCCCCTCATGGTTGCGCACGCAGCTCAAATCTGACCGCATGCTCCAGTCCTGGTATCCTGGCGTTGACCTGCAACTGTACTGCGCCAGCAAGGTCGAGTGAATGACACCGCAAAAGCCTGACCGTCTTACGCGCTCCGATGAAAGGACCACGGGATCGCTGGACGGCCCCCGAGCCTTGTGTTTCGTCTTTACTTCTACTTGCCGCGCTGCTGGACACTTGTCTGCTTCGTTCGTCTCCGATAATGATTATATGACCTGTTGCCTGCCTTCCATGCCGTCGTGATGTTGAGCTTGACCAGTGTGGCACGAGAAGCTGTCCTCGTTCTCACCGTCTCGGCGCCTTTCTAAGTTGACTCGGCTCGTCTGGCTGCAGAGCGGAACCACCGGTGCTCGCTTTCAGTCCGCCTTGCCCGCCTGCATTCCTGCTTCCTTCCCATCACCTCCTCTCACCCTCATTCCAGCATGGCCACCACCTCCTCTAACAGCAGCGGTACTACGACCCCTGCTATGCAGCAGGGCGACGGCGGGTATGGTCTCGCCGTCATTGGTTGCGGTACCATGGGTATCGCGGTCCTCTCCGGCATTTTAGACACGCAGCGCTCCCTCTCATCGTCGGGCGGCAGGCAAGCCGCACTGGACAATCTCAGCCAATCGGTGGAGAGCATTGACAACCCTGAGGATCTCACACACCTCCCCACACGCTACTACGCATGTGTCTCCCGCCCCGAATCGGGCAAACGTCTTCGTCGCGACGTATTCTCCGAGAACGAGTGGCCGCAAGTCCAGGTTGTGGTCGGAGAGAACGTGAGGGCGGCGAGGGAGGCTGATGTGGTTATGCTTGGTTGCAAGCCGAACATGGTGGAGGATATCTTGAAGGAGGAGGGTATGCATGAGGCTTTGAGGGGGAAGATGCTTGTGAGCATCTGTGCTGGGCTGCGGATTGAGCAGATGCAGGGCTGGGTTGGAAAAGAGACGACGGTCATTAGAGCGATGCCAAATACGCCAAGCAAGGTGAGTTTAGAGGCAGCTGTTGCAGGTTCGCTTTTCTTATGCTGATAGGCAGTCTCTCCTCATCGTGCCTCTCTTGCCCAGATTCGCGAAGGCATGACCATCCTCTCCCCGGTCCCCTCCTCTTCCCCTCCCATCTCCTCGCACATCCTCCTCTCCCTCTTCTCCTCCATCGGTCGCTGTCGCTTCCTCCCCGAGAAGCACTTTGATGCTTGCACGGCTCTTGCGGGCTCTGGTCCTGCATTCGCCTGCGTCTTCCTCGAGGCGATGGCAGACGGAGCGGTCATGATGGGTTTGCCCCGCAAAGAGGCAGTTGAGCTCGCGGCGCAGACCATGCAGGGGGCGGCGAGGATGGTGCTGCAGAGTGGTAGTCACCCGGCGCAGATCAAGGATAGTGTGACCACCCCTGGTGGGTGCACCATTGCGGGCTTGTTGGCGCTCGAGGATGGGAAGGTCAGGAGTACCGTCGCGAGGACTATTCAAGCTGCGGCGGAGCATGCGGCTGGGCTGGGCCAGAAGAAGTAGTTGCACGGGCAGAGGCAAGATGAGATAGATGGGGTATCCTCGATAATGTACAATGGCTGCGAGCCGCTTCCTGTATCCGTCTGGCACGAGCGCTTCGTTAGACCTTCCTCGTCCTCTCGTAGACGACCTTCGGCTTCCGGCCGCGATACAAGGCCACCAATCTCCTCTCCTCCGTCCATTCATCCTTCGTTTTGCCCTCAGTCAACGTCGTCTCAAACACCAAGGCAGACTGCGCTCCTCCGTACGCCCTGCTGATACCTGTATCGATGAGGTGCACGCTAGGAGGCTCGCAGCGATGCACGAACCCCTCGAGATGCGGCGTGTGACCCATAACAAGGTAGTCGACAGAGACATCTGGCTGGTCTTGGGCGAGGAAACGTCGAGCCTGCTTAGCGGTTGAGCAGACACGTCCCTCGTCTGCATCCGTTGCGTAGCCTCGATACCAGAGTGGGCCCATCTCGGAGTAGAGGCGACGCTCCTCGTCTGGCGTATTTGGTGGAAAGAGGTCGCTGCTCGCCGAGGCGGGGCCAGCTTGACGTTGCAGCGCTCGATGTAGCAGCGAGTGAGCAATCTCGTTCAGCTTGGCCAACGAGGCTTCCGCAAAAGTAGGGTGAATACCTCCGTGCACGAAATTGGCTTGCGGAACAAGGTAAGAGGAGGTGAGGCCGCGACGCAGCTGCGCTTGGCGAATCTCCTCGTGTGGTAGGAGATCGATGGTGTGGGAAAGGGAATAGTTGGCTAGCCATGTCTGCCCAATCCAGCCTGAGGTGCTCATGGCCTGACGACGCCCGGCCACCCCGCCGGGGAAGGTGTCGATGTCCCCTCGAGTGACGTACCGCCAGTCGCTGAGGGCGTTCATCATTTCGTGATTGCCTGCGTGTGAAATACACGAGACGGTCAGAAAGGGGCGCAATGTCGCCATCCTCATCTGTCGCTCACACTCACCGATGCAATTGCGCACATGCTCCTTACTCGGAGCTTGAGATCTCAGCGTGTCAAAGAGCTGGTACAGGAGCTGTGTGTCGTCTCCTCTGTCCACTAGATCGCCCGTTGAAACAAGCACAGTCTGACCCGACCCATCGAGCCACTTTGGGGCTGTCCGTCTACTCGCCGACTCCTCAATGACGCCCGCCATCTTGAGGACCGACAAGGCATGATCGTAGTCGCCATGCAGGTCAGCAACAGCTACAATCCGCCGCGTGATGGCCGTAGGATGCGACTGGCTCGGCAGTGGGCTCGGAGGGCTACGGAGCCACCATAGTCCAAGGATGCATATGATCAGGAGGATGAGCTTGGTCGATGGCATATAGGGTAGATTGAGTGGCTGGAAGATGTGGCTGATGGGAAAAGAGGGCGGCAGGCGCGTGCGCACGTCCAGCCTCGTTGAGGCGAGACAGACACACGAGGCGGAGGGCCAAAATCGGCGCCAGTCCGCCCCCGACCTCGACTGAGCTCAAAGCAACACTCACGCCTCAATCTTACACGGCCGCACGCACGCACCGCCCTTTCATCCCTCCTATTCATCCGCGCCGTCCCATCGACATTGCTGCAGACACACTACACACACGCTGACCTCGGAGACCAAGGCCCCTTTCCCGCCGTCAGCGCTCCTGTCTAGCTGCTGAGCCGGTGACGAGGGCGATTGCCGCCTTGTAGGGCGGTCGTCGCGATTACTGTAGTCGCTTGTCCTCCTTCCATCCATCAATAATCAACGACTCTGCGATCATGACTGACGCAGACTCATCCAGTGGATCCATCAAGGTCCACAACAACGCCGATGCCGACACATCGACGTCGTCTACTGGAGTACCGAGGACCCTTGAAGACCTCCAGGTGAGAGCATACATCCACCCAGCTGCGCACTCCAATTGCTGACCCATCCCTCACTCCTCGCACAGCATGAGGTTTACGCCCTCTTTCAACAATTTGTCGACGACGACGAAGATACCAAAGTCGGAGAGCCTTCCCCCTCGTCACCGTCACTCCGCACCGTAGCCCTCCGCGACCTACCTCGCCTCCTCAACGAATTCGAGCGCAAGAGAGGCACCCCTCTCGTAGAGGACGAGTCCCGTGCCCAACTTGAGGAATTCTGCCAGCAAATGCCAGACCAAACCGTGGCTTGTGATGATCTTGCCGGCATGATATTCGGCCTCGAGAGTGCAAGGACGGCAACAGCGGCAGCGCCTACCTCCAGCAGCGACGATGGCGAGAGTGAGGATGACGCTGAGACATCCAATTCGGAGTCGTCCCTGTCGCCTTCCTCGACCAACAACGAGCTTCCCCGTGCTGATGTGCCACGCTCTTTCAGCCACTCGATGGATATGACTATCGGCGCCAGCGGTGGGCCGAAGAGTAGCTCTCCGTCTCGCCCTCCTCGCAATCGTACCACATCAGCTTCAGCAGCCGACATTTCACCAGCAAAGGGCATCATCAAAGGCAAAGGCAGCAAAGCCCCTCCGAGCTCGTGGTCTCGCCCGCGACCTCAAGCTCTCGCTGGCAGAAACAGACGCACAAGCGAGACGAGCCAAGAGATAGGGGATCGTCGCGCCTCTCAGCCTTACTCGGGCGTCGCCTCCTCCGACGTAGGAGGATACCGTAGCACTTCAGCTGGCTATGTCTTCCCTCGCGCCTCCTCGCCGGGCGACGACGAGTGGTACGCGGAGCAACACGCTAGGCACATCCGCAACATCAGTAATGCTTCTCGCGGCGCGTCTGTTGGCGTAGGTGGGGGCGGAGGCTCCCGGCCCGCCAGCCCAGAGCTCGACCATCAGAGCTTCCACGCCTTTGCTGCTCTGGGTAGTCCCATCAGTCCCGCACCAGGCAGCGCGGCCGGGAAGAGTGCTGCGGGTGAAGGCGCAGAGCTGGAGAGTTTGCAGCGACGATACGACAACCTGGTGCGCGTGCTGCAGGAGAAGGAGCGCAGCTTTGAGTCCACTCAAAACTCCCAGGAGACGACGATTGCCGACCTAGACACGCAAGTTGAGCAGCTTCGCGAGCGGATCCATACTTTGACAAAGAGCAATGACGAGCAGCGCACGAAAGAGCGACGCTACCTCGACGAGATCAGCCGATTAGAGGGTGACCTGGCCACAAGTCAAAAGCGGGGTGACCATGCCGAGCGAGTGAAAGAAGTCATGCAACAGGACCTCGCTCACCGCGAAACGACCATCGTCAATCTGCAAGGCAAAATCAACGACCTACTCGAGCGAGTGGCCACCGCAGAGCGCGATGAAGCCGACCACTACGGTCGAGCACAGGCGCTTGGTGAGGAAGCGGAGGGCCTTCGCACGCAGATCGAGCAGCTGAGGGGTCAGGTGCGGGCAGCGGTGGAGAAGGAGGCGAAGATCGAGGAGTTGGAGAGTGAGCGTGAGGCCCTACGTGCTCAGATGCGCGACTTGCACTTGGAGCTCGAGGAGGCGCGCAGGGGGTCCGGCTTCCTGCCGGCAGGGCAGAGGGGGCTTAGTAGCCAACCTAGCACAATTGGGGGCAAAGCGGGAGCCTCGTTGGGCTCGGAGCTCAAGGGCATCTTCAGAGGGATGAGTAGCGTCGATGAGACGGGGGACGTCCCGGCTGAAGGGAGCGGTGGAAGGGGAAGGGACTTTGATGGCGAGCAGACGGTCACAGACTCGGATGTCGGCTCGTCGACTACGGATCCTGATGCGAGCATGGAGAGTGTGGTGGTCACGACGACGCGGAGGAGACGACGGGCTGCGGCCAGTAGCAGTGAAGCAGGCGGTGCCTCAAGCTCATCCCGCGAATACCGCGAGACACAATCGCAAACGGAGCAGGGCACCGGTAGCGGGCATCTCGCACCGCCATCGTACGACGAGGCAGCGACGGAGAAGATCATTCTGGAGCGGCTTCATCCTGCACCCGAGGCTGGGTCGGGGCCACTCAGCCCTACTTCCCTCGTCGACGTTATTGATACGGCGACGCGCAAGCCGGACACAACCCTCTTTTCCCAATACGAGGCTATGGCGCACAAGGTCGGGGTGAGGTGCACCGTACTGGAGGACGCACTACGCCGTCAGCCTACGGAGGCTGCGAGTGGAGGTGGGCTAACATCGACGATTCTGCAGATGCTTCCACCAGCCACGCAGCTCCGCCTGCGAAGCATAGCTCAGACAACGACCGGCACCCGCTCAGCCGACGCCAACCGTCGTTCCAAGGCCTCCTCTGTCTCAACGACTCAGTGGTTTTGCATCTGGACGGGCAGCGTGATGCTCGTCGGCGTGCTGATTGGGATGGTCCTCATCTCTCAACAGTCACCCTCCATGCTCAACACTGCCACAAATCAGCACGGCACGCAGCACGATCCATGGGGCCTCGGCGTTGGGCTGGACAGCTCGCTTGACTGGCACACGGCCAATTCGCTCAACTACGGTGTTGGGAGCACCAGGATAGAGTATGCGGGGCATGAGCCTGCTAGTAGTGCGTTGGCCAAGTTGATGAGGATGCTCTACCCTAGGGCGAGGGTGCCGATGAGGCCGAGAGGCGTGCCCATTTGAGCGAGTGTGGTAGCGGCGAGCTCGATTCATGTCTCCTGTGTACTATACGATCCGTTCCTTCGACGCGACGACAGGCCAAGATCGTGGCGCCCCACACTCACTACTCTAGTTTACTAATTTCGATACCATGACTCTCTCACCGCTCGTTCCTCTGATTCGCACGCCAAGCACTCCTTCGCCTCTCGTCTGGTGTCGTGCGGCGCCTTTCTCTCCCTCTCCTCTCCCTCAATCGGCTGGCTCATGGCTCCATGGCCGGAAATTTTGCTTCATCTGCCCTGCCGCTGTGCGCCGGCGCGCCGTTCCGCGTGTCAGCGTGCGCGTCTGCAGTCTGCGTGATGTTGCCTTTGGCTTCGCCTCGCTGCTTGCTGCCTCTCTGTCGGCCGCGGCCGTGCTGTGCCGTTGCAGCATGGGCTACCAAGCCCAAGCCGGCCGTTTAGTTAGTCAGTACGACGAAGGGGCGCGTTCGTTCGTTGGAGAGAGTGCGATGATAGCGGCAATGGTCAATGCCATGCTGAGCGGTCACGCTCGCTGGCTGTAAGACTTGAGATGAAACAGGGGTCGCGGTGGGGCCGGGCGGAGAGGGGCAGGGGAAGGCTGAGCTGAGTGAGGCTGAGAGGCGTCGCAACGGCACGCACCCACCGAATCGAATCGCCCTCTCGGACTTGGAGCGTCATCCATGCAGGGCGGCGCGGGCCAAGGACGACGGAGTGAGACGAGCGGCGGCTTTGGCTTGGCCTCGTCTGGCCTGGCTTGTTGTTTGCCTCGCAGCCAAAGTCGGGTCAGGCAGCGCACCCAGTCGCCGTCACAACCTTGACCATCTTACCATCCATCGATCACTTCGTCTGCACACACGACTTCGCGGGTTTTCTCACTCGTTCACTCTCTCTTTCTCGCGCGCGCATCTTCTTCACTCTCCTCGCGGACACCTCATTGTCCTCTCCTTCACTCACCTCTCCTGTCCTCGCTCATGGCTCACTACGGAGGAGGAGCCGCAGGTGGCAGCGGCTACAGAGGTGGCGGCGGCGGAGGCGGTGGTGGTGGTGGCCCCTATCGCCAGGCCCCTCGTCATTCACCGACTGAAGAATCCTTGCCAGGCAGCGGTAGCTCACCCATGTACAGCCAACAGCAACTCCTCTCACCATCCGTCTCAAGTTTCGGCCACGGCGGCGGCAATGGTTACACGCCCGGCAGTCGTCCGGCGTCGGGACTGTCTCTCCTTGGCCCCAGCTACGGTCCCGCTACAAGCACGTCGCATGGCAACGGATACTTCCAGTCAGGCAGAGATGCTCGATCCTCCGTCCTTTCACAGCACCTTGTCCCCAACGGCGGCCACTCGGGCAGCGAGTCTGAGCTCGGCCCCTACAGCGCTCTGAGGACTCGCGCCGGCGCTTCATCGCAGAGCAACCACAGCTCAGGTGAAGAGCAGATGATGTCCAAGCGTCCCGAGGCGGGCATGGTCGCCTTGTTGGGAGAGAAGGAGGCAGACGACTACCTGCACGAGGGAGACGCAGACAAGCGCTCCTACGCCCCCTCTGTGCGTGGTATTGCCAATGTAGCCACCCTCATCTTCCTCGCTCTCGCTATTCTAGCCCTCTTTGCCGGCTATCCGATCATCGCAAACCTCGACAAGATCTTCAACAAGAACGATTACAGTGGCGGATACAACTTGGGCGGATCCAATGGGTCAGGCCAGGTGCCCATCTTCCAAGGCCTGGCAAGTCTTATCGACAAGGACACTCCTTCCAACGCTCAGTCATGGACTCACCCCGTCACAAATGACAAGTATCACCTCGTCTTCTCCGACGAGTTCGAAGAGGAGGGTCGCACCTTCTGGCCGGGAGATGACCCGTACTGGACCGCTGTGGACCTGTGGTACGGCGGAACATTCGACTACGAGTGGTACAGCCCTGAGCAGGTCAACACGACGGGCGGAGCGCTGCAGATCACCATGGAGGAGAAGCCGATGCATGGATTGAACTTTGCCTCGGGAATGGTTCAGAGCTGGAACCAGTTCTGCTTCCAGGGTGGCTACATTGAGTACTCGATCATGCAGCCTGGCACGCCTATCACGACTGGATACTGGCCCGCGGCATGGCTGATGGGCAACCTGGGTAGGGCAGGATACCTTGCATCCACTGACGGGATGTGGCCATACTCCTATCAGAGCTGCGATACGGTGAGCAACATTTGCTAGTCTGGAGGAGGCCTAGTGACAAAATGCTGACCACTTGCCATCTCATCATTCGCTCATCTACAGGGAATCATGCCCAACCAAACGTACGCCGACGGCAGCGGTCCAAAGGAGGCCATCGACTCTGCCGGTACCTACGCCGACAATGGAAAAATTTCTCACCTTCCTGGTATGCGCCTCCCTGCCTGCACCTGCTCAGGGGAAGACCACCCTGGTCCCCACCCGAACGTAGGCCGCTCCTCCCCCGAAATCGACTGCATTGAAGCTCAAATCCAGACGCGCAACGGGGAGACCCACTCCTGGTCGTCCCAGTCCCTCCAGACTGCACCCTTCGACGTCGAGTACTACTGGGGCAACACCTCAGCCGACGCGACGCTCTACGGCACCTCAGACACCGTCGAAATCAACAGCTACGTCGGTGGACCCCTGCAGGAGGCTGTTTCCTCCGTCGCCATGAATCCTGACCGCGGGTTCCAGGGCACGCAGGGCGAGTTCATCCGCTACGGTGTTGAGTACGAGCCCGACTGGAACGGTGACGGATCAGGCAGCGTAACGTGGTTCATCGACGGCAAGGCCACTTGGTCAGTGAAGGGCACCGCTGTTGGTCCCTCGGCCGCGATGGACATTGGACAACGCACGATTCCCACTGAGCCCATGTCCATCATCATGAACTTGGGCATGGCCTCGGGCTTCCAGCCTGTGCACTTCACGGGAGAAAACGCTCTCACTTTCCCTGCCCTATTCCGCGTTGACTACGTTCGCGTGTACCAGAAGGACGGGCAGGACGACCGCATCACGTGCGATCCCAAGGACCATCCTACGGCCGACTACATCAAGAACCACCCGGAACTGTACGCGAACAACAACTTGACCACTTTCGCTGCTGCGGGGTACAAGAGACCGAAGAACAGACTGAGGGATGGGTGCTAAGCCGGCGCGCTATGCGTGGCAGGAGGGAAGAGAGGAGATGAATGAGGACGGTCTCTGTACATATACATACACTCGCATCATGCCCTGCCCTGCTTTGCTAGGCGGTGCTGCGCATCGCTCCACGTCGATCTCAGGATCGGCAGCTCTTCCTATCTAGCCTCTCCTCGCGCTTTTCGTCTCGGATCGTAATGACGCCTCGCAACGTAGAAGACTCTCGCTCAAATGGACATTGCTTTGCCAACACTTGGACTGAGACTGAGTTGAGTGGCCTCAAACGGCGTGCAGAGGCGCCCCTTCTTGCCATTCTGCTCGTACGACTCAGTGCCAGTGTCGCTCGCGTGGCGAGGCCCGTGCACGGCTGCATGGCTGAGCCGTAGGGATGCGAATCCGGCCGTATCGACTCGGTCGACCGACATTGGTTCACTATCGCTCTCTCCATCGCTCTACGCTACCGTCGAAGGCGACATCAGGCTCACCGCTCCCTTTCGAAGCGTATTGTCTGCCTCTCTATGCCTCTCACCATTCCTGTGCAGCTTACAACCAGTTGACCCGTCGCTCAGCCCAAGGAGGCCTTATTCGTAGAGTCCGACAGCAAGGAAGCCGATTCCGAACGATAAGCGACCATCCAGCTTAGAGAGCGCTCGCTCGCAGCCATGAGCCAAGTAGACATCAGCGGCGTCACAGGCGCGAGAGGAGCACTTCAGCTAGACAGCGCAGCCCAGCATTTGAATGGAGACACGCAGTCTGAACAGCCCCGCCTCTCCGTCGAGGAGCGAGCACAGTTCAGCGACGATGATGTGGACGACTTCGAAGATCACGCTATCTCATCAACAAAGCCAAGTAGTGCTGATCGCCCAGCCCTCGTACGCCTGCCTGTGACCAAACTCATCGGAGGTGGTAGCGGTGGGCCTGCCGTTGCCCTCTTTGTATGCGCTCAGTGTGGGACGCATCTCGCTTTGCAAGACGAGGTGATCAGCAAGTCCTTCTCCGGTCGTGACGGTAAAGTGAATGCATGGAGATGCCATTCGTTGCCCTGTCAACGAGCTCAGGCTGACATCCATCCCCCCCCTGCCCCCCCGGTCGCGCGACAGGCCTACCTCTTCCACTCCTCGCTCAACACGATCATCGGCAAGCCAGAGGATCGTCAGCTCCTCACCGGTCTGCACACCGTAGCAGACGTGCGCTGCGCCGGATGCGAGACGCTCGTGGGTTGGACGTATCTGCGTGCCTTTGAGGGGGCACAAAAGTACAAGGAGGGGCGCTTCATTATGGAGAGGGCGGCAATTCACAAGGTCAACAATTGGAGCTGAATGCACGGTGAGGTGGGGCATGATGTGCAATGGAGTCTAGGATTGATGCGATGCGACGCGATGCAGAGGGAAGAAATGAACGGAGGATGTACACAAAGATCGAAGGGAGTGCCACAAAGGCTCTCTACCTTCCTACCAAGCGCTTCTCCAGGAAGCGCAATGGCGCGTACAGCAGTGCGCAGCAGACGAAACCGAGCTCGAAGCCCAAGTCACCCACATGCTCGGCGATGGGTCCTGTGAACCACGTCTGCGAGATGGACGGCACCAATACGGCCAACGACACGACAGCGCTGATGATCGCAGCGAGACCGAGGGGCAACTTCTTCCACTGGCACCAGATGGCTGGATCGTACGATGCCATGTCGTTTCTTCGCACCACCCAGTGGTCGACGAGTACCACGGCGACAAAGAGGGCCGACCAGTAGGCCAGGACCGAGGTGAAGGACACGAGCGTATCGTAGAATGCGCTTGCACCGACGATGGAGAGCGGGATGACGATGGCGATAGCCACGAGGGGGAAGACGAAGCGCGGTACGTGGCGCAAGGCGGGAAGAATGGCAGGCATGCTCAACCCGAAACTGTAGATGGAAGGCGCGGTGTTGCCGATGATGCTGAGGCCGAGGAGGACAGTGATGAACTTGCCGAAGTTGCCCGCCTTGCTCGAGAGGACCAAGTTGAAGAGGGCGCCGTTGCTCTCGGAGAGGGCTGTATCCCACGCTGGGTTGTCGAGGGAGGAGAGACCAAACGCTGCGCCAAGGAGAAAGAGGGGGCATGAGCCGAGGAAGAAGCCAAGGAAGGTTACGCCAAAGAGGCCCCAGGTGGGCGTGGTGGCCGGGTCCATGTAGCTTGACACGTCTGAAGCGATACCGCTCCACGAGACGAGAAATCCGATGACGATACTGGCCATGGCCAAGACGCCCTCGGACGTCGTTGCTGGCTCTGGTGTGGGGAAGTGCAAGCCCGAAGGCCCAGAGCGGGCGAGTCCCGCCAGAATGCAGAAGCAGATGAGCACAGGCACCCAGAGCCAGCGCTCGAAGGCGTGAAGGACGCGGATGCCCATAAAGGAGACGACGAGGGAGACGATGGCTACGATGACGATGCCCACTGTCGGGGTCAGGCTGCCGTTGGGGGAGACGGCGCTGAGCGTTTGGCCTCCGAGGATGCAGTTGAGAATTGTGTAACCGCAGAGAGATGCGGCGTTGAGGATGGCAATCAGAGGGGCGAACCTGGCGTGGAGGGGGTCAGAGATTAGCCAGTGTCAGCGGCAAACGATCGATGAGCATCCTCTTCACCACGCGGCCCTCTGTCTACTCACCAACCCCAGCTGTATCGCGTATGAATCATCTGCCTCATGCCCAGTCTGGGCCCAAAGGTGACGAAGAAGGCCGGAAAGAGTGCCGAGAACAGGCAGAAGAAGACGATAGTGCAGAAGGCGCCCGCAGCAGACAACTCCAGCGTAGACACGAGCGTACCCGTAGAGAAGGAGAGGACGTTGAAGTTGGCACTGAACCAGAGGAGCCCTACACTCCACCACTTCTTCTCCGTGCGGGCCTCCAGCGGTACAGGTGCCACGCTAACCGACTCGACATGGTAGTGGCCGAGTCGCTCGCCGATGCGTTGAAGGGGTCGAAGCAGGGGGATGCGCGAGGTGATCGTTGCCGAGGAGGAGAAGGGCTGTTGGTGTGGTTGCTTGAGGGAGGATGAAGAGGACGAGGAAGAAGACTTCTCTGCGCGCTCGTTGGAGGTAGCATGCGACGCTACATTGCCATGCTGCTGCTGCTGCTGCTGCTGCTGCTGCTCGATGTCTCCTTCTTGCTGCTGCTGCTGCGAGGAGCGGGGCTCCGCCGATGAGACGGTCGCTGCGAGGTAAGACATGGCGGCGTGGCCTGGGAAGGGGTGGCGAGGACGCGAATACGACGGGCCCTCGAGACTCTCTTTATGTCTTCTCGGGGAGCAGGCGACGACGATGAAGACGGCGAGTTGGTGAGGTGAAAACGGTAAAGATAGAAGCGTGGGAAGAGGCTACTTGAGGACGCTAATGCGCCACACTTTCTGGACTCGAGTTAGTGAGGCAGCAGCAGCCAGCCTCGAAGCGCGGCCTCTTCTCGGACGAGCAAGCGCAGGCAGGCAGGCAGGCGCAGCCACGCACGGGCTCGACGACAAAAGATTCTTACGGCACGGCGGGCGACGAGAATGGTCAGAACAACAATTGGGTGTTTATATTGTGCTTATTTTCGCCCCGCCTTCATCCAAGGCCGCTTGGCTCAATGGTTAGAGTATCTGCCTACGACTTCCGTAGACATCCAGCTTGGCTGGGACGATTAGCAGGGGGTTCCAGGTTCGAGTCCTGGAGTGGTCATCCTTTTGCGCGCGAGCGCTGTGCTCATGAGCTGCTTCGTTTTGCCTCCGCAGGCAGGCAGCTCACTGGCATCACTCTGCTCTCACGCTATCGTCATGTGCTGTGCTACGTGATCGGCATTATCGATACAATACACTCCTTGTCTCTGCTCGCTCCGCGCGCTCAGATATCCATCCACCTCTTCATCCCCAGCCAGGCAGCAAAGCTCAGACTCGTCATAGGCACGACCTTCAAGAAGCCGATGCTAAGCCCAGTATAGAAGCCCTGCCAACCCCTCGTCTTCCAAATCCACGTCGCCGTCTCCCACATTCCCACCATCCCCCCTGGCCGCACGAGTGCCGCTACCTGCTGCCGACGTCGGATCACCTCGAAGGGGTAGGCAGCTGTCTGTGAGATGGCACCGGCCAACCCTCCGGAGGTGAGGTCGATCGTCGTCTTGCTTGGTCGCCAGCCACCACGAGTCGACGACGACGACGACGATCTCGCGGCACCGCTGCGGCTGCTGCCGTCCTTGTCGTCTTCTATGCCGCACCATGTCTGGAGCGCCCGCTTGCATCGCCCAAAGACGAGGAAGCTCGTGCCCGCGTAGGGGACCATGCCAAATACGGTTACTGTGAAGCCGCGGTAGAACTTCATGAGGGGAAAGCGATGCAGGAGGGCAGTCGTTGTTTCCAATGCGGCAGTGGGCGCTGCGGGGGGTACGGGGGTGGAGGCGGTTGCCCCTCGAGCGAGGGCGGCTGATTGTGCCTGGGATATTGATGGTGCGGGCGGGGGCGCCGTAGGGCGAGCCGCGTCTGACGTGAAGGATCGAGCGCCGTCCGCTGTTGCTGATGCTGCTACCTTGCCCGCAGCCGTCGCCGACGCATCGCCCTGGGCTCTTGCCGCTCTCCGTCTCGCATCACTAGAGAAGGGCGCCTCCGTTGCCCCTTCGGTATAGATTTGCCGAATGATATCCCTCAACCCACTCCCACCCTTTCCTTTGCCCCCAGCACTCTTCGTCTCAAAGGCCAACCTGACCCGAATCAACTCTAGCGGGTACGTAAGAAAGACGCTCAGTACGCCCGAAGTGGCTCCCGCAGCAAAGAGCCTTGCGCTCGTCTCCTGCTCTCTTGTCGGCATGAGGGCAAAGTGCATCTTGTCGTACGCCATGTACTTGATCGCCGCGTAGGGGAAGATGCGCATAAGCGTGGCTGAGTGTCCCTTGAAAAGTGCCAGGGTCCCCTGGGATGAAACGATATCCTTGCCCGCTCTGAACACTCCTAGCCAGTGACCCGAATATTTTTGGAATTCGGGATTCTGAGCTTGGAATAAGATCTTGACTCTATCCAGGGGTGCGATGGCCGTCTTGGCTACGCAGCCGGCCACCCCGCCAGCGACGCCGCTGCGCAGCACGTAGGACAGGGTTTGCTTGTCTTTGCGTGCCGGGGGTGGGGAGGGTTTGGATGAGGAGGAGGAGGAGGAGGATGCTTGTGAAGGTGGCGGGGCTCGCGCTGGAAGCTCATCTGTCTCGCAGACGGCTCGTATCGATGGGATGCGCGACGAAGAGGAGGCGCCGTAGTTGCTTGATGTGGATGATGAGGACGAGGCCGAGGTAGAGGGGGACAAGGACGCGGAGGGACCCGCACCACAGTCAGTCCACCGCTCAGCCGCCTCCATCATGACAGGACCAATTGAAGATGCAATGATGCTGTATAGGGCTCGCAGCGATCAAAGGCCTGGTATCGCTGTATTAGATGGAGGAGAAGGGAAGATAGAGAGGGTGGAGAAGGTAGATTACAATTCGAATTCGTGGAGACCAATGCAGCCTCTCTTGCCGCCTCTTGCCGCCGCGCCGGCACCTTCGCCGGTCGGTCGACCTCACATCGCCTCTCCGTCCGGCCCGCGTGAGTCGAGGCGGGAGGGCAGGGCGGCAAGGGTCCAGCCTGACGCGAGGCCACTACGACTTTCGCCTCTTCGCGCCACGACCGCTGGTAGAGCTGGTGGTCTTCCTCTTCGAAGTTGACGCCGCACGACCGCCTCCTCTACCCCTGCCTCGACCTTGCGCCGTCTTGCCGCCTCTGCCTCGTGATGTGCTGCTCGCAGCTCTCCGTCCACCACCACCCCCATCGTCATTCGTACAGTCTGCGCTCCAATGCCCACTCTCCCCGCATCGAAAGCAGACATCGAATCCTTCACGAGCGCCAGCTGGTGGAGCTCGTCGTTTCGCTGTAGCAACACTGCCACCGCCGGTGTCTCTTGCGCCCCTGCGAGCCGGTGTCGGGTCAAAGTCATCAACAACCTCATCCTGCTGCTCGTCTGTCCACTCAAAGAAGCGGCACCTCACGCTGGCATTCTCCTTTGCACAGCTCCAAAACTGTCGACCTTGATTCGCGCCCGCTTTGCTCACTGTACGGAGGGGAGCAATCAGGTTGCAGTCGCACCGCTTCGCGTTTGAAGAGCCGCTGCCGCTACGGCCATTTGTAGTTGAGGAATTGGTACGTGAGTTGCCGCTGCGGGGAGGGAGGACGCTACCGGTGCCTCCGTAGCCGTCCCCGCCTCCTCCATCTCCGTCTTCGTCATCTCCAAGCGAGTTGAACCAGGCTGCATAGTCGGCGATTGTAGTCGTCGAGTCGTCGCCTATTGGCAAGCCTGAGCCCATTGATGACTGCGAAGAGCCCAAAAGCTCGTCGATGATTGCTGCAGAGTCATTCTCCGGGCGCGCAGGACGTGATGGTGGCGGTGAAGGAGTCTGCCGTGTTGACATGGGGCGAGAACGTGATAAGCCAGCTACAGCGTTATTTGATGAAGCGTTGTTTGATGATGCGGTCGGGCGAGTTTGTCTCGAGGGGCCAGCGACTGCATTCGACGAACGCGACGGCCCCGAGGCGGCATTGACTGTCCGTGAAGAGCTTGCGGTCGAAGTGCTGGGCCTCGTCGGGGCTGTATTCGCACTCGTCCTCGCGGGTCTCGTCGTAGCCTCGGCTTCACCGTCAACAACCCAGTCAAAGTACCCACAACTACCCTCATTCTGCCCCTTGCTGCAGCACCAGAATCTGCGCCCCTTGTTGGGACCATCCTTGGCTACGGTCTTCTGCACCGCGCCGTCTCCGCAGCGACATTCCGGCGCAGAGCCATCCCCACCACTGCTTGTAATGGGAGCTGATGCTCGCCCGTTGTCGAGATTGGAGAAGGGGGCACGTCGTACTGGTGGTCGGCGAGGGGCATCGCTCAGGTCGTCATCGTCGCCTGCGTCGTCATCTTCGCTGGGCTGGCGAGCACGTGATGAGGGGCCTCCACCGGCATTGCGGCTTTGAGGTGGTCTTGAGGGACCTGCAGAAGGGCCGGGACCTGCTCCTCCTCCCCCTCCTCCGCTGCCGCCGCTGCCCCCACCGCCCCCACCGCCTGCTTGACCTCCCTCCCCTCTGAAGCGTTGACCGACACTCTCAATCAGCGTCCGGATATGACTCCTCGCCCTGAGGAACACAGCTCGATACTCCGTCAGACTCTCCTCAATCGTCTCCTCCTTCGTCCTCGCACCATCGCATATCAGCTGCATCCGATACTCCGTCTCTCTCCTAAGCAATGGCTTGCTCAGCGACTTCTCGAAGTCGATGCGATTGTACCCCTCCACCAAGCCCTGTCCCAGCGTCGAGGGGAGAAGGTACGTCACCTTGCCCTGCGGCTTGGCTACCACGTACTCTCGGCTGATGATCTTGGCAATATGCTCGGCAATGGTTGCGTCTGTGCCTATGCCGTTCTTGTCCATCAGGCTGACCAGATCCGCCTCGGTAAGGAGCTGCGGGGCACTTGTGCTGCCCTTCTTCTTGGTGATGGAGTGAGGGCGGAATGTCTCACCCTGCTCGTACTGTGGGAGGAGATTGCCAGTCCACTTGTCGTAGGTGAAGACGTCGAGATAGTTGCGCTCGTGTACTACGAGGCCACTGGCACCAAAGGACTCCCCGCCGAGCTCGATGTCGATGTTCGTCTGTTTGCCTTGCGCATCCTTCGAGCAGCTACCCAGAAAGCGGCGAGTCACATACTCATAGACGCGTTGCTCGTCGCCTGAGAGATTGTTCGCGTGTGCCGTGGGGTGAATGGGCGGGTGAGCCTTGTCATTCTTCTTGCCGTTGCGAGGACGCTCGTAGTTCTCGTCCAGCAGACCCTGCGCATAGCTGCCCCACTGCCCGTCGCTCGTCTGCTTCTGGATGAGCGAGCGAAAATCGAATGCATTATCGTATTGGTCCGTTTCTGTGCGTGGGTATGAGAGGAAGCCGCGATTGTACAGCGCCTCAGCCACGTCCAAGATGCGCTTGGGAGCGAGGCGGAGCAGCCTCGAGGCGGACTTTTGCAGCTCGACGGTCGTCAAGGGGTAGGGCTTGAACTTCTTGGTCGGCTTGCTTTGCACGCGCGTGACAGCTGCCTCGCCGTCGTCCTTGCAGCGTTGGTGTAAGATCTTGACAATGTCCTCATCAAAGAGGTGTCCTCTCCGCCACTTGAATTCAACGGTTGCCATCTCCCCCCGTGGGCCGCCCATCTGCCGCTTGTCAGAGACGAGGATGTACCAGAAGTCCTCGGGGACGAAGTTCATGACTCGCTCGTACTGATCGACGACGAAGCCGAGGGCTGGGATTTGGCAAGGTCCGTAGCTGACGACTTTGCTCTGCAGCTCTGCGAAGGCGTGTTGCATATCGAGGGTCTGAAGGCGGGTGAGAGCGGCGCCGACTCGCAGGTCGAGCTCCTGCCTTGCTTCGACGGCGGCGGCTGCGTTCCAGTCGAGCTGTCCAGCATTACGGCAGGCGTTGTGGATCTGACTGGCGATGATGGAGCTGAAGCGCGCTCGTCTCACGTCGATCCGTCTATTGACCTCGCGACATTGTTGCACGACCTCCGATCCAATATGCTCTCCTTCGCGATCGCAATCGGTCCAGATCATGAGTACTTGCGCTCTACGTGCCTCCTGCTTCAGATTGGCTGCGATGAGCTCGCCGTCCTTGCTGATTCGCACCTCCACGGGAGCATCAAAGAGCTCAAAGGCGTCGCAGCTCCTCCAGCCACGATATCGCTCGGGAAAGTCGAGCTCAGTGAGGTGGCCGCGCACCGACGTGATGGTCATGTCGACCCATCCGTGGCTGGGCAAGTTGTACTTGATGTCGTAGTTGCGGCAAAATTTGTCCTTACCTGGTCGATTGGAGCAGCCATCCGATGCCAGGATGCCTGCAAGCGACTTGGCGATGGATGGCTTCTCGGCCACGCATAGCACCTTCATCGTGGGCGCTGCGGGCGAGGACAAGAGCGAGGACTTGCGGGCAGCTACTCTTGTCGATGCAAGCCTGAAGCTGAAGGTCAGAAGCGGCGACGACCAGCGCAATGGCTGCGCCGCCGAGAATAGCAGCGGCAGCAGAAGCGTGGTGGACGGGGTGGTGTCGAGAAGTCGAGGTGATGGAATTGACGGAGAGGAGCGAGGAACGGAAGTGGCGACTTGCTCTGGGTGCTCTGGAGCCGCGAGCGCGTCGTGATGCTCTCGCAGACAAGCTCATTTGCGGGCGGCGGCCCATCTCATCTCGCTCGCGTGGCACAGGCTCAACTCAACCAACACTTTCGCTTGACGCAGGCCGCCACGCCCTGCCCTCGCCAAGGCGGTACGGCCACCCACTTTCTGCAGGCTGCTTCCATGATAGAAGGAGAGCGCTAGTAGCGACGTCCAGATGACCACTCGTGAATAGCAATGTGTGCCTTGACCACCCCATTCTTAGTCTTCTCGCAGGGGCTCGTTGCATTTCGTCCCCGTACTCGCGTGACTGTCCGCTGCACACATTCTCAGAGAGTGAGTGGATAGGTGCTCGAGCCTCCTGAGGGCGGCGAAAGTGATGAGTTCCATGAGACGCGAAGTGATGCAGTGTGGGGACGATCCGGTCGTCGAGTTGCTTGTCTGAGGGTGAGAGAGACCGAAGAGAAAAAGGCAGGCCTTCACTTCGATCGCTATTGCCCATCACTTTCCTCCTCATCTCCCTTTTCAATCCCCCTCTCGTCGCCATAATGATGCCGTGGCGCCCTATCCTCCTTGCCCTCGTCGCCGCCGTCACCGTCACTTCAGCGGCACCCATCCCACAACCCGCCGACAACTCCACGGATCGATCGTGCAATGGCCACCCCTCTCTCTGCTCGAAGCGATACAGCGATGTCGTCTACATCGGGGCTCACAACTCCTACTCCTGGGGACAGGGCATCTCCTCGGACCAGACAGCCACCGTCTCCGAGCAGCTACGCGCTGGAGTGCGTCTCCTACAGAATCAAGCGCACGACTTTCCCCACCCGTACGGACCAGACTACACCAACCCCTCCAACATTCACCTCTGCCACACGTCCTGCTATCTCCTCGACGGCGGGGGTCTCGAGGCATACCTTTCACCCGTCCGTGTTTGGCTGGCGGACAACCCCAATGAGGTCCTAACCATCCTCCTCACCAATCCAGACGGACTCAACATCACGCGCTTTGACCAAGCACTGCGCTTCAACCATCTGCACGAACTGGCATACGTCCCGCCCAAGGCAAAGATGACACACGACGACTGGCCCACGCTGGAGGAGATGATCGACTCTGGCCGCCGACTCGTTGTCTTCATCGACTCCGGAGCAGATCAGAAGCGTGTACCCTACATCCTCGACGAGTTCAGCCAGGTCTACGAGAACCCATACGACCAGCTTGGCCTGCCTCTCAACTGCTCGCATGACCGCGGTAGCGACCCTGCAAACTCGTTGTTCTTGCTCAACAATACGAAGGACAAGAGCGTTGGACCCATCTCGGTGCCCGACAAGGCTTCAGTCGATACGGTCAACTCGGCGAACGGGCCCAATGGAATTGTACAGACCGTCCAGCGCTGTGCGAAGGAGGAGGGAGGAAAGAAGGCTACATTTGTGCTCGTCGAGTGAGTCTGCGCCGCGTAGTAGAGGGAAAGACCGTACAGCTGACCTCACGCTTTTGCCCGCAGCTTCTTCGACACGCCCAAGGTCAACGGCACCATCCAGGCCGCACGCATTCTCAACGGCCTGGCCCCCATGCAAGTCAGCAATAGATCCGCAGCCGATGGCAGTGGAGAAGGCTCAGCTTCCGCGTCTCTCCCGCAGTTCTCTGCTCCATCAACGACCCAGCTTGCCTGGCCCGTCGCAGCTCTCTCTGCCGCTTTTGCCTCAAGCTGGTAGCCACACGACGACCTCATGACCTCACGACTGCACGACTCCACGACTTCTCATCACGGAATGCCCGCCGTCTGTTAACTCTTCCTTGCAATGACATCATCATCTCCACGTCACCCATCCACGTCAGCCATCGTCCACAGCTCTCTGCTTGCCCTTGTCTATTGGTCTGCCCTTCCTCCCGTCGTCGTCCTCATCATCATCATCCCCGCTGCGTCGCAAGCTCGCGCTCGCTACTCTCGACGAAGAAGGCAGCATCTCCATCGCCTCCTCCTCATTGCCTCCCTCACGATCATCATCGTCCACCTCGTGTTCGTGCAGCATGCCCGGCTGTTGCCCAGCCTTGCCGTCAGCGGACCCCCACCGCTTACCGCAAAGCGCCGCTGCCTTTCCCGTGCTGATGAAGTACGCAGGCAAGCCAGCCAGCATGAAAAGAAAGGCAGCCCCTGCCTCCAGTGGTGCGCTCGCGATTGGCATAAGCAGCAGGAAGAGGGCCGTCGTAGCAAAGATGACGGGCGTGGCCAGCCAGGCGCGGTACGGTCGCTCGAGGTTGGGCTCCTTGACTCTCAGCACCAGCAAGCCAACCACGGTGAGGAAGTACCACGTATAGGAGCACACCCCATAGAAGGAGACGAGGCTTGCGAATCCTGAGCCGAAGAGGATGAAGACCAGCACCATCACGCCTTGAAATACGGTCGCGGCAACAGGGGTGGCGGTGCGCTTGTGAATGGAGCCGAACATGGAGGGAAGATACCCTTCCCGCCCTGCAGCATAGACGAGTCGTGAGCTGGTGTAGATCTGCGAGTTCAAGGCGCCGAAGCAGCTGAACACTACGAGGAGGCTGAACGCTATTCCCCCGCCCGTACCGAGGATTGCACTGCCGAAGTCGAGGGCGACGGTGTTCGTCCTGCCCACCTGTTGGGGCGGTAGCACCAGAAAGTAGGAAAGTACCGTGATGCTGAAGAAGCAGACTACGAGCGTCATGCTTGAGTGAATGACGCGGGGCAAGTCACGAGAGACGTTTCGCATCTCTCCTGCCACGTAGGAGACCTGATCCCACCCATCGTACGCCCACAGGCCCGAGTAGAGAGCGAGCGCATAGGCGCTGGGCGCAGTGGATGACCCTTTGAACAGTGCCCCGAAAGAACTGAACGCCTCCCGCGACTCGTCCGGCATCTTTCCCCTCGCAGCGGTCACGATTGCCAGGATGGGCACGGCCACCAGCGCGATCAACTTGACGACTGTTGTGGCCACTTGCATTCGTGTGCCGAGCTTTGCGCTGAGAGCGTTGAGTGCTGAGATGAGAATGACGATCAGTGAGGCAAGGAGCTTGATGCTCCAGTCTGGGATCCCATCGAGAGACTGAGAGTGCGGTGTCGAGGCGGAGGAGGACGTGGTGTGATAGAGGACACGAGCGAGGTACTCGCCGAAAATGATCGCTATGATGGCGCCAGAGCCTGTGAAGACGAGAAGGAAGGTAAGGAGACGCAGGTCAGCCCCGCAGCTTGAATGTAGGCAGCCCGTTGTGCCCACTCACCGGGCTTGAGAGCGACAATTGCCGTCCAACTGAAGAGGTAGCTCGGCAGCCCGCCCAGCGAGTAGTTCAAATAGGCCTGCGCCCCTCCATTCTGTGGTATCGCCGACCCTAGCTCAGCGAAGCTAGCAGCTCCGCACCACGCCAGCATTCCAGAGGCCAGCCAGACGACCAAGGAGGACCCAACAGACCCAGTGTTGAGCGTGACCACCCCCGGCGAAGAGAAGATACCGCTCCCTATCTGCAGACCAACCGTTAGGGCCACTCCGTCTATCAAATTCATACGTCGCTCCGGATCTCTGCGACGTCGCGACCGTGAGCGTGATATTGATCGTGAGGCTGCGGCCGAGGCGCTCCCCTCGACTTCGCCATACTCGTGGCGAGCGGCTGAGCCAATTCCTCTCTTGTGGTCATCAGAGCTACCGCCATCGCTCTCTCCGTCATCATCCTCATCGTAGCTCCTCCCACTCAAGCTGAGCGGCAGCAAATTATGCCGAAAGCCAAAGGAGACGGATTCGACGCTTGTCCGTGAAAGGTTGCGTGCATCCTTGTCGCTGCCTTCCTCGAGGTCCGCCTCCTCTACGGAATGCTTGACGGGCTGCGACGTCTTCTCGAGAGGCTGATCGCTGACTCCCTGAGCCACGATGGCTTCTCCTAATGCGTCGCCCATTGATGGCAGGACGCGAGGTGGAGAAGAGGCGGCAGATGATGATGATGCGGCGAGAACCCACGGACTCGCGCCCAGTCCGCCTCGCCGTCATTCGTCTGGTCTGGTGTTGGTTGCTCGACACGCGCGCCTCACGAGCAAGGTCCAGGAATAGCACATTGGGCATTACAACGATCGAGAGGAAAGATGGGGGGAAGGTGCACAGGCTAGGAGAAAGGCAAGGCGTACCCATGTCGTCGCACACGCATTTGACTATCAACAATGACGAGATCTCGTCCTCACGACGTGGCTTCTAGCCCTCCTGCCCCTCCTCCCAGAGCGCCACCCAACGAGCTGACCGCACCGCCCTTTGCCTTCGTGGGCGTTGAAGCTGCCGAGTCCCCTCCTTCACCTACTGAAGCTACACGCCCTACATAAGAGTGACTGAGTGGGGAAGCCACGTAGTCTGCTGGCACTCCGCCGGGGAAAGCGGCACCCGATCCCAAGCTGGGCGAGTTGGGCGCAGACCCGTCCATCAGGTTCGTCGAGGGAGAATCGTAGCGCACACGATCCCGACTGTCACGTTCACGATCCGTCGATCCTCGAGGGGAGGGAGACTGCATCGACCTACGTCCACCATCGCTTCCCACCACAACTACGTCGCTCAGCGGTCCTCCGCCCACGCCCAGCCCACTGGTAGTCCTACGCCCGTCGCCGAACGATCGGCTGTCAAGCTCCAACGCCTCCGATGAACGCGTGCCACGCCCTGCTCCTCCTTGCTGCGGCCCTTGCCCACTTGCCGCCCTGATTGTACCATTGCGACCCAGGCTCAATCCTGCAGTCGAGTTCTCCAGGTCAGAATATTGCACCTGAGTGCTGCGCTCGTGCGCGGCCAAGGCGGCAGCTCGAGCTGCTCGGACGTCGTCGATTGTGGGGAGGTCGAGGGGTTGGGCGGGTGCAGGCGGGGGAGGGCGTCGTCTTGCGGATGATGATTGGCGGGAGGAGGAGGAAGACGCGGAGAGTGTGCCAGCCGCACCCATATCCCCGCCGTCCCTGTGCTTTTGCTTGTTCCGTGAGGCGCCACCACGCACTGATGCTGGTGGAGGGGAGAGGGTGTCTGAGATGCGTCTGCCTTGAGGGCGCGTTTCGAGGAGATCTTGAGAGGTTGAGGCGGCAGGTTGCGGTGGTGGCTCGTTTGACGGGGAGAATGGTCGACCGTACATCGAGCCATTGAGGCTGTCATCCGGGTTGGCTGACTCGCCTTGCAGTGGGTGATCGACGTCTCCGTCCACGAGGCGGTTATGAGTGGAGCTACCGCTGCTGGTGCTACGCCTCGCACTCCCTTCCGCATCGATCGACTCGCCGTTCTCGTCCACGCCAGAGAGACGTACGCTTGGCATCTCACCCTGCCCGAAGGGCACCCCAGCCAGAAGCCCGACCTCCTCCCAACAGCGCATGGATCGATCCGCCCATGCCTCGAGTACGGGCCACCCTCGGTACTCTCCTGTCAGTCGGAACCCAGCCGATCCCTCCCCACCACGATCACCACCGCCTCGCCCGGACCCACTGCCGCCGCCAGAGAAGTACGACTCGTAGCCGATCGCATCCTCCTCGTCTTCGCTGCCGCTGCTGAGCTCCTCAAGGGTCCACATCTCGCCGCTTTCGAGCTCCTCAGCGACGTACTGAAGGAAGCGACCCCACCCACCTTCGCCCTCTCCACGCCAGAGCACGACCTTGGTGTCGAAGTCGCGGCCGAACAGGATCATCTGGCCCGGAGCGCCACCGCCAGATGGATGAGGTGTGACATCCACGCCGATGTAGTTACCCACCCGATCGGTGATGAGCGGGATCCAACCTCTGCAAGAGTATTGCGCCCTCACCCACTTATCCGGGCAGCTGCTCTGCCACTGCCTGACCTCGTCACTCGCCCCACTGGTCGGATCGTCGTCCACCGCTCTCCAGAACTTCCATTCTTCCGCAATCTGCTCGAGGCTCAACAGTGGCAGTCCAAAGAAGATACCATCCCCGCAGGACTGGTTGCTCTCCAGCTCTTGCCCATTGAAGCAGAGATAGGATTGACGGACGGCAGCGGGCAAGCTGAACCCGATGGCGTACTCGAGCTCATCGAGCTGTGCTTCTGTCGCGGGCCAATTGAGGGTGTCCTTGAGCTCGGGATAATGCGACTCTGACCAGGTGCGGATCCGATTCCAGGTGTGACGCAGTGGTGGGAAGGAGGTAGAGGGGATGGAGAGTCCAGTGGGGGTGCGAGCGTCCATTGTAGACCTGATGCCACCTACTGCCGCTGCTGGCTGGGGTGGGTTGACGAGAGTGTGCGAGGACTGCGAGGCCAGGTGAGCAACCGAGTCTGATGCGGCACCGTTGAGCGTGTTGAAGGAGGCGGCGCTTCCTGGTGGTGGTGGATAGAGCGGGGATGCGAGTGGAGAAGACGAGTTATTGGCACCGTTGGCGTAATTGTAAGGAAGGGACCAGGCAGCGTCGTCCAGGCGTGAGGGTGGGCCTCTTCGCGATGAAGAGGGAAAGCCGGAGCCAAAGACGGACGAGGATGACTTGCGATTCGACGTTGAGTCTGGTGCACCGCCAAAGAGGGAGGTGATGGAAGAGAGGAGACCGCCGCTCATCACGGGCGGGCGGGCTGGCCGTCGTGGTCGTGTGCTAGCAGAGGGAGGCAAGAAACGCGAGAGGGATGAGAGGGAGAGAAGAGTGTGAGTACGCGGAACAGCGAGGAGAGGTTGAAGGTGGTGCGCTGTCTGCCCCCTCGACGACTCACAAGAAAGAACGTGCGGAGTGAGACTTGTCGTCGAGATTGTGGGCCTGATGTGTGTCGTGAAGCGAGTGAGAGTAGTTGTACTGCCTGTTCGATGGATGAGAAGGAGAGGACGAGGAGCTCTGCTACTGCTGTCCTTGTCTGTCTGTCTGTCTGTCTGACGTCGATGCCGCTGTCGTCGGCGTCAGTCGATCGTCGTCGTCGAGTGTTGAGTTGGACTGCTCGCCGCGGCGTGCGCTTGTTGCTTGGTCTCGTCCGTCTGTCTGTCTCTCCTCCTCCTCGCTGCCCTTTGCGGGCGAGACAGCAACGATTGGCCGGGCCAGGCTCTCCAAGTCGCGACGGACGGCCACGCCGCTCGAGCGCCCCTCTTTTGCCCGCCGTCGACGGCGTCACACTCAGGCCAACTCATCTCTCGAGAGCCCACCTCGAGCTCGGCGGCCCCTTTCCGTTCCGACCCACTCAACGCAACATCATCTCCACCAACTCGAGACTGGAGCGGCGAGGGCCACGCACGCCTCGCGCATGTCGCAGCCAATCGTCTCTCCGTTACCACTGCCCGTGATCACCACCACCACCAACGTCTACGCCGCCACTTAGCAGCCGCCGCCATCACTATGGAGGAGCTAGGCATCACCAGCGTCTCGACGTCAGCGGACCCGGCTCTGGCCAGCGCCGTCGACGACCAGACGCGCGTCCACATCGAGGCTCAGCAGGAGGATGACACATTTCTCAGATTCAAGTGAGTGTGACGCCGGCGAGGCTCATGAGGTGATGGCGGTATTGACATTTTTGCGCATTCGCTCACAGGAAGCTCCAGCAGCACCTCGAGTTCCTCGACACCATGACTGAATACGTCAAGGAGGAGCAACGTAACCTCAAGCGTGAGCTGCTCCGCGCCTCCGAAGAAGTCAAGCGCATTCAGTCAGTCCCACTTGTCATCGGCCAATTCCTCGAGCCCATCGATGAGCACACAGGCATCGTCGGCTCGACTACGGGCAGCAACTACGTGGTCCGCATCCTCTCCACACTCGACCGCGAGCTGCTGAAGCCATCCAGTTCCGTCGCTCTGCATCGCCACTCCAATTCGCTCGTCGACATCCTGCCTCCCGAGGCAGATTCGAGCATCTCGATGCTGGGCCAGCACGAGAAGCCTACAGAGACGTATGCGGATGTGGGAGGGCTGGACGTACAGAAGCAGGAGATCAGAGAGGCGGTCGAATTGCCCCTTGTGCAGTTCGATCTCTACAAGCAGATCGGAATCGACCCGCCCCGCGGTGTCCTCCTCTACGGCCCTCCGGGTACGGGGAAGACGATGCTCGTCAAGGCGGTGGCAAACGCGACTACCGCCTCCTTCATTCGAGTCGTTGGGTCAGAGTTCGTGCAAAAGTACCTCGGTGAAGGGCCGAGGATGGTCAGGGATGTGTTCAGGCTGGCGAGGGAGAATGCGCCCGCCATCATCTTCATTGATGAGATTGATGCGATTGCCACGAAGCGTTTCGATGCGCAGACGGGTGCGGATAGAGAGGTGCAGCGTATCTTGTTGGAGCTGTTGAACCAGATGGATGGGTTCGACCAAGACAGCAACGTCAAGGTGCGTAGGTGGCGCACAGCGAGGATTCAAGTACGAAGGGACGGCTGACATCTCTCTTTACCTTGTCACACGCGCAGGTCATCATGGCAACAAATCGAGCAGACACTTTGGACCCGGCCTTGCTTCGTCCAGGTCGTCTCGACAGGAAAATCGAGTTCCCCAACCCCTCTCGCCGAGAGAAGCGCCTCATCTTCCAGACTATTGCTGGCAAGATGTCACTCTCGCCCGAAGTGGACTTGGAGGACTTTGTTTCTCGCCCGGAGAAGCTCAGCAGCGCAGACATTGCCTCGATCTGCCAGGCTGCGGGACTGCAAGCGGTTAGGAAGAACCGATATGTGATCCTGCCAGAGGACTTTGAGGAGGCCTGGAAGCAGTGCGTCGGTGGCAAGGGCCAGTCGGATAAGCCGGACTTCTACAGGTAGTCAGTGGACTGCCAACGATGAAATGACTACCACTATCTTCACGACTGCTGAACGAGCTGAAGTGAATGTCTGTGATTTCTGTGAGAGGTGCCTGCCCTCTACAGATTGTGCTCCTCATCCTCCTCATCCTCATCGTCATCACGGCGCATGCTGATCGTGACTCCACTGGTGTGGCTCTCATCTGCTCCATCCTCCTCCTCGCCATCCTCGCCTCCATTGCGTCCCTCTGCCCGCCCGCGCAGATTCGGGTCAGTAGAGGATTGTGGGATTCCTCCTCCGGCAACACCTCCAAAGCTGTTGTTCGCCGATGACAGCTGCGATGTCTCTGCCGCTGTCGCCTGCGCACCGTACCCTCCATCCTGTACCGTCTCCTCATCCTCACCGCCCTGCTGCGGCGGCAAGGCAGGTCGATCCTGTGGTCTCGGAATGCGATGGAGCAGTCCAAATCCTACCCCACATCCCAGCAGCCCCTCCCCTCCCCACTCCCTATTCGGCACAATGATCACCTCTCTCGTATGATCGTAGTCCGAGTTATAGATGTACAGCCTGAGTGGCCTGCCCTCGTGTCTCTCCACGAGATCATAGAAGTCGCCCTCGTGTCGCAGTACGCCTCCAGCAAAGCCAACTACGTAGTCTCCGAACGGGACGAGGCCAGCTGATTGGGCGGGGGACTCTTCGAGGATGTCGAGGATGTGCCAGACGGCGGAGAGGGCATGTGAGGGGGAGCAAGGACGGAGAGTGAGGCCGAGGAGGGAAGGTTGGGATGTTGGGTCTGAGGAGGAGCTTGCATCTGAAGTTGACCATGAGCGCGATGGGATGATCTCGACGTCTGTGCACGGGGAAGTGAGATGGGATCGATCAGCCAAGAGTAGTTGGCCACCTCTCTTGCATGCCCACCCTCGCACTCACCTCTCAACTCTTGCCTTTTTGAGCTCCAAACATTCAATACCACCCTCGTCCCCTCCCGATCCTCCAATGCCTTCCAAGCAGCCATTGCATCATCCCCTCCCACTCCCCCGCCCGCAGCGCTGGAAAGCTTTGCACCTCCTGCTCCATCTGACCCGTTCCCTCCAGTGGTGATCAGAGGTTGCCCATCAATCCCGACGCAAAAGTCAAAGAAGGGCTCAATTCCCGCCAGGTGTGCAGGCGAGTTCGCTGCGACTCGCACGACGTGGTACCCTGAAGAGGGGGCTTGATTGCGACCCGCAGAGAGGGAGGAGGAGCCTGCGCCCACTTGACGCGATTCTGTGGCTCCCATGCTGAGCGCGTCGAGCGATCAGAAGAATTCAAGATGAAAGGGCAGAGATTGGGTAGTAATGAAAGATGTCAAGGATAAGGTAGCGCGAGGGTCAGTGCGAGGGCGAAGAGGCGGAGCTGTGCCCAAGCGCCGCCAGTCCGCTCGCTCGCTCAGTGAGATCCCAGAGCTCCACGCGACAGGTGGTGAGCCATCGTGGCTCCAACGTGCAGCCTTTCAGGAAGCGCAGCTAGATATGAGATCGAGAGGTGGAATCATCGATGGTAATTGATCGCAGTACGCAGAGGATTCTCAGCTGGCAAGATGAGTGGTACATGTGAAAGAGAGACATCTGTCGCGGCGGCCTTGCTTAGTCGCGAGGGCAGGTGCAGCGCTCAGCCTCAGGGACTTGGGACATGACCTGGTGACGGTGCGGAGAAAGGAGCATCATTGTCAGATCGGCATGCGCACAAGGGGCGATACGGGCGGCATTGACTGGCTGCTCACCTGGACAATGTGGTTGCCACATCCGGCCCAGGTGGTCTTTGAGCACTTGGAGCCTGCGCGTCGATATCAGCAGCAGAGTGTCAGTGAGGTCGCAGCCACATTGTCAACGTCATCGCGCCCGCTCACAAGGCACAGGCATGCAAGCGTCGACGGGAGCAGCGTTGATGGAGAACATGACGAATAGATTGAGGATGTAGTGGTGGAGATGAGTCGAAAAAAAGCTCAGCAGGGTCCTGCGAGCGCTCTGGCTGCTTCTCTGGATCGAATGTCGTGTGCCAAATCTGACTGACTCAAGACCCCGGTGCTGCGCCGGTCATCTGAGCTAGCCTCCCATGTGGAGAGGACCTCAGTTCACTCATCATCGAGCCTGTCTCTGCGTCACCACTCAAGATCCAGCTCTGCCACATGCTCACGCTGGATTCACAGAACATAAGCGACGCAGCACAGCAACTCAACAGGATAGCGATTACACGAGGGTTGCGCAGCATGTACCCACAAAGAGCAAAGAAAAGGACAGATCAGCGCCACGGAAAAGGACGCGACTGTGAGTAGGCGGGGCGTATGTTAGGCTCAATCTATCCCTCGTCCGTAGATCCGAGCCTCTTTGGAGAAAGAGAAGAGGTGGATCAAAGTGATTTGAGGGAAGGTGTGTGTGGCAGCGAGCGTGGGAAGTGGTCGGGGTGGGAGGGCGAGGAGGGCGAGGAGATACGAGAAGCGTGGCTGAAAGTCTTGTCGAGCTAGTGAGAGATGAGTGTGTCAGAGCCCATGCAATATCATCTTGAGATCCGATCGAGTAGTTAGGAAGAATGGAAAGAAGTGAGGATCGCGCTGCGAAAAAGTCAGTCAGACCTTCTCGACCTGCCTGGCTCGAGTCGAGCCGTGGATTTGGCCCGCCCGCCTGCGTCTCAGTCCGCCCTCCAAAGTGGCTCTCGCCTCGACCTCTCCGCTCGCAGCTCAGCTCCAGAGTCGTTGCTTCCTGACCATCACTTCATCGGCCAGCCATGGTGCTCACCGCGCAGAGCACCTCTGCCGCTGGGGCAGCTGCCTCCTCGTCATCACAGCCGCAAGCTCGACCGGAGGATCAGCTGCGAATCGAGATGCTGGGCGCGGGCAATGAGGTGGGACGAAGTTGCTGCGTCCTCACCTACAAGGGCAAGACGGTTGTATGCGATGCCGGAGTGCATCCGGCTTACTCTGGTATCGCGGCGCTGCCCTTCATCGATGAGCTCGACTGGAGTACTGTAGATGCTCTTCTCATCACGCAGTGAGTGCCGCGATCCACTAAATGGGTAATCTGCCAACTTGTCGCTGACTGACAGCCATTATGCCGCTCGCTCAGCTTCCATCTCGACCACGCCGCCGCCCTCACCTACATCATGGAGAAGACCAATTTCAAAGAAGGGCGCGGCAAAGTCTACATGACCCACCCGACAAAGGCAGTCTACCGCTTCCTCATGTCCGACTTTGTCCGAATCTCCAACGCAGGCAACGATGACAACCTCTTCGACGAGGGTGAAATGCTCGCCTCCTGGCGACAGATCGAGGCAGTCGACTTCCACCAAGACGTTTCCGTCGGAGGAGGGCTACGCTTCACTCCTTACCATGCGGGACATGTGCTGGGCGCATGCATGTTCCTCATTGAGATCGCGGGGCTACGCATCCTCTATACCGGCGACTTCAGTCGAGAGGAAGATCGTCATCTCGTTCAAGCGGAGGTACCGCCTGTTCGACCCGACGTGCTCATCTGCGAGAGCACCTACGGCGTGCAGTCCCTCGAGCCGCGCATAGACAAGGAGCAGAGATTCACCCAAATGGTACAAAGCATCGTCTCTCGCGGCGGGCGAGTCCTCCTGCCCGTCTTTGTTCTCGGTAGAGCGCAGGAGCTCCTCTTGTTGCTCGACGAGTTCTGGTCGGCACATCCCGAGCTGCAGAAGATACCCATCTACTACGCCTCTTCGCTTGCAAGGAAGTGTATCAGCATCTACCAGACGTACATTCATACTATGAATGACCATATCAGGTCAAGATTCAACAGGCGAGACAACCCCTTCGTGTTCAAGCATGTCAGCAACTTGAAGTCGCTGGACAAGTTTGAGGACAAGGTAAGTGCGGTAGCGAAGAAGCACATGATGGAAGCGGATGAGACACTAATTGCCTGCTCTCTTCCCCTCTCGCCAGGGCCCCTGCGTGATGATGGCCTCCCCCGGTTTCATGCAAAGCGGCGTGTCCCGCGAGCTTCTCGAGCGTTGGGCTCCCGATCGTCGCAACGGTCTAATCGTGACCGGCTACTCCATCGAAGGCACCATGGCGCGCAATATCCTCAATGAGCCCGACGAGATTATCTCCGTACAGGGCCAAAAGATTCCCCGTCGCATGTCCATCGACTACATTTCCTTCTCTGCTCACGTCGATTACGCCCAGAACTCCAAGTTCATCGACGAGATCAAGGCGCAACACGTCGTGCTTGTGCACGGTGAGGCCACGGCGATGGCTAGGTTGAGGGCGGCGCTGCAGAGCAAGTACTCTGAGCGTAGTGAGGATGTCAAAATTCACACGCCAAGGAATTGTGAGCCCCTCCGGCTGCAATTCAAGGCCGAGCGGCTCGCCAAGGCCGTGGGCTCTATCGCGGAGAAACCTCCCAAGGCTGGCAGCACGCTCAAAGGCTTGCTGGTGAGCAAGGATTTCGCATACACCATCTTGGACCCAAAGGACCTGGCGGAGTTCACTGGCCTCAATACCAGCACCATCATCCAGCGACAACGCGTAGCCCTCAACGTCGGGTGGGACATGGTGCGCTGGCACCTCGAGGGGATGTACGGCTCCGTACAGGAGGGGGTCGACGTCGAGGGCAGGAGGACGATGCGCGTCATGACTGCATTGGATGTCAAGCAGTCCGGCGTGCACGAGCTGTTGCTCGAATGGGTGGCGAGCGTCAACAATGATATGGTGGCGGATTCGGCATTGGCGCTCTTGTTGGGGATCGACTCAAGTCCCGCGACGGTCAAGATGACTACGAGGCCTTGTGGACATTCGCATGGGCATGAGGGGCAGGGCAAGGGGGACGCAGCGGAGGAGGCGAAGGAGGAAGAGGAGACGGTGGAGACGGTGGAGAAGCATCCGCACGCAGATAAGGTGATCAAGGATGCAGAGGAGGCGGCGACTGCCAAGCGTGCTGAGCGGGCGATGAATGTGGCGTCCTTCCTCGAGGCGTACTACGGCGACGTGGAGGAGATTCAGATTGGTGGCAGCCAAGACACCAGCATGAGCGAGGACGAGAAGGCAGAGACGAAGAGCGAAGAGGACGTCAAGGCCGAGCAAGAAAATGGCGACTCTGTCGCCGAAGCAAACGGCGACGCTAAGATGGGCGAAGGCGAGCAGCAAGTCAACGGCAACGGAGAAGTAGAGACCTCACCCGCGACCACCACCTCCGCAGCAGAGCCGGCCGCCTCCGCGCCCACACCTCCCCCTCCCTCTCTCGAATCCACCATCCCCGGCCCCTCGCGTCAAGCGCTTCGCGTCCGACTCGACGACAAGGTCGCCATTGTGGACCTGGAGGACGCCCTCTCCTCCTCCTCCACCACCGCCGCGACGTCAGCGCACCTCTCCGTCTACTCCCGCAGCGAAGCCCTGCGTCGTCGCGTGCTCCACCTCGTGGCGCTGGCAGACAGAGCGGCAACTTCTGCCGCGGACACGTTTAGGATGGATGAGCCGATGTGCTCTGAGCTCTTCCTCGGGGTGCATAGCAGGCCGGTGGAGCCTGGTGAGGCAGATGATGAGGAGCGGGGCATTGAAGGAGCGGAGGGAAAGAAAAGGGCAAGGATCATGGCGTAGACTGGATGATATTGTGAGAGAGAGAGGAGGGGAAGGAGCGCACCCGTGATCGTGACTTTGTACAATAGCTATCCAAATGGGCAAGCCTGCCTGCCTGCCCACCCACCTACATCGCTGTCTCTTACGCAAGGGAGCTGCGCTCCATCTTCTCCACTACAGGCGCGAGCCTCTCATCTCCGGGTCCCCTGCTCGTTCTCCCACTGTTGTTGCTGCCGTTGCGGAAGAGAGTCCTGCTCGGCGCCGAAGGCGATACGCTGGTGAAGGCGAGGCGAAGCTGGTGCATCTCGGCGTGGCTGAGGGTGATCGTCTTGGCCTGTGTTGCTGTGTTGGTTCCAGCTCCATTGTTGGTAGCGCCGATGCGAGGCAGGATGAACCCCTTGACCAGGTCGCGCACTTCCAACGGTCGCATGACACTGAGAAGGAAGGGCGCCTTCTGAATCTGTTCGTACCTGAAGCTCCTAGCATTCGGGAACCGCTTCCTCAGCGTACCTCCGATGGGCTCTTCATAAGGCAGATGTTCACTCCCCTCCACGACGAGCAAGTCAGCCGTGACTCTCGCCCTCTCCTCGTCACTCTGCGCCTTGCGCTCGAAGTAGAGGTCGAACAGGAAAGCCCTAGCTGCCTCCTTCCCATCGCCGCGACGGATGAATCGATCGTACAGGTCTGCGAAAGTGCTTCGCTCCACATGCTTGGGCAGCGATTCGTCCTCGCCTGCCCATCTGTAGCCGAAGCCCTCGACGAGCTCCCCAGGCATGTTACCAGCACTATTGCGTGAATCCTCATCGCTATGTGCTGTTGTCCAGGCCTCGTTGATAATCTCCTCGCATTGCGCGATCGAGTCGATGATGAATTGATCCTCCACCTCGAGGATCGGGCTAACGATGCTCAAAGTCTGGATGGCGTTGCCTAGCTTGGCGGCTGCCCGCGTGGCGACGAGGCCAGACATACCGCAGGCGACGATGTGGAACTGCCATTGTCCTCCCTGTGGCTTGGCCACGCCAGGTGCATTGAGGTACTCGTCCAGGAAAGCCAGACAATCCGCCGTCTTGGTGTCCAAGTCGTAGAGGTGAGGCGAACCCTTGCGAGGCGGAACCTCCCTAGTCAGGCCGTGACCGCGAGGATCGAGGGCGAGGATGTTGAAGCGACGTGAGAGGTCGGCATCGCAGAGGATGTGAGGGAAGAGGAGGGAGACGGAGAAGAGCTCCGAGGGGAAGACGACTAGGAGCGGGTAGCGTGGGTCTGGGTGAGTGGCGGCGGAGAGAGAGTCTGGGATGTGGCCATTGGCCTTTGTGCCTGCGGCTGCGCGAGCCGTGGCTGCTTGTGTGAAGATGGGGTGGGAGGGAGTCGAAAGGAGGTAGTGCAGTTGGACCTCGTCTTTTGCGCGGAGGTGCGGGAAGGACTGGCGAGGCGTGGGCAGGAGATGCGGGCATTAGCTGAGAATCGGGAGATGTGAGCAGGTGCGTACGGCTCACCTCGGACAGGTTGAGGAAAGGCATGATTGCTACTAGCGTATGAGGGCGTAGTGAAGATGCTTCGATCACAAGAGAGGCCGCGACTATATATCGAGCCCAACGTCAGCGTTGGACGATCAAAGGCGAGAAATCGACGGTACTACAGGGGCGGTTCGAAGGGGTCTGAGCGAGGGTGATGACGTCCTTCTTAAGGCCAATCTTCGATTGATGAAAGGCCCGACCGAGAGCTGTCTCGGACCTCATCTCATCTCGTCTCCCACGCCCTTGTTGAGTCTCGCGAGGTTGAGCCAGAAAGAGTGACACATCGCTTGCTCCGGCGGGGGCCACGGCGAGATCGGACACCTGAGAACGCGGTGTCGCTGACTCCCTCGAAGCCCCCTCGCTGCCTGACCGAAGCTCAATTTTCCCTCCTCGATGATGCTCTTCAAGGGGTGCGTGCGACTCGATGTACGACTGGGGAGGGTTTTTGAGCTTAAGCCTGCGCCGATCAGTGCGCCACACGCTCAAGGGGTCCCTGCTCCCTCCGTCGACGCGTCCTCTTCATTGCCGTGCCGTGAGAAAGCGCAAGCAAGGCAAAAAGGCGGGCTGGGCTGGACCTGCAGCAGCCGTGCAACCGTCGCTCCGGCTCAACTTGCTCTCGGGCTGCGTTGCCGTGTCTCCGTATCCCGTCTTGCGTCTCCGTCTCCGTCTCCACACTCAGTCACCCCCTCGTCCCCTCACGACTGCCCTTGGAATCGCAGCTAGCCTTGGAGTTCCAAGCTAGCCCATCGTCATCCTCTCAACATGGCCACCTCCCACCCCTTGCGCATTCAAATAGCCTCGTACAACTTCAACCTGCAAGGCACCACAACGCCCTTCCCCGACTTGCAACGCTGGTTGATCCCCACCCTCTCCGAGACACGTCCCGAGTATAGCTCCACCTCTCTCACCTCTGGCCGTGAAGCGCCTGACATCTATGCCGTCGGCTTCCAGGAGCTGCTGCCGCTGCACCATGCATTCGCTGATGATCAAGAGGCAAAGGAGGTGCGGCAGCACACGGCTAGGGAGATCAGGAGGGCTGTGAGACATCATGCTGCGGTTACGCGGCAGGACGGGGTGTATCCTGAGGGCGGCGGGCCCGAGGACTACACTTTGCTGGCTGAGGTACATCTCGTGAGCATCACCCTCTTCGTCTTTGGGCGTAATCGCTCAGGAGTGCCGCAGCGACTCAAGGAGGCGCGCGTGGCAAGTGCCTCTACTGGTATCCTCAACCTGCTGGGCAACAAGGGAGCCGTCGGCGTACGATTAGTCCTTTCTGCTCAAGGCGAAGGGGAAGACGAGGTGATCACACTCGTATGTGCTCACTTGGCCGCGCATGACCACCAAGTGGAGCGACGCAATGCCGATTTCAAGAACATCGTTAGCAGACTGGCATTCACGCCTCAGTCCACCTTGCCGCTCCCCGACCCGCCGATCGCAGCTCCCCAAACTGGCGAGGATATGGAAAAGGTCAAGGAGCGCTACCAACAGGACGTGGACAGCCAACGCGCAATTGGAACGCAAAAGCCATCCAAGCCCCTGGACAATCAGACGTACACTCTCTACGATTCGCACCACGCCTTCTTCTTCGGCGACCTCAACTATCGTCTCGGCCTCGAAGGTGGCAAGAAAAACAAGGAGGGCAAAGAGGGAGCTTCCTCATCTGCCGCGGGGTTGAGCAAGCACGACGTCCGTCGCAAAGTCTCTCAGCAGGACTATGCGACTTTGGCCAAGCATGACCAGCTCGCTCGAGAGCGCCAAGCTGGCAAGACGCTGCAAGGCTTTGTCGAGGTGGACGTCGGGACGGCGTTCGGGCCGACGTACAAGTTCAAGCCGCAACGGCGAGAGGGGAAGGGAAAGGGTAAAGAAGGGACTGGGGAAGGGGACGCCGTGAAGAGAGAGAAGGGGGACGCGCCGGTAAAGGGACAGGAACTGAGCGCGAAACGCGTGCCAGGTTGGACAGATCGTGTGCTCTGGGCGAGCAATGGTGGGCAAGAGCAAGGAGAAAAGACGACGGGCACAACGGGAGCCGGGTCAGCAAGCGTTATTCCGGGCAGACACGGCGTGCACGTCGAGCTCTTCCGCAGCATCATGGGTTACACGCTCTCGGACCACAAGCCCGTCACTCTCCTCGCAACCCTGCCGCGCGCACGGCAGTCCAATTCCAACTTGGCGCCGTATCGCCTCGACGGGAATTACGCAGCGTACCGTGCGCTGGGCACTTTGCTGGACAGGCTGGTCGGGTACGCCTGGTGCGCCCTCGTTGCGGCAGGGGCGGGACAGGTGCTCGTGGGTGTGGCAGAGGTGGTCGTCATTGCGTTGCTGAGTGTGTGGTGGCTGAGGACTGGTGGGCAACAAGGGGGAGGAGGGGATCTGGGTTACTGGTTCTCAAGCCTCGCGGGAAGGCCGTGATCGGCAGCGCTTGGGCTCTCTCTTGTGCACATCTGTAGGCTTGAAATTGTATACCGTACCATATCGTGTCGCGACATTTTCCACTTTGAGGTCTTTCTTTGCTATTCGTGGACGTCATTAGAACTTGAGCAGCTCGTACAGAATGATGAGGACGTTGATCAAAACGAGGGGTACTGCGAGGTGCACGACAAAGAAGTCAGGTCAATCGATGCTCGTCTTCTTCTCCCTCTCTTCAGCATCACCGATCGCTCACCTCTCAGCAATGTTCTCACGGCTCCCATCAAGTTCACCAACCTCTCCTTGACGCCAGCATCACTTGATCCTCCGTGCCCTCCCGGTCCAGAGGTGAAGGAGTGCTGCTGCTCGTACTGGATAGAGGCGGATGACCAGCCGACTGGCGGGAGTTCAGAGAGCGGTGATGGGGGCAGAGATGATCAGCACGAGAAAGTGGATGAACGGCAGTCAGGCGCACGTCTCTCCCACCTCTTGAAAGGAAACGATCCTCGTTGAGAATGGCAATGGCGTTGAGGCAGAGGACGGACACGTAGAGGAGCGTACCGAACATTGTGGGCGCAGCAGCAGCAGCAGCAGCAGCAGCGGCGACCTGCGGGGCTCTACGCTTGCTGCTCAGTGGCAAGGGGTCCTGCAGCAGTCCGAGAGGTTTGTCGAGCGCTGTCCCTAGCGAATCAATGTGCGAGATGTCAGGACGATATTGCGGGTCAAGAGGCTAGAGCGGGACGATCTGGCGCACAGGCCCCCGGATCATCGATGCCACGTGGAGACGGAAGTGGCCCGTCGAGGCTACGAAGTGCACGGCCAATTGCCTTTCCTCGTTCTGGCTCCCACTTCCTTCCTCTCCGCTTCTCGCTCCCCATCTAATCCCACCAACTCCCTTTCCTCTAAGTGATATTCAGCCGCCCTACCAGCATGGCCACCCAACCCGCCTCAACAGCCGCAGCGCTCGGCTCATCAGGCTCTTCCCCCTCCTCCTCCCCTCCCTCCTTCATCAACTCGCTAATCGACTCCCTCTTCCAACCAGGACTCAACAGCCCAGCCCGAGTGGTGATGCATCGCGCATTTGCTGCTCTGATCCTCGTGCTCCTCTCTCTGCTCATAGTCACTCAGAATGGGCACGTCCTCGCACTACTGGCTATCGCGCTGGGCCTTTGGGGGAGCGTGGCTTGGTGAGTAGCGACGGGGAGGAGGAGGAGGAGGAGGGCAAAGAGAGTGTGAGACAGAAAGCTGACATGCTTCGTGTGACGCCGTGTGATGCAGGTTCTTGGCTGAGCTGGCTAAGATGCCTCCTTCGGTGAGGGAGCCACAGAAGATGCCTGCTGTGCCTATCGAGGATAAGAAGGACGAGTAAGCGCGAGAGGAAGAGAGCAGAAGGAGGCATCGTCCGCCGTGCGGTGACGAGGCGAAGGGGACCTTGGCCTCGCTGGTCCATTGACAGTCAAATGCTATACCCAAGTTGCATCGCAACGCCACGTCCCCACGAGCAGTATACAAAGCATGCATTACACGCATCGACATCTCCTCACCACACATCCTCACACCCTCCTCTTCCCCAAGACCTTCCCACACGCCGCCTTGATAGCCTGTCCAGCCTTCTCCACCTCCTTCCTACTCAAACCAGCAGTGACCGCTATCCTGATGCTCGGCCTCGCCAGCACGCCGCGTTCCAGCACTTCGGCTTTAATGCTCGGCAGCTTCTTGCGGAGGGACAGCATGACATGCCCGGATTCGAGGGCCTCGTCGAGGATGGATTGGAGTAGAGCCAGCTGAGCAGTCGGGGAGAGGTCGTGGTGCGGGTCGAGGAGGTTGCGCGATTCACCGTCCGCTGCCGAGCTGTTGGTGGGCACCATGGCTGATGACGATGATGACGATGCAGCCGCGTCAAACTTGCCCTGAGGCGTATCCGGATGCCTGTGCCCCTTGGCTCTGACCTGCAGATGAATGACCGGGCTCTCCGCATCACTAGGGATGTAAAGAGTCTCCACCTTGTCGAGTACGGCTCGCAGTGCCCTCGTGTTCTCCCGCAGCCGCGTCAATACATCATCGTCGTTGCGCGAGATCTTGGCAATGGCTATACTAGCCGCCACGGCCAACATGGCGGGCAGCGCTGCCGAGTAGACGAAGGCCGGGCCGTTGATACGCTGATGGAACACCACCTCGTTGCTGCCCGCGCAGAATCCTCCTGCTGAGCCCAGCGTGTTCGCCATGCTACCAACGATCATGTCCACCTCGCTCGCAGGTACGTCGTGCAGCTCTGTCAGTCCTCGTCCTGTGCGGCCGAGCGTGCCAAAGGAGAGGCCCTCGTCGAGAATGAGACGGAACTTGTACTTGCGCTTGAGCTCGATGAGTCGCTTGAGGTTGGAGATCTGCCCGTCGTTCTCAAAGAGACCTTCCGTGATGATAAAGCGACGGGTGAGAGGCTTCTTGCGTCTATATTGCTGAACAACGGATTTGAGCGTGGCTTCCAGGGATGACTGCGCGTGGTGGTCGCGAAGGAACCAGTGTCAGCTTGCGACCTAGGGCTAGACTGCGGCGTACAATCACTCACCATATCATTATGATCGTAATATCGCACGGTCGAGCGCGAGATGGCGATGCCCTTTTGAATGGCAAAGTTGACCCCCTTGTCCGCTACGATGATGTCGCCTCGCTTGGAAAAGGCCGGGATGACGGAGGAGATGGTCGAGAAGCCCTGAGAGTAGATAATGGCCGCCTCCGTGCCGAGGAGGCGGGCGATGTCCGACTCGAGAGCCATGTGGACATCTGACGGTCAAGAGGACGAGAGGGTTAGCAAACTCCTTGAACGATGGCGGCAACGGAGGAAGCTCACCAATCGTCCCATAGAAGCCAGGAGGACTACAGCTTCCCACTCCGTAAGTCCTCAGAGTTTTGATGGCCGCCTCCTTGACTCTCTCATCCCCAGCCAGATCAGCAAAATTGTAGCTCGCCAGGTTGACGACCTCCCTCGGCTTGCCTCCGTGTACGTGCGGCAGGGAGATCTTCGGGTGCGGGGAGTTGCCGCCAATGATGGTAGGTACGGCGGCGAGGGATTGTTCCTCTGAGGCTGTGAGGGGCTCACAGAGTGGGAGAGGATTGAACTCGCTGACTAGGTCATCGATTTCCTGGCAAAAAGGGCGCGACGTCCGACGTCTATTAGCGCTGCGACATCGCCTCAAGTCCTCGTAGCTCTTCCTTCGCGCTCACCTTGTCGTCCAACTTGACAAAGTTCGACCCACTAGCGCTCGCCCTCGTTCTACTCTGCAGGACGGTCCTGATCGCAAAGGCGAGGAGGAACAGCTCCAGCAGAGAGCGAAAGGGGTCATTCTGGTAGGACGAGGCAATGTATCGTGTGAGGATGGGCGAGCCGGGGATCTTTTCGAAGGCCGAGGAGAGGGAGGAGGAGAGGGAGAGGAGCGTAGTGGTGAGGGCGTCAGATGTGCGAGGGGAGGTGAGGGGCGGAGCTGTCAGAGGGGTGGCCATTGGTGAGGCCATTTTTGTTGTGAAGAGAGGGGGGAGAGAGGGGGGAGAGAGGTGGGTAGGAAAGGAAGGAAAGGAAAGCATGGAAAGCCAGGCCGGGCCGGCGGGAGTGTTGAGCCGCGACGTCGAGTCGAGCGGACGGCGGACTGGGCGCCATTGGGCCCACGGAGAGAGGCAGTCGAGTCGACCTCGAGGTTGAGCTCGCCTTGATTCACTCCTTCGCGTTGCATCCGATCCTTTGCCCTGCTTCACTTCTCCCTCGCCTCCCATGGCATCCTTACCACCCTCAGCCTACGGAGATGCCCTCCTCTCTGCTTCTGCCAATCTTCCGCACTCCACTCCAGCCCTGGCATCCCTCCTCGCCCTCTTCCCCTCCCCTACTGCTCCTTCGCCCGTGTACCTCGCCCTCCCAACCTCCAACCCAGATCGCGTCGTTCCCGAGCTGAGGAAATGTCGCGGCTACCTCAAGGGAGAATGGGAGGAGCTGGCAGCTAGTCGCGTAAAGGCGCTGCTGTTTTTGGGTAGAGGCGCCGAGGCCAAAAGTAGGGGAGATGCGGCTGGGGAGAGGTTGGAACTTCACAGCGCGTACGAGTGCTACGAGACGACGGCTACGTGAGTACGACGAGGGATCTGAACTTCAGCTCAACTTGCCTAACAGGCTGACCACTCCTATTTCTCCCTCGCTCGCGTAGCCTCTTCCTCCGCATCCTCACCTCCGTCCCACCCAGCACCGACTCGAGGCCCTACCTGCCAGTCCTGATGCAGATCCTCCTCGACCTACGCCAACTTGCCCTCCTAGCAGATCGCGTCACAGCAGCCTCAGAGCCCTCGACATCCACCTCCCGCCCCGCACAGCCCCACCTTGAATCAACAGCTCGCCACCTAAACAAAGCCTTCACGGCCTGCGTAGCAGATCGCAACCCTTCTCTCCTCACCTCGCGCAAATGGGCAACCTACCGCATAGTCGCCATCCTCTTCCGCACCTACTTTCGTCTACGCGCCCTCCCTCTATGCCGTAACGTCCTCCGAGCACTCAGCGCTGCCCCTCTGCCTCCCCTAGACCATTTTCCTCGCGCGGACAGGGTCACATTCAGATACTACACGGGACTGCTACACTTCCTGGCGCAGGATTATGCACCCGCGCTGCAGGACCTCAGTGAGGCGTGGGGCGAATGCCATGCGGGGGCGATCAAGCAGCAGGAGTTGATACTGGTGCCTTTGATTCCGCTGGAGTTGCTCTTGAGGGGGAGGAGGCCAAGTAAGGTGCTCCTGGCGCGTTTCCCAAAGTTGGAGGCGCTTTACAGCCCTTTCCTGAGCTCCTTGGCGCCCAAGCCCGACCTGAGACGATTTGCCGCTGCGCTTGCTGAGCCAAGCTTCGAGCGTGCGCTCGTGGTGCGTGGAACCTACTTGGCCGTCGAGGCTTTCCGGCCCATCCTTCTGCGGCAGGTAGTCAGGCGATTGTGCGCCCAGGTGCTGAAGAGCACGCGTGTGAAGCTAGCGGATGTGCAGACTGCGCTTAGGTTAGCGGGATGGACTCCGGCGAGCGGAGAGGGAGGAGGTGGGAGCGAAATTGAAGCCGGAGACGCCGCAGCGGAGGTGGAGTGGCTGGTCGGCTCCCTGATTGCCCGCGGCTTCGTAAAGGGGTACCTCTCCCACGAGAGGCAGATGATGGTTCTGAGCAACGTCAACGCCTTCCCGCCGTTGAAGGATGTGGCTGCCGCGGGGAGTGGAGGCGTTGTAGGCATCTAATCGCACAGGACATCCTTATCAAATACCATGCCATTCTCGCCCGTCTTTACTTCTTGACGGCGTCCAACTGCCGGTTGAAGCCTCCCTTCCTGTTCATGTACTGTCGCCACGTCCTCTCCTTCTTGACATTGGCTCCCCCTTGCGAGTTGCCCTTGACGTGCGTCCCCTTTGTGGTGCCAAACCCGCCAAAGCCCATCGAGGCCATCATGGCCGCTTCGGCTTCGTCGATGGGCGCAGCGTCCTCCTCTTCGTCTGCTGCGTCAGCCTCAGGGGCCGCTCCAGTCGCCATCGGTTCTGCAGCGACTGCTGTTCCATTGTACTTTGCGGATATGCCGTTGGTAGCTGCTAGATGATCTCCTTTGCTGCTGCTACCGCTAGTGCGTGATGGCGGGGAAGTCTCCCTCCTCCTGTCCCGACCTCGAGGCGCAGGGGAGCGACTACGAGACGACCTGCCTCTTCCCCTCCCACCATCTCGCTCTCGGTCACGCTCAGCGTAGCGATCTCTGGGCTCATCTCTCCAGTTTCTACCACTCCCTGCCGCCCCACTACTACGCTCATAGTCCCAGTCCCTCTCTCTGCGATCCTCTCTTGGAGGCGGGATGGCGCGACCCTGCTCTCTCTGCGGGGGGACGCTGCGTCCTTGATATGACGATGATGAAGCAGCGGGCCCACGCGAGTAGGTGCCCTCGTCTCTGTAGTCTGGCCGCATAGGTGGCGGGGGACGATCGCTTCGCCCCGCACCGTATGGCTGAGGTGGTTGGCGAGGATAGCCGTCTGCACGATCATCATACGGTCGACGTGGCGGCTCAGGACGATAGCGACTGGCGTCTCTGCCACCTTGTTCTCGGTCGTCGCCGCGACGTGGAGGGTCTGGGCGTTCGCGATAGGACATTCTACGCTCTTTAGGCTTATATGGAGGTGGAAGAAAGGATAATTCGATGTGTAGCGCCGAGATGCTTGGTTCCACTCCTTGGTCTCGAGACGGGAGTGGCATTGGACTCGACTCGCGTGTCCGCCCTCGAGTGGACCCACGGCGCTGCCTGACCTTGGTGGCCTGGCTTGGGCGGCGGAAATGACGTTCGGGCCGCTGCGACTGTTCCACGCTGGAGCTGCGTGAGACCCGACTGATTGAGGGCCACGAGTCGGACAGAGAGAGAGAGGCAGATGGAGGTCTTGGTGTGCGGTGTGCTTCTTGATTTGACCCCACTCGCTTTCTCATCGCTACCACTGCGATTTGTGTGGAGCATCCTAGAGCGCTTCTGTCCTCTTCAAAGTGCTAGCGTTACCGGTCGCTACTGACCAGCCGCTGTCACGACAACAACCGCTCTCTACCTCCTCTTCCTCGACATCGCCTGCCTCTTCGACTTCTCACGACTCTTCGAGCGCCGTGACCCGCACACAGTAGACGCCCAGCATGGCGCAATCTAGACCAGGAGGCGGGCACGCTCCCCAGCCCAGCGTCGCAAATGCCGCCAGCCTTTTCGGCGCAGGAGGTGGTGAGGACAGCGATCCTTTTGCAACCATCTCTTCCCCTCCAGCACCGGCTGCAGCTCCTCAGCTTGGGACGATGAGCGAGGAGCAAGAGGATGGAGGAGCTGCTGACCTTTTTGGAGATGGGCAGCAAAACCAACAGTATAATCAGTACTATCAGCAGCAGTACCAGCAGCAGCAGCCGGCTGACATTGGATCGCAAGTCGCGTCATCATCGAGCGGTCTATTTGGCAACGATGCTGCAACAGCCAACGATGACTGGCTCGGCGGCGGCGGCGATGCCAATGCAGGCTATGATCAATGCCAACAACAGCAGCCGTACGACCCTTCCGCAGATTCGACAAGCTGGTATGACGGCGCCGGCGCTCAACAGACAGACTACTCAGCCACGGCGCAGAGCTCGTCTGGCTACGATGCATATGGCCAGCAGCAGCAGCAGTACCCAGACAGCAACTACTACCAGCAGCAAAGCTACGATGCTGGCGCATACGACCCATCGCAGTATCAGCAGCAGCAAGACCAAAGCTACCAGCAATGGGACTCGCAGCAGCAGCAGCATCAGCCGGGATATGACAATTACTACACTAGCGGCGCAGGCGACTCTACTGGGTCCTACGCATACCACGCTCCGCAGCAGCAGTACGCTCCTCCCGCCAGTCAAGCTCACGGCTACGATGCGCAGGCCTCAGCTGGGCAGTACGACTACTCGGCAGCAACGCAGAGTCAAGGTCAATACGACCATACTTCGGCCAATGGGTACGATGCGAGCCAGCAGAGTCAGCAACAGGACTACTACGGCACCACCTCATACGATCCGCAGGGCTACGCACTGCAGTCCGCTGATGGGTACCAGCAGGACCAGTATGCAGCTAACTACGGGCAGTACGACGCCCAGCAGGCAGACCCTCCTGCTCAAGGAGACTATGATGCCTACAATGCACAGCAGCAGCAGCAATGGAACTCGGCGCAGACCGACTACCCGTCGCAGGCGAGCCAGCAGTATCAGCCTTCTCAGCAGTACGACGCATCCCAACCGGACCCCTACGCTCCGCCTGCGACTCAAAGTCAGTACGAGCCATCTCCAGCTGCGTCAACCCAGTATGACCCGAGCAGTACGCCCCGAGCCAGCGGGATCGACCTGCCTCCAACGTCTCAGGAGCAGCCTCGCTTCACCGCGTCAGAAATGTCCTACGAGAACTCGTATGATGCGCAATTACAGACCAGCAATGCGACGACGGACGCCTACGGAGCTCCTCCGACCCAAGCCGCCTCGCACGAAGAGACCACGCCGGCAGCAGCAACGGCTCCCGCAAATGCGTACAGCCCGTCCCAATCCGCCTCGCCCTCCATGCCTGCTGCCCCACCTAAGGGTCCTCCCAAGGGCCCGCCGCGAGGCCCGCCGAGAGGGCCGGCCAGAGGCCCATCGAGGACGTCTTCGTCCAAGGCTATTCCTCAGCAGCCCGCAGCAGCCGCGCCCGCTCCCGATGAGCCCACTCCGCAATCGCCTGCTCTGCAGCTCAACGGCCTTTCCACCTTCGATGGACCTGCAGCTCAGCATGCTCCTTCGGTGACAGCGGCAGCGAGCGAGGAACAGCCCGCGCCCTGGGACGTTGCCTCTACACCCGCCGCAGATGCAGCATCGTCGTCGACTGATGGTGCTTCCCTCTTCTCCCCGCCTGCGGACCCAGCAAGTGGCGAAGCGCCTTCGCAATTGGCCGATCCAGATGACTCGGAGACCTCCCTCGCACCACCCCCCCGCTCCAGGCAGGCCACTCCCAAGCTCCTCGTCACGGGGGACGACGATTCTACCAAAGAGATTGAGGTCACTCCCTCCCCCGACGAAGAGTACCCAGCTGCTGATCAGACGATCATTGAGCGAAGGGACAGTCTGGCGTCTCAAGGGGCTGGACGGGACGACGATCTGGACGAGGCCACGCGCGAGTTCAACGACTTGCAGCTCATCAGTCGAAGTAAGAGCCAAAGCAGTGGCAGTGGCGCTAGCACGTCGAGTCAGAAGGAAGTGGTGGATGCAAGTCGACCGATGAGTCGGGAGGTGAAGAAGGGGCCAGATGTGAATGCAAAGAAGGGGCCGAATGCGAGCGTGAGGAGAGGAAAGGGCAGGGGTAAGAGGGTGGAAGAGGAAGAAGAAGAGGAGGACTGGGGGTGGGGCGTTGATGAGGTTGAAGGTGGTGGTGGCTATGGAGGTGAGGAGGCGGGATATTCGGGTGATCAAGCGTCGCGCGAGGAGCCGATCGATCAGCCCGATCCCTACGCCCCTCCTCCTGTTACGCAAGGCCAGGACCAGTATGCGCCTCCTTCTCCTGTCGCTGCCTCGGGCGATCAAGACCCGTATGCGCCTCCAGCCGCTGCCGCTGGCGCATCGGAAACTTACGAGCCGGAAGCTGCAGCAGATTACGGATATGGCTATGATGCCGGCTATGGTCGCGAAGCTGAAGACGGTGGGGACGCCGAGAGCGGCGATCAAGCCTCGCGCGACGCGGCAGCAGAGAGTCACGATGCATATGCACCTCCTTCTACCTCCGAGGGTCAGGATCCCTACGCACCTACACCTGGCAGCGCATCGCAAGGGTATGAGTCGGAGGCTGCGACGGGGTACGGCTACGGATATGAGGCTGGCTACGGAGGCGGAAGCGGGGAAGAAGCTGGTGCTGGGCAAGATCCATACGCCCCTCAAGTGCAGGGTGGAGAAGACGATGCAGAGGCGTATGTGCCTCGACGGGACGCAGACCCGTATGCCCCTCAGGAGGATGAGGATCTGTACGCCCCTCCTGACCAACAGACAGATCCCTACGCACCTTCGGCGACCGGACAGGCGGACGCATACGCCCCTTCGAAAGCAGCTGAGGCGGACCCGTACGCACCACCTGCGACATCTGAACATGACCCGTATGGTCCGCCTCCGACTTCTCATCATGAGCAAGACCCCTACGGTCCCGCCATAGGCTCGCAGTACGGCTCTTCGTCTTCATCGGCTGCCAAGCAAGACCTCTACGCTCCTTCCGCCAGCAACGCAGACCCATACGCTCCGATAAACACAAGCAGTCGAGGCGCCTACAACCCATACGAGCCTGCAGAGCAGTCGGCGCTCCCAACTCAGGACCCTTACGCACCGCCAATCAGCTCGAACGCTGTGGCTGACCCGTACGCGCCTTCCTACGGAACTGAGTCTGGCTCGCAGGATGCCGGATGGGGCTCGTCACTGGGCGGAGCAGATGGAGCCTACGCAGCACCGCCAATGTCGCGCGGCTACGGCTCAGGAGCCTCTTCTGCAGTGCCGGACACACCCTTGGCCTCCCGAGCACCTGCTGCGCCTTCTTCTGCCGGCTACTCGGCGTATGGACCTCCCTCTCACCACGGCCGCTCCGACTCTCAGTCAGGCTCAGTCTTCGACGAAGGCGCTGCAGGCCCATATGGACCGAGCGCTGCAGTGGCCGGGGGAGCGGGCTACTTTGGCAGCCGTGCACCCAGCTCGAGCTACAGTGCGGCTCCGCACGAAGCTGCTTCGCCGTACGAGCTTCCCCGCGAGAGGGAACAAGGCTTTGAAGCCGGCTACGCAGATGCGCCTGATCCAGCAGAGGAGAAGCGCAATGCCCGCATCCCTCTTGCGTGCTTCGGCGTGGACGGCAAGATTGTCACCTTCTTCCCGACGCAAAGTCATGCCAGCAGCGGGCTGGGCGACGGATATGGCTACGGCAGCGATACTGCGCCGCCAACGAAAGTCTCGGTGCGCCAACTTTCCAACCTCGTCCCGCCCACAGCGTTCGCCTCGTCCTTCGACCCGCTGCTCTTCCCTGGACCCGCATTCGAGAGCACTGCGGTCACCAGCGCCATTGCACGAGCGACGGGAGCGGGCAGCAGTGTCTCCACCAGCGTCAAGAGCAAGAAGACGACGCTCATCAAGTTCTTGCGTGATGCAGCTGCTGACCTCGAGGCCGGCATGGGCTACCGCAGACGCCGGCCGTCAGTCGTGGATGCGGTCAAGCCTCACGACGTCTCCTCGTCGTCCTCCTCTGCTGGCGACGAAGAGGCCGGCAAGGCAGAAGATCGTATCCTCCTCATCCGCCTCCTCGCCATCATGCTCGAGCAAGACGGCAACGTAGCCAACAATGCGGCGTTCGACGAGGCGGTGCGAGCGCTGCTGGCTGGAGAGCAAGGTGCGCAGCAAAGCTCGACCTTCGCGCCTGGGTACGCAGACCCGAAGAGCAGCACTGGGAACGGCGCCTCGGGCACAACGCTGCACAGCTACGAGGTGACATCGAAGCATCTCGAGCAGATTCGCGACCTCCTCGTCACAGGCCAGCGTCGCGAGGCTGTAGCCTACGCCACATCTCAGCGACTGTGGTCCCACGCTATGGTAATTGCTAGCGCTGTCGATCAAGAGACGTGGAGACGAGTGGCGAGCGATTTCATCGAGGCTGAGTTGTCAGGTGATGCAGGTGATAAGGACGCGAGCCTGAAGCTGGCGTATGGCCTCTTCTCCGGGCAGGAGCCTTCCATGATCCAGACTCTGTTCCGACCGGATGTTCCGCCCTCTGCGGCCTCGTCATCGCAGGACTGGCGCAATTCCGCGGCCGTCATCCTTGCCAATCGCTGCGCAGGCGACTCGACCGCTCTGACAGCAATGGGCGATGCCCTCGCCAACGCAGGTCGTCAAGAAGCGGCCCACATCTGCTACCTTCTTTCACCTCGAACCTCCTCATCAGGCGGCGTCGACGCTCCCAATGCTCGCATGTCGCTTCTCGGGGCACCCAGCCCGCTGGCCAGTACCTCCTACCTCCGCGACATGGATGCCTTCATCCTATCAGAGATTTACGAATTCTCCTTCGCACTCGTGCCCCCTCTCAAGGGCCAAGAAGCCTTCCCTGGCCTCGCCCACTTGCAGGCTTACCGTCTCTTGCACGCCCTGCAGCTCGCCGAGCTGGGAGAGACGAAGCGCGCACAGAAGTACTGCGAGGCCATTGCGGGGGTGATGAAGGCGACGAAGCAGTCCCCTTATTTCCATCGCACACTGGTAGCGCAAGTCAAGGAGTTGTCAGACCGCCTGATTGGTGGACCTCAGCTGGACAGCGGTGGCAATTGGGTCACAAGAAAGATGCAGCGACCTACACTGGATGGGATGCTTTCTGCCTTCGAAGGGAGATTTGCCAAATTCATTGCGGGAGACGATGATAGTCCTGCGAGTGGAAGTGCCACACCCAACGGTGGTGGGATGCAGCAGCAGCAACAGGGCGGAGGAGACAAGAGTCGAGGTGCTGGTAGCGTCAGCGGTCTTCCCAGCACGGCAGGCTCGTCCGTTGGAGCCTTCTCGCACTACTCCGCCATCACGCCTGACGCCATGTCCGGGGGCATCTCGCGCGTTCAGTCTTTTGCCGACTTCAGTGGAGCAGGCATCAGTCGCCCTGGCTCGCGAGCTCAGTCTGCTGCGGGCTTCAGGCAGCACGGCGCGAGGTCGCCTTCGTTCATGCAGCAGCAGCAGGATCGAGCCGTGTCTGCCATGGGCAGCGGAGCGGGACCCTACGGTGTGCCGCCCTCTTCCGCCGGCGGCAGTCCATACCTCGGCTGGTCAAGATCCGACTCGCCTGCTCCTGCTGGTCATCATCAGCAGCAGCAACAGCAGCAGCAGTATCAGCAAGGCCCCTATGGACGCTCGAGTGTCGAGGCAAGCGAGGCAGATGCAGGCGCCGCAGCTCCCTGGCCAGGGCAGTCAGGCCCGGGAGAAGAACAGCCCAACGACGATGGCGCAGGCTACCAAGGACCTTCGTACGGCTACGATGCCGACAATGAGACGCCTAGCGGGACCCGGCCGCAGTTCATCAGCAACTTGGATGCCGACTTCGGCGAGGCAGGTAACGGAGGAGACGCAGAGGGAGGAGGAGGAGCCGACTTTGTTTCTCCCATGGACGCCTTCACGCCAGCTGGAGCCGCTTCTTTCCCCTCGTACACTCCTGCCAGCCATCAGCAGCACTCCTCTGGCCGAGAGGATCCGATCGAGGACGACGACGACGACGACGACGACCTCGGCTTTGGCAACTCGGCCCACCGGAGGAACAGGACTGAGGGCGACACAGCCGCCAGCCACGATGAGCAGCAGCAACGTGAACCGTCTAAGCATGCGGAGGAGGAGAGCAATGCCTCTACTCCTACAGCGGCTGCTGCCACCTCGTCCGCAGCGAAGCAACCCGAGCTCAAGCCTTCGCCCTCAACCTCGTGGCTTGGTCGCCTCTGGGGTCGCAAGGAGCCTGCGGCAGGCGACGCAGCAGCGACAAAGGCCGCGCAGGCCCACATGGGAGAGGAGAGCGCCTTCTACTACGACAAGGACCTCAAGCGGTGGGTCAATAAGAAGGCTGGAGACACAGGTGGAGCGGCTACCCCTCCGCCTCCGCCGCCGAGGGCTACAACCGCTTCGCCCTCGATGGCCTCGCGCGGTGGGCCCGGTGGTGCGCCGGCGCCGCAGCGCTCCTTCTCTGCTGCGAACAGTCGTACCAACTCGAGCCAGGACCTCGGCAACGACTACCGAAGCGGCGCGGCTGGTGGGCCAGGAGGACCACCTCGAGCCGCCTCCTCCGCCTTCAGCAGCTCAGCACGCGGCACACCTCCCATCGCGGAGAGTGACCGCACCGCGGCGAATGGCACACCTCCCCCATCAGAGGGTGGGCCCCCTTACTCGACGATGTCCTCTCCCGGCGCTGGGTCTCGCGGAGGGATGGGTAGGACTCGTTCGAACTTGGGAGACCTCAATCAGCCTGCGGCGATGCAGCCTGCCATGGGCGCGGCTGCTGCCGGTGGAGGACCACCAGGATCAGCATCCTCATCGATGCCTCCGCCGCCGGCGCCTCCTGCTGGACGAGGGGCGGGCGCTAAGAAGAAGCCCATTTCGAAGAGATATGTGCGTGTAGACTAGATGCGCGGGGGATTTGGTGCGCGGTCGCGATTGTGTTATAGTCATTCGGCAATGATAATGTTTGCGATTCATGGCTCTTTTCGGTTTGGTGTTTGACACCAGTTCCTAGTGAGCGAGGCCCGTGCAGAGGAAGAAGTCGCTCGCTCGCTCCCCGCCGGAACAGTGGAAATGCTGCGCCCAGCGGACGCGGCTTGGCTTTCCCTCCTAACCAACACTCCATCTCGCCGCCCCTGCCAGCGATGGTCTATATCCCTTTTCTCAGCTCAGATTGGGAGCCAGCGGGCAAGGTGAGGATATCGCATGCAGTGATGAGCTCGTTTGTGACTGGCCCTAACTCAACTCTTTCCTCCTACTCGATTTCAGCATGTCTTTATCACGGGCGGATCGCAAGGACTCGGATTGGCGCTGGCCAAGCTGCTGGCTAGCAGAGGGTCAGATGTCACGATCGTAGCGAGGAGCGTCTCGAAGCTTGAGAAGGCGGCTGCAGACATTATGGTGAGCATTGCACTATCAAGTCGTCTACCTCGCGTTGCTCACCGCCGCCCTCTTCATGGCTCATCGCCGCGCAGTCGTGCCGCAAGGACAATGCTCAGCTCGTCTCCTTCTACTCGGCGGACTTATCGTCCTTCGAGCATTCTGCCGAGGCAATAAAGTGGTCAGCCTCTTCATCCGCTGCTACAAGCTCGCATCCTGCCTCGTCCCCCGTCGGCCGCTTGGCAGACGCCGTCTTCTGCTGCGCTGGCTTCGCAAAGCCAGGATGTAAGTTGCGCGATGCCAATGGTAGCGCATTGCCTTTTCACTCACCTCTTCCATCCTGTCTCGACTCGCAGTCTTCATCGAGCAAACCGAAGAAGACTTCAAGGCGCACATCCAGATGGACTACATGACAGCGCTCAGCACCTCGCACGCCGCGGCTCGCGCAATGGCCGCCGCGAATCACAAGGGCAAGATCGTCTTTGTCTCCTCCACCGTCGGTCTCATGGGCATGGTTGGGTACGCGTCTTACTCGCCAATGAAGTTCGCGATACGCGGCCTCGCCGAGTCGTTGCGATCAGAGATGCTCCTCTACGGTATTTCCGTGCATTGCTACTTTCCGGGAACGATCCTGTCGCCAGGGTATGAGGTCGAGAACAGGACCAAGCCGGAGCTGACGAAGAAGCTCGAGGGCCCGCCGGAAGATGGAATGACTCCTGAGCAGTGTGCGAGGGGATTGCTCAAGGGAGTGCAGCGTGGACACTTTTTCATCACGACGGATATCCTCACCGAACTCTTCAGGGCTAATACGGGGACCGGGGGAAGCGTGCCGGGAAACAATTGGCTGCTCGACAGGGCAAAGGCCTTTGTCGCATTGGTGCGTGAACGACATGCACAAGAAGGAGGATAGCATGGCGCTGACTCACCTCTCACGCTCTGCCCGCAGATCGCCCTCCCCATCTGGCGTCGCTTTGAGCACGATCGGACCATCCGCGCACACGCAGCACAGCATCATCGAGAGGTGGGCACCCTTTCCCTCTCCTCACGACCGTACACCAGCCTCTTCTTGCTGAGCCTCTTGCACCGCTTCCTCTCACTCTCGCTCCTTTGCATCATACCCTCGCTCATCGTCCAACCCTTCGACTCATCGGCCCAACTTCTTTCTCCGACTACTTCGTCTTCGTCTTCGTCACCGTGGCGACTGACCGACTGGCTCGTCAGGTGGGACTCGATACACTTTCTAGGGGCAGCCAGTCCTGAGCCGCTTCCAGCCTCTGGGGACGGTGTCGGCGGTGGTGGATACCAGTGGGAGCAGACGTTGGCGTTCCAGCCCGGCCTCGTTTGGCTGCTGAGACTGGCCGGCTACTCCGTGCAGGGCCGTTGGAGCCTCGACGCTGCAGTCGGCTGGACTACCGTCTTGGCTGTGCTGTCGAGCTCCCTCTGTCCTCCTCTCCTATACCAGTGAGTGTCCTGAGAGATCGGCACCATACCTACCCAGCGCTGACCATGTCGTATCTCTTGCATAGCATCCTCTGCTCCGTCCTCTCCCAACCCCCGTTGGCGCTCGTCGCAGCCCTGCTCTCGATCCTCTCCCCATCTCCGTCCACCCTTGTCACTCCCACACCAGAACCCTTTTTCTCCCTCTTTGCACTTCTTGGCATCGCACTCCTCTCCCCTCCCATCGACGCATCAACCAAACGAGCCTCAAGCAGCTGGTCTGGAGCTACGGTGCTTCAGGCTCTACTCTCCTCGTTCTGCTTCGCTGTGGCCGTCGCCTTTCGGGCAAATGGTCTGCTTCTGGCAGGGTACATCTGGTATGCCCTGATCTGGGACCGGCCAGTCTCTTCGTCGCTTCCTCTGCGACTATCCTCTGCCACCACGCTCACCATTTTCACGGCGTCACCCTTCGTTCTGTCTCAGCTGTGGGCAAAGGACCGCTTCTGCTCTGCGGCAGACAGGAGGCCATGGTGCGACGAAGGGCTGGGCATCGTCTACTCTTTTGTGCAGAGCGAGCACTGGCGAGTAGCAGAGTGGTCAAGTCTGGACAGTCATGACAGATATTGACGATGTCTTCTCTCTATCTCCTCACCGCTCGCAGGGACGTTGGCTTCATGCGCTACTGGCAAGTCTCCCAGATCCCCAACTTCGCTCTGGCATCACCCGTCCTCGTCCTTGCCGCTTGGGGAGCGTGGAAGCACATCGTCTCCTCGCCACCCGCGGCTCTCCTTCAGCACCTCCTATTGGACTGGCTCCAGCCGCAGAGCACCCGTACTCGCGCCCTCTTTCTTCCACGCCTCATACCACACGTGCTCCTCTCCATGGCGTACCTCTTTCTCCTCCTCTTCTGCTCTCATACCCAAATCGCGCTCCGTTTCGCCAGCCCAGCATGGGTGGCTCTGTGGGCCGCAGCGGCAGGCTTGATGAGCAAGAAGGCGAGTACCACCAGCCGAAGATTCTTCTTGGCATGGCTCGCTACTTGGAATCTCGTCAGCCTTGTTCTGTATTCCGCCTTTCTGCCACCTGCCTAAAGCAACGCATCGATGCTATTCTCATCTCACGATCGGGCTGTGCGCATCGACTCGTGACCGCTCTAAGCTCATTGTCGCCTCACCGTGACGGCTTCATCGTATCAAGGACGAGTGTCCGACGTCGCATCCCCGACGACTAAGGGTGGCGAGCGAGCGAGCGAGGGAACGAGCTTCGCCAGGGCCGGGCTTCGATCCCGCTCAAGCTTCCCGCCTTTACCTAGTCTGACAGCGGCGCCCCCGCGCTCGAACAAACAGAAAAGTGACCGCGCCTGGGCCTGCGCCTGCTGCTGCGCCGCTGCTCGCGCTCCGCTCCGCCCTGCCCTGGCTCACTCAGCCCAGTTCAATCGCGCGGGGTTCCAACCTCAGGCACGAGGGCAGTGGACCCTCGCCACGCTAGAGCGACCTCTCTCAGGCGCCAGAGTTCGACGGCCGGATTCAAGCGAGAGGACGTTGCGACGACACACACACGCACACACACACACAACGACGACTCAGAGCCACCAAACCAAATCGGGCACCATCGTGAGCAAGGGCTTGGCTTCTCACCACCATCACCACCTTCTCGTCGAGTTGTTCACCCTCTTTTCACTCTATCCACTCCATCTCCTCTTCACCCCTCTTTGCGCGGACTCGCAGCAGCAGCATACGAGGAGTCCTTCACCCTCGCGCCTCCTATTCCTCCTCCTCGGCACTCCTTTGTCCCTCGGAATCGCATCATCATCTTACAACAAGCTTAGATACCTCTCGCCTCTCTACTCATCATTATGAATAACGCAATGCCTCAGCCCACGCCAATGGCCAGGGGCGCGGCTCCTGCCCGCCTCGACAACGAGGAGCTGCAACGCCGACAGATAGGCTCCGTGATCAGCAGCATCATTGGCGGCGGCAGCGGCGGCGGAGGGTCGTCCAACGGAGGTGGGTCTTCAGGGAACAGCGGTGGTAATGGCGGGAACAGCGGTGGCGGAGATACGTCAAACGGCGGCGGATCAGGTGGCACAACGTCGCAGGGTGGTAACGGTGGAAGTGGAGGTGGCTCTTCGAACAACGGTGGTGGCGGTACGACGTCGCAGAATGGTGGAAGTGGCAATGGGAATAATGGCAATGGGAATAATGGCAATGGCGGGAGTGGCGCTACGACGATCACGTCCAATGCCGGGGGGAACAATGGTGGGACGACGACGGCCGTGGAGACTGCGCCGGCCACTGTTGTGTCGGAGAGCAGACAGGGCACCTCAGTCGTGCAAGTCACGCGCACCATCGCTGGCACTCAGACGAACTCTGTCGTCATCGTCAACGCTACAGCCACTGGCACGGGAACTTCATCTGGTTCCGGCTCCGGCTCGTCGAGCTCAAGCAGCAGCAGCAATGGCGGGCTCATCGGTGGCGTCGTAGGCGGTGTTGTGGGCGGCCTCGCGTTGCTGGGCCTTCTCCTCGCCGTCGCTCTCCTCTGGCGTCGTCGCAAGGCTCGCACAGGGCGTGGCTGGTTCCTCTGCTTTGGCAAGCGACCCACGGGCGACGAGGAGATCGATTGGAACCACTTCGACCCCTCTGCTCCCTCCTCGAGCTCGGCCGCTGGCTTCGGCGCCGCGGGCGCGGCCGGTGGTTTACGCAAGGGCCGCACTGCCCAAGGCGCTACCTTGCCCGAGGGCTTTGAAGACGACCCGGAGCTCATGGGCGATTCTCCTTCTGGCTACGACCACAGCGGTGGGACGGGCGATATGGCCCAGTACGCAGGAGCGGGTGCAGCTCTCGGCGTCGCAGGTGGGGCCACTGGAGGCTACTACGCCGCCGATCACGGGCGAAGCGACGACGGCAGCCACTCGCAACAGCCCTGGTCTGCTTACAACAACGGCGCCTCCTCGTACTACGGCTCTTCGCACCAGGCTCCCTCTTCCCCTCCTCAAGGCCAGTCTCAACAGCAGCAACCCTCCTACGACCACCTCGACCCGCCCGAGATCCGCGAGCAGCGCATGCGCGAGCAAGCAGCCCTGGCCGCTGCTGGCTCAGCGTTGGGCTCTGGGCGTGCTGGCAGCGTCTCTGCGCAGAGTGGGACAAGCCACGGGGGCCAACAGCACCCCAATATGCTCACTCCCGGAAGGAGTGGTGCCGGATCGCCTCCGCAGCAGAACGGGCAGTTTGAAGGCGCGGACGCTGGAGGGTACTATGGACAGCACTACGGCAACGGCGCGGGCGGGATGTACCAGCCTGGCCCGCCTGCATACGGCAACCATGCCGACGCTGACGACGATGCCGAGATCTCGCAACAGTACCTTGCTGGCGCGTCAGCCGGTGGCATGACCCACGGGGACGACGAAGAAGCTGGAGCGAGCGGTGCCGGCGGCGGCGGCAACAACGGGCAGAGGCTGATGCTGTCCAACCCTGATCAGGATGACGAGGACGAGAGGATGGCAACTCCTCAGCCCCCGGCGAAGGATCATGCGCCCAGTGAGGGGACGTGGAGGCGATACTAAAGAAGCGCAGAAGGCGAAACAAAGAAAAGAAACGCAGTATACTCGATGCATGAACAACAGAGCAGCAGCAGCAGTAGCGCTCGCTCGTCCGGATCCCCCTCTTCTCAGATTCCTCTGTAGCACACACACACACACTCATTACGAACAACACCATCAAGATGGCTAGGGTAGACTCTCGGCCCTTTGCAGACTCCGAATTCTCTCCTCTTTCTCTCTCTCCTCCGATCACGTATAAGGAGCCTCGCTCCCTTCTCGATGTGTACATAACCACTTTCGAACAATCGATGATTACCACTCCCCACCTCTCTCTGCGTGCATCCTTTCAAAGCCTCGAAGTTCGAACTCGACTTCGTAATTGCCTCACTCTCGTTTCTTCCTTTCGGCCCGGCTAGTGTTGCTCGCGCCTGAGGTTGCGCCATCGAAGTTGTGCTCGCGTGGGCAGACGAAATGAGGGGATTAGGGCCGAAGTGGTGACGCACAGGAGAAAAGGCCCCGAGTCCGTGCACACTGCCGCGACTAACGAGGATGCTTTCTTGTCTTCTCCACCCTTACGATCTTGTGGAAGCTCTGAAAGATAGCTATGGTGAGTAGATCAGGAGGATCAATCTGCTTGAGCACAATGCTACATGAGAAGCTCGCTACTAGATGGGCTGCAGGACGACGGTATCGTGGCCGGTGCTGACAGCTTGAGCCCTCGCCCCCCCGCCCTCCCTCCCTCCCTTCTCATCGAGCAGGCAGACAAAACGTATCAATTCAAGGTCAAGATGACTTGCACTGGCTGCTCAAGTGCAATCACTCGTGCGTATCACCCCTCCTCCCTCTCCACCACCCCTTCACTATCTCATCTGACCCTCTCTCCTGTCCCGCCCCTTCGCGCATCAGGCGTCCTCACCCGCCTCGAAACGGCGGGCTCCATTCAGTCCTTCAACGTGGACCTCGAAGGGCAAGACGTGACCGTTAAGCCTGGTGCGGCAGGAATGGGCTTCGATGAGGTCAGGGAGAAGGTGGCCAAGACGGGCAAGGAGATTTTGAGTGGCGAGGTTGTTGAGGCTTGAGAGGGAGCGTGGAAGAGAGGGCGAGGAAGGGAGGCTTGCTGATAGAGGCCATGTCAATAGAGCGTGTCGTCACTCGAGCATAGATCCTGTGACGAGCAAGATGCGCAGAGCGAGAGAAAGCGTAGCGCACGCAATCGCTCGCGAAGTCGGCGTCGCCGCGTTGTTGCCACTTTCTCAACCAGGAACGAGACGAACGAGAGCGGATGAAAGCTTCATCCGTGCGCCGCTCAGCAACGATTCATCCGAGCCATCACTACCAACTTGGACTCACCAGCACACAAGTGACATCCAGTCTACCCTCTTGTTGACCCGTAGAACAAAAGGACCCACCATGGTGAGCACGAGAACACCATGCTGAGCTCTCAGAGCAGACGCTGATGACCACGCCATCTCCTTGACACCTTCGCTATCGCGCAATTCTCGTCGACATGGCCGTCAGACCGAGTCCAAGCCCAAGGTTATGCCCAACTTGGTCTTCGAGGACCAGTCGGACACTACGTACCGGGTCAAGATTCCCTCTGCCAGCTGCGCTGAGGCCATCACTCGTTCGTACATCACAATTGTCCTGTGACTCTGCCGGCCGGCTCAGTCAAAGCTGACTGGCTCCTGCTCCTCTTGGCTCTTTCCATCATCAGGCCTCCTCACGCGCCTCGAAAAGCAAAAGGCCATCGGACCCTTCTCTGTCCACCCTGAGAAGTACGAAGTCGTCGTCACCCCCGTGAAGGGCGGCGCAACTGACGGAGAGATCATGTCCCAGATCGCCAATACGGGAGCGGACATCCTGGGCATGAGCAGTTCGATGACGATCAGGGACCTGAATCAAGACTGATATGAGCGAGGCGAGCTAGCTTGGGGCAGGCACCTGTTAATTGAGTTCGGGTGCCGGTGAGGACGTGACACAAACGTGGTATTCTCGTGGAGAGACTGAGAGGGCGTGGGGCGAAAGTGCGGCACAGACATACACGAAGATTTGCTGCTACCCCACTGTTCTCGTCGTACCCTTCTCTCTTCCTCTTCCTCTCCCTCTCCCTCTCTTCTAATCCATCACCGCGTCAAGACGATCATCTTCTCAGTGAGTCGAGGCGTGCTTGCAGGGCATCCTCGTCGCTCATACCTCCGCCAGCACCAGCACCTCCTGACCCGCCGCCCGATGTGCTCCCTCCCCGCTGATGGCCTGAGCCCGCTGATGGTCCTGCTCCTGCTCCGCCTCCTCCTGATCCCATCTCTTCTCCGATGGCTACACGTTGCTGCGGTACGGCTGTGGGTGCATTGAAGGCTGCAGTGGGTGCTTCCCCGAGCTGTGAGAGCGAAGCGGGCCGAGTAGCAGACAAGAGTGGTCAGCACACAACTGCACAACGCAGCAACACGCCACCCATCCTCGGCGCAACGTTCTGTGGGACACTTACACTCTGACTCAGATCCACCCCAATACTATCCAACACCTCCTTCAAAATCTGATCTCCTTCTTCCTCCTCGCCAATTCCCTCCCCTTCATCCTCCATAGCCCCATCGACGGCCTCATCGATCATCTCCCCCTTCATATCCATCACCTCACTCTCCCTCTCGAAGTCCCTCATAATCTTGGCAATCTGAGGCAAGTTCATCCCACGATTCATCATTCCCATTGCGCGTGTGGCACCCTTCATTGCCTCTCCCATCTGTTGGTTGGATCGCATCGTTTGGATGCGAAGGGAGACGGCTTGGAGTTGGGTGCGCATAGAGTAGAACTTTTGGATGTGACGACGCGTGCGGACGAGGTCGCGGGCTTGGATTTTGCAGGCGGCCTAGTAGCGCGGCGGGGGGGGGCAGAGGGTGATGATGATCAACAGTGTCAGCTCGGAGACTAGCCTTGTGTCACAATAGCTCGCTCGCTCACCATCTGACCATCCTTTGCATTCTTTCGAATCTCTTGCACGAGCTTCTTCTCCTGTTGCTCCAACTTGGTCCTTTCCCTGTCGAGCTCTCGCTGCGCCTTTTGCAACGAGCGCTGATGCTGGCGCAGTCGCTCTGCTGGCGTTTTGCGACTGCCAAAGAGGGTGTTGATGATGGAGGACATGGCGACGACAGGGGAGGGGCGAGGTGATGATCTTGGTTGCGTTGTTGGATGCGGAGGCGACGAGGCGAGGCGAGGTTGACGCCAGTCCACATGCAGGTCGAGGGTCGAGCTCCACTCGAGACGAGACGAGGCGAGACCAGGGGAGGCTGCCGTTCCGTCGCAGTGAGACAAGGCGGACTGAGAGGTCGACGTCGAGGGGCGTGCGTCGAGAAGAAGGCGAGGCGAGGCAGCGACTTCAACTCTGCTCCAACACAAAGAAGGACGCAATAAGCATGGCCTCGTCATCTTCAAGCCCGTCAAGCTCACAAGCCCCTCAACAGTCCCTCGGTCAGCTGGCCTCGTCCTCCCCAGCCCTTTCCATCATCGTAAACACAGCTGTACTGAGCGCATCAGCCGGCCTTCTAGGATCGACGGTCGGCGTCCTCCGTCAAGACCCGCAAAGACCGCCCGTCGTACTTGCGACACGAGCCTTAGTCAATGCAGCATCTGCTGGATTTCCCTTCTTCGGTGAGACCGATCAGCGGATATACTTTGACGATGACGACTCGCTGCTGACAGTCACCTGCTCGCTCGCTCGCCCTGCAGCTACAAGGGAATACGTCATCAACCCGCTCCTCTCCTCTGCATCCACAGCTCTCCGGCAAGGACATGCTCCCCGTCCGTCGCGTCACACGATCAACCTTGGATCCTCCACCATCTCAGGTCTCGCAATAGGCGCAGGCTCCGGCTACTATTACGGCTACATAGCCGCAGCTGAGACGTCGTCCTCAACGAAGCGCAACGTCAGACGACCAGCCGTTCAGGGCGCAGAGGCGTCCGTTGAGGCATTGCAAAGAGGATGGCAGGCAGCAGGAGGCGCAAGAGGGTTGAGCATTTCAGCGGTCCGAGTGGCTTCGTTGGCCTTTGTAGCACAGCTGGCAGTCAATGAGGCTGCGATCCTGCTTGGCATTGGAAGCGAGTCGGCAAAGGAAGAGGAGGACCAGAAGGCTCGCAGCTTGCCTGACACGACGGCGTCAAAAGCACCTGCAGCCACTTCCACTTCCTCATCATCATCCCCGCCGCCACGTCACCCCTACTCAGAACCAGCAGCCACCCCACCTTGGTGGTCACCGGCGCGCATCTGGCCCCTCGTCCGTCTTACAGATGAGGAATACCTCGCCCGCCTCGAAGCAGAGCGATCCCAGCTCCTCACGGAGAAGGCACAAGTGCAGAAGGAGGTCGACCGGGTAGCTGCGGGCGGAGGGGTGGGCAATGCCAAATGATGATTAACAAAGAAAAAACTTAGAGCACAAGAAAGAAAGGAAGAGAGTGACGATTACAAGCAGTGTCGCTGCGCTGCGCGGATCAACCCAGCAAATCCTCAAATCTCCGATCGTCATTCCCCCTCGTTGGGGCCGGAGCATCACTACGATACTCGTTACCGCCTCCTCCTGCCCCGCCTATGAAGTCGTCCTCGAGGTCGGCGAGCATCGAGTAGGGGTCGGGGTGCTGCGGATCTGCGCCGCCTGCCGCTGCCGCTGCAGGCTTGCTACTGGGCGCTGCTCTATTGGACGAGGATGTGAGGCCGCCGATGCCAGACCCGGTGGGAGAGGGAGGTGCACGAGCTCCATCGCCATTGCTGTGCCCATTGGTCGCTGCACCCAAGGTGGGCACCGCGCTCGAAGAGGCACGCGAAGGTAGAGGAGGTGGCACGCGTTTGCTCGTCGTAGGCGACCCCTCTGCGCTGCTCGCTCCTACTGCCCTGATGCCCTCCTCGCCAGCTCCACCCTGCTGCAACGGCGGCACGGGCGCAACGTAAGGTCCCTTCCTCTCCGGCTTCGCGTAGATGTGGCTACTCGCCGTTCTCCTCGCCAACTCATCTAGCGCAGGCGAGTCAGCCAAGTAGCGCGCCTTGGTCCCGCGAATGAACGTCTGCGGCTGTCGATGGAAGATGCTCGCCAGACTAGCGCCGTGGAGCAACAGCTGATCAAGCAACTGGCGATCCATCCTATCCACCTCGGTACTGATTGCCGGCTTCTCCGCAAGCACCACATCCCTCGCCGCGGCCGGGTCCGTACTGAGCAAACGCCAGTACATAAACCCCCTATCCCTCACGTCGGGATTCTCTACATCTTCCGTAGCCCACTTGAGAACCTTGGGAACAAGCTCCGCACCACCTGCTGCCGGTTTCTTGAGGAAGAGCTTCACCGTCGCGGTGAGGAGGCTTAGTTGTACCTCGGCGGGTTCGTCGAGGAAGGAATAGAGGAAGTCTTCGAGTAATTCGTCGGAATTCTCAATTCGATCCGCATAGTGGCCGATGATCCAGACCATGGCGGCGCGTGCTTCGGGCTCGTCTAGGGAGTCGAGATTCTCGCAGAGAGTCGAGATGGCACCTTCGTAGCGGTTGGGGTATTTGCGGAAGATGTCTCTGCGCGGGAGGAGAGGAGGGGGGGGAGGGGGAGGGGGAGTGTCAGCAAGGGGAGGGCAGGCAGGCGAAGGGAGAGATCTAGTGATGCTCAAGGGCACTCACTTGATAACAACGACTGCCTCCTGCACTACGTAGTTAACCTTTGTCCCAATCAAGCTGAGCAGCACATCCACACATCGATCCGCAAAGCTCGAAATCTTGAGCGCTAGCCGGCCGATGGAGCGGACGGACTTCTGAACAAAGTCGACGTCCACCTCGGTGGCATACTCGCGCAGCTCGGCGAGGACTTGCTCGACGTTTCGCTCGTTGGCTAGACGGTAGATGATCTCCAGCTTGGCCATCTTGACGTAGATGGGGTCGTTGTACTTGCAGAAGAAGACTCTGTGCGGGCGAGCCGAAGGGGGGGGTCGAGGACACGGGGGGTGTCAGCCAGTCCGCGAAAACGAAAGCTTCTCTTGGCGCCATCTCGTGCTCACTTTACCTCGTTCTGCAACACAATCGGCCTACGTTGAATGACGAGGAGGATATTGCGCAGCGCAACGTACTGCACCTCTGGTCCGCTACTCAACAGCGTGACGAGCGGCCCGCTCAACTTCTTACACAAGCCCTCCTTGAATTCGGAGCTGGCAATGTAATTCATCAAGTAGAGCACCACCTTTGTCGCTGTGAGCACCACCGAAGAATTGGAGTGCTGGAGGCGCACGGCTATCCGTTCTGCAAGGATCTCAGCGTCTGCGAACTCTTCGGGGACGAAGAACATGAGGGCCTCGAGGATGTAGGTCTGGCCCCATTCGGAGCAGTCAGGGAGGGCCGAGACGAGCTTCGAGGCGATGGTGAGGTTGAGCTTGAGTTGGATGTTCTCGCTGCGTTCGCTGATCTCGGTGAGGGCCTAGCGCAGAGAGGGAGGGTGCAAAGGGGCAGCAGGGTGGGTGAGCGGGAGGATAGGGCAGCATGGCGAGGAGCAAAACGCTACTCACTGCCACGGCGTTGGCTACTACGGTCGGATTTGCATCAGCCAGCAAGTCCCTCAACATGTTGATGTACCCTAGCTTCTCCACCGCCCTCCTATCATGCATGTACAGCTTGGCTACCGTAATGGCTGCCGTCTTGCGCACATAAGGGTCCGAGTCCTTCAATGAATGCCTTAGCGGGTCATTCAGCGCAGCTAGAACCGAAGGGACCGGAATGTAGGACATGGTCCTTATGGCCAACCCTCTGATCAAGGGGTTGCGATCATTACAATCTGAAAGGAAACCGGGAATGGCATGCTCCACCAGCTCTGGTTTGGCGCGACCATAGTTGATCAGGTAAAGGTAGACCATCTTCTTGATCTCGAGGACTTGAATACCCATGCAGTCGACTACGTCAGCGAAGAGGGAACTCATGTCATTTCCCATCGTCGCATTTGCGATGATCTTCTTCAGGGTCGTCTTCTTGCGCTGCCATCCTTTGTCCTTCTTCTCGGAGATGAGGTCGACGCGAAGGTCGGCGGCTTTGTGGCGTTGGAAGAGTTTGGCGTCTGCGGCCGCTGATGAGGAGGAGGAGGCCATGCTGGGCAGAGGCGGAGGCGTGGGGGAGACGAGGAGGAGGAGGAGCGACGAGTGGAGTGGAGTGGAGTGGCTGCGAGGAGCGCCAGCAGCTAAGCTAGTAGCAGGGGCAAGCAGGCAAAAGCTCGACGGCCAGGCGAGTGGTGACAGCCGCTGAGTAGCGCAGCTCCGGTAGGTTGCTGGTCAAAGAGAAGCAGGCAAAGTCGCAGCTCAACGATAGGTCACCTCAATCTCGTCTCCTTGGGTCGTTTGGTTGAGAAGCGGCAAACGGACGAAGGTGCCGCCGCCCCCGCCTCCGCCGCCGCTGCTGCTGCCGCTCTCGACTGAGACGCGCCAGACTGACGGACCCCGCACGGGCCGAACACACGAGACGAACCAACAGCAGCGAGCCAAGCCGCCTCGAGGCGAACAAAGGGCCCGTAGTCACAACCGACGACCGCGACCTCTCACGACGACGCCAGCTGCTGGATGGCTGAACATGGGATAATGACCTTGCATGGCATGACGTGCGAGTGTGCTATGCTGTGCTGTCGACGCTCGACCCACGGCGTCAATCCGCCTTCCTGGTACGCTTCGCCCTCTCCTCCTTGGCCTCCTCAGCATCTCCAACGTCCTCCCCTTCCTCGTCGCCTCCTGGCCCTGCCGCGCTCAGCCTCTTGCTACGCCTCTGCCCCTCCTTCTTGGCGGAGCGACTGCTAGGAATGCCATTCGCCTCTCCTACCTCCTGCATAGCTTCCCATACGCCTTCATCGTCATCACCGTCTTCCTCCTCCTCGTCCGCTTCCCCTGCCGCGCCACGATTCATCGACTCGTCTTCCTCCTCTTCGTCCTCGTCCACCTCAGGCGCAGTCACGATGGGCACGGCCCCGTCCCATACGATGGCAGTGACCGCTGCTCCACCTGTGAAGCCCTTGAGCAGGTTCTGGCCACGGGCCGAGGCTGCTGAGGGCGCCTTCTTGCGGTCGCTCTGCGAGGAAGACGGGAAGGTGTGTAGGCGGAGCAATCGATCCAGGGAACTTGAGACTGCCAGGGGGGTGGAAGAAGACGGTGAAGATGCTAAGCCTTCCGTCGTCGGAGGGGGAAGAGCGACGACGGATGCGATGGCACCGGTGATGTCTGCGGGAGGAGGAGAGAGAGCATGTCAGAGATCCGCTCATGGAATGTCCACGCCCCGCGCGCAGCACTCACCCTTCCATTGATACTTGAGCTTTCCGGCTACCACATCGACAGCAGAGAGCTTGCCTTCTCCATCAGCTGCGAGCAACTCTCCTTCATTACTTCCGGCCGCGGGGTTGACCAGCGCCTTGATGGGCGTAGATTTGGCAATACTGAACTCCTTGACTTGCTTGCGGGAGCCTGAGGAAGGGTCAAATACGCGAAGCAGTCCATCGCGCGTGCCCACGGCTACCTTGAATTTGAGAATGCTTGATCGTTCTGGTGATTCGGATGAGCTTGCTTGTCCTGGAGAAGCTGGAGTGTCTTCGCTGTCTGCCAGAACAGCAATCGATGTGATGTTGGGCCGCTGAGGAAGGGAAAGGGCGTCGTTGGGCAGCTGCGAAGGAGAGCGTCGTCTGGTCAGTTGCCGATCGACTCGTGTAGCATCAGGGTGTCGCCGCCGACTCACATTCTTCGCCCTCCAAACCTCACCCCAGAGCAGCTCCTTCGCCTTCGCCCTCGCCTCAGCCTGTCTCTTCCTCTTCCTCATCTTCGCATTCTCTCCGCCTGCACCTCCCGTCGCCGCCGCCGGCGTCTGCTCCTCACCATTGGGGGCCGTATATCCATCGTCCGACGCCTCAGCCTGGGACGGCGGCGTGGAGAATGCAGTCTCAATATTCCAGATGCTGAGCGGGATTTCCTCGCCTCCGTAGAGGAACGATGTTGGGTTGGAGGCAGGGTGGAAAACGAGGCTTTGCAGCGGCTCGGGAAGGGTCAGGTGGTGCGTTGAGGCGATGCTGAGCGGGCGACGAGGAGTTGCTGAGGATGATGAGGAAGATGCTGAGGATCCGTTGTCCTGGCTCAGGACCGTCTTGGTGAAGTTGCCTGCTGAAGTGGCAGCGTATATGCAGCTGGACAAGGGGACAAGATCAGCTGGAGCTGCAAATCGTCAGCACGGCCACGTCGCACTCACTTGGATCCCACAGCAAGTCCAACCCATCTCTGCAGTCCAGCTTTCATCTTGTCATTCTTGATCGTCACAAGGAGCGTGGCGTGCGAAGTCGACGGGTCATCAGAGGCGGAAGGCGGCAGAACGACATCGATAGTAGCGTTACGTCTAGCGATAGCCAGTACGAAGCCGATACCCTCGATGATTCCACTCGCCATCCTCTGTACAGCCGTCTCAGCCGAATGAGACTGCTGCCTGTTGCTGAGCGGCAGCACCTGAGGCAACTGAGCCTGATAATCGGCAGGCAGAGGAGGACAAGGAGTCGACCAACTCTTCAGCTGGCCCTCTGCGTCTCCCAGAAAGAAGCGGTATGATGGGGGCAGTTGAGCTACCTGCGCTGTGGCGGGCGGCTCATCTGAGTCCATCGATGTCATGCTGGTGGTGATGATGGGGATGAGGAGGGTGTGATGGCAAGAACAGCTGGAGGTGACCCCACCGGCGTGTCCGTCTCGACTCGAGTCGCTCGGCTGGATCAAATTTCGAGGCGGAACGGCAGGCGGAGAGGCGGGAAGAAGCGTGAGAGGTTACCCTCGCCCAGAAAGAGGCCCATCACTACAGCTGCGACAGTAGCTTGATCAATCGACTCAACGGGCTGCTAATGCTATGCTTTGCTTGTGAGAGCGTCGCCATCATCGCGCTCCTCCACCACCACCGCCGCCCATCATCGACTTCATCATGTTGGCCATCCCGCCCATCCCGCCCATGGACGACATCAAGCTGCCCAGATCGGGCATCCCGCCTCCTCCACCGCCCATGCCTGGCATTCCTCCCATTCCGCCCATAGCATTCATCATGCTCGGTGGCATCTGTCCACTCTGTATCTGCTGCATCAACTTCTCCCTGCCACCAGGCTGCCGCAACTGAGCCTTGATCTCGGGGGGAAGCATGTTCTGCATCTGCATCACTTGCTCCCTGCTCATGCCCGGGGGGAGCTGCGGCATACCACCACCACCACCGCCCATACCGCCTGCCCGGCCACCAGCTTGTTGCTGCTGCTTGAATCGTGCGAGCCCTCCCATTTGCTGGACCATCTTCGAGACCATACGGTATTGCATCAGGAACTTTTCCACCTCCCTCACGCTGGTACCACTGCCACGTGCCACTCTCCTTGCTCTCGCTGTCATTCTGACTTTAACCTGTTTCTTCTTGCCCTTGGCTTTGGCCGACTCGCCGCCCTCCTCCCCTTTCTTGGCCACCGCCTGAGAAGTCGAGGCCTTACTGCTGCTTCCCTTCTTCTTGGCATCTTCGCTCTTGCTCTTGGGCTTCTTCTTCCCCCCGACAGGCGTGTAGAAGAGGGACCCGTCCGAGTCGAGCTCCTCCTTGGTCATCGAATCGCAAATGTACATCATGCGCTTCATCTTGGAGCTGGCAGCTTCGTCGCCCTCGCCGCCTTGGCCGAACATTTGGCCCATGCCGGGGATCATCCCCGCGAGCTTGGATAGGGGACCCATCCCCATGATGTTGCCCAACTGCTCCTTCCAGTCGCGTACTGTGAACTTGCCTCCTTCCTCGAGCTTCTTCATCAGCTCCTTTTGACGCTCAGGATTCTGGTTGCGGACTTCCTCCATCTTCTCCATCAAGCCCGTGAGGTCACCTTGGCCGAGTAGCTTCGAGATGAAGGGCCCAGGACGGAAGACTTCGAGATCGGCGATGTGCTCTCCCAGACCGAGGAAGAGGATGGGCGTCCGAGTCGCCGCAACGGCGGAAATGGCTCCTCCACCCTTTGCATGTCCGTCCAGCTTGGTGACGAAGATACCTCCGTACCCTGCTGCCTCTTTGAATGCCTTGCTCTGCTCCTCTGCCGCCTGACCAATCGAGGCATCGAGCACCATGATCGTCTGGTCTGGCTTGACCGCATCCCCAATCTCGACCATCTCCTCGAACAGCTCCGCCTCCTGCCTATGTCTTCCAGAGGTATCGACGATGATGACTTCGAACTTGTTCTTCTTGAACGAATCGACGCCCTGCTTCGCGATGATGACGGGGTCGGTCTCTGTGTACGAGCCGTAGAAGGGAATGTTGGCCTTGGAGGCATTCTGCTTGAGCTGGTCAAAGGCTCCTGCTCTGAAGGTGTCGGCGCAGACTAGACCCGTACGGAAACCGCGCTTGGCGTAGTAGTTGCCCAGCTTTGTCACGGACGTCGTCTTGCCGCTTCCTTGGAGACCGACGAACATGATGACGTTTGGCCTGCTCTTTGTCGGCTTCCATTGCTCCTCGCCAGGCGTGGGGTCGACGAGCTTGACGAGGTGGTCGTAGACTGCCTTTTGGACGAGCGACTTGCGCTGACCCTCCTGTAGGCTCGCCTTGCTCTTATCATTGAGCCCTTCCTTGACTTCTGCTCGCACAGAGTTGCGCAGCTCAGAGACGAGGCGGACATTGACGTCGGATTCGAGGAGGGCGGCGCACACTGACTTGAGGAGCGCTTCAATGGTAGCATCGTCGACCTGCGGGGCGCGAGAGAGGTCCGCGAATGCGCTGTTGATACGACGGCCCAATGATGTGAGGACCATGGCTGCGCGGCGGGAATGAGGATGTGCAGCGAGGTCGTGGTGGTAGGTCAGCGAGGACGGCGTCGATGCGGTGGATGGCCAGGCCCGAGGCGGACAAGACGCACAGACGGAGCGCGGACCAGCAACGACCACGCGACGAGAAAGCTGCTCGCCGCCACGGTCACCTCATGCTCTCAAGTAGTCAAGGCATCGTCATCGAGCGATGACAGGAGGGTGGCTGACCGAGAGAGGAGGCCGAGTGGGCGATTTGAGAGCTGGCTCAATGCCGAGAGAGCTGAGAAGCTCGGGATGACCGACGAGCTGCTTGCCGGGACATGCAGCGGTCATGGTTGAGCTTTGCAAGCCTCGGGGGGCTTCACCCATCGGTGCTCCACTGTCAAGTCCCGTCAACGACAAAAGCATCACTCTGATCCGAGACTCGATCCCTGTGACAGCACGAAGTCTCGCCTGCGCCCGTCGATCTGGTCATAGCAGGTGAGCGATGGGCATGCTCAGGTGTCACCATGAGCAGCACTGTCCAACGTACGAGGTACTATGTCCATCGCAGCGATGGTAGGCAGAAATTTCAGAGCGTGCTGAACATCGACGCAGTCGGACTGCCCTGACGAAGCCCTCTTACCCATTATGACCGCAGTCGAGCATGAGGTGCAGCGCTGGACGCCCATGCAAACCTCGATGGAGAGCTGGAGCATGGTCAACGCTCTAGAGACACGAGGAAAGCATGATCGATCTAAGTTGCAGATTTGTAGCTGGGATGGTCACCCGTTGATGCCTGAGTAGGCGTCAAACAACAATACTTCCAAATGGTACGCTACTCGTCCCAAGCGTTGAGAATCAATCGCTTCTCACGACATTCTGGTATCAAAGACGGCGAGCGAGCGACCATGCACAATTTGCTGCTCTCCCTTCCGGCACAGATATTAACTGCATTGAAAGCGGTGCTCCCTACGACGTCATCTGGATCCGATCGAGCACGCCGCCGCCTCTCCATGCTACCACCATGCCTACCCTGCCTGCTTGTCAAGGATCGCCTCTCGGGAGCCGCCTTTCTTCCGTTCCGCTGCCAAATCTGCTGCGCGCGCTGGGCCGATTTGGCTGGGCGGGGCGGGCGGCAAGCAAGCAAGCAGGCAGGCGGGGCGAAGCAGCTTGGCTGGGCTGGTTGAAGGGCCAGGGCAGGCAGGGCGAGCGAATCTGGCTCTGGGCCGCAGACCCAATGGTCGAGGACGGACGACGGAATCGCCCTCTGCATCTTCCTCCTCACCACCAAACCCTCCCCTCATCCTCAAGGTGATTAAGCGACGCAGTCCAAACAACAACCTCATCGTCGTCCTCAGCTCACGCTTGAATTTCTGTCCTTCGCTTTTCTTTTCGTTGCAGCAAAAATGGTCAGCTCTAGCCGCCGAGTTGCTCGCAAGGCCCACTTCACGGCCGACTCGTCGCTGCGTAGGAAGATTATGTCTTCCTCGCTGTCGAAGCCTCTTCGTGAGGAGCACGGCGTGAGTATGAGAGAGTAGAGGCAGAGAGGCGTGGGAGGGACAGAATCATGGAGTAGGAACGGGCAAGTCTGTCGAGGAGGAATTCGATGAGGGCAGAGGGATCTGGCGGCACACGCAACCTCGGATGAATGGCCAACTCACACCTCCTCATCCCCCCCACCCCCCCGCCTCTCTCTCGCAGATCCGCGCCATGCCCGTCCACAAAGACGACGAGGTCATCATCGTCCGTGGCTCCAACAAGGGCCGTGAGGGCCGTGTCACCCAGGTGTACCGCAAGAAGTGGGTCATCCACGTCGAGCGCGTTGTTCGTGAGAAGACCAACGGCACCTCGGTCGCTCTCCCCGTTCACCCTTCCAACGTCATGATCACCAAGATGAAGATGGACAAGGACCGGTGAGTAGGCTTGCGCGCGTGCGAGACTCGCGAGATGTCGTCGAGGAGGGTGGGAAGAAGGAGGGAACTGGGCAGTGGGACAAGGCAGAGGCAGTTGCGTGTCGTATGAGCCTTGAGTGGGCAATGCGATCGAAGGGATCCTTGACGAAGGCCCGGGAACGTCAGCTGGTGCCTGCCAACGATATGTGGTAGGAGGAGGACGGCGAGGGTCAGATGCGGCGGCAGACACCCACACTAGGGTTGCCGCTTGATATCAAGCGGGTTGGATCAGTGACCGCGGTCTCTGGTCGTGTCATGCGCAGAAGCGCAGCGGGGACACGAGGTCATTCTCTGGCATCATCTTCACCCAAAAGCTCTCGTCCAGCTTACTGACCGTCTTTCCCCCCTCTCCCCTCTCGCCCTCACAGCCAGACCATCATCTCGCGCAAGGCTGGTGGCAAGGCTCTTGCTGGCGGCAAGGACGTTGAGATGAAGGCTTAAGCGGCGGCAATAGACTTGGAGTAGCAGTTGCCCTCTCTCCCTCTACCGTCCGTCTGTTTGTCTCGTCATCATACTGGGGTCCCTCGCCGTACTACAGCATCAGCGATCAGTCCCTTGACGTTTCCCCGTTTGTCGGGGACGTGCCCTTGTACCATTTTTGACCTGCCGACCAATGGCATACCGTCTCACAGATGCAGCAGCGAGAGTCGTGTGGGTCATGAGCGAGTCCTGCGGTGATGACGATTGTGGTGCGGCGTGGTGGGAGTAGCACACTCGAGCAGCCCCTTTCCTGGCGTCGTGATCGCCGTTGCCTAGTTGATGGTCCTGGCTCGCAGCATGGCACATCGAGCTCGAGCTCCCTTCGTGCGTAGAGGCTCGCAGCGCTCAATCTTCTCGTCCGTAAAAAGTCTCTCTGCCCGCCCTCCCTCCCACGTGTCCCGTCTGGCCCGCATCCGCCGGCCTCTTGTCGGATGTGAGATTTCAGCTCATTTGAGCTCGCGAGCACGCCAAGGCCGTCGCCATCTCGCCATCGCTGCCACTTGTACCATTGAACCCTAAGTTCGGACCAGCCACGACGCCACTCGACGCCACGACAGGCACACCTCGATGCTCGCCAAGTCGTCACGACGATAACGCCATACCCCGCATCAGAGAACGTTGTGCCAAACTCAGCCCCCCACTGCGCAGCACAAGGTTGCTGCCATCGACGGCTGAGGAGTCCAACAAGCAGCAGCGATGTCGTCATCCCCATCACGGGGCATCGACTTCAACATGGAGCAACGTGGAACGCCTCCACAGGCATCCTCCTCCTCCTCCTCCTCCTCCTCATCGTCCGATCCCATGCTCGCTCTTGCGACGCTTCCCTTCACATCAGTCGAAGAGTCGCCATCCCCCGCGACGACAGAAGCTCCACTTCCAATTGCACAGAACTACTACCAACCCCACCCTTGGCAACTCGCTGGTGTCGTGTCCTCCGACTCGTTGCCACTATCCACACCGCCAATCCAGCAGCAGGAGTCAATCTTGACCTCCCTGTCACAGTCGCTGGCAGTTGCTGCTCCCTCGGACGATGAGGAAGAGGGTGGTAGCCAAGCACAACCGGCGAAGCGAACGGCATCCTCGAAACCTACGCAAGACAAGGGGAATGGATGGGCAATGTTGACGCAGCCACGCTCGTCAGTCGTTGCCCCACCCAGAAGATCATCGACCGCAGCAGCAGCAGCAGCAGCACCATCAAGCGCTCGTGCCTCGACCTCTGCTCAGCCGTACGAAGTCGCCACAACTTCAACGCCAGTCGAAGACGATATTTCCTCACGCAGACCAGTCGCATCCATCAACAAGCTCGGCGACGAAGACAGCATGCTCGCAGTCAGCTCAGCGACTGCGCTGCCGCCATCCAGCTACTCATCATCACCTCGACCTCCACCCGCTGCGCCCACTGGCTGCGACAGCCCGAGCAAGTCGGCGCTCCGCAGCGGCAGAGATTCTGCTCTGCAACAACAGGGAGGCTCAATGGAGCTGCCAGCTGAGGGATCTGGGCTGAGAGGCAAAGACGAGGTGGGACTGGATGTGGATGGGGATATGCACGAGGCAGATAACATGGAAGATCAGGACGACGGTGATGTTGCGACACCTTTGCCATCGTCCTTCAATCCTCTCCAGCCACCACCAGCTCGCAAGCTCTGTATCCGACATCAGCGCATGGCAGACGAAGGGACTGTAGGCAAGCTACAACGTGTGAGTACCCCCCAGTGCCCGGGCTTCGCTGTGTCCCTCCCCCGTCCTCTCCCGCAGCAGCCTCTCGCTGGCCTTCGACGCTTCCTACACGTCGACGTGCCAGCGAGAGCGCTAGAATGGCAACGGAGACTTGTCTCCTTTGCCGCTTCGAAGCGACATCGCTGCTGCAATATTGACCCCGTCCAGTTTGAGGCCTTGATGATTTCTCACCTGAGTCATTGCCATAGAAGAGTCGGAACATGGGGACGCGCGAGACCACCCCTATATGAGAATGAATGCTGACCATATCCTGCTCCCTTCGCTACGCCTCTCGGTAGTCCATCGAGTCCCTCCCACTTGCGGACCAAACAGCAGTCAACTCGGTGTGGTCCATCTTTTCTTCCTCCTCGCACGCCCGCCGCGCCCTCATCCTCCAAGGCATCCTGAGCATGTGCTGTTTCTCGCAACTTTCCCTGCTCTCCTCCGAGCTGGCTCTCGCCATCCGCATCGATCCCTTCTGCCTCTTCCCCCGAGAGGTGTCCCTCAAGGTGCTAGGACACCTGGACGCCATGTCCCTAGGTCGGGCGGCGCAGGTGTCGAGGGCGTGGAAGGAGCTGGCGGACGATGATCTGCTTTGGCGCAACATGTGCGAGCAGCATATTGAGAGGAAGTGTGAGAAGTGTGGGTGGGGCTTGCCGCTGTTGAGCGAGAAGAAGAGAAGGGTGAAGGGAGCTACGCCGGCCGCGGGAACACCGGAGAGTAGGTCCTTGACGGCGCCGCTGGCTGCCAACCTCGACGCAGCCAGCGAGGCGTTGAGCAGTCAGACCGGCGGTGGAAGCGGGGCCAATGCTGGCGCAGGTAACCCGGGCTCTGGCAATCTCAAGCGTAGCATCACCGCAGCAGCCAATGCAGCCGCCCTCGAGCGGCACTCGAAGACGGCGCAGAACTCTCGCGCTTCCAGCCCGACAGCATCCGGCGAAGACAGCGGTCGCCCTTCCAAGCGTCCACGCAGTGCCGACGTCAAGCCGTCGGCTTTGCACCGCTCTACCAGCCAAGTCCACGACTCCAACAACGTCGGGCCCGTCACCCGCCCCTGGAAGTCAGTCTACTGCGAGCGCCTAGCCATTGAGCGCAACTGGCGTCGCGGCCGCTACTCGATCCGCACCCTCAAGGGCCACACCGATGGGATCATGTGCTTGCAGTTCAACGAGTCCCTCTCGCACCCTCCCTTCCCCGTCGTCATCACGGGTTCGTACGACCGCACAGCCCGGATATGGAACATGGACACGGGCGAAGAGCTGCGCGTGCTCAAGGGGCACACGCGTGGCGTGCGTTGCCTGCAATTTGACGAGGCCAAGCTCATCACGGGCAGCATGGACCGTACCCTCAAGATCTGGAACTGGCGCACGGGCGCCCTCGTCCGTACGCTGGAGGGACACACAGAGGGGATCGTCTGTCTCAACTTCAACGACCACCTGCTAGCGAGCGGGTCGGCCGACTCGAACATCAAGATCTGGAACTTCAAGACCGGACAGTGCTTCACGCTCAAGGGACACACCGACTGGGTCAACTCGGTCTGGCTGTGGAGCGGGCCGCAACCTAAGCATCGCTCGGCGGACTCGGATGGGGCGGAGAATACCTTTTTGTTCTCGGCGTCGGATGACGGGACTATCAGGCTGTGGGATCTGGCGAAGAGGGAATGCCTGATGGTTTATACGGGGCATGTTGGGCAGACACAGGGGTTGAGCCTCGTGCAGATGCCCGAGGAGGTGGTGGAGACATTGGCCAATGGGGGAAATGTGGGGGGTTCTGCGGCGCCGGAGCAGGCGAGACAGCATCAGCAGCAGGAGGGCCTAGAGCAACGGGATGGTGGTAGTGGCGGCGGAGCGGCATCACCCTCGTACTTTACGCCCAACAGCGATGCCCCTGCAGCCTGTGGGTACAACCCACCCGCAGTCCCTGGCGGCCGCTCCGCCAATACGGGCACGGCTCCCAGCATTCCCGAGCACTTCTATGCGGCCCCCGCCTCAGGGCAACACCGTACCGCTCTGCGTCAGCAGCAGCAGCACCACTCCATTCGACCAATCGAGCCTCGCCTTCTGAAACTGCAGCAGCGCTTGGCTGCGGCTGGTCTCGTGAACCCGCTGCCCATCGATGCGGAGATGGGCGATCTGGAGTGGGGAGCAGCAAGGAGAGCGTCTCAGCGCAGTCATCACGGCGGCGGTGGGGCAGGAGAGACTGGCAAGCCGACGACCACGATGACGACGTCCACCAGCTCTTCCTCGACATCACCACCTCACCGCCCTTCCTCCTCCTCCTCCAGCACCTCCCCGCCACCGGCATCCGCCTCCCACCACCCGGCATCCGAGCGTCTGCGCCCCATCCTCTTCTCCTGCTCATTGGACAACACCATCAAGATCTGGGATGTGCGTACGGGTTCGTGTATCCGTACCTTGTTCGGTCACATGGCAGGCCTATGGGCTCTCAGTACGGACAGGTTGAGGCTGGCTACGGCCTCGCATGACTCGACGTTGAAGATCTGGGAGCTGGCCACGGGGAAGCACCTCTTCTCCATCTGTGAGCATAGGGGGCCTGTCACTAGCGTACAGCTGGCAGACTCGTTCTTGGCATCGGGGAGCGATGATGGGCAGGTGAATATCTATTCATTCGCGGCGCAGTAAGGCGCAGGCGCGGCGAAGAGGCGGTGCGTGGTTCGAGGAGCGGTTGGACGCGCGCATGTGTGTGTATGTAGCATTGTATTCCTCGACCGAATTGCTTCGACTCGACTCAATCCGAAACTGATACCATGATCGAGAGACATGAGCAAGACGGTGCGATAAAAGTGCCCGGAGCGTGAGGTCTCGTCGACGCTCGTCGCTCAAGGACGGTGGCGACGCGCGGAATCGCGGATCGCTGGGCAGGGAGAGGCGGAACGCCAAAGGCCGGCCGGCGAGCGGGGAAAGAGAGTGCGAGTGCGAGCGCGAGTGCGACTGACCTGAGCCAATTTGTGTGAGACGCCCTTGAGGGCGACGAAACGGCCTCGCTCATGCAGCGACCTTGTCCCTCCCCTCCTCACCGATCGAATCAGAGGGCCGCCTCATGCCATCCATCCAGGCCGGAAACGTCTTGGTTTTCTCGTGACTCGTAACGATTTCTTCCACATCTCTCTCATCTCATTCTCCCTCCTCCTCATCCACTCGAGCGCTTCATACCCAAGGCCCAATACCCCCCTAGCGCGTGAAGCGCATCCATAGCCCATCATGAGCAGTAGCACGCCACCTTCATCGTCTTCTTCGGGGATGATGCCATCAGGCATGCCTCCGCCACCAGGGAACGGTACAATGGGCGGTGGACAACCACCACCGTCCCAGGCTCCACCTTCGGCCGGATCTACGCCACTCAGTGTATTCGTGAGTACGACGACGATGCGCTGCTGCCACTCTCCACGATGGCCTCCCATCTCCTTCCCCCTCCTCCTCCCCTCCTCCCCGTCTTCTCTTCTCCGAGCTTGGTCGCGCATTCTCGGAGGAAGAGGAGACGAGGTGAGGTGAGGAGAGGTGAGGAGAGGTGAGGCGAGGCGAGGCTGGGCAAGGCTGGACTTCAAAAGGTCCACTATCTATGTATGGCAGGAAAGAAGCACGGTTGCTGAGCATCGCCTCTCCAATCTCCCCGCGTCGCCCGCACTCCTGCCCCCCCCTCCCCCCTTTGCCCGCCGTCTTATCGCCGCCGCTTCCTTTCGCAGACGTTTGTCATTGGTCAGTAGTTCTCACGCATCCCCTCGTTCTCCCCTCGTTCCCTCCACCTCTCCTCTTTCGCTCCCTCTTGCCCTTCCATCCATCCACGCCATGCATCCTGCTCTTATGCATCAGTTCGTCGAACAGCAGCAGCAGCAGCAGCACCAGCATCGTCTCTTTCCCCGCCAGTCGGCTGAACGAGACGCTGATATGCTGCAGGGCGTGCAGGACCACTTCGACGCCTACGCAGAGATGCAGCGACGTCAGGCCTCGTCCTCGTCGTCGTCGACCCCCATCACTACCCCTGCCGTAGGCTCCAACACCCCAACCCTCTCCGCAATCCCCTCGTCCAACCCCACACCATCCCAATCCCAATCCCCATTCCCGTCTGACGGCGGACCCGCCCCCTTCTTCACCTTCGCCCTCGCAGCCGTCGCCCTCTTCGTTATCGTCGTAGCCTTCGTCCTCCTTCGGATCTGTCTCCGCAACCGGCGACTTCGACGACTCGGACTCTTGCCGGATGGAGGCAATGGCACAGGCGGGCCGATGGATCGCTTCCTTGGTGTTGGGCCCATGGGTGGAGCGGCTGGATTTGGCTATGGGAGGGAGATGCACGAGGATACGAGCGTGCCGCCCAAGTTGTGGGAGGCGAGGATTGTGCCCTACAAGGGCTCAGGTGGGGAAGGCGGCGGAGCGATCCAACCCCCGGCATCGTGGAATGATGAGCCTGCAGGGCCATTGACGTCGATGAGCGGCAAAGCCTATGGTGGCGGCGGCGGTGCGGGTAGTACGAGCGGCGGATGGGACAAGCTCATGCCCATCGCGGCTTCCCTCCCGACTACGATCTACACCTCCTCGGGCGCGGCGGCCGCCTTTGCTGCTTCAGAGGGCGGTGACGCCTCCAAGGACAAGTCCAAGTCGAGCAGCAGTGGTGGTGTCAATCTACCAGGAGCGTCAAATCGCAAAGCTTCAAAGAAGAAGCGGGCCGCCACAGCCAAAGAGAGCGCGACTGTCCCCTCCACACCGGGTGGTACGGAGCAACAACCAGCACCAACTGACACGATGCCCGGATCGGTCAACGTCTCCGTTCTGATCGCCATGCCCTCCGCTCCAAAGGGAGACGGCGAGGAGCTCCCCGAGCTCATGCTGGGCACGGCCGCCGTACCCATCTACTCTACCTCACCCAGCACAGCAGCCAAGGACAAGCGTTCTATGACTTCATCGTCCAACGCCTCTTCCAGCATGTACGACGCTCAAGTCAGAGAGATGGGCTACTTTTCCCAGGCGGCAGGCTCATCCTCGTCCTCCTCGCGGCCGAATACGGCCACGGCTACGGCCGCGGCGACGGCGACGCGCACTCACCCGACTAGGGCGCAGCTGATCAGCCTGTTTGAACAGGCGAGGGAGGCAAAGGAGAGGGCGAGGAAGAAGCGAGCAGCTGACGCTGTTGATGGGGCAGGGCCGGAGGAGGATGATGGATTGGAGACGGATGAAGAGCCAGACGCAGACGCAGAGGATGATCGGGCGGATGAGACGACGATGCGTCAGGATGGGGAGGGGGAGGATGCAGTAAGGCGAGAACCGGCAGCTGCGCCTATGGCAGACGTGGGAGGGGCGGGTCATACTGGGGCGGCAATACCACCAACGCACGCGACGACGTCAGCAAGGGATCCGCCGCCGCCGACGAACTTGACTACGACTACGAACTGATGCTACGTGACCCGCAGGACAGCAGGAGTCATCTTCTCTCCTGTCATTTTTTCCACCTGCTCTCTGTATTATTATTATTACACCACTCGATACGAACCGAATCGAATCGAAGCGTCCCATTGCAGGGCGATCTACAATCTCTATCGTGAGAAAACCTGCCCGTGCCCGTGCCCGTGCCCGATCTTGACTCTTGTCGTCGTATCGTATCATATCGTATGGTACATTGCCCCCCGCCACCCCCTCTTCCTTCACATATCCACTGCTGGCGGCTACTCCTCCCCCTCCCCCTCCCCCTCTCCCTCAACAACCGGACTCCCCACCACGCCAACATCCCTCTCCCTCCTCCTCGCCGCGAGCCGCTCCTCCTCGCTTCTCCCCACGGTATCACGTCGAGTGAGGGGCTCCATACCCGGTGGGGTGCGCGTGCTAGCCAAGGAGGGCGAGGCTGACGCTGATGCAGCGTTGAGTGGGTCGATGGGTGTGGTTGAAGTTGAAGTTGAAGTAGGGGTTGCGGAGGAGGTGGTGGAGGTGGAAGAAGGGGTGAGAGGGGTGACGGATAGAGGTGAAGGGGTATTGGGGGCGCGACGTAGTGAGGGGATGCGGGAGAGGAGGAGGGAGGAGGGGGAGGGGTTGTTGTTGCTGGTGCTGCTGGTGCTGCTAGGGGTGCTTGACGAGGCTGAGGCTGAGGCTGAGGTGGAGGCTGGGCTAGAAGAGGAGAAAGTCTCCCCTTGCCCTATCGACGCTGACTGGCCCGGTTGTACTGCGTCGACCGAGAGGCCCTGCATTCCCGCGACAAGCTGCTGCGGCGCCACAGGAGCTGGTATCGACGCTGCCGTTGGCTCAGGCTGCGTCTGCATCTGCGTCTGCGTCTGCGTCTGCGTCTGCGTCTGCGTCTGCGTGTTCCATCCCCACACCTCGGCCACAAATTTGGCCACATCGACGGGAGGCTGCCTCTGCTCCGACTTGCGTACGAAGGGGTGTGTCAACATCTTCTTTGGTCCTAGACGCGTTTCGGGATTCTTGTCCAGGCACTGCGGTGGCGTGGTTGCGCGCGTAAGGTACGAGCGAAGGGAGGTCATGGTCGTGAGAAGGAAGGTCAGCATGAGATCGTGCCACTGGGCTCGGGTCGCGCTTCTCACCCTCTCAATGAAATCGCGCAACGCCCTACTCCACTTGATGCCCGCCTGTACGTCGTCTTGCAGCTCTGGAGTTTTCATGCCGACAATATAGCTCAGCAGGTCGATGGGACCTAAAGGTGGCTCGCCCTCAGCTGGGAAGGGGAAACGGTTTGATGCTACCTCCAATATGGAGAGACCCAAAGACCAGACGTCGCTTGTGATTGTGTAGGATTGGCCCTGTGGAGCGCGAGGGGTGGGGTGGGGGTAGGGTAGGGTAGGGGATAGGCTAGTCAGAATAGAGGCTGGAGACTGAATGCGGGGAGAGCGTACCGACCTTGATTCGCTCCGGAGCCATGTAGTAAGATGTACCCGTGAACGTGCCCGCGAGGGAGTTGACCAGCTCACCCTGCGGTGTTGCGGCGAGTCGAGTCAGTCAAGTCAATTTCTCCCTCTCATCGTCACCTCCCGGGGCTCTACACTCACCGACACGCCAAAATCACACAACTTGAATCCTCCCTCCCTCGTCACCAGCACGTTGCTCGGCTTGATATCGCGATGAATGATGCGTCGCTCGTGAAGGTAGTCTAACCCTTTGAGGACACATTCTGCTACTTTGCCCAATATCTTCTCGCCTGTCCTGCCATTGCGCGCTTTTACCCTCTTGTAGACAGCGTCGAGTGACCCAGCCTCACAGAACTCCATCAGAATCTCAATGCTGAGCCCGTCCGATGAGAGGAAAGCGCCGTAGTATGGAACGATATAAGGTGAGCGACATGAGCGGTTGAAGGAGAGCTCACGGAGGATCTGTCGATGCAAGTCTGGGTTAGGCGAAGTGCTGATAGTCTTGACTGCTATTATCTTGCCACTCGGTCGATGTACTGCTTTTCGGACTTCACCGCTCGCCCCTTCACCCAGCCGCTGGAGCAAGGCGATATCTTCTTGACGCATAGCTTCTTCTCCTCCTTCCCCCGAACCGGCCTCGATGGGGATCGACTCGGTAGATGCTCCGTCCTCTGACGTTGTGGGCGCTGGACCCCAGCGCTGCTGGTGGTGGTGCTGTTGCGGTGGTGCGGTGGTGAGCGTGGTGATGGGGCGTGAGCGCTGTGGTGGGCTGGGCATCACGCTCGTCAAAGATGATGAAGAGGCAGAGGCAGAGGCAGAGCCCCCCGTACTGCTTTCGCCTTGGATGGCGCGACGCAGGTCGTTTGTGAGGGCGGATTGGTCCGTCGAAGGGCCAGGCACCGTATCCGGATAGATGGAGATGGTTCGCGGCCCACCATCCCTGGCAGCTGCTTCTGGGATCGAAACAGTTGATGAAGTCGCATTGGCGCCGGTACCGTTGTTGGATGATGACGATGATGATGCTGCGATAGGTTGGGGAATGGGTGCAGCGCCTGATGAAGAGGAAGGGCGTTGCGGTATTGAGAGCTTGGGCATGTCACGCCGCTTGGGCTGTTTGGGTGGGATGATTGACATGCTGGCTAGGTGCGATGATGATCGATGGCCGGTGCGAATCGAGGAAGTTGCAGGATGGCAGGAAGGACAAGCATACAAGCACACAAGCGCACAAGCATACAAGCACACAAGCAACAACGACGCCGCCGCCCTTGAGACGTCGCCTCGCATTCCGTCCGTGCGCGCCCTTTTGGACAGAGCGACGAGGAACCAAGCGAGAGAATTTTCCCTCTTCTCCATCTCCTGTTTTTCATTGCATCCATCACAATCATGGTGACCTCACATCACCATCACCACCACCACCATCATCACCCACCCCTCGGCTCACTTTTGCACCCGCATCTCCACGCAATTCTCCATGCATCAGCAGAGCACGGCCTCCCTTCTCCCACATGGACGGCAACCCAGCCAGACGAGAAGCGCAGCCTCTCAAGCGACAAGACGATCACGCCTGGCAACTCACTCAAGACGCCAAAGGGAAGCCTACAGGCCAACGCCAACGCCACCGCCACCGCCATTGATGCGCAGCCGCAAAGAGGAGCGGGAGCAGCTGCGGCAGATGAGGCAGTCATGGCATCGGCGGCACTCCAGTTGAGCTCCTCACCTTCGCGATTCTCCCAGGATCCCATCTTCTCGTCACCCATCTCCGAGAGTAGGGCTCAGAGTAGCTCGCTCCCTGCGGGAAACAACGCTACCGCGCCCGGCTCCGTGGGAAAGAGGAGAGAGGCTACCCTTGACCCTTTTGTGGCTCGCAAGCGGGAGCAGCAGCAGCAAGCTCAGCAACAACAGGGTCAAGGAAGCGGGGGTGGCAGCGGGGGTGGCAGCGGCAGTGGTAGCGGTAGTGGGAGTAGCGGCAGCTTGTCAAGCTCGGGAGGCAAGACGGAAAACGAGCTCTGGATCGAGGTAGCCGATGCCCTTCGCGTGGTAGCGGATGCGTTGCGCGAGGAGGACAATCGGGCCCTCTTGGGCGAAGACCATTTCATCGTTCACGTCCTCACCTTCTTGGCCCTCTCCATCACTCACCCGGGCGCATACACCAGCACTTCACAACAACAGCAGCAAGGAGCAGACGACAACATCGGCTCAAACGCAGAAGCCTCAGCAGGCGCCAAGCTAGCCGCAATCGCAGGCTCATCCCAGCATAAGCGCTCCACCTCTTCTGATGTGTCCTCCCTTCGGGCAATCTCGCAGCGCATCAAGGGAACAGCAATGGCGCAAACCCAATGCCTGCGGGTGATGGCGAACCTGTGCATTGATGACGATGAGAATCGGGAGCGACTCATCGCACACGATGCGCCGCTCTTCGTTCTGAGGCTGGTCAAGGACACGCTCGCCTCGACGCTCGGTGCTGGCGAGGGGGACTTATTTGACAATACCACGCTGCTCCTCCTCAAGACGGCAATGGGTGCACTACTCAACTTACAGCTGGAGCACGCCCCTTCTCGCCGTTGGCTGCTCAAGCTGCCTAAGCCGAAGAGGTTGAGGAGACCGCACGACCAGGAGGACGATGAAGATGATGATGACGAGGAGGAGGGGGAGGAAGAAGAGGAAGCAGAAGATGCGGAGATAAGGTCAAGCAGCAGCAAGAGCAAAAAGCCAGTAGTCATGGCTGCAGCCCTCCCCTCATCCCGCGAGGCGGACAACGCGCCCAACAAGACGGCCGAGAGTCCCTTTGAGCTGCAGGAGCACGAGGCTGTCAGTCTCCTCTTGGCCACGGCGACCGATCCGCGTGTATACACTGCTGCGCGCTGGGCGCAAGGCTCGCCGTCGTCGTCGTCGTCATTATCGTCACGCGCCGTGCTAGGCGCCGAAGTCTCAAGCTGGGCAGCCCGCATTCTCGACGACCTCATCGCCTTTGAGACGGAAGAGGCGCAAGCCCAGCTCCAGGAAGGAGCGGTAGCCGATGGAGGGGGCACGGTGGCCGAGGATGCCGAGCCTAGTATGGTGGCGTCACCGTGGAAGATTGGGCTGGCGGGGCAGGGCGAGGAGACTTGGAGGATGCTGAAGAGGGTGATGCGCGCTTTCGTACGCGCGGAAGTCAGCCAGGACAGGGATGCGGCGAAGCAAGGTGGTGGCGAGGGGGAAACGGACCTCTCGCCTTACATTGACGCGGACCTCGCCCTACTCGCCCTCACTGGCGAAATACTGGAGCGCCTCACACACGTCGGAAAGGGGAGCCACCCCTCTGCTAAGCAGTTCAAGACGAGAGGCCTCGCTCACCTCGATACCCTCCTCGACTTCATTGACGCCGCGGACAGTCCGCTCTCCGCCGTCAACGGTGAAGGGGGAGTAGGAGTCGAGGTGGACCCAGACGATGCCGACTCGCTGGCAAAGGAGGTGACGCGCTGTAAGAGCAACGCGGTCAAGGCTGCCGTAGCCATTGCGGGCGAGGACGGGAACATGGAGGCCCTTTTCGGACAGAAGGGGGATTCGGCCTTTTTGAAGAGGATGAAGGAGTGGCTCGGTCGCGGTACCGAAGGGGAGAAGGGACAGAGACGCGACGATCTCGTCTCGTGCGCCCTCCTTAGTATCGCCAACCTCGCCCGATCAGACAGCAACTGTGTCTCCCTCGTCGAGTCGGGGGATCTCGTACCCTTGATCGTCTCTCTTCTTCGGCGAAGCGGCGCGCCGCCGTCGTCGTCGTCGTCGCCCTCCTCTAGCAGCTCCTCGGGCGGTTCCTCCATGCTCCTCTCTCACGCTTCCCTCGGCCTCCTCAAGAACCTCAGCGTCTCCCCCTCGAATAAAGCTCTGCTTGGCTCCACGCCCGGGCTAATCGAGGAGGCCCTTCCTCCCTTTCTTGCACCGGAGGGAGATAGGGCTCAACCGATCCAGTTTGCCGCTGTGGGCGTGCTGAAGCAGCTTTCGTTCAGCCCGCAAGGACGGGTGGAAGTTGGGGCGAGCAAGGTGTGCAAGCACGCCCTACGCCGGTTGTTGGAGCTGGTGGGGAGGAGCAGGGATGAGCCTACCGTGCTTGAGGGGACGCGCGTGATTGTCAATTTGGTGCGGACGGCCTGGTCTCATCAGAAGGCGGGTGGGGCAGACGCTGACGGTGAGAGTGGTGGCGCGGGTGGTGGGATGGAAGAGGCAAAGAAGACGCTCCACGACGAACCGCGTGTGGTGGAGGCGCTGGCGGGAATGATCAGGCGGAGCGCAAGGTACCCCGTGCTGATCAATGAGGCACTCGTGGCCCTCACGGTCTTGTCTACCGCAACCGCTGCGGGAGGGGAGCAAGACTCTCAGTCCCCCAAGCAAGCAGAGCAGATCTGCGAAGCCCTTCTCGGCGGCAGTAGCTCCTCGCCCTCACCTGGCAACACCTCCAGCGGTAACGCGGGCAAGGGCAGCCAACCCCCTTCACGCAGCTCGACGCTCGACTCGACCACGTCAGCACATACGGTGACTTCCTCTCCCGGTTCGTCGGGGGAAACGGCCGCCGATGTACTTTACGAGGTCCTCTCCCGCCCTCCGAGCGCAACGAGGCTTCCCGTCCAGTTTGCGCAGAATGGGTGCACGCTACTAATTACACTGGTGGCTGTAGCGAGGGGTGGCGGCGGAGCGGAGCAGGGCAGAGACGAGGGCGGGGGTAGGGTGAGCGAATCGGTTCAGAGTTTGGCCATCAAGATGTTGCCGGCGTTGAGGGCCATGAAGGCTAGAGAGGTCCCACCAGCATCGTCCCCACCGGCTGCCGGCGCTGGGTCCCCCTCGTCGAAGGGTGAGAGAGCTACGGCGGCGGCGGCAGCGCCCCCTGCGGCGGGTTCGGTGGGCGCGAGTGTGGAGATGGCTATTCAGGCATGCGAGGGGGCGGCTTTTGCGTAGCGTCCAGTAACTGTTTTTACATCCTAATCGTAGAGAGTGAGAGAGAGCAGAGCATGCCGTGAGGCCCGCCTCTGTAATGAAACGCGTGTCTCGCCTTCGGGCCTTTCACAGAGGTCGCCGCGCCTCGCTCCCTCGCTCGTCTCCCACGAAAGCTGCACGCCGTGCACTCAATCTCGCAGTGCAGCTGGGCGCGCCGCCGGAGAGAGAGAGAGTTGAGTTGAGAGAGTGGCTCCACACTCGGAGAGACAACAAAGTCGAGTCGAGCATCCGTTTCAGATTTTGGCGGTTGAACCCTTACTTCATTTCCATTTCGTGCCCAACCCACCATCCTTTCATCCACCCACGCTCTTTGCTTTTGCTGCCAGGATATGGCCAACACCCACAACGACTCGACGCTGAGCTGCTAGCAGAGCCACGCGACGTCCTCGCACAACCAACATCGCATCGCACCGGCACGCCTCACTGCAGGCCATCCATTCCACCTAACGCAGCTGCGATGCCGCCCAGCGATAATGACGGCGACGTGGTGATCGCCTCCTCTAGATCACCGTCATCCCCCGCTGCCCGACCCCTCACGCCCGCAACTCCACTGAAACAGCTGCGCTCATCGCCCTCTTCAGTGGCCAACTTTGTCCGGCACACCTTTTGGGACGCGTCGCCCGCTGCTGCTGCTGCTGCTGGCGGCAAGAATGGCGATGGCGATGGGCGTGGCATTGACGGGGGCATGCCTCGCAACGAAAGCTTTGATTCGCTCGGACTGAGTCTGCCTAGCCCGCATCCACTCCATGGGATGGGGAGTCAGACGTGGACGTGGGCGGATGAGAGGGTAGAAGGTGATGAGCAGGAGCGCAATCGTGACTTGCGTCCGAGCGCGATAATCGAGCCTGCTAGACGTAGATCGCCTCAAGTCTCGAGCGTGGCTTTCCCATCGTCCTCTTCAACGCAAAAGAAGGACACCGGGCAAGCATCCGCAGGGACACGAAGCAGCAGTCAAGATGGGAGCGAGACAACGGCGACAGCGTCAGCGTCAGCGATGACCACTGCTACGGCAGGGACCGATTCGTGCCCATCCGCGTCCTCTGCGCCTGTTCCTCTTCCCACAGAGCAGCAAGCCTCCTCATCCAAGCCCAGGCAGATGGGTCACGCTCGTAATGCCTCTGTACCCTTACCATCGCAGCATGCTGCAAAGCACGGCAACAGGCGACTTCCAGCCCCTCTCTCGAGCGGTGACGAGAGAGAATACAGTGAGGAGGACAACGACGCCCCTACCGTGCGAGAGCGAGAAGCCAACAATGGAGCTTCCACGCCTAATCGCGGTCCAAAGCGTACCTCTCTCACCTCACGCTCCTACACCACCCTGCGCAACATGGCCGTCGCATGGGTTCCAGGAACGTCGCGCTCCGCCACACCGCAAGAGGGTCGTTCGCCTAGTCTAGCTCCGATGTCCAAGGAGCTCATTCCCCTGCCGTCGGACGCAGAGAAACAGCTCCTGCCCCTCTCTGACACCGCAGCGCGTCGTCGCCCCGTGAAGCTGGACCGCCGTAGACTGGACAAGGCCGTGGGACTAGCAGTGGAGGCTGCCCAAGCGGCAGAGGAGGACGAGCGCACCTACAAGGAACGGGAGCGTCGTCGAAAGGCCAAAAGTGCGGCACGCGAAGCCGCTAAGCTGGAGAGAGAGCGGACAGACGCTGAGGCTGCCGCGGCTGAGGCTGGTCTACTTGGCAGGATAAGAACCATCTCTGAGTATTCGGGGCTAGGCGGGCACGATAGGGCTGCGAGGTTGAATAATAGCTTGCCCTGGAGGAGGAGGGGGAACAGCAGGCCGGGTTCTGCTTACCAGTCTGATGTGACTTCGGCGGAGAATACCGGGAGTGAGGGGAGTTGCGAAGAGGGGAGCGAGAGCGAAGGGGACTCCGAAGAGTGAGTGCTGGCCCAGCGCATCGCAGCGTGAGCGACAGTAGAAGCCAACATGTACTGACGCCCCTCCTCCTCACGCAGCGACAATTTCTCCCTCTCCCTATACCTCTCCTCCCTCTCGTACCTCCTCTCTGCTTTACCCGCAAAGGAAGCAAGCTACCTACCTCAGAAGGAACGGGAGGAGCTGCGCTCTACCTTGCGTCAGGTGATGCGGGACATCGGCGTCGAAGATGTGGAGCAGGACAAGATGACCGCCCATGCCGCTACTGCTGCTGCGGGCAACGCGCCGGCCGCATCATCGTCACCGATGGGCGCGCTGAGCGAGGAGCAAAGGGAGGAACGACTGCGCGAGCTGCTAGAGGGGGAGCTGCGCCGGGCAGAGGCGCGCATGCTAGGACACACTGGTGGCAGCAACGGGACAGGAGGACACAGCCGCTCCCGCAGCGCGAGTCGAGTGCCTGGCGGGCCAGCCAGCTCAGCCTCGGCGGCCCAGAAGTCCACGTTGGCTGGCTCCATCGCCACTTCGACTCTTGAGCTCACATTCGCCGTCGCGGCAGCCGGCGTCGGACTGGTAGGCACGGGCCTGTCCCACTTCACGAGTCGCAGCACGCCCGCGAGCGATGTGAGTGGCAGTGGGGACGACGAGGATGCGGGGGATGACACTCTGCACGCACATATTGTGGGCGAGGTACGGGAGGACGAAAAGGCTCTCACGACAAAGAAGAAGACGAGCCCTCCCGTCTCGAGACCCAAATCTTCCCCGCCTACCCAGGCTCAGACACCTCAACAGCGTCGTCGCACCGAGTCTCGCGGTCTGCAATGGGATCTCGCCATGGCCCTAGCCAGCTCAACGGCTTCGACCCTATACTCGAGCCTATCCGCCGCAGCAGAAGAGGCTCGCGAGCAAGATCAGCAGCTCCAGGCGACGACCGTCGGAGGTAGCGCCGTCGGCAATGGCGAGCTGTGCGACCTCACGCCCGAGGATCGTCTCGTAGCCCTATCAGCCTCCTTTGCCCGATCTCTGAAACGCTCCCCTCTCCCCTCGCAGCTCTCCCACCTTTCCTCTCAACTGCTCTCCCTCCTCCACTCCTTGGACGAGCGATACAGTCTGAGGAAGAGGGCGACGGATGAGGCGCTGAGGAGGACGAGGCAAGGTTTGGGGTATGTGCGCAAGAGGGGTTGGCACGTCAGTGTAGTCAGGGGTGCGTGGGCTGTCATGGAGATGGGCGTGGCGGGGGTTGAGGCGTGGAGGGAGGATGAGGAGGACGGCGTGCCCGAGCCTAAAATGGGGGTTGATTTGCGCACGGGCAAGGTGAGGTGACGGTGAAGAAGATAGAGAACGATGCGCATTCTCGTGTACCAATAGATATCCAGCTAGTTGTAAGGCATTCCCGTCTCATGCACAACCGTAGCGTGCTCTGGCATATGGCATCGAGGCTGCACCTCGGTGGGACCCTCGCCGGCGTCTCTCCACTTGTCAAGTCGAGCCGATGCCGCCGCCGTCCTTTGTCGCCGCCTCTCCGTCGCCGATGATTGGGCGCAGCCGCCCGCGTCGTGGCCACGCGAGCACAGCCAAGAATTGATTTCAGCCCAACGAAATGCGCACAGCCGGCGGAGCAGCGGGCATCGAGATCAAGTTGAGTGGGAAAGAGAGCTCAGCAGGTTGCCAGGCCTCGGACTCTCACTCTCCTCCTCACCATACTCGACATCGTCCCTCACACGACCACGACGACGACTCGCCATGGATGCATACAGGCAGAGTCGCCTACAGCATCGAAGCACGCTGGCTCACCCAATCGTGGGCGCTGGCAGCCCCGCTGGCAGCAGTAGCGGCAGCGGTGGTGGTGGTGGTGCCCTGGGCCTCTCCCCTCGAGTCATGTCGCCCGGCATCGCTTCTCCGTATACGCAGTCGCCCCTCGCACAGGGGAGTGGCATGCTACCTCCATCGAATGCCAATGCACCTCGTCCCCCTCGCCCACAAGTGCACAGGACAAAGAGTGGCGATCCACTCTCCACATCGTCCATGTCGGCAACGACGTCCACTCGAAGCGGGGCAGACCCGCTCGCCTTCAACAACTTTTTCGCCGAGACTGCTTCCCCGCTAGCTTCCCCCAGGTCGGGGTCGGGGCCGGGCCCAGTCGACGCGCCAGAGGGATACGGTCCTCCGAGGAGGTCAGTTACGGCTGGCCCGTCTCTCTGGTCGTCGAATGGGATCGCTCCTTCTCCCTCATCTTCGAGCGATTGGCAGAGATCCACGCCCGTACGAGGCAATAGCACCAGCTCGGATGGCGGCATATGGGCTACGAGTCCTACGTCATCCCTGCCCTTTGGGCGAGGCCCGCCAATGCGTTCCAGGACACTGGCTGTACAAGAGGACATTGGAGCGCACGACTCGATCCTGCCTGAGAGTCTGCAGGCGGCAGTCGCCGTCACTCTAGAGCCAGAAGAGCTCGACGAGATACAACAGCAGCAGCAGCCTGGAGGAGGCGCTGGGGCTGATTTGCGCGACTCGCCGCTAGGATCAGATGAGGCAGCCACCTCGCGCTTTGGGTTCCCACTTCAGCATTCTCGTTTCAGAGCTCCGCAGCGGGCTACGACGTTTGATCCGGAGAGACACTTGCCGCGTTCTCGCTCGAGACCATCGACGGCGGGAAGCAGTAGAATTTCGTCGACGCATGAGGATGAGAGCCCGTCGAGGACGTCGCCTGCTATGCTGGATGAGAATGGGATGAGAGGCAATGAGACGTGGGGGCCGACGTCGATTCAGCAGAAGCAGTACCTCCAGCAGCAGCAGCAGCAGCAGCATCAGCAGCAGCTTCCTCCACCGCCCGCTCAGGGTCCACCACCGTTCGCGATGGGTCCGGTTGACATGTACCAGCAACAGCAGCAGCAGCAGCAGCAGCTGGCTCGACCACCGCAATACCCAAACCACGCGCCAATGCACACCAACATGGCCTCCATGCGCCAATATCCGTCGCCGAGTCCAGCCCAGTACCAACTCCCTCTCGCACAGCAACCGCAATACGCTCAACCAACTCAGCTGCCGCGGCCGCCAGTCCACACCCTCCCACATCGCACCTCCCGCTCTGCCCTCCAAGAGGAGATGCTAGCAGCCATGGCATCAATGGACCTCGCAGCCCAACCACAGCCGCCAGTGCCCGTAGCTCCACGCGCTCCACCCATGCCTCCGCAACAGCAGCAGCAGCAGCAAGGATCAGCGATGATGCGTCCCCCTCTCCCTCCGCAAGCCCACCTCGCTCGGCCTCCTCAACCTCACCTTCAACCTTCCCTCCCCAATCGTCCCCGCGGCCACGGCCATGCGCGAGGCGCCTCGTCGTCCTCCACCGTCGTCCCAGGTCGCTCCCCCCTCCTCGACGAGTTCCGCGCAAAACGCGCCCTCCCCCATCCAGGCGGCGGCGGAGGCAGCGGCGGCGCTCGTGGCCCTGGTGTTGTGCACATGGGGCCCTCGTCCTCAGCCAATGGTGCAGGGGCGGGCACTTCCACGGGCACGTCCACATCGGACTGGACCCTTGAAACAATCCGCGGCCATCTCCACGAGTTCTGCACCGATCAACACGGCTCCCGCTTCCTGCAAGAGCAGCTGGACCGTGCCCCTCGCCACCAGGTCGACGGCGTCTTCTTCGAGCTGCGTCCCTCCGCCCGTGCTTTAATGCAGGACGTCTTCGGCAACTATGTGGTGCAGAAGCTCTTTGAGTATGGGACGGATGAGCAGAGGTTGAGCCTCGCCGAGGAGATCAGGGGTCATGTGGTGCAGCTGAGCTTGGGGACGTATGGGTGTAGGGTCATTCAGAAGGGGTTGGAGTATTTGCCTGATGAGGTGAGGATGGACATGGCTGAGGAGGTCAGGGGGCATGTGCTTGAGTTGGTGCAGGATCAGAATGTGAGTGTGCGAGAGGGCCGCGCCCGAGTCCCCATCCCTAGGCTCGCGAGAACGACGTACTCACCTCCTCCTCGCCCCCGCCTCCTGACCGCTCGCCTCGCCCCGCTCGCTCCAGGCCAACCACGTAATCCAAAAACTACTCTCGGTCCTCCCCACCCCGACTTCCCCTTCCCTCTCCTTCCTCTCTTCCCCCTTCCACGGGCGCGTCCTCACCCTCGGGACACACTGCTACTCCTGTCGGGTTCTCCAACGAATCTTCGAACGCTGCGGTGAAGCTCAAGCGCGTCCGTTGCTCGAGGAGCTCCATGCGGGTCTGGATCAACTGATGCCCAACGCCTATGGTAACTATGTGATTCAGTGGATCCTCCAAAAGGGGGCGCAGCAGGATCGCGATCGCGTTATTGAAGCGGTCAAGGGTAGGGTTGTGGTGTGGAGTCGGCACAAGTTTGCTAGTAACGTCGTGGAGCAGGTAGTAAGGACCGCAGGGCAGGCACAAAGGAGGGCTCTCGCGGAGGAGATCCTCGTGCCGCCGCATCAACACCAGCAGCAGCAGCAGCAGCGGGAGGAGGATGGAGAGGAGGGCCCAGGCGGAGCGGGAGGGGAGCCCCCAGCGGTTAGCATGGCGGAGGACCCTTTTGCCAATTTCGTGCTGCAGCGTTTCCTCGAGGCGTGCGATGGCGATCAGAAGTTGCGCCTCGTCGCCGTGCTCCAGCCTAGATTGGCCGCGCTGCGCAAGAGGGCCATGGGTGGTGGTGGTGGTGCTCCGCCGAATGGAGGCATGGTTGGCGCAGGGGCAGGGGCAGGGGCGGGGGCGGGATGGACTAAGCATCTCGCGGCTGTGCAGATGAAGTGTGATGCCATTAGGCCGCAGGGGATGATGAGGTGAGAAGCGCAGCGCAGGACGGCCAGGCATTTGTATATGTACTCTGTTTGTTCATAGCGACACAAGAGGTGGGAGGGGGAGAGAGTAAAGCTTGGGCACGCAAATGTTTCGATGCACATCATCGGCCCCTCTAATATCATCATCATCATCGTCGCCGCGCTACCTACCAATGAAAATCCTCCCTCACCAGCTGAACGTCCGGCCACCCACCTCCCGCCCGGCGACGCTGCAATGACGCGACATTGTTGCTCACCTCGTGCGCCATGCTGTGCGGTCCGCAGACGATGACGCAGAGCGAGGGCGAGGCCGAGGGCGAGGGCGAAGCACGGACGTCGTCGACCGTGGCGGCGTGCTTTGTGACGAAGTTGCGGACCAGGGCTGAGAGGCATGGCCGGGGGGAGGGGGAGTGGAGAGTGTACGGCAGCGTAGTTGAGCCCGCGCCAGAGGTGGGGTGGAGATTGATGAATTCGGACGTGGACTTGGACTCCTCGATCCCAGCCTCGTCGCCCGGCGTGGGAGCGGTGAGGTGGACATCGAAATCTACGCTGAGTGTCTGGCTCGCTTCGTCGCCGGGCTTGTCACTCCCCTGTTGCAAGGGTGGAGCAGCGATGAAACCCTCCTTGACCTGTTTCAACGCACCCGTAGTCCAGTCCAGAAGAGGATGCCACTCCCCCTCTCTCCCTCCTCCTCCTGCGCCGCTCATGGCCCAAACCAACTGGACCCTTTGGCAGAAGAAGTCTGCGTCATGCCTCCCTCTCTTCCTCGCCAGGTCCTGCAGAAGCGGTAGGACGAAGGAGATGCCAGCCCCGCCCGCGATCAGCAGAACCGCATCGTACGAAGCGAGTTTCCACGTCGATCCATACGGCCCGTCGAGGATGACTGGTAGGTCGAGGATTTGCTCGCCGCCCGGCTTGGAGCGCACTGCGTTAGCGAGGGTGCGGGTCAGGCCTTTGGCTTCTCTGATGAGGAAGAGAAGGTTGCGATGCGTGATGTCCGAGTCTTGTTCTTCTTGGCGGTCCGAGGCGATGGTAAATGGATGGCTCTGCCACCCCCTCAACGTCGGGAAACGAAGGAAGACGTGTTGCCCGGCCTTTGCTCTGAACCTACGTGGCACCTCAACCTCAATCCTCAAGTATCCCCGCTGAGCTCCCACCACCCTCCCCCTCCCAACGAACAGTCCCGACCTGACCCACTTGCCCAGCGTGCTCCCCACCCACACCCCCACAACGGGCCAGAGCCATCGCCAGCTATGCATCATATCGTCCGTATGTGCAAAGTAGAAGCCGAGGAAGAGACAGTTACTTGCTATGTGGTTCAGGTAGAAGAATTGGTAGCCCGCGTCCCGTACTACGCGGGTGGAGGAGAGGAGCAGCCAGCTCATAGCGATCAATGCTGCCACTCCCGTATCATAGCACCAGGGGCTGTATGTCCACCACTTCTTTAGCATTTCCCAGGGAGGGCCAGGACGAGAATCGTCGATGAGGAAAGCGATGGAATGAATCCACGCGAAGAGCAAGGCGATGCGTGCCAACCACTGGTGGTAGATTTGTAGTCTCTCGTGGCTTATCCCTGTCAGCCAGCTTATGGGGTTCATCTTGAGGGCTAAAGCGTATAGGAAGGGGAGGGTCCCGTTGGAGATCATACCCGTGCGTAGACCGAGGGGAGTGGAGCCCCAGGTGGCATCTTTGCGGTAGTAGGGGCGAATGCTGAAGCTCCAGATGAGGAGGGAGAGGGTCACGGCGCTGATGAGCAGGACGGTCGTGACGGACGGGACGGAGGGGTATGGGTGGTAGTACGCCATGCGACGCCAGGTGCACACCATGGGGAGGTACCCGGGGAATCGGCCGGTGAAGCCTCTCACAGCTCGAGGTCGAACCAAGCGCAGACGATGTGTCCCGCCAGGAAGGATGGCTAGCACGAGGATGGCTAGGAGGATGTAGCTGGTAATCTGAGCGTACTTGATGTTGCTGTCCCATGGTTCGCGAGTGTTGGCTGCCGTTATGAGGGCGTCCGGAGGGCGACATAGTGGGTCGGGGGCCTGGTCGGGGGACCAGGTGAGGCAGTCCCCGTGGGAGTGGCGCGATGAGAGGGACATGTGCGTTTGGGTGGCAAGATGATGGGTGATGAAGGTGGTCTGGGAGGGCGACTCTTGTAGCCCTCGTTCTCTGTCCCCATTGACCGAGAGGTCGAAGATCGGAGCCTTTTCTTCTTTCCCGTAGTAATGCTCCGGGAGCTTGCACGTTGACTCTGCGCCAATCTTATAAAGGCTCCGTTGATGGCAATCTCCGTCGCACGCGCTGTGCTAATAGCGGGCCGATAGTCGCGCATGAAGTTCCTTAGGATCTCTCCCACCCTTCTCCCGCTCAGAGCTCTCAAAGCCCAATACGCTCCCTAGCCGTCCTCTCCCTACGTAGTCTCGCTGCTCGATCAGCCGGATGCTCTTGCGCCTCGCTATCCTCTCCTCGTTGCGATTGCAGCGAGTCGTCGACCTGAGATTGCGAATGGCCGCCATGCTCAGCTGCTGAAGCGCCCGCGTCGTTGTGGTTGTTGTTCTTGTCTGCCTGCTCGTGCTCTTCTCGAGCTGCCCGTTCGCGATAAGCCTTGAGCTCTGCTACTTCGACGGAGGAGATTGCGATCGCCGTTGGTGGACGACGGATCATCTTCGCGCGTGCTTTCTTCTTGGTCGGTCGTTGGTGTGAATGAAGAGGAAAAGAGAGCTCGAGAGGCCATCGTACGCGCCAGTCGCGCGCTTCGAGGAAAGCAACACTTTGAGACGTCGGACTCGTGCGTCGGGCGGGTGGAGACGAGACGAGCTCGATTCGAGACAAGAGAGACGCGGATAGGATAGGCGCCGGCGCATTGGGGCATCGCAGCATCTCCTGACTTGCCACTGTATCATCACCGCCGGCAGAGTCTGCGCTCGCTACCACGTCGCACCGTGCAGCAGCCATGGCATCGCCGGCGTCAGCTCCAGCATTCGACGACCCCTTGTCCTTGTCGGCGGCGGGTTCAGGGTCAGCTTCGACGGATACGCTTCGAAGCTCAGCTTCTCCCCTCGCCCGAGGTGCGGGCAGACACTACTTCGACCTCAAGGCAATTAGCGATCAGCAGGCTTCTTCCTCGTCAAGGAGTCGACAAAATAGCATTCATGCTGGGCAGAGGCGCGGCGACGTCGAGAATGCCGGGCAGGAGGAGGACGACGAGGGCGAGGACGAGGGCGAACGATCCGGTGCCCTTACACCCACATCAGCTCCGTCCCTCTCCTCTCGTATGCGGCGCAATCCCAGCAGACCACCCTCGAGATCGACTGATAGAGCGCCTTCGACTTCGAGACCCTCCTCGCCAAGCATCGCTCGTCCTCCCCCCTCCATCGCCACAATGTGGTCCCAAGACGCGCATATAGACAGGCACGACGATGTAGACGCGAATGAGGAGGAGAGTCGCTCCTCTTGGCTCGCTCGCCTACACAAGATGCCAGACACAGAACTAGCAGAAGCGACGACGATCAGAGCCTCGAGCAGCAGTCAAGGCGCCCTCCTCTGTCGAGAGCTTTCAGCAGCACTGTCAGAGAGCACTACAGAGGTCAACACGCTCAACGAAGCCCTCGAACGGCTGACCCGGCAATTCGAAGACAAGCTAGAGCTACAGCGGCGGACGTATGAGACGAGGGAGAAGGCTATGCGCTCCGTCTGCTCGCAGCATGGCGTGCCCACTGGGGCGTTGGATAGGGCTATCGCTCGAGCTGTCGCTGAGATGCCCCGCGTCTCCATGAACGTCGGGGATGAATCCGACTCGCCTGCGTCGAGGACATTGCGCGTCCCTTCGTCCTCGTCCTCTACCAGTCGACCAATCTCAACTCTCACCACCGGCGGAGGAGGAGGGGATCGCAGCTCGCGCTGGATCCAAGCGGCCGAAGCAAACGACGAGGCGTCGCCTAGCCTGCCGTTCTCCCTGCAGGAGGCCATGCTGGACGGCCTGACCGGCAGTGCCAGCTCGACCGCGACCACGACCACGCGCACTAGATCGAGCACCAATCGCTCCGAGTCGGCGTACAGTGTGGCCACCACCAGTGCCAGTGGCAGCAGCATCGTATCGCGTCGCCCCTCGTCCGCGGCTCGGAGGCCGAGCGCCAAGGCGTCGGAGGACCTGATGGCATGGCGTACGCCGAACAAGGACAGCAGGAAGGCGTCGGCTACCACGCAGGCCACGACGAATGCTACCCCTACCCTCGAGGGGGGAGGTGGCAGCGCGGAGGGGGAGAGCGCTTTCAGCTTTACGAGTGCGAGTAACGGCGATGCGGCGAAAGGAGGGGGAGAGAGCACTCTGCGTCACCAGCCCTCGGCGGGCTCCGTCGCCTCGACTAGCTCCGCTGCAACGAGCAATAGGAGTAGCAGCAGCAGCTTTCTCACCAGTCTGGCCTGGAGGCGCAAGAAGCCCTCTCCTGCTCCTGGTCCTCCGCCGCCCCCCGTGCTACCTGCTTCATCGACGATCAAGGCATCCCGAACTGCACCACCTCCCGCAGCCTCTGTCGCTCCACCTGCCGCCACGCTGGGTTCCCCCCCACCGCCTCCACTCGCGCGCACCGCCTCCGGCTCCTCAGGGGATGTGGCTGCCGTCGCAGTCGCCCTCGCTCTCCACGAAGCGATCGAGGACTCCCCGCCCACGAGCAAGCAACTGAACCTCCCCCACCACCCGCACCCGCCACATGTCAAGGCCCTCTTCCTCGCCACGCGAATCATGGGACCGGACTCGTCGAGCTCAAACCTTCTGGCTGACCGGGGGAGGAAGGTGTCCGATAATGTGGCTAGTATGGCGCAACGACTTGTAAGGAACGTGAGGGAGGAGGAGTTGGAGGTGAGGGAGGGGGATGCAGGAGGGACACAGCAGCACACGACGACGACGACCAGGCGATTAGGCTTAGGGAAGGGGATGCCTGGCTCAGGCCCGACCTCGCCCCGCGTAATGTCCCCCAAACAGCGACCAGTCAGCATGGCTTTTCAGGCCGCCTCGGCTATCATGGACGCCGCCAGCGCCCCTGCGAAGGATTCGTCAAGCAACGTCAAGGCCACGCGCAAAGGGAAGAGCAACGGCAAGGGCAAGCCACATGCCCCCGCGACGCCCAACGTCACCCGCGTCCCGCAACTGAGCGGTAGCGGAAGTCGGTTGCCCTTTAGTTCAACCAAGTCGCCGCGGTTCGCCAGCGTGGGCACCGACGCCAACGCCGATGGCAACGTGGAAAGCGGGGCCCGCCCCCCCGTCGAGCTGGAGAGCATTGTCCCCCTCGAAGGTAAGCCACCCACCCTCGCTCTCCGACCACGCGCGCCCAAGGCTTCACGAGGGCCCCTCGGCGGCGGCGCCTTCCCCTCTACCTCCGATGACGACGAGGCGTCCGGCGATGAATTCGAAGTCTACGGCGGGAAGTCTCCCTTCCACCCTCAACGTGACCGTGACCAGCCGATCGGTGGTACCTCCTCGAAGGGTGCGGGCGCGGGCCTGGGCAATCTAGATGATCGAGCAGTTGACGTCTTCGGCTTCGTGTACGATGCGACGCCTTCTGACGTGAGGCTGCTTCGCCAAGCGAGGAAGGCTAGCACGCCGGCGCCGGCTTGTTTGACTGGGGTCAGGGTTGGGGTTGGGAGGGATGAGGGGGAGGAGGGGGAGGACGATGAGGGTGAGGGGGATAGCGGCAGTGTGGCAGACGCCAACGCGGATGGGAGTGTCAGGAGCACCAGCGCGACGAGGGAGGAGGACGAGGATGCCGCCAGCAGCTTTACTTCCCATTCGCGCAGCGAGACTGCCTCGTTGCAGGAGCTGCCGCCTGTTGATTGGCGGGAGGACGACGAGGGGGATCAGCAGCAGGGAGGCGCGCCGCGACGCAGTCGAAAGCGTCTCTTGGGAAAAGCTTCCCCCGCCCCTCCCTCCACAGGGGCTACATCGCTCGTCGTTTCCCGTTCGCGAGGCGACGGACCTACGAGCCCCGAGGAGGAGAGGAGAGAATTCCAGCTTTTCGTGGGCGGGCAAGATGATGCGGAGCGTGCGGGGCGAGGAGAGGACGTGGATAAGGGTAGGCAAGACAAGCAGCAGCAGCAGCCCAAAGCCATCTCGGAGACGATCAAGTCTCTTCTTGACCAGCTCAAGCTCATGCACGCGCAGCACCAAGCGGAGCAGATGGTTCAATGGGGCTGCTTCCTTTCGGCACGAAATCTCGCCATGCGACGTGGCAGCTCCACAATCAACGGTGACGTCGACGGCGCAGCTCATGGCAGCGGTACGGGCGGGGACGAGTACCAGTCTGGCCTGGTAGGGTATCGCACCCTCTCCCCCTCGGAGCGTCAGCAATTCGTACGTCTATGCGAGTCTGGGGTGCCTCTCTCGCTCCGGTCCAAGGTGTGGCACGAGTGCAGCGGAGCGAGCGAGATGGCCGAGCCTGGCCTGTATCGCGATCTGTTGGAGGAGCATTCCGCCTCCCTCGCCATCAGCGGCGGCGGCGGCGGCAACGGCAATGTCAACGATGACGTCGGACCCAACCCTGCCCTCATGCAGATCGACCTCGACATCCATCGCACCATGCCCACCAACATCTACTTCGGTGGGGACGGGCCCGGCGTCCCCAAACTACGTCGCGTCCTCGCCGCTTACTCGTACCACAACCCCACCATTGGGTACTGTCAGGGCATGAACAACCTGGCCGCCACCCTCCTTCTCACCCACGCCGAGGAAGAGGAGGCCTTCTGGGTCCTGGCATGCCTTCTAGAGCGCGTTGTGCCTGAAGGGTATTATACGAGTCATCTGGTCACGAGTCAGGCGGATCAACGTGTGTTGGTGGAGCTGGTGAGGGAGAGAATGCCCGGCTTGATGGGGAGGATGGAGGCGTTGGGCGTGGACCTGCCCGCTGTCAGTTTTGCTTGGTTCCTGAGTCTGTACACGGATTGTCTGCCCGTAGAGGTGAGCGCGCGCGGGGTTTGCCTTCTTACTTTGCTCCTCCTCACTTTACTGACCCTCTCCTATCTCTCTGTGCCCCTCCCGGTACGGCACGCAACGCAGACCCTCTTCCGCGTTTGGGACCTCCTCTTCGTGGAGGGCAGTATCGTCCTCTTCCGGGTGGCCCTGGCCATCCTGATCATGAATGAGCGTGACCTCATTGCGACGGGTTCGCTCGCTGAGTTCTATGGGATGGTGCATAGCATGACTTCGAGGTTGTTCAATGTGGATCGATTGGTGCAGGTGAGTAGGCTCTCCTCCCCGCGAGAGACAGAGCTTGAAGCTGATGCTGATCTCCGTGGTGTCGCACCCAACAGCTCGCCTGCCACGATCTGCGCAACGTGGTGACCGAGGAGAAGATCGAGGCCAGGCGCAAAGTCCACGTAGCGGATATACGGGCCGAGCTTGGTCTCGATGAGGAGGCGGGGGGCGAGTGAGGTCGTCGTTGACATTGATCTCGACTTTGAATTTCCTAGTCTGTATTTCTAGCCGTCTTTGACTCTTTTTGACATGCTATCATGTAGCACACCCACCCTCTCTGCCGTACAATGGCGCGCTCGCGTCTGTCAACGTGTTGAACCCGCGGCAAAAAATCGGACCAGACAAGCGGAGTTGGTCTGAGAGTTGGACCCGATCTGATGAGATGCAGCGGAAGCGCAGGCCGCCCGCCTTCCTTCTTGTGTCCTTTCCCACACTTCAATCTCATCCGCGTGGCAGCATGGGCCTCCTGGCCCTCCTGGGCAACGTGCTCAGCCTCCTCGCCCTAGGCTGGTACGTAGTGATATGGTCCATCTGTCTCTTCGGCCTGGCGAGGGCGAGAGCCATGTTCCTAGTGCGCAGCAGCAGCAGCGACGCCGAGGCCAATTCCAAGCTCGAAGTCGACGATGAGGAAGACCGCATGGACGAAGACGACGACGACGCCGCCTCCCTCCCGTGCGTCTCCATCCTCCGACCCCTCTCCGGCATCGACTGCGGTAGCCTCTCGCTCAACCTGGCCTCGACCTTCCACCTTGACTACCCGGCGGAGAAGTACGAAGTAATCCTCTCCGTAGCCAACCCAGATGATGCGGCCCTGCCCCTCGCCCGGGAGGTGGTGCATCGATACGCCTCGTCGAGCGGCAGCCGCGGGGGCAGCGAGCCAAGAGCACGCATAGTCGTCGGGGACATCTCTGCCGGTGTGAACCCCAAAGTGAACAATCTATTGCGCAGCTACGTAGAGGCGAAACATGATCTGCTCTGGGTCCTCGACTCGCAGGTATGTCTTCATCCTCAAGCGCTAAGACGATCCGTCAAGTACCTACACGATGAGCCTGCCCCTGCACCTCGACCTTCACCTCGATGGATGAATCGTAAACCGCATGGTCCCAGAGTGGGATTAGTGCACCATGTACCCTTGGGGGTGATACCCCCGCACTCCCGCGCACCGGCGGGCTGGGGTTCCTTGGTGGAACGCGCCTTCCTCGGCACCACGCACGCCAAGATGTACATCGCAATCAACTCCCTCTCCATCGAGAGCTGCGTAATGGGCAAGTCCAACCTCTGGCGCCGTTCCGATCTAGAGAGGGTATCGGACACCTTTTTCTCTGTTGGTGGGGACGGCCGACGAGAGGGGGACGGGGAGGGGGCCTTGGGCAGTGAGGCGTTTCGGCTTGCGCATGGGCGGCGGGGAGATGCGCGAGACGAAGAGGATAGCGAGGAGCAGGACGGCGACGAAGAGGAGAAGACGGAACTTCCCCCTCTGACAAGTCAAACAGCAAAGTCAAGGATCCTCCGACTCTCCCGCCCATTAGCGCGTTTCTCCATCTACCTAGCAGAGGACAACATGCTAGCCCTCTCCCTCTTCTCCCCCCCTCTTTCCCTCGCCCATCACCTCAGCCCCTCCCCAGCCTGTGTAGCACGTACAGACGTGAGTGATGTGCGTACATTGCGGGACTACGTGGGTAGGAGGATGCGATGGATCCGCGTAAGGAGATACATGGTTCCAGCAGCTACGTGGATCGAGCCCTTCACGGAGAGTGGGGTCGCGGGGCTGCTAGCCTTGGTGGCGGCAAGATGGAGGGGGTGGGGGATCGTGCAGGGTGGTGGATGGGGCAGAGCGCTTGGGGTGCTCTTGGTGCACTTTGCGCTTTGGCTCCTTGTGGATTTGGGCGTCTTGCATGCGTTGGAGAGCGGCGGGGGGGATGCCCAGCTCGGAGCAGCAACGGGGGAAGACGAGGATGACGAGGCGCACTACGAGTCGGCATCATCGCATAGGCGCCCTATCTCCCCATCTCGTAGCCGTCGCCTCTTCCCCACCACCTCCTCCCTCCTTTCGTTCCTCCTCGCCTGGGTCCTACGCGAACTACTCGCACTACCCATCTGGGCCTGCGCGATATGGGGCGGTAACGAGGTGACATGGCGCGGTACGCCCTACAGGATTCTGAGCGATTCGAGGGCGGCGCAGTTGAGTCGTGGGAGCAGAGGGAGGCGGGGATGAATGCGAAGGAGCGAAGGATGGGGGGGTTTAGATTACAAGCGGTGAAAGAGAGAGACGAGAGAGAGGGAGAGTAGGGGATACAAGAGGAGCCACACCTACGCCGATTGTAACATCGCAATGATAGTCCAGACCGGTCAGCTGACCAGCGCCGATTAGCAGAACTTCCAGCGATTGTTGCAGTTGGTACAGGTGACAAAGGTGGTCCTGCGATCGAGTGTAGCGCAGCGTGGTCAGCTCTTGTCTCTCTCTCGCACCTCGCGCCGCGCACACTCACATAGGCTCATCAGCGCTCCTCGTCTGTTTCTGGTAGTAACGACACTTCCTCTGCTTACACCTCCCACACTGGAACGCATCGGTCTCTGCAGTCTGTTCAGCCGCTGACTGGGCGACTAGCATATTCTGTTGTTGCAGCGCCTCATTCTCTGCCAACCTCTCCTCGGAAGCCATCTGAGCCGGAGTCAACTCTACGAGCTTCCCACCCTCAATCTCCCCTTTGACCACTCTGCGGCGGAAAGAAGGGTTGTTCTTGTCCTTCAAATTGAGGGACAGGGAACGCATCTTGTTGCGATACTCCTGGTTGACGCCGCCCCCTACTTCCCCCGAGCAGTGCTTATCGAAGACGGAGGACTCGATGTCCAGTGAGATGGCAAAGATGGTCGACTCTGGGATGGGTGGGGAGACGTCGGCAAGCTTGAGGGCGTCGAAAATGAGCTTGAGGCAGGCATTGCGTGTCTTTTCGCCTAGGAGGGTGAAGTCGGGTGGGGCCGAGGCTGGTGGTGGTGCTGATGCAGCCGGTGTTGCCTGCTTCGATGCTGAGGATGCTGATGCTGCTGTGGTGGTGGCTGAGCCTGACGCTGGAGTGGCGGGACTGGCGCTACCGGAAGGTGATTGGCCTACGGGCGTCGACGAAGCAGCGGCCCCTGCCTTGGGAGTCGTGGCTACACTTCCCGCCTTGCTGCCGCCATTACTACTGCTAGCAGCCGTACTCGACCCACCGCCAGCGCCGCCACTACCACCCTTACTGGCTCGCTCCTTGTCAATGACAGCCTTCCACCCTTGGACAAGCGATTTCGCCTTGGTCGCAATCTCTGCGTGGGGTGAGGCGCGCAATTTACCTACGATCTGGCCAATCTTGGTCGTCTGCGCGAGGCACGACAGGCAGGAGCGATGCGATGCGGTGCGACAGGATGTGATGCGATGAGTAGGCGGAGCGCATTCGGCGGATGGTGCTCGCAACTCACCCTGATCAAATCCTCGGTAGGCTTTACCCCTTCCTTCAATCTGCTGAGCAGCGCCTGGATGTCCTTTGGCGCATCGTCGGCCATGGCCTTTGCGAGGTCCTTGTGCAGGCCGCGGATCTCCTGCACCGATAGGCCTGGCATGGCGGGCGGGCGGGCGGGCGGATGGCGGGGGGTGAGATGGGGCGTGGTGGTTTGAGGTTGAGGAGATGGCGAGCCAAGCGTCGTGCCGTCCGTTGTCCGTCGTCCATCGTCGCGATTCGACTTTATCCCCGCCCGTCTGCCTCCCGCGGCCGCGCCCCTCCAGCCTCAGCCTCTACTTCCGCCTGTCAGCTCGAGACGCGCACGCACGCCGTCTGTTCACACGACCACACGACGCACGCCACGCACGATGGTCCTTCGAGTGCCCAAAGCGATTGTCAATGGTGTTGATCAGCAGCTGAAGCGCTTGAAGAGTGCACGAGCGTGACAAGAAGAGTGCGTCGTCTTGTCTCTGTTGTCTCTGCTGCTGCAACACGGTCTGGCGCCACGTGCGCGCGAGCGTGCCGCTCTGCCTGCGCGTACGTGTCCCGTGTCTGACCTGACTTGAACGGCACAGCCTATCTCCTAACAGCCAGCATCATCGTATGGCATCATTGATGTGTCTCATGCTCATCGCGCCTACCACCGCCTACCACCAGCCGTTTGAGCTTGCTTCATCTCGTCTCTCTGTGTCTGTCCGTCGTCTTGGTTTCACGTCTCTCTCTGTGTCTCGATCTTGCCTTGTGATGCCTGCCTGCCTGCCTGCCGCCCCGCTCCGTCTGCTCCGTCCGTCTTGCAGGTCGAGCCGGGTACGACGGCAGCGGCATCGGATTGGATTGCGAAGCCCTCACTTGACGTCCCTTGGCTCCTCGTCATCCTTCTCTTCACCAGCGCACCACCATCGACAGTTCTTTCCGATCGTTTGCGGCGCTCCGTCTGATCACATCGAGTCAGCTGCCCGGCACACGCACGCCCACACGCCTCGTCACTTACAGCGCTGACCGGCTCAGCTTGGCTTGTCTACGCCGCCTCACGCGTGGATACGTAGATGGATGAAGGCGTAAAGGCCCTGCCTTGAGGAACCCAAGAGCTGCGTCGGTCTCTCGCCCTTGCTCTCCCACTCGACTTCGACGTCGACGATATGTCCAATTACGATGCAACCCCACATTCGCCCCTCTCGGCAGCGCATCCGGCGCATATACTCGCCTCCTTCAACCAAAGCTCAGCAACAGCAGCAGCGCCTGCCCCGCCTGGTGCACCGCCCGTTGCGGGACCCTCACATGCGATGCCTAGTGCGTCCAGCTCATCAGTCAAGTCGTCGGGGAAGAGGAAGGAGGCGAGTGCTGCAGGAGGAGGGGAAGGGCCGACCAGCCCGACAGACGATGACGATACGGCGGATGACGGACAGAAGAAGCGCAGAAGGTGAGTCGATGATTGCGCGAGTGGTAGTCATCACGGCCTCGCTCCATACTGACATCCTTCCTCTCGCCCACCGCCCCGCATACACAGACGAGTCGTAGTGGCCTGCGATACCTGTCGCCGCAAGAAGGTAAAATGCCAAGGACTGCCCAACGCCTCGTCCACTTGCAACAACTGCGCAGCCTACAACTATAAGTGCACTTTCACAGCAGACAGTGATCGTTCGCGGGGCAAGTATGAGATATTGGAGGGCAAAGTAGAGACGCTCTACAACGCCTTGAGGAGTGTGGCCCCGCATCTAGCAGAGGACTTTCAGAGGGGACAGCTCAACGTTTCTGGTGGCGCGGTACGGGCAGCTACGGGGAGGGTGAGCAAGGGCAGTACAAACGGCGGCGATAGCAGTGTCGGCGGGAGCAGCATGCCTGCCCCTTCCTCCTACTCGTACCCTCCTGGCTACCCGCAACCGCACCTCCATCAACCAGGTGCCGCACCTCCCGGTCCACGGACTGGGCCTTCCCTCTTCGAGATGAACACCATGCTTCCTCCACTCGTGAGCGGCTCTTCGTCCTCGTCCTCGTCCTCGTCCCACCACTCGCAGCTGCAGCCACTCCCATCGCTCCGCTCCCTCGGTGTTGTTGAGCCACACAGGAGAAGGCCAGGCCCGCTCGTGCCCGACTTGGAGGATGGGCGGCCCAGATTCTTTGGCAAGAGCTCCACGTTGAGTCTCTTTCATGCACTGGATAGTCGACCACCTTCACCGCAACCTCAGGCTCAGCGCGGCGAGCGCGACGAGCGCGGCAATGATGGAGAGCGGACAGAGCAGGGGAGCTCGCGTTCGCAAGCAGAGCAGGGCACCACGCAATCTCGAGCGGACACACAACATTCGCTACAGTCAGACGCGCACACCGCCCCTCCCTCATCGGATCGCAAAGCCCCAGTCGAATGGTCCGTCCTCCCCGTGCCGACGCCCATCTACCCCTCCAACTCCCGCGAATGGGTCCACCTGATCCGGCGCAAGAACACAGTCGCAGTAGGTCGAGACGACATCTGCAGCGACGAATGGGCAACGCGCTACATGCTCCCTTGCAGCTCCCTCATCTCCCACCTGTTGGAAGACATCTACTTCCCCTCGCTCCACCCGCTCCTCCCCATCCTCCACCCACCAACTTTCCGCCGCGACATCCAATCCGGCCGCGCCGCCCACGATACGGCCTTTCGCGGGCTCGTATTCTGTGTACTCACAATCGCCTCGCGCTTCTCCTCCGACCCGCGCGTCCTCGCCGACCCTTCTGACCCTCACTCAGCCGGGGACCACTGGGCGGCCGGCTCCAGGCTGTACCACCAAGCCTTTGCCGCCTCGTTGATCAACGTGCAGGTCCTCCTCCTCACCGCAACATTCATGCATGCCTCCATCGGCCCCGGATCCGCATGGACCGTCCTAGGTGTGGCGGTGCGCGGGTTGATGGACATTGGCCTGCACCAGGAGAGGGCGAATAGAGAGTTTAGACCTTTTGACCAGGAGATGCGACGAAGAGTCTTTTGGTCCGCTTTCATTCTTGACAGTATTTTCACCATCTGCTTGGGAAGGCCGAGCGCGTTGAAGCTCGAGGACTGTCGTGTTGATCTGCCATTGGATGTCAGTGATGAGGCGTTGGGTCGATCGGAGGAGACGGGAGAGGAGATTGTGGTTGATGAGGAGAAGGGGCAGGGGCAGGAGTCATCACCCCGCGTCGCGTCTGGGTTTAGGCATATGGCTAAGCTTAACTTGTTGGTGCACGAGATTGTCGGGGTGCTTTACTCACATCGCAAGGGGCAGGGCGGTCCCGACTGGAAGAAGAAGGCGGGGAGGAGCCCGGCGGAGAAGGAGCGGGAGAGCGGCGAGAAGGGTCAGACAGGAGGGGAGGGTACGGGATCGCAGTCACACTCCTCGTCGTCGTCCTCTCGCCCAGAGTCGCGGGATGCCGACTCCTCGCGCCCACCGGCGGCATCCACGTCCACATCCACATCGACGCCCACGTCGACGCGCCCCCTCCCCGCCCCACGCTCAGAGATGGACCGCCTCTGTCGCCTTCTGGACGACTGGGTAGCTCAAACGCCCGCGCATCTCCGCAATGTGGCCACGAGCCCCTTCAAGCTGCAATCCGGCATCTTGACCTGCGGCACGCACGACATCCGTCTGTACATCCTCAAGCCTTTCCTCTCCTCCCCTACCCTCTACCGTCAGATCCACCCGCTCTGCATCACCCACGCCCGACACTGCCTCCGCACGGTGCTAGACCTCTACCTGAGCGGCCACCTGCACAACATGGTCTTCATCTTCATGCAGGCCTTCATGTCCTCTGCCACCTTCCTTCTCACCGTTTGGCACGTCACGCCCAGCCTCGAGCGATTAGGCGAGGATGCCGAGCTGATCGAGCGCACGGCACGCATGATGGCTACGGCCTTCGATGGGCGATATGCTAGCGCCGTGTGGCGCAAGGCGTGGAGGGTGCTGCAGCGCGTGGCGGAGAGGGTCATGCCGGTTATGGGGGAGGAGATGAGGGAGAGGACCAGCAGGTGGATCGAGATGGGGTGCGAGGGGGTGCGCGTGGGCGAGGCGTCTGGGGATGCGGGACGAAAGACGCCTACGCAGACGCGCGGCGCTGCGACGAGACCTACGTCGGCGGGATCATCCTCGGCCGCTTCTTCAACGATGGGCGTCGCTGCAGCGCCGGCGAATGGGTACAGTTTCGCCACGGGAGCCAATCAGGGGCCCTATCCTACGACCTCCTTCGGCTTCGTACCCAGTCACAACCATAATCATGCCGGCGGCTCCGCAGGGGCGGGGGCAGGCGCAGGGGCGGGGCCAGGGCCAGGATCCTTCGGCTCTCCGCCGCGTCAACATCTCTCTTCGCCTCACCACGCTCTTCCGCATTGGCAGCAACAGCAGCAGCAGCAGCAGCAGCAGCAGCAGCAGCAGCAGCAAGGAGCCTACACGTCCAACGCCAGCCGCGGCGGTCCGACTCGATCGAGTGGTGGGACGTTCCACTCTTCTTCTGGGGCGGGTCCGCCCTCGCCGAGCCCTCATCAGCACCAGCATGCGCACGATGCCCAAGGCTGGACATCGTCCGGCCCTCCCCCGCCTCCACCTAACGCGTCTCGAAGACCCTACGGCGCAGGGGCAGCGGGAGGACATCAGACACCGCCCATGTTGTCAGGCCAGCCTTTCCCCCCCGGCTGGATGGCTCATCCGCACTCGCACCCGCACTCGCACTCGCACTCGCCCGGTCGATTCGGACCTACATCCACCACGGGGCCCAACGCCAGCGCAGGCACGACCGCCGGGTCGGGGACGGCGGGCTCCTCCCCCCTTCCCCTGGACGTCAACAGTTTCGGAGACGCGCACGGAATGCTCGGAGACGTGCCTGCGCCCATGGCCGTTCCTGTGCCTGTTTCTGGGTTCCTTTCCAGCCAGAATCACCCTCCACCCCCTCCTCCTCCTGGATTCCTTCACTCACTTGCTGGGGAGGCGCCTCCGCGTGGTAGCAACGGACTCGTCCCCGAGGCAGGGAGTATGGACATGAACATCAATATGTTCGCCGGTGGGTCCGCTCCGGGTCAGCCGCCTGGTATGGGCATGGCCGCGGGCATGGGGATGGGCATGGATGTGGGCGCGGGCGCGGGCGCGGGCATGGACACGGACATGTGGACGGACGGAGCAGGTGCTGATTCCTGGCAGGAATACTTTTGGCGATTCTTGAGCGACGCCGACGTTGATGTTGATGCGAGTGTGGATGGGACGGGAGAAGTGGACAGGGACGAGAAGCAGCAGCAGCAGCAGCAGCATCAGCGGGCGTAGTGGTGTGTGAGAGGAGCGGGTGGACAATGAAGGTGCGTGCGACTCGCAGTAGAGTATCTCGTCATCCATCTTTGGGCTTGGACAGACCCATCTTACGACGATTGATCATTGAATGGAATTCGCTACATTCTCGTTTCGTATCCTTTCCTCCTCGTCCCTGCCTTGCTCGACGCTGGATTGCCCTACCCCTGCCCCTCCCCGCTCTCGCCAAAAATCCCTTGGCCCCTGCACGCACACCTCGGCTTGAACCTCACGACCTCGGACTGGCGTGCACTGGCGTGCCCTCGCGTGCCCTCGCGTGCTTTGCCCGCCGGCCGTCGCCATCGGCTCGCGTCACCCTGCGATGGCAGGACGAGGGCAAGGGCGAGGCGAGCTCGGTATGATACGAAGGGGAGCGACTTTAATTGGACAGCCGGTGCGGTGGGCAGCAACTCATTGCAGCTGCTCAGTCCTGATGGGCAAGGGCCAGGACCGCGTGGTCATCGGCCGTTGTCACGACAGGCGGCGAAGCTTCTTGCATCCTCACTTCTCTGCTTTTTCTTCTTCTTCTCGCCCCACCACCAATCCTTAGCAACCATGAGCTCCTCCTCCTCCTCCCCCACCAAGGAGAACAAGCGCTGGATCCTCTTTGCATTTGAGATGGCCTGCTCGGGCCACCAGTCTCCCGGCCTCTGGACGCATCCCGAGGACAGGTCGCACCTGTACAACAAGCTAAGCTACTGGACCGACCTAGCCAAACTGCTCGAGAAGGGTGCGCTACTCTCCCCTTGCATTCGCGAAAGAGGGACATATCAGCTGACATATCGCGCTTACGCCAGGCAAATTCGACGGTCTCTTCCTCGCGGATGTCCTAGGCATTTACGACCGATACGGCTCTTCCCCCTCTGCTGCCCTTCGATCGGGAGCCCAAGTCCCGCTCATCGACCCAGCCTTTACCGTACCTGCAATGGCTGCCGTGACCCGTCACCTCTCCTTTGGCATTACGGCCACCACCTCGTACGAGCACCCCTACTCCCTCGCGCGCCGATTCAGTAGCTTGGACCACCTCACTAACGGGCGCGTAGGGTGGAACGTGGTGACGGGTTATCTGGATAGCGCTGCGAGACAATTTGGTGCGAAGAGCCAGGAGATGCATGCGAGGCGATATGAGATTGTGAGGCCAGGCCAGCGCGGTGGGGAGGGATGAGCGTGACGCAGAGTAGAGCAAAGCTGACCCCGCGCCGCGCCTCCTTCCCACTCTCTCGCCGCGCAACTCACCCAGGCCGACGAGTACATGGACGTGGTATACAAGCTCTGGGAGTCCTCCTGGTCAGACGACGCGGTACGACACTCCATTCCCTCCCAACTCTTCACGGACCCCACGCGGGTCCAACCCATCCACCACACCGGACCAAACTACTCCGTCCCGGGCCCACACATCTGTGAGCCCTCTTTGCAGCGCACCCCCTTGATCTTCCAAGCGGGCTCCTCAGGCCCCGGACTAGCCTTTGCCGGCAAACACGCCGAAGTGGTATTCATAGCAGCGCATCGCCCGGACGTGGCAAGGAAACGCGTAGATGCTGCACGGGCGGCTGCTTCTGCTGCCGGGCGCGACCCGAAGAGCTTGAAAGTGCTAGCCCTACTCTGTCCCATCGTGGGGACTACGGACGTTGAAGCTCGCGAAAAGCATGCCGACTTCCTCGCCCACGGAAGTGATGAGGGGGCATTGGCCTTGTTCGGCGGATGGACGGGGATGGACCTCTCCCCCTACTCGGACGATGAGGAGCTCCGCACAGCCGCTGCCGCTGCTGGGTCGAATGCGATCAAGAGTGCCATCGACGGATTTGCGCAACAGGACCCTTCGGTGCAGAAGTGGACGAAGAGGGAGGTGGCCAACTTGATCAAGGTAGGTGGGTTAGGACCGGTGGTGGTGGGTAGCCCGGAGGGGGTTGCTGATCAGTTGGAGGAGTGGGTGAGAGAGGCAGGCGTGGATGGGTTCAATTTGGCTTATGCTGTTGCGCCGGGAACTTTCGTTGATTTCATCGAGTTGGTTCTGCCCATTTTGAGGCAGAGGGGTCATGTTTGGGCGGAGTACCCGGAGGTTGAGCAGGAGCCCGCTGGGTGGAAGGGGGGAAAGGAGCTGAGCGTGGGCCAGGCCGCGGGTGGGTTTGGAGCCCAAGAGGTCTTGGGGCTGACGGCAAGGGAGAAGCTGTATGGTATTGGGCAGAGGAGGCTTAGGGATGATCATTATGCTAGTCGATTCAGGTGGAGGGCAAGGCAGCCTGCGCCGGAGCTGCCTGGCCAGCGCGAGCCCCGCGAGACGAATGGTATTGATGGCAAGGAGGGGGAGCCGGATGAGGCGCCGACTAAACGCAAGAAGACTGGGTGAGGGTGGGACGACGCGATGGTGCGCTCCTCTAATCTACTCCTTTCCATTTCGCCTGAGTCGTTCATGGCATCTCGTAGTCATTTCTTGTCGTGTTGCACAGCGTGAGGTGGGGTCAACTGACTTCCTCCGCGGGTGCCACGCGCCGCGCCGCGCCGCGCCGCGCTCCACGTGGCGACTCAGACCCCTTGGTGCCTGTTTGGCGTGGGGCACAACGATGCAGGCGCAGTGCCTGCCTCTCTCTCTGCCCGTGTGTGTGCCTAAAGCCCGCCTAGCTGGCGTGGCTGTCCTCGTCGCCCCCGCCCCGCCCCGTCGTCCCGCCGTGCTCTCGTGTGGCTGTCGCTCTCTCTGTCTGTCTGGGCCCTCGCGAGGCGCCCAGGGCCACACGCAACGCACCGACCGTCGTCGTTGTGTCGTCGTCAAGGCGTCGAGTCGAGTCGAGTCGAGTCGAGGGCGCGAGCAAGACGGAGCGACGGGCTAGACTACCAGGACGCATCGCATCTCCTCCTCCTCCTCCTACTTCATCTCTCCACACCACTTACCAAGACAAGAACCGCAGAGTAAAGCGGCGCATACGAAGACGGACGAGGTGAAGACAACAACACAACTCGATTCGCAGTTGCTCTTCCCGCCTTTCTCTTCTTCTCCTCCTCCTCTTCCTCTTCAGCTGCGCTCCCCCGCGTTCTCGTCGTAGCGAGCGCCCTTTTTACCCCAATCGACCCACGCCCGCCCGTGCACGCGACTCCCCACGCAACGAGGGCATCAGCATCCTCGCTGTCTTCGACGAGAGTCAGCATTCAGCGATAGCAGCAGCAGCAGCAGCGGCAGCATCACACCAAGAGAGGCCAGGCCTGAATCGTTGAGAGCAGCGCAGTGCTGAGAGCAAAGCAGCAACAACAACCATGTCCAGATCCAATGGGCTTGATCGTGAGTTCAGAGCGTGAGGTGCGGCGAGGGGCGTGAGGGAAGGGGAGAGGGAGGTGCTGCCCATCACTTGGCATGCGCAAAAGGGCGAGCTTGATTGCAAAGCCGCCTCATGAGCCGCCGTATGCGCCGCCCCATGCGCCGCAACCTGCGCATCGTCCTCGCACGGGCGTATCACTACGAGCTCTCTCCAGCCATCGTATCGAGTGATGTGGCGTCTCTTTGGTCGCCGGCTGGCTGACCCCGGCCTTGGTCTTGGCCGATGTCACGAGTCTAGGCTGGGTTGATCCGCTGCCGCCGTCGCCGCCGCCGTCGCCGCCGCCGTCGCCGCCGCCGCCGGTGCCGCACTTGCCTTTCGGTCCGCTCCTCCTCGTCGCAGCATATACTGACCCTCTCCTCCACACACACGCCCCGCACACACAGCCATGAACGACCCCACGCGCGTAGTACGAGTAACAGCCTCGGATGGCAAGAGCGGCGAGTCGCGCGAGCTCGCCTACACCAACTGCAAGGTCATCGGCAACGGATCTTTTGGCGTCGTCTTCCAGGCGCGTGTCGTCTCCGGCGGCAATGGTAACCTCGTCGAAGGAGCTGGGGCCAGCCAAGATCAGGGAGCGGCAGGGAGTGCGCCGAGGGAGAACCAGGAGGATGTGGCTATCAAGAAGGTGCTGCAGGATAAGAGATTCAAGGTGCGCGTCCCATACATAGAGAGAAGAGAGGATGCCATGATAACTCCAGCTTACTGATCTGTCTGCTCTTCCCCAATCCGCGCGCGCAGAACCGCGAGCTCCAAATCATGCGCATCGTCAAGCACCCAAACGTCGTCGACCTCCGCGCCTTCTTCTACTCCAACGGCGACAAGAAGGACGAAGTCTTCCTCAACCTCGTCCTCGAATACGTCCCCGAGACAGTCTACCGCGCGTCGCGACACTACGCCAAGCTCAAGCAGCAGATGCCCATGTCCCTCATCAAGCTATACATGTACCAGCTGCTGCGCTCCCTCGCCTATATCCACTCCATCGGCATCTGCCACCGCGACATCAAGCCCCAGAACCTCCTCCTCAACCCAGCTACGGGCGTCCTCAAGTTGTGCGACTTTGGCTCCGCAAAGATACTCGTGGCAGGAGAGCCCAATGTGTCATACATCTGCTCGCGATACTACCGTGCGCCTGAGCTCATCTTTGGCGCCACAAACTACACGACGAACATCGACATCTGGAGTACAGGCTGCGTAATGGCCGAGCTGATGCAGGGGCAACCCCTCTTCCCAGGCGAGTCGGGTATCGACCAGCTAGTCGAGATCATCAAAGTCCTCGGAACTCCCTCGCGTGATCAGATTAGGACGATGAACCCAAACTACATGGAACACAAGTTCCCGCAGATCCGTCCACACCCATTCAACAAGGTTTTCCGACCTCGCACACCCCCCGAGGCCATCTCGCTCATCTCGAACCTCCTCGAGTACACCCCTTCAGCCCGACTCACAGCGGTAGAGGCTATGACCCACCCTTTCTTCGACGAGCTTCGTGCGGCCCCTGAATTCCTCATGCCAAACGGAAGGGCAGCCCCGCCGCTCTTTGATTTCACGAGGGAGGAGCTCAGTGTCCGGCCGGATCTGATCCATAAGCTTGTGCCGGAGCATGCGAGGCAGGGATTGATTGAGAGGGGAATCGATGTGGATAACTTTGAGCCGGTGCCGTTGGAACAGATGAGAGTTTCCTTGGATTGAGCGGGGGGCGCGAGGCGGGCGAGGCGTGGGAGGTGGGGGCGGGGGAAGATGACCTGGAAGGAGAAGAAGCGAGCCAGGCGTGGCGTTGCACGAGCACAAGCGAGCAGGGTCGTCTCTCCCATAACATCAACATCAGCAGACACGAGCGAGCAGCAGCAGCAGCAGAGTCAAGGTCAATCGGTGGGCGGGCAGGCAGTGCGTTGAGTCGAGTAGGTCGGTTGTATGTCTCCGTCGACCGTAGGGTGGGTGTGGGCGTCGGCGTGGGCGGCCATTTTTTCAAAGTTCATGTTTTCGTTCATTCATGCCGAGCTTTCCGTTCTGCCTCAACAACCCGGTCGTCACTCGGTCTCGTCGTACCATCCCGCTTCCCCCCCGCCCACCCACACACAGAGCCAACAGAAGCCAACTCCTCGAAGCGTCTTCCCTCTACACGGCCCCAGCACGAGAAGGAGGACGAGAACAAATGAGAAGCAGTTTCAACGATCGGAGCATCGTATTAAACCTCGCTTTGTCCTTTGCTATTCTTCCCTTACATCGCCATCGCGATTCCTCCTCTCCTCCCCACCCGCAGCTACATGTACGTCCAGCTGTCCCTCCCTCCGACCTCGGCCCACCTCTCCACTCCCCTTCCCCCTCTCGAAGCCACCCTCCCCCGCCAGCAAAGGCGCGATAGATCCGTCCCTCCCTCGTCCTCACCCTCGTCTACATCAAACTCTCCCTCCCGCCCACCTCTCTACTCCCCTCTCCCGTCCCAAACCCTTCCTCCCCCCGCTCTTTCCCACCAGCGAACTCGCGATAGATCCGCGAGAGGCGCAGTCGTTCATTCGAGGGGACGGAGGGGCGTAGACCTGCCAAGGAGCGCGAAAGGTGAGAGGAGGTGACGGCTCGATGCCCTGGAGCTGGAGCGGGGGAGGAGGTGCCGTTTGCTTTGGAGTTGGAGTTGCGCGAACGTTGCGAGGTGAGAGAGTCGGAGTGAGCGGGGCGGGAGTTGGAGAGAGCTAGCTCCAGACGACGGCGGAGGGCTTGCTCTTCTGCTCCACTGCGACGGATCGCACTCGCACCCGCACCCGCACCCGCAGCCGCTCCCTCCCCCTGCTCCTCTGCTAGGGCGGTAAGCTCTGCAAATTCGAGTGAGCCAGCTCCCTCGTCGTCCTGGTCACCCTTCCCGTCCCCATTTGCGACCTTCCCGCCGCCCTGATCCGCAGCAATCCCCTCATGCACCACCTCCAAATGGGCATTGTACAGCAAAGCCTGCAGATCCGCTCCCGAGAACCCCTCCGTCTTCCCCGCGCATCTCTCTGCCCACCCTGCCTCCTCGACCTGGATCCCCCCTTCCCTCGCAACCGCACGCAGGATATCCGCCCTATCCCCCTCGTCGGGCATGTCGCAGAGGAGGGACTTGTCCAGTCGACCGGGACGGAGAAGGGCAGAGTCGATCAAGTCCGGGCGGGAGGTGGCGGCTAGGACGTACACGCCTGAGAGGCCTTCAGCGCCGTCCATTTGGGTTAAGAGCTGGTTGACTACACGGTCCGTCACGCCCGTGGAGTCGTGGCCTCTGCGAGCGTGCGTGCGGGGGGAGAGAGGGGCGAGAGGTCAGCGTGTCATGCCCATGCTGCGCGGTGGCGTCCACACGCGAACGTACCTCTTTGGCGCAATACTCTCAAACTCGTCGAAGAACAAAACGCAAGGCTTTGCAGCGCTCGCCCGTTCAAAGAGGTCCCTTACGCTCTTTTCGCTCGCTCCTATGTACTTGTTAAGGATCTCCGGACCCTTGACGCTCACAAAGTTGGCCCCACATTCCTTCGCCACCGCGCTGGCCAGCATGGTCTTGCCGCAGCCAGGATAGCCGTACAGGAGGAGACCGGAGCGGAGCCGGAGGGGGCAAGAGGCGAAGATGGGGGCGTAGCGTGAGGGGAACTCGAGAGTCTCTCGGAGGATTCGGCGCGTGGAGTGGAGACCGCCTATGCTTGACCATGAGGTTGAGCTGGGCGAGGAGAGGGAGAGGGATCGCAGTGTGAGGGGAGTGAAGTTTTCTTGGGCGGAGGTGAAGTCGGGGAGGGTGAGGCGCAGAGACGATGGCGTGTTCGAGGTATTGGACTCGGCCTCTGCTTGGCCGCCGTCTCGCGCTTGGCCGCCGTCTCGCGCTTGACCTTGGTGCTGCTCCTCGCCCCCAACGCGCAGCACGGCGCGATAGATTGCTCGATCGGTCAGATCGACGAGATCCGCCGGCAGGTACCCCTCCGTCTGCGCCGCCACCAGCACGTAGTTGAGCGTCGGGTCCGCCTCGATCCTTGCCATGCCTGGCGCGCCGTCGTCGTCGCCGTCCGAGCTGGAGTGAGTGGTGGAGCTCTCCGCCTTCTTGGCCACCAAATACCTGAGTATGTCAGCGCGCTCCGTCTTGCCCGGGGGCTTGACGCTCAGCGTCTCGCTCCACACATGTTTCTCTACGAGGAGCTTGTGCAACGCCGTGCTCCCGCTCGCGGTGGCTAGGACCACTCCCGCTGCCCCTTGCCCGGCGAGATGCTGCACGTATCCCTCAGCAATGGCGCGCGCTCGTGTGGGGTCCACATTCTCCACCTCAGGAATGGCGACGCGATCCAGATTGTCGAGCATCAGGATCGCCCCTCCCCCCTGCGCTCCTGCGCCTCCCTCTGCATACCAATCAAGCGCGTCCCTCCACTCCCTAAACGTGCTCTTGAGCTGGGAGAGACGCATTTCCGCCATCGGAGCGCAATCCACGTAGAGAGTCGTGAGGAGGGAGGGGGAGAGGCGATGCGAGAGTGTGGTGAGGAGAAGCGTTTTCCCTACGCCTGACGGGCCGGTGAGGAGTATGTTGGTTGAAGAAGACGAGGCGTGACCTAGCGAGGCGGAAGAGACTGCATTGCGGATCGTGGAGTCGACGTGGGAGAGGAGTGACTCGTAGCCTGGCAGGCTCGCGCTCTCCCTTCCCCCCTCTTCAGCCCACGAAGGCGCCTTCACGCTCTGCTGCTGCTTCGCTTCATCCGTGGTAGGCGGGGCGGCCACACTGCCAGGGGGCGGGGCAGAGAAGCAGATCGTCTCCCCTATTCCCACCCCGCCCAGCTTGGCGCGCAATGCCCGATTGAGGTAGACCCACCTCCCTGGCCAAGCCACTTCCTCGCTCATGAGTGTCGCCGCCCCCTTGAGGATGTACGTCGTCGCGGTTGGCTGCTTAGGCGGGGCGCCCCGGGAGCCTTCCGCAGTAGGAGGAGGAGGAGTAGGGCCGCTGCTTGACGCTGACGCTGACGCTTTCGCTGATGGGGCTGAATTGTCCTTGTCCAGGAGCTCGGAGAGGGGTCGGATGGAGGGGGCCGAGGGACATGGTTGGACATTTACACTCGCTCTGCCCCAGTGTGCGTCTTTCGCTGCATTTCCATACGCTTGGGAGAGGAGATGCCAGTCCGACTCTGGCTCCGACTCTGACTCTGACTCTGCCTCGCCATCTCCATCCCACACTACAAGCATGGCTGCCTCCCCTTCCAAATCCCAGGCGCGTCCCTCCCCTTCCTCCCCACGAGCGAGCTGCGGCCGCATTGAGTCCGGCAGGACCCTGTAGACGCGATTCTTCAGCTTTGCCCGAGCGGCTAGAGCGCCGTGGAGCTGTCGCTGCTGCTGCTGGCTCCCGCCCCTGGAGCTCGACCCGATGTCGTGTGCTTGAGCAGCCGCCGCAGCTGCTTGAGATTGTCGAGTACGAGGCGCAATGACTATCTCCGTATTCGTCGTAAGCCGGACGGCTCTCGCTGCCCCGGGCGCTCCGGCAGACTGCGCAGCGGTTCGGGGCTCCGTCCCATCCACGGTGAACCAACACTCCTCCCTCCCAGCCCTGCCAACGAAGATGCACACCCTACCCTCGGTTGCGACGCTTCGTACCTGAGAGAGCATGTTGTCCTCGACGGCCCCCGCATTCTGGCTTAGCAGCTCCCAGTCGTCTGGCGTTAGCGGGGTGAGTTCGACGCGAGAGGCCGTAGGGAGGGGGGGGGAGCGAAGTAGCGTGAGAGTGTAGGAGGAGGAGGGCAGGGCCGCGGGATGGAAGAGCGAGGCGAGACTCGAGGAAAGGAGGAGAGTCGAGTCTAGATTGCTGGACTGGCCTGACCATCCGAGGAAGATTGTGTCCCTCCTTCTCTCCCGTCGATCAACTTCCTCTTCGTCTGATCCTTCCGACGAAGAGGGCGCAGCCTCCCTCGAGTCGCTCTCGCTTCGCCGGGTCACTTGCAAGACGATGCTCTGCGGTGGTATGTCTCGCGCTACGAGGGCGGAGTAGACTGATGGGGGTAGGTGGGCGAGGGAGGAGCGCAGAGAGGGGGTGAAGGAGAGGGAGATGGGCGTTGCTTTGGACGAGGAGCCACCACTCGCATGCCCGTTGACGGCGTGCGAGCCTCTTGGTGGCATGCTGCGAAGTGAGCGAATGAGCAAAGGAGCAAAGAATGCTATGATAGCTGCACACCTTCTATCCTGCCGGTGCCTGGATGCTCGAGGGTCCGGCTTCTTGAACGGCCGACTCGCTCGCTCGCTCTGTCCGTCCGACTCTCGAGCTCGACTCGCTCGCTCGCTCGCTCGCAGAGAGGCCGGACCGGGCGGCTTTTTGGCTGCACGCACGCAGGCACGCACGCAGGGAGGCACGTACGGCTCAGCCTTGTGAGAGACGGCGCAGCGATATTGAATGGCTCTCGATGATTGGATGCGATAGGTGAGACGGTGACCGCCCTCGATGACCGCCCTCGATGATCTCCCTCTCGTCGACCCTGCCCGGCGGGACATGCCCTCGTCACCAGGGCGACGAGACGTTCTTGATTGGAAAGCGCGGCGCGGCGTGGCGTGGCGTGGCGGGCGGAAGAAGCAGGCACGCGAGCAGGCAGGCGGGCGGGGCGGGACGGCTTCCAAGTTGAAATCTCGAGATGACTTAGAGGGACTCTCGTGCTTCTCTCCTTCGCGCCTCGTCTTCTCCATCACCTTCATCCTCCTACCTCTCGCCTCTCACCACGCCTTCGCAGCCGGCCATGCTGCCACCGCATCGCCTCGCAGCAGGCAATGGCAGCGCCGCCCGTGCGCTGCGCCGTTCCCTCGCCACAGCTGCGCCTCCGACGTTTCATCCTACGCGCCTTCCTCCTTACCAATCACTCTGCGCCAACCTCGATACGGTCCGCAAGGTGACAGACAATGCGCCCCTTTCACTCGCCGAGAAGATCTTGTTCTCTCACTTGCGCAACCCGGAAGAGGTACTGGCGGGGAAACGTGGGGTGGATCTGAGGGGAAAGGAGTATTTGCCGCTCAGGGTGGATCGATTGGCTATGCAGGGTGAGCGCGGGAGGATGGATAGCATATACTCTGCTCATGTGCTGACTTCACCTCTTTCTCGGCGCAGACGCATCGGCGCAAATGGCTCTCCTCCAGTTCATGACCTGCGGACTGCCACAAACGGCCGTACCGGCTTCGGTCCATTGTGACCACCTCATCCAGGCATTCGAGGGAGCAGAGGCCGATCTCAAGCGTGAGTGCGCGTCCAGTCCCAACACTTCCCTTTGCCGCACGCTGACACGCACCGCGATCAGGCTCCATCGCCTCGAACCAGGAAGTCTTCCAATTCCTCTCGTCCGCCTCGGCCAAGTACGGCATCGAGTTCTGGGCTCCTGGCTCGGGTATCATTCACCAAATCGTCCTCGAGAACTACGCTGCACCGGGACTCTTGATGCTGGGTACCGACTCGCACACCCCCAACGCATCGGGAATGGGATGTCTCGCCATCGGCGTCGGAGGCGCAGACGCAGTGGATGCGCTGACGGACACGCCGTGGGAGCTCTTGACGCCGCGCCTCCTCAATGTTCACATGACTGGAAAGCTCAGCAGCTGGTGCACGCCCAAGGACATCATTCTCCACCTCGTCTCCAAGCTGACGGTACGCGGTGGCACAGGGCGAATCGTCGAATACTCTGGGCCAGGCCTTGCCTCGCTCCCCGCCACGGGGCTCGCAACGATGAGCAACATGGGCGCCGAAGTCGGGGCCACGACGAGCTGCTTCGGCTACAACGACGCCATGGCCCGCTATCTGGATGCGACGGGTCGGGGCGAAGTCAAACTCGGCGCAGAGCAAGCCGCTGCCCGCGGCCTCCTCAGTGCAGACCAGGGCGCACAGTATGATGAGCGAATTGAGATCGACCTCTCCACCCTCGAGCCAGTCCTCAACGGCCCCTTTACGCCGGATCTCTCCACCCCGCTCTCCCAGTACACGCGCAACGCCAAGGATGCGGAGAAGCGCGACCACCCGCTCGAGCTCAGCGCCGCCTTGATTGGGAGCTGCACCAACTCATCCTACAACGACCTCGCACGCTGCGCCTCCCTTGCCCGCCAGGCGCTGGATCGGGGAATGAAGGTCAAGTGCCCCTTTGACGTCACGCCGGGCAGCGAGCAGGTACGCGCCACCGTCGAGCGGGACGGGCTCACCTCCCTCTTCGAGTCTGTTGGGGGTCGAGTCCTCGCCAACGCGTGCGGCCCTTGCATTGGCCAGTGGGATCGCAAGGAGTGCCAGGGAAAGGAGAATGTCATCCTCACCTCGTTCAACCGCAACTTCAAGTCGCGCAACGACGGCAATTCCCAAACGCACAACATGCTCGCTTCGCCCGAGGTCGTCACCGCTATGGCCTTTGCGGGGAGGCTGGACTTTAACCCCATGACGGATAGCCTGATCGCGCCGGACGGCCAGCCCTTCCGCTTCTCACCGCCAGAGGGGGACGAGCTGCCCGCCATGGGCTTCACGGCGGGCGAGGTGGCCTATCTCCCACTTCCTGCGCCTCAGCCCCAGCCTGAAGTGGAGGTGGCCATCGACCCTTCGAGCAGCAGGTTGGAGCACCTCCAGCCGTTTGGCTCTGCCTTTGCGGGCGGAAAATACGAGCTGGACAACATGGGCGTGCTGATGCGCATCAAGGGGAAGTGCACGACTGATCACATCTCAGCGGCGGGGCCCTGGTTGAAATACAAGGGGCATCTCAGCAACTTGGCGGAGAACACCTTGATTGGAGCAACGAATGCTGAGACGGGCAGGGTGAACAGTGCAGTCGACTACGAGGACGGACAAGAGGTGGAGGACACGATCCCTGGCGTAGCGAAGCGCTTCAAGGCTCGCAACCAGCCTTGGGTGCTCGTCGCCGACCACAATTATGGAGAGGGCTCAGCGCGCGAGCATGCTGCTCTGCAGCCGCGCTTCTTTGGCTGCCAGGTCATCGTGGCGCGCTCCATTGCCCGAATCGCGGAGACGAACTTGCGCAAGCAGGGCGTTCTCACGCTTCTCTTCGAGGACGAGGCGGACTGGGAGCGTATTGGGGCTGGGGACGAGGTGGCGACCAAGGGGTTGGAGGACTTGCTCAAGCCCGGCGGCGACTTGCGTGCTCAGGTGACGTTGCTGGTCAAGAAGAGGGGTACGGGAGAGACCATTGAGATTCCGACGAAGCACACGCTTAGTCGTGCGCACCTGGACTGGATTCGCGCGGGGAGTGCGCTCAATGTCATTCGACAGCAGGCGGCGAGCGGTTCCAGCGCCAAGCCCCCATCGCAGCGCAGCGGGCTCTTCGCGGCGTCTTCCTCGCGCGACTCGCCGCCGTTTCATCAAGCGCGCTCCTTCTCAACATCGACGCGTCGTCGCGCCACCTCCTCCACCACGCCCGCGAACAAGATCTCACCCAACGACCCGCGTTATGTCCAGCCTGCGGCCGATGCTCGCGGCGAGGCCTTGCGGCGCATGGTCTACCCGACGTACGCGGACGCCGAGCTGGCCCGTAAACGCGCGGGCATCCCTGCCACGCTGGGGGAGGCTCTCCCCTTTGGCGCCGAGGTGCACGAGACGATTGACCGGGCATGGAAGTTGTTTCAACGCGAGAGGCGGGAGGCCCTGCGTGAGGACCTGCGCGTCAAGAGGGAGCGCCTCCATGAAGCTGTCCGCGATTTGGCGGGGACGGATTCCCGCCTCTACCGCGCTGCAACGTATCGCGTTAGTCCGACGAAGCGCTCCCCCGCTGAGCAGGCGGCGTTGATCGATATGGGCATCGTGGCCAAGCCCGGCGGCGCTAAGGAGACGCAGACGCAGCCGCAGGTGGGGGCGGAGCAGAGGCGTAAAGCGAGGAATATGCTGGGGAGGAGGTTGGAGGGACTTTTCCCGAGGGAGATGAGGACGCCTACCACTACGCCGAGGAGGGGGGTGTGGGAGTGAGGCGGGCGCGGGCGCGGGCGCCGGTGGGCAAGTAGGTGAGATGTTGTACGGTGGGGGAGAGGACAATGCACGCCGTCGCATCGCATCGCTGCGCGTGAGTGTGAGTGTCGCGCCACATGATGCCGGAGTGGGGGTGGGGTGCGAAAGAGGAGCAGAGAGGTGCGCGCGTTGCGTTCAGGTGGCGACGCAGGGTACGAGAGTGCGATTCATGGCTCGCCTGGTCAAGCTCGCCTGGTCAAGCTCGCCTGGTCAAGCTCGCCTGGTCAAGAGCATCGAGGAGCAAGGATGATGATGATGAGGCGCCGAGCGCGACATGCTCATCCTTCTGCTATCCCGCGTGCTGCTGAGCATCCCTGTGACTCGCTTTGCCCTTTCACCCTGGCTCACCGCCTTCAATGAAGCTCTCAGCCTCGTTTGCCCCACAGCTCTCCCCCATGTGCCCCTACGCTCGAAGTCATGGCTTACCCCGAGAAGATGCGCACGGACGGGCCCATTGGCTGCCCCGCAGGAACGTGGCGGCGGCTGACCGCTCTCCAACTAACATTGACTGAATCGCCCGCGGAACAGGGATCGAAGGCGTGACTGCGATGCCGTCAATGCCATGCTCTCATTGCACGGCCTTGGCAAGAAGGGTAATGAGTGACGCGCTTCGTTCATTGCCTTGGCAAAAGTGGTGCGTGCGGCCTTGCGCTTTAAACCCCAGCCGGGGCAAGGGGCGCCGTCAGCTCTCGCCCCGCCAAGCCAAATTAAGGCAAAGGCCGCCAGCCTACGTCCACGCGGGCGCCGGGAGGCGGGCGGATGCAAGGCACGACGACGTCGTCTCCACTTTCTGTTCATCCCCCGCCTGCACCTACTTGATCGCCGTGCGAACCACCCACGTACCATATTCAGACACCGAGATCTCTCGGACGACATCTCTCGAAGCTGCAACATCCTTGGCATCGGGCTAAATGAGACGAGAGAAGCCTCGATGCGCTGCAGCGACGTCGGCCGCGAACCGCGCACGGCGGTGTTGAGGAGCGTGGGCTTGGCAGGCACCGCGGAACGAATGGCACTTGCTCTTCATCCCAGCGCGCTGGACTCACGGAATGGACTCAATCAGGTGACGGGCAACTACGCAACGAATCGTCACTGAGACCGGCGTCAGCGTAGCGGTGGAAGCGATGCCTGAAGATGGTTCATGCGCCATGGAAGACCGGCGGCCGTCGTCTTCGCACTCGTCTTCGCACTCGTCTTCGCACTCTTACACTCGCGCGAGGAGCACAAGACCAAGCTGCCAAGGAAAGGCGCGCAGCACACGCTGAGCGATCGCAGTCATACAAAAGGATACGGCTTTCGACCTGCCCCATCGACTTCTCTCCACTCGTCCCCACCCCTCGCAATGGTCCACCTTTCTGCCCTCTCACTCGTCGCCCTCGCCGCCGCTTCGGCCTCTGCTGCGCCCGCTCAGGTGCCCGGAGGCAAGGCGGTCAAGCAGCCCAGCCACTTCACGTCGGCCTTTTCCACTCGCGCCGTGCCAGGCGACGTCATTGCCAGCACCGGTAGCCCAGCGCCTGGACAGCCCAACGCCTTTGGCCACTTTGGCTTCAAGATCAACTCGGAGCAGGACATCATCTGCGTGAGTGAAGCGTGGCACGACGCGACGAGGCGACATCAACTGACGCGCGCATCGTCTGCACAGTGGGACATCCGTACCGTCAATGTGACCGGTGAATACCAGTCCCCCGCCGTCACGGCTACGCACATCCACGCTGGTGTCAAGGGAGCAGCGGGACCGCCGAGGTAAGTGCGCGCGGCGCGTGCGGCCGCCCCCGTAACCTCTGCTGATTCACTCGCCTCGCGCACGCAGACTCGCCTTTCCCAACCCCCAGTTCGTGCGCACCGACTCAACGGGCGCCGAGGTGCGCGAGTCCAAGGGCTGCATGCAAGGTCCCTTCACCACGGGCGTCCAAGCCAACGGCGCCGACTCCGGTACCGCTTCGGGCTTCTCCCTTTCTCTCATCGAGAATGACCCCAGCAACTTCTTTGCCGACACGCACACCGCCCAGTTCGTCGCTGGCGCCGTGCGCGGTCAGCTCCTCAAGTCCGAGGTTCCCGTCAAGCGCCCCAAGAAGTTCACCAGCCTCATCCGCACCTACGCCACGCCCGAGCAGGTCATCAATGCCAACAACGCCTCCGTACCTGGTCTCCAAGGCGCCAAGACCAAGTACAACCTGCATTTGAACACGGAGCAGGACATCATGTGCTACGACATCGTCTCGGAGGGCTTCCAAGGCGAGTACTTTTCGCCAGCAAAGACGGCCACCCACACCCATCAAGCCCCCTTTGGCTCCAACGGCCCGCCTCGCCTCGCCTTCCCCAACCCTACGCCGATCAAGGACTGGAATCTCGCCCGCAAGCTCGCAGCCCTCATCGGCCTCAGCAAGAACAAAGAGCTCCGTCGTAGCGAAGGGTGCGTCAAGGGTCCCTTTACAACGGGCTTGCTCAGCCCAGCAGGCGTGGACACGGGGTCCGCCAGTGGCTTCACCCTGTCCCAGCTAGAACAAAACCCGCAGGGATTCTTCTCCGACTACCATACCGAGGCTTTCCCTGCTGGAGCCGTGCGCGGGAACATGTACAGGGCGTGAGGAGGCGGTGCGGTGTTGCAATGTAAATACGAACGGCGTTGTAAGATGCTACATGATGATTGTCTGCTCTCCCGACCGCCTCGCCTCGCCTCGCCTCGCCTACCCATCGTCGTCTCCACTTCGAAACACGGTCGTCGTCTTCGCAGACCTTCGAGACGTGCGTAGCTCTGATCAACGAAGTCCATCTTGACCAACTCTACGCCGTCCATACTGGGGTCAAGTCTTTACCAGGTCGTGGTGAGCGTCGAGAAGCAGGCAGGATCAGGAGAGGTTGAGGAACAGGCATAGGCGTGAATGAGCGCCCCGTGGCGCTGTCAGCCTGGGCGGTGTTGCTCAGACGCCACGTGGTTGTTTTGCCCTTTCCGCCCCCCCGTGTTGGTCTCCGTGCCTTCTCATCCTAATCATCACTACCAATCAGACCATCGAGTGCTGTGGCCGTCTTCACAGCCATGCCACCAACATCATGTGGCGGCGAGTCGTCGCCGATGCGCGGAGCTGTGTCTGTCTCCTGGGCGCAGCCAATCAGTAGCAAGCGGTGAAAGGAGCGACGACACGAGCGGCGAAACGAGCGGCTTGGAGATGAGATTGCAATCTCGTTCCTGGCGGCTCGCACCTCCGCCGTTCCTGCGGCTAAGGTGATGTGACTTCAAAGTGAGCGGCCTGGACTGGATGTTGATTGCGCAGCCCGAACTGGATGTTGATCACGCACCTGGGCTCGTCGTGCTCTTGCTTTCCCTCCTCTTCGTCGATCTCCCTCGACTCACCGCCCACCCCCCCTTCATCCACCAGCCCCTCCCCGCCTCCATCTCCGCACCGTCTCATCAACAAACCAGTACGACGGGGCCCGACGTCCTCAAGCTGCGTCGGGCCCAGCACTTCGCGGCCGCCAATCGCTGTAACGTGAAGCACGTCGATCAAGGAGGAGAAGCCGAAGGAGACACACACTCGAATCATAGAGACCAGACAGCGTTCAAGAAGGAGTCTCAGCGCAAGCTAGCCTAGCAAAATCTCGCCGCAAGATCCACCACACCGTGATCTGATCACCACGCATCGCTGCCCGCACCGCTGCTCTGAGCCTTGGGCGCGCGCGGCGAGACGACAAAGCAATCTCGTTCCTCTCGCGACTTACAAGTTGATGGGCCACTCGCCGACGCAAGCAACGTCATGTCCTCACGACTGCTCACACGTCGACAAAGTCAACAGTAGCAGCAGCAGCATCCTCTTCGCCCGAGCACATGGCGCTACGACGCAACGACTGGCCGCATGAGCTTTGGCTCGACGACGGTCTTCCTGCCCATGTCGTACGAAGTCGCCCACTTTGTGCAAGGAGAGGTCTGGGTCGAAATCTTCGACCAGCGAGAGATCAGCATTGACACTCTCGTCATCCACATCGAGCCGACGAACGGCATCCCCCCCGGTGCAACCATGCACCGCGTCCCTCGGGCCACGCCTCTGTGGTTGCTACGCCTTCCATGCCGTCAAGCACTGTCTTAAAGACAAGCCGGACATTTCCATCGACGACATCAAGAGGGACTTGGCCGAGTGGTATCGCGGCGAGAAGAGGAGTCGCCGCTTCCCGAACCTCGACGAGCAGTTCCTCGACGAGCGCATCAAGCGGCTCGATCCAGCCCACAGGCACGACAAGCCCGGCGATCACCACTGGCTTCACGTCGAAGACGCCTGGCCCCTGGCCAACGTCTACACCAGGCCAGTGGAGCTCTACAATCGCGTCCTTGGGCCTCGAGGCTCCTGCACCGTGGTGCCCAGCAGGATCAGCACCTCGCTCGAAAAGTTGCCGGACTCGATCGTCCTCGCCTACGACAAGGAGGGTCACTTCGACTCGGGCCTCCCAAGCGCGGTGCCAAAGCCGCCGATCAAGACGCACGTCCTCGGGTCCAAGGTACACGACTGGACCAGCACCAACTCTCACCTGGTCCTGCATCAATTGCGGGCCTTCGAGGTTCGCGCATCGCTGCGAGTCAGAGAAAGGGGATAGCGATGAGGAAGGAAACTGCAAGTGCGTCTTCGCTTCAAGCTGACTAGTCGAGCGATGTTACCCTCGCACAGCATGGAGGCCCCTCGTCGCTCGACGGCCCATCCTTCCCCGTCCAGCAGCAACCAGACTCAGGCTCGTTCGCCGCCAGACCAGACCGGCTCCCGGACGCACTGATCGCTGATTGCAACGAGAAGGGCAACAAGGGCGGCAACAGGGCCCTCGTCGCACGACCCTTGTCTCAGTCGTCTCTCTCTCCACCACTCCTCGAACGGTCGCCTTGTTCACATCGCTCTCCTCATGTCACACCACGACTTCTACTGACTCCACGGGCGATTCCGTGGCATCGCCTACTGCCTCTACCTTCTTGTCAACACGCCTCCGCCTCCCTCAAAAGTCGGCCAGACCATGTTCGTCGAGCTCCGACATTGGCTCGTCAGCGACCCTCCAGCATCGACCTCTCTGGCATGCTGCGACTCGTCTACGACCCCCTTGACGCAGCCAACCATTGACAAGACCTCAGTACGGTTCAACATCCGTGACGGTGCGCTCTACAACGTGGCCTTCGAGACCCCCGTCGAGGTCCCCGGACCGGACCAAGTCCAGCTCTTCTCGGTGCCCATCCATCGAACCGTCATGCAGTCTCCACGCGTCGCCGCCCAAGCCGCCACTCTACACGCTGCACCCACGCACCGTGCACCCCTTGCTCCATCACCAGTCGCCAACTCGGCTCAGCCTCCCCTGCTCGCGTCAGGTGGTCAGAGCTCGGGCATCCGCACCATTGCGACCAAGAAGAGAGCAAGCGATGCCGCTCGTGAGGCCCGCCTGAACCGTATCAAGGCGGAAGAGGCAGCTAGTGAGGAAGAGGCGGCGTGGATCGACGAGGAGGAGGACGACGACGACGACAAGGGCGCAGCTTCCCCCGCGAGGAAGGCGGTCAAGCGGGCAAGGTCCATCTCCCCTCCACCGGCACCAAAATACGACCCTGTGCCAGACGACCAGCCCTCTGATCCCTTCGATGCAGAGGCTCCTCGATATGACCCCGTCCCGGATGACCCACCCACGGATCCCGTCGAGGAGGAAAGGGAGAGCAAGGTGGAGGAGGAAGAGGACGACGAGGCGGTGTGGGTCGACGCAGACGACTGGCCGGCAAGCTTGCGAGATGCAGAGGAGGACAAGCGGGCTGAAGTCGAGGACGCGGAGGAGGACGCGGACGGGGCACCTCCTCCGTCAAGCCCAACAATCTCGCAGCCATCTTCGGCTCTCCCCGCCTCCCTCGCCGTTAATCCCCTGTCGGAGGATGATTCCAGCGAGTCGGACGGCACCAAGCGCCTCGTCAGGCGCTTCCTCGACCGCTGCCGTCGCGAAGCAGCTCGAGCCCCCTCCGCCTCCACTCGCCCACAGCGCAGCCACGTCCGCAATCAAAGGCAGCGCAAGGGGGAGGGACCGCTTTACGGCCACGATCCTCGACCGCGCTGGGCCAAAGATGAGGGATCAGCGAACGCGCGTGGCCATCTACAAGGCCCGCCACGACGCCATCTAGCCGAATTCCTTTGCCAAGCCAGAGGTCAGGGCGTTGTCGGAGGAGGGTCTTCACTTCGCAAGGATTACAAGCTCAAGACGCTACTGGATGACGCGGAGGCGGAAGTGCAGGCGCTCAACACGTGGTCTCACTGCCTGCTCAAGACTGGTAAGGTGCTCCCCAACGCCATCATTCGAGCACTGTCCAGCGTCCTCGCGCCTGGTCAGGTGGAAGTTACCGCAATCTTGGTGCAGCGCTTCCTGCCCGCCGTCGCGCTGACTCTCGTGAGCAGCACCAACGCGGACCACCAGGGCGACGCGCACGACCGACACGGCGCATACGACCAACAACACGATGCGGCGGATGATCAAGCTGTTCCCGAAGCGGTGGGGCCAAACAAAATTTCGCCGAGCTCATCATGGATGCCCGTGCCCCCTCTCGCGTCGGATGACAGGCAGCCTTCCCCTCGTCTTGGTCTGCCATCTGGATCCTGTTCAGCTCGCAGGAGGCAAAGACTCAGCCCAACGTCGCCCAGTCCGAGCTCAGCACGCAGCGCCAGCAACAGCACGATCAGCAGCGCCAGCAACAGCACGATCAGCAGCGCCAGCAACAACGCGGGCAACAGCGCGACCAGCCACCTCAGAACCGCGGCCAGCACGTCCACCGCCACCAGCAGCAGCAAGATCGTAAGCAGCACCAGCAACCCGAGCACAACGCTGGTGATGCGGATGCGGCGGAGTGGGCGGAGTGGGCGGCGGTCCACGACGCCATCTTCGACGAGTGGGCTGCTCAGCAGGCGATGGGCCACGAGGCACTGTGTGGCGAGTGGGCGGCAGAGCAGGCCGCCATCTACGAGTCCAACAAAAAGGCGCAAGCGGAGGAGCCCAATGAGAGGGCGAGGGAGGAGTGCGCGACTCGGTTCGGCAAAGGCGCAGGCGGCGCAGGCGGCGACGACGGCGACGAAGACGACGAGGACGAGGACGACGACATCATTCACCCTCAAGATGTCGTCAACATCACAGGCAGCCCGGCGGACGACGCAGCCTACCTCGCCCTCCATGACATCCGCCCGGTCAAGGTCGCTGAAGACGGCGACTGTGCCTACGCCGCCATCTTGATTGGACTGGGTATCAAGGTCACGCTCGACAACATCACTGGCCTCTGTCGCGAGCTTTACGACTTCTTCAAGAGTCGCAAAGCTAGAAGGATGCTGGAGGGATACTCGAGCGACATCTTCGCCGAGCTGCTGGACAGCTCCATCGTGCCAGAAGACGTGCGCGCTAGGGCAACGGCAGCCAAGAGAGCCCTCCCCTCGCGATACTGGATGTCCGGCCTCGCCCTCCCAGGCCTCGCGATCATCAAGAAGGTGCCCGTCGGCTGCTACCGCGCCGATCACTCGGCGAGCATGTCGTACTGCGTGCTGCCGTTTGAGTACGAGGGCGGGCCGGCTGTGCGTATCCTCTTTGACGGCAAGCAGCACTTCTTGGGCGTCGAGCGCACTACTTCCCGTCGCCTCCCGGTAGCCCGCACATTGGCACTTGGCAAGGAGGCTGCAGCGCACGCCGAGTCGGACCCGCACGCTCGAATGCACGGGGCATTCCAGCTTGAGACGGTCCTGGGCAAGGCGGAGGCAGAGGCGCAAGGGCTGGAGACGTGGTGCCACTGCTTGGCAAAGACGGGCAAGGTGGAGAGCGGAGAGCCCATCGAGATCCGAAGCAGTGGCTCGAAGCGCGAGGGGGAGTCGGAGAAGAGGCGCAGGCTGAGCGAGATGGGCACTGCGCAGGAAAAGGACGAGCGGGATGACTCGGCCGTGGACTTGGCGCCGGCGGCAAAGCGCAAGGTTCTTGCGGCGGGAAGGTACGACGAGTATTCGGCTTGGTTCCGTTCCATATCGTCTCTCGCCCAACTTATCAACAACACCACGTCACTCATGTATCTTAACTCCGTTCATTATCTTACCGATTCCGCTCACCGTCAACCTTACTTTGCCGCCTGGCCGTGTCGAACTGCTCATAGTCGAACAAGCTGGCCCGTCGAAGCAAAC